ATCGGTCTGCCGAGTGACTTGTATATCATCCTGCCAGGTTCGAAGCTGGCATAGCTGCTGTCTTCCGTGGTGACAGGGTCAGGTGAGAACCTCTGAGTGTCTTCAATATGTCAGGGATCTGTAAATGCCTCATTATTCCAGTGAACTGCCCAACAACTTCTGTTTTCTCATGTGATGTGATGCCTGCAGAGAATAGACAGTATGAATTGGAGGATCAGGAGGGCTTTGACAATGGGAGGATGGAGAGGACCAAGATAGGAACTCCGATGGCGGCGAAGTAGGACCGGCGGGAATCTGTAGGATATCAGAAGCTGGTCTTGAAAGTGCGAGGTTCCTTTGTCTCAATTTTCATCCGGTCAAATTGCCAAACGACTTCTTAAGTCGGAGCCTCACCGAGGCAGACCGTTTTCGCATATGGCTCCGAGGACGGCGGGACGAAGGTGGTGAGGGTAGGATTGGGACGGCAGCGATGTGGAACAGGGTGAGGCCCTTCAAAATATTAGCAGGAAAACTTGGAAGATCAGTTGTCTTCTCTCACACTTCCTAGATTCAACCTGACGAGGGCAGACTGTCTTCGGAAAGCAAGTCTGGAGGTACTTGTGACAGCAACGGTCTGGGGTGGGGGAGATTTTGCAAGTGTCAGCCAGGCCTGCAAATGGGGAGAAGTCCCCAACGTGCCGACCTTTTCCATTTAGACCTCATGAAAGTGGACTGTGTTCGATGAGGAGGGCGATGGGGACTGATGAAGAAGTTCGGGAAACCAGACTGAAGATTCTGAGAATGTTGAAGACTTCGGCATTCCAGAGACTGCGAGGAATCTGAACAATCCGGTGAGTTTGAGGACTGAGTGTCGCAATGTTGATGACCTTGAGGAAATTGAAGACTTTGAGGTTGGAAAAACTGTGAGGTGTCAGCCGGCATTGAATCTTAGAAGCTCCCTTGTGACCTTGTCCAATCCGTTCTCCATCCGGCAAACCGTCTTCGGCGAGAATATGGAAGATGATAGGTTGAGGTTGAGGTTGTACACGAACAGCTCTTTATCTCCCTTGTCCTGCTTTTTCCCATCCAAAGTAGACTCCTATCGGCAAGACTTTGGTAATGGAGGACTTGAGTTTGTTTCGGGTGGACTTGGTATTGCGAGGGCTTGGGACTAGGAGGACTCGGTTTGAGTGAGATCTGTGAATCATCAGCAGCCGATATTGAATCTAGATGGCTCCCTTGTCTTGTCTTGACTCCTTTTCGCCCATTCAAACTTGAAGATGGACTGTCCTGGTGGTGGATTTTCGAAGGGACTTGGGATGGTAGGAGCCTGACAAGGCGACAAGGCGAGGACTCGGGACGTGAGGACTCTGAAAATCTGTCAGGTGTTAGCAGCTGGTATTGAATCGAGACAGCTTAGTCCTTTTTGTCTCGCCTGTCCAACCCCTTTGCTTCACACTTGATGAAGTTAGGGTTTATACGAAGTCAGCAGCTAGCATCGGATCTGAGGTCTTCCCTTCTGTGGCTGTTCAATCCATTTCCCTCAAGGTATACTGTCTTCGGCCGAGGACTTGGGAGAGACGCTTGGTGGCAGCAGCGGCTTGGGTGCAAAGCTGCGAAGAGTCATTTGGTCTTGGATATGAAAGTTTCCTTGTCTCATTTTCATTGCTGCAAAGCTGACGAACGACTTCCGTAATGCGAGTTTCCAGAATCGATGAAGTAGTACTGTGGCAGAGGGAACGACACTTGTGAAATTCTCGTCCTTGTGAAGTCGGATCCGTCGATGGGGTGAGGACAGCCACAATCGACTGCATTCGATGGTCTCGCGGCCCAAGGTCTACATAGAACCTGTACTTGTGAAATCCGGCCTGTTGAAATCCGGCCTGTGGGATTGATCAACGAGAACTGAACTGGGTGTCGCCCCATGCTGTAGACGTGTGAATTGCATTCTGAAAGGAATCAACCTGGAACGGGCGAAACAGTGTACTATGGCAGTGGAAAGAACCCGCAGGAGCGAAATAGTTCCTTGGTATTTTCGGGGGATTGTTCGATCCATCACGACAAAGGAAATTCGATTCCCCAATCTGATTACCGAGGGGGTTTCTGAATGGACAACGGCAGACAAGGGTGATATGGCCCGTGGAGAATTGTGGAGAGCCTTGTGCCAACAGCCCTCAGTAAAACAACCATGCAATTTTCGACTTCCCAAACGTGTGCCCTTGACCACACCTTAGCTGTATTTCGAGATGCGTGCGACAAGCTCTGGGGGTCTGGACGTTGGAAGAGGGTGTAGTCTGGGAATTTTCGCGAGGCCAAGACAGTCGGTCTCTTCACTCGTGTTGCAGAAATCAGCGAGAGGAGGACTCATAACCAGAAAATATTGAATATCCATGCACTAAGGGGGCACGTCAAGTACATGTAAGAATTTGAAACTCGATGGGCGAAAGACGATTTGCAAGGGAAGTGGCTGCCTGAGATACTACTCTCATAACCAGAGTCAAGAGCTTCTGGTGACTGCAAAACCCCCCTTCCGACACCATACCTCAGGTTCCTTCCCATCTTCACCTCAGCCAAGATGCTCTTGATGTCTGATTCCTCGCATTGTCCTCTTTCATTCCAAACTCTCCAATCTTCTCACCAATCTTCCAACCCATATACTTCCCGCCTATTTTCTGTACTTTGCACTCTTTGTTGACCATCTCCATCAATTCAGAAATGAAATCCTTCTTTTCCTCGTTCAGCTTTGGCCGGTCACAGGGTCTGTCGACCTCCTCTCCCTCCTGTCAAACTTGAATCCGTCCCAACGAGCTCCCAAGTCAGTCTCGAAAAGGTCCAAGGCCGAATCAGCTGCAATAGCTCACAAGGACACCAGCGGTATGTGCATTCCAATTCCTCTCACTTTGCATTCACTGATGTGTTCCCAGCCTACATCAGATGCAAAAGTGCTGCGTTCCACATGGCCAAACCTTTCGTCAAACCCCAGTACTCCACGAGAACCGAGTTGAAAACCGATGTCACCCGCATCTTGCATGCATGCAACTTTGTCTACCATTGCCTTCAGGGACAAATTAAGGCAAAGAGCAAGAGAAAGATCCAGCGGGAGGTGGCCAGAGACCTTGTCCATTTGAAGATTGTGGTCATCGGTATGCAAATATCATCCTCACATCCGATCTGCGAATGAATCATGCTAACAGATGACAGTCGACGATCTGAACATGCTGTCCTCGGATGCTATTCCTCCACCCGCGGCACCCGTCAGGCCTAAACCCGCAGCCTCAACGTCTTCGGAAGGCTTCCTTGACACTGTTGTGTCGGTGGAGTGTTGGTCAGTCGACCCTCCTCTGACGACTGAGGCCATCATAACTCCTACAATTCGAAAGATGCTTGCTTCAGTGATTGGCTGGATGGCATTCTTGACAAAGTCCGCGACCATGTTGAGATCCTGTCCGCTGATGGCCTCATCGACGTCAACCGATGGCCGGTGCCCTTGCTCGCGGGCGTCCCCCAGCATTGTATCACCACAAGATATCCATTTGGGCCTTGGTCTCTTTGCAAAAGTACAGCCCCCTGACAGAGGTGAGAGGGCAATGGCTTGGAATCTGGCGGGCCACACAATACAAGACAATCATTGGGCCAACAACACATCATTAAAGACACATCATTAAAGACACATCATTAAAGACACATCATTAAAGACACTTGTAAATTACTTATTCTCGTATATAGCCGGGTTCCTAGGCTGGCGGCAATATTCATATCAAGCCACACGATCTTTGGTGCGGTTTCGACAGTACCGTGCTTTCCACCAAATCCTGCAGCAGCAGCCGACCTGCCAGTGTCATATCTCGGTCGAGGGAATTGCTACGCCCGGATCCCAGGCTCATCGGCGTCTAATGTTCTCCACCACCTTGCCGGCTTTGTCAGACTTCATACCGATGTGAACGATCATTTCGCACTGTCCTTTCCTCTTCCCTGAAGCAGGTCGCGATCATAATGGCATATTTCTACCTGGACGCCATTGACGTGCAAGTACTACATCCCTGGCCTTCCAAGAGTACACAAGAGTGAGGACATCACCATCGGAACTGCGGTTGTCGTGGTTTACTGATTCAATCATGACATTGACAGACTGTCAACCTTCCTGTCCCAACTTGTTCATATCGCCCAAGAAGTGCCTCAACAAAAGAAAAATGCACGGTCTCTATAGTAGTACCACGGCTGTATGGTGAGCGATCGTTGGTGATATCATGACAAGCACGATCAGCAGCATCCATCACATAGCGGAGCTAAAAGCTAGCCTCCGAGCAGCAAAACCCTCAATGGCGACATTTTTAGGACAGACGGCGCTCTCCTATCAAGAGGACTAGGACATCTGACCGGGGCCGGCCGATGCTTGAAAGGATTTCTGCCTATCATTCCCGTGTGCCTGAGGTAGCCCGGTTTGGTTGTGGACAAGTTTCCGGCCGGCAACGATCGCAGAAATGAGACTTCTGAGGACAGGCGCCCGATTCATATCTCTGATTCTGGACCTGATGGCTGTCACTCGTTCATCTTTTCCTCAACTGTTTGGTGAGTGTGGGCATGGTCACCTTACTTCAAAGTTCGTGAGCCAGCCGGTCGAGACGACTACTGCGTCAGGGGGTTCAACCCGTCTCGAGAAGGACTGTTTGCATATCCCAGCAGAGAGAACCCCTATGGAAGGGAGATAGCATCGATTATTCAGTTGAAACCTTTTCTTCATAAGATACCGCACGAGGCTTTATATGTCCCCGTTCAAGTGAAAAGTCGTTAGAAAACGTCTAGAAATCACAACCTTGACATAAGGCACGTAGCTAACAGTGTCTAAGCACTTTGAATTGCTATAACTCCCGTAAGTTGAGAGGAAATCTCAGTCGTTGAACACTTTTTGACTTGTCTACCCCAGGTCTATAACAAAAGTCGACATATCCACCATCTATCATCTCGATCACGTTCCCAAAACATTCCCTCGTAATTTCCTATTGTGAATTCTGCGGTGTAGATTAGGCTGCAGACGTAAATGACTCGGCATCGTGCATTTTATCCTTCTCTGACAGTCCCTTTTCGGCCTCCAGGGAGAATTCAAGATCGCCATCCAGGTCCTTATCAAGTTCCGTTGCGGCGCCGTGTTGCAATAGAGCAGCTTCAGCTGTGAGGTTGTAATCGATGACTGAGCGTTTATCAGGGAACATTTTGGAAAGTGCCACATGCACACTGGCGCCGACGGTCATGCCAAAGATGTCGGCAATGGCGTAGACATACTTGGCACCTCCGATCTTGACAGCCGGGTTGATTGCGTTGACCATGCCGGGCATGTTGGGCCCAATGGCACAGACAAGGGCCACTGCAGCTCTCCAGTTAAAGCCCCCTTTGAAACGGTAAATGCCACGGGCTCTATTGTACAGCTCCGGGACGTCGATCTTGGATTTCTTGACAAAGACGTAATCTGCGCTAAGGATTGCGGCCATTGGTGCGAGAATGATCGAGTACGAGTTCATGAATCTGTAACAATGATTAGCGACGAGAAAATCGCGGGATGGATGAAAAACTGACGATAGTAGATTGCTTGCACTTTCGAGCACTTTCCAGGGAGCAAATCCAAATACTCCGATGGTGGCAGCCACCCACTGGCCACGGTAGATGTTGATATATCTGCGAAACAAGTCAGCCTTGGTGGCTTCAAGAGAAGACTAATAGCTCACTTCGGGAAAAGCGTCGTCAGGTCATTAGCAGCGGAGATGGAGTTGGCCGTAATATTTGACCCAATGTTGCCGATAATCCACGCGATCGAGGCGAAGAAGGCGGCTGCTCGACCTCCCGGACTGCTCTGCCATTTGGCGATGATGTCGAAAGGTTGCCATAGGATTTGACCATACATGACCGAGGTGCATTGAGAACCAATGGCGCCAATCACTGAGATCAAGCTCCAAGTGACGGGCATTATGACGATCTGTAAATAGGCGCCAGCCGGCTTTTTGCTGTATCTCGAGAAATCACCAATATTGCAAGCCACTGTGAGGAAGTATTAGAGTCAGGTCCAATCTCCTGCTTGGACTGGAGACGGAAAATCTTACTTGTTGACAAGGAGCCCATTGACGAGGTCACAGCGCTCATGAATGCAAACCACATGGGCAAGCCAGACATGGTGGGTTTGGCTGCCAGGATCTCACTGGCTTGGCCACCTGCACGATGTACCGCCCAAGCCATGGTGGCAATGGCGGTTATAGGTACAGCAATATTCTTCGCCAAAAAGAGCGGCCGTAGTCGAGACGGGTGAATGAAGATGAAAGGCAACTGAACCACCCAGAATAGGAAGAAGTTGAGAAAGGAGTAGGACGTCAATCCGGAGCTGGGTGAAAGGTGGCTGCGATCCATAGTTAGCCTGGTTCGTTCTTCCGTGTGCCACGTAGAATACTTACTTTGGAAGTCTCGCGTAGGAAGGCCAGATGGCCTGAATGAGCTGTCCAACTCCTAGGCCCCCTTGATACGTATTGATTGAAAACCAAAACCATCCAATGATCATGCGGGAGACGACGGGGAAATAGCTGAAGTAATATCCGTAGACCGAACGGGCAGTGATGGCGAACGGCGTGTGAAGACGTGCACCGATGAGCGCGTTGACCGACAGAACAACACCGAGAGCAACACCGCCGACAAAAACGGCGAGGACGGATTCCCACCAATTCAGACCAAGTACCTGAAAAGGAAAAATCAGCTTTGGGAGCAAAGTAGCAGAAATTGCTCATACCATGAACGAAGACACTGTGGTCCAGCCGGTCACACCCAAGAGATCTGACATCCAGTATGCGATGAAAGTCGACGTCGACCATGTCCAGAGTTCTCTCTACGACAGTAATCAGCCATGAACAATATGACCCCAATATGAGTTTGCTTACCGGCACAGGTTCCATGTCATAATTGGATGCCTGACCCTCGGGCGTAAAGGCGCTGGGGGTTTTCTCTAACTTCCATGCGTCGATACTTGTGAGATGTTTTTGAGCGCTTGCCGCCTTCCGGCTCACGTATTGGGAGCAAGCCTCCATACTGTTTTCGTTGAACTGATGGTTGTACAGAGGAAGCTTGTGGAGGACCGATATAGAGACAGGGATTCTGCCAGAGCGACAGCGAGATGTGAGAGATATAGGTGAAGATATATACGAGACACGCGGGTAGTGATGGTCCCGACACTGGTTATGGATCGGATCTAGACTGTAGTCGACCAACAGTAGCTGAAGCTCAGACTGGAGCCGTAGTAAGGCCGAATATCCTGACCCATAACCCGAGTCCGAAATACTGACCCCTCTCTCCCATCACCAGGTTCCTACGTCGGCCCGTCATTCTAGTCAATTGCGCATGATCCGGAGCCCCGACTCAGAATCTGGGTATCCAACTGGACCCACGAGATAAGGACGACTTCAATTATGCAATTCGTTGACCATCGAAGCTGCGCGATCGCCTTTCCGGTATGGTCATATCCAGAGCAGCGGGACATGTGCGCACTCTATCCATTGTGAAGGCAGTGCCAGGTGGATATCATCGGAGGTCGCCTACTCGGTAATACCTCTTGAAGGAGGTTGCTACTGTCGATTGGCTTTCAGTAAACTGCTTATCAACTACAAGGCTGGGGTGTGGGTATTAAACCTCAACCATGTTCTGCACGATAGGAGTAGAGCGAGGGAAAATACACGTTGGCGATTCGGTAAAGTCCAAATGTAGCTTGGTGAGCTTGGCATCTCTCCTTCCACTTCCGGGTCCTCCACTATGTGCCAAGAAGTCCCGCTGCCAATCACAATTGAAGTTACGCATTTATCATGGTCCGCGGGGGGCCTCGATGTCATTTTCATTTCCGACGGTGAGAGCGGCCCGCTATACCAGTCGTCGATAGGTACATGTCGTCGCCATCGGAGGCTACCGAAGTCGGATCTATAGTGTTGATCTGTCCCTTGAAAAACTAAATCAGAAAGAAGCTTCAGATTTGCTATATCGACCGCACCATTATTAGTGCGCGATGCTATACATGGCTAGTCGGTAATCCTTCCAAGAGAATACCGAAAAGTCTCTGCGTCTTCACCTCACAATTCAGTAATTTCAGGTGATCGGAACTCCTGCAGCGACAACTGCCAGAGCAGCCATGGGGGCTCCAATCATTCCAGATACGATGAGGGCTGTTGTGATCAAGGATCCTGGTGGTGAGGATATCTTGAAAGTGTCGACAGTCGCGGTGCCACAGCCTCGTCCTGGCCAGGTACTAGTCAAAGTGCATGCCACGACAGTTATAACGTCTGAACTTGCAAGCCGTGAAGGTGTATCAACGGCAAAACTCCCCCTTGTCCTAGGGAACGACTTTATTGGAACCGTTGTGGCGGCCCCTGGTGCCGAAGAACGGATCGGTTCAAGAATATTAGGAGCATACGGTGGCTATGGATACACCAGAGATGGAGCTTGGGCAGACTACATTATTGTCGACAGTGCCGATGCCTTCCCAATTGATTCTACGCTACCCTCTACGGCGCTGGTAGCCATCGCAGGATCATTCACGACAGCTTCTGGAACCATTCATGCCCTTGGTGAGATGAATGGCAAGACGTTATTGATTCGCGGAGGCACCAGTGGAGTCGGCCTTGCGATCGCAACGTTGGCTATAGCGCAAGGGGCGACGGTGATTTCAACGACACGGAACCCGGACAAAATCAAAGGACTGCAGGACCATGGAGTTCACCATGTCGTCCTGGACGATGGCAATCTGGAAAATGCAGTCCGCAGCTACGCCCACGAGGGTGTCGACTTAGCAGTGGAGATGCTGGGCGTCGGTGGCCTAAGCGAATCGATCAAATGTGTCCGCCCCTTTGGCATTGCCTGTCTGACCGGCTTACTGAACGACCAAGCGACCTCGATCAAAGAGAAATTACGTGAGGACCGTTCTGTTCCCGGCTACCCTCACCCGATGGAATTGATTCCACCCACTGTCCGCCTCACCATCGGTGGAGTGGTAGCTACGCCGCGAACGACAGCAATGGTGCAGGACTGGGTTACAGGTTTTGAACAAGGCAAATATAAGATGCCCATTGACTCGACGTACACGCTTGAGGATATTGCTAGCGCGCATCGAAGGAGAGCTGATCCTTCGAGCTTTGGAAAGATTGTGATCAGAGTCTCAGACCCTATTGATTGAATTGAATCACAATCACATAAACACAATATATAGTCTTGGGCGGTCAAATTTCAGCATCCGGACAGTTGGAGCTTCCTCCATACACTCAGAAACTGCAAAATCGGATATGACTCTGCGATAATATCACATGGAAGGGAAAGTGTGCTGTAATAGCACCGTATCTGGTCAGGGGATGCGCTCATCAGCGTTCCCCTTCGAATCAATTCAGCAATTCTAGTTATGACCCTGAAAATGGGACACAATCCAACCAATATTGACGCTCATATGTGGATTAACTACGCTCACGTGCATTCAGACCCTCGATCCCAGACTCCGCAATATCAGGCAAACTTTCCGGTCACTCTGTCACACCAATCGAACAGCTTCTCCGCATTGCCACCTTCTTTAGACACCTCATCTTGAACATCCTGTCTGACGCTAATTTGACGGCCCCAGGGAGCGATGAAGGCCCCCTGATTGTCGGCAAGCTTGAGGTCTGGTGAAAGTCCAGCATATAGCTCGGTGTAGGCGCCCAATATAGTGGGATGAAGAAGGAGGACGCTTGCTAGCCAGCTTGCAATAGCACCCATATGGCGAGTTAGGTTGGTGCGGAGGTTGCCTGGATTGTAGGTCTGTCATATATGTGTTAGTACAGGCTCTGGGCTGGAAAGATTGTGTACACTGACATTGTGCAGCACACCATCTGCCTCTCCGAACCGCTTGGCAAACTCATTGGCGAGCAAGAAGTTTGCGGCTTTGCTGGAACTATATATCCCTCTCAAGCCGATCGAGTCGTCCAGAGTCACTTCTTGATTCTGAGTCTTCCATTTCACTCCACCTGGAGGGCTTTCCACGAACAATGCCAGACTGCTCGCCCAGCTGACACGGACAGCCCCATTGCTCGTGGGTTCAGCCTCGGCAGTACGTTTGAGAATGGGGAGCAACAATTTCGTCAACAAGAAGGGGCCAAGGATATTGGTCTGATAAGACAAATCGATGCCTTGTGCGCCTTTGGAGCCAGGAGGCGGTGTCATGACACCAGCGTTGTTGTTCAACCAATGCAGTTTTTCTTCTCGCTGCAAGAAGTCTTGGACGCTTGCTTTGATTGTGCTCAAGTCGGACAAGTCGAGTGACAAGAATTCAAGTTTGCCTTTGGATTCGGGGTGCTGCTTCTCCATCGAGGCTATGGCCTCTTTCCCTTTGGACTCGGAGCGTGCACCTACGTACACTTTGGCATTATGTGCGTAGAGAATCCGACTGACTTCATAGCCAACACCACTGTTGGCGCCGGTAATCAGAAAGACTTTACCGCTTTGGTCGGGAAGGTTCTGCTCGGTTAGAGGCGGAGGGGGGAGGAAGAAAGACTGGGACCAGAAGGTCCGAAGAGCAGAAACCATGTTGAAATGCTGTTGGTCTTCTGGTTGACGTCGGTGTGGTTTTATTGCTGGCTTTCGAGGGAGACCAACGTAGCCAGGCTCGACTTTATAGATGCAAATGGTGAAACGGATCTTTCGACTAGCACGACCAAGTTGTGCAAGCGTAAAGACGCACAATTGTGATGTGTCGCGTCGATCGCTGGTGAAACGCCGTTGAGGCCTCGCACCAATTCGGCCGCATCTGTCCGACCAATCACAGTAGGGCTTGATATACTTGGTGTGATAAACTTCGCTGGGATGGAGGAACAAGTGGAGGAGTTGGGGCAACGATAAGCTTAGTCCGGGGACAGGGTTTATAACTTGTCCCAACCCATGCAGGGCGTCCCAAGGTATAGCTCCAGCCATCAATCACCTGAAGGGGCCCAGTACCCACAATCCTGGAGATGAGTCGGTTCAGGGACACCATTTCATACCACGGCAGTCCAGCCTTCCCTATCGTGGCTAGCCGGAGCATGTACCTCCTGCGACTCAACCTCCTCGACGAGAAACTGACTTAGACGATCTTGCTTGTCTTGAAAATGTCCAATTGTGATGCTATAAAATATACCGTTCCTGAACATTAAGGTCTAGTAATCCTCCATGAAATCGCATATTTGAAGAATTGAAGTTGCAAAAAGGTCATACATCGCGACGCATTCAGTAACGTCGGGGCCTTGACTTGGGAGAACGCCTGAACAAGCTGCCGTTACATCCAGGTTCGCTGAGGGTCAATGTTGGTCCTCCCGGCTGGCAGTTAGGAATGGCACCAACAGCGGCCTGAATGGCCTGAATGTCAGTCACACCGACCAAACCTTCAAGGTCAACACCAAGAGTACCAGTTCGACCGATAACGGCACAGTTACCCGCACATGCATTCGTAACCGATTGTAGAACTTGAGTCAGGTCGCAAAGAACTCCAGAAACGCCACAAGTGACCTGGGAGAGGCCAACATCTGCAAGGGTTTGACCGGCACAGAGGGTAACGGCAGTACCGCATTGGAGAGCAGCGGCTGTGGTGGTAGTGACAGCGCTTATGGTAGTGGTAGCCAAGACCGACGTGGTTGAAGAAGTGGTGACAGGGTTGTTGGGACATGTGGGATCATAAAGCGTGACCGTTGTTTCTTGAAGAACTGAACAGACACCGTTCAACTGTCCAGCGTTGATTGCAGCTTGCACCTGTTCTGGAGTGATACTCAAGCCCACAATCTGGTTGTCTTCGACCAAGACCGACAGTACGTTAGGATTTGATCCCAAGAGAGCAGGCACAAGGTTCAACAGGTCGTTGACACTGCAAAGAAGGCCACCGGCTAGAGGACATGTCTGGGTGGCAACAACATTTGCAGTGATCAGTTGAGAATTTAGACAGATATTGGCGTTGAGGTTGCAGATAGGTGCCAAAGATGTTGTCGTTGTTGCAGGAGCAGATGATGTGGTCGATCTCACAGTAGTTCCCAGTGTTGTGGGTGTCAAAATAAAAGTTGTGCCTGGGGTGGATGAAGTCAAGGAGGATCTGGTTGATGCTGTAGTCGTTCCCGGCGTGTTTGAAGTCAAAGTGGAGGTGAAGAACGAGCTGGCCACACTTGTCCTCGAGGTAGTCGACGTACTTGGGTTGATTGGGCACGTAGGATCGTTGACAATCACACTAACCGGACCCAGCAGACCACAGACTCCATTTAGCTCTCCAGCATTGACAGCAGCAGCGACTTGTTCGGGAGTAATGGACAATCCGAGGAGCTCATTATTTCCAACCAAAACGGACAAGACATTTGGGCTGCCACCGAGCAATGTGGGGACCAGAGTCAACAAGTCATTGACGGTGCAAAGGAGACCGCCAAGAAGAGGGCAAGTCACTGTGGAGACGACATTCGCTGTGATGAGCTGAGAGTCAAGGCAAATGTTGGCATTCAGATTGCAGATAGGACCAGTTGAGGGCGTGGTGGTGGCCGGGCCAGATGATGTGCTCGTAGCAGATCCACCGATCGGACCAAGACCGGAAAAGGATGTCGTACTGGAACCACCACCGATGGGTCCAACGATGCCAGTGCCGGTTGTCGAAAAGCCAGGTGTTGGACTTCCACCGATAGAGATGACAATTCCAGTGCCGGTTGTCGAAAAGCCGGATGTGAGACTTCCACCGATAGGACCGACAACGTCACTGCCAGTTGTCGAAAAGCCAGAAGAGACACTTCCACCAATAGAAATGACAATGCCACTGCCAGTTGTCGAAATGCCGGATGTGAGACTTCCACCGATAGGACCGACACTGTCAGTGCCACCTGTCGGAAAGCCTGCGATACTTCCACCTCCATCGGCCTCGCCAGTGCCAGTTGAGGAAAAGCTCGTCGTCAGACTCCCACCGATAGGACCGACAACGCCAGTGCCAGTTGTCGAAAATCCCGACGACCGACTCCCACCAAAATTCCCATTATCGCCAGGAAAACCGCCCCCGGATGTGATACTTCCACCAATTGGACCAACCACGCCAGTGCCAGTAGAGGAAAAGCTCGTCGTCAGACTCCCACCAATAGGACCGACAGCGTCACCGCCAGTTGATGAAGAGCTGGAAGTCAGAGAGCCACCGATAGGACCAAGGCCGGCAGTGCCAGTCGTGGAAAAGCCGGTCGTCATACTTCCACCAATAGGTCCAAGACCTCCACCAGACGTGGGTGAGCCAGAGAGAGAAAGACCGAGAGAGATAGAAGCGCCGAGAGAGATAGACGCGCCAAGAGAGATAGAAGCACCGATAGGGCCAGTGTCCCCACCCCCTGGTGTGGATGAGGATGACGCAGTGAAACCGGTAGAATAGGAGGTGCTGGATAAAGAACCACCGATGTTACCAACCTGCATGCCCATTGATGTAGACGAGCTGCTTGTGGCGGATGCAGGAAAGCCGATAGGGCCAGTGTCTCCAGTACCAAGGAATGTGCTCGAGCCGCTGGTAGTCTGCATGATGGCACCGACGCCATCGCTGTTGGTGGAAGCCGACGTTGTAAACCCAACCGGGCCGGTGTCTGCACCAGCTGAAGCTGCTCCAGCGGCAGGACTCCAATCCATCCAGCCATTGCCACCTCCGTAATAGGCATTGCCATTGTTGTCATTATCTGGCAAGGGCCACCAATCGCTGCCCGACTGGTCAGGAGATCCAGTAGGGATGGCAAGAACGTGGGAACTATACGAATATCAGCGAGATACGTCTTTGATTCAACAAGAAATGTGGCATACCTTTTCGCAGGATGGGTCGCATGAGGGATGTTGAAGATGATCACTTTTGTGATTTCAATGTTGAAACTGAAAGTGGTAGGACCAGAATATGATCTTGTGACGCAAGCATCCCATGACTTGCCTGGAATAGTGTAGACCATCTCTGGCTGGACCTCGACAGTCTCTAGACCATGGACGGTAACAGTGACGGTCCTAGCAGGAGCGGTGATCGTGACTGGTGGAGCAACTTGAGGAAAGGTCCAGGTGTATGTACCGGCGGCGGTGATCTTGCCATTGCTCGAGCATAGAGCGCTGGCAGTGACGGTTGATGTTGGTGCCGGTCGTTCAATAACGGTTTCATACCATTCAGAACACTTTTTCCAATGCTTGCCAGAACCACTGACACCGGAACGACACTCAACAACATCCAGAAGCTGGGAACGGCTGCCATCCGATTGTTTCTCGCATTTTTCGCAAAGACCACTGCCTTCCCATCCTGGGACACACAATGGACCAGCTTCTTTGTACGGTACCATAGCACGTCGAGTTACGGTTTCGTAAACGGTAATCTCCTCCTCTTCATGCTTGCTGTGCGCCCAATCAACCCAGCTACGCTTGTCAGCGGTAGGAGCGGCTGTGACCTTGGTGATGGTTTCGAGATATTCAGAAACTCTCAATGGCTGTTCAGTAGCGGTCACTGTAGTTTTCTGGGAAGTCGTTCCATTCCAAGCATATGGGACCACTGTAGAGACCCAAGGATAGGTAGTGAAAGGGTAACTGGTGGAGCACTTCCCCTTGATACAGGCAGTTGTGGGTTGACATGTTGAGATAGGTTGATACTGAGAGGTGACAGTGATTGGTGTCAGAGAGAGCTGGTCGGCGCCTGGGCAAGGATCGATTATCGTCAACGAATCCCCAAAGACAATATCGGCCATCAGCAAGGCCAATGCCGCCTGAACAGCCGTCGAATATGGGAGCAACATGTTGGAAAAAGAGTGACTTCGGGTCAGAGACCAACGGAACAAAAAAAATGACTGAAAGAATGACTGTGCTGAATGAGCAACAAACTGGTTGGAGGATGGAAGTAAGTTGGTCGTGCGAGGGATACTTTATAGAACATCCCACGGGAAGAAGGCTCCCCTCGACGTGGCCAAAGCAGCTCTGAAGGCCAACCAAATCGACAGGGGGCTTCGTGAAGATGAGATTGGATACTTTGCACGACACTCAACCATGTCCAAGCAGTTGGCTATCCCCAAGATGTTCCAACTGGGGCCCAATGCCTGTAGAGAACCACATCGCCCTCACCTGTCGAGTTGAGTTTAATCTCCATGTTCCAAGCTATGACCTTGACGAAGGAGCGGCTGTCGCCACGCAGAACAGTGACATGCCAAAGAGGACCTCGTAACATTTCACTGTTGTGCCCTCATCAGGCTAGGCAAGGGTGTGGACGTCGTTGATGGTGTGCACGCCTGCCTTGACCATTGCTAATGCCAAGGCAGAGGTGAAAGGACGCTAGGGCACAGCCGTCAGCAGAATGTGCGAATTAGTTTGCATTCTGTTTCGGGGGATCGGCTATTGTGGACATTGATCTCTTGAGCAGGGGAGGATCGCTGGGAGGAATGGAGTCGGAATATGGTCAGAGATCGCCCTGTGTCATTCATCAAAGGTGCTATCGGTAGCCAAACACGAGGCTGACCGTTGACGGGTCTGGAAAGTTTCTGCAGAAAGACTCTTGTTGAGAAATGTTGTTGTTTTGATCATCTAACATCCCTGTAAAGGCAGGGAAAGGGGACATTTGTACAGAGTGAGATCCTTGCAATATTTCTGCGTCACTCGTTTTCTTCCTCTTCCCTGGGCCTTGTCTGCTGCCACTCTTCCTCTGTGCCACCATTATTTCCTCACATATCAGCTCTCGTCGGATTGATCGTGGGGGGAAACATGCAGACATCTCGTGTCCCAGATTGCCGAAGGAGATCTGATGTTGGCGTTTCGCTAAGATTGGGACTTTTGCCCAACCCGGGGTGCAGGTCAAGAAGTGGACAGATTGTGGGTGGCAGCATAGCAATGAAGGTGGTGTCAGACGTCTAATAGACGTCAAAATAGTGTTGGAAAGAAACATTGGGGAAGTGGTTGGCGGAAAGGCGATGGGAGGTTTAATTCGACGTCACTCGGGCGCCCCAAGCGTTCTTGCCCCCTAAAGTACAAACAAGGAACCCGAGGTTCCGATGTTGTCACTTTCCTATGTCAACATGAACACTGATGCTCGTGATGGCAAATCCTCCGCATTAGCAGCTTTCACTTCTGTCAGAAGCAGATATCCGATGCTGATGAAATCAAAGGTCAACGAATGAGGAGTCGACGTTTTAAAGATCGAAGTTGTCAAAACAGCATATTTCGTCCAACCAGCTTCAACCAAACCCATCACAGACCTGAATCTTGGTCCATGACCTTGCTGACCCTAGTTTCTCGATCGATCTAGATACCTGGATTTTCTGAAGGAAGATTGATTCTGCCCCTCCGGCGTCACTTCTGTTTGAACAAGATTCTCCGCCCTGAGTGTCTTCGATTTCGTGCTCGTCAGCAGAAAAGATTACTTTCGAGCTCTATCATCAGGAGAATTGAAGCCATCTCGCCTTGGGAACTATCCTTTTGAAAGTGTCTACACTCGACCACAAGGTTTGCTTTTGCCTTTCTACGTTATCATGCCAACCGGGCCTACCCGTACGCAACCCTATTCAATATGTCAAATTGGGTTTGTTGACATCCCGCAGGTCATGACAGACACATCCGCCCCTAAACGATTGACAACACGTCAAGCCATGCAATTTTAGACTCTATCAATTAGCCCTCGTGTTGCCCGTCACAGCAGGGTCATGGCCAAGAGAAAAACATCAACAAGCACAAATGCTGAAGGGCCATAACGACGAAACCCTCCAAGAATAGTATGTGTCATATTCTAGATACGGGCCGGGCGATCGATGGTGCCCTTGCGGGCCTCCAATATGTTGCTGGCCTGTCAATGCCGCTGGACACTTCCTCGTTCTTGACTGCGCAAGTTATATCCCACCCCACGCTATGGCAAGTGTCTTCCAGGATTTGTGGACTGCTGAGAGAAACCGGCTCCCCAGTCTCATAGGCAACAAGACTTGCCACATGCTCGGGCCATGTCGTGCAGGCGAGCCTTCAGCAATTCTGCTGGCGACCGTCGTTTCTATGGCCAACACCCGCGTCTTCGCCCACCTCAAGCGGCTCCAGACTTGAAACCACTGCGTGATGATCCTGTCAAGCATAGCGTATGAGCAGGTATTGGTTCCAATGCTGTCATGGCCTTTCATGGACGAGCCTCAACTCACACCAGGGAGAATCTTTCCCAAGGCGCACATTTCACCCACTTTCAAGATGAACGAGGTTCCAGTGGAGGGATTCTCCTACACCTTACGAACTTACTGAGGGGTTCTCTTCGGCATAAAGGATGGTGCTTCGATGACCCGTCTCATGGTGGAGTTTCTTTTCTTCGGCTGGATAGTCCATGGTAGCACCTATGGGAGTCTTTCGCCAACGTGAAGCAAAGGGGCTCTAGTTGAAAAAGAGTAGAAGCGACACGGCAGATCACCTCCCAGGACCATCTGGCTTTCTTTGTTATTCGCAAATGGAGAAAAGGCTGGACCTGCTTCCAGCATTAGATACAAGCAGGCTTTGAAACACAAAGAAAGCAAACCATTATTCGATGCTCGGCCTGACGATGATGGTGCCACAGGTGCTAGGCATGCCTGTTTTACGTAAGGGAAAAGCTACATCCACGTGCCATCTTTTGATTTCTCCGAAGGTGCCAAGAACCCCACAGACATTGATTAATGGTCGTTATTATTTTGATCTTCCCCATTTTCGTTTGGAAAATGGTGGTGAACCATCCGTACAAGGATCCGTAGCTCAGTGGTAGAGCGAGAGATTGCAGTGTCCTTCAAATATCTCTAGGTCACGTGTTCGAACCACGTCGGGTCCTGCTTTGGTTTTTGATCTTTTTTGGTCTTCTGCCGCCACGATGCCAGAATCTGTAGCAAGAACTCGCGACCAATGTCACTGCTATTGAAAGACATCTCTCTCCAAATCCTGGGTTGGCATCCGCAAGTTTGGTCTTTTTGGATTCTCCGAGGGCCGTGGTTTGCCATTATGGCTTGATTCCAGTTGCGGGTATTGGATACTTATTAGGTCTCGTTTCCTGGCTTGCTCTCGCGATTGGTGGTCAACATAAATCTAGTTAGGATACCCACCATTTGATAGTAATGGGCATGATTATGGGAATCATAACGGCGGATATATTCGTTCGTAGAGAGCCGTGGGGTTGGATTGAGCACGGTGTTACTAGTAAGTGATGGTCGTCGCTGAATATTATTCTTAAATAGTGTATCTGCATTAGCAAAAAATATTCAAACTATGAACCAACATCTTCGATGCCCAACATTATTGGGAAAACTAGAACAACCAAATATAGACCTTTCAATGTATTGTCTCCTTCGTCTGGACCTCGCTTGTAAAGCACACTTCCACGACTGGGTTCATCTGTTGTCGCATCTACCCTTGTGCGAGATTTCGCCTCCGAGGGAGGGTGACCTCGTAATGCGGGGGCTACGTCATGGGGACTCTGGGGAAACAATCAACGTTTCTTCATGAGGTTCTGCCCCTCAGACGATGAGGCCAACCTTGACAGTTGAGTGTATGGCTTTTAAGACCACAAGTGGTTGGCTCTTATTACCAGTGTATACAGCATTCCTGGTTGGTCAGGGACTACAGGTTTGGGGGAACAGGACTGCGAATATGGTATTGTCTCGAAATGCCCATGGTTGACCACCTAGGGTAACCCCACATCAGGGGTCATCAATACATGAGGGTATTGGACAGTCTAAGAACTAGAAGTACCTGTACGAGGTCGAGAATATCAAAGTCAAGAGCTGGCGTTTCATAAAATCTTGAGACCATATCGTCGGTCACATTCTCAATCCTTGGGAAAGCCATAGTCATGATGGAAGGCTTTCCTCCGACAGCAGTTACAAGCCGGCTTCCATGCCTGACACTTACCGTGGTCTTGTCGATTGCCCTCATATTGACATAGAGAGTGAAAGTAATCATGTTAGTTCGAAAGTATAGGCTGCCACCCAGTATACCGGGTGTACCAATCTTTGGCAACACTTTCCAGCTGCCACTACTGAAGCAAGGTCAATGGGGTATTGAGATGGCGCAAAAGTATGGGTAGAGGAACAGAAAATGAAAGACGGAACAGCAAGGGACTGTTTCGCGACACGTCTGATGAAGGATCCGGCGACCAAGAATTATGGACAAACCCAGACGTACTTTGCCTTGGGGTCACTGACTCACTGATGGAGGCCGGCAGTGACACGTCCAGGATGACCATCAGTCAGGTCATGCAGCAGCAGTGCAAGACAAGAGGTGGGTCCACACAGCAGGTGAGGCTCTTGACAAGGTCTGTGGCAGAAACGCGGAACGCCTTCCCAATTTCGATGACCGAATTGATCTGCAATACATCACAGCGACGGTAAAAGAGGCGTTCCGGTGGCGACCATTCGCCGAGATTGGTGTGCCTCACCTGCTAATCCAGGACGATGAGTATGAAGGCTACTAGTTTCCAGCAGGTACCTTGTTCACATGCAATGCTAGAAGCATAGCACTGGATCCCAGGGAACATGACCAGCCGGAACGCTTTTGGCCCGAGCGTTTCCTCGACGATGATTTGGATCATGTGCTGAAGGGCCATTGGAGTTTTGGACCAGGTAAGCTGACCAGGAGTGCGTTTCGCCGTGACTAACACGACTCAGGGCGACGCGTATGCTCCGGGTATAATGTTGGAGAGTCTAATGTATGAATTGTCGTGACGCGGCTGCTGTATTGTTTCGATTTCGAGGGAGTACCTGTAAGTGAGGCGTTGACCTGCTGTCGGCACAGCTAAACCTGTAGGGAAAACCGTTTGATAGCTTCCAAGTTAATTGGGGGGAGAATCGTTTCGCGCCCTTCGATGTCTCGATCAAAGTCCGAAGCCCTCAACATGCGGCTTTGATTGAAAACGAGGGGAGGGTAGCTGTAGATATCAAGTATTGAGCGTAGGCCAGTCAAGGGTGAGCGACCTGGCAGGTAGAGAGAGGGTCATACCTCTTTTCGCCAGGGACATAGACCTGTTGTAACGGTACAAGACAATCTCCCGTGACAGCAGTGCCTTGGTTGCCTACTCCGCACTTCCCTCTCTGAGATCTTCTCCCTTGCGGAGAAGCGCCAAACCCCACAAAATGAACACCAGCAAAAAGTACACCTCCGCTTCTTGGAGCCGCATGTACTCTCCTACTCTTCATCCTTGACTTATGATGTCTGTGATCATGTAGAATAATGGAGTGTGCCTGATCTTTCTCACTTGCGGGGATGTTGAACAAATGGAACCTCTATGCTCCAACGCCGAGGCAGCGTCCACACTGCCAAACTTCCACCATGTTGGAAACGCTGTTGGAGGCAAGTACCTAAAAACCACTCATGCATTGCTGGATCCTGTACAGGCTGGATGAAGGACAGTGCCCCGTATTCTGCTGCGATTGTGTGGGGCTCAAACAGAAAACGTTGTTGCAAGGCTGGATAAACCACCGCGAATTCATCCTGCAAGGGCGTGGTACAAAGTCGGCAGGTTCCTGACACGAGGCCCAACTGAAACAAAGGCTTCATTCTCTGCAGTTGGACAAGCTGATCGTAAAATAGCAGAATGGGGACCCTAACACCAGTCGAGAAGGTTTGTAAACCATGACTGTGATTGCTGAAGGCGAACTTTGACACGTACGACAGATCATTATCGTGGGTGCTGGTCCTTCTGGATTGCTGCTGGGTATCCTTCTTGCCGAAGAAGGAATCAAAGTGCAGATCTTGGAGGCATCAATTGGTCTGGACAAAAATCCGCGGGCGGCCCATTATGCACCGTCCGCGGTTTATGAACGGGCTGGTGTGCTGGAGGAAGTAAAGGCGAAAGGCATTCATCCTGATGCGGTCTGCCAGCGCCATCCTAATGGGACTTTCATCGCAGGGATTCGAAGCCGCTGGACATCGAATATCCCATGGTCTGTCTTCCTCTGGATCAACTGGACGTCATCCTCCTTCGCCACTTCCCTGGTCGGCCGAACACCGAAGTTCCGTGGCAACATAAGGTGATATCAATTGAGCAGGACGACAAAGAGGCCAGAGTTCATGTTGAGACACCAACGGAGAACTTTGGATTGGTAGCCGATTACATCGTGGGTTGCGATGGTACCAACAGCCAGATCAAGCGGTCACTGGCATGTGAGTCGAGAGAAGATCAGTGTCATCGCTGCTGACCGCGTGTGAAAAGCCGAACGTTGCGTTGCCGCAATGGACAAAGATGCCCGGGAGCGGGATTGTCTTTCCCGCCCAACAGCCGAATGGCCCAGGAGCTCAAGAGAACTTCAGCTTGCCCTTGGACGGAATTGTTCGAGAGACTCAGACCTACATTTCATTGCCACAATAGGCCGCCTGATATCAACTGTTCTCCATCAGATGACTGTTCTCAGCGCAACCATCGTCTTCTCCAGAGCACATGGTTTTCTTCCAGCACGCCACCGAGGAAGCAAACAGAACCAAGCTCTTCAAGCGCCCTCGACGTTGCAATGTATGATCTGAGGCCCTGACTGAGGGTAAACTCATTTGCTGTATTGCCAGGAGTCGGAGAATCTGTTCCAATTAGGAAGGAACGGTGGTGCTGGCGGCGTCCGAAAGGTGCTGATTTCACCTGCGGGCAGAAGTTGAATGGGATAGCAATGGAAGAGCATGCAGATGATTCGGACGACTTCAAAGATCGGCGTGGGGGGTATTGGAAAAGTACGTGCCCTTGTGGCAGACGTGAGGCTCTGTTGGTAAAGTAATAACAACTTGAATCATCGTCATCGTCATCGCAGCTTGGCAGGGAAAGCCCCCTCGAGTCTCTTCGAGCTTGCGGCGGCGCCGGACTGCAAGGATGATGCCTCTATGTACGCAACTCTAGTTCTGTAGTACTGCCTTGGATTTCAACTGCAACAGTTTTCAGACCATTCGGATCTTTGTCGCCCTTTCCTTGGGCCAGTATCCTAGGTGGTGGCAGTGACCGTACCCATCGATTACCTGGTTCCTCCGCCCATCAAACCCGGCAACCCCAACGACTTTGCCATTGTCCTCGTCGAATTTGATGCTTGCCGACCGTCACTCGCAATAGCCCTCGACTCCGATTTCTTCCTGCGATTGAGCCCTACGAGTCGAGTACGAAGCGGCGCGAAGTCGAGCCTGGGCTCCGAGAGCAGGGCGCCCCCGAGCATAGCAGGGCAACACTCTGTCCAACGTTCCACCGTTAAGAGTTGGAATAAGCCGCCCGCTGCGGGCTGTAGGGGAGGATGCCGGACTTTTCTCTTGTCCCCAGCGGGCATGGAAGCAACTACACCGGGATGCTCACTAGGAGTATAGTTTTCTCTGGAGCTCTGCTTGTGTTTCTTGCCGGTACGCGTTCGTGAGCCAAGTTCAAGCAATTCCATTTCTGACAATCACTTGCTAGCATCTGGGATGACAATCGCGTCCATCATTGTCCCCAACTGGATTGCATATGACGGCGGCAAGGTACGTGTCCTCAATCATGAAAGTGGCTGATGGCTGACAAGGGACCAGAACATCCATCAGACATACGGTCTCCATCGGAAATGCTCCAGTACGAACGTTTTCCCTCCGCCTAATTCCTACACTGTTTCTACATCTCTTCATTGCGTGCAGTTCCCACGCTACAATGATTGTCGAGGCGAAGACCGATATTTTTGCAGCATGTGGAGGTCTGTGGGCTTTCTGATGTCCTTCGGCGTGGTCCTGGAGGGCATGACAATTGCTGCATTCGCGGTGCTACTGATTGGTGGAAAGCAAAAAAGAGAACAGGGCTGGGGTGTGCTCACCATCTTGGTTGTGTTAGCAGCATTTGTACAGGCTCTTGGGATGGCGCTGATGGTGAGACCCTCGTCCACTTTCACAAAAATGACTTGCTAAATGTGTTGACAGGCATACTTGTATGACAATGACGAACGATTCTCCTCGGGATGGTATCTGGACAAAAGCTGGACCATGTGTACGCTCTCTTGGAGCTTCCAGACTTTATGTGCCATTGCAATTACTCTAGCTGCTGTGGTGCTTCCGAGTGAAGGAGGATATGAGATGATTCCTGACCGTCCTTAATGAGTGAGGACCCATTGTTTACGGCATAGACCGAAAAGACTGTCACAAGATCTTTCTGGTTTGCTTAGGTGGGATGTTTTCAATGAAAATCGGAATGAAGACAAGGCGTCGAAGTCGTACTTAAAGCGCTCATGTTCACATTCTTGGGCGGTTTATAGTCGCATTCAGGGAGATATACGACATCCTGCAACAGCTTAGATCAAATATGACACAAATTATAAATCTGCTCCCTTGATCAAGACACGCCCATAGGAATAGGAATGGCGCAGGTTGCAGCAGGGCAGGAGTTCTATGCGAACCGAAGCCAAATGATGATCTCGAGTATCGGGACTAGAACAATATATTGTCACGAGGCTGAGACCGGGTTCATCAATACTAATCCATAGAAAATCGTCCAAAACATTCCATAATCTATCCAAGAGCTTTTGTGTAAAGACCCGGACGTGATCATGATATTCCAGATTCGGTTCTGGCAACCGATCCTCCTATAATCCTGTACCCCTGTGATCGTGCTAGGGAAAAGTACGCGGCGTCGAAATAGTAGTACTTCCGCCAACCGGGGAATCGATGCGGATCCGAGCGAGTCTCCTCACTCATTTGTTCAATTTCACTCAGAAGAGAAATATTTACCACAACGGGCCACTCCCAGCGGCCAAAAAGCGAAGACATGACCGGCCAACAACATTGGAACAGCCAGGTTTAGTATAGCCCAGGGATCAACAATGCCGCCCGTGCTTCTTGAATAACTGTCACATCATCCTCCACCGACAACTTGAATTCTGTTGTACATAACTTTACCACAACAAATGTTGACGCTGAGTCGTAATCTTTCGGTCTGGTAAATGTACCCACATCTTCTTGCCCATCCGCTTTCTAAGTGCTTTTGCTTCTTTCTCTGCGGCCTGCCTTGTTCTTGTCTTCTCCTCTTTCAACAACACGCTGATACCCGTGTGTGGTGGGCGTTTCTCATACATTCGGCCTCGGGCACGGAAGTCGGGCTCGGAACCATACGGGCCTCGATTGGTCCAGGCTTCTGCAACGTAAATGTCGGTCTCGTTCGGAGCGATCCCCTTTTTGTACGTTTTCATGGGCGTCTGATGGGGCAAAGGCCTTGTCTCGCTTGGATCGTGATTAGGTTTCGCATCTTGTGGTGCCGAATCTGGATGCAACCCCATCCCTTTCATCACGATAGCTTCGTTCCGGGCCTGAATTAAATGCTGTCGGACTTCTTGTGCAACCTTCTTTTTAGAAAACCTCATCTGCAGAATTGCTTCATCGATGGGTTTGCCTGCAATCTGACGTGCGAGAGGGGCAAGCTTTTTCATGGATGTTTTGAAGAAATGTGACCGAAGAAGATGATTCCTCTCCGTGCGAGCAATCTTCATTTCCTTGTTGAGCCGGCCACCGTGCCTGATGTGTCGGATGACCATTCGTCGCTGCCATCGTGCGCGAGCGCTCGGGCGAGGATTGAGAGCCTGCGCCATGTGTGCTGGGTTTCGTTCCGCAAACAGACCCGGCAGCTCATCCTCGTCTCCTGAAGTTCGTAGGTCACCACCAAACGCACTGGAAGAAGAAAGTCCTCCATTGACCAGGTTCCGTTCCTGTTCCTTTCTCTGTTCCTCAAGCCTTTGCTGCGCACGTTGCGATGCCGCCGCAATTCTCTCTCGTGTTGTCATTGATGTGGAAGCCGGGACGTCTGCCTTGGGTCCTTGCTTGAGTTTTGTCCTAGAACTGCTGCCGGCCTTTGCGTCGAGGAGTTTAGGCGCGGACTGGCTTCCGCCGGAGTGGAAGCATTTTCTGCCGTGGAGGCGAAGAGCGGAGAAGCTGGAATAGAGGTCAATCAGCGGCGACGAGGAAAGCGGACATTGTCGGACTTGACTATGGTCAGTTTATGGACAAAGTTCGCTCAGAGGAAATTCCACTTGCCTGCACAAGCTCGCCGCAAAGCAGCTTGTTGTGGATTCATGGTGTCTATGTAGACACCCTGCTTTGTGGGCAGTTCAGATGAGTGGAACACTGACCTCCTGCCCGTGAGGTTTCGAATGGCGTTGGCTCTTGTTGCAATCTTACTGTTTGTTCTTGATGAAATGCCTCCAATGCACGACTCGGAGGGAAGATGGAAGATGCTTGGCAAGGGAGCGCCGCGCCGCTTTAAAATAAACTACACCAGTAGTACTTAACTGTGCACCCTGTGGCACGAGTCATTTGCACTCCACTCTACAGGTGCTTGCACCTTGAACTTGGTGCATAACAGGGCTGCGTGGGTCTCAACCGACACTGGCAGCCCTCGGGCCTAAGAAAGTACTAGGAGTACAGGAGTTAGTAGTTATAGTACCCTGCCTCGCCTGCCTGCGACCCCATTATTTCCATCGAACCTTGAATTTGCTTCCATGCGAGCGCAAGCAAACAAACAATCACGCAGTTACCTCTCCATCCGTGATCACGATTCAACTCTAGGCTGCCTACACTCGCATGAACCAGTGCTCCGTGACCGTCCCATCTTCCGTGCATTTCCAACCGCGCCGTGTTACTCTCACGCCTCATTCTGTCCTTCCTTGGAGAACAATCGATGAAAGATCATTAACACACTCGACCGCGGACTTCCTCTTTATGGCCTTGAATTGCTTCAGCAGATGCTGAAGGCACTCCTGACGACCTTAGGAGGAGAACATGGCCCGGACATCAATTCACAAGAAGCATACGTCTGAAGAAGTTGGAGCGATCTAGTCACTGAAAGTTAGTCGCGTAGCCATGGATATCAGTTCCTTACTTTCTCCCTCATCAGAGACGCCACGCGGGAATTCATCCACACCCGGGTCGGTTGCCTCCTCACAGTCACCATTCAAACATACACAACGTACCCAATCGGGCAATGCATCGCAACCCGCGATCAGTTCTCCCTTATCCCGCGCCATACAACCACCCTCGAGCATTCCGGCTCATGTGAGGAGTCCTTCCCAGCAGCCTGCACACTCGTCACCTCTCATCAGCCCTGTACCTACGGGCACGATGACGACGCAGTTCCCACGATCTTCGTCCACTGCGAGTATGGATACCTCGCCTGACGGCACAGCGGGTCAAACCCATCTTACGTCGAAACCGACACCCCCAATCCTCCGGAATCGTGACTCCTCCGACAGTCAACGATCCGCCTCTAGCATCTTCCCCCATGTGACCTCGGCAGGAGCGACATCCAATCCTCGAGCCTCGTTCGATATTGCAATGGTTGACACCCCTAAGCAAGTGCTGCGGTCCGATTATACCGACAGTTCACTCCACCTGGAGGCGCAACAGAGGTTAGCTACGTTGGTGGCACAGGTCCACGAGACGCCTTCGTTGTACGAAGCCCATACCGAAATCATAAAAATTTTGCACCAGGGGCTAGTCGATCATATCTATCCTTCTACGAACCCGAACGAACGTCGAGACCCGCGAACTTACGATCTCATCGGTGAACTTAGGCAGGCCCGGGAAAATTTGGACAAGCTCTTTGCTGTTGGTGAAGAACAGTGGCTTGATTGGCTGCAAGACGAGAGTCTTCTGGCTCAAACTGCGGAGGAACGGGTGGCAGTGGTTGACAAGTGCCGCCGTGCAGTCACCGAAGAATACGGCAGTCCACGATTGTGGGTGACTTATGGAGACTGGGTATTACACTGCCACAAATGGGCGCTTGACCCTCCTCTCGAAGCGGAAGGCGAGGCTGCCGAGACCGAACGCTTGGTGGGCCGAGAAGTTTTCGACTGGAAGCTCGTGCTCGATACCTGGACTGAAGGCATCGAACGGACTAAGCACGACATGAGCCGTAGTCATGAAGTGTGGGACAAGTACATGACTATACGCTTCGGTGAGACGGGCGAGAAGTTGTCGTCTACTGATGCCGCTACCGTTCTCGAACTTTACCAAAAGCGCCTACTCGTTCCACATGCGGAGTGGCAGCAGACTTTCCAGGCCTTCTCAACCTTCGTATCAGCCAACCTACCCGCCGATGAATATGAAAGCACGATGGCTTCGACGCTGAAAGAATCCGCCAGTACAAAAAAGCTGTGGCAGGACCGCGATGCTTTCGAGACGGCGTTGCAGGAGACCCAAAAGACAGGAGATCGAACCGCGGAATACCAAACGTTTTCCAGCTATATCGAGTGGGAACGTGCGGAGAGAGACAAGCCTCGAGCGGGAAAACAAAAAGGGAGACGCGGCACACATGCGGTCCAGAACCCTCATTTCGACATGATTGAAGCCCTTTACCAGCGGGCAGAGCTCCGGTTTCCTTCCGTGCTGGCAATCTGGGAAGAGCATATTGACTACATGTTGGAGCAGTTGATAAACGACTTGCTGGATCTCCTTGCGAGGGCAACCAAGCATTGCCCCTGGTCCGGTTCGCTATGGAAGCAATATTTATTGACTTCGGAAATTGCAGAAGAATCTTTTGACGAGACCGAGAAGATTAAACACAAAGCTACGAGCACTGGGCTGCTGGACGCTGCAGGTATTGAAGAGGCTTTGGTTGTGTACGATGCATGGTGCGGGTATCTCTTGCGCCAAAGTAAACGACCCGATGCCGTCGAAGAAGATGCTGATGTGGCGGAAATGGGCATCAGATCCTCCATTGAAGCGGTCCATAGCCTGGCCTCGAAGCTAGGATTGGGCCCGGACTTCGATCCTTCTTTCAGGCTGCAACGGAAATACGTGGAGTATCTCAAATCTCAGCAACGACTAGACAATGCTCGAGCACAATTCGATGATGCGGTGCATGACTACGGCAAGCATTACAAATTCTGGCTACGATTTTACGAGTTCGAACTTCAAAAATCCGTTCACATGGCTTTCGTCCAACACACTGGTGCGGATAGGTCAGCTTCTCTTTCTTCGGCTCCTTTCGCCGCCGCAATATTGAAGCAGGGTCTTCAACAGCCGGATCTGGACTATCCAGAACCGCTCATGGAGGTTCTTTTGAACCACTGTGAGGACTATGAGGATGCCGAGGAACTGCAGAGCGCTCTTGCGGTCGTGCGTAAAGTTCAGAAGAATGTCACTGCAAAGAGACATGCAGAAGCCCTTCAAGCGAATGAGATCGCAGCTCAAGCGCAGAAAGCAGAGGACGACTTGAACCAGCGAACAGAAGAAGTCGCAAATGGTCTCCACATTGGAAAACGCAAACGAGACGACGAGTCCGAAGTCCAGGACACTCAAAAGCGGCAGAAGGCTGACGATGTGGCCAAAGAATCTGTCGAGTCGCAGGAAACGGCAGAGGAACAATTGAAGCGCGACCGCGAGCACGCGAGCATCCTTGTCCAAAATCTTCCGTCCAACGTGGCTGAGACACGAATCAGACAATATTTCAGCAACTGTGGGATCTTGAAGAACCTGAAACTTCTTCCTGACGAGAACAGTGCTGTGGTAGAGTTTGAGGACGCTGATGCCGCAACCTACGCGCTTTCCAGGGACGGAAGAGAGTTTGAGGGCTCACTGATTTCCGTGGTGCTCAACACTGGTTCGACGCTGTATATCACCAATTATCCTGCTGCTGTGGACGAGACTTGGATCCGCAACCTGCTGCGTCCTTATGGCGAGATTATCAACATCCGCTTCCCGTCTCTTCAGCGGAATAAGAGACGCAGATTCTGTTATGTCGAGTTCAAGTTACCGAGAGAGGCACAAGCTGCCACAGAATTAGATGGTAGAGAGATTGAGGGGCTGAACATTGTCGTCAAAATTTCGAATCCAGCTGCGCGACAACCGAGGGCCGAAAAGAAGAGCGATGGAAGAACCATTTTCGTCGGCCAGCTACCGTTCAAGGCCACCACTGAGGATGTTCAGAAAGTATTTTCGAAGTTTGGGGATTTGGAGAATGTTCGTCTCCCACAAGATCCGAAGAATAGCTCTCGGAATAAGGGGGTCGCATTTTTGACTTTCGCTCGTCAAGAGGAGGCGGAAGCTGCCCTAGCCATGGATGGGCAAGATCTCATGCAGCGAAAAATCACCGTTCGTGCAGATGCCGATGGCAGCTCTCGCGCCAACAGAGGCAGCAACAAGCGTTCCAAGTCACCCTCGACGCAGCCCGATGGAGCCTCCGATGCAAGAGCTCCGTCGAAGCCACCACTCGACCTTTCATCCATCGAGGAGAGACGCCAGCGAACGGTCGCCATATGCAATGTGCCCGACACGGTGAATGATAGCAGAATCAAAGCTGTTGCGGAGAAGACTGGTCCTGTGCGCAAAGTGCTACTCAAAACGAACCATCAGGGTGCTCTGATCGAATTCGAAAACATTCCCGACGCAGGGCGGGCTATGATTGAACTTGATGGCTACGAGATCTCGCCAGGTCGGCACATCAAAGTCACTACGGAAAAGGAACTGTTCCTGCAACAGCCGGAGCGGAAGCACGACGGCTTTGCGAAACCCCCTGCTTCGAGCCGACCGGCAGCTCCATCCGCCAATGGTCCGATCAAACGGCCATTGCAACCTAATGCGCGGGGTCGAGGACATCTCGGGCAGCGGTCTTCAGTATTGCATTTGGCTGGAAGAAAAGGGTCTGCTGCAGAGGAGAAAGAAGGCGAAGGAAAGAAGACGAATGACGATTTCCGGAACTTGATCAACAAGAGCTGATGCATGGCTTAAGGCGAGTCCAGGCGGCTGGATGAAGGCAGGTTCCATATGGTCGTGTTGCGAGGGTGTCGTACAAAAGACACGGCTTACCTTTCGGACCTAACCCATGTTTTATTGTACAATAGACAAACAAGTACCAGTCTTCAGGTAGCGATTCCCTTGATGGGCTGGTGGACGAGTTTTTACCGTGATAGCGCTATACGAAGTAATCATTCTATCCTATCAGAAGAGTCCATTTCTCCCATGAGCGACAATGGCTAGACGTGACCACTTTCGACAGCCCTCAGAGCTCGACTCTGTCTGTCGTCTCGATCTTCTCCGGGTACACGAGACCGTTCTGCCTTCGAACCTCGTCCATGAGCTCCATGATGACCAAAGATTCATCCAAGCTTTCGAACTTGCCTTCTTTTCTACCTTCCACCAAGGCCAGAGCAGCCTCATCTGCCTCCCAGAACATGCCGTGCCCTTCTCCCTCTTGATTGACACTGCCGCCAAACCCATTGTACCATCCGCTCCCCTTGCCTGGGCCAGGTTGAGGCCAGTTCTTGTCTTCGATTGTGCCGTCCTTGAGGATGAGCCTGGTGCGAGTAGGTCGATAGATTGGAGGCCAGACTTGCATTTCACCAAGTGTGCCTTGAATGCGGACGGCAGGCCCACAGGTGCCGGCCCCGTCAACGTCATTTCCCACGCGGAAACTAGTTGTGGCTGTAGCATGCATGTCACCGCCGGCGGCGGCGTCCCGGGGGAAGGTCAAAAGCATGGTTGTCATTTCATCCACCCCAGTCTCAGGGTATCTCTGCATGGTCGAAACAACACGAGGAGGTTTGCGGTGTTGAGGAGACTGTGTGGTATAGAGTGTCTGGAACACCCAGGTCAGGCTGTAGATGCCCATGTCAAGAAGAGCACCCCCGGCCAGATCAGGAGCGACCATTCTGCTTTTACCGCCCGGCCACGCCTTTTCGGGCTCTGCAGCCAGGGAGTTATCCGAGTAGACTCTGGTCACGGTTCCAAGTCTTCCGGACGTGATGGCATCCCGGACGTAGATCGAGATCGGGAAATAGCGTGTCCAGACGGCCTCCATAAGGAAGAGGTTCTTCTCGCGGGCCGTTTCAATAAGCTTCTTCGCCTGGGCTGCATTCACCGTGAAGGCCTTCTCGCATAGCACGTTCTTCCCGGCGTCGAGACAGAGCATGACATTTTGGTAATGGTGGGAGTGAGGGGTGGCAACGTAGACAATATCGACATCTTTGTTCTGCACGAGTTCTTTGTAGGAGCCGTAAGCCACAGCCGATGAAGGAGCGTTGACTGATTTCAAGAATTCCTGGGCTCGAGAGGCGCTCGACGAGCTTGCCGCTGCAACAACGGTGTGCTTGATTTCATGAACACCTCGCGTGGCGGGGTCCACAAGAAGGTCTTTGGTAAAAGTTTGGGCGATACCGCCCGTCGCTGCAAGAAGTTAGTGTCCGTGACTGACGGCGTGGAGAGGTAGAACATACCCAAGATTCCCCATCGAACAACTTTGGGTGCCATTTTGGAATGATCTCAAGCAATACAATGACTGCCAATGCAAACTTGGAGAGCGGGAAAGATGTTGAGAAGATATTGTGCGAGTTGGATGATTCCACCGCTTATATAAAGCAATGATGTAATTAGTACCTGACAATGCTCGGAGGAATGATCCAGGTATTCAGCGACTTGTCGGTGGAGATGCTGGTCCAGGAGACAAAGCCTTTACCTCTGTACTCGGTATTTGACGGAATTGCATATTCGCGGATATTTTCCCTTGAACGATAACGTTGCCGCGTGTGCGTCGGATAACGTCAGAAAGCGGCAAGGTGTGGGTGGGGGCCGGTAGAGTCGCCGGCGATCCCCTGAGTCAGCGGAAGGTATCGGCAATCATCCGTCACTGATCCTCTCAAACACTCTCCTCTTTTGCTTTCCGTGATTGGTCGGTCTGAACAGGACAAGTTTGTCGCAGGTTGATGCTCTTTCTCAACCTGCAACTCCAGGATTCAAAAGTTCCAGCATTCCTCTGGTCATTCCCGCCTGGTGTGCTCGGCCTACTTCCTCTTGAACCCTTTCGCGAAGACGTTGGACCTGTCGAGCCAGGCTTTCACTTTCTGCCAGATGCTTCGAGTAAAGGTCCGTGATGTTCATCGACAATTCCACACATAGTGGAACAAAACTCGAGTTTGTGATATTTCTCCACGCCCAGTTCATGATTGGCTGAAGTTCCGACTCGGTTCGGTCTTCGAGCGCGGCCCGTAAGGCAGATCTGTATCGGAGCGTGTTGAGGAGGGTCACCATTGTCATCTTGTCCATGTTTTTGATGGCATCATCCAATGCTTCCCGGTATCTGCCTTTGTGCAATTCCTTTTCCCATGTCGCCAACTTTTTGGGTTTCCGCCTCTCATTGCCCTCGACGATTATGTCGGCATCTTCGCCAGCGTAATCCCGGCCTCTCAGTCGGTTTTCAAGGCCTCTGGGGCGTTTCTTGGCCTGCTTCCTGTCGTATTCTTCAATCTTGCCCGCGATCAAGGCCTCCATTTGCTTTTGTCTCTCCCGTTCTTTGACCTTCTGCTCGCCGGACAAACGTGTTCTGATACTCAGCTGCCCTGTAGCCATGCCTACGACGACATGCTTGTCTTCCCTGGGACTACCTGCAGCAATAATGGACAGGGCCAGAATTGGCGCAGGATACTTGGAACCGGCCACCACATTCCAGCCTGACGTCTCGAAGACTTTCATATGCCCATCCAACGCACCGCTGACCACTCTTGACCCATTCGATGCCAAACTCAAGGACGTGACCGTTTTCTGGTGGTTCTTGATCATGTGAAGAGGCTTTCCGGCGACAATATCCAGAACGGCAATCTGATTGTCGGCAGAAGCAAGGATGGCTGTTCCTGAAGGCATGCACAGAACATCTTCGACTGATGCAATATGTTTGAACGTCATGACTACGCCTACGGGAGTCCGTGGATCCCATAGTCGGACAGTCTGATCATAACTGCCCGATACCAGTAGATTGCTCGCTTGTCCCGGTATGAAAGACCCAGTGCGCACATAATCCAAGTGGCCACGGAATGTCTCGACACTGGTTTCACTCGGTAGATCCCAGAGTCTCACTGTTCTATCATCTCCGCAGCTTAGGAGAGATGTACTCTCCTTCGGACTCCACTTCACACAACGCACTGCCTGTTTTTGCTCTTTCCATGTTTTCAGAATGGCTCTTGAATTGACATCGAACACTTGGATAGCGCCGCTCTCATCACCGACTGCAAGGACACGTCCATCATATCGTGCTTCCGCGCCGTATGCGGTATCGTCGAAACGTGTGATGGTTTTCTGTAGTTTGCGTGTCTTCACAGAGTAAAGCTGTACACGAGCGCCAGTCGTCACCACGAAGAAATCCGGTGATCGTGAGGTTGAGGAGGTCAGTAAGGCTGATTCTGGGTGGGAGATGTGGGTTATGGCGTGGTTCGTTGGGGAGGGAATGTTCAACGGCGACTTGAAGGATCTCCAGTATGTCTGCTCTGGCGTTAAGGAGGAAGGTCGAGCAGGGAGCTTCGTCTGAGCGATAGGCTGGACTTCAGCAGCCATGGTGAGGGTTCGACTCTTTCAAAAGAACACTTGAGTCTGTTTCGTGGCAGAGAATTCGTTTACTGTCGCGGAACTTGAGAGTTGAGACTCAGGACGCCATTAATTTTTCTTGTCATCTTATCTTATCGGCAGCAGCTGGATCTCCGCAACCACCATTTAAGGGACTTCATACTCCGCACTACAGAATACCCGCGAGGCGCTATCATCCAGCCTCGTCATTCGACTACTCCTTGTTGACTTGATTCTTCTAGCACTTCATGCAGGCCGATATACGACATTCTAGCTTGCTGAACCATGGGGGCACCCACAAGGGACCTTCAGTCGCATCATCCCTAATTGTTGATTCGTGAATACCCTGATGGCATCAACATCTTATGCCACAGTCCGCAAAGAACTTCGATGTGTTTCCTGACCCCTCGGCGATGACAGTCGCTGATCATGGTGTTCAAGTCGGCATCCTGCCATGGTGCGACTGGGAAGACTGAAGAACATGGATATTCCCACTGCTGGGGAGTTCAGCATCCGCCCAGACCATCTCTTTCTTGCAAACTATCTCGAACGGTTTCTTGCTCCGCTCCAAAGCCCTCCTCCCGGGTCCCGAAGCTTTCTATCCGCTGAGACAGGTTTTCGAGACACAGGGTGACCGACTGGGAGGACTCTTGGGAGCTCGGAATGATGCCCCATGTCATCATGTCATCCTTTTGGCGGAACATGCGGGCATCAGGATGGAAAGTGGCCTTCCAAGCATCCGTCATGTTGATCACAACAATGCTTTCAATCGGTAAGTGCTTCATTCGCCATTACTGACCAACGGTGCTTCGAGATATTAGCCCAGGACAGTTGCCCAGACAGTCCCGACCCTATCCAGGTATTCTGAAATGCGCGCCCACATGAAGACAGTGAACATGGTTGAGATGGATTGTGAATGGACGGCGAGTCTTGGAAGTGCTCCAGAACTGTGTACGGGATGCCATCTTGGGCGCTGGGAGTCATACATGCCCAAACGGAAGAGTTCCAGATCAAAATCCTTCACTTGGATTGACTTGAAGTTGATTGAAAGCAGGGCGGGTGCCCGATACGGAGGCTCCTGATACTTGCCGCACTTTGGTTTGTGCTGGAAATGGCGTATCCACGGTGAGGTGAAGCTCAGTGAAGGCTGAGTGTCATGAACATAAAACTTATGACATGAAGAAACGTAGCTTCGCCGTTTGCCCACTGCCAGTGAACATAATAACTGCACAGGTGGCACGTCTTCCCTTCAGATTTGCCGAGTATCATCATCGATCCCGAACGCCGAAGATACAAGCTTCGATCACAACGCTGCGAGTTCCTTGAGCGACGGCAATCACGAGGAACCGAATCGGGGCCGCAATTTCAATATGCACGCGCCTTTGCGACTTCTCAGGTAAGTGCCTTCCTCGAGCACTCGTTCTCTCTGCTGCGTGCCTGCCTGACTGCGCTCGAGTTGGCAGCCTGCGTTCCATCCACACCGTCTTCTTCATCTCCTCTTCTCTTCTCTCTGCTTCCCACTGCATCTCAACCTTCAGCACCGTCAGCATCAGGAACAAACCGTCTCTAACATTTTCATTCTTTTGTTCAAGTCTCCTGCTGTTGCATCTTCTTCTCGTTACTGCCACCATGGGCCTGTCCAACATTCTTCGTGTCCCTGTTCACCGCAATGCCAATTACAAGGCGGATGGCACCAAGTCTCTCGTCTACCTCTTTCACAAATATGGCATCGGTCCCACCAAGGCCGGACGATTCCATCGCAACCATGAACACGTCTTGATGAAACGACAAATTGATGGCTCTTCTGCACAAGTGTACGTTGCAGACTCACCCAACGGCCTTACTTGACTAATCCGATATAGCACGACGGACGACCAGCAAAATGATGCCTTCTACACCTGCCCTGTTCAATTTGGAACTCCGGCACAGACTCTTGACCTCGTGGGTGAAGCCGGCCACCCTTTTCTACAATCCAGCTAATCAGCGATACAGGACCTTGACTCTGGTTCGGCTGACTTATGGGTACGTTATCCTAACCTCATCTGGCGGGCAGGGACTCACCCCTCTTAGGTTTGGTCCACTCACCTTCCCTCCAAAACCGTCGAAGCTGCAATGGCCTCCGGAGCTGCTGTCTTCGACCCCGACAACTCATCCACCTTCAAAGGCATGCCTGGAAGCACGTGGCAAATCCGTTATGGAGACAACTCTGCAGCCTCGGGAACAGTGGGAACCGACAATGTCAAGATCGGAAATATCACCATTGAAGGCCAGGCTGTGGAACTTGCGAGCAGGATCTCGAGCCAGCTTCAGAATCAAACTGAGTCCCGCGGTCTCTTCGGATTGGCTTTCGGCAAGATCAACACCGTCCGCCCAAAGGCCGTCCACACTCCTCTCGAAAACATGATTCTCCAACAAGACATTCCTGCCAGTCAAGAGCTCTTTACCTGCTATTTGGGATCATACAAGGACAAGAATGACCCAGACCATGGCCAATCGTTCTATACCTTCGGCGGCATTGATGAAGGCGTGGTCCAGTCGTCTGGCCAACCGATCTCGTATACCCCTATTGACAACAGTGAAGGGTTCTGGATGTTTAGCTCACCCTCTGTGGTGATCAACGGCGTAGCCATTGAGCTGCCAAACAATCAGGCCATTGCAGACACCGGAACCACTTTGATGCTGGTCACGGATCAGATCTGCGACCAGATCTACGGTGCCATTGACGGTGCAGAGTACAGTGAAGACGCGATGGGTTGGGTGTTTCCTGCTGATACTCCTGCCGAGAACCTTCCCACTGTGTCGTTCGCCGTCGGCAGCAAACAGATTGTGATTGAGAAGGAGCACTTGTCTTTTGCGGCGTACAACAGTACCATGGTCTTTGGAGGAATCCAATCTCAGGGCAACTTGAACTTCAACATCTTCGGCGACGTCTTTCTCCAGGGTGTCTATGCTGTGAGTTCCTCCCTTCTGGCAGACGATCCATAAGATAACATCCGATAGGTCTTTGATGCTGGAAACAAGCAGTTCGGTGTCGTCCAACGTGCCGATCCTACTCCTGATGGTCCTCAAGCATGATCACGGCTTTACAGTGACGGGGTGAATGATGGCTGCGGAGGGTGATCGTGTAGGTCAGCACGGAAGTATCGATATCCAGAATCCCCAAGTCAATGGTAGCAAGCATTAGGTAGAAACATCATAGACCTCTCCCTATCTGTGCTCCTAGCAACAATCCGTCCGTGTCAGAGAAAGGGTGTTTGTTCCTTTTAGTCCTGCCTGCGCAGGCAATTTGTATAGGAGGTGTTGTAACTCACCCTGACCTCACCGACAATTCTCTCCCGCGCATGTCACAACAACGCTTTGCTGGCACCTTTGTCTCCGTCCATCGCATCATTCTGCTGGGATCACACACAATGAGGAGGGTTGGATTATTGTTGGGTCAAGCCCTGCTCCTTGTCGTCCTTTGCTCGGTTCTCGTTTTGGAACGGTCGATCTATCAATCCAGAGTCACAAAATCGAACAACTGCTTGCCCGCGGCCGTTGACAATACGCCCGCTCTGAAAGCCCCAAATCCATCTTCCACGAATACCAGGGCCTCCTTTCCTAGCCGATTACCAACAGCGGAGCCTCCTGGAGACTTCATCCCATTCACATCAAAATGGCAGCCAGCGTCAGGGACGAACATCCATCCGTTGGTTCCAACACCGGCCGTTACCACTGTCACCGCCTCACCCACAGCAGAGATCGATTGCCCCAACAAGCGCGACAGCCCAGACATGGTTGAAGACACAAGCAAATACCTTCGCGCGATCATGAACTCCAGTACGGAAACAGGCCTTTCACGGTTGGAATGTGGTCCCCTGAAGAGAATCCGGTATGCTGGTCTTCATCACGTTCCGGCATCTACAAACAAACCCCGATACTTCTTCGCACTGGACCTTTATCAATCAACCCAGATCATAACACAGCTTTTCGGCTCGATCGTTGAAGTTATCCGTTTTCTAGGTCCCGAACTTTGTGCCGTTTCGGTGGTGGAAGGAAGATCAACAGACGGAACATTCGAGGTTTTGAAGAGTTTGGCTCATGAATTGGGAAGTCTTGGTGTGAGGTATCATCTGTCTTGCAACGAACTCGATCCGAAAGGGCAAGGGATGGACCGCATTGTGACCCTGGCGCAGCTCCGCAACCAAGCTCTTTGGCCTCTGACGAAGAATCCGGGGCAGTATGATCCTTCGACCACAGTCATCATTCTGAACGACATTGCCCTCTGCGCAGAAGATATCTTGGAACTGATTCAGCAACGTGTGCTGCTCAAGGCAGACATGACCTGTGGTATGGATTGGAACGATAACGGCAACCCCTTCTACGATGTCTGGATTGGCAGGCAGTTGAACGGCGATTCATTCTTCGAGATTCCTCAGAGTGGGTCTTGGGAGTTTGCCCACAACCTGTTCTGGAACCATGAGGATAGTCGGAGACGATACGCATCTGGAAGCCCAGTACAGGTATTCTCATGTTGGAATGGCGCAGTTACATTCATTGCAGAGCCATTTCTGGAAGGCAAAATCACCTTCAGGTCGAACAATGAAGGCGAGTGTTACCTTGGAGAACCAGTGCACCTAGCCAAGGATCTTTGGAAAGCCGGCCACGGCAGGATCGCGATACTTCCAAGCGTCAACGTTGGATACAGCGTCAACGCGTCAGCCAAAGCGAAAGAGATGCATGGTACAGTGTCGGCATGGGCAGAGAAAGGGGACCCTCCAGACAGCCACATTACATGGCAAGATGATCCACCTGGCCAAATCAAATGTATGGTGTTTCGGGACCATCAGTCTTGGGAGCCTTGGGACCAGAGCCTGTGACACTCAGAACAGTATGAGGTGGTGGGGCCATGATCGCTTCTCGACGACATCAACGTTGAGTGTCTTCAGCTGTGATGAAGACTAAGTTCGTGATCTATGGAGTGATTCAAGTTGTGCTTGAGGGTGATGCAAGGACGTCGCGAGGTTCTCAGCAAATAAAATCCCAACAGGCGATTGGTTCTCACAGTTCGCTATAATTCATGCAACACGTGATTCACTTTCCTCACTACATCGTCTGGCCCAAAGCACAAAAAAGTCGACAACCTTGAACAACCCCTTGAATCGAACCCATGACTTTGTCAACAATTTGTCCACGCCAAAGGCCAAAAAAGCAAGTGCTCTGGCGAGCAGCTGTAATATGTCCAAAGATTGATAAATGGAGTGATTTGGGGGTAGCCACGGCCATCTCTGGTAAAAGGCAAGAAATGGATTCTGCAATAGCTCCACCCACTCCAACTCGATTTTCTGCAACAATAAACTTATATACCTTCATTTTCCGATCACTCACGTGACTGATTGACCCCGACAACGAATCCTCTCTCCCCCGCATCTCGGACGCGGGCTTAGGAAAGCATCGAACTCTGGTCCAGATTCGTGGTTACTACTCAGTACAAAGACAGCAGGAAGAACAACAACCACGATGGCGGCCTGTATCTTCTGCAAAATTGTGAAAGGTCTCGTCCGACATCTCTTGTCTTCCCCTTCTGCTCTGTTCCGCGCTGCTCAAGAACTGACACTGTGACACCGGTAGGAGATATACCCTGTTTCAAGCTATTCGAGTCCGACAAGATCCTAGCCTTCCTCGACATCCAGCCTTTGAGCAAAGGCCACGCGGTAAGCTTGACCGCCTTCAGCCTTCACCAGACTGGCAACCTGTTCGGCTGACAACACTGCTTCCGTACCAGCTTGTCATCCCTAAGCACCACGGCGAGAAGCTCGTCGACATCCCCGACGATGTACTGGCCGAGATCCTACCGGTTGTCAAGAAACTAGCGACGGCCAGTGGAGCCGAGAACTACAATGTCCTTCAGAACAACGGACGACTCGCGCATCAAGAGGTCGGCCACGTCCATTTCCACATGATCCCCAAACCAAACGAGACCGAGGGTCTCGAGATCGGGTGGCCGGCGGGCCCAACCGACATGGAGGCACTGAAAAAGCTGCACGCCGACCTGAAGGCGAAGATGTAGGTGGTTGTTGTGTTGACACACCTTCCTGTGCCCAAGGAAAGGATAGAGGCGGGAAAATTACATACTTTCAATGATCCGAGGCCGGATGCAGACCCCGTGAACCCGTCTCATGAGGTTTCGCCCAGTTGTATGCTTTCGCTCGCTATGCGGCATCGATCGTCTCGGATATGCAGATTGTCACGAAAGTGCGCTCGCCCGTGTAGGTCTGAATGGTTCTCTACATCGACAAGGACAGAGCCAGGATCAAGATATGCTGCGCCGACAACTTTCACGTGCAGTTTACAGCCGAAAAGTTCGCCGCAGTCTACGGCATTGGACTATGTGATCGACCCAGTGTCGTGCTTCAATCTCTCTGCTTGTGTCGTCGCGACTGACCAAGTCTTGTGACGAACCTCTGACCACGTGCACTTTATAATTCATCCTCCAAAGGGAGCTGTATGTGGATTTTCGAATGATAAAAATGACATAAGCACAGTGTATCAACTGTTCACATGCATTTTTCCCTTCGCTAGCACGATGCAGAGCATGCACACTGGGCTCTAGCCCGGTCAGTATTCGAAACACCCACGCTACAAAAAAGCGAATAGCAACTTCACAAGTAGTAAAGCTGTGCTCAACAGACCAAGTACATCGGCCTGACTGACATCCCCTTCGTCAACATTGCTTTTCGTAGTATCAAGGTCGTAACAACCATCCCAAGTCTAGCTTAAGCGGCTCCGTTCTCAGTCCACGTCATCCGCACTCGCATCGTCGGGTATATCGGACGGTGGAAGACTGGCATTTCCTCCCTTACCCGGCGGAGGTGGATAGAAGTTGACCTGTCCATCTGGCGAGATCATTCCTATCCGATCATAGAACGTCCGGGCCCGAATGTGCTTGTCCAACTTCCAGTAATTGTCGTACAGCTTTCCTGCGAGGGCATTCCTTGCCGCCTTGATCTGATCGGCTTCAGGCCCGGTACCTTTGGCGATCCATTCAAATGTCTTGTGCTGATAATGGCGAACGTCGACGTGTCTTTGTGCTTCGAGGGCGGTTCGTGCTTCGTGATCTTTCATGGGATCATTTTCGCCTGCACGTGGTTCGACATAGGTATATTCCCAGTCGTCATTGCCATCCAATTCTTTGACGATGTGTGACCTATCAATGAACTTCTCCAGGTCATCCACATTGGACGTGAAATGGACCTTTCCAGCCACTACAGGGTCGAGCCAACCGCGAATGATTTTCCATATCCCTTGAAAGATCCAAGGCGCTTTGTGGACGAGTACCGCTCCCAGTGACTCTGGATAGTTGGCCTCGAACACCTTGATCATAAACTTGACTGGGCTGTAATCCATGTTGGCCATGGTGAAATTGGTCATGTCGAATATGATACACTGAGACACGCATTAGCCAGGATCGTCTTGCCATGGTTGGTGGCACTCACAGCTGTCTCCACGGGAGGTTTTAATGTCAATCTCGCCGTTTCAATCACGTAAACAGTATACCGTTCTAGACTTCGTTCACTCTGTTCTCCTCCGCGATGTAGTCTTACCCGGACATGGCACAGCGGTCGCCCTTCTTTGTCAGTGCCGTGCAGAAAGCTTTTCCCTAGCCGCAACTGTGTGAGGAAATCTTCGCCCTCTTTTCTAACCGCAGGGTCGTTGGATTTGCTGTCTTCCAGAGCGCCTCCCTCTCCCCGATAGATGATATCATCGTCGACATGTTGCTCGTGACTCCGCCATTTCATTGTGGAGACTAACATTACCAATGCCTTGTCAACGTCCCATTTGCGCGCTCTGAGGAAACGTAACAGCAGACTGTCCGGGTGATCTGCTTTGACCATGCTCCAAAAGGCCGCGCGCAGAGATTCGGGGTCCTGCGTTGCGAGTATTTGATGGAAGTCCTTCACTTGGCCATACTTGTCGTCGGCATCCGCATGCTGACTAGGATCCTTCGTGGGCGTGACAGTGCCATTGCTCGAGTCCTTGTCGTGTCTTTTGAATACCCCAAACCGCTTCTTGCCCTTCTTCTTATCTTTAGAGTCCACCTCAGATACCGACTGTGCGTCTTCGGTCTGTGGTGTTTCGGTGCCGCTCGTGTCGTGGGGGTCTTTCACTCCAAAGACATTGAACGTGGCTGCCCACAATTCGCGTAATTTCACCTCTTGTTCAGGCGTCAAATTGCCCAAATGGCCCGGGGGGATAGGCATATCGGTGTAGAAAGGATCACGGGTAGGGTCGCGAGGTCGGTCGAGAGTGCGATGGCCCCAGAGAGAGTCAGAAGCCTCTGGCAGCGGGGCTTGCTTGCGCGTGTAATACTCAATGACGATGGCGCCGCCACATACAGCTGCGAATAGCAAGATATATGGTGAAGATGATGCTTCAAGAGAGCGCAGGCGCGGTAGAGGACTGCGTCGAATTTGCCTCAGTCGCGAAGACTGGGGCCGAGAGGAGAAACGCGAGCTGGGATGAAGCTGGGGACACTGCGGAGATTCAGCTCTGTGCACTCCCTGTGTCCTAGAGGTGAAGACTGGTCGAGCAGAGAGACGCTGGCAGGTATAGCGTCGCATGTATAGGACGGGCAAAGGGACTGAGGCGCCTGGTGGATTGAAGTATTACAGAGTACTTTTATTAGTGCAGGTGCTTTGCAGTGGGTGTGAAATTCAAGGGTACGAAATCAAGTCGCTGCGGAGCCGAAGGAGCCGTAGATTTGACTCAGCAACGCAAACAACTTGGACTTGGAGTCAGCTTGTAAGATGCTCGGAGAGGGTCAAAGCCGAGTACAAGGGGTACAAGGGTACAAGGGAGCCTAATAATGTCATCGTCATTGTCCAGATCATTACACAATTGCGGCCTTTCTTATGAGCCATCCTCCGGTGGCAGAGGCATTTCGACTATGCCGTGTCATACTAGCTTCGAACCAATGATTGATATTGGGCAATCACCACTACCAGGTTTCTCAATTGGAATGATGAAAATATCCTGGGTCTGACTTCCGGGTCCCTTGCTGCACCAGCAAGTCTCGCGAGTAGACGATGATACAGCACACCAAACCGCAGTTGACCTCCACTGCCTCAACATTCCGTCCATGCTCGTCTCGGCACCGTGTGCTTGATAAACACAACTCAACGTGACTGTAAAGACGAGCATGGTTGTACTAGGAAAAATCAAGACAAGGCTGTGCAATAAGGGGTTCCGTACTGGTAGCACTTCACCCCTGGCGTGGTTAGTGACGTCGTGATGCTATATTGTGACATCGGTTCTCGATAGATTCGGCATGCGGTTCATGTACAAAGGCATCCTCACTTTTCCCAAGATCATACTAGAGTCTGCGCCTGATGCATGAATCCCCCTTCCAATCCGTCCGTTGCAGGTTCGAGGGGTATCGCATCATGGAGACTCTTTGCCACAGCAGGAACCAGAGAAACAGGTGGATATGCAAAACTCCTGCCCGTAGGCCGTTTCCATTCCTCGAAGCGTATTGCATAACTCATAATCGCGTGCAACTCTTGTCACCTTCAAACACCACGGAACTAAGTCAAATCAGCACTGCACACCACAAATAGCTGGAAGCGTCCACAAACTTACCAGCCTCACGATCAAGAACCAAACCGCGCCGATGAATCTGAAGAGAGATAAACCGGCCACTGACCATAGAATAACAGCCAAGTAGATTGTCGAGTTCTGCTGCTCGGTGTCATGGACGTTGATCTTATCAAATCCTGCAATGTTCAAGACTGCAGCAACCAAGATGAAATTTGTAATCATCCATGCTGTGACAACATTGCTTCGAAATGACTTGTAATAGTCCTCCTGCCTCTCAGCTGGGTTGACTATTTTAACTTCTTTGGCCGGTTTCGTGGCAAACTTGGTCAGCTCAGCATCGTATTGAGCATTCAGATCCCCGTCGTCCTGAGGTATCAGCACATCCACCTTTCCACCAGGTTTGACATTGGCACTGGGGAGCTTCTCGGCCTTGTCATCTCCTTTTGTACCCCAGGTGATATCGTGCGTGTTGCAGAATGCATAGATATTCAGCACGTTGATGTAAGTCGGCGTGAGGACTATGTATTGGAGGAAGCAAGTGAACATATGCCATGGATCGAAGAACAAGAAGCTCGCCACGAACCAGAGAACATATGTGCTTGCGAGGGAGACAATGAGGCCGAAAAAGGTGCTGTTGTTGAAAATGGTCGAGAAGCTGAAGTCCTTTTCGTTGATCTCGGCCTGGATCGATTTGACGGTCAAGAAAACAGAGGCAAAGGTCAACCAGACCATGAGCACCGACCAGAAAATCACCATCATCAAGTATGATTTGGGATTTCCCTGAGGCCGATTGCCCATGGAGAGGATGAAGCAATACAGGAGCGTCGCGAGGTAGACGAATTCGAAGACAACCCCCAACACTGTGCCTACCGTGCCCAGCGTCTCTTTCGTCCCCAGCGAGGATGTCAAGAGTCTGAAAACCAGGAAGAAATTGCCGATGGCAAACCAAGCAAAGAGCATATTGATGGTCTGGTAGCTGAACTCGACCAGAAACATGAGCTTGCGGAAAAAACTATGATCACTTCGCCCGAGTTGGTATACATGGGCAACGGCGTAGACGGCCGCAAAGAATGAACCATTCAGCCAGCGTCGTCTTTGCAGCACGAATTCCGGGATCTTGTCAGGGACGTCAGTCTCCCCAGTGGCCGATTTGACGTACTGCAGAATCCAGCGGCAATTCCGTTTGCTGACCAGCTCGAAACAGAGAATCCGGTCTTCGGCGAGATACATGTTGGCGGTAAAGACGCCTGCATCAGCGTGCATGGTTTCCCCTTTGAAGTACTTTTCCAGAGGACCCTCGCCATTCTTGTCGTTTTGCAAAGCGACGTAGCGATATGCGGAGAACGCACCAGGCAACACCGAAATGAAGCCAAAGGCCGATTCGAGTGGCTTATCCAGGATATTGGACATCTTGTATTCGAAGTTTTGAGTCGCCACAAGGGGGTTGTACAGTTTCTTGCCGTGATCCAACATGACCTTGATTTCACCACAAGCTCCACCACACATGGGTTCCAGGTCAAAAGCCTTCCACAGCTGATAGATGGAGTCCCTCCCAGGTTTGGTGCCCGCATCGATCAGGACGCATATGTTGGGATCCAACACTCGACCAAATGCTTGAAAGAACCAGCGATGGGAATTGATCTTCTTCTGATTCTTTTCCTTCAGACAGAAGAGCAGTTGCACAGGCGTGGCAGACCTAGGCTTCAGAGACACCTGAGTGCCCTTGAGTTCCAGACCAACCTGAGTTGTATACTCGTAAATATGAGCCGTAACATCCTTGCCATTCACTTGCTGTTTGGCGATCCCATCTTGATAGACGCCCAGACCAGCCAGAACGGCTCTGGTTCGCGGATTGATTTTGGCGCGGCCGTCGCTGACGATACAAACGACGATTTTCTTCCATGCCTCTTTTCCCCATGTCTTGCTGGAATTACGGTTACACATAAACTCGATGTTTTTGAAGACGCCGATCATTGTGCGGGCAAACAAGAACTCGTCCTCATTGTACATTGTCACGACAATAAACAACTCGGTCTGTCTGGGCTTTGCAAACAGTCGCTGCCGCAGTGTGAATCTCTCATCGTAGAATTCGGACGGGTCACACGTTGCTGCCGAATATCTCATATGTGTGAACTCATCTCTCTCCGGAGGTTGCGCGTGGGGAACGTTGGCCAGAAGCTTTGGCGGCACGGGGCAGTCAAGCACTAGATTTCCGTTGAACAGTTGTACCTCCTTGACCGTCTTCCATCTCCTGATCGGCCCTGGAGGTGGTGTATATTGTGGGGTCTCGTCACCGTAGTCTTCGTAGTCCACCCCTGGCAGAGTGTGCGGATCTGGACCATAGGCCGAATCCGGGTGAAGGATTGGCACGTTGTCACTCTCGGGTCGATAGCTGTCGGGATTTGTAGGATAGGGTTCCAAGGCGTAGTCCGCTTGTGGATGTGGAGAGTACGGCTGGTTGTAATAGGCGTCGTGATGTTCCTCTGGGGAAACAATGTAATCGCTTCTGCCGTATCCCACATCCCCGCCAGCAGGCAGTTGCTGCTCATACTGTTGACCGTACGCTTGGGAGTTGTTTACATTTTCCACCGAATATGTTGGCTGCATTGCTAGACGGTCGTCGGAAGCCGTGGGCATCGGTAGGTGGAGAGGTTGTCGCGCGTAGGCTTCGTCCGGTTGCATATAGGGTTGCAAGGGCCGACCTGGCGAGGGTGATCTGGAATCGTACTGAGGGTGAGCGCTAGGAGAATAGGGACCGTCCCGTTGAGGGCTGCCTGCGCAAAATTGTCAGTACACGAAATGGAGGCAGATTGAGTATTTGGATGGCCGATGTACCCAGTCGATTGTAGGCCATGGTGGGCCAGACGGCGGTAAGACTCAGTCGAGCTGGTCACAAAAGAGTGGTCTGTTCTCGACACCCAGGAATGCAGAGGTAGGGTATGTTTGAGCAAGGGGACCCGAGCCACTGGACTGTATGATCCGGGACGGCGAACAGACGATTCCTTGAATCGGCAACTTGGTGTGTGTGAGAATATGGGTGATCTCGACTGCGTGGAGTAAGTTGTTTACTTGCTGCCGAGTTGGGCGACAGCGCAATGCGATTTCTGTCGATGCTCGGGAGGCCAGCCGCGTTCAATGGGTCATGAGAGGGTGAAAGAGGGTACCAAGTCCTTGGTCGACAATGTCGTTGACTTCAAGAAGCGAACGGAGAGGATCACTGAGAAGACTGATTCAGCCCCTGGTTTACAGGTGGCAGTTTGAAGGGATCCAGCTTAGAAAGTACAGCGACGCCGCGCAGGGGAGCGCAGCGGCAGCCTTCTAAGCCTCCTTAGCCTCCTTAGCCCACTGGATGCGTCTTATTACTGAGCGTCCAGTCAGGTCGCCCCGCTGGTCCCTGGAGACGGCCAAGTGCATCGCCGCAGTAACACGTTTGCACCCGGCGCGTTAGTAGAACGACTCCCGCACACTGCTGCATGCAAGCCATTAAACATCCCTGCGCTGCGCCATTGCGTTCACACGGCATGAGGTAAGATGCCTGGTATCTAATGTTTCTATTTACGATCTTGCATTGCTTATGATTTTGCTGCTTATATATTGCAGCACTTACAGAGCTGGCTGGCTGGAGATGGATGAGGTCTCCTCGCTCGAATTGTTCTCGAGTTGTTCTTCGTGTGGCCCGATGCCGCATCTTCATATTCTCTCCAACACCTTGTCAGGGCTTTGATGTGGCGGTGCACAGTGTGTTTCATAAGGTGTTCCCCAGACTCCACCGGCCTTCAAATAGCAATAATCCCAGCGCTCATCGGGCTCCACTGGAATACTAGTACGGCCCTGTTCTTATCGAGATCTCCAAAATGTGCCGAAAGCAAATGTGTTGAAATCCAGCCCGCAAGGTCGATATACATCTCCGCTCAGATCCGAGTCTTAGGCCGCGCGCGATCTTACAGCTGATCAGACGCCAGTGGCTGTTCATCCTCGCCGTCATATTTCCAAAGCGGACGTCAGCAGCCAGGCGGGCTACGCAATCTTGTTGCGCAGCTGCGCCCACCACCCATCAGCCATGTCCAATGCATCAGACAAGGTCTCGGTCCTTTTCGTCTGCCTAGGCAACATCTGTATGCTGATACATCTCCGTTTAAGTGCTTGTAAATCAGCTGACCATGTCAAGGTCGCTCAACTATGGCGGAAGGCGTCTTCCGGTCCCTGGCCAAAGGGCATCCACGCATCCATGAGATCGATTCTGCTGGCACCGGTGCCTATCATATCCTCGATCCCCCTGATTATCGGACAATGGCTACACTCCGCAAGCATGGCATTACAGATTATGAACACGGAGCCCGACAAGTAGACACTCAAGATTTCCTTACATTCGACTACATCCTGGCCATGGATGCATACAATTTGAGAGACTTGCAGCGGCTCCGGCGCCGGGTGGAAAGCAAAGGACAGAAGCCGAAAGCCCAGGTGATGCTTTTTGGCGAATTTAGTGGGAAGGGGAAGGCCGAAGAGGTTGTTGATCCCTATTACGGTGCCGATAATGGATTCGAGGTTGTCTACGAGCAAGTCACCAGGTTCTCCAAGAACTTCCTTGACCACATCGCTTCAGGAAAATCGACTTGAGCAAAATACATCAAAGTCCGGTCTGGTACGGGAGCTACCGGTTCGGGAAGCGAGGCGTTCGGTCGAGCATAGAGTGTGACTGGTCTGCTTTTGGGGCCTGCTGTGGCGTGAATTCCTTTCTCCGAACGGGAGCTTGACGTTATGATATACGTGCAGAGAAGTTGAATCGAGAACCATAAAGGATAGTAAGTGAGAAGAGGTCTAGGATCCTCCAGCCTGAAAAGGAAGAATCCTCCTTTGTTGAAAGCTGGTCGGAGAATGAATCTAAGAGAAAAATAGATTGACGAAGTGCTTCTCCTTGATAGACTCGCAAATGGTCAAACACAAGCTTTGTGAATCTAGCTGTGCCATGGCAAGTTGCACAAAGAGCTTCTGATAATGGGTTATATGAGAGGATGACGGAACTATCGCTTCGGCGGAATCGCTGGGTTTCATCAAACACTTCAGACCCGACTGCAGCATTCGAAGCCGCCAATGGTCATCCTGTTTTAGACCAAACGCAAAGTCCTATGCCAACGCAGACAAACGTCATGCCCACCCACGTATTCCTCGAGATGAGCTTGCCCTCAGCGTACCACTCGCCAAGCACGGTGAAGAGGAAAGCTAATGAGTTGGTGATGGGGACTGTGAGAGACAGCTCTGGAGAAGCATGTTAGTAGAGAGAGGTAAGGGCCTCGATTCAAGGCGTCCGATGACAGAGAGGTACATACCAGCTTGTCCGACTAACAGGAAAAACCAAATGCTTCCAGTAAGGTTCATAATAAGCGGAACGGCATAATCGGGCCGTTTGAGGAGGCCTATGACCGTGTAGAACGCTTTTGCGATCAGTCTAGAAATCCAGGACCTATTGGGATTGGTGATTGAGGGATGTGAGGGCGCGGTGTAGTTCACGGCAGCTTTGCGGATGAAAGGAGTCGTGAACCCCCAGCAGATGCCAACCAAGAGGAAAGAGAGGATATAATTTAGGGGCGACGGTGCGTGAGAATTGACCGGTGGATCGCCTCCTGAGTCAGACATGTCGATGACCACCGACGACGATGAAGAGAGAACACGCGGATTGATTGATGTTTGTGTAGACCATTGGCGGGAGCTTGTACCTGGAGGTTGAGTGAAGGGAAGATGCCTGCTAACACGTGCTCCACCGTACAGCCTGACATTGATGAATACTCCGCAGTACATGCGCTTGACCCCAGGTGTTCCGCAGTAATAGAACCCACATGCGCAAGGCTGGCAAAAGCACTGACAACAAAAGTGAAACCACAGACCACTCAACTCAGTTTCAACCTCAGTGAACTGTCTTCGGCTAAGCTGAGGCACATTGGCATATCCTGGATGAACCAATTTCGAGTCTCATGGTAGGCAAGCAGCATCCTGGATGAGCTGCAGGATGTACAGAACACAATCCCCAGCCTCATCATTTAGGTGGCCACGACCGGCGTGGCTGGGACCACAATCTGAGCAGGCCGCTCATTCATGTCAGCCGGCCCTCGAGGGCTCTAGACCTCATTCTCTGCCTCAGCTTCGTACCTAGATAAGTTGAACTCAAATATCATAGAGTTTTTGTTTTGTTTTCTCGCCTGTACAACTCGAAGTCACCAGAAGAATATCTTCGACTTCCACCTTCCCCAAATAACTCAATGCCCACAGTTCTCACGCCGCAAGGCTGGGTCAAAGTCGCGGCTGCCCCACGAAAGAAGAAGGTGACGACTTACGATCCTGCGGAGGCTCTTAAAGGACCACTTGCCTACTTCAGCTGCCAACCGCTGCCATCAGGCAAGAAAGATTCATTCAGCAGACCCCAGTTCCCCTACGACCTGTCTGCATCACCGGAAAAACTGCAGCGGCAGGCCCACGCGAAAACCCAGGCAAAGATTGGCGGCAAGAACAGAACCATCTCTGCGCCGCAACCGGGGTTGTACGTCGACAGAGACGATGACTCTGACGACGACAGTGATCGCAAATCGCATTCAACTCAATCTTCAAGCCGAAGCACATCTCCTCCTTCGAAAATGAACCGCTCACAACGGTCGTCTAAACCAGGGCACGCCAACAGATCAGGATCACCGTCGCCCTCGCACCGATCGGCTCCTCGCCACAGACCTGTGGAGGCTGTTCCACCGCCTGTCGTCGTTTATCATACATCGCCCGCCTCGAATCCTTCTGCCCCACGGCACTCATCCAGCACTGGCTACCAAAACTACTACTATTCGACAGGAGGGATCGAGCGCCCACCGCCACCAACCAACGCGCGGAGCATGTCGTACAGTTGGTATAATGCCACAACGCCCTTGAACTTGTGATTGGTATACATTTCCGGTGTAGCGATTACAGCAGTCTATTGGGTTATGTGACTGCCTTATGCGTCAGCCGAGAGAACGGGATTACTGTAGGTTGGCAAAGACCACCGTGGGATGGGATATCGGGGTTGTCCTTTAGCTTTATTAGAAAACTTTGGATCTGTATCCCAATGTTCTCGCCCTTCCGAAACGGAGCGGTCATTCCATATATCATAGATCATCGAACGTCGCCATCCATCCTCCCACCTGTCCAAAGCGACTATTCCCAGTCGTGAATCGTGCGGCCAAGAAACTCCACAAAGGTTCCATTTCTCATCCTGCTGAGTCTGCGATTGGGCAGCTCGGAATATGATAAATTTGCACAAGATGAAGCTCTCATAAGGTGCAGATCAGTCGTCCTCCTCCACCACCACCACCCTGTCTTTGATCCTCGTTGTTGTCCGAACAGTCCTGGGCGGCGGCCTAATAAACACTTTCTCCCTTCTTGTAACGACGACCCTTGTATCCCGTTGATTGCCTCCGCCGACGAAGGTCAAGTTGGCGTTCGGACGAGACGGGTAGGGGTCGATACCGATCGGTCGCCGACGGCGTGACGACGTTGATGACTCGTCTGATTCGTAGTAATACGGTCGACGGGAGGCACGGAAGCAGAAGATGCAGAGGAGGACCAGCAAAAGGACGCCAAAGAAGACCCCGATAACGATCCCGCCCACTACGCCGGGCGCCAATCCGCTATGGTGGTGCTGGTATACAACAACGGAGGCCGGACTGCCGGTAGTGGTCTGGATAGGAACAACACTTGTCGTCGTCGTCTCGTCGCAAGGACAAGGCGCCGCAGTGATGGTTGAGACCGCCGTAGTTGTAGTCCAACTAGTGGTCAAGCTCGACGTCCAGGAGGTCCAAGTTGAGGTTGGCCAAGTTGAAGTAGTCCAGCCTGCAGTCGTCGGTGGTACAACAGGAATAGGCGAATATCCTGCACCCTCGCCGGGAGACCTCGCTTGCAAGCTGGCCATCAACACTGGAAAGAGATCTGAATTAGCAGCTCGTCAACTCAACCATAGGCAATCGCAGGTGCTTTTGGCTGTGCAAGATGAGTTCGAATGAATGATGGTAAGTTAGCTCGCGATGAAGATGATAAGAGAGCGGCCATTGAGACATTTCTACCGCCATTTCGACCTTGCGGCAAAGCACCGGAGAGGGAGACTCTTTCCATGACGCGCCGGCTGCTATCTTGCCAGCCACGTCCTTGTGAACTAAAACCGCAGTATCCTCAAAAGCATGAGGCTGGCAGAAGGGTCTCCGGTTTACTTGGGTTCATGAGGGGCGATGGACGAGATGGTGGGGATTGCCTTCGTTTAGCCGTCTGGAGCCTGATTGCTTGCAGTTCAAGTTCTGTTCTCACCAATCGCAGTCCTAGGGGCCTGTCGGTGGGTGGTTGGTCCGAGCATGCGTTCCGAGTCGCCGATCATGGTCGGAGCTGTTCCGGGGAGAGCACTAACAACAATATCCACTGGCAGTAAACTGAAAGTGACCGTCTACGTAGTACTATAGAGAATAGTACATGTACCCACGATCTCATCTGTATCACAACTTGAATCGCTGGAAGTCTCAAGCACAACCTGTCTCATTAGGCATGGGGCTGTAGCAGTGGAAGTGATGATAAAGAAGGGGAGGGGCCGTCGTTGATGATTGGCGCTTAAGCTGCGTTCGCTCATGGGCGCATGCTGTGGAAGCTCGACGGTCAATGGCCTGCTCTCAGCTACTGCATGCACTCGCTGAGTCTGCCACGTCGCTCGCCGGTCATAATCTGGGTTGATTTGGGTAAGAGGGCCTGCCTTGTCTACCGCCGATTGATGTCTATGCTACCGTTTCATCACAACCATGGATATCCCCTATCGAAGGTACCTCCAGAACAGTTGTGGAACCGGGCAGTGCTAATGATACACAGTTTTGCCTATTCTCACCCCTTCAAGATCCTCGTCGGCCCCGAGAAGAGAGCGGTTCATATACATTCCGGGCTTCTAAAACAGCATTCCGAGACTTTGGCTGCTCTTGTGGGCGGTGGCATGACCGAGGCACAGGAACTATGTGCACACCTTGAAGATATCGAGCCGGATACTTTCATTCGCTTCATGGAATTTGCATACACTGGCGATTACACGGTGCCGAACCCGGAGTTGCAGTGCTTCTCGTCGGACGGCGTTGCTGGCCAGTCGCTTCCTGGGCTTGACAATCAAGAGATGGAGGGCGTCGGTGTAGATGCGCCAAATAACCCCGTATCGCCGCCTAAGGAGACCACAAATTGGGACATCGAGTCTGACTTTTGGAGATTCCCAAGAGCGTCAAAAAGGAACAGCAAGAATCATACTGGACTCCGCAATCCATGGTTTGAACGCAGCAACGCGGATGTCGTCACTCCTCCAGAAGCCATAGAAGAGCCAGGGTTTGGAATTCAACGACCACGGGATTCCAAATGGTGGCGCGAATTCAAGAGCAAGTCACAGCCTCGAGAGCCACGCGCATGGGAGCCGAGAGCGAACCAGCGGCCCGACGAAGACTATGGGCCAGTTCTGCTATCTCACGCATATCTCTACGTCTTCTCCGATCGATATAGCATAAAGCCCCTGCAGGAGCTCGTGCTCCAGAAGCTTCGACTAACACTATGCAAGTTCACTCTATTTCCAGAGCGAGCTGGGGATGTCGTCGAATTGCTCAAGTACACATACGCAAACACGATGGACCATGATGAGGGCATTGACAAGCTTCGAAATCTGGTGACTGAATATGTTGTCTGCCAGATCCATGCAATAGCCACAAACCCTGACTTTTTGGAATATCTGAAAGAGGAGGGCTTCGCAGCCAAGGACCTGATGGTCAAGCTGGTCCAGCGGTTGGATCCTGAGTCGGAATAAGGAATGCGACCAGGTGGCCGCCGAGGTCTTTAGATATTCCAGTTCCGTTACGAATTTCCATGTCCTGTAGCAGGCATTAGACTCATGTTCGAGGATCTTTCATTGCAAATGCAACGCTGAGAGACCTAACGATTCGTGTACTGATAGCGTACCTCGTTTGTATTTTGCTATTCTAAGCCCGCTCCCAATACGTACTCTGAAAGGAAGATAACGATGTTGCGAGTGGAGTTTAGCCGGGAGATTGGATTGGGCCAAGGGGTGAAATCACTGGAGGTGTCCGAAGCCTCCTCAGGCTTACTGCTCCCCACTGCAGGCCTAGTAGTAGTAAGGAGCCTTGAATGCGACGCTAAGATAAGGTAGATACTACTATGTACCCACTGATAACTGGGCGTCTCAGATAACCTTTATCTGCGTTCCAACATTGTGATATAGAACCTCAGCCTGCGGCTCGTTATCCCACATCATTAGTGACCTTTGATCAAGTCCAGCATCTTCCCCTGGAACTTTCAACAACATCCAAACCACCTCAATCATGGCGCCTTCGCGAGTGTCGCCCGACCCCACCTCTTCAGAGACGCCCGTCGGTCTCACGCCGAAGCAGATCGCTTCCTTTCATAGGGACGGCTATCTGATCATCCCTTCATACCTCGACCCGGAAACATGCCAAAATCTACTCTCAAAAACGCACGAGCTCCTCCGAGACTTCCCGCTGGTCGACCATCCCATGACTAGGTTTACGACGGGTAAGGATGAGGATGAGGATGGGGACTCGACGTCAGCAAAGCACGTGGGTGACGACTACTTTCTGACCTCGGGCGACAAGGTGCGGTTCTTCTTCGAGGAGGATGCGTTCGACGAGGAGACTGGGCAACTGAACAGACCGAAGGAGCGGGCGATCAACAAGATCGGGCACAATCTGCACGGGCTGGTCCCGGAGTTTGGCAACATTTCACACGCCGGAGAGATTGGACGGCGTAATGCGGCGATTGCACGAGATATCGGGTACAAAGATCCACGACTGCTGCAAAGCATGGTGATCTGTAAGCAGCCGGAAATCGGGGCGGTAGTGCGGCCGCACCAGGACAGCACATTTCTATACACGAACAGGCCGTCAGCAGTGGGCTTCTGGATTGCACTTGAGGATGCGACAGTGGAGAATGGCTGTCTGAGCTTCGCGCCGGGCAGCCATCGAAGGGCGCCCATCAAAGAACGATTCGTACGGAAAGTCGATGGACAGGGCACGACGTTTGAGAGTATCCCCGAGGAGGACGAACGATGGCCACGGGACTTTGAGCACGAGGAAGTCAGCCTGGAAACGCGCAAGAAGGAGGATTACGCATTAGGCGAGGTGAAAGCGGGTAGCTTGGTCTTGATCCATGGCAACATCTTGCACAAGAGCGAGCGGAACACGAGCCAGAAAACTCGAATCATCTACACATTCCATCTGATTGAGGGCGAGGAGCATTACGACGAGAAGAACTGGTTACAAATGCCCGGTGGCCCGGAGCAGTTCACCAAGCTGGATGGGAAGGCGTAGGAGGATACAGAATGACGATGTCGATATGATAGGGAAATGTCTTGCGCATTGAAAAGCACTCTTGAAGATAGTAACATCGACTTCGTTCGGGCCTTGCTGGTTGTTGCTGGCTGCGTCCTTACGTAGGGACCCTAAGGCTGTAAATGAGAAACCGAACACCCAAAGTGCCGATGCATCTTCTGACATGTTATCTCAGGAGCAAGCCTAGGAAGCCTTGCAATTCATGGAGACCGTGACTGCGATAAGACACAGAGCACCGCGGAGTATAACCCAGGCGTGGATTATGTCTCTCTGGCCAATCGGGATTAGAACCACAAAGTCCCCACAGAACAAGAAAAGAATGATTGAAGACACGACCGAGATGACGTAGAATGTTTTACTCGAGTCCGAGTCTGCAGAAGGTCATTGACACGGTGACAGTCTGATCGCCAAAATATCAACATTGCAATGCAACGAATGCAATAAGCTTGAAGATATCTATCACATTTTCACCGGTCATCAACCAGCCTATTCTGAGCCTCCGCTTGCAAACGGCTACACTGTGCGCTGCACTTCTGAGTTACCTTTGCCTGCCCTTGTCCTCTTCGCTTGTCTTCAAGTCGACGGCTCCCCGCCTGCTGCCTATATCGCCGTGTCTGTTACTCCAGCCAGACTTGGAGATAAATACTGGTTATCACAATTAGCCAGTCAAGTGGTCCAGTTGTCGACATAGTCAAGATACAGTCGTCATGTCTCGACCAGGCCTCCAACACCGCCCGTCCAGCGTCGCAGCCGCAAACAAGACAATCATCCTGGTCACGGGCGGAAACACCGGCATTGGCTACGAAATCGTGAAAAAGCTGGCGACCGAGAATCCTCATTTCCAAGTTCTCATGGGCTGTCGCGAAACGCACAAGGGCGAAGAGGCAGCGGCGAGCATGGGGGCTCCGACCAACGTCAACCCAATCCAACTCGACATCACCGACGACAAGTCCATCGAGCAATGCTACCTCGCCATCAACCAGCACTTTGGCAAGCTGGATGTGCTCATCAACAACGCAGGCACCGCCGCCCAGCAGCTACCACCAACCGCCACTCTACGTGAGAAGTACGACGTCATATACAATGTCAATGTCACCTCGACCGCTGTTTTGACGGATCGACTCACACCGCTGCTGGAGAAGTCGAAACTTCCCAAGGTCATCTTCCTCTCGTCCACTCTCGCAAGCATTTCCATCACGATCGAGCACGGCCCCATGTATCCTGGTGTCTGGTACAGCTCAAGCAAAAGCGCCGTCAATGCCATCATGGCCTTCTACTCAAAGACACACCCGACTTGGAGGGTTAACGCCGTGTGTCCGGGATATCGAGCGACCGGGTTGAATGGCGAAGAGCTCACGGATGAGCTACATCCCAAGCATGGCGCGGTCAGAGTGGCGCAACTGGTGGCTGATGGACCTGATGGAGTAACGGGCACGTTCTCAAATACCGACGGGCCTCTACCGTGGTAGCAGAGCCTCCCGCTCCCCTTGCTGTTCTGCTGGGTCTTTTTGATGCTTCAGCGCGGCGATATAGCCAGGTAGCTGGTAGCTCCAATGGCAAAACAGACCGGCCAAAAAGCCGATTGCATCGTTCTTAAATGCGACCAGCAACCCCGCGGTGACTAACATCACGGTCCAACGTTGCTTTTTTTCTTCATCGGTGATCTCGCCGGCGGATGTTGAACGCGTGGTTTCCTTGCCCAGGTCTCTCGCTCGTGCCGTATTCAGGCTCTCTCCCACACTTGCCAGCTCCAGCCCTGCGGCGATTATCATGACAGAAAGCAGTGCGAGGGGAAATTTGTGCAGCATGTCCGTCAGGGTCTCGCCAAAAAAGATGCCCACGACAAGCTTGAGAAGACCGAGGAATATGATGCTCGCTCCTGATCTAGCTCCGAAACGATATTGTGCTGCCAGGCCTCCTGAGCCGTGGCAAACGGGCATTGCGCCAAACCAACAACCGAAGAGATTCATCCCGGCTACGCTGAGGCCTATTGCAGTCACGGATGGGGTCTCGATCTCGGGCAGGAGATCGGCGGCAAGATGAGTGACTGCAATGATCGAGTTCAGAGTGGTTAGGGGTAATTGACCAACACCAGCATCCAGGATCCCCGTCTTCCACTCTTTGGCAGATGGGACCTGCGTGTATGGGCGCCAGACTTGAAAGCCGGGAAGGTGATGGTGGTTGTCACCGACAATGCGGATGATGGCGAAGACAATGCCTGTCACAAATAGAATAAGCGCGTATGGCGTTCGGGGCCGAGTGTTCAGAGCGAACAAGGCGATAAATGCAGCTACCATCCATAGATAGTTGTCTGCCCACGACGGGGCAGTCCATGAAAGCGTCGAAAGGGCTTTCGTCCCTGCGGCGATGATCAAACTCAAGCCCGCACCAACTTGAATTCCCTTGACGACCGGGATAGGAATGACCCTCGTAATCCAAGAAAGAAGGCCGGTAATGCTGAAAATCAAGATGCAGGCGGAGACAAATATTCCCGCCGCCGCGGTCTGGCCGGCGCTGAGCGATTTCAAAATGGCCACTGCCGCGATCGCCTTCATCGGTTGCACCGGCAAAGGAATGCCAAAGAATGCCCCCGTGAGGATGTTGTAGATGCCGGTGAAAATTAAGGTTGTGGTCAATGATACCTGGTGGCCCTCGGTCAGGGCAATGACTATGGGCAGGAAAGTCCCCAGGTCACCGAGGGAGCCTGAGATCTCGGTCAATGGCTGCCGGCGGAAAACGGCGACGTTGTGAGCCATCGATTGGCGAAGGCGGGATGAGTTCATGTTGAGCGTAAAGATGCTATTTTTTGTTGAGACTCTTCATAGAAGAGATAGGGAGAGAGAGAAGGAGAGGGAGATGAAGGAGTGTCGTGGGACAGGCAGGAAGGAGTCTTGTGTCACCAGCGGTGGTCAATCAGGGAGAGTTGGGCAGTTGATATCCAGGTCGCCCGGTTAAATGTTCTCCGTTTAAATATCTAGCATAGTACAGAGTAAACGTACCTTAGGTAGGTACTGAAGCGAACCAACCGGCCCACTCTTGCGTCCTATCAGGTAAGACTTCCGCGGACTATTCCTATAGGTAGGTAGATATCTCCCGTAGACTATATTGTTCAACCGCTACAGTAAGCTCGTTACGTAGCAAACTATCACCCTACGAAATGCTTAAGCGGAATACAACAAAATCGAAGAACGGAAGCAGCCGCCATTCAGTTGTAAATTGCAGGGTCACGGTTTCTGGTGGCAAATCAGCCACAGCCACAGCCACAGCCACAGTTGAGCCACATCTTGGCAGCGGGCGGAAGATCGACGTCACCCAAAACATTGGGAGCTTAGCGATTGGACGCGCGGCTCCCAGCCAAAAGCCATCGATTACACGGTGCTTGCAGGTCAACAGCAAGGTACCTAGATGTACCTAAGGTAGACTTATGGTAGCCCGCGACAAGATACCTAGATTGGTTTCTGAAGTAGTCGTTGCAATATTGAACTTCTCATTCACTAATATGAGACACTTCTCTCGCTTGACATACAATAGCCACTTTCCTTTGGGGCGCAGTGCGCGTTCCCAGCCATCTGTCGACCCGACACCTAAATTCCTGTGGCTGGCGCCCTGTCCACTTTCGATTCTGTCAACACTCCACCTTCAAGTCTTCTTTCGAGCCTTTGCATGACAATCACCTTGGAGACATTGATTTGACTTCTTCAAGGCTCCTTACCAAGTTTCGACACCGTCATAACCTGTCTGGTCCGATGATATGAACGACCGATACATCGACTCCTAACGATCACCCTTTCAGTTTCCAATGCCGCAGCGCTCTTGAGTGGGTCCACCTGCTTTTAAGCAGCGCGAAAGAAACACTACACCATACATCGTCGTTCATGATGGCTGTCCGCTCCAGAGCCGTAAACGCCGCCCATACGGCTGGAATCTTCGCCGACATGACCCTAGACGGCCCCGAAATCGGTACTCTCGTTGCGGTTGTCGACCGAGCCAAAAACCTTCCGAACAGAAAGACAATGGGGAAACAAGATCCTTACTGTGCAATGAGATTGGGAAAGGAGGCCAAAAAGACAAACACGGATAAACGAGGAGGGCAAACACCCAAATGGTATGTGGTCAGCTCCGCATTTTCACATGACACTGCTGACCAGAAACAGGGACCAGGAACTGCGGTTCACCGTCCACGACTCCCCAGATTACTACAAACTGAAGTGTTCCATATTCAATGACGACAAGAAGACCGATCTCATTGGTGAAGCATGGATCGACCTCCACGAAGTGATCGTGGCAGGCGGTGGACAGAATGACCTGTGGCACCAGTTGAATTTCAAGGGGAAATACGCCGGGGACGTACGGGTGGAACTGACATACTATGACACCAGACCACTGCCCGAACTATCATCTGGGAAGAAGAAGCAAAGAGACAAGGCCCATTCCATCGCCAGTGACGCTGCAAGTACAGCTTCAACCTCGCGCCAGTTAGGCCCTCGAGAGATAAAACGACGACCACTTCCTCCAGGCCCTGGTGGCTACTCCTCCCCAACGACACAGTCTCCCGAACCATGGCCCTCAGAGGACCCGGCGACGAATACTTGGCCAGGACGCGAATACACAAACTCACATCCCCCACCTCGACCACCAAAACAACGAATTCCCGAAACTCCAGACGATGTTGGTTATGATTTCTACTCTGACTATGAATCAACTGCCTACGATCCGCCATCACGCTCGCGTGGAAGGAACCAACAGAGGCCTTCTTCCCACGAGTATTATGAAGACCTGAACAGAATGGGTCACCAGCCCAACGCACCAAATTCATATCCGATTGACCCTTACGAGCCTGACGACATGCGGTCAGGTCGGATATCTCTATCTCATCAAACAGGAGGATCCCCTGGCAGAATTCCTACAGATATCGCACCCGCGGACAGTTCTCGCAACATATCCAGTCAAGCCCCTTACCAATCGTCGCCAACAAGTCCTCTTCCCTCAAGTCCCTCCATACCCTCACAACCTCAGCCGTGGCAAAAGAGGTCAAGCACATCGCCAACCAAGCACGGTGTCTACCGAGACAGCCCCCTCCGCCAATCTGTCACCCACGTCGATTTGCTTCAACCAGAAATGGGCTATCCCGATCCACGGTTTGATGAAGACGAGCGCCCTCCACCGCCGCCCGCACACCGTGATCACGTCCCAAAGATGCCGGTTGTCAGCGCACCGTATCCCAGTCCTCATGGACACCCGGCCCCACAGACGCCGCTCAAATACAATTCGGTAGAGGAGAAGAGCCCTCTTCAGAAGTTGGAGCGCGAATATGACCCTTACCAGCGTTCTACACCGCCCGCTCAAGGATATCCTCAGGCGAACCCACTATCGTCGTTCGACCAGAGACTGCCAGCTGATTGCGATGGCTACGATTTGCCGCCAGCTGCCAGACACAGCTCCCACGATATTGACATGATGCAGTACCGGCCAAGGCCCTCCGCAAACGATGCGCCTCTGAACGGGAATACCTCAGATCGAAGTAGATTGCAGCAATCATATACTAGCAGCCCTCAGCACGATTTCAGACAATCAGCAGGCTATGGACCACCACGCAGGGCACATACATTCGATACTAGTCTCGACGCTAGCGATGACGGACAACTTCGCACGTCCTACCCCATCGTCAACCGACCACGAGCCATCAGCCCCGGCCTTTCACCTATGATCCCGCGCAAGTCAATAACGCCAACGCCCGCCGAGAGCCGCAGCTCCGTTGGTGCTGTTCCCTACAGCCCAGATTCATATGATGTATTGAATCCTGGGCAGAGTCCTACGGTGGACGGGAGTTCCTATGCTACCCCAGAGCAATTGAGAGAGACGGCTAGACAGCGGGAGATTCAAGAACTGAGGGATCAAGGTCCGATCATTGGAAATGACGGGCGAGTGATTGATCCTTCGGACCATCTTCCCGCTGATACATGGGCACCAGAACCAGAGCGCAAAGATCGAATGCCAGAACATGTGATTCGGATCCGAACCAAGGAAGAGACCAGGCTACACAATCGTGGAGGGTCGTTGCCCTCTTCTGCCAGACCTCCTTCAATGACGGGCTCACCTTTCCAACCACAATCACCTACGGCATTGCCAAGTGCATATCAGTCGTCTCCCAGCCCGACGGCTCCTTCGGTTGCATCTCCTCCGCCGTCAGAGTCAAGTAATGGCAGGAATAGGCTCAGGAAGCAAATACCCACCCGTCCATTGCCCACACAGCCGTTTGCCCACCCCCAAAGCAGTCCGGCCGTGTTCTCAGCATCTTCGACCGAAGGTCGACCGAGTCCTTCCAGCCAGCGTTACACTATCTCTTCGTCCCCGTCAGCTCCTGGGCATCAGCGACCTTCGCTTTCAGAGTACCAGGTCCCGGCCACCAACAGTTATGGTCCACAGGGAGCTCCACCCTTAGCTGAGCCCTACGCCGCGCCAACGAATGCTCCATTATCTCGACCCAGAAATTCGGCAGATGCTGCAACATATGGTCGCGACCGGTCTTTCGTGAAAGCACCATTCTATGAACCCGAGAACTCGAAGGAGTATCGGGGATATGGGTTCGACCAGCCTCGGACTCAAGCTCCTCTATCCGGGCCTGTCAATTCGATTGGTCATGGAGGATACAGCATGGAAGATTCGCTTGCACTGGAGCTGAGCACAATTGACATAGGTCCTTCGAGAACGGGCCGAACTGCGGTCAGACCTGTCCGAGGATATGGCGGATATTAGAATTGATGATACCATGGTTTTCACGGACTCCGGGCGTTGATATATCTCCCAAGCAGGAGCTTGGGAGGTGAAGATGCGTGTAATGATACCAAGTGATGAGCTGCCACCTGCATACCAAGGCATTCGTCTGCATGTACATTTTGCTGGCCGCAAAAGGTCGAGCGAGAGGACACAGGCGGTCCTCATGAATATAAACCACACGTACATGTACATGTACCTTTCACAGGCGCTGGCTTTTCAGCACCATATTCAATCAAGGTCCTTGGCCCTTCCCCTTTCCAACCGCCCATCCACAAGCTGTGAAGCGATCATGTGCCAGGTTCGCTCTCTACGACCTTTCTGATCCGAATAGGACCGTTGACATCCGCTAGTCCCATGGCGCGTGGTACGACTTCCCCCTTCTGGAGGATGTCTAGCTCACCACTGTCTCTGGCGTCGAACGCCATCTGTCGCAGCTGTGGCATGAGATCGCGCCATTCTGACACTCCTAGCTCGCGCAGCTCTCCAGACGACAGGGACCTCGCAATCTCTGAGGGACAGAGTGTCTTGGGATAGGCGCGGCGGGAAAGGAGCTCCTGCAGGCGGGTAGAGAGGATGGGGGATGGTGTTGATGAAATGCCGCTCATTGAGAGGCTCGAGTCCTGCCAGTCTGCTTCTTTTAATTTCACAGCAAGGTCAGGCGAGGTCTCCGTGCTGGTCACGTATGACGGTTTTGTCCAGGTTGCTGCGGGACAGCGACCGACCTGTGAGTCAATTTCCCACGCAAGCCACCAGGCGGGATAGATGTCTGGTGCGCGCGGTTTATACAAGAAGCTGCCTATATGGAGCAGATCAATTGAGATACTTTCCGAACATATCATACGCGTTATGTCTTTTTCTAAACCCCTTGTCGTCAGTGACATTGACGATGACGTCGATATCTGCCACATCCACTGGCAGGCAGAAACATAAAATCCAGTGGCTCGATACGAAGATCAGGTGCTGAACAAGCCACCTGGGGGTCGCAATTGTGAAGACCACCATTTGTATAGTCTTCCGATTTCATCTTAGTAGTTTGGTACAGCCTCTGGTAGAGCAGACATCGCCCCTTTTTCCGCAGCCTCGAGTGAAGTGTACTGAACTCGGCCTAGCAAGAGTACTGTGGAACGTAACGACCAAACGGCACTCCCCTTTTAACGTGCATCTTGGCATGTTTGACTCTAATCCCAAGCCCGAAGTTCAAGTGCCATTCGATTGGGCATACATACAGGTACCGTAGGCGGGATGGTACAACAAACACCCTGACGAAGGAGTCTGATCACAGGATTGATCGATGATGGTTAGGACAGTGTGACCGAAAAACTAGCTGATCGCAAGCTGCGGAATAATGGTGCTCAGAGAGCTTTTCTCCCCGAAGCCGGACGCTTTGGACGATTTCGAAGATCCAAAGGCGCTCGAAAAGGATGATTGTTTGTCCTGCAGAGTTCTAGGTACGAAGGCACTCCGAGTGCTTGAATGACTATCTTATGGCGGTCTCCTTTCTTAGTGCAGATGCTCACTTCCTGTAGGCTCGACTGCGCTGGTGTCCTTGGGTGGCTACACATATTACTCCGGGATGCAACAACTCAGACAACAGCGGAAGGCCATCGAGCTCAGCAAATCAAAGTACAAATATGGTTCTCGGCAACTGGGAATTGTTTCTCTGTCGGCGACTCTGTTCGGTCTGGGAATCTACAGGATGTTCAACTGAAGTGGCCCCCTAAATCGACCTTCCTTCTATACAAGCGAGCACGATGGCGGTAGAGACGTTACGATGGTAGTACCAAGAGAAACCCTTAAAAGCATACGTGTGATAGATTACTTGTAATAGAATACTCTCGTGCGGCGAGAGGAGTCTCTACCCTTCTAATACTTTCGGGACAAGGGCCTGGGTTCCAGCGATGCTGCTAAACAACGAACGAAGCGATACATGCATGTCTGCGTGAATAGTAATGAACAAAGCTTCGCTATGCCGATCGTCATGTCCTCGTAAAAACCTGTACGTCCACCATGAGATCAGAGGCTATCCATCCTCATGCAACCCTTGCAGCAAACCTGTGATGTGCGGAATCTCATGATATGCGTCCTCGCTTGCTGCTCCCGAACCCATCTCTCGGCCCGATGTTGGAGATATCGAAGAAATCAGGGAATTGCAATTTCCTCTTCGCGCCGGCTGTGAAGGTAAATTCTCGGTTAGATGGCCGTGCTCCGTGTCGTTGACTGCCATGTCTATTAGAAGGTCGAAGCCCTCTGTTGTTCAGCATTTCCAGTCGAATCGGCGCGCTTGCTGATGACGACGAAGGCCCATTGTCTCCTCCACACTCGGCCTCGTCTTCGTCGGTCTGCATGTGATCAGGAGCATGTGGTGTAGGTGCTCCCGTGAACTGAAAGACTGTCGTCGAACTGGCCTGGTCAGGGATGGCGGAGATTGTGGCATCCTCTGTCTGGGTTGATGATTCCGCCTTGGCGGGCTCGGGTTGTGTCGACGACTGCTCCGGCGGCTGCTCCCTCGAAGGAGAGATACTTCGTGGTCGAGGTCCGACTTCGCTCTTGTCATCATCGCTGTCGGCTTGATGTGGGTGGGCAGACCCGTCATATCTTTCTGTGGCCCACTGCCGCACTCTCCATCCTTCGCCATCCTGCAGCCCGAGGTTCTCACGATCCAGGAAACTCAGCAGGTCATCAAGCGCTTCTTGGTATCCGGCTTGTCGACTGACATTCTGATCCGTGACGGCAGACTTATATAGGTTTGTGACGGACAAGGCGGCATTTCGGAAGGCTTGGAGAAGTTCTTCAGGTGGGGCAGGGCGAGCAGACGGTAACGAGGTATTGAGCGACCTCATCGAATCCATGTTGGGTAGACACGACAAGGCGGCCGGGGGTGTTGTCTCTGTCGAGCGAGTTGGTGTTCGTTGTGCTGGTGTTGGGTGCTTCGCAGGCCTTGATGGAGGGGTTTGTTTGTGGTGCGCCGAGGCAGCTGGCCGTCTGACGATGAGATTGCGTCTTGACAGCAAATAAAGAATGACTTCAGAAAAAGACCGGAAAGACTTAGGTATGCTTGAGGTTGTGAAGAAGGATTTAGTCACCCTCAAAGGCGGTGGCAGTGACCGAAACCGAGTGAGTGGTAGGAACTTGACGGCGCTTGAAGAGTGAATCAGCTCGTCTGTCAGCAGATATCATCAAAACGCAGGTTTGCAGCACGAAAAGAGGTGACGGCGGCTGTGCTTTGATTGGCTCCGAGGTGGCGGCCGAAGGCCAGTCACATGACAAGGCCGACCCAGGAAGGCATTCATTTCAAGAAGGTTTGCCGAAGGGCTCAGTCCCCGGTAAATCTGCTCCTAGCCAATCATATCTCTACGTTGGCGGAGCATGCCTGGCACGCGCATTATCCTTTCCCTCGTCTTTCACCTCGCCATCATGATTGCCCTCTTTTTCTAAGTCTGTATATCACTCTTCCCCCTACTTCACGCGTCTTCAAACCGCGCCGGTTTCTTTTCACAACAGTCATTACTCATTCTTGTCGACAGTTGTACAACAGTCGCGTCTGTGCTATTGAGCGAACTATTTCCACCAGGCCGTGTCGGCCAACGCAACCCACCATGGCAACCTCAAAGTTAGCCCAGCCGGACACTGAGTCGTCTTCCATGGTCGACACCCCGATGACAGATGCTCATGACAACGTCCAGCCGCGAAGGCCATCCTTTGGTCACCTCAATCGCTACATAGACGACACGCCCGATTACACTGATTCAGACACAAACCCAAACACGACCGCCAGCAGCGTGGCTGGAGATTTCCCCAACGCCGATGGTCGAAAGAAGAGATCGGAGGCTTTACTGCTGCGCAAGAGCATACTGGGGAAGAAGCATGGTCAATTGGACGAGTCCAAAGAAGATGACACCATACGAAGATTCAAGTATCTGCTCGGTTTAACTGACCTGTTCCGCCATTTCATCGAGACCAATCCAAACCCCAAGATCAGAGAGGTTATGGACGAAATCGACCGTCAGAATATGGAAGAGGAAGACAAAGCCAAGAAAGCCGTCTCTCGGAAGGGAGGTGCGGCGGCGATCGGCAAGAGAAAGACGGAGCAGGAAGAAGATGCAGAGCTGCTACGGGACGAGAAGCGTGGCGCCGCGTCTCAGACTGTCTTCCGGGAGTCGCCCGCGTTCATCCAGGGAGGTGAAATGCGTGACTACCAGGTGGCAGGTCTGAATTGGCTGATTTCTCTCCATGAGAACGGTATATCTGGCATACTCGCAGATGAGATGGGCCTTGGCAAGACTCTCCAGACAATCTCCTTCTTGGGCTATCTCAGACACATCTGCGATATCAAAGGGCCTCATCTGGTCGCCGTCCCGAAATCCACTCTAGACAACTGGGCCAGAGAATTCAAGAAATGGACACCCGAGGTTGACGTCCTTGTCCTGCAAGGAGCCAAAGATGATCGGCACGCCCTGATCAACGACCGACTGATTGATGAGAAATTTGATGTCTGCATCACGAGTTACGAGATGATCTTGAGGGAGAAGGCTCATCTGAAGAAGTTTGCTTGGGAGTACATCATTGTCGACGAAGCGCATCGCATCAAGAATGAAGAATCCTCGCTTGCTCAAATCATCCGGATGTTCAGCTCGCGGAATCGACTCCTCATTACGGGTACGCCGTTACAGAACAACCTGCACGAATTGTGGGCTCTCCTGAACTTTCTCCTCCCTGATGTCTTCGGCGACGCTGAAGCATTCGACTCCTGGTTTTCTAGCCAAAATGCAGACCAAGACACAGTTGTTCAGCAACTTCATCGCGTGTTACAACCGTTTTTACTCCGAAGAGTGAAGAGTGATGTTGAAAAAAGTCTGCTACCAAAAAAGGAACTGAACTTGTATGTTGGCATGTCGGAGATGCAGGTCCGCTGGTACAAAAAGATCTTGGAGAAAGATATCGACGCTGTCAATGGCGCCGGAGGAAAACGGGAATCGAAGACGAGGTTACTCAATATTGTCATGCAGCTTCGCAAGTGCTGCAATCATCCATACTTGTTCGAAGGCGCCGAACCCGGTCCGCCCTACACTACTGATGAACACTTGATATACAACTCGGGGAAGATGATCATCCTTGACAAGATTCTGGCTCGGATGAAGGAAGAAGGCAGCCGGGTCCTCATCTTTTCACAAATGAGCAGAGTTTTGGACATTTTGGAGGATTACTGCGTCTTCCGGGGTCACCAGTACTGTCGCATCGATGGCGGCACCGCACATGAAGACCGAATCGCTGCCATTGACGATTACAACAAACCTGGGTCCGAGAAGTTCGTGTTCCTCCTGACGACCCGCGCTGGCGGTCTGGGAATCAACCTGACATCCGCAAACATCGTCGTTCTCTACGATAGTGACTGGAACCCCCAAGCAGATCTACAAGCCATGGATCGAGCACATCGAATCGGTCAGACCAAGCAGGTCAAGGTATTCCGGTTCGTCACCGAAAACGCCATTGAAGAGAAAGTCCTGGAGAGAGCTGCGCAGAAGTTGCGATTGGATCAGCTTGTCATCCAACAAGGCCGCGCCCAGCAACAAGTGAAGCAGGCAGCCTCGAAAGACGATCTGTTGAACATGATCCAGCACGGTGCTGAGAAGGTCTTCGAGACCAAAGGGGCGGTTGGCGATCTGGACGACATAGATGCGATTCTGCGGCGAGGCGAGGCCCGAACCGCCGAATTGAGTGCCAAATATGAGAAGTTGGGGATCGACGACCTCCAGAAATTCACGTCTGAGAACGCTTATGAGTGGAATGGCCAGGATTTCGCGCAGCGGAAGAAGGACGTCGGCATAAACTGGATCAACCCCTCTAAGCGCGAACGCAAGGAACAATCCTATTCGATGGACAAGTATTACAAACAAGCCTTGTCGACTGGAGGGAGACCTGCAGAGACAAAGCCAAAGATTCCACGCGCGCCAAAGCAAGTCAACATTCACGATTGGCAATTTTACCCTCCGGGTCTTCAGGAGTTGCAGGAGAAGGAGACGGCCTATTATCACAAAGAAATTGGCTACAAGGTCCCTCTTGCAGAGGGCACGGAGGAAGACTTGAGTGATCGAGAGGCTGACCAGCGCTTGAGCCAGGACGAAATTGACAATGCTGAACCTCTCACCGAGGATGAGAAGCAACGTAAGGTTGAAATGCAACAACATGGCTTTGGCAATTGGAATCGCCGCGATTTCCAGCAGTTCATCAACGGCTCGGCCAAGTTCGGGCGGACCAACTACGGAGGCATTGCAACTGAAGTGGATAGCAAGGAACCCCATGAGATTGAAGAATATGCTAAAGTTTTCTGGAAAAGATACACCGAGATCGCTGACTATGACAAACATATCAAGACGATTGAGGCTGGTGAGGAGAAGCTCCGCAAGACCAATCTCCAACGCAAGATGCTTCGAAAGAAGATGGAGATGTATCGGGTGCCACTGCAACAGTTGAAGATCAACTATACCGTGTCCACAACGAACAAGAAGGTCTATACTGAAGAAGAAGACCGCTTCCTGTTGGTCATGCTTGACAAGCACGGCGTCGATGGAGAGGGGTTATACGAAAAGATTCGCGACGAAATCCGAGAGAGTCCTCTCTTCCGGTTCGACTGGTTCTTCCTTAGCAGAACCCCAGTTGAGATCGGAAGAAGATGTGCGACCTTGCTCAATACGGTTCTTCGAGAGTTTGGCGATCCGGAAGAAAAGCTGAGCAATGGTCATGGGCCAGGAAAAGGACGCGGAAGAGACCGAGATGAAGACGAAGATGATGAGAATGACAGTGAGGCCGCGCCAGCCAAGAAGAAATCCAAAAACGGCATTGTGGTGAGTTATCCGTTTCACGATGTATGACATGATTCTAACCGAACCATCAGAACAAGCAAGTCAAGGCTGTTAAGTCCGGTCGAGGCAGCAAAGCCACCTCTCCGGCTACCTCCCGAGCCCAGAGCGTCTCGTCCGCGACAGCGCCCCGGTCCAAGGGAAGGAAGAAGTGAGCCTTCTACAGGACTCGTCTGGTGTGCGGCGACCTGATACACCTTAAAACTGTGGAACGGCATGTTAGAGTATGGGCGGAGTCTTGAGTTGTTTGACATCAGGGTTACAATGGGCCACGATTCATTCTGCATGGCAGTTACGTACACTGCGGACGACCTAGAAGGCTATGATTACGCTCTCGTGCGGGTTTTTGCGCGGTCAGGGCGGGCTGGCTTTCAGCAGAGTTTTGCTCGGAGGTTATGAGCTCCCAGGGTGTAGATCAGGACGATGAATCACTAGAAAATGCATGAATGTTGAGAGTTGATGTACACGAAACTACAAGGCTGTTCTATCCTTCTCGCAGTTAGTTCCTGTCATTAAAATGGCAAGAAAAGTATTTGTCACGTGTAGATAAGATAACATCAACTACAACTCCCCTCCCATGATGTTGTCGCCCTCATGTCTCAACAATGAAGTGATCAACCTCATCATGAGCGTCACCGTTGACGCGCTATACATTTTCGATGATCACAAGTGAGCTTGATGAAACGCATGGCTCGGAAGGGTTCTGTACTGATCTTTTGCCAGCAACTGTGTGTTAGAGCACGTCTACAATGGACGCCCTCCGTCGGCGCAGACCCTCATTTCCAGCTTCATCAGCCGACCATCCCCTCGCCCTTCCATCCTGCAGCTGTCAGACCTCGCTCCTCCTGTGACGGCCTACTCGGTATCTCATGCGGCACTCCTTCTGGTCGCAGCCTCGAGCAAAGATGTCCAGTCCCTTGCAATTCTGGACTTCCTGTACCGGCTGGTGGATGTGTTTGAGGACTTTCTCGGCAGTCCCCTGCTAGCCAACAAGATAGAGGACAACTATGAGATCGTGGCGCAGCTACTGGTCGAAATGTGCGACGGGGGTATTGTATGCAACACAGAGCCCAATGCGTTGCGGGAGTCGGTTGAAGTGTCCTCGGTCTTAGGAAAGCTGTTTACACACGTTGGGCTACCTGGGTACGGAAGGCCTTCCACTGCAAAATCTGGCCATCAAACTGACAATCCAGATCTTCACCCGCACTTGGTCCTACAAACGGTTTAGCATCGAGTTTGCGACCAACCATTACCCCGTCATTGGGCCCGGCAATTCCATGGCGCAAATCCAACGTTCGGCATACCTCGAACGAGCTGTACGTGGACATAGTCGAAAGCTTATCGATTGTCTTCGCGCCCTCTGGCCGCCCCATATCTGCTAGGTCTAATGGCTCTATCGCATTCACTGCGAAGATCTCAGGAGTTCCCGATCTTTTATTGACATTGGCCGCACCCGGAGGTACTAGCAGCGATAAAACCTCGGGGATACTCCGAACTATGCAACTACCGGTTTTTCATCCTTGTGTTCGGCTAGCAAGGTGGAAAGATAGTCCTGGGGAGTTGTCGTTCGTTCCGCCAGATGGCCGGTTCATGCTAGCAGGCTACGAGACCGATTTGATGCCTTCCAGTCTCAATACCGACCAGCCTCCCACCAAGAGTGACAAGATATTCCTACCTGCCACTGTGGACCTGAGGCCTGGACTTGGTGGTTCAGGCTCCGAGTTCGAAGCTCGATTGACGTTGAACACCAATTTTCCAGGTGTCGCAACCACGGGAAAATCAAGCACTTCCCGAGGAGGGTTGGGACCAATTCCTTCGCTGTCGTTCGGTGGAAGTGGCGGGCATTCACAGGCTCCTTCATTGGAAGCGGTTGTGGTTACCATCCCGTTTCCTGTCGATGTTCGAAGTGTCACGGAGCTGAAGCCGTCTCGTGGGGAAGCCAACTTCAATGCCTTTGACAAGGTGGTTGAATGGAAAGTCCCAACCAAAGAGGGCGGGTCAATCAATGGAGTGGCCACCTTGACCGGCACGGTAGCTGGGCCGTTGAGTGCCACCGATACCGACGACGACCAGTTTTCGACTGCTGAAGTCGGCAAAATAAACACAATGGCCGGGTACTACGAAGACGATGCCATAACGAACCAGGACGAGACAGAGGCTGTCATGAATGGTAACAATGGAAGTTCAAAGAAACTACATGCGAACAAGGCTCTGATGCCTCGGTCGATCTCAGTGTCGTTCAATGTTAAAGGTTGGCTTCCGAGCGGGATCAAAGTCGATGGCTTGATTGTCGACGTCAAGAAATCCAAAGGCCTGGGCGACGGAGTGAGACCGTACAAGGGAGTCAAGTATCTCACAGTGAGTAGAGAAGGAGTCGAACGACGAGTGTGATGACAAGGAACAGGCAAAGGAGAGAACAAGGAATTGATGATAGGTTCTGGAATAATATTACAATGCTAGTAGTATTGATCGATCACGCTAATATGAAGGTCCACGATCCCAGTCCGTCGTCAAGTTCGTCAAAAGCTCCAATAGAATGCTGCCGCCTGTCAAGGCGGATATGACAGCCTTGTTTCCATGCCATGCTTAAGGTATGCAATACCATGTTTGTTTCCGTATCCCCAACCCTAAAATGCTGTCGCATGGAACTCCGCTCCCATAACATAGATGCCTTTCCGCACCCAATGCCAGCAAAAAAGGGTCATAATCACAAGACCCGACTTCAAACAGACTTTTTCGGATTCGCCCAACGACGTTGTAATGATCATGATGCATGTCGTTCCCCCACAACGCTGAAATCCCGAGTCGGGATGAACCACCAAGACGCCACGCCAGAAAAAGATTATGATCAAACATATGGAAGGTGTCATGAGCCTTCGACGGATATAGACGATAAGAAAAATCAGAGGATGAGAGGATAAGAGCCAGCGACAGACAGACTCTTTCAGCCGGTCATGTAGTTGCCGACGCCCAACATCTTCTTGATCCCCTTCTTGAGGGTGCGGTTGAACTGGTCGGCGCCGCTCTCGCTGGACTGGGAGGACGTCGAGGCGACGCTATCCTCGCTGCGGCGACGGGTAGTGCCATCGAGGAAAACGCGCGGCGACGACACACCGCCGGCGCCGTTGGCTTTGACGTTGCCCGCGCCGCCGCGGCCGACGTGGTAGACCGGGGCGGCGTGCCGTTCCTGGCTGAGCTGGCGCTCGAGTTCCTCGTCGAAGCTGAAGATGGCCCGCTCGCTGGCCGGGTAGACATTGCCTGCACCGCCGCGGCCGGCGGTGAATGTCTTGCGGTGCGTCTCTGGCGACTCGACCCAGATGCGTGATGCCGGCCCTGTCGCGTCGGTGCCTTGTGTCACAGATGAAGGGGCTCGGGTCACATTGCCTGCTCCGCCGCGCCCGGTCGAGAAGTAGTGTGTTGCAGGGACGGATGGGTGTGGCTCGACAATGGAGTAACGCCGTGATGATGATGAGACGGACATGATTGTAGTTGTAGGGTGGTGTAGTTGTAAGGACAAACTTGGTTGGTTGGTTTCCGTATACAGACTAGTGTGATCTGTCTTATATGGTAGGATGGTCAGGTGATGTGGCGAGTGGTGTGGCTTGTTGTTGAAGATGATGACGATGAGGCTTTTGGTGAAATAGTAGATCTGGGGTCAAGATGATCTTGGTTTGTGTGATCGTTTAGTATGTGCTGAGGAGGAACCAAAACTCTTATTACGGAAGATCAGGGGCAGGATGATTATATACGGATATGGTGAAAAAATCTATGTGAGGTGGTGTCGCCATGGAGAATGCAAATTTGCACTGCTTGTTGACGAATATGACATGGGCCGGATCTGAGAGGAACAAGACACAAAACACGAGGCGCGCGCGGCCCAGATGATGATGGAAGACCCAGACCAGGTGTTGATTACTCGATGGAAATCCAGCATCTTCTCCAGACCGATGCCGTTAACTGCAAAGCGCCAGTGCCAACGCAAATTTTCAGGTCACGATGCGAGGCGCAAGGACGGAAAATTTGACTGGACATGTAAGGGGCTGGCGTCATTCTGTCTTTAATTTTAGCAGCGAGGCATTAGTAGCGACGGCAACTTGTGGGAACGACACACGATGTCAGGCATGATGGCGTCGTGTGCCCCGGATTTTGCGCAAGAGCCTCGAGCTGTGAGAGAATTGATTGAACTGGAATGAAAATTTAGTTGAAGGCCCGCGGGTTTCCGCCAGCGGTGTCAGACATAATCAGAAAAGGAGAATTCTCTTCTCTCTTGGGTGGCCCCGCTGAAAATTGCAACTGTCTGACACAATCACAACATAGCGGATGTCCGCCATGGACCTCGTGATTGGCTCGACAAAGACGACGATCGAGCTGTCATGCGCCGCAATAGCGAAACTAGCAGCACCGACTTTTCAACGAGTGTCCAGCATCGTGGAATCTTGTTAGTCATGCCGAGCCTCGTGCACACGTCTCGAGCAAACTATGGGGTAATCGATCGGTGCCTGAGGCGGGGATTGTATGGCATGCTGGTTTCCTGGGGGTAATGGAAACCATCACCGCTTCTCCGGTGTTTCACCTCCCCTTGATATTTTCCTTGCTGGACATGATCTCCGTCCGTTGTCCTTCCTATCCTGGAGTGTCTGTTGTTTGATCTCGCCTCACTGCTGCCCAACCCATAAAACCCCCTATGCGGCTCCAATGGGTGCATGAGAAGGTCTGATCGGCACCACTTGATGCATAGTGTTCAAAGAGCTGAAGTAGTTTCGGGATCGTCCGCCCTTCCTCTCTCCCCTGTTGTAGACTCGGGTAACCGTGCCGGAAACGAAACAGACTCCTGCAGTTGTTGTGCTGGCGGGTCAATGCCCCAGAGTCTGCTCTTCCCCCGCAAATTGGGTTGACACTCTGGTCGCTCTTCTAGACCATGATCGCCGCTGGGGCCGCTGGTCGGCACATGCATAACTGGCCGATTACCATGTACACTTCTCTCCTGAACAGGGGCTGCTGCGAGATCCTGTGCCGACCGATGGTCTCTGTCTCCTTCACCGCTGAACCTTGAGGGCCGTTAGTCCACGGAACTTTGTTCACATCGTGGCCCTCGATTCCATCTCTTCGGTCGTGCCTTCGCCGCGTGACTCCCAATGCTGGTCTGCCCGGACACCGCATTCAAGTGAATTTGGAGTGAATGATGTCTGGATTCTCGTGCCAGTCGTCAATGCTGACCCACATCTAAGCCGTGATGGTCAGTCGCATTCTCCCCAGACGCCGGAGAGGAGAACAACTCACCTTCCTGAATGTGCTCAACCCCGCAAGAATACTCCCACCAATCCAGGTACTGTATTTGCGCTCGGGGGGCGCGAAAATCTTGATGCGCATGTCTTTGACGGCCAGCCTCTGCATTTCATAGAGAAGTCGATCGGGGAATCCTTTACACAGCGTTGTACCACCACTCAGGACAACATTGCCGAATAGGTTCTTTCGAAGGTCCATGTCTGTCCGAGTAATCGCATCAACCACCATTTGGTGGACACCCTGGTACTCCAATCCGATCAGGTCGGGCTCAAACAGGATCTCTGGTGCCCGGAATCGTTCTGCTCCAAGCTTGATCTTCTGACCGTCAGGCAGCGAATACTCAATATCCCTTTTCTCGTTCTTCCAAATCCCTTGTGACCAGTCTTTCTCTTCTTTCCTCGGATCAAGCGCCACGTATGCCGTCTTCTCTTTCATGATCCTGACTATTTCCTTTTCGGCGCTGGTGTGGAAGACGCGTCCACTCTTCCTTAGCAGCAGCTGCATATGTTCGGTGATGTCCCTCCCTGCCACGTCAATCCTTCGTATGCTACTTGGGATGGCAAACCCTTCGTAGACAGGGACTGCATGACTGACTCCATCGCCACTGTCCAGCACGATTCCTGTCGTCCGACCACTAGCATAAAGACTGAGTACTGCTTGGATGGACATGTAAACGGCGGGGACATTGAACTGCTCAAATAGGATTTGAGCTGCCATGTCTCGATTTTGTCTCGGATTCAGGGGAGGTTCGGTCAGAAGGACAGGATGTTCTTCGCTCAGAGTCTTCAGCTCTTGGTCGTAGACATATGTCCATATCTTTTCCATATCATCCCAGTCGGTGACGATGCCGTGTTCCAGAGGATATCGGATCTTCAGCAGGCCTCGTAGTTCCTGTGCTCTTGGCCCGATAAAGGTATCTCCCTCCAAAGCGCCGGCGAGGGCACGAACATGTTTCGGACGGCCGACGTAGGACGGGAAGTATGCAGCTGGCAGATCAGTCCCAGCAAACCCGGCGCGGATAGTACCACTTCCATTGTCTAGAACTATGGGGACATTGTGCAGGCTGCCCCCGTCAGCCATTGCGAGACTTCTATTCTAGAAGAAAGGACTGGGGCCACATAGATGTCAAAGCCAGATCAGTCACGACCGAGTCATGTCCTCGAACTCATCGAGCAAGACATGGTGGAAATGCTGCGTTTGTCACTGATTCTGTTCGGATGCCGTGTAAACATAAATTCCCGGCAGACGGAGAGCGCAGCCGCGTTCAAGTTGAACTAGACGCGACTCTAACTAACTTCTACTTTCGGACTAATGAGATGATTCTGCCTCCTCTCACCGCCTGCCGCATCTTCTTCTTCCACCTCCAAAAGTGTCGCGCCATCTGCTATCCTGCCAGACCACGACACTGAACAAATAGCAACCATATTATCCCTTGAAGAAGACCCGTGCACCTCGTTCGAGTTGGCAATCTCATTCATATCCTCTAACTGCCTTCAAAATGCCGAAATATAAGTCCCCCAATCCTGCTCTGAGACCTTCAACTGACTTGCCTAGCACTCTTCTGCGACTACTGTGATGTCTACCTCACTCACGATTCCATGTCGGTGCGAAAAGCCCATAACTCCGGTCGAAATCACTTGAGGAACGTGGTCGAATATTATCAGCGTATGTGATCCCGGGTCAGGAAGAACATTAACAGGCTTCTAACACTGTACAGAAATTGGTCATGAAAAGGCTCAATCAGTTATCGACTCGATCACCTCCTCATATGCTGCCGAAGGACAAGCCAATCCTATGTTCCAACAACCCGGTGCATTTCCTCCGCCTCCGGGCTTTCCTGGTATGAAACATGTACTCCCCCAAACAAGACGGAACACTAATCTGAGGCTCAGGGATGCCACCTCCTCCCTTTGGTATGCCAGGCGCTCTTCCGCCAGGGCCTGGAGGAGTCATTCAACCTCCCGGCGGTCGTGGCATGCCCTTCCCGCCTTTTCCTCCAAACGGCGCTCCACCTCCACCTCTTCCTAACGGCCTCCCGTTTCCTCCTCCACCCGGTGGATTTCCTCCGAACTTTCAATTTCCTCCTCCCGGTGCTCCTGGTGGCTTTCCGCCTCCGGGACCACAGAGTAAACAAGGCCCACCAGGAGGACCTTCACCTGCCCCCGGGGCCGGCCCAACTCCAGGACAAGGACCCCCGTCTGGCTTCAATATGAGTGCTCCTCCAGGATCGAGTGAAGGCCGACGTTAGACTTCGCATGTCTGGTGGTTTCGACAAGATTTTACCCGTACATGACCAACCGTCGCTTTGATGTATCGAAATGTACAGTCGATCTCGGCTGTCGACGCATACTTTAGCACGATCGATGAGGATCAGGTCACGGACCCGGGCGTCTGTAATCTGCACATACATGTCCGTCGAATATGACTACGTCTTCAGATGGAGACGAAGGGATGAAGGAGTTGAGACGCTTATTTATGTCCGCTCAATAGCCATGGGGCCACAGGTCGCCAGTGAGGACGATCGGGGTCAGTCAAGAAGAGAATGACGAGATGTGCAATTTGCAACGCCCAAACGTTGGGCAACGACGTCTTGTCGCAGGTCATTCGCAGCGATCGAGCATGAGCCTTATCCAGCAAGCGCGGTGTGCGTCAGCTAGGCAAGAGGATATGGGTCGCTTCTTTGGACCAACCTGAATACTTGACTCGTTTGCAACAGCTGCATCCTAATGGCTGCCAACATATTACTTACCCTGACCGCATATCTGATTACGCCGATTCTTATAGTCATTGCGCTGGCTTCTTTCATACACTGCGTTCTTACATTACACCGAAACCGTGAAAGACGCGCCTTCTTCTTTGATTCCCTTCTCACTACGCCAACAGGCAGGACCACACAGGCGACCGATGACAGCACATTGGTGTAAGCATCATGTCACCCTGCGCAAGCGGCATGACACCGAATCAGATGTGACGGCGAATTCCAGATGTGGCAAAATACCGCTGATCTCGATCACCTCAGAGGTTGGGTCACGACCGACACTTCAAGCTAAATCAAGCCCAGGACTCAGGAGTATCTGCTTAGCAACACTCAGAAGATGGACAACCGATCCCGCCCGAAGACTTGAAGATGGCAAGCGAAAAAATACCAAGATCTGCAAAGACGCCCAGGCATCGGGACTCAAAATGCAGCGCAAACTAACTGCGCGAACACGAAAGGCAGAACGCAAAGCTGATCAGGAGCGAGCGCGGAAGCGCAAAGCAGAGAAGAAAATGCGGAAGGCAGCACGGAAGCGGAGTCTAAGCTACTATGGCGGTGGGCTGGCCTGGGGATTCGATCCAAATGCTGGTATGCTTCACTCCGGTCGTGATCATGCCATCGCTGCAGACGGGGCCAGTCAGCCAGTCAGCAATGCTGGAAGCGGACTTGATGCCTCTGATCTGAAACCGGTTCGAGGTCACACTTGGGGCATTCACTACGGGAAAACTGGCATGCATGTCCAGGTTCATGACCAGGATTTCCATGGTAGCCGTGAATGCAGTGGCAAGGTTGGGACCTAATAACGAATCCGGGGCACTTGATCATACTCTGTCCCGAAGTCTGTTCATGCTATCGACTCACCGCTCAGTCTGGGCGCCGTCCTCGATATAAAGGTCACTCGATCTTGGTCATGGCGGAGCAACCTAGAAGGAAGCAGCATCAGTGAGGCCTGAGAATAGCTGGATGGGGAAGTGCCCCAGGATATAGCTGCCATGCCGAGGGCATACACAGTGTTGTGACGGAGGACAGAGAACACCTTGTTTGATATTAGGAGTTCTTGAAGCTTCGACCTGTGCCAACATCCCGTTGTATGTTCCGTTCCATTGCAGGTCTGTAGCAACCATGCTTCTGGACGGTCAAGAAGCCGTAGAGTGATGGATATCTCGTCAGCGTCTTAGGCTGTGCCCGAGCACCTGTATCCCCAAGGCTGAGGCTAGACTAAACTGTGAGTGTTTTGACGCTGCTTTAACAGCCCACGTCAGCCTTGTCGTGCTGCTATAAATATCTCGAGAGCGTACGCAACAAAGGCAGACGTTGAAATGCTCTTCTTTTCTATGATAACTGGTGATATCTGACCCGGGGTCAAGGTCACAGAGAGCCTCTACCATCATTACTGGCATGAGAACGCCGGGTGCGCTGGAGATTTGTTTCCTCAGATCTTGGTTCAACGTGTGACGTTGAATCTCACCGCTTCTTAATCAACTTATGTTCTTAGCCCTAACATTTCAAGGCCACGGATGACATGACTACTTCTGCCCAGCGGTCTACATATATACCCCCGAGCTCTCAACGAGAAGCAGGATCTATATCCGCAAGCGATACCGACCGGAGCTGGCCCATTTGATGGCCCATAGCCACAATGGCGGGCCTGTGGCATCTACTAAACATACCAAGCGAGATCCGCAATCAGATATGGATTCTAGCTTTCGGAGATCAACATGCAGTCCGTAGCACAGATGAAAAGAAGTTCTTGAAGGACGACTGCCAAGCATGTCAGGCCAACGTACATACATACGTGGATCTGTCAACCTGGGACGAAATCTTCCGGCCCCTATTGACATGCAAACAGATCTTCAACGAAGCGAGACAGATCTTGTGTTCGTCATTCACGTTACATCTCGGTACAAGTCCGTTCCAGCAAAAGCGCGCCGCTGTAGACAAGGAAGTCCGACGCATCGAATTGTGGATGCATATCAAGGACGACAACCGCCTCGAGACCGGATCGACCATGAAGCTGATCGGACTCGGTTTCCCGAATCTTCGACAGCTGACCGTCCACGCCCATATGCGCCCACCTGACAGCTACGAGAGTCTCTGCGACGCCGTGTCGCTGGCTGCTGCTATTGTGCGACTCGGGCGCGATAGACGTGAGACTGAGGTGGCCTTGGATTTCGACTACGTCCGGCATGGAGTCATGTTCCACAGCCCGCATCTGGGCGAAATCAGGACGGAGGACTCTCTGGAAGAACACGAATTGGTGGTGAGGGATCTGATCGAGGACGATGCCTTTATCGAGGCTGTGCTGGCAGATGATGACGATGGCGATGCCGACGAGCAGGCCATGACGGCGGCACTGTTGAGAGTCGCACGGTCCCATGAACAGAGTTGGTTCGAAAGGCTGCAACGCAGAAGACGCGATCACATGACAGAAGGAAACCAAGCTGGGTTGGAGGCATCGGCTTCGACATCTTCGACTTGAAATGCTGGTCAAAGCTGCGGCAGATAGCGGCAGGATGGGTTCGTTTGTGAAACGTTCGTAGTCGGATGTTCTCAGCGCTAGCCATCTCGAGTTTCGCGCCATGAACGAAAGACAGATATGAGTGCATGCATCTCAACCATGGCTTACCGGTGCAGCCATGAAATCATCGATGAAGCTGTGTCGTGAGGAAGACACCATGTGCAACTTTATGTCTTGTGAGGCAGCCGAGATACCGCTACACGCACGATATGAGCGCGGATGACGGCCGGAACTTGGGTGCACTCTGGCGACTCCGGTACTCAGTCGATTTGCCAGCCCATTTCCTCGGCCATGACATCGGCAAGTCCATGCTTGTACTTTTCTTCACCGGAGCGCAGAGGCGGCCAGTCCCTCATTCGGCGTCGCAGTTTCTCAACATCCTCTATCGCGGCCGGAAGGTCGCTTTGAGACGAGTTAGTCCACTGTCTGCAATGGTTGAAGAGATGTGTCCAAATAATCAACGACGAAGGGCATCAAAGGAGACCTAAAGGGGTTCGTACTCTAGCTTCCCATACACCACATATTGCTGTTCAGCCAACACTTCAGCCAGCTCGACTTGGTGGTTGTGAAGAAGGTCGGTATTCGGAACAACGACCAGAGGGACACCCACTCGAAGGCCATCGAGGATTGACCCTGACCCTATATAAGACAATTAGAGTGGTGCAAGGACTGCGACGTAATAGAGACTGTGATTTACCGGCATGGCTGATGATCATTCCTTCGCTTTCTATCGAGTGTCCTTTCACTGCTACCATCTCCTCTCGTAGACCTGCCTTGTTGAAACCGAAGCCTGTGATGTTAAACCCGTCAACTACCAGCGTCTCCCTTAATTGTGCCTTCTTTGCTTTAAAGATCTCTTCTCCCTCATGATCGCCATACTGAACCCGTAGATGACTGTATCCCGCTCGTTGGAGTTCTGTGATGAATTCGGGCTCCAACACTGCCTTGACCAGACCGTTGAATGACGCGGTTGCACCGATGGTCACGAAACATCGCTTGTCAGCCATGACCGGAGGTGGTTCGTCGGCTATATCCAAAACTCGAATTCAGGTTTAACTGGCACAATCAGCCGTTACAGCTCAATATAATGAAGCCAGCACGTTGATACATGCACAACTTGACGGGTGAGGACCGATCGATGTACGGCGGACCATGCCAAGTGGTACGGTAGACCATTGCTCGACTCGCGCGGATGCTTCCGCTTTCGGGGAAAATTAAACGGTCAAGATGCAACCTGAAGCTCTCCAATGTATACATTGACACTCGGGAGAGTGCTGTGCCGACACATCATGGCTACTCCAGCGCGGCATCTATGTCGCTCTCTGTTTCAAAACAGTCGACGAGTCCCCGTGAAACGCAAATACCAGCCGCAGTTTCTGGTCCGGCACCAAGCGACCATTTCTTGTCGGCATCTCTCGACAACCCCTCTGCGCAGAGCAGACGATTCGTCGAGGTCGAGTCAGGATGTATTTGGCGACAGCGGCCTCGACCGACCTTCGGAGTACCTGACTCCTGGGACGCTCATCACTCCTGCGGACCTGGATCCCCAGGAGCGCGCCGACTACGACCTTTTGTCCAAAGACGAGCAACGAGAATACCTGGCTTTGCAGAACCACTACGCAGCCGTCTTCGAGTCCGAACAAGCTGATGCGGCACTGGACGATATTGTCACCGATGTGGACAGGCAATTGGAGAAGGAGGTGGAAGACGTTGACTTCCCCGATGTGGGATTGTCCCATAGGGAAATGGGCTACTGGGCCATGGACGAGGACGACGAATTCGGCCAGGTCGAGGACGGAGACGAGCCTTGGGATGATTCTGCAATCTCTTCGGTTGCGCACAGCGAGTTGGAACTGCATCGCGAGGTGCGAGAGTACACGAGAGTGATAGCGTGGGATATGCCACTGCTGCATCGTAAGTGGTGCCTGACAGACTCTGGGAGCATCTTGAAGTACTCATGCTAACGACCGGAAGAATATGCAAAGCCCTTTCAACCGCCCAACGAATCCACACCCCTCCGCTTCCGATACACGACGTATATGGGTGAAGCGCACCCAGCGGCCAGGAAAGTGGTTGTTCAATTCTGTACGAAAGATCTGCCCAACCTCACGGAAGCGCAGCGACTGAAGCTCATCAAGCTTGTTGGCGTACGCTACAACCCGGACACAGACGTGGTCAAGATGTCGTGCGAGAGGTTTGAAGCTCCGGCGCAGAACAAGCGCTATTTGGGTGATCTGGTGAACAAGTTAGTACACGAAGCGAAAAATGGGGCCGACACATTCGAGGACGTTCCGCTCGATTTCCGGCATCACAAATCGAAGCAACGGGTCACTTTCCCAGAGGAGTGGAAATTGAAGCCGGGACGGATACAGGAGCTGCTGCATGCAAGGCAAAATCGAAACTTGTTGGAGGCGAGCGAGACGGCCACCCCAGACGGCAAGGAGGCCATGCACAGCTATGTACAAACTATGGGTCGAGGGGGGGCCAGTCCGGAAAGGACATTGTAACACAATCCATTTCATTGAGAACCCATCAAACTCTGAACAGGAACCGCTTTTCATCTTGCCGCGGCTGAGGTCACCTTGATATTGACACCACCAGCACAGTGAGTTCAATTCTTCCCTCGTCTGGTTCCGCCGCGGTATCTGCCACCTCTGTTCTCCTTGCTAGATCCACCCCGCTTGCTCGCGATAGTACTGCTTGCAGCGCTTGAATTGATGATGCTCGCCCGGGCTTTCTCCTTCTCCCATCCGGCCTGCTCCTTTGCTCTGATCTTGGCCATCAAGTCGTTTGGTTCCTCGCCATTGCTGAAAGTGTCACTGTCAAGTTCGTGGTCGAAGATGGATCGGTGGTCGGGTCTGAGGACTTTGTACTTTGCAGCAAGAGCCTTGCGCTCTTTCTCCTCATCCTCAGCCAACTTCAGTGCGATCAGCTCTTTTTCTTTCTCCGCCTTCGCTTTTTCTGCCTCGAGGGCTTTATCCTTTGCGACATTGTAGTTCTTGCCGTAGTTTCTGTTACCCGGTCGTGGTCCTTGACCTCTGGCTGCAACGCCGAGTCCATGGCAGATCATGCGTTTCGCATCGTCGCTGACCCGCCATTTTCGGTCGACAGCTTTTGGATCAGAAACGCCGAAACTCGGTCCACTCTGTCCGCCAGCAACCAGAAGGCTACCTAAACCGTACTGTTCACGATACCAGCGGGGGATGTCACGGTGACCAATGCGTTCGAGTGTCGGCAGATCCAGAGGCATCTCATGCTTGTAAACGCATCCTTGCTGGGCGTAGTCGCATTCACCACGACGAATCCAAAACGAGCAGTATTCTTTGCTCCCCGCCGGGACTTTACTTTGACCAATGTTTGGTTGTTTGTTGGAAGCTGCCACAGCACTAGCTTTGGCTGAAAGATTGGAGACGTTGTTGCTGTAAACAGGTTTGCTTTCGCTGCCGACCGAGAGTGTAGATGACGTGCAAGAGCCGCTGTCGGCACCGCTTGGACGCTGTTCGTCGACGCCAAATGCCTTGGGTGGCGCCGGGGACTGCACTGGAGTTCTTGGAACCGCTGCTGCGGTCCACCTATTGGCAACATTGGTTCTGGAGGAAGCAGCTTGTATTCTGTCGGAGTGTGGTGCATGGATGCTATCGAGGAACAATGGTTTGCTGTTGTTGAGTGCCTCGACAACGTAGTACTGATGCCGAGATTCATAGAACCCCACACCTATCATTCCCGCGATATTGTAAGGGTCCAGGATCCGGGGAACATTGCGAAGTTGAACGTGAACCGGAAGCTCATCCATTGCAATGAGCGGGACCATGACACCATTTTGGCGAGTGACGAAAAATTGTGGCTTCAGGGCCTGCTGTTCTGACATCGTGGCGGCTGCGGTTTGAGGGAGCAAGAGCGAGGCTTTGTTTGGTCAGTATTTCTATATCTCGAAGAGCAAGCCTCAAAGGTGCTTGACGATGCTGCTGAAGATACAAACAGGGGATATTTGGGAGCACAAGAGAGATGGGGGATAGGAAAGAAGCAATTTATGTTGATTTCGAGCCCCCATCCCGGGGTCGTGGCGCTGCGTGAATCAAAACGTAGTGATAGAGATGTCGTGAATAGGGATTCAAGCATAGCGTTTCAATACTTACAATCGTACCAATATCACCAACAAGACTAGTGAAGACCAGGCTATTGCACCAACCACAATGCCTGTTTTGCAGGAACTGAGGCTTGCTGAGATGTATAGGTGCACTGATCAGGGGGAGTGACTCAATCACTGGAGCGGAATTGGAAGAACAGACGCAAAAACAGGTGATGGTCAGTTTCTAAAAGTCCTGAAGAAGTCACCATATATATTGACATGCAATAAATTCACGTTTGTTACAACAAACAGCATGACAATCCAAGAACCGCATATTCAATGACTGTCACCAGGATCCAGAACGGGCTGAGAACTCAAACGGCCAGCAAATGCACCAGGACAAAGGAGTTGACTGAAGCACGTAATCGTGACATTCATCCGGTTTGCAGTGAAATCAAACAGAGCCATGCGCACTCCTTGTGTTGTGAGGATAGATGGATGTGTGTCTCATTAGAGAATTCTGCCATGAGGCGCCCTACATGAATTATCACCGTACAAGTGACCATAAACCTTGATGAAGACAGGTAGGTACCCAGGACAATGAGCGGTTGTTATTGTTGGGTGGTAGCCAGAGAGCTGGTTGGTGTGATTCGGATGCAGTGTCTTTCAGTCAGCTGCCGTACAGCCAAAGCAGACCAGCATGATGTTGACGTTGACATTGATGGCGACAATGGTAGTATAGCCCTCCCTCGCACCTCTATAGGGGAGGTGAACATCGTATCTCGCGTGTTTCACAGTCAGAGACGAAGACAAACATCAAGGGAAGATCCAGGCACGCATTTGATATACTACTATAGTACTAGTTAGTACTAGTATCTCTAATAACTCCACGCTAAGCCACTCTAGGTTGTGTCTTGTGCTTAGTGCTGGAAAGAACCGTAGAGGTCAAAACATGAGGTAAGTGCACCCAGGGGAGGCACAGTATTTTGTACATACCTAGATACTGTGCACAATTCCTTCTTCACAGTGAAATGGATATCATGTTCTCTCCTGAGATACCGTTCGAGCGGCATCTGCCCATCTGAGACATGTACTGGGGTCGGAGTGGTACAGAGAACTTCACTGTGCTACGTGCCTCTCTCAAGATTATGACTGCAATAATGCGCAGCAAATTCGCTTCCGACTCGTCACCGTCAGCCCTTTTCGTATGTACAACGTATAATACACCGTAGTGCTCTGGGCTTGGCCCTCGCCTCGTCATACTGTTCCGTATCCGATCCGTAATATCCAGCAATACAGCGATGAAGAGTGGACACACTCACGGCTTCGCTGGCACGCCTAACGCCTTCTCGCAACAACCGCCCGGGTCACAGCCCAGGCAGCCCTTAGATTTCTCCTTGCATGGCTCTCTGTGCTTGCTCTAAACCCTGCATTATTTCTGCTTTCCATCTAGCATGCACTGAATAGCACTGCCCATCATTACAGTTGACATCCCGCTGTTGCTCATCCGCACTGCACGTACCTAAGGTACCTGGTTATTTGCCTACCTAGAATCGACCGTTCCTCCTTAGCCGAGTGCCAGGACCCTCACTTGGACTGGCCACAACCTCACGACTGCGCCTCACCGTGTACAAACCAACGTTCATCCATCTTCTGCCTAACCATCGCAGCCGCCTCACCTCACATCACCTACCTCGCTTCACGCAGTTGAGATCATCACTCTCTTTCCATCTCTTCTGCTTTGCATCTCGCTTCATCGTCCCTTTCATACGCGTTTCAAACTCTGTCCGCCGCGATATCATGGCCACCGAGGCCTCTATTGCCCTCACCAACCGTTCTCTCCGTAACATTCGCACTGTGCGTTACCTCACCACTACTCACGACCGGATGCTCATACTAATCATCTACAGGAACTCGAATTCCTCGCGGACACTTCCATCATCTCGCCAGAACAGTTGTCGTCTATCCTGGCCCAACTACCAGCCCAGACTCCCTTACATGCTCCCTTACAACCCCCGGCCAGTGTCTCGACCAACACACCCGTCGACCAGTTCTCGAACATGAGCATGAAGGAACATTATGCTCCAGTTCCAACGCCGGCTCCTCTTCCTCCTCCAGCATATGTGCAGGACCCACAGATACTAGCAGTTGCAACGGCTCTCTATGCATACACGCCCACAGACGCCGGAGACTTGGCGCTGCAACAAGGAGATCGGATACTTGTCACAGAGCACATGAATAATGACTGTACGTCCATTAGTGACTATTAGATCATGACTGTACTAACCTTTGATCAGGGTGGCGGGGTCGAAATGAACGTACAAATATGGAGGGCATTTTCCCTCGAAGCTACGTCAATGTCGTCGATGAGAAACGGCCGCCAATGGCTCAACCGCAACCATCGGATTATGGCAATATGCCCCTTCAAATCACTCAGACGGGTTCCACTACCAATTCCGACCCCCGAAAGTACAGCAAGTTCGAGGAACAGGGCAAGAAGTTCGGAAAGAAGATGGGCAATGCCGCCATCTTCGGAGCCGGTGCGACCATTGGCAGCAACATCGTCAATGGTATATTCTGATGAGGCGTCGGCCTCGTTGATGTTGAACTTCTCAGCCATTCAAGGCTACGACTATGAATTTGGGTAGAGTTTCTCAGCCACACGGACCACGGCGAGTACAAGGACTGCAAGGGAGTGATTAATTGGCACGAACTGAAAATGGGGATTTTCCTGGGCCACTCGGCGAGCATGGGATTCGGCGTTGGAGGGAATGTCTGGTGATGAAAACCATCGATGAGAAAAGCCGCCTCATCAACAATTGCAGGCGATACGTCCTGACAACTCTATATTTCTTTTGTTTCTTTCTGGGATCCTTAACTACGAACAAGACCACTTCGCAGACAAGACCTCGACCACTTTTCTCAAGAGCGAGACGGGGTGATTCAACCATTGCAAAGAGAGCATGAATGGAAGGAAGATGTGCTGCAGTGGGCCCCTATGGTGGCACAGCTGATGAATATGCCAGACATATTTGCTGCACATATTGTATTTGACGGGAACGGGCAGACTTCCATAGCACTTCCATATCGCTCCATCGAGCCTCTCATTGCCAGCATTCCTGCTCTCTCCACGCTTCTTGACACAATCCATGTCGTTAACCTTCCCTCCCCAGACGCTGTGCCTCTTGCTGGATGTAGTTCTGCCTCAGGCATGTGCCCGACAAGGCAGAGTATATCGAGACACGCCGCACTACATGCGCAGAGGCAAGAAGATTGTGTGAACGTGAGGTTGTGATCGCCTGTGCAGTAGGCACTCCGGCGGGTGCGCAGTCAAAGCAGCTGCATCAGGCTGCAAAGACTTTGGTATCGAAATTGAGTCGGCTCGTTCAATCCTCTTCTCTTGGGGGTGGTGGACCACTCGCTCGAATCATCTTCTCAATCATCTGGCCTCTGACAATCTCCTTGTTTTCCCCCAAACCCAGCGCCATGTATGCCAGAAGGGGAGGATGACCAACATAAGATGCGTACGAGTCGCGGACGATGTTATTCTTCCATTCGTAGGGGGTGGTGTCGGCGTGGCCGGTGCCAACGTATTTGGCCTGGAGAGATTCGAGTTGTTGGAGCGTACGGAGTTTATCAGCCATGGCGGAAGCAGGCTGTCCAGGTGCGTGAGAAGTAGCGAGACAGTGTAGGTCGAAGATTGGTGTGATACTGGTATTATCAAAACAGTTGCATCGACTTGATGAGATGAGGCTTTGCAAGTTCCAGTCAAATCCCAGTCCCGTCACTCGTGGAAAACCCTGCCGCTTTGACGTCCGCGGCTCTTGCCTCCACTCCGGCTTCAGGGAACCCTCCGTCACCCCTCCACCATCTGTGCCCTTCCGAGATCGCTGGTACTCTTCTCATTCTTGGGTGCAAATCCACCCCCCGCCGGTCACTAATCCTCATGCATTTGTACGCACCGGCGGCTTTTCCATTAGGTACGTATTCCTCTTGTCTGGCGGGGGCCCAAAGACCGCTCCACATCAAACAAGGCCGATATTCGAGATTGCCAGAGTGACTCTGACTGTTCAAAAGATTTGATTTACCTGCCCTAAAGTTATGGGCTGGGAAACCTGAGTTGCGGAATATAACCTCGGGAGTTCTGTCACCACTTGCGGATTTATTACCTAGGCACGCGGCTCCTTTATATTCCTAGATTCCCGTCCCTTAGCCACCCCAATGAATCCGATCAGGTCTGCTCTGGTCGGCGGCACCGCACGACGGTCCTTTACCTTCTCCCCGTCCGCTTCCATCCAAATGGCCTCGATAGCGGCGAACAGGTTGGCGGCAGAGAGTAGAAGGATGGCAGGTCCCCATGCGTCCCAGAATCGGAGCGCCTCATCGGCCGGCCAGGCCAAGATCAAGGTCAAGAACCCAGTCGTCGAGCTCGATGGAGATGAGATGACGAGGATAATATGGAAAGACATCAAGGACAAATTCATTCACCCATACCTCGACATTGACTTGAAATACTACGATCTGGGTCTGCCTTACCGGGATGAGACCAATGATCAGGTCACGGTTGACGCTGCCGAAGCGATCAAGAAATACTCGGTGGGCGTCAAATGCGCCACCATTACACCTGATGAAGCACGTGTCAAGGAGTTCAACTTGAAGAAGAGTGAGCGCATTGCATCCCTACTCGTCTCTCTACCATGCCCTAACCGTCGCATCCAGTGTGGCTCTCGCCGAACGGAACCATTCGAAACATTCTCGGTGGTACCGTTTTCCGTGAACCGATCGTCATTCCACGCATCCCCCGCCTCGTGCCTGGGTGGGAACAGCCCATCATTATCGGCCGTCATGCCTTTGGCGACCAGTACCGAGCGAAAGATGCGGTCATCCGCGAGGCCGGCACGCTGGAAATGGTCTTCACGCCCAAGCACGGCGAACAAAAGCGAGTCACGGTATTCGAGTTCCCCGAGACTGGTGGTGTCGCTCAGGCTCAATACAACACCGACGACAGCATCCGGGGGTTTGCACATGCGAGTTTCAAGTTCGCTCTTGACAGAGGGTACCCATTATACATGAGCACGAAGAACACGATCCTCAAGGCGTACGATGGACACTTCAAGGACATCTTCCAAGAGATCTACGAGAGTGAATACAGACCACAGTTCGAGGACAAGAAGATCTGGTACGAACACCGTCTGATCGACGACATGGTGGCGCAGATGATCAAGTCGAGCGGTGGCTTTGTCATCGCAATGAAGAACTACGACGGCGACGTCCAATCCGACATTGTTGCACAGGGCTTTGGATCCTTGGGTCTCATGACTTCCCAACTCATCTCGCCTGATGGGTTGACCTATGAATCCGAAGCCGCCCACGGCACGGTGACGAGACATTACCGGGAGTACCAGAAAGGTCACGAAACCTCGACCAACCCAATTGCCAGCATCTTCGCGTGGACTCGTGGACTCGTCAAGCGTGGTTCGCTCGACAACACTCCCGAGCTGGTCACCTGGGCCGAGTCGCTGGAGAAAGCGGTCATCGACACCGTCAACGAGGACGGTGTCATGACCAAAGACCTCGCGTTGGCATGTGGCCGAAAGGACCGCGAAGCCTGGGTGACGACGTCGCAGTTCATGGAAGCTATTGAGAAGCGGTTCAAGAAGAAGTTGGAGAGCGAGGGTCTCGGAGAAGTCGCGGCGAAAAAGTGAGTGAACAAGAAACTGGACTAGATAGATGGGGCTTGGAGCCTGCGGGATACGGCCGGTGAAGCCGATCCGATGGGAGCTGGCCAAGTCTCTGGGGTATATAAAGATGATCAAACACTACATGGTGGGCATGAAGATATCATATTGGTTGTCACCGCAGTAGACGAATGCAATATGGGCTTGGATTTAAGACGCCCTGATGCTCAGTGCGACTTGTCTAGCTGTTAGAACGTCCTTCCAAAAAAGGAATCGAGAGTACAGTGAAACTACTGGTATGTGGAAGGCCCTACGTAAGGGTTCCTTGGAGATAACATCAGTAGAATTCTGGTCTGTCTTGCAGCAATACTGCCGTCAGGGGTGCTCTGCCAGAGTTCCACAGGCCGCGCACGATAGAGGGCTGCGAATGTACCGTTCGGTAAATCGAGCCTCGTGCGGGATCGTTTTATTGGGAATCATTGCGAGAACCGCTCTCGGAGCAGATCTCCAGCAGTTGTCTATGGAACTAGCCGACCTCCCGAGTCCTCAAGAACCCATATTCCATGTTGTCGACGCCGATAGAAAGCACTTACGAAGAATAGAGCCTCAGCGCCGAGTACTGACTGGGACGCACAGAGCATGCAGCATCATCGTCATCATGCTAAATCCCAGGGAGGCACCCGGGGCGAGCAGGCGTCCTGCATTTCCTCTGCTCCTCAATTCATGCCGTGTGTGTGATCCTACTTCCTGGCCGGGAATTTGGGGGCGCCAATGTCGCTGCCACGCAGCTTGATGCCCAACACGCGTTCGAGTTTGGCCAGCACAGCTTGATTCGGCTGAGCATCGCCCTTTTCCAGCGACGCTATTACCGCCACCGGCTCGTTGACTTTTGTGGCGAGATCTTTCTGTGTCAGCTTCGGCTGCATCTCGTTTCTTCGTTTGATGATGGCGAGTGAGACTTCTTTGCTGACGGTCTTGACTGGCACGATATCGTCCGAACGGTCGACCTTGGTGGCATGTTGGCCTTCGACACTTGATTTCTGCAGGGATTGAACAGTCAGATTTTGGGCTTTGTCATCGGAGTAGGACCTGCCAAAGGTGTCACTTACAGTGTTTGCAGAGCCGTATTTCTTCTCCGTCATCAAGACGGCCCCAGACCGCTGGGCTGCGTTGAGGGCGGATTTGCCTTTGATCACACGCTCCCGTTCGGCGGCACTACCACCGCCACGGGCTTTGCTGCCGATGCGCACAACGCTGTCCCATTCATTGTCGGCCATGGTGAGAAAGTTGTCGAAACTGGGGACTCGGAGTATTGGTAGAGTCTGGATTGATAAGTGTGCGGGGCGGGGCGTCGAAACAGAGGAGATAGTCGTTGAATTGCGAGGTTGAGGAGTGGCCGTAAAGGTGAGAGGAGCGTCGAATGGATGTGGAAGAAGAAGAAGAGTAGTTATTGTCGTGTACGGTGTGATAAGTAGCAGTCAAGAACAAGTGTTGTTTGCAGGTGAGGCGAAATTCAATCCAACTGCTTTACAAACCGACAAGGGAGACGGCGTGAGGATCTAGAAGTTGCCATCACAAGATGTGCGATTGAGTCATCGTCACGGAACAAAGTATATCCATCGCGAACCAATCAGGGTTTAGCCACGTGATCAAACCCAAAGTTCACATTCGCGATCGTTTCTCAGGCGAGTCAAACGTACTCGAGTTCTCAGTCTCCATCTAAGCTGGAAGTTCCCATGAACGCCAGATCTCATACACTATACCACGTCCGGGGTCTTGACCAAATATTGATCTGGTGCGCGCGGAAGAGGCGGAGGGACCTGAGACTTGCAGGAGCCGGATAAATGAGGTATACGTGGATCAGTGTTAGGTATATTCAAAGTTCGGTTCATGATAGATGATCGGGAAGGCCATATGGTCTGATTCCCCTTCAGGTGAACCGACAGACTTTTATGTAGCTTTCAATGCTGTCAACAGTATTGGATGTCCCCGTATATCCAATCTGAACCCATTCAGCGCCAGAGCATAGCCCACCCCATACACCAGCACAGATATGACTATGTAATTTCTGGCCTTTTATTCGGCGTATCGAAAAGCAACTTCCTCGAGCTTCACAGTCCCGTTCTCGACACCAGTGACGAACTCTTTGACCCCCATGCCCCAGCGCTTCACGCCGATATTGGGTATATCCAAATCCGGAGGACACAAGGGCTTCGGTCGCCAAGTTGATTTGTCGTCTTCTTCATTCATATCTGGTCTCTGTTGATCTGAATTTGTGTCATGGTCGTCGTCGCCGTCGTCCGCTTGGGCGTGTTTGCCTCCTTCGGCCTTCCCTCCATGTCTCCTCGACAGCGGATTGTGGTGATCTCCGCCAACGGGTATCTTGTCCACACGGACAAACACAGGGATAACTGCTCCCGTGGCAAGGGAGAACTGTCTGTGGCCGAGAACATATAGAACCGCACCAATGGCTCCCGAATGACTAGTGAGACTGATTCGCTCACCATCCTCGTCGGCCATGATCTGGTCCATCAACTTGCCCAGACGGATTGCTAGAGCCTGGTCCGGTTCGCGAAGCTCGGCATCCCAGAACTGGTCGGCTTCCGTGAGGAAGGGATCTCGAGTGGTGACATATGTTGGATAGCGCTGGCGAATGTACGACACAGGGCTGCGACGGTCACAGGTATGGATTCCCGTGCCTTCACGTAGACGCTCCACCACGGTCGGGTCGAACGAGGGCACGAGACCGTCAAATGTGATCTCCGCGGTCTCCAGGGCCCGATCAAGTGGGCTGACGTAATATGACTGCGGCAGACTCATTTTCTGCTCCGCTATCTGCGACTTCCAGAACTCATTGACCTCTTTGGCTTGCCGGCGGCCTTCTTTGCTCAAGTGTGCATCGGCCCATATCATGACGCCCTCCGGGTCCCCGTCCAGCATCGAGTAGTGGCAGTCCCATGCTTCGCTACCGTAGTATCGTTCGGCGATGTTATGGTACCCATTCCCGTGCCGGCCCAGGAAAAGGAGCTTGTACTGCGTAACGACGTCCTCGCCGGTCTCGTGCCTCTTGCGTGTGGCGGCATTGTTGAGCGAGCTGATGTGGTGTTCGAATCTCTGCCAGGCCGTCTTGCCCTGCCCGCGATCCGGGAGATCCTCGTCCGAGTCATACGGGCGCTGCACCAGCCCGAAGTTGTTCTCCATAAACTGGAATCCGGCCGCTTTGGTGCGCGGATCATCTTGGAGGAAATATCCCTGGAGTGTCGCATATCGAAACTGATATTGCTTCTTTTGTGCTTCCTCTTGATGGGCTTTGCCCGGACTCGTGTCGGGATTTGTATGGATGTCGAGGACCGGCTGGCCTGTCTTGCCCAGCGAAGTGCCGACGTTGCTCATCTCGAGCAATGCGCATACAGCAAGCGATACGGTGAGAAGAAGGAGAACTGGTCTGTATGTTTTCGGGTTTCATTAGCCCGAGTCTCTGCCAACAACCAGATCCACTTACACAGCAACGGTAGTTCGACAGATTCTAGTTGGGCCTTTCCACCGATGATGCACATTGCGATGGCTGGAATTGAGCAGCATGATATCTCAACATCAAGACATCTTTAGTATTGCCCAGGCCATGTCACACAATGGGTGACACAGGTCGACTGCGCGGCCCAAGCAAACCCACACAAGTTAGAGTGAACGGCGTGGAGCATGTTCATGTCATTGACGCATTTCCACAGTGTACGGCGATTCAATTTGCCAATGAAGTGCTGTTTCGGCCAAAGTGTCAACAGCCAACAGCCAACAGCCAACATTCAAGGCTGAAATCATTCATAAAGACGGGCGAACTGCAAATGAGTCCTGTGCCTGGAAACCGACCTTAGTATGTCGCCGTCATGCCAGCGTCTTTAGGGGAGTGATACCCACCATTGCGCGAGGAAGGGCTGGCGAACAATGGACGGCTCAGAACCGTCTTGACTGACTGGTCCTGATCTTTGGTCGGCGTACTCTGGTCATCACTAATGGAGATGCGTGGGCCCATAGGTGAGGGCCTCTTCCAGCATGGACGCATCTTGTCCAGTCCGCCTGACCTCTCTCATATCTCCTCTTGCGGTAGTGCTGCTTTGTGACCAACAACCTGGATCCCTTCTTTTGGTCTTAACTTCAGATCGTCCACAGACTCAAACCGCGGCTGGAAGGGAATGGGGCCGTTGACTGCCGTCCGGACTTGCAAATGTGGCCGTGAGCTACACATGTGTGAGTCAGTGACAGTCCCTGTGGCTCCTGCAAAAAGCCTTGGTTGCGGCATCTTCAACCATCCGCTCGTGACATCGACATGAGATTGGCGATAGTTTGCAACTCTGGTCAAAGCCGGAAAGATTAGATCAGTAGACCTTTCGTTGGCCACAGGAAGTACACTGGATGAAATACAGGTGTTGTTGTGGGTGAATATGATGTTTGCTGCTTGGACTAGGTCAAGAAGGTCGCGGGTTTATACTACGAATATTTTAGTCGTACCGGGAGTAACCTCAACCCTCCCATCAGAACCATAATGAAGCCTACAAGCATGTAGCAGATATCACGATGGCATTAGGTTCAAAGGACACTGGAATAAAATAGGTTGCTTATTTGAGTTGCTGCATTCGGCTCTCTACAATTCTATCTGCACTGATGACTACCATGCCGCATGGTTGCTATGCACGCCAGTCATGTCAACGAAAAGCTCATGGATATGGAGTAACACCTTCCAGCGCGTACATGGCTGGCGTTCAGATCTGACCATTGGCAAACTCTCCATGCATAGCGGCTAGAGTTGTGAAGATGACGGTGAGAACACTTCGAATCTTATTCTGAGTTTTGATTCCTGGGCTTCCCTTACTGTCGTGAAGGGGCCGCGCTGTATCACTTGCTTTGGGAAGTTGTTGGGTGGCAGTAATGTTGGCTGTCGCCGATGGAGGTGCAGGCTGTAGGACAACGCTGCCAGATGTGATAGGCGGTTTGGTCTGGTTGACCAACAAGGCGTACATCGCTTCCATCGCGCAGAGTTGTTGACCCAAACCGCTTGTCCCGTCCCATCCGCCGATATACCATTTTGATCCACAGGTGTTGTTTCCTGGACCTCCAGTACAAGCACTAGCAGCACCCTGTGCCGAGCTTCGAAGGATGGTCCCAATTCGGCCTGCAGTAAATGGTGCCATCATTGACGTCCCAGCGAGCCAGCGGATGAGGTATGCCTTCATAGATAGCTGATCAGTATTACAACTCATGTCGAGCTCGCATTCCGCCTCAAACATGACATCTGTTGCATTTTGAAATGGACTGAGGAACGTGTTCGCCGACTCGAGAAGACCGGCCGTGCGCTCGACCCATGGGGAGGATCCATTGGTGTAATTCTGAAGCATCGCGGCACCATACAGGTAGACGGCCACGTTGTAAGACCATTGGTGGTGATCAATGCCGGTACAATTGATAAGCTCATCGGTGCCATCAAAGACATTAAAGAGTTGATCGATCAAGCCGATTCCATATGACCAGTTCCAGATAGTTTCCGCCCAAAGCACATAGGTGTGATTGCCGGTAAATCGCGCCAGCCTGGCAGAAAGTTGAAAAAAGGCTCCGTTGGATATGCTCTGCTTGTAGTAATAGCCGGCGTTTTCGGGGTGGAATTGCCATTTGAGCCCGCCGTTGCAGCCCGAAGAATTCCATCGCGGAACATAATCTTGCCAGGCATTCTGAACGATTGTGAGCCAGGAAGGAATTGGCGAAGGCGGTTCTGGGAAGGAGTATTCTGCCGCGGACATGGCAGCGAAAACCCAGAAAGCCTGGTCATCATTTCCCTCGTCAAAAGCTTCAGCAGCCATCACAAAATCGTACTTCGGGCCAAGCTGAGAGAGGAGCGCTTGCTGCGTGACGTTCCGGAACGACTCGTCTCCTGTGTAATGCCAGTATTCCACCATGCCTCCCCATGCACCACCGCTTTCCCACCAGTAATATGGAGGATATGGGAACTTTCCCAGGACTCCTCCGTGACTGTTGCCAGTGTAAAGCTGCTGTACTCCATGTGCGGTCAAGGCTGAAGCTGCGAGAATGGATTCTAGACAAGGGTCAATACTTTGGAAGTTCAATTTGCGGATCTGAAAAGAACGAGACTAACTTGGGTCATCGACATTGAGTACAATGGCAACAGATGTTGTACGTAGCAGGACCAAAAGGCCCAGGAAGACGAGGAAGCAATGCATGATGAAAAGCTGACAGGTCCGAATGGTGCTGGGAAGGATGATGCTGTTGTAGAAGAAGCGTCAAACGAGAGATAAGAGCTGCTTGACCAGCCCAAGATAATGAACGTAAGCAAAGAAAAACAATGAGTATTCACAGCCAGGTGATGAGAGAACAGCACGCGATAGTCCAGGTAGCTGGGAGTAAAGTGAAGCTGGCCTGCTGGCGCAGAAGATTTCAAATGGCGCAGGCAGGGAAGAGGCAAACCATCATCAGCGACACTCTCTTCCACTTCTTCGCTCACATATCTTCAACCTCTGGTAGATGCCCCCATCATCTGTGAGCAGCTCGATGGCAATCTTCACAGCTATTTATTCAGTCACTCACCGTCGTCCTGTCTGATGCCACCTCTCCAAGAAGTATGCACTGTGCAATGATGACGACCCTGCGCCTGTTGGTTGGCGTACAACCACAAGCTATACGAGAGATCGACTCTGCATCTTTCCGACCCTCCGACCCTTCACACAATTTGTAGTCTTACCTGCGAAGTTGATTGGCGAGCAGTGGGAGAAAGATAAGTACTTGATTTGTCGCGGTCGGCTGGACATGGGTCGAACTTCTTAGATGGCAACATACGAGTCCTTCGGCGTTGGCCTGCATGAAGATAGATCGTGTTGAGCAGTTGTCTAGGCCATCCTGCAACTTGACCCATCCTCAATTGCGCTCAAAGTGGCAGCCGTTTCTGCAGAACATGCGCCAGTACACTCCCGCAGTTCGCCGCGAACACAGGAGCGTGTGCACACAGAAATGCGATCACCCGTATTCAAGAGCTCTACGCAGAACAAGGCACCTTGCATGGCTAACATCCGAGCCTATCCAAAGCAATCTTGTCCCCAGTCCCGCTCCACCCGGGTAGGTTCGACTCAACTCCTCTCCTCGCTCATCCTTGTCATCATTTGAGGTAAGATAGCGCACATGATTCGCGACAAAGGATTCGGATACTTTCGACATAAAAGAATGGGATATGTCATGATTGGTGTGGAACTGGTCGGAGCTGATGGAGGACGCGACGGTGCTACCGAAGCTTCGATGGCAGAAACATTGGGGTAAGGAGAAGACAGATCTAAGCCATCTTCGCCAGCAAGGGATATCAAGCATGAGAAACAACATTCTGGGCAGAGGACTGATGATTGCCGTTGGTGGCAGCATGGGAGTGAGCAACGCAGTGAATGGTACTAATCATCGCAATGTTATGTCTGAGGTCTGGGGAGATTGTTTTGCAACAGCCTTATCACTTCTTATCAATCACTACTGGTATCACTATCACTATCCCCATCGCCATCGCCATCGCCATCGCCATCGTACAGTACTACTAGTAGTAGTAAGGTAACGTCGACGGCATTAATGAGGTTAAAGGAATGAACGGTGGGAATACTCATTATAACTGTTCCTTCTCTCTTCCTTCCTCATTCCTGTTTCCTCCTTCCTCTTTCCTCTTTCCTTAGGCAAGCCTATCTTCAGCCAAACATCAAACCCGATGAACACTGCAAAGCACGGTATGAAGCCGTCTTGCTATCTCATTCCGGCCTGATCATGCGGGAACGTATCCGGGCACCAACTTAGATTCGGCCCAACACCCATCCTACCCAAACCGACATGTCTTCCCCTCATATCCTCATCATCGGAAGTGGCCTCGGTGGTCTCACTCTTGCTCAAGCCCTGAAGAAGAATGGCGTCCCTTTCACCGTCTTCGAGCGTGATGCTTCTGCTACTGCCCGCGCTCAAGGCTATCGATTCCGCCTGCATGAGGGATCCGAGGCACTGCAATGGTGTCTCCCAGCCGACATGTTCGGCCTGTTTGAGCGTACCTGCGGTAACACCGAACTCGGCATCACTATGATCGACCCGATCACCGCCACCGTTACCAAGGAGATGGACGGTGCCGACCCGTCTCAAAAGAACCGCCCAGGCGGAACCAACGGCCCCGTCGGCAAGGCCTACACCGTCGACCGTACGATGTTCCGTTCCTTGCTACTCCTGGGTCTGGAATCAGACGTCCAATTCAGCAAGCGTTTCACGCACTACACCACCTCCGACGCGGGCGTCACGGCGCACTTCAGCGACAGCACAACCGCCTCGGGAACCTTCCTCGTCGGCGCCGAAGGCGTCCACTCCCCCGTGCGCAAGCAGTTCCTCCCCGACCACAAGCACGTCGACACGGGCGGCCGCTTCGTCTACGGCAAAACGCTCCTAACGCCCGAGCTGCGTGCCCGCTTCCCCGCCGCAGGCATGAGTCGCATGACCCTCATCACCGACAATACACCCATGACGCTCTTCCAAGAACCCGTCGTCTTCGCCCACGACGCATCCGTCGAGTCCCACGGCTTGCTGCACCCGGTCAAAGACTACATGTACTGGGTGCTGCTCTCGCGGCCCGAAACCTTCGGCCTGCCGGACTCGCAGCTCGTCGGTCTAACGGGCCAGCCCGCTGCCGACCTCACCCTCAAGGTCACGCAGCACTGGGACCCGGCCATTCGCTCCATGCTGGAGCTGCAGAGCGTGGAGCAGACGTGCGCGATGCGCATCGCGTCCGTCAAGCCGGACCTCCCGGCGTGGACGCCCTCGGCGCAGGTCGCGGTGCTGGGGGATGCGGTGCACGCGATGTCGCCGACGGGAGCGCAGGGGGCGAACGTGGCAATCAAGGATGCGGCGAGCTTGGCCAAGGTGATTGTGGCGGGGGTGACGGCGGAGGGGGTGGGGCCAGTTCGAGGCGGAGATGAGGGCGGCGGCGAGGCCGGCGATCGAAGGGAGCTTTTTCGGCGGCAAGCGCATGTATAATCATCGGCCGTTTGACGAGTGCGAGGTCATTGATCTTTAGGTCGGCCATGGACGACGGGTTTGATTGGTCCGGCTTGCTAGGTGAGTTCCCCCTTTTCTCCCATCCTGTCGCTTGATACCCGCACTTTCCCTCCTCTTAGCCAGCCAGCTAGGCAGCTGGGCGTTGTCGTTGGCATTAGCAATCCGTGCGGCTTCGTGTACGACAGATAGCTCGACCCCTTTCTCTCCTCTCCACCGAGCGGACCGGAAACGGCAATCCGCCTGCAATCCTACTCCCACATTGATATTTCTACGGCGCTGTTGGTGCTTTATGCGATGAACAAGTAGACGAGGGCAGCTGTGCTTCTAGTTGCGTAGTCGCTATCCCGCCTCGAACTTGCGGGCCTTGGGGTTTTCGTCAAAGACGATAAGTGCCAGAGAGAAATGAGGGGCATTCGTGAAGTCACCGGTGGCTTCCTTGACCTTGGTCTGTTCTTCCGTGAGGAAGCGGGTGAGGGTGATGATGTTGTGTTATAGTGTACACGAGTATTCCTCTGCCTTGGGTTAGATTGGTTGAGACACGAGTATAAACAATAATGACTCCCACTCCATCCCCACATTCTTAACGGTACTAGTAGTTACTGGAAAAGCGTACCTAAAGTACTGCTTGTGCCGCCAAGTCCGATTCGACGTCTTTGTCTTTGAACTTCAATGTGGACTTCTCTCACATGACGATATCTCACAATCCTGCTAGTGACACTACTATTGAAAGCCCTAAGTTGGAATGAGCAGAGTAGAGCGGTCGACTTGATTTCGTCAATCGCATGTCAATCCTTCGTTCTTCATTTGTTCAACCTGAGAGAGCACGACTTGACAAGCTGTTGGAACGTCACTTCAACTGCCACGGCTGAATCGCGATCATTGTCTGCCTCAGAAATTCGACCGACGTTTTGACTAGCGATTCGAGAACCAGAGTAGAGTGACGACAGCATGCCAAAAGCGGTCAAAGGAGCGCTCCTGCAATGTGATCCGCCTCAAATGGCCATGGTGCGGAAGATCGACCGCGAGACCAACAACGCCTACATTATCGAGGAAATCGACGACCACACCTGTCTAGTCAAGGAGAACAAGGTGGAGGAGATCAAGGCAAAGGTCAAGGAATTGATGGACACGGCTATGGGAGTGGATGACGATGACAACGATGACAAGGACAGCGACCTGGACTAGATGCAAATGATACTGCTCTCTTTCACCGAGATTGTATTCATTATCGACTGGGTGGGGGGTCAAGAGTGAAAGCAATTCCTTCACAAAAACGAGCAACCGAGAATTTTCAGTCACTGCCGAGACTCTTGCAGAGGTCCTATTCACAGTACAACAGAAGCCAAAAATCACCTTGGAGGTGACCCCCGAGATTGCTGCTCCCGGTGCATTCTCCTGCTGCTCGTCATCCTAACGAGGCAAGAGAAAGACGCACAAATGGAGGTGCTGATGTCGCAGCAACAACTCGAACCATACTATCCAACTATGGACGTGAGTCTGGCGCCTCAGACGGCGGCTACAGAGGAGAAGTCTGCAGGGAGGAAGCCTGAACCCATGGCATACATTGGCACATCGTCCTGAACAACCTGTGTCAAGTGCGGGTAGGCCGTGGTGTCTCTAAATAGCAGGAAGCAGGGGCTGGAACTCCATTCGAAGGGCAAAGAGGAATTAAGTAGCAGGATTCGGTTGGTTTGCTACAAGGTCGGGATCTCGAATGAGGAGGCCCTCCAATCCAACGCCACATTCAAGCGACTTCGCGTCATCCAACTGGTATATTGCCGCACAATTCAACTCTAGTTGTGGTATCTGTTTTGGTTGAGGAACCTCTCCTTCAGGACTTGTGCTACCCTTCGGACCCCTTCAATGAGCTGCTCCTCCTCCTCCCAAGCCCAACAAAATCGTGCACCCCTACTCAACCGGGGATCTGAACTCTTGCTTCCTTTCACAGCCATCATTCCAGCCGACAGCAATCGTACGTTGTAGTCCTTGAGTGCGACAGCAGCAACCTCATCGGCGGAGATGCCGGGCGGGAACATGATGTAGAGGAAGAATCCACCGAGGACCTCTTCGTCTTGTCTGCCGTCCTCGAGTTGAAATGGTCGACCAGTATCGATGTCAACGCCTAATGGTCCCAGGTATTCTTCTGTTACTCGCCGAAGAGTGGCAGAGCGGGTCTGGTAGGTCGGGATCAAGACGTTCTGGAGATGAGCCTCAAGTGCACCAGTCCGCAATGCGTGTTCGATAAGTGTGGAAGAGAATTGACCAGGAGCGCCGCCTGACATTGTGGCTCCGCTATACATCAATTAGTATCATCACACAATGAGAGGAAGAGTATACTGACACTAGGTTGAGTCGGACGATGAACGCTGGCGTCGCTTCCGCCCATCCACATCTCATTCCGGGGCCCATGATCTTGGAAAAGGAACCGTTGCTGACAGCGTTGCCCCATTCCAGGTCGCCTCCGGGTAGAGAGTGGTCGACGTCGACCAGCCTCGGCGGTGGCGGAGGGGGCATCGAGGCATAATGGAAGGTTCCATTTCCATTCGCATGACTGGCCTCTTTGTCCTTGGCTCCAGCTGTCCACGACAGGAAGTCGTAGCAATCATCAGTGATGATGAGCGCATCATTCTTCCTGGCCAGTCGCACAAGAGCCTCTCTTCTCTCCAAGGTGTACGTCTTTGCGCTGGGGTTGCTGAAAGTGGGAACTAGGTAGATCACATGCCGGTAGAGCTTGGAATACTGCGGCGGACGCTTGTATGGCGTCCCAGAGGCCTCTTCCTCACGATCGACAGCTTCAATGCGCTTGCTTAAATGCTCCACATCCAGCCCGTCCTCATCTTCCGGCACACCGACGAGGCGATTTTGGAACCCTGCATCTTCAAATACCTTGCAGGCGTGGAAATAGGTCGGCTCTACCATCCAGATGCGGCGGGTGTACACAGGATCTGTAAACGCCGCGAGGATGCAGGCCAAGTTGATGGATGCCCCGCCAGTGATGCAGATGCGCTCATACGAGATGGGTTCAGGGGCGTCATCCTTCGAACCGGCCGGTGGTGATCTTAAGCGGTAGAGTCGAGACAGCCATGCCGCCAGACTTCTTCGAAGCGCAGGGTCGCCAATGTTTGGTCCGTAGAGTAAGGCTTCCGTGGCCCTTTTGGGGTTGGAGAGTGTGGCATCGGCAGCAGCACGGAGAGCTTGGCTGGGGAGCAGACGTGGTGTTGGCCATCCTTTCTGAAGGTCGACGTGTGGTTGAGGGATTGCGGAGGTCTGACTTCCTCCTGCCATATTGACGATGGTATACCAACGGCCTCAAGTGCTCTTCAGTAGAACAAGCAACTCTTTTGTCACACTCAAACGCGAACAACATGATGAAAGGCCAGGAAGATGGTTTTGAGGATGGAGGATACTTGTTGATCTGGCCGAGGAGACCCGTCTCGACGGGGCTGACAACCGCAGCCTCCTGGGAGGCGAGGAACGTGTCCGATCAAGCTCCATCCTCCAGACGTCGATACCCATTAATTGCGACCTCTTGATGCATCCATCCCAAGGATGCGATATCGAACTGGGGCCGAGGAGGCACTGGTAGTGCAGCGGACGGCGGTATCTCAGCCTGCGGACGTTGAAAACACCGTCGGAATCACAAAATCCTAGCGGCCGATGGCGACGGCGATGACAGCGGGATCCACGAGAACCCTTGCTCTCTCGTCTGAGACCCTCAGTCTGTCGCATCTAGCATGCTTCAGCTAAAACAACTCCCACAAACCACCAGCCAGATCAACGCTCGCGGCTTATCATGTCCTCTTCCCAGCACGGCCGTATGGGTCGTCGACACCATGTGCGGCCCAGAACCGATGTCCTTGTTGGACGCTCTGTGGAGTCTAAGTTCTTCGGACTCGGAGGCGCTGTCCGCTGTGCGACTCACTTGCGGGTATTGACGAGAACGAGACCATGTTGGGTTCCTGAAGAAGAGCAGACAGTTCTCTGATATGTCGTAGGGATCCTGGACTCTTGGGATTCAAATCTTTTTCAATCTTACACACTTGGAAGCTCTACGTACGCCTTCCGAGTCTCAAAGAAAAGCCCATCATGCCGAAAATCAACTTGTCTCTCGACGCCGAACAGGCCGCTTTCGACCAGGAAGTCGCCGAGATCAAGTCATGGTGGAAGTCGTCCCCCAAGCAGCGCCAGCTGAAGCGGTAGGGACTCTTCTTTGCTTTGGAACGTTTTGCGCTGCAGACAGACTGACGACCTACAGCCCATACCCGGCTGAGCGCATTGCGGCGCTTCGGAGCTCGATCAAGCAGAAATACCCGTCGAGCGACATGGCATTGAAGCTGTGGGAGCAGATGAACGAGCACCAGAAGAACGGAACTTGTGAGCTGACATTCGGCTGCACTGATCCGCTGCAAGCGGGTGTCATGGCGAAGCATCAGCAGGTATGAGACGAATCACGTTTCCTGAACCCAACGAGACGCCAGTGTCGTATCACACGGATATCTAACAGTTTGTGGCAAAAGACCATCTACGTCTCTGGAGCGCTATGCGGTTATTCGCAGGTCAGCCAGCCTGGGATGGACCACGCAGATTACCCGTGGGATACGGTGCCCGCGACAGTCAACAAGATCTTCCGGTCTCAGCAATGGCAGGATCAGCGACAGCGCCAATTCCGCTTCCTGTACCCTAAGGCCGACCGGGCAGGTCTGGAGCAATGGGACTTCCTCACTCCCATCGTGGCCGACGGAGACATGGGCTTCGGCGGTCTGACCCATACGATGAAGATGACGAGAGCGTTCGTCGAGGCCGGCGTGGCCATGTTCCATCTCGACGATCTGGCAATTGGTATGCTCAGCCTTGTCCCCTCTTGAGACTGACACCGCGATACTGACGCTTCCGGCGAAAGGAACCAAGAAGTTCACCATCGGTGAAGGACGAACCGTCGTCCCGACCAGCGAGTATCTGTCTCGGCTGACGGTTGCGCGCATGCAGATCGACATCATGGGCGCGGAGACGGTACGTACAACTCTTGGGAATATCCTGTTGATCCTAAAGATACAAGGGCATCCTACTGACACGTTTTACTCGCAGATGCTCATGTGCCGCTGCGACACCGACCACGCAGGCTACATCACGTCTGTGATCGACGCTCGCGACCACGCGTACGTCCTGGGCGCCACCAAGCCCGTGGAGCCGCTCACCATGGTCCTGTCCAAAGCGCTTGCCAGCGGCGCCGACTACCTGCAGACGCAAAAGGACTGGCTCGCCTCGGCGGAACTGAAGACGTTCGACGACGCCGTCGCATCCCACGCTGCATCCTCCCCTGACAGCGTGGCAGCGTACCAAGCCGCGGTCAAGAAAGCTTCCGGCTCGGCCTCCATTTCGCTGTCTGCCCGCCGCGCCCTGGCCGCCGAGCACCTCCCCAAGGAGCTCTACTCGACGCTCTTCTTCGACTGGGACCTGTGCCGGACGCCCGAGGGCTCGTACCGCTTCGCGCCGACCGTCGACGCCGTCATCTCGCGGGCCCTCCTCGCGGCCGGCCTGGGCGAAGTCACCTGGGCGCGCATGGACTACCCCGTGCCGTCGGACATTGACACGTTCCACAAGGCCGTGCGCGCCGTGCACCCGGACCGCAAGTTCGCCTTCGGATACACGGGCGGGTACGACTGGCTCAAGGCGGGCTGGACCGCGGAAGAAATCAAGGAGTTCCCGTGGGCCAGCTCCAAGAAGTACGGCATCGTGTGGCATGTCCAGCCCATCTGGGCGCTGCAGGGCATGAGACGCGCCGTCGAGGAATTCTCGGCGCTTTGGCAGAAGGGTGGCATCGCCGCTTACATGAACGCCGTCCAGGCCAAGGAGCTGAAGACCAGCTATCCGGGCTTGGCCGCGCGCACCGACGGCGCTGCCGCCGATACAAACGGGGTCGAGGAGGACGACGCCGACAACGCGGGATACGCCAGGTTTAGGTTCTCCGGTGCCTACTTGGCCGATGCCCTCTTGGAGACCGCCACCATGGGCGTCGACGGCGCCGAGAAGGGCTTGTTGATGGGTGAAGGCGTGGTCAAAGGTCCCAAGGCGAATCGCTTTGGCTAAGAAAGCTGGTTGCGCACAGAGTGTCTTTGACTGGGGCTTGTTTGACCTACGTCGATTATATATGCCATAGTTTGAGGGCACTTTAGACCACCGTCAACTATTCTATGGTGTATGTTCGTGCCCGAATAGTCTTGGAGAAGAACTTCTGCTCTTGCTTCAACCGTTCCGACCCGTCGAATGCTAGCAGGTAACCAGGATGTCGTAATACAGCACAGCCTGGCATGAAGTCTGGCCTGACCAGGTCCAATCATGCAAAGGTTGGGAGAGGGTCTTCGGCTCTTTAGATTATAAAGGACCGATTGTCTAGTGACTGCCAGTCCACTTCTGTACGCACTCGCAGGGCAGTGCTATTGTCAAATTATAGCAGCTTTACTCCTTGCCCTTCTCTTGTGACGGCTCTCGGGTGGGGGAATATGGAGTCAGATGTACCCTTCCCAAGGCCCCTTGATGATGGAATTGATCATTGTAGTGTTCTATAATGTTAACAAGTGCCTGGTGTAGCGGGCGATTGAGAGATACGAGTCCTCGCCCATCTTATTTGCTTCATAACGTAACGAATGTTTTGATACAGCCAGTGTTTGAGAAAATCATAAATTGAACTCAGAACCTTTGTCTATGTAGCCAGCCCCTTGTAACACGACCTCAGGTCGAGACGTCTCCCAACATCATAAACGCCACAAACGAGCAGCGACTTGAAATCCCAGTGCTCTCTCCTCTCTGATTACCAGACATATCGGAAATGCTATTGAACAATTAGAACTTAATCACTGCAATGGTGTATGACAGTGGGACATACCAAGTTTTGCTTGTCCGTGAGATCCTTGAAGTCGGTGTCAGGGTGAACAACCGCGCCGGCAGCAGCGTCTCGCGCGTCTCGCCTCTTGTTCTCCCACCAGCAGAGGAACATGTAGACGCCGATGGTGATCAGGGACAAGGCGTACGAGCCCAGAATGGCACCAGTGCCCAGCGGATAGAGGGGTGCTTGGGAGGGTTTGAAGAATTGCGGCGACACGATGTTCGAGACGCAGTAAGAGACGAACATCATGGCATTGACGGTGACTTTCTTGGTGTGGCCCTGCGTACGATGAACATGTCAGTTTTCAGGCTTTGGGAACTGCCATCAGAATATCCAAAGGGTTGGAACTTACCGCCGTGTTCGCGCCCACAAGACTTAGGGCGACGATGTACGGACCCAAGTAGAAGAAAGACATGTACATGGCCGCGAGACGGCTGTGGTACGATGTCAGAGGGAGTGTGTATAAGAAAACGGCGGCAATGAGGCCGACGATGATGCCGAAGATGATGAAAGCACCACGGAAGTGATACTTGGGGAAATACTTCAAGGCGAGGAAGACGCCTCCGTTGCAAATGTAGCTGGAAGCGGTCTGGACGACACCATTGGGGATGGTCAGGAGCGCGGACCGCTGCGAGCTGTAGCCTAGACCTTTCACAATCAAGGGCGAGAAGTTGGTGAGACCACCGTTGGGAATACTGATCCAGATGTTGAACAAGAACATCAGCCAGACCCGGATGTCGAGGAAGGCTTCGATGAATTGCTCTTTCTTGAATGTCTTGTTTTCAATTCCTGACCCGATCATTAGTGGCCGTTATCTAGACATCCAGGGGTGTCTGGAGGCTTACCCGTCTGGTTGATTCGGACACGATCAATGGCAATGGCCTTCTCCCTCTCGTTCAGGAACTTGGCCGTGACTGGGTTATCGGGCAGAAAGATTCCCACAGCAAGGCCGTAGACGAAAGTCATGGCTCCGCAGATCCAAAAGAAGCTCTGCCACTTGTGGAAGTGATCCATGTTGATAAAGCCGATTCTAGAGGATAGACAGAGGAGTCAGACACTTGACTCTAAATGTCAATTTCGAGCTTTCCACTTACGCATAGCCGATAGGGCCGGTGAAACAGGTGGAAAGACCCGTGTACATCAGTCCGTAGCGGAGTGATTGTTCCCTAGCCAAGGTCAGCGGACCATCGCTTGTCATGATCAATGTTTGAACTAGGCACTCACGATCGGGTATACCACATGGAGAGAATCAACATGTTTCCAGGAACGATTGGAGCTTCCAACAGACCCAGCAGAAAGCGACAAGCCATGAGCTGCGAGAAGGTTTTGACGAAGCCGGATCCGATGAGCAGCACGCCCCAGAGCATCATGGCGATGGACATGGTCTTTGCAATGGGTAATTTCTGCAAGAGCGAGCCCGATGGGAAGCACCAGACCAGGTAGCCAAACTGGTAGGAGCAGTGGTTAGTCCAGTCATTGATGCGTGTCGAGAAGCGGGCAGAGGGCAGCTCACGTAGAAAATACTCCCAATCCACGAGTACTGGTCGCCCACAAGGTTCAGGTCCGTTCTGAGCCCGTAGAGGGCGGCGGTGGCGTGGCTGACCTTGTCCATGGCCGGCAAAAGGACATTGAACCAGAGGATGGGAATCAATCGAAGGTCGAGCTTCCAACGAAGGCGCCAGACTTCCTTGGGCGAGTAGCCCTCGCCGCCCTCAAACACATCTGCCAGACCTGCGGCAACATCGAGTTTCTTCAAATCGGGCTCGCGAAGTCCCTTGTCCAAGTCGTAGACCTCGCCGACCTTGCTCTCTGATCTGGTGTCGGAGGGCTGGACGGCAGCCATGGTGGGCTCGATCTTTTCCATGTGGACGGCGTTGTGGTTGGGGTTGTGGTTGTGGTTGTTGTTGGTGTCCAGTACGAGCCCAGTAACGGTGGGTGTATGGATGATGTCGAGGACGAGTGTCGAGGTTCAGCCATGGCCTTATATTCGATCTCGACGGTGAACAGGGTTCAGTTAGACACTGGTGGCCAGCATCGAGGCGGTATCTGAAGCAGACTTCATCGGGCTTTGGGAGTCCGACAGCCGGTGCGAGGCGGGGCACGACGGGCTCGACATGCCGCCCAAGACTTCGACCCCATGTGCAGTGGTTGGTAGTATGTCCTAGTATGTCTGTATGTCTGTCCTGTGTGCGTGGGAGCGGATCTCGAACCCTACCTAGGTAGAGAATTGTGGACACCACAGTCTTGTCTAGATAAGACTGGGGGTGGAGGTCGAACTCTTGAAGCCATCAGAGGTTGATTGAGCTGGCAAGGTGTCCATAATCCCGTTATGTGGCCGGGCATCTTATCTGTTGTGAGGACCATGATCCATACTGTTGTGTGTGGTGGTTACTAGTACTCCTTACATGTAGCTCCACAGATAACGAACGAGGCTGAAGATAGACAAAAGCGGCGGATGGGGATTGAAGGGAGCTCTCCTCTCCCTCTGCCTCTCGCTCTCCCTCTCCGTTTCCCGCTCCCGCTCCCGCCCACCACCATCACCAGATGCGGCATACTGATACTAGTAGAGTCCATCACTTGTTAGCCACGAAGCTGGTGATGTTTAGCCAGAGTGGTCGGTCTCTTGTCTCCTGCGCTATACGAACAAGTCTCACTCCCCGTCTTTGTCTCCCTAGGTTCTCCGCTCTCGATCCTATCCTCCTATCCTACTATCCGCAAGACCCAAGAACCAATAGCCGATCGTTTCATTATCACCCTGTCCGGCCATCGTTGCAACGTCGATGAGATATGAACGTCCCTTTTTAGGTATCTAGGGTACAAGAGTACGTGCCAGACCACCAACGACCGCATCGCACTGTCAATACTCCGACCGTTCCAACCTTTCTGCTGCTGCATGAGCAACCCTGACAGCACCTGTCGTCAACTCGGTTGAGGGACATGAACCGGTCCTATGAGGTCGGTCTAGCCTCTCGCCTGATATGGTAGCTTGATAGTCGCTGATCCACCCCCTCACAGGCTCATGGACGGTCCATCACGGTCGACCGCATCTCCCAGCCCGATGGCGACGTCAACGGCAACGGCGACGGTGATTCCTCGCATCCAGCCAAGCGGCAAAGGGTCCTGGCTTGCAGGCGATGTCGCCACCGTAAACAGAAGGTACGTGCCGCGTCGGAGGTTGTGGCATCGAGGTGCAACCAGGCTCATGGTTTCCAGTGTGACGGGGATGGTCAGAACCCATGTTCCAACTGTAGGAAAGCCAACGAAGGTAATATCTGGCAACAATGAACTCTTTGCATTTGGGGGGCTTGCTGACCCGTGTCTATGTCTAGATTGCTCACCCACCGAGCCGACATTGATCCGAGCACGGTACAGAGCAGAGTAGGTCATGGTGGACAGCCGCCAGCAGCCAGCCGCCCACCGCCGGCAATCAGACAATGTAGCTGATGGCTGATAGCTACGTGCAATCCCTGGAGCAGAGACTTGGCCAGCTTGAGCGTCTCATACCACATGAAGGGCAGCAGGCACATCCAGATGGACCTTCGCTTGAAGGCAGCCTCGACGCTGAGGAACCGGCCCATCGTACTCACGACAGGCTGAAGGAGGCACGCCCCTCTCAAGCCGGGGATGCACCAAACGGGCCACCCGCCACATCCCAGCAGACATCAACCGATAGCGACCATCCTCCGTTTAACAGCACCCAGCGGGTCGATACCCGTTCATCAACCATGCCAGGCTACGACAATGGCGCATCACCGGCTCAAACCTACCACTCCCAGAGCACCCATGTATCTGCATCTCGGGGATCTGGCTCCCCCTCTTCATATCCCTTCCATGCAGGCTCTACAAATCCCCCTCATTCGCTTGTCAGGCGAGACAGCAGCATCGCCGGTGTCTTAAGCAGCTTGCCAGCTGCACGACATCAGAGCCAAGAGCCGCGGTCGGCTGCTCTGGAGCTCTATCTGAGCCACTTGGCGATATGGCCGGATGCGATCCCTGCGCAGGTAGAGGATCATCTGATCAGCGTCTACTTCGAAAACGCCAACAGGAGATACCCTTTTCTCTTGAAAGACACATTCGAGACGTGGCATGCTTCTTGGAGGCGGAGAAACCACGAGCAGAGCCCGGGCGAATTATGGGAGGGGTTTTTCGTGAACATGGTAACTCGCAAACTACTGTCTCCTGCAATGAAAGTCCAATTGCTGATCTCATAAGCTCTTCGCCGTCAGCTTACTGCTTGACCCGAAAAGCCCTCTGAGCGTATCATACACATCGCAGGTAAGACATATCCCGGTCATCCTGAGTCAGGCTCTGCTAAATCATGAAGAACTTCTACGACCAAGCGGTCAACAACTATTTGCCGGCTGTGTTGCGGCATCCGAGCCGGCTATTGCACGTGCAAGCGTATCTGATGATGTCGGTTCATGCTTTATTCTCCCCTTCGACGGAGCAGATCTCCCTGATGATCTCTTCCGCAGTCCGGTATTGCGTGGTGGCGCGATTCCATCTGGTCGAGTCGGAACCAGAAGCCGTGGATACAGCCGCCAGGATCGAGATCCAGATGCGGCGAAGAGCATTTTGGGTCGCATACGGCCTGGATCGACTGGCGTGTGGTGTCTTGCGTCTGCCCTTTTCAATATCAGATGACAACATCACCGTTCCGGTAGGTTCGTCCCTTTCTGTTCATTTGACAGGGGCTGACAGAAGAAGCTCTTTGACAACATAGACGACTCTTCACTCTTGGATGGCTCGTTCGTGGCGAACGGGAGCGGTGTGATTACGTCCGTTTCCTCGGCGCTGCATAGAGAACGTTGTTTCCAGATTCAGTCGGAGATCCTCAATGTCACCATGAGGGCCGACTTCACCATGAACTTCGATTCGTTGTCGGACTGGAGATCCTATATTCTCTCCAAGCTGGAGCACTGGAAGTCGCAGTTGCAGCAGGCGGCAGATTCGAACACCAAGAGACCTACTGATGGGCGTTGGATCCTGATCGTTTACAACCATTGTCTGTTGTATCTCCATACGCCGACCAAAGCTAATGTTCGTGGTCCGGCTGGCGACTGGTCTGTCCGTGCCAGCACTCAGACGATTTCGATCTTTCGGAAATTCCAAGGCTACCGAACGATTCCTCATCCTATACTGGGTGTAAGTGTTTCCACCTCGACGTTGGAGCCGGCATATATTGACGAAGCATAGCTTATCAGCCAGTTCTCTATGGGCATCACGATCCTATATTGTCTCTGGGCCACTCCCCCGAAGTTCCGGACCGAGTCGTACGATTCCAAGCACATCTTCGAGGCCATCAGGGCTTGCTCCAACAACCTGGCCATCATAACGGAAAAGTGGGAGAGCACCAAAGACCTCTCCGACATCTTCGAACTGTTGGCAACGGAGATTCCACTGGCCGAAAGTGCCTCTTCCTCGGGGGAGCGAGCAGTCAAACGCGTAGGGGAGGCAGCAGCCGAAGAAATCCGCTCGAAGCTGCCTCGGATCAAGTCCCTGGTGCTGAACCGAGAGACTATCCGCATGATGGAAGAGATGATCAGTGAAGACTTTCCAAGAGACGAAGATGCAGCCATGGATACATATCCCACCAGCATGGGAGACCGGCAGGAGCTTTCCACCCCGGCTATGCCCATGTCGACTCAAACTTTCTTCACCAACGGGTTGCCTCTGTATCAGTTCCCCAGCCCCTATCTCGCGGGGGACAACTCCACCGCCCAGTTTGGGGCCCTTTCTCCCGGGCAAACTTTAGAATTCCCCGGCATCCTTTCTGGGTACGACATGTTTTGATCACTGTGATGGCTCGATGGGTTTACACAAGTTCATCAAGGAGGAAGCGCACAAAGATCTGTCCCACGAAAGGACCGTCCTGCTCCCGTCCCACACGCGCCATACCTTCTGCGAAGGCCTGATCGTCAAAGGCGCCCTGCTCCAGCTTTCGGTGCAGGATTTCTCGCACCGTAGTTTCGTCGAACTCCGGGTGCCCTTGCAGGGAAATCAACTTCCCTGGCACGTACATGCCCTGGACAGCACAACGCGGCGTCGAACCCAGGTTTTGCACCCCCTGGGGACATTCAACGACGATGTCTTGATGCGAGAATTGCAAATTCTAACCCCGTCAGTGAGCAAGAACCGGACATGGCTCGTGAAATGTCTCGCTCACCAATTGATGCTTCTTGAACAGAGCCTGGCCGGCAGGACTCAATTTGACAGGCAGCACAGCGGCTTCCCAGCCAGCCTTGTTGAGGCCCACTTCGACTCCCATGGCTCTTCCCAAGATCTGGTGGCCGAAGCAGATGCCGATGATCTTGACACGTCCGGTGTTGATGGCTGCCTGTGTGTATGCGACCAGCTTGTTTATCCACGGGACATCCAAGTACGCGGAATGCTCTGCCGAGGAGGGTCAATTTCTATCCTGATGATTGTCCGGGTCCATGAAGATGGATGGCCTTACTGGAACCGGTCATGAGAACTGCTTCGATCGAAGCGATGTCTGGGTATTCCGCATCGTCCTGGTCGACTTGCCACTTGGTGACGGCGATCTGCTTGGGATCTCGCTGGAGCAGGGCTTCGAACATTCCACCATACGTGCCATAGCGGGCTCGTGCCCCAGGCTGAGGTGTGTCACACTCGAGGATGGCCAGGTGAATTGGCGCAGGAGCAAAGATAGAACCCATGCTTGAAACCGCCGAGTTGATTCCACGGAGCTCCGGCACCGCACGAAGAGCTGTGTTGTAAAGGAGGGCTGTCCTCCTACCGGCCGAAAGTGCTATGACTGAAAGACGCGAACGGGTCGAACGGCTTGTCCTTCTATCTCCATGACCGATAAGTATGAGGTAGATATGCACGGCCAGTCTCCTGCCGGTGGTGGTCAAGAGATCTATAGCATGCGAGCATTGCTCCGCACGATGGTGTAGGACCCTGACACCCCTATGGCTGAATGGGTGTCGGACATCTGGACTCCTATCAGCCCCGATATGTTTCGGCGTTAGGGCTTCCTTAGGTGCTGGTGACAGCGGTGCTTCCGTCGCCGAAGAATTCTCTTGTAGGACAGAGTAGGGTATCCCTCCCGTGACGGACTCGGACTACTCCGATGCGTCTGTTTCTGTAGTAGTAGTACCACTCAGAAGCCTCAAAAGTGGTCGCTGCACACTCACTGCTGTTCCTGGCGGTCGACTGGGTTGGGATATCGTATCCAGGGCCTTCTCTGTAACAGCGTCAGAGAGAGTATGATCTCCGAAGAAGATCCGGTACTCTTTGAGTAATTGATTATTCAGTGCCTGCGTTGGATGGCGTATGGCGTATAACGTTATGTCAAAAGTCCACCGATGTCATCCGGATTATGGCCCTGTACCTTATATGTACTATGGCTCTGGAGCCTCGTAGCCTTGCGCGCCTGCTGGACCTTCGGCTCTGGTGCCTGCTCCGTGTAGGCGTCTCCAGGCATATCTAGGTAGACATCTCTAGGCAGTGGTTCCCCGGCGGTTAAGGTGTTCCCCCGCTGCAGTACTCCAACTTATAAGTTATCCTCTCCAAGCACACTTGCTCCATACCCGTCGAGCCGTCAATATGTTGTTGGCTCTCCTGCGGTTCCCCTCACACCATGTTATTAGGGAAATAAAGGGTCATTTCAGAGTACAGTACGTGTATCCTTGAAGATTTAAAGTATCCCCTCGCCCTATAGGTACCTTAGGTACCAAGCCTAGGTGCTTAGTCCCTATAGTAATGTACCTACTACCAGGTGCCTAACTTGAAACTCTTTTATCGTTTTTCTTGTTTGCCTTGCTAGGGGACGTGGCTCCTGATTTTTCACGACGACTACGACTACGACTACCACCACTACGGGTGCATTGTCTCGCTACTATACTACGATGACGACGACCACAACTCTTCTCTTCATCTGGCCAGAACCAGATACGATCTCCGTCGAATACCGGTCCCCAGCTGCAAAGCATCGTTAGCACCCACACCATACACCCTACACCCTAACCCTCCATCGACCACCCTACTACCTACCTGGTCTCTACCTGGTCTCGACGATCTTTCAATGACAGGCTGCATGCTTCCACTGCTGCTGCTCCCGACTCCGTTTCTCTCACCTCAATGTCCTAGTCCGGCCTACCTCCCACGAACCCCGCCGCGCAAGTCAAACCATCTACGAGTGTAACATCAGATAGTCAATTCTCATTCTTCTCCTGTCCACGTATTTCGACTGCAAATATCTGCTGCGATGCGGGAAAAAGAGAATAGGATACATATTGATAGAGTGAACACCAGTGATTCGATAGGTACACACAACCGCTACTTGTTTTTCTGGGCTCCACGCCGTGGCTCTGTTTGACTCATCCATCCCACGCACTGTCCGACCAACTCATCAATCTATCACTACGAAGACGCCTAATCCATCTGCCACTGCAGTTGGTTGAACACTTCAAGTTCGGCATTCAGACTTGTCTCACTTATTCAGTCTGCCTCACCATCCAGGTTCAAACGAGTTCTCCCAATCATCGACACAGCCGACCTCCATTTCGACCACATACTGCTACATCGGCCGCCTCGACTGTCACCCACTTGATCCTCCAAGAGGGAAACACCCCCTCAGACTCGCTGTCAATTACCCACTCCAAGCGCCGTTACCGCCTTGCTGAGGTGCCTCAGTCACATCCTCGTTTACCACTCCCATTCACCCCGTTCCTCTCGTCACACTTCCGACCCACGGCGCCTCTATCGCTATCACGGGAACCATCTCGGCCTACTCCGTGTCTTACGCCTGTCATTCGTGTCATCTCTGTCGACTTCCTTCGCACGGCCAACGGGGAAAATGTCATCTTGAAAGAAGATACAATTCCCTACCTTTCGCCGTCTTCTCCTCCAAGTTTGTCGTAACACCATCCTCCCGCATGATGCGGCATTCCTCGAGTCATGCTATTCCCTGCCGGCTCCTTGCCTCCGGGTCCTCCGATCGAGACAAAAAAGGCCTTGTTACTGCTCGACTTTCAGAATGATTTCGTCAGCCCGGAAGGAAAGCTTCCGGTCGCCAATGTAGTTTCTTTCCTCCCCAACCTCATCCCTCTCGTCGCCGAGTTTCGCGCTAAAGGGGAAGTTATCTGGGTCGGCACCGAGTACAAACAGCCTCGCTCGACAATTTCCGCCACAACCGGCGCACATTCCATCCTCCTCAGACACTCTCTGCGGCAGCAAGATCCAGACGACGGCACCAGTAAGTATCTCAACGCTCCTAGCGACGTACGCTCACCCACCGAAGACCCACTCTCGCCATCCCAACAATACGATGTCACACATGATCGGGAAGCATTCCTTGCGCCGCTCTTGATCGCGACCAAGTACCGGTGCTGCATTCCAGGTACGCCGGGCGCTGACTATCCGGACATCATCAAAAATGTCATTGACCCGCAACAAGATTTGGTCATCCTGAAGTCTCATTACTCGGCCTTTACAGAATCACCGCTTCTCGTACATCTACGGACCAGGCTCATTACCGAACTATACGTCTGTGGTTCATTGTCCAACATTGCTGTCTATGCCACCGTGCTGGATGCCGTATGTCACGGCCTTCAGGTCACCATCGTCGAAGACTGTCTTGGCTTCAACGACGAGAAATGTCACGTGGAAGCCATGCGTCAAATGGCCGACCATATGGGGGCCAACGGCATTGACTGTCAAGAGCTCCGCGACGATCTTGCAGGTCTGTTGGGCGACGTCGTGCACGAAGAAGAGTATACCACCAGATTCCAAGTCAGCCTGCCACCCCCTGCTCGCCGGACCAAGTCTCATACCTCGAGAAAGCAGATCCACAATTGGATTGCCGGCTTGGACGGCCAAGCAAATGAGGCCTTGGTGCCAGAAGATTCGGCGATGCTCTCAATACAGAGCGCGGAGCGGACCAACCATGGTGATGAGTCCGTCTCCAAGAGTGAGTCTTCACCAAGGGTCGTGCAGCCCCTTCCATCAGAGCGTAGCTCTCCACGGAAAAGATCAACGAGTGATGTCGATTCTCTAGAAGAACCTGTTATCCCTAGAATTTCACACAAAACTTCAGTCCGTCGTGCTTCCAACACTGCTTCCACTGCTACGCAAATGAAACGCAAGCAAAGCAGTTCTGCTACGCGAAAGAAGCGTCCGTCGAACGAGTCCCAGAGGAGGTCCCCTCCTTCTTTCACCCCTATCGCCATGGTTCAAGACCCACCCGCTCGCACTCAGGAACCTGAAGAGGCTGTCCTCCCCGAAAATGACCTAGGCCAGGACGAAAAGGTGACTCTTGATACGACTCCAGATGATCGCCAACCTGGATCAAGAAAGAAGGACAAGCTGGCCCTGACTTTCCTCGGGCCCGAAGACACGATTGGCCAGGGTGACAGTCGACTCTTTTTTGACCTTCTGAATTCGGAGGAAGCAGACCGGGCATTCCAGTCCTGCAAGGAGTCGATCAAATGGCAGAAAATGTTTCACCGCTCTGGCGAAGTGCCTCGTCTGGTGGCAGTCCAAGGAGAAGTCGCCGAGGACGGATCATGCTTCCCAATCTACAGACACCCTGCTGATGAGTCCCCGGAGCTGCTGCCGTTTGATTCAACTGTTAATATGCTGCGATTGGCTGCGGAAAGAGTGGTCGGCCACCGACTGAACCATGTTCTGATTCAATGGTACCGAAACGGTGAAGACAACATTTCAGAACACTCCGACAAGACTCTGGACGTCGTCCACCGCTCTAACATTGTCAACTTGAGTTTGGGGGCGCAAAGGACCATGACCCTACGGAAAAAGAGGTCCGCCGTGTCACCCGTAACTCAACATGGAGGATCAGAGATAACGAGGCCTTCTCAACGTATTCACTTACCTCACAATTCTCTCTTTGTCCTGGGCCAAGAAACCAATCGACACTGGCTTCATGCCATCCGAGCTGACAAGCGGCCTACTTCCCAAAAAGACCCTGCCGAACTGGCGTACGAAGGAGAAAGGATTAGTTTGACCTTCAGACACATTGGAACCTTCATTGATCCCACTGACAATACGATTTGGGGACAAGGGGCAACGAGCAAACAAAGAGAAGGGGCTCGACGATTGTTGACTGGCAGAAAAGCCGAAGAACAAGGCGAAGCCATGGTTCGTGCCTTTGGCCAGGAAAACCATCGGAGTACGGAATGGGATTGGGATGAATGGTATGGCAACGGATTCGACGTGGTCAATTTTGAGACCAAGAAAGCATGACAGCCTCGGCATTTGGCAATCAGAGGGACCCTGGCACTGACAAGATTAGCCAACGATCTTATGACGATCCATCCGTGCCGAGATCACAATCGTCTCCGAGATCACGGCAGTATTGATAGCCAATATCGACAGGACGCGTACTTGTTTATACGAAACGACATGACAAAATGAAGGACATGGATCTAAAGGGTTTCCGAAAGACCATTGGAAAAGTGGACATGGAATACTGATCGACGAAGGGAACTAAGGGCTGACTCAAGGCTTCCGAGAGGAGAAAAAGGTGATCTCATCTATGAGGATCAGAGAGCTGGAAAGATATTCAGCCACACGACAGCATATGACAACGAAAAGATACGGCCCGATGATGCATTACGGACGCTTGACGATTGATATGAGACGACACTGCACTGAGCCTGGCTTACTTGCAGACTTTGATGGGAACTTTTGCATAGCGCAGGATAACAGATAGAGACATGCGATGATTGATGACCTATTAAACATGTGTGGACATAGTAGTCAGACACTCCAAAGCCATAGGATAAGCGTAGGAAGTGTCTTCTCATCTTCTCTCTCTCTCGTCTTTTCTTTGTCCCACGGCCATATATGAGCTTCAGTGCTCATGCTCTACGAAGCTTCTCCAGAAACCGGAACTACAGGTGTGAACTATGCCATCGACGAACCAAGCTCACTTTACTCGTAATCGAATCAAGTGTAGAGAAGCGTAGCTTAGTAAAGAGGATGCGGTCATGTGAAATCCGTACACTGACGCCAGCTAAACTTGGTATTGCTCTAGTGTTCTTCATACACCTAGGAAAGCAGCTCCCCGAACATGCAAGCCCCGTCCGTCTCAGCAGTTCCCGCATTTCCGTCCTTTCGTCTCTGAATGGATTGTGCTGCAAAGCGCAGCTACCGGTCACAAAAAGCCCCCCCTTGGTTGCATAATCCTCACCACCGAAACGCCCATCCTGATTCCCCGCCGTTCATCAATCATAGTCTTCCACATCCACAACGGGCCACGGCCCAGCGAACCAGGGCACCATCTTCTGCCTGCCACTATCATACTTGTTGAACTGGCGTTGGCCCAGCTGCTCGACCCTTCATTTGCGTGTAAGTCTCTGGCATCACTCAGATGAAATAGTCTTGTGGGAGAGATGCCAGACCAAGAATGGTGCCCACGGTTCCGATAGCCATACCCGCGACGGTTGCTGCAGCAAACTTGACGAAGCTGCCACCAGTACTGGCACGGCTCTTGGTGGATTTGTGCTGGCTTCTCTTGACTTTCTTGCGTTGTGGCATCTCTGCATTCTGAAGCTGTCCATCTTCGCTAGTCCTCGAATCAGACTCTGAACGAGTCGGCAACTTGATTTCGAGGTCATTGTTGGTATCAGCAGGCTTCTCAGGTTCGAGTGACTTCAGTGTCGGCATGGCTGTCTTTTCCTGAACGGTCGATTCCGATGAGATTTGATCCGCCTTACGCTTCAATGCATTGTTGCCCAAGTCAGCGGAGCCTTTTCGATGAAATTGGTCAACAACGCTTGCAACCTCAACCTTTGGGAGTTTCTCATTCCGTGCTGCTGGAAACTGTGGGAGCCACACATCGTTGATATCGTCTGGCCAGAAGGTCGAAGATGGAATGACTGGCGTCTCTGAGGTGGCAGGAGGCGCACTCGGCGCACCATTGCTGGCATTGCCTGGCACTGGTTCGTAGAGGAAAGAGTTGTGCCCTGCCCAGGCGTAGTTGGAACGGCTTTCCTCAGGAGTAGTGTCGTCTGCAAAAGCACCGAGACGAATGTCCTGAATGAAGGGAGGGCCATTGCAAGGCTCGGCCGATGGCTTCACCGTTGCTGCATCAGAAGGATTTAGGGCACGAGCACCTTCACTCGAATAGGCGCCGGAGACGGAATCGTTTGATCGAGCTTCCGGGCTGTCGGAACTGCCTATCGACCCTGAACGGCTCTGTTCTCGTTGGCTAGCCGGCGACGTTACGTCCAGGTGTTGACCCTGATCATTGCGATCTGTTCCTTCGTCATCCTCGCAGCCATCCTCATCAGAAACGTCCATGCTCGAGGTCTCATTGTGGAGCTCGAATTTACCGGAGATGTTTGTGGTCGACATCGGGACATGGCCTGTGAGATGAAGGTGGACGCTTGAGTTGGTACTGTCGCTTTCAACCTCAATGATCGGCGCTGCAAGAGACGCTTTGTTCTTCTCTTCAGTGTGATCGCTCAGGCCGATCGGGCTAGAGGTAGGGCTTTCCATATGAGAGCGTTCGGCATCCGAAATGTAGCTACCTTGGTCGGAAACGTCGGAGTCAGGGACAGCAAAGGTGCGTGATGGTGGGATCACGATCTCGACGTCTGTCTCGCGAATCGAGTCTTGAACAACCTCAATTTCCCAATCGCCTTGCGCTTGTTCCTCCTCGTAATATGGCTCGTCTTCTTTGTCATGGGTATAGGCCTTCGAGCATTCCTCTTCGTAATATTCCGCCTCGCTGTAACCTGGCGAGAAAGAGTTGCGAGACATGTTTGGGAATGGGGGTATGGCTGGAGTTTCCGAAGGCGCACTGCTGCTGCGTCAACAAAAGCAATACCACGTATAGGGACATTGAAAGCTTACATCCCATCTGACCACTCCCAGTCCATCGCGACCTGGAGCGCCTTGAAATTGCCTACCCGAACATGAGCACCTTGCAGTTTAGTAAAGGGTGACCTGGTTAGAGCGAACTTACTGCTCCCTCTCGTCACGTCAGCACCCAAGGTTATGACATCTCCAGGCCAGATGGTTTCAGGAACGTTCGTTTTCAGTCTTCTGCCATCAAGATGGGTGCCGTGCATGGATCCGATGTCTTGAATCATGATTTCCTATTACTGTCAGACCGGGCAACAGTGAGGGGAAAGGATCGGCAGACCTCGGTAGACGGGTCTGCTGTAAGAATGCCATGGTCTCTCGACATGACTCTTGAGTCAAACCAAGCGTTTCCTGGGGCAGGTGACAGTTCTTCGGGACCGCTGAGTGTTCCGCGGCCTATGTTCACCTTCCATTCCGGATGTTGGAGCACGATCGTTCGTTCAGGAATGGTTTCATGGAGGTTGACATCTTCAAAGAATAGAGTCACTGTGATATGTTAGAGAATCTCAGCAGCCACAGTCTCGGGGGCTGTAGACGTACCACGTCGGGCGGGAGTAAGGTGAGGCATCCTGGCGAAGTGGGCGACGATGATTTGGACGACTGTGTGCTCGCTTCAGCTGGCCTTGCAGCGCGATGCGTCGGAAGAGCTGAGTTTCTTAGGATGATGAGACAGTGGTATTGGAAACAACAAGTTGTTGAAGAAGTGAGGTTTGGACGAGGTTGACTCGTGCAGGCTGCCGGAGGGGTCGAGGTCAAGGAAGGCCCGGGAACTAGGTTGATCTCTTTGGCCGCCGGGGGAAGTATTCAGTATTGTAGCGGCAGCCGGTTGGCAAACACAAGGAGAGGTGAGGATTTGGTGAGGTCGTAAAACAGGACGTTTAAAGGGAAAGGAACACGCCTCCCAAGGTGTCAATGGTAGTCAGTAGTGAAGCAGGCAGTGGGGATGCAGTGCGAGTTGAACGGGCGCAGGCAAGCAGTTGGTCGGTTGAGGTGTATGACTGCGCAGGCTGCAATGAGGGGCACTGGTCAGTCGCGCCTGCCGGGGAGGGAAGCAAGAAGGAGACATGCACGGAATGACATCCAGTTGAGTTTCAGCGATAAGGCGTGACCCATACCTTATCCGATTAGTGCCGCTGCTTATCGGCCTCCGTCTCCACCTCCGCTGCTGCCTTCAGCCTTGCTGGCATGTGCCCTACGCAAGGCTGAGTCACTCACCATCAGAACAGTGCGTTGCAGGGATCAAGCTAATATCATCCATACCTACACTTGTCCCCGACTGGGACTCGGGGAAATCTTCACGTTATACGTCCTTAGAAATCATTTTCAAGGCCATTATTTGTTGTACACTCCTACACTATTTTGATTCCCATCGAACGCCAGATCGCAGATCCAAGTCTCCAGCACGAGCCCACCCGTAAGGACGTTAGCTATGCTGAAGGTTCAAGTGGTGCGCGGTGAAAGGAAACAATCCTCACAGCCATCGCTCATCTGCACTATAACACCGAGAATTCAAGGAGAAGGGAGCCAGCCGCAAAGAAACGACAAATGCAGGTTCAAGGGTCACCCCGCGGATTCTATCTCACACCTGGAGCGCCACCGAGCGCGGCTCCTTCCATCTGCTGAAGCCGGGACGCAAGTCGAGGGTATTTCTGCGATACTTCCAGCTGGGTTCGGGTGGCTTCGGCGTACGACAGAGCGTTGACAATCTCCCCTTCGGTCCTCGACAGCTCGGCAGCTCGTTCGAAATACTCCAAAGCTCGGACAACTTTGCCTTGTTGAAGAAGGAGCTGAGCCATTGTGGCAACGGCGATGTCACACTCGGGATCAACTATCAAAGGATTAGTCGGCGCACACTCACGACTCGCTCTCATTGACTTACGGATGAGGGCCTTCTCGCACAGCTCCTCAGCTGCCTTGAAGTCTTGCTTCCATTGATACAGTGCCAAAGCTTTGTTGATCAACGGGAGGACATTGATGGCACCGGTCGGCTTCGTCTGTCGTTCCATCTCGATGGATGTGTCGAACCTCTCGATGGCCTCTTGATACTTTTGTTGGTCAAGAAGGAGCTCGCCATAATAGTTGTAGACGTCCGGCACTTTGTCAAAGTTTTTGATGCATCTGCGGAACGTCGCCATCGATGACGCGATCGAGCCCATCTTGTACTGGGTTACACCGAGCTGGATGTGCGAGTAGATGAAGTCCCTGTCGAGGTCAATCGACTTCTGATAGTCCTTGGCAGCGTCGGCGAACTCTCCGAGGATGAAATGGAGTTGCGCTCGATGGTAGTAGATATCCGGATCGTCCTTGTTCTGCGCCATGGCCTTTTCAAAGTCCTCGGCAGCCAGGTCCTTGTTGCCCAATTCCAACTGCATGCTCGCACGCTTGATGTAGGCCTGGGTCATCGAGGGCTGCAGTTCCACAGCCTTGGTCAGATCCTCCAGCGCCTTTGTTGTGTCTCCTTCAAGGTACAAGAACGTGGCGCGCATGTTGAGGGCAAAGGCCTCATGTTCGCCAAGGTCCCCAAGCTCGACGGCCTTCTTGAACGCAGCGGCAGCCTCGTCATAGCCTTGCCCGGTCTTCTTCTTCATCGAGAGGAGCCCGCGCTGTAGCTGGCCCTTGCCAGTATTCTCGTCAAGTTCCACTCCCTCTTCCAGCCCAGCCGGCGGAGGCTGTGGGCGGAAGCTTTGGAGGTAGTTTGAGACGAAGGTAGCACTTGGTAGCTTGTTCTTCTTGCCTGCAAGAATGGCCTTACCCTTCTTCTCAGCCACCTTCTTCAGAAGTCTCTCCACACTCTGCGCGCTGTTCTCGTTCTTGAACCCATCGATGATGCAGCTGGCGGTGTAATCTAGCAGCGCCTCGGAGAACATTCCCAGATGCTCGTATGCATGTGCTCGCCGATTTAGAGCCTTCACGTACTCTGGATCCATGGAAACCGCGGCACTGGTGTCCTCCACGACTTTGTCCCATTCGCTGAGGGCGTTGTAGCACGCGGCTCGGTTGGAGTAGAAGACGGGATCGGGTTTGCAAAGGATCGCCTTGCCGTATAGTTCGATGGCCTTGTTGTAATCTTTAGAGCCATAAGCCTTGTTGCCCGCAGCTTTCAGTTTGCCTGCATATGTGGCTCTCTCCTGCTTTGTGTCAGCGATGACCGATATAGATCAAGACATCCAACCCCACCTCTGCGCTCAAGCTTTCTACCGTATTTTCATTGATCTCGGGAAGTTCATCCTCGGTCTCAACGGCGGCGGGCTTTGGGGGGACTGTGCCTAGCTCCACTGTCAGTATCTTGCCAAAGAAGAGGAAATGTCCAATAGCAAACACTCACCGGCCTCGGCGTCTTTGAGACTGATGCCAGTGCCAGCCTTCTGTGCTTCCTCGGCGGCCTTCTTTTCCTTCCGGCGCTCCTTTTTGCTCTTCCTCTTTTCTGTGGAGGAAGGAGGTCCGCCTGTTCTCGGACCGGAGAAGTAATAGATGGCTCCGGCACTTGTGATGACTACCACAGTTCCTGCGATGGTGTATGCAACTGCTTTGTTCTCCGACACCCAGGTAGACATGCGATCCCATAATGACGGGGCTGCACGCGAGGCATCGATGGCCACAGGATCCGCCATTGGTGCAGGAGTCTAATGTACAAGGAGGAACAAAGCGAGGACAAGAAAGGGACGATGCAGAATGGCAGGGAGAAGATGGCAGGGCAATCTGGTGGTGACGAGGATACAAAATGTTTCGACAATTCAATTCGGACTCGAAGAATGATCTCAGATTGAAGCGCAGATGGAGATTCGCTGGCTGGGCGGCGGACCAATCGAAAAGCTCCGTGATTTGTCCAGCTGCGAAATCCTGCCGCATCGTGCCAACAAACAATCTTCATCTTCACGCGCTGGATGGCTGGTGGCTACATCTCCTCCTTCTATTCTCTGACCTTGTTTCTATTGACTTATACGGTCTCTACGCTCTATGAATGTGTGACCTCCACCGTAAGAATACGACAACTCGGCATTCCAGGCGCAACGGACGTGCGCAGTCGTGGATCACAATGAGGAACCCTGCGAACACTCGGATACACGAAGGATTGCAGAGGTACCTGGTCACTTTCGGGCTGATTGAAGTCGCCTAGGTAGTCGATCTGCCCACTACCATATTCAAGTTCAACAGCAAAGACTGCATTCCTTGCCTTACAGGCGGACCGAAACTATGGGCTCAGAGGGTGTGGCTGTCATTCTCCAAGACCCCAGTTTCCGTATCCTCACGACCTTGAAATACATCCACTTCAATGACCAAGATGTGGCCGAATTCTCCCAGCTCGTCGGGCGTTGGAAACAAGAGGAATCGAAGTCCTTGCGTTTCCACCGACAGCGATTGAGAGCGGCTGCCCAAGCATGTTCCTGGGCACAAGTGTCCAAACAATTCGAAAGCGATGACGCCGCACTTGATCTCCTGCGTGCTATTGAGCAGGCTATCACCAAGGAACTACCCGAGCCTGGCCACGGTTGTATCAAAGAGATCCGCGTGCGTGTTCTCGTCGATGGCAGTGGTCATGTGGATGTGGAGACGGTGCCAATGGGCAATGAGAGGCCGGTACGATGTCTTGTGGATGATGGCTTTTACCAGCTCCCGACGTTGCTCTCCCCGTCCTCTCCCTCAAACGACTCGGGAGCTCCCTTTTCAAAGGTGTATGTCGATTTCCTACCGACTCGAGCCTCCATCTTTACCGCACACAAGACGACATACAGGCAAGCATACAATCAGGCACGCTCGCGAGCTGAAATTGTGCACGCCGCACCTACGGACGCCGAGGTCCTGCTTTTCAACTCTCGGCGGGAGATCACAGAGGCAAGCCTCTCTACCCCGTACTTCTTCCGCGAGGGAGGCTGGGTAACCCCTGCGGTAGTCTCGGGGGGGATGTTGAGCGTCACCAAGCTGAGAGCCTCGCAGGGAGGGTTCTGCACCGAGCGGCTCGTGACACTCGATGAGCTGAGACACGGTGAGATGATCTGGCTGAGCAATGCGGTCAGGGGTTTCTTTCGAGGCATGATTTACATGAAGGATCATACAGCCAAGGACTGGAATCAGTGACAGATCAACTCGTCCTCACTCGCTCTTTAACGACCGATCTTAACACGGATGGACGTTGGGTGCATTGTACGCCATCAACAGCGTCAGTACTAGGATGCAGGGTGAAGCGCTTGTCTACCGATACTGGGGCCCTTATAGGTGAGCCGTAGAAATATTATGGGAAATAAAACGTCGATCACAGTCGCCATATTGGCTGCTTTCACAGGTTCATATATTTCTCGACTATCTTCTCCGCAAACGTCGCTAATGCCATGGCTCATGCCCCAGTCCTGATTGAATATTCATGACGCTATCAGTTTCCGCCATAGACGAAATCTTCCTTTTCCTCTATTCTTTCGGGCTCAGGCTCATCTTCTTGATATGTCCCTTAACCTCTCCATTTGACGTCGATTCCATGTCCTGTTGGATTTCCACTTTCGCTCCTCCAACGCTCATCTTCTTCGACTGCCGTCCATTCTCCGCGGGTTCTTCTTCCTTCTTAACCTCACCCTCCTTGGTCGAGGGGGCTGCTTTTGACTCGGCTTTCACTGGATGCGAATTTCCCTTGTACACGAGGGGCCTGAGCCTGAAGTAGTCATCCCGCACTTCCTCGGTGACGAGTTTCCTCCGCGCCTGGAAGGCTGCGACGTAGTCCTGGATGTACTTGATGCAGATTTGCTTGAGCTCGCCAGTCATCATTTCTCCAGACTCGTAGGCTTTCTTGATCCGGGTGAGTTCATCGTCATCCTCCATGAAAAACGTCAGATACTGGAATGGAACATCCACCATAGTGTTTCCGCCCAACTCGCGTTGCTTCTCGGCGGTGTCCTGCCCTCCAGAGAACGCAAACTTGTTGATTTTGTTCTTTATCTGATTGGGCGTGTCGGTCAGGAAAATGGCGGAGGAGTCGACGCTAGCTGACATCTTGGATCCTGGACCCTGCAACGCGGGAAGGAAGATCGAATGGATGATGGATGGCTTTTTGAACTTCATCTTCTCTGCATTATCGCGGCATTGGCGGAAATACGGGTCTTGATCGATGGCGCAGGGAATCAAGCATGGGATGCTCCGAACTTTCGAAGGATTGTCTCCGAAGATGTGAGGAAATGATGTGGCGAATGCCGCTGCCGATTGTGTTGCACAGAAGTGGAACTCGCCGATATTGTTGCTGTCGTTGAAGCCAAACGTGCCTTTGATCTGGTTGATAGTGATACGCTTGGCCATGGCGCACACGTTCTCGTAGAAAGCGCCACCCATATAGCTGAAATCGGAGAAGATGAAAGTTTTGGCTGGGTCGAACCCAACGGCAATGATGTCCTTTGCGTTCTCTCGGGCGAAGCGTTTCGAGTCCTCGATCGTGATTTTCTGTGAGTGCATGAATTTTTCGTCGTCCGTCAACATGATGACGAGTGGGCAGTCGAAGACATCTTGAAGATACTTGGTGAACTCGAAGGGGATGGAATGCCCAACATGCATGCTGTCGCTGCTGGGCCCTCTACCGGTGTAGAGATAGAAAGGCTCACCCTTCTCGTACCTGTCCAAGATCTTTCCTAGCTCCCGGTGCGAAAACACAATGCCCCTCCGCATAAACCTGTGTGCTCTTTTCCCCGTCACTCTTTCGAACCGTTCTAGGAGTTGCGGCGTGATGGGTGTCGCGCCGAATTCCCGGGTGAGTTTTTCATAGTCCACAGGGAGTAGTTTCCCACTCTCGTCCACGCCGCCCGAGACCTCGAAGGGAGTGACACGCTGCGCAACACTCTCGTGGTGCGCCTTGTCTGCTAACGCGCTGGTGGTAAGATTCGGAGGTTGCCCAGGTTCGTCTGCGGGCGCGGGGGCTTTTGAGTCAGGCTGGGAAGCCATGATTGCGGACACGGGGATAGAGGACTGCCGCGAGCCGGACGGGTGTGGTCTGCTTAGTGTTTTGTTTCTCGACTCAAGCCCACAACCTCATGCACGACAAAATTGGTTGTCGATTGATGACTCGGGGCGAGAAAGTGGGGATGTGAGACTCCAGAGAAGAACTTATGTGCTGCTTCGTGCCTTGTTGGTCTCGTTCTGGAACAACAGGATGTATGGATTCGTCAATTGCTGAAGGGAGTTTAGGTATCAATGGCAGCGAAGTACTACATAGAGATATCTACAGCGCAGAGTCAAGACAACAATTAAAATTGCCCGCAGCTCACGTGGCCTCCGCTTCCCCAGACGGTGTAAAGCAATACTGTTTAGTACTAAATACCTATCAACCCTTTCAATTTCCCAAGTCATGGTCTACCTCCTCCTCCACAGCTACAATCTGGATCCGGTATTGATCCTGTCAAATGTCTACCTACCCAAGTACCTTAGATGCTTCGACCTTTACACGTCACTTGCTCACCGGGGTGATAGTCGCAAATACGGATACGAAGCCTCGTTAGACCAAACACAAAGGGGCCAGGCTCCAGCAATAAGTTGTGAGCATTGCGATTCCCTTCATCTAGGTACCCTCTTTGCATTCGCAACTACTCTTGTGCCATGTTCAGATATAGCAAGTATTTCTAAATACTTCAAGTGATCTATTCCCTGTGTCAAACAATCAAATGACTCTCATTCCAACATCGATGCTTGCCTTGAAAGTCCTCGTTGTGGGTGGGGGCGTGGCCGGTCCAGCCCTGGCGCACTGGCTGTCGCGTATAGGCGCCAACGTTACTCTCACTGAGCGCTCTCCGCAGATGCGAGCATCTGGTCAACAGGTGGACCTTCGCGGTCAAGGGGTGGCTATGATGAAGAAAATGGGCATCGAAGCTGCTGTGCGGGCAGTATCTATCCATGAACCCGGCACGCAGCTCATCGATGTCAACGGCCGCACTAAGGCATTCTTCCCAGCCGCGATGGGCAGTACCGGGAAGCAAAGTATCACATCAGAGTACGAGATCATGCGCGGCGACCTGGTGAGGATTCTGTACGGACTCACGGAGAATCGGCCAAACGTCCGGCATCTGTTCAATACGACTATCGAGCGCTTCACGCAGGACGATGAGAACGACCCCAACGGCAAAGTCCATGTGAGCTTTCGGGACGGCCGCCAGGAAGACTTTGATCTGGTTGTTGGTGCCGACGGAACTGGTTCAAAGACCCGCGCAATGATGCTGAGTCCAGACGATCCTGATCCGCGGCGTTTGCGTGGAGGGTATATTGGCTATTTCAGCATCCCCTCGCAGCCCGGCGACTCGGATCGGTTCACTTTCTGCCATTTGCCTGGGGGCCGCGTGGCCCGTGTCATTGGCACGAGAAAGGACGTCCCCGACCTGACGCGGGTATATATGCAGATGCGTGGGAAAGATGCTGTCGTCGATGCAGCATCGAAGGCGGGAGATCTTGCTCAGCTAAAGAATGCTTTAGCCGATCTGTATCAAGACGGTGGGTGGGAATGTGAACGCTTCACGAATGCACTACGGCATGCACCGGAGGCTGATGACCTGTACTTCACACCGTTCGTGGAGGTTCAGCTTCCCCCAGGATCCTGGTCGAAGGGGCGTGTTGTCCTGATCGGTGACGCAGCACACTCCTCGACAGCGGACGGATACGGCTGTACATGGGGCTTGGTAGGGCCCTATATCCTGGCCGGCGAGATTGCGACGCTGTTGAAGCAGAAGTCCTCGCCCACAGCGGCCGTGGTTCCGGGGGCGAAGAACTATGAGGAGAGGTTCAGACCAGTAGCCACGGCGACGCATGGGGGCAGCCAGGTGGCTGAGTCTCTGTTTTTCCCCACATCGAGCGTCGGAATCTGGATGCTGCACACGGTTGCAAGAATGGCGGCGTACTGGCAACTCGACCAGATGGGCGGCCTGAGTGAGAAGACATCGAAATGGCAACTCCCAGAATATCCCGAGCTGGAAAGAGAGCAGGGTGAAGCCTGAATTTCATTCTCTCTTACGGGCGTGAGTGATCTCCAAACTGCCCATGTACTTTAGCACGTCCCATCTCTTTCTGTCATGATACTCACTCAGCTCTACGACATATACAACAATAAATACTGCCCCGATTTGTGGACACATTCGGTGCGATTGAAGTCAGCGATGTGAAGGGCGGCCTGCTATTCCCCCTGTCCAGTGTCTTCCCGCTGCATAATACCAAATACTGCTGCAGAACCACAGCAGAAGTAACTGTGTATAGGCCTGTAAAGAATCACTGCTGTCGACATTCTGATAGACCCCGCATTCAGGATTCAAACATTAAAGCAGCAAGTCAAAAAGTAGAGGGGCGCAATGGCCCCGCAGGATAAACTCTCCGGACCAGCTCAAAGCAGCAAGATTACATGTGGCAATATTTTTACGACGATTGGGCGCTCACTGCGATCGTCACACTCTCTTCTCACTCTACTGCCCAGCGGCACGCGAGCAACAAGAGGGAGTCTCCTGGGACAGGATCAATTATCTCCACGCTCTCTTCGCCTCGCCTCGCCCTTCATCTTTGATATCCATTCAGGCGTTGTCCATGACACCATGAAATTCTACGAGAGTTCGTTCAGCTACGACTACACATTTCCTGCCGTCACCTTGGCCTACTTTCTCCGCTATCCCAATCCATATTCGAGACATGTCTTGAGTTCCGATGTCATCGATCGCTATGTCGATCCCGAAACCCAACGTCTGCATACCGTACGGCTTCACTTGAAGAAGTCCAAGGTGCCTGCCGGCATTCTCAAAATCCTCCCTGGGGGCCTCGCCGGCCCTGGTGGCTCGAGCCAGAGTTACATCCTCGAAAAGAGCACTATTGACCTCAAGGAAGGCTGGATGGAAACCGAGTCACGAAACATGGAGTGGACGGGGATATTGAGTGTCGTCGAACGTCAAACCTATCAGCGGCAACGGCTTTCAGACATGCCCACGCCGAGCCTGCCTGCGGATGATGCACAGCGATCCAAGGAGACAACTTCGTGCAAAACCGTGGTTACGTTCGTCTCACATCTGGGTCAAGGCAAGATCTTTGGTCACAAGAAGCACGAACATGCTGCAGCTGCCGAGGAGGAGCCGCCCAAGCAGGGTTTCTTTGCTGCGCTGTCGACAGCAGGGATCCAGAGGACTGTTGAACTTATCGGTGTTAAGCGAACAAAGTCCGCGTTGGTCAACGGCAAGGAGGGCATGAATGTCGTGCTCGAACGGTTGCGCAACGGAGGAATTGTCGGTGTTCTCGAGGGCATGAGGAGGGATCGAATGGAAGGCATGGGTGGAGAAGGACATTGGAAACAAGTCTGGTTGAACCGCCATGATTCTGGTGACCATGACAAGGACTGAGCAACCTCAGCCTAGAAGTCTGGTGTACCTGTAACACTAACATATCTGGACTTTGAGCAGGGCGTTGGGGTTGGATTACGAGCGATGAGGCTACTTTGGAGAGTTGTATCTTTTCATGTTCACAGTGCGACCCTAGGTAGGCATTGAACAATGACCATGTCCACTCACTCCTTGGATACTGAATCGAGGTCTATCGTTTCTGAGAGAACTGGTACAGACCGCCGGTGTAGGAGGTTGTTATGCTACACGGGTGGAGCGAGCAACCGCCTGGGATGGCAATCTTGTGGAATTCAGGCTGGGTGCAATGCTGAACCTGCTGCCGTGAGGATCATGTATATGATGGTATGCACGTGAAAGCAATCGTCAGGTCGGCATGTGTTTAGCCCGGATTTGGACCTCCTCACCAATTTTCCGCGAACTCTGATGGTGGATGGTCGGGAAGTCACGGTATAGGGGGTCATCATTCATCGGTGTCGCTTTGATGGGTTTCATGACGAGGGGACCGGCTGGGAACCCGTCTGGGTGCAACAGGTGCCAGTGGTAGCCAGGAACAAGGTACATAGCGCAGTATTAATTCTACCTGCTCGGAAAGAGTAGATCTTTGGATTCCAGTCGATGATCGCGCCCGTCCGGCGCGAAATCAGGACCAACTCCTTGCGGACGATGTTGAAATGGGGAGCGGAGACAGCATCCAAGTCTGGTTTGTTGAATGACAATGCTCGCCACACAATAGGGAGGATGACCGGCTGGAACGATATAACAGTTCCATGGTACCAAATGGAAGGCTCGCTTGGCTGAAATGGAGAGTTCGGACAGGGTGCAGTGGCAGGAGTCGACGGAACCATCGGCCTGGATGACAAGAGCAATAGCCTGAGAGGCCGAACCAGACAATAGTATCGGGAACAATACCTATGGATACCTACCAGGTAAGTAGTAATAGTATAGGAATTCCTAGTAAATTACTAAGCGTTCCGAAAAACGATTACGCTAAGATATTTAGTATGATCTACTACTCTACTTAATAGAGTAGTATAGAGTATAGATTAGTTCTTATACGTCGCTAACTTCCTGTTTAATAGTACCCTTAGTCTCTTAATTAGGTCCCCCTTAGTTCCCCTTCTAGGTATTACACTACTCGGCTCGGTGCTCGGCGCTATCACTTGGAAATTTCACGCCCGACTCACCCCTCTCTGGGATTAGGGTGATGCCGCTCTATATTCACCCTGAATTGCTGCGCCATAGATATGGTGTCTAATAGTATGGTGTCCTATTTCGGCCCGCATACATTCCCTTGCGTTGAGCCGTCTCTATTTCATCCTTGACTCCCAAAGGGTGGACGTCGTCGCCTCTCTCTCTTGCCACTTGATAGATATCATGGAGCAAGATAGTCTAACAAAAGTATAGTTCCCCTGTGATATATCACATTCTCCTCTTCAATGTCTCATGCCTGATCCGTCGACTTGCTCTAGGTATCTCAAGTAGCGAGGGCCACTTGCCTTGCGCATTGAGCGACCCCATCTGATGAACACAAGCACCAGGGCTGTCTGTGCCAAGCCAGCGAATGCCGCCACGATAAAGGCATTTTGATATCCTAAATTCGTTACCCATGGGGTGATTCTGTACGAAGAAAGGTCAGCATCAAATCCCCAGTCGACGCTTCATTGGAGAGCATCTCACCCATAGCTCACGGCGAAACTCATGGTATTGCGGATCAGAATGACGGTGACAATCGCATCTGCGCCCAGGTCTTTGTATGAGTCGATACAGTAGCTGATAGGCAATTGACATCCAATAGTAATAGACGATGCCAGCAGACCCATGGCGAAGACAAGGCCAAACCAATGAACGTGATGAGCGGCACCAATGCCCCAGAGCAGCAGCGAGCCGGGGGTTAATGCGAACAAAGCGCAATACAGCCATAGACGGTGCTCGGGCTCCCTCACCCCGTTGTTCTGTCGAGCTTTCCAGAGGACGAACTTGTCTCCCATTGGGCCCGACCAAAAGGCGCTATGTTTCACAGTAAGTATTTGCTCTTGCCTCCATTTGGGGGCCTATAGAACGTACCCAAGAAACACTCCGATAACACAAGCCACATAGGTCAGGCCGACCATGCTGGACCGGAAGTTATATGGTGCGTCAGTGAAGATGACGGAGGCGGTGCCATTGAGGACGTTGAAGTAACAAATGACTGCGCCATACATGAAGCCACTGAAAACGACTATCGGGAAGCTCAAAAATTTGAGGGGCCGCAGGATCATGCCCTTCAGTTGGATCGTCTTCTGTAGGTCTTGCGTCCTGAAGAGTCTCATACGTTGCAGATACGTTGTCTTGTGATAGGTCGTGGTTACTGCAGTGGCAGAGGTTTTCGGTGAAGTACTTGGTGCTTGCAGTGCCCCTTTGGCATCAGTTGATTGGGGGACGGCCATGGCTGTTTCTGACACTTGAGCTTCTGCAACGAAGTCCTGGTCGACACCAGCAAGTGCAGGTCGGACAAAATTGGTTTCCTCCATCAGGAAGAAAAGAATGACAAGTGTGCCGCCATTGAAGATTGCACACCAATACTATAACCATCAATGAGCCAATGTAGGTGCAAAGCAAGCCACGTGGGCGCTCATGGAAGTGGAACGTACCAAAACCCATTGCCATCCTTGACCATCATTAATAAAGCCTGACATGATAGGTGCTGCGAAGTTGGCACCGGCGATGAAGAGCGCGTAGACCCCCATGTACGTTCCTCGTTCATGAGCAAAGAACTAGAACCCACGCATCAGGGATGACTTCTGTCGAGTAACGGAAACAAGGACAACATACCACGTCAGAAATCGTTATTTCGCAGAGGGACTCGATTGGCGCGCCGACCAGGCCCTGGAGAACCTTGTTGGCGATCCATTGGCCATTGTTGGTCGTATAAGGGGCCCATAACATGATTGCCTGAAACAAAGGGGGGGAGTTGGTTAGATTCCACCTCATGTAGTGTTTAGGAAGATACTCCATACCATAGTCAACAGTGTAGATAACAGGTAGACTGGACGTTTTCCGAACTGTTGAGCAAGAGCCTGCCAGAAGAGACAGCCCCAGCCTAAAGTCAAGAACATGTAGCCGGTGCCAGAGTTCAAATCGGCTATGGTAAGGCCGGTAGCGGCGGAAATGGGGACAAGGACAGAGTAGATGGCCGCTGAGGCAATACCGACCGCGAGAACGTAGCTGTGCAACGGTCAAGTTAGTCCGCAGGCTGAATGAGAGGTGTGGTGAAGGCGGTGTCCAACTCACACAGACAGACAAAACACCAACATCATCTTGCGGCGTGGAGTCCAGTTCAAAGGATCGTTGGGATCATTGGACGGCGTAGGTATAAGGACGATATCACGTTTCGCCGTGTTGGCGTGGCGGGCGTGCACAGTGCCATCGAGATCGACGAGTTGCACGGTTCCGGGGATAAACTCATTTGTATCTGTAGCGCGGGACATGGTGAAACTGGTGAAGCCTCTGGGATTACGGGACAGGTAAGGCTTCCACAGGACAGGACGAAGGGATCAGAAAGAGATGATGAAGTTGAAATTGACAAGATGTGCTCAGGTAGGGGGCAACCTCCCCTTTCTTATATAGAAACAGAATATGGATGAGGTGCTGTCTATAGTGATCCATCATCTGGCCTTGTTCTTTTCCCACACGTCAACAAGGTTATCTATCATTCCAGCATGGTTCGACTCGTACCAGGGACAATCAATGTTCCTGCGACATCTGTTGGCACTGGCATTCCCGATGGAGCGGGAGACTCTCGAGATTGAGATGATAAAGGTATACTTGTGTGAGCAACCTTAGAATTTCGTGATGAGCCTCGCGGTTCCCTGCCACCAGTAAACTGCGGTTTCTCCTGCATGGGCGCCGCGTGGGCTTATCGAATCCGGGCCGACGGCGCTAACACGCAAATCCAGCTAATTGGCCGGAGACCGCCATACGCAGTCTATCTATCCCGGTCCCGGGACCAGGGATTGACGGTCCAGCCGGACCTCGGAACTTAAGTACAAGGCTCCGCCGTGTGCCAATTGTGCCTAAAACATCCCCGCCCGTATCTGTGGAGATGACTAGTTCGCAAACACAGCTCATTGGTCAATTTCTCATGTGTATAAGAAACATCCTACCCGGATCGATGCCCTTCTATCGAGGGCTAGATCTGATCATGCGCCTCTAGAGTCTGAACAATGAAGGCACTATCGACACTTGCTCGCAAATGTCGAAGATTGGTGGAAGATAACACTAGAACGGTGTCAAAGTGGCTGAATTGGAACGCAGGCGTGACGGGGCAAGTTTCTCAGACGGGGACCGACACCGGCCAAAGCCACTACCTCGATGCGATGGTCAACTCGGTCTTACGGGAGTCGTAGCTCACAGAATGTATAAAATGCTTGAGAGCCCAAAGTGGCCCAACTACGACTCAAAGGATTGAGCATACATGTACCGTCCACTGTGCTAGTGACAGTCAATCCATCGAGGTTTTTTCAACGTTTGAAGATGATCGACACCGCTGCACCATGGCAAGAAGCAGCTGCTGCCAAAAGACAAGAACGACAGGCTTCGGTCCCCCACGAATGGCTTTTGGCACCGTCCGTGCTAGAGGGAGTTCATCTGGGACCCGATTCAGGCACCAACGTGCTTGCTCTCGATTTGCCTCGCAGATCTGGTCTTCTCTCTGAGCTTGAGCTAGCCATTACCGAGAAATATTCTTGCCCAGACTTGCTTCAAAAGCTGGCAGCACGAGAGCTCAGCTCTGCCCAAGTGACACTGGCTTTCTGTAAGCGAGCGGCGATTGCACATCAATTGGTATGACGGCGACCGGACGACGATTGATCAATGATCTAGGCACAAGCTTACTTGGCGAGATAGACAAACTGCCTTACCGAAATCTTCTTTGAGCGAGGCTTGAGTCGTGCAAAGTATCTCGATGAATACATTCAGACTCACAAAAAGCCGATTGGACCCTTGCACGGTCTCCCCATCAGTATCAAGGTACGACGGCACAGGATTCTTTTGGATTTGGCCAAGGGATACCTTCATCTATGGCATCAGCTTACCAGTCAATTCTCAATAGGACTGCTTCGATATAGAGGGTCTTCCTTCGACCATAGGACTTGTATCCTACCTCAAAAATCCCCCCATGCCTCACAATTCACATGTCATTGATATCTTGCTGGACTTGGGTGCTGTGCTGTACGTCAAAACAAACGTGCCACAGAGCATGATGGTCTAAGTTCCCGCCCTCTATATCAACGGATACCGCATCTAACAAATCTCTTCCAGACCTGTGACTCGGAAAACAATGTGTTTGGCCGCACGCTCAACCCCCAGAACCTGAGTCTCAATGCTGGTGGCTCCAGTGGCGGCGAGGCCGCTCTGATCGCCTTCCACGGCTCGCCAATCGGCATAGGCACAGACTTTGGAGGTTCAATCCGTATGCCTGCCGCTTGCACGGGTATCTATGGCTTCAAACCGTCCTCGGGCCGTGTACCGTATGGAAGGCAGACCGAAGGAGTGACTCCTGGATACATCCCATTTTCAGGTGCTGCCGGGCCTCTCTGTCACGGTGTAAGCGACATAGCATGTTTCATGGAGGCCGTTATCTCGGCGAAGCCTTGGAATTATGATTCCTCAGCCATTGCGTTCCCTTGGAGGCATCTTCCGGACCTAGACCGGCCCCTGACGATTGGCTTACTGGCCGAGGATCCAAAGTACCCGTTGCACCCACCCGTACGCAGGGCTCTTTGTTTGGCGGCCGAGAAGCTGACCGCCGCTGGCCACACCGTGGTACCAATCCCCCATGATCCGGAACACAGTATCAGTGTGTCGACCGAGTTGATGTTCCGATACTACCACTCGGATCCCGACAAGACCGTTCTCAAAATCATTCAGGATGGCAAAGAGCCCGTCATAGAATCTCTTGTGAGGATGAACACCCTCGGGTCGCTTGGCGAAACGAACGAGCTCCCGATCAGAGAGCTTGGGGCCATGAATCGTCTACGCTACGCCATAATCGAATATTGGAGAAAGACGTTTGTGGATGGCAAGCTGGATGTCCTCCTGGCTCCGCCATCACAAACCACGGCCGTGGCCCACGATACCTGGAACTGGATTCCTTATACCGCTTCTTTCAATCTAGTCGAAGTAAGTTGTGGCCACGCAGAGCCGTCCGGTCGACCAAAGTCGAGGTGTGCTGACAAGAAAATCTAATCATTAGTTCCCCGGTATCGTGATTCCGTTTTCCAGATCCTCCAAAGAGCTTGATCCCGACGCAGTTGTTTTCGAGGCCCCTGCTATTGGCCCGAAATGTCAGTTCTACATTGACAAGTTCCTCGATTGTTTGCTGACCTTTTGACTAAGATGATCCCATTCTCGTCGATGGCGCACCTTGTTCTGTACAAGTTCTGGCCCGGAGTCTGCAGGACGAGGAATGTCTGCGCGCTGCGAAAATCATTGACGGCGTTCTGAACAAGACAAGCAGTTGAGGCAGCTTAAGTCAAGAATCGCAGCTACGGAGGCGGACTCGACGTGGGGAGTCTGGGCCGAGTGCCAGGTTCCGAGTCTGGGGTGGTGATAACTTACAATAGAATGGTTCAAGTCAATCAAATAGATGTCACTCATCAACTTCATTCATTCACCACTCATGCCCAAGGGTTTTACCGATTTCGTAGGAGAGCAGTTCACACCTTTATCACACTCTACTGGTGCAGTTTTATAATTTATTTTGGTGGTAGTGCTATGCCATACCGGATCGTGTGATAAACCGTTCAGAGTTGCCCTGGCTGCACGTGCGGCCACACTTGCCTGATAAGCCGTCCTTCTCGAGGAGTCGATCGAGGATATCATACGATGGAACGTCTCTCTGTCCTCCGTCGTCCGGACCGGAAGAGGTATCGCGCCAGATTTGTTCGATCACAGCTTCGGTTCGTTTGGTATGTCCACTATAAGAGCCATCCCACATGTCTCTGAGTTTGGCCCTAATGAGAGACTTCAGATCTGGATCGGTGCCGGTACAAGCTAGAATTGTAACAGGCCAGCAGAAGTAGGCTGCGCAGTTGACGGCCACGACGCAGCGTCGTAATACCTCGACAGCAGCGCATGCCAGCCGCCGGATGTCGGGATGGTTGGAAACGACTTCCGGATGTTGGATTTTGTACAAGAAAATCTGGGCACTTATGGCATAGAGCAAACCTCCCTCCAGAGCTTGGCACTCGTCCCAATCGGTGGATGCATCAATGGATCGGCTCAAGTGGCGCTGAGCCTGGACGAGCTGGAATTGCAGGTGGGCTGCTTGTGAGGCGTTGGCCACGTTCAAAGGGACTCGGTGCCGTAATTGGGTCACGTAAAAAATGGTTAGATGAAGCGCGTGACCCGCGCCGAGAATGGGGGAATTGGCGATGCGGGATGCATTAGGTGATGGCAGCAGTTGCTCGTAACCATCTAGATCAGTCCAATCGAACAATGCCAGCATCTCTGGAACCTGACCATTCAAGATGGACAGATTGGTTACGTTGTATATGAATACCTCGGCCGCAATTCGATGGAAGGGGAATCGGGCATCGGCTTTGATTTGCATTCTTTGGCGAACTCGGAAGAGTTGGGCGAGACCCTGAAGATGGACCTGCGCGTTGCAAGATGGGTCTGTATTCCGCTCCTACGGGACAACCTGTCAGTCAAGGGCATTCGTTGACGATATCGATATTCGAGTTCAACAGCTCTGTGGGATACACTATGTGTGAGAGAGTCAAGGTGCGGCACGGGGTCCATTTGTACCTCAAACAAAGTCATGAGCACTGCGGCAATCATGAGCCAATCTTCTGTTCCTTCCACCGCGCCAGCATCGATGGTGCGTCTGATTTCTTTGATGGCTGAATTGTAGTAGGCCATTGCGCGCGTATATCCCACCTCGGGGCGTCCGAATATGGCCAAGTGGAGAGCACCGAGGCCGAGAAACAATTTCATAACGATGGGATTCTGGAATCCCGTTTGGTACATGTCAAAGAGCTCATGATACACGGTGGCAGCATGCGCACGGACGGAATATGGTATGATCGCTGTCCTGAAGAGGTTGAAAAGTAGTTGCTCGTTCCGTTCACTCAGTGCGATGCCCGTCCAAGAAAACTGAACGCCGAAGGACGACTGGGGCCTATCAACCTCAGTTGCTGTGCGTGTGTCAACTTCCGACTGCACAGAAACCAACCCCTCGGCATTATCCGACAAAGGGAATGCTATCGACGGAGATTCTGCCACCGCAAAGAGCAGGCTCGAAGGAGTCGCTATCTCCTGACATGTCCTCGAGGGTGATGGGCGTTTCGAATGCCGGCGGTCTGTAAAGCTGGTGGGCCATGTACAGGTCAATTGGTAGAACCTGCACCCTTCACACTGTGGTTTCCGCCCATCGCATTTCTTTCGGCGTTTGCGACAAGTGAGGCAGCCGGTCTTACTGCGAAGCCTTGCTGGGGACATGTCGTTCGTCAGGGAAAAGGTCAAAATAGGGTTGCACCTACTCTCACTGTCAGTGATACCAACGGCGGGTGGTACAGATCATGCTGGATAACGAGCGGATTCGTGTTGATATAATCGCAGCACTAACTAGGCTCCGCGTTTTTAGGTGGACGAAAGTGCACCATTACCTAGTGGTAAGGGGGAGGATGCAGTTGTCTACGTAGATGCGAGAACGGGGCAGTACATACCTGCGCCACTTACTGTGGCTAAGTAAATTTCCATACTAGCTACTAGCGGTCATTAGAAGAGTAAGAGAATCGTTCTGACAAGTCATTTTCCTAGATAATATAAACTCTACCGACCTAGTAGTAGGCCGCTACAAACCCAACTTGAAGGAGGCTCTAATGCAAATTGGAGTAACTCAAGCGGGAGGCTAGGCTTAATAAGAGACACTAGTAAGGCCATAGACTCGGCGTAGGCGTCATCTACTTTCTAGTTATTACTGGCGTCGGGCGCATGCTACAGACTACAAGCGCGGGCGGATGAGGCGGTTTTAGCAGAGCGAGTGCCCCAGATGAATCCCCCCGCTACAACCACAACTACGACACAGACACTTACTTGTCTCCGACCTGCCTGCGCCCAACCACAAGACTGTCCACAATTCAAGTTATTCTTATTACTCTTGTGAACCATCCGTTACCTTTGGGTCCAGAATAACCATTGCGATGCTATATAACTGCAAGCTGCCTTGACCTGGCTGATCCTCTCTGTCGGATACTCTTGCTTCAGCAGATTGGCCACACCTCGACTCCCCGTGCGTACATCCAAGGGCGCATCTCCCACACACTTCACCACTGCAGCACCCCGTGTCTTGACATGCTGAATCGCCGAATCAGTGATTACTGGTGAAGAAGTCTCGCGCATCCTATTCTCAACCTCACACACAAACCCGCCATCTTCTAACGCAACTCGGCGCGAAGAGGCATACCGCCTACTTTCCCTGACCCCTCCAACATGACCTCCGCAATCCACGATGACGAACTCTCCATCTCCTTACCTCAGAATGAGCAAACCCGTTCCAGACAATCTCTGCCCCAGGTGATGTCTCCTCCTACGCGACAGAGAAATGGCCTGAGCCAAACACCTGTGGCAGAGTCCCCAGGGACCGTCCGAGCCATGAACCGATTACATCAGTATAGCTTTGTCCGCAACATTGGTGAAGGGTCGTTTGGTAAAGTCAAACTGGCAAGGCACAAGGTGACAGGGCAGGAGGTTGCCATGAAGACCATCAACCGGCGCAAGTTGATCAGTCGAGACATGGCTGGTCGCATCGAACGCGAGATCCAATACCTGCAATTATTGCGGCATCCGCACATCATCAAGTTATACACGGTCATCACCACCAAGACAGACATCTACATGGTGCTGGAATATGTGCCAATGGAGCTGTTTGATTATATTGTCAAGCATGGACGGCTTGGAGAAGCGAAGGCCCGAAAGTTGTTCCAGCAGATCATTTGTGCGGTCGAATACTGCCACCGACACAAGATTGTACATCGAGACTTGAAGCCCGAGAATCTCCTGCTGGACAAGAACATGAATGTCAAGATCGCCGATTTTGGGCTCAGCAACATCATGACTGACGGCAATTTCCTCAAAACCAGCTGTGGAAGCCCGAACTATGCTGCACCCGAAGTTATTGGCGGAAAGTTGTATGCTGGTCCGGAAGTCGATGTCTGGAGCTGCGGAGTCATCCTTTATGTTTTCCTGGTTGGCCGACTTCCCTTTGACGACGAATTCATCCCTGCCTTGTTCAAGAAGATTCAGGCCGGCACATTCCATATTCCATCGCAGACCCCTCCAGGAGCGGTGAACCTCATCAAACGCTGCCTCCAAGTGCATCCGGTCCACCGTATTACCATACCCGAGATTCGACAAGATGAATGGTTTGTCAAGGATCTTCCGGCATATCTGGTTGATCCGGTGGAGGAATTCTTGGACACTGGTGTCGATCCCAGCAAGGCGATCGATCCTCGACAATTAGCCCCCGGCAAGCCGCCCGAGGTTAGTGAGAGAATCCACGAGCAGGTGGTTGGGAAGCTTGGTCGCACCATGGGTTATGCCAAAGAGGACGTCAAAGATGCTCTCAGCAAAGACGAACCAAGTGCCATCAAAGATGCCTACCTGATTGTGAGGGAGAATCAGTTGATGATCGACACGCCACAATTCCGCGCGGAAAACCCTGAGCTCGAATCTTTCATGGCCTCTTCACCGCCTGTCGAACCGAACTATGCTGGGTTTCCTGGCTCTCCACCCACAGCCCGCAGATACCAGGACGACGTGAAGCCCCTGACCCCGACCCGAACAGACGCCCATCGAACAAGCCGAACTCTATCTGAGACGCCTTCATTTCGCGAGGAAGAAACGCCCCGGATCTCTAACGTCCGAGTACTCAATACGTCTCTACCTCATGTCCATGAAGAATTGATGCAGATCCGTGAAAAGGCCAAGAGCAGGGGTGAAGATCCAGATTCAGTCCTTCATCCTCAGGATGACGAGGACGACGCAGAGAGCCCGATCCCGGAAGAAATCAAGGATGAAAATGGAAACCCCATTTACCGGTCGAAAGAAGAGCAAGAAGCGACGTCCAGAGCGTTGAAGCCGCATTCTCGCTCAGTGACCGCGTTGAGCTCTCTGCGGGACCCGAAGTCGTGGCCTGAAGGCATGACGAGCATGTCGCAAGACGAGCGACGAGCCGCCCCGTCGAAACCGAAAGCTCGCAAATGGCAGTTTGGCATCCGGTCTCGGAACGCGCCGTATGAAGCGATGAAGTGTCTGTATGCGGCCCTCAAAGCTCAAGGGGCGGAGTGGGAAGTCAACCCGTGGCTACTTCCGGAGTGTCTGCCTGATGGAGAAGACGAGAAGGACATGATCCCAGCACCACCGCCCGATCTGGCTCCAGGCGAACGGCATCATGTCCTTCAGCAGAAGCATTCCTTCCTCAGTGAGCATTACTACGTGCCGCGGGATCCTTGGAATATCCGTGCTCGGGTGTTGAAGAAAGGGATGTTGATGCCTGGAGAAGCGCCATCACTTTCGGCCAATAGCTCTGCTGTCAGTCTACCGGCGGAAGCGCAGAAACAGCTCAAAAAGCACATTGAGCAGCTTGGCGGCTATGCTTCTGATGAGATTGCCAAGGCACTGGGAGCGACTACGGCCAACGGACCAAGTTCGAAAATGAAGTCTCCGGCGGAGTCCAACAGTCAGAACCAGGATGCGTTTACCGGGCCCGGGCAGACTATGAGCAGACCGGAGAGCCTGTCGACACTGAACAAGAAGATACCCAGCGAGCACGTTGGGGTTTGGGTGTTCATAGACATTCAACTGTACACCTTGGAGAGCGGGACTTATGTGGTCGACTTCAAATGTGACGGATACCAGAATGTCATTTGGCACGATTCCAAGAGACCGGGAGAGAAGAGCAAGGGGTCCAGCAACACCAGTGCCGTCACCAGTCCATCGACCAGCAGGCCTACCAGTGGGTTTGGAGGGCTCAGCTATAGCAGTTCTGATCGACTGGATGAAGAGGAGTTGGACGGGTGTTGGAAACCGGTCAGCAAACGATACAAGAATGTGGAAAAGGAGATCTCGAGTCCATACCCGTTCCTTGACGTTGCTAGTGACCTGGTAGCTCAGCTGGTAAGTTTAACATGAATAACATGACGGGACGAGTGCTGACAAGGTTGCCAGTGGGGTGGTGCTGCGTGATTCATTTCCCGCGACGACGATCATGACCAAAATACGACGACGGATTCATTCACCAGTGAGGCGCAAGGACAGACATGAAAGGTGTCGTTGGCCAGATGCCAGCATGGATACCCCGGGTTACACATGAAAATGGTCGCATGGAATAGCAGACCGTCTATGGCTGGTTTGGGATGAATGGAATTATGACCTTCAATTGACGATGCCAGCTCTATTATGTGTGAGGATGGACAGTACCGTGTAGCTAGAACGTGGAGCAAGGATCAGGGAAGCTTGAAACGACAGAGAATTCGATAGGATAGCAGATGATGTATAAATTTACCTCTGGTATCTCGAGTAGCTCCGTACTTCTGTTGTAGTAAGAGTGGTTGTTGAGTAGAGGTAGATACTGGTAGTAGGGTAGGAATTCCATCTCCTCTTACAGAGTAAAATCATGCCAAGATTGCATATTAAATCATGTCCTCGTCAGTCCATCGACCACCCCAACACCAACCACCATTGACTCCTATTTCAACAACTTACTCAACGTTGAGTCCACGACGACTCTTCCCATGCTGTGATCAAGTCCCACCCAACCTTTTCGGACGCCTTCCTCGCCGCTGCTCAGGATTCCCGCAAATCGAACCAGGCCGCCAAGTTCCTTCTGTTGCAGCCTTGTCACTCTAAGATCATCAAGACGAGAGCTCCTACCAAGAGACTCTAGGAGAAAGAAACGAAGCGTTTAACCTGCTGGATGAAAGGTGGCTAGTCCAAAGAGTATTCCGGTCGGGCCATCAACACCATGGGTGTCGTGGCAAAGCTGAGATCGTGGTCCCACGAGCTCACCCCTTACTTCATCTACATTCTCCTGACCGCCACTCTGGGCCCGCTACTATTTGGCTATCATCTGGTACAGTATTTGTCTACGCATCCCCTTCGACTGCCCTGTCATCATCCCCTGCACGTCCAAGGATAGGATAGGATAAGACACTAACGATGTCGATGCTGCTCTGTCCAGGCCGAACTCAACGCTCCCCAAGATGTCATCACCTGCGTCAAAAAATCCATCCGGTCAACGACGGCCAGCACGGCCCTGTCAAGCTCCGGCCTGCCACAGTGTATCCCCATGAACCCGACCCAGATCGGTCTCGTATCGTCCATCTTCACTCTGGGCGGTCTGATCGGAGCTCTGGCGGCGGGACCTCTGGCCGCGCGTTACGGCAGACTGGCAGCGATGCGGGCCAACACTGTCTTCCTCGCTCTGGGTCCCGTTGCGGAGGCTTTGGCGCCCAACATCGGCGTGCTGGCGGCCGGACGATGCGTGTCCGGCTTGGGCGCGGGAGTCGCCGTGGTCGTGGTGCCCATCTACATCTCGGAGACGGCGCCACCCAAGGAGAAGGGCTTCTTTGGCGCCTTCACCCAGATCATGACCAACATGGGCATCTTCGTCACGCAGCTCCTGGGCTATTTCCTCAGCCGCGACCAGCTGTGGCGCCTGATCCTGGCCGTCGCCGGTGCGATCGCACTCGTCCAGCTGGTCGGGCTGGTCTTCGCCGTCGACAGTCCCGCGTGGCAGGCGGACCACGGCGACGCGAGACGGGCCAAAGCGAATCTCCGACGCATCCGTGGGCCCAACGCCGATATCGACGATGAGGTTGCTGCGTGGAGGGTGCAGCCGGGTGATTCTCTGGGATCTGGTTCGTGTTTTTCGACTCCTCCTCCTCTGCTATTACCACTTCGTCGTCCAGTCTAGTGCATATCTTCTCTGCCTGTATCCCCTGCATACTTTCAGGTTTACGACATACCCGACTAACCCTCGAACGAAACCAGAAGAAGAACAAACCCTCCTCGGCAACAACGAGCCGGACGGTCCTGGACCGCACGACGCGTCAACGACGAAAGACGAACACGAGCAACCGCTGGGCATCGTGGGCGTCCTCCGGTCGCGGAAACACAGACCGGCGATCCTGGCCGTCGTCACTGTCATGCTGGCCCAGCAACTGTGCGGCATCAACAGCATTGTCATGTACGGCGTGTCGCTGCTGGCCGACCTCCTGGCCGCCAATTCCGCGCTGCTCAACATCTTCGTGAGCCTGTTGAACGTGGTCGCCACGACCGGCTTCGCCCCGCTCGCCGACGTACTGGGCCGCAAACCCGTGCTCCTCGCCTCCATCGGCGGCATGGGCGTCTCGGCCGTCCTGCTGGCCGTCGGCATCCGCGCCGCCATCCCCGTCCTGTCCGCCGTCAGTGTGCTGCTGTTCGTCGCCGGCTTCGCCTTCGGCCTCGGCCCCGTGCCCTACATCCTGGCGTCCGAACTCGTCGGCCCGGAGGCCGTCGGCGCCACCCAGTCCTGGGCTCTCGCCGCCAACTGGATCTCCACCTTCCTTGTCGCCCAGTTCTTCCCTGTGGTCAATGAACGCCTCGGTAAAGGAGTTGTGTATTTCGTCTTTGCAGCTCTGGCCGCTGTTTTCTTCGTCTTCGTCTCGTGGTATGTCCCGGAGACCAAGGGAAAGAAAGATGCCGATGAGGTCTGGGGTCGGGTTCCGCGACGAGAAGATTGATTTGGTTTTTCACAGGAATAGTAGTTATATAAACCGTGCCTGGCATTGGAGACAGCCTGTGTCGTGTGAATGAACATGCAGTCAGGGAAGGGCTGCAAGTATGGGATTTGCATGATGCATGATGAGCATGGTTTTGGGCGTCTGTTTTGATGGCCTGGTATAACAAATTGGACTGAGCAGTGTACTGATACGCCAGACTCCAAGTATGACTGGCAAGGCTGGCTGGTTTTCTAAAGTTCCGGTATTTCTATGGTGTATACCTGCCGACCCTGAGTGATTATGATATCGGTACTCACAGTCTGTCTGCTTTAGTGGTGAAACATGCCTGTCTGTGTCTGTACAGATTCTGGTATTCAACAACTCTGCGTACCAAAGGATCAAAAGTATGGTACAATTGCCCATGCTACTTCACAGTCAACCCGACAGGACTCCTAGCCTCGTAACATCGTGATATCAGTTGGACAACGACAAGTCAAGTCACCTCCAATATGCCTGCCCGCAGTTATCGCCGGGTAGAAGAGAAATTGGTCGTGCTGTACATTCGTTACCCAAATCACCCATCTCCCGACCCGGTCATTATTGTTCTCCCTGTGGCTGGGAGACCTGCTGGTCATGATGTGTCTGCTGTGGTTGTTCTTGCGGTTGTTGTTGTGCTGGCTGTTGTCGCTGCTGCTGTTGTTGTTGAGGTACTGGACCACGCTGCCGTCCCATAGCAAGGTAATCCCGATTCTCCACGGTGACGCTCTTGGTCATATGGTTCACCTTGTAGATGCCGACGAGGCGCTCAGCCAGTTCGAACATGTTGTTGCGCAACGAGATGACGATGAACTGGGCGTTCTTGGTGCGTTCCTTGATATATCCTGCCACGATGGAGACCTGTCATGATTGCACAAACAAAAAGTCAGTATGTCTGGTTCTTCTTCTCAACACGAAGGGTGGAGCGCATTTTCCGCTGCCGTGGAAGACAGGAGTCAGTGCATTATATTTGGTTGGTTGGCTGCTTACATTGCGGAAATCCAGAGCCGCGTCAATCTCGTCCATCACGTACAGCGGCGTGGGACGGTAAACGTGCAGGGCAAAGACCAGGGCCAACGAGCTCAACGTCTTCTCGCCGCCAGACAGGTTGCCGATGTTCCTCCAGCTCTTCTTGGGCGGCATGACCGAGAACAAGATACCTTCGGAGAAGGGGTCCAGACTGTCGACCAGCTCGAGCTCCGCGTTGCCTCCGAGCGTGATGAGTTGGTACATGGACTTTAGGTGCGAGGAGATGGTGGTAAAGCCGGTCATGAACTGGGTCAAGCGAAGGGTGCGGAGATCCGTCAGCCGCGTTTTGGCGGCGTCGCGCGTCTTGACTGCGCTTTTGAGATCAGATGTCCTCGAAGCAACTTCTTCGCAACGGCGACGATATTCGGCGATCACGGAAAGGTCGATGCTGGAAGCATTGGACACCTTCTCTTCGAGGGCGGCAATGGATGCCACCAGGTGATCTTTCGATTTGTCCAGGAGCTCGTCGCGCGTGAATGTTTGCAGTTGTCTGCGAGCCTGCCTCACATCGGATCGTGGGTCCGAGGCATGGGGCTGCTCCTCTTCCTCGTCAACATCCATGGCATCGGGATCCGCTGGTGCGACGTCGGTCATTTCCTCGTCTTCGTTCGGCTGCTGCGGTGGCTGTTCTTCGTTCGTTGGCTTCTCCTCTTCTTGCTCTGCGGTGGTGCCCTCCAGGTCGGCAGTATCATGCAACGTCAGCTTGGACAACTTCTCCGCCCAGTAACGGCTTTTCTTGTTGTTGTCGGCGAGGATCTTCTGGTTTTCCTCGAGTTTGTTCTTCATCTCGATCTCCACAGCTCGGGTCGAGTTTAGTTCTGACGTCTGGGTGTCGAGATCCTTCTTCAACGCTGCCAGCTCTTCTTTCATGCTGTCTTGTTCTTCTTGAGTCTGGTCTGCCCGAGTCCTCAACTCGGTCGCGCCGGACTTGTGCTTAGCAATGTCCTCTTCTAGTCGCTCAAAGTCCTTGGCCAGAGATTCCAGTTCCTTTTCTGCGTCAGCCTTTGCTTTTTCGTTCTTGACCTTGAGCTTCTCGTTCTTGGTCAAGGCCACTTCGGCGTTGGAAATGTCGTCGTTCAGCAAATCAATTCTCTCCTTCAGTCCATCCACCCGGGCTTTCTGGCTTCGCAGCTGAATACCACCCACCTCCATGATCTTGTCTTGGAGAGCCTGAATCTCTGCTTCGAGGTTCGCCGTCTGAGAATGTAATTTCTCCAGCTCTTTGTTCATCACTGCAATTTGCTTCTCGAGTGTCTTGATCTGCGAGTCATCCGCTGAGGTGGTGGCCAGCTCGGCGGTCAAATCTTGCACCCGCTTCTGAGCGTCGGTCCGATTCCGCGTGCAAGTGTCGATCTCCAAGTTGATCTTCTGGATCACCGTTTCCAGTCTCGGAATTTCTTCCTGCTTTTCTTGCAGGCTTGCCTCCAGCTCCCTCTGTCTCGCCTGGAAAGCCTCAAACTGCCTTTCTAGTTGGTCGCGTTCGATCTCGAGCTTCTGGACCTGTTCCTTGGTCGTATCGGACGACAGTTTGGACGACATTGCACCACGAGCCACTCGGGTGCCACCACCACTCATGGTACCGGAAACGTCAATCAGCTGCCCGTCCAGAGTGACCACTCGCCATCTTTTAGCGCCATATGCGATACGGTTGGCTTGTTGAAGATCCTTGGCTACAAGCGTGTTCTGCATGATGCTGAAGAATGCCGGAGCAAACCGTTGATCCTTGGGCTTGATGAGGTCAAACAGTCGAGGGACATTCTCCGGAGTCTGAATGGGAGAGAGATCGCGCTGTGCCAATTTGTCCAGTAGAATGAAGTTGGCTCGTCCAAGGTTGTTCTTCCGCAGATATTCAATGCACTGCTGACCGACCTCAACGTTGTCGACAACCATGTTTTCCAGTCCCGGACAAGCAGTCGAGATTGCAACATCGTATTTTTCGTCGATGGCGCCCAGATTTCCCAGACGACCATGAAAGCCATCGATACGCCCGGAGTCTTTCAGTCGCAGCAGCCCCTTGAGGACGTTGCCCTGGTTCTGACTGGTTGCCAGACTCGCACGAGCCTCGTCCGCCTTCTGCCGAGCGGATGAGATCTGCGCCCTCACATCAGGTTCACTGGCCGCGAGCTTTTGGAGAGCATCTTGGATCTTTCTAACATCCTTCTCCAGTCGAGCCTTCTCGTGCTTGCGCAACTCGATCTCTTCTAACTTCTCAGCTCTGCTGGCTTCAATGCTCTCGATCTTTGCGTTGGCTTGGTCAATGGCATTTTGCCCACTGTTAGCTTTCTCCTTAAGGATCTCGAGCTCAGACTGAGCAACGGCAATGGCCGACTGTTTCTGATTGATCTTTTCGTTCCAGGGCTCCAGGGACTTCTGCTTCGCTGCTATCTGATCGGAAAACCCTTGAGTCTTGCCTTTTAGATTGTCCCGAATCACAGCGAGCTCTTGTTCTTCTCGTTGCATTTCTTTCTCGAGCTCGGCCGCCTCAGCACCCTTGCGCTGGATGTCGTCGGCATGTTTCTCAACCAGGCTCTGAGCTTCAGATGCAGTCAGTCGGCTCGAAGTGGCTACTTTCTCGGCTTTCTTTTGCTTGCCAGTGATGAACTTGCGCTTCTCCTCGAACTTGACGTTTTCTTTCTCGTACTTGGCCAATTCCTTTGCGAACTCTTGGGCTTGTTTCTCGATGAGTTCATACTGCTTGACCGCTTTGCTGTAAGCCTTTTCGAGCTGTTTGATTGTGTCTTCACTTCCAGCGTGCTTCTCAAGTTCAGCATCGAGCTGGTGTTGGATCTCCTGGATGGCCTCTTCGGTGACCTTGGCATTGTCCTCGCACTCGGCAAGATAGATCTGATACAATGCAGACTGTTTCTCAGCCAGTTCATTCTCGTCCCGGATGAATGCGAGGGCTTTGTTTTTCTTGTCTTCCAGGTTATTCTTCTCCTTCTCCACGTGTTGGACCCGCCCTTGCTTTTCAATGCAGACCTCATTGAGACTTTCGAGCTCCACTGCTGCTTCTTCGATGGGTGTCTTGTACTTCGAAGTTCCGATGATATCTTCGAGGTACTCCAATAGCCCATCGTCGTGTTCATTGGCTGCTTTCGGTTTCATTTGAGCTATCGACTCGACCTCACCCTGCAGGATCAGGAATCGTTTGTGGTCCAGATCAATTCCCTTCTCTTTGAGCAATGTCGTCACCGTGGTGAAATTGGTGGTCCGGCCGTTCAAGTAGTAGTTGCTGGTGTTGTTCTTGAACGCTTTCCTCGACACTACCAGCTGTGAGTCGGGAACAACCTCGTGCTTGCCGCCGGGCAAGTCGACGATTTGCTGGAAATAGACCTCCACTTCACAGTAATCGAGGTCTTGATACTGCGCGGAATTGTGGATAAGCGCCGAAATCTTGCCCTGTCTCATTTTGCTTGCTCGAAATCCAAAGACGAACAGTAACGAGTCAATGACGTTCGACTTTCCCGAACCATTGGGCCCGACCACGGCGGAGAAGGATGCGTGGAATGGGCCCACGACTTGCCTCCCAGCATAACTCTTGAAGTTGGTCATGACCAGTTGCCGAATGACCATCCGTGATTTGGGTCCCGTGTGCTCTTCCACCACCGGCGCTGCTTGTGTTCTGGCTCGTATCACAATGTCCACTGGCTTTTCCAAGACCATATGGTCCACAGGCCGCGATGATTTGAGCATCTCTTGATCGAGTTGCGTGGGCACACTATTATTCAAAGCCTTGGTTGTGATGTCTCTCAACGGCGTGGATTGGCCATTGTCAAGTGTGGGCGACGTCGACGCGTTTGGGACAGGTAACGGAGGCACGGGTGGCGCAACTGACGACCTGCGCCCTTTGCGAGGGGCAGTACTCTTGCGCTTTCGTGGCGATGGGGACTTGGAGGGGGAAGTCGGTTCATCGGGGGCCGTCGTCGCTTCTGGATCAAATAGCTGCGATGGTTCGATTTCTTCTCCCGTCTTGAATTTGCGGGATCTTGATGATCTCTTGGGTGTCGCACCGCCGGCAGTTCCAGTGGTCTGTCTCCTCGTTGATTTTCGAGGACTCCGCTTGGGAGCCGGTGTGAATTCTTCGTCGTTGTCATTGTCTTCCTTGATCAAACTCAATTCATCTTCGGATTCTTCCACCACGAAGGTCTTACGCGCCGCACGGCGCGATGGTCGGACGGGTGACTCGGTGGACATCTTGTTGGCGGTATCAGGTGCACTGTAGCCCTGGCTGTTGTTCTTGATTGCAGGAGCCGCTCCACCACCTCGACGAATCTACATGGATATGCGAACAACAAAAACATACAGCTGGAACAAAGGTAGCTGTGGTAGAACTAGTATGTATGTAGTCCTGCATTCATTGCATGTATTTGTTGATGCTGCCTAATACGGCTAGCGTGCCATGGCTAATCTGTCTGACCAATCGTCCAGATCTATGCATATTAGTCAGCGTGAGCCTCCCCTGCTTCAGTATCAAAACACTCATCACCATTGTTCTACCATCTCACCAATGCTACTGTGGCTACTTTGGTATAGGAAACCGGTCGAGTCCATCGACAATCTTACAGTCAAGCAAATTCATTTGACATAAACATATGTACTAAAGCTCTATCGTGGCATGGGCCTTGCTCATCATGCTGGGCAAGCACCATTTTCCATAGCATCGCGGCCCTATTCACCTTTGCAAAGGCAGCTCAACCAGGTAACTCCTGCCTCCGGACCCCTCTAGTGAGGCCAAACCCATTTCCTGATCGCTTCAGGATCAATACCCTCGTGGAAAGCCTCATTCTTGCACTTGATCTGGTCATTGAGAAGTTTCTCGCGCGCGAAAGCGCCCTTGTTGCCCAGACCGCTTATCCGGTCCAATGCATCCATGGCAAGAGAGAATCGGTCGGTCTTGTTGCGGATGGCCAATTCCAGAGGAGTATCAATGTTTCCTTTCTCGTTATAACCTCTGACGTGCAGGTTGTGCTGACCCTTTCTTCGGTAGGTCAAGCGGTGGATGAGCCATGGGTACGAGTGGAAGTTGAAGATGACAGGCTTGTCATCCGTGAAAATGGCGGTGAATTCTCCGTCAGTCATACCGTGCGGATGCTCGCCATGAGGAATCAATCTGAAGAGGTCAACCACGTTCACGAAACGGATCTTTAATTGTGGCAGGAGGTCCCGGAGCAGGGCAGTGGCAGCGAGAGATTCCATGGTGGGCACATCGCCGCAAGATGCCATGACCACGTCGGGCTCCTGGCCCTGGTCGTTGGACGCCCAGTCCCAGATGCCCGCGCCCTTGCTGCAGTGCTCAATGGCGGCCTCCATGTCGAGATATTGCAGATGATCCTGCTTGTCAGCCACAATCACGTTGACGTAGTTGCTGCTGCGCAGACAGTGGTCCATGCATGACAACAGGCAGTTGCCGTCAGGGGGCAGGTAAATACGGACGACCTCAGGAGACTTGTTGGCCACGACATCGAGGAAACCGGGGTCTTGGTGGGTAAAGCCGTTGTGGTCCTGACGCCAGACGGTGGCGGTCAACAGAATGTTTAGCGATGCCACCTTGGCACGCCATTCGACCTCGAGGCACTTTTCGATCCATTTGCAGTGTTGGTTGACCATGGAGTCGATAATGTGGATGAAAGGCTCGTAGCTGTTCAACAGCCCATGTCGACCGGAGAGGACATATCCTTCCAGCCAGCCTTCAACGGTATGCTCGCTCAACATCTCCATGACCCGACCCTCGTGAGCCAGATTGCCACCGTCGGCATCCTCCTCGAAGAATTCACCCATCCAAACCTTCTTTCCGGCCTTGTAGACACCACCGAGCTTGTTGGATTCGGTCTCATCGGGGCCGAAGAGACGGAAGTTCGTTTGGTTCTTCTCGATGATATCCTTTAGGAAGATGGCCATGTTAGACATGCTGGGAGCCTCGGCGGTGCCTCCTCTCAAGACTTCAATTTTGTAGTCCCGGAAGTCGGGCATATGGAGAGGCTTCTTGATCAATCCGCCATTGGCGACGGGGTTGGCGCTCATGCGGCGGTTGCCTTCGGGGGCCAGTTTCTTCAGCTCTGGAATCAACTTGGCCTCCTTGCCGAAGTACTTCTCTGGTTCGTAACTCTTCATCCAGTCTTCCAAGAGTTTCAGATGCTCGTGGTTAGTGGCAACATCGGTTATCGGGATTTGGTGGGCTCTCCAGAAGCCTTCGAGGTAGTGGCCGTCCACAGTGCGGGGGCCGGTCCAACCCTTCGGGCTGCGGAGAACGATCATGGGCCACCGGGGTCGGAAGGACTTTCCGGATTCACGGGCTTTCTTCTGGTAGCCTCGAATTTCGGCCACACACTTCTCCAAGGTTGCGGCCATGGCCTGGTGCATGGAGATAGGGTCACTTCCCTCGACAAAATATGGAGTCCAGCCGTAGCCGAGGAAGAGCGCTTCCAACTCTTTGTGGCTGATACGGGCCAAGATGGTTGGGTTGTTGATCTTGTAGCCATTCAGATGCAGGACGGGCAGGACGGCGCCGTCGGTGATTGGGTTGAGAAATTTGGTGCTGTGCCAGCTGGTGGCCAGCGGGCCCGTTTCGGACTCACCATCACCGACCATGGTCAAGGCAATGAGATCTGGGTGGTCGAAGACGACGCCGAAGGCATGTGAAATCGAATAACCCAATTCTCCACCCTCGTGCAAACTGCCGGGGGTCTCAGGGGTGGCGTGGCTGCCAATGCCGCCGGGGAAGGAAAATTGTTTGAAGAACTTGCGCATGCCATCCTCGTCTTCTGACTTGTCTGGGTAGACTTCGCTGTACACACCCTCGAGATACGACTGGGAAAGGACGGCCGGAGCGCCGTGTCCCGGGCCGGAAATGAAGATGACGTCGAGATCGTATTTCTTGATAAGGCGGTTCATGTGAACATAGGTAAAGACCTGGCCGGCATCTGAGCCCCAGTGGCCGAGCAGGCGGGCTTTCAGGTGTTCGACTTTCAAGGGTTCTTTGAGGAGAGGATTTCTTCGGAGGTAGAGCATGCCCAAGCACAGGTAGAGACTGGCTCGCATGTAGTCGTCGATTTCGAGAACCTCTTCATCGCTGAGAATGGCGTCCTGGACAGTAGCCCGGGCTTTGCCGTAGGCCGAGATGCTCTCGACGGAGACGTCGGAGCTGGCTGCGGGAGCCATGGTGGAAATTCAGATACACCGGTAGGAGACAGGGTCAGCGGTGATAGATGAAAGAAGATGAACGGGTGATTCAATGGTATAGGAGGAAATTTGGGAAGACCAAAGGTTGGAGAGGAGCTGAGACCGACAGCGTGAGAGTGACGACAGGAGCGCGAACTATATACGCAGCTCGATAGATACTTTACCACTGGCAACGGCAGCCGCGTAACGTACAATCGCGCAGGAACAGCTTCACTACGCTGTACTACTCCTACTACTTCTTGCTCCTAACCTACTTCCAACTTACGCTCTCCACAGATTTGACCCTAGCAACGACAGGCGAGGGGCCTGTTACGTCGACAGAGTACGGCATGGGCCGCCCTCCACTCGTTGCTATCGGACCATCCCCCTCCAGCGATCATCCCTACCACCATCATACAGAGTTGATCATCATCATCATCCGACCAAGACCACCTCGCGAGAAGACTATCCAGGGCTATCCAGTGCTAGACCAATCCAGACTGCAGCCCAACAATTATTGATGCACTGGCATCACGATGTAACAACCGACTAGCCGCGCCTTTGGCTTTGGGCTTGTCTGGCCCGAGCTTCGTCTTCCGGTGCGTCGAGCTTGCGCCGAAATGATGAGAGGGAATTCGCATGCACGTGGCGGAAGAGCATGTTACAATTCACAAAAACGAGATGGTCACAAAGCTGCATAATCGGCAGGCTGACTGTTGAACCGGGGAACAGCCTGCCCTGGTATAGAGGAGGGGCACTATGCACTATGAGGCAGTTTGGACCCGTCCAGGAGGGGCAGCAGGGGGAGCAGGGGGAGCAGCTTGGGTACCTAGCTCAAGGTAAGGAGCTCTGGCCCTTTGGGAGCTTGGGGCGGCGATGGATCCCAGGGTGCGGCCAGGACCAATTGGTGTTGACGGACGGAGACATGATCCTGCTCGGTTCCGTTATAATCATGCAAGAGCCTGAGGAATGGAGGGACCAGACAGCGGTGAGTTTGATCATTGGATCTCGGATCAGGAGACTTGGTTGACAGGAGAAAAGAGGCGAGGGCAACTGATGAGACATGTGGGAATATTGAGAATCTCTTCCAGCAATACAGCATTTAAATTACCAAGTGGTGTGAGGATGGACCGATATACAGCCAGATCGGGAAAGGGCGCAGAAGCGATCAGGATTTGCCGAGGAAATCCGGCTACAAGGGCCGATGCTAAACATATCTAGCAGCATAAGGTACATAGGGCTCTGGTAAGGTACATAACGTTAGTACTAGTAGTACAGAGTATCTGGGTGCACAGTAAGCGGGACGGACTACAGTTTGAACGCATATCCACCACCTCTGCCCCGGTTCCTAAGGTACCAGAGTCTGTACTGTGGTATAGAGTACCTGTAAGCATGAATTGTTGCGCCTGTTTAGCCGTCTGCCCGGTTGGCCTCTCAGTCCACCCAACAGAACGAATACAGAGAACATACAGAGAACATACAGAGAACAATCACGGGTTGTGAAGGAGCAGAAGGAAAACTAACTCTCCTACGCTGTAACCCTGCCAAATACGACATCTCGAGATCTCTCACTAGGTAAATAGATCGGACTCTGCCGTAGAACCAAATTCGCTATCTGAAAGACTCGTCTAGGCCCAGCGTTTATCATTTGATGCCAATGCAGGGTTTGCTCTCTCGTCTTGTCCATACACAACCACCCATTGGCTCACATCAGTCTACACACTCGTCCATGTGTAGCTGAATCATGTCTGTGGTATGTTCATTCATCCCGAACCTATCGGTACTGTCGCGCCCGGTTGCGGCTCTGCGTCACGCATAGTGCTACAATTTCTTGTATCTTCTTCTTCCACCAGGCTGAGAATCGCACGGTCGACGTAGAGCTGAGCAGGAGACCAAGCCCAGCACATTCTAGGGTCAAGGGATCCCTCCAATCAAGGCGCTTCATGAGAACGGATATGCTCCTTCGAACTCGGCGTCAAGTTGGGCCAGTCAGCCTTTTATAGAGGTAAGGTATGCTCTCCTACCCCAGATTGCAAAGGCTATCTCGTGTAGGTCAGTTGTGTGCCAGTAGGCTTTTCCCCAGGCCGCATCCACTCGAGCTTTGACAATCGATCCCGCTTGCGGCTTCGACAAGCTGCAGCGCGTCGGCACCTTTAGTATCGCTCGCGTCTTGAAACGTTGAACTCGCATATCACTGGTGCTGGCCGATGAGCATCCGGCTCCATCCATTGGCTTGACTGTCTTGGTCGTCTGGCCATGTTCCTGTAATGACGGGTATGGTCTCAAAGCTAACGTCCGAATCCTCCGTCTTGTCATACTAGGTGACCAGATACGCCAAACAGCAGACCTACCTATATAGATAGGTACCTGGGTTATGTCTGCCTGCTCTTGTCCTGTCAGGCTGCTGGGGTGGATTCCGCTCTCGTCATCAGAGAGTGATCGTCGGAGGATATGGAGCCAATAGGGCTGGTCTCAGACTCAATGATGGTGTTCTCGGGAATGCCCAGATGGTGCAGAGTGTTTTTCGGTATCATGTCGCCGCTTGAGCGCCTTGAGTCGGGAGGTGGCCAAAGTCAGGGGTGAGATCTGCATCCTGATGTCCCCAGGCGTTCACTTCGACTTGATGCCGCCCAAAGCTTTCCAAAAGCTTCCTCAGCGAACTTGTCCATATCAGATCAAAGTCAGTATAGCAGACCAGATGGGAGATTGCACTCAGCCTGGCCGGTTTGGAGGAATGGTCGACCCCGGTGTCTATCTGGGGCTGATAGATAGTGGCATCACTGGTCGCTCGTGCTCCGTCCCGCCAACCAAGGTGCAGCCAAGAGTCCCGAGGAAACCACATCGACAATGATAGCAGCAACTCGACTGGGAGACAAGGACCTCTCATCGACATGACTTGTGGTCGTGCCTGGCTGCGTTCGTTCGTGCGTTCGTTCGTTCGTTCGTCCTTCTCTCCTGCCTAAACAGGAACTTGCCAGTTGTTTACTAGCAGCACGACAATCAAGCTGCGGGGTTCGGACTTCAGCCAATCCAATACGATAAGGACAAAAGCGCATGGCACCAAACACCAAACATCAAAGTCCGCACTGGCAGACGTAGATACCCTTTCTCTGGCTTATCATTGATGAAATGGCACAGCTGATGCGTATATATACTACGCCAGTGTGACTTCAGAGAAGATCTTTCGTCTCTCTTCAGGTAAACCACCAGGTAAACCACCCTTCCTCTGCTAAGTATCTTATCTTCAGCCTCGGCCTTAGCCTCAGCCTCATCCCAACATGTCGACAACTACCACCCTCACGGATACTACAACCATCCCTTCCACCTCCTCTGAGCCTCAATACTATGGCAGACTCCGCTACATTCCCCAGGGCCAAACCCCCAACCCATCGCCGCACAACTTCCACCTGCCTGCCATGGCCGAGTTTGGCGACGTCCGTCTCCAACCACTCATTGACATGCGTCCGGTGCCCACAGTGGCGGAACTCCCATCCGCCAAAGAAGGCACCGCTCAACTGTCCACCCATGGCTTCACCGCCATCAGCCATCCGACGAGGATGAATATGGCGCCGTACACCCCGGCCAGCTGGAAGGATCCCAAACTTCTCAAGGAACTGTACGTGCCCGACACGGAGGAAATGGTCAAGCAGATCACCGGTGCAAAGACCGTCATCACCGAGGCCCTCTTGCTACGTAGTGCAGTCTGGACCGAAGAGGATGCATTGGCAACTCATGCCGGCCATGGCAACAAGGACGGCGAAGGCAAACCAGACGCCAATGAAAAGACTCCCGAGGAGGAGGAATTAGAACTGGGCTTCCCGCAGTTCATTGGCTTTTCACCCAAGCACGGCGGCGCCAGCCCGGCACCCAAAGTCCACCTTGACTATGCCCCCAACGGTGCCCGTGTGCACCTGCGAAAGTACCACCCGAACATGACGGCCGTGGCCAAAGACGTCATCGCCGCCGAGGAGAAGCTGCTGGCCGAGGGTAAGTCGCTTCGCGAGGAGTATGCGGCATCGAAGCTGGGCCCTCGCTGGGCACTCTACTCCATCTGGCGGCCGTTGAAGCGGGTGCATCGCGATCCTTTGGCGCTTGGGGACGCCCGCACCTTCCTGGAGGAGGATTATGTACCCGTCGTCGTCAAGACGCCTAACCTGGGTGTGCCCGGGGATACTTCTACCCATGAGACGGAGAGCTATCTGGCCCGCTGGTCCCCGGGGCAGAAGTGGTACTTCATCCCGAAGCAGGAGCCCGAGGAAGTCCTGGTCGTAGGCTTGTTTGACTCGGATCGTGACAAGGACACCGTCGCTGCAGGAGGGACTCTCCATAGCAGCGTCGACCTACCTGGAACCGAGAACGAGGAGCCGCGCGAGAGCCTGGAGCTGAGATGCTTGGCCATCTGGTAGATCGGTTCAGCATAAGAATAGTGCGTGTCCGTCCGACCTGTCATTCAATGTGACAATCATGTTTCATGGGTAGTTTTCCGAGATAGACCATGTCAGCTGCTTGCGTGCATGATGCGGGATACAATCGAAATGAACCGCAATCGAAGAATCATGATGTGTCCTCTAAGAACCTCCATTCCCACTATCCGCGCCTGCGTCTATTCTTTCTTGCTCGCTCTGGTGTAATAGACTGCCAAACCGAGGATCCACCTCACCAAGATCGTGTCTGTCGCGGTGCTAATACCAGACCGGCCCCTGGAGTCCATGGCAGCAGAAGAAACATGTCATTGCCGGATCGCTGCGCCAATCTCGCCAAAGTATCTGCACCGCGCCCGAGTGGAGGTGCTCACCTTCTCCATCCTCGTCGTGTGCGACTTGTCGAAAAGCATGCGCCGTTGAGCTTTGTCTTCGGCGCCGCCGTCTTGTGTGGGGGTAGAGAACTCCTCCCACAGTGGCGACCCCTCCACACGGAAGACGTTCGGGTCCAGCGCTCTGATGAAACTCGTCCAGTAGCCCTGCATGACCGGGATGATCCAGGCGTTGGACTCGCCCGCACGGTAACTTGCGGGCACTGCGCCATGGACGTTGTCGGGTCCCCAGATCGCCCCAAGCTCAACCGTATGCGGCACCCCTAGGCCTTGGTCCATCTGCGCAGGATCCTCGACATTGTATCTGTAATTCCAGTTTCCTTGCAGTCCGTGCCGGGACAACGCGCTGGAGACGAACAGTGTCGGGCACATATACCGGATATCACCGTAGGCATTGGAGACCTGGCGCCACCAGCTGCCCGAATGCGGGAAACGAGGGCCGGTGTTGGGATAGAGGTCATCGATGCGCCGGAGGTGATCATTAGTTAGATACGGGAATTGGTCGTGTAAGAATGTGCTGGACTGTTCGGAGCTGGAAGTTGTGCGCGGTGTGAAGATGGTGCCTCCGTTGGTGTCGTCGCCAAAGATGACAGGGACGTGGATAAAAGACCCAGAATCAAACGCGGCATAGCTCAAGTTTTGAATGAGGTCGTCATCGATGACTGGGTTCCACATGAACAATGGAGGGTTTCGCGCGCCAGGATATGGTATGTTACGATTATGGGTCTGCAGTTCGGCGGCACTTTTCGAGCGTAGGCATGCCAATGTGTTGTCTTCGCGGTGGACGTCTCTCGGGCTGCTGGTACACCCCAAGCGTTCGACAAAGGTGTCGTACTGGTACTGGCTCTCCTCTGGAGTTAAGACTGTAGCAAAGCTCACAGATTCGGCGGCAGCACCGACGAACAGCCCGTCGTTGCGACCACCAAAAGCTGTCAGATGAAGGGCGATGGAGGCAGCACCAGCGGAGTCTCCACCCAGCACAACATGGTCGGGATCACCTCCAAAGTGATGAATGTACTTTTGTACCCATTCGAGGGCTTTTCTTTGGTCTTTGAGGCCGTTGTTGAGACTGGCGGTTGGTGACTCTCGAATCTGACGGCTGGCCAGAAACCCATATGGACCAAGACGATAGTTGAACGTCACGATGACGATCTCATGATCTGAAGCAGCAATCAATCCCCTGCCATTGTAGTTTGGGTTGGCGTTGGAGTTGAAGCCGCCTCCGTGGATGAAGAAGTAGACCGGCAGTCTTGATTTGACGCTTGCCCGGGATGGAGCATATACTTCGATGAAGAGACAATCTTCTGAAGTCAAGAGATTCGTCGGATCGTCCCCAGTAGCCAGACAAATGCGACCATGCTGGAAGAAGGGTTAGGGTTGTTGACAGAACACGCCCTCAATAGAACTATTCATACCTTGTCTGCTGCTTGTATGCGCCGAACCGTTGCCGGATCTTGGGGAGCGGCGAACCTCAGATCGCCGACAGGGGCTGCGGTATATCGCATTCCAAGCCATTGAGTGACCCCGTCTGCGAGCCTGACCCCCCGGTAAGAGGCGTAATCGAGCTTTACTATCGGTTGGAGGGCGACCACCGTTGAGAAAAGGTAGAGGAGGACTAAAGACAGGACGATGGTGCAAGCTGTGAGCTTGCGGGGAAGAAGCGTGCCATATGTTTGGTCATCAATTGCCATTGCTGCCACGACTGTCTTTCAGCCGTTGGCGCATCTCGACTGGTCACCCGGCCGTTGTCGAAGAATCGTCAAGTAGGAATTGATAGCGACAACGGTATCTCGAGTCTAGGACAATGTGCGCTCCGCCTCTGTCATGGGCCTATCATCACTGTGGCGCCAGAGTCATTGTCCAGCGCAGCCCGTCTTACGCATGAGTGTACCCGGAGCTTGTAGCCCTTCTGGTGGACATTCGCTACTGGTGATGCCGGTATGCTTTGTAAGTAAAGTCATAGGCTTTCGTTGGATGTTGCTTGTGTCTTTGTATCCGCAGGTGCAAAGAAGCATATTACATTCCGGTTGTGTGCGGGGAATGTGGCCGGCCTCTGGAAACTCCATTCTCGTTTCGATGTTGTCATCCGAGTCCGACACGCCCAAAGGGTCCAGCAAAAAGAGGTTGCCCAAGCTGACAATCAGATCGAGATTGTTCAGTGAGCACAAATGCCGTGCGATCATCGTCACTTAGGAGCCGCCTCCGCGATGGCTCTGTTCACAAAGTCCCAAGTCACTCCCCCAATGTCTTCCCCCTTCAGTCTATTCAGAGCACCAGACCCGGTGGTTGGTTTACCTGTTGCGATCCTTCGTGCCATGACGGAATCCTTCGCACCTGGGTATTTCGCTGCGGCACCCTGGAGGAGACAGTGTTCGAACCAGATTTCCTCTTCGGTCGTCAGGGGCAATCCCACCAACAGGGCTGCATGTTCGGCACGATCATCACCCTCTTTTTCTCGATGCACCGAGACGATCAGTTGTTCGAAGAGAGACTTGTGCCGTAGATCGTCTTGCTTCTGCGAGAAATAATATGCTTCGACCAAATTGTTCGCCAGGAGCAGTTGAAAGTATGCCTCCCGGGTTTCTTGATTTTGCAGAGGTGGAGAAGCGGCGACGTAGTATGCGGTGGCTAGGGAGGAGTCGCATTTGGGATGTCGGAGCAAGGCGAGTAAGATCTCGTCGGAGAAGGTGGGTGTTAGGGACGGGTCAGTGAGGAACTCCAAGGCTCTCGAGAATTGAGCATGATCAAGTTCCCACAAGCCGGCAACCAGCAGTTGCCACTTTGGCGGCAGATACGTTCTTCGAGCAAAGTTGGTGTCTGCGTTCGGTAGTTGGCGACAATCTCGGAGGATGTAATAGAGGAGGGCGATTCTTTGTTCATCTTGGATGGAAACCTGGACAATCTTGGACCAGAGGTTGCGCAGGTCTTGGTTCGATCGGGGCGGGTAGTTGTTCCTTGAGGCTGGTGACTGTTAGTTGCTATATTGACTGGAGGACCGGCATCATGTCCATACGACGTGTCAAACCTATATTCTTCCAAATGCGATCAAAGAACAGCTGGTCACCGAGTTCCTTGCGATGTTTGTGGATGGCCTCGATGGACTTCTGGTCGTACGCATAGTCGGGTTTCTGCTGAAAGACAGCGTCGAAGTCTTGCCAGTCGAGCATCGTGGTGACGGGAGAGTCGGTTTAGAAGGATAGTGAGGGAGAATCCAAGTGTAGGTCGTGTCAACGTGGCTCAACCAATTCATCACTAATAAGGATCCCATATCAACATTGAGCCCAACTCGACGGCTGTTGCTCTGTCCTGACCGCGTCTGCGGAGAAGAGAATTTCCGGCGAAGTATATGGCAAGCATAGCGCCATTTTGCTTCGCCGTAGCTTCTGCCGCAAATGCAATTGCTAACCGAGGCAAGTTTCCCGAGCCTCATCCAACGTCTTTAAACTTCAAGTCTGTCTATAGCTCGCCTCGTGCATCGTCGATGTCTCTGTAACACCAAGAAGCCAATCTCTTCTTGCTCCTTCAGGGGGTATTTACAGATGCTGCCTTCTGTCTAGAATCTGGCCACTCAAACAGCCTCTGCATGGCGAGACTTCGCGCCTGACTGGACCCGGCTAACAAAACCCCAAACCCCGCCTCTTTCTCCCGCCTGAGGACCAACATCACGGACGGTAGATGCAGAATGATGATTCTTGTTCATATACCGAGGTCTATGGTTCGGCCTGCATGTCATGTACTGATTCTGTTGTCCCCGACTTCGTTGGTCCCTGGTAAATACTCTATGTTAGACCCAGAGTAGGTTGTTGCTCTCAATCCCTTGTTTCCTTTCCCTGCCCAGGTTATCGTCACGCTCTGTCATCGAGAAGTCTCCCTCTCGCAGTATCAAAATGGGTTCCGAACACCATCCGGTGCAGCAAAAAGGCATCTACCACAACCTTCCAACATTCGACCCATCCATCCAGAATCTGACCGCGATCGTCACCGGGGCCAATGGCATCTCCGGCTTCCACACGATGCGAGTTCTGCTCGAGAGTCCTGACCGATGGAGCAAGGTCTATGCGTTGTCGCGGCGGCCACCGCCCAAGGAAATGATGGCCTTGCTTCCCGAAACTCAGCGACGGCGAGTGCAACATGTGGCTGTCGACTTCCTGGACGAGCCGCCCAAGATCGCCGAGGCCATGAGCGCTGCCAACATCGGGGCCGACTATATCTTCTTCTATTCGTATCTGCAGCCGCGCCCGCCACCTGGCGCGGCGGCATGGTCCAACGCCGAAGAACTAGTCAAGGTCAACTCGGCTCTTCTGGACAATTTCTTGCAGGCGTTGACGTTGTCGAAAATAACTCCCCGCCGCTTCTTGCTTCAGACCGGCGCGAAGAACTACGGCCTGCATATCGGGCGCGCCCGTACCCCAGCTGTCGAGTCCGACCCGCAGCCAACCCACCTGGAGCCCAACTTCTACTATGCGCAGGAGAAATCCTTGCTGGCATACTGCGCGGCCAACAAGACCTCGTGGAACGTGATCCGTCCGGCCTGGATCGTTGGGGCCGTCAATAACGCCCAGATGAATGCGCTGCATCCGTTTGCCATCTACGCTGCCGTCCAGGCGCAAAAGGGCGAAGCATTGTTCTTTCCTGGCGATTGGGATGCGTGGCAATTCGAAGCGCACCACTCGACGGCCATGTTGACCGGCTATCTGTCCGAATGGGCGGTGTTGGAGGACAAATGCAAGAACGAGGCGTTCAACTCGCAGGACACCAGCCCATTAAGTTGGGACCGGTTCTACGAAGAACTGGCGCGGTGGTTCGACGTGCAGAAGTGCGTGCATCCGCCGGAGGAGGACCTGAGCAAATACCACGAGATCGTGGGTAGAGCCGGCAAAGAAACGCCTATGGGGTGAGTATTCCCGCAATTCCAAATGAGCGCGTGTGCCATCATACTCCTGAACCAGACAGTCCCATGCAAAAAATGTCACATATCTAACACGAGAAACCGATATACTAGCTACGGCCCACCCATGGTCTCCCGCAGCCTCTTTTCGCTCGTCGACTGGGCAAGAGATTCTGCCAACAAAGCAGCGTGGGAGACGTTGATGGAGGACTCGCACGGCCGACTGACTGACAATCCCTTCGACGATCCAGAAGCCGACTTCACATTCGGCGAAGCTGCATTGGTCGGGCTGGGCAGCCTCTCCATGAACAAGGCTCGGGGACTGGGGTGGACTGGGTTCGTAGACACCATCGAAGCCGTCTTTCAGATGTATTCGGAGATGGCAGCGCTGGGCATGCTCCCCAACATGAAGGTTAACAAGCCCAAGCCTTTGATCTGAAACTTAACTCCTTCGGGGGGAAGGGGAGCGATGTATGAGAAACGATATAGGTGCTGCTCTTTCATTCCTATCATGGACTGTCTGAATAATGCTATTCTCGTCTCTCACGGATCAGCATGATCAGGAATAGAGAGAGTCTACAATCTGCTGATACGGCTTGCGCAATTTTGGTAGATGTATCTCCAAAAAGGACGAGAACGCTTGCCAATGGATTGCCGCGAAGAAGCTATCGTAGATTATAATATCGAAGCTGCATCACGACAAGGCTACGAGGCTGAAGTCATAAAAGGGGCACACACAAGGCTGTAACAACCCCAATGATCTGGTTGGCCGACAACGATTATAACAGACGAAATGGCTTTCACAGTTTTCCTCTGGTACCTTCCAATGTGAACTTTGATTTTTCCACTCTCCTAGAGAATCAAGATGCTATCCTACTCCCATGGCAAAGAAGACAAATTCCCCGCGAAGATCCGCGGGAACGCGTCGTCAGCCGACACCGCCTTCCCAGATTCCTTCTCCTTTCGAAAGACGACCTGGACCTCACCCACAGTAAATCTCACGAAGCCCACTCCCCAGTCAAAGCCGTGGTAGTTAACCTGTTTGACCACGTTCCAGCCCTGGAAACACGCATTCCGACTTCTTCCCTGCAGACTCCTCGCCACGGCATCCCATCCCGCCTTTGAGGCTGGCCACGGACCAGACTGTCCTTGCTTGTGTTACTGCATCACAGCCGACAGGGAAAGTCGGGTACTCGTTGGCGAAATCACACCATCGCTTCTCACGCAATGTGACTTCTTCCAAGGACACGAAGATGTCCTTGTGCTGCTGTAGGACCCGGCCCAGATCTCGCAGTCCTTGAAAGTCGACATACGGATGTCTTGATTGTGGCCGGTAACTGTGTGCGCGTGTCCAAACCGTCGCGTCAAATTTCAAGCTTCGGAGGTTTCGTAGCTTGTACGGGTCGAGACATTTCAAGAAAACGTTGCCGAATCCACTTGCGTTGTGGAAGTCGGTTGGAGCGATGCAGCTGCTCCCTGCTATGAGCCATGATTTCTCGACTCCTGGGCCATGGTTTGCTCTGAATTCCTCCTTCAGAGTATTCACCACAACGGTCGTTGAGCGGAAGAATAATGGTGCCCATTCTTCATGCATTTGTCGACAAACAAGCAGCAAGGTCTTCCGTGCCAGTACCATTTCTTTATTGGTGTAGTCATATCCACAACCTATGGTGAGAGGTATGTCGATGAAGTAGCTGTAGAGTGACAGTCTGACCTCGAGAGGAAGTTCCAGGAAGCGCGACCGCTGTGGGAAGATCTGAGGTGTCTTTCTTGCCTGGATTGCGGCTTGTTTGCAATATGGTGTCTGCCTCGGAGTCTGGCGCGTTCCTTTCAAGATCTTCGGCATCTTGATTTCGAGTGGGAGAATAGGACGCGGCAAGTAGTCCTTCTTGTGCAGAAGTCGATGTGTTGTCAAGGTCCTGGTCTGGAGTAGCACGAGCAATTGCAGACGATGTAGGGAAGCAGAAGAGCTGCCGCGTATGTAGGAATATATATAATAACAAGGGGCCATCACTAACGACTGCTCGGTGAAGTAAGTGCCGTATCACTTGGTGCAAGTGACATAAGTGGTGATTTGGAGAGTGAGGTACCTGTTCAGTGATATATAAGCAGCACAAGTGATAGCAACAGACATGTTGTTTGGTACATCACCGGTCCCCAGTCAAACAACTTACAGGAAACATTTTGCCAGTTTGATCAACCTGGCTTGTACAGTCTTTATGACCAAGACCGGTACATAACTTCTGCCGAATCCGCCAAACAGCTCCTATGTAGGCAATCACCAAAACCTGGCTCAATGAGTTCACAGGGACCGCTATGGCTTGTTAGGTGAGGCAAGTGCTTCAGATTCAGAGACATCATCAACGTAGCTTTAATAGAGATAGCCACCAGTAACTTTAGAACCTACCATACCTTGTTGACCTGGGCGACTGCCTGCGGCAAACTGGTTAACAGGATGGCTTTTGTATTGGTGGTCACCAGGAGCTGAAGAGGAGAAGCTTTCATTGGGTTTGCCGAGACCGCCATATGATTTTGGACGAAAAGGCACACCACATACTGAATCTCCAGCTGTATAACTTTAGCATAGGCGATCACCCTGAAAATAGTTAGACATAAGTATCATGAACGTGGTGACAACCACAAACATGAAACAAAATCATCAAAAGGGATGGATTAAGTAACTGCTCTATACAGCTTATACTCCGCCGTAAATTATGTGATACCTTAGTACGGTGAAATATTTTATTGGTTTACGTCAAGCTCAGGGGGATGGATTCAGGGACGACATTGAGACAAATATGCAGAAAACAAAGAGAAGAGGCATTTCTGTAGGACTATCAAGCAAAGCTAGGTATCCTGCACTGATCTGTTGTCACCAAGAGCCGCCGTATACAGCATACTCCAAGCCCACCGTCTGCATTGAGGTTGTCGTATGTCCAACCAAGCTCCTTTTCTTGTCCTATTTCATTTGCTTTCATTTGTCCAGCCCGGCCTCTTCTTCGTCTGTTATCTGTGGACTGCCCAGCACTTCCCGTGACTCTCTTAATCCAGACGAAGCTGTCTGCGACGTGCAACAGGCTTCCCGTCCTCACCAACAACAGGGTCAGGTCTTCTCGGCACCAAAGGCCAAAGGACACCAGCCAGAGTTGGACCATCATCCACGAACACCACTTTGGGTCTGACAGGCGGGTGGACGGCAAGGTAGTCAGCGACGCCACGCTTTCTGCGGAACAAGATGCGGAAACCACTTGGACCATGCTCGCGTCGAATAGCCGCGTCACGCATCAACTCGTACGTGACTTCGTGCTCGAAGATCCGGAATTTGACCGCATACGAGGGCCGAGCGACACTTCCCCAGGCCGAATGGTCAAAGGTCGTCCAGCTCATGTCCGGAGACGGCATGGGCCGATCGAGGTCGAGTACAAGGATGGCCATGGCGAGAGGCGCGCGGAGGATAGAGCTGCTGACATAGTCGCCGTGGACGACGTTGAAGGTTTCGAGGTGCAGCCCGGCGCGGGCCAGTAGTTGCGGCATGTCTTCCAACACGGCGAAGTCGGTCGGTCGGTACTGTCGGTTGCGGTATTCGAGATGCCGGATATTGCCCACCTTGGCGGGGTGCATTGTGCGCAGGAGTTTGTAGAACTCGTTGGGCGTGTGGTTCTGGTATCGCAGAGAGAAGGTGGTCGAGCGGTAGAAGTGAGGCGTGAACTCGACATTGATCTGTCGGCATGTCAAGAGGAGAGATTTGCGCGTCTTGCTGAAGCCATCGTATTGTTTTGTCTGCTGTCGATCGGTGTCGCCGTCGTGGTCTGGGAGGTTCTCCAAGAGCTTGTACACCAGGAGTCGGATCTCGGCTCCCACCTTGAGAAACGGGGAAGACTGTGGCTTTGTTTTGGGTCAGCATTCTCTTTATCATCGTGATCGCTGTTCTCACCTCGCTTTCAGCATCAGCTGCGACGCTGCCCTTCTTGCGCTCAACCAGTTTGCGTGTCAACCGCATGTTGACGATATGGACGGACAATGATAGAGTCGCGCAGGGAGGATGAGAAGAGATGCTGAGAGGGAGTGCGTGAGTTGATAAATATGGTCGGAGTGGTGTCGGAGCGGTATATGCGTAGATCCAAACTGCAACATAAAGGTGAGGCGACAGTGAGGTGAGTATTGCACATAAAAACATACACCCACGGAGACTGTCTGCCAGGACAACCTAAACACAAGGCCGTGGACAAAGGTCCTGTGTTATGCAGACCATAACAAGAGAGAAGAAGTCTTAATCAATGTCAACTTGACAAGTCCAGTTTCAATTCATTGTATTTTCAGTCGCGTCAAAGCACGTACTCATACACACTCCCCTACCAGAAGACGCCTGCCCAATGCCTCCCAAGTCCTTTGTGGACGTTCCATATCCGTGACCGTGACCCTGACCGTGACCATGCAAGTGTATCAGATGCTTCCAGCCAGTGATCGACCAAGTGGTCCTGTATCTTGTTCGAGTTCTTTGCAAACGGCACAAAAGGCCCCATCCAGCTTCTGAACTGTGTCGACCAGTCTGCCAACCAGCTTATTTGAGCATCGAAAACAACCCCCCACGCAGGAGATGCAAGGATGCCAAAATTTCATGTCTCATCACATCGACCTTCCTCCCTTTTCTCCTACTGTACTTCCGGGTCGAAGCATATATCCCACCATTTTCGGGAGAGCTTTATCGCAACGGTCTGTTGGTCCGCTCGGCGTCTTTTCCATACTCCCTCCACCAATCTCGATCCCAGTATCCGCTTCCGGCATGCTGTTCACCCGTCTCCATCCTTCCACGACGGTCCTCGCCCGGATAATCTTGGCCCTGCTTCTCCTCTTGCGTCTGGCCCGAGTGTAGTCAATCGTAGCCGGCACCGCGTTGCCAAGGGCTGGAAGTGTTTTGTTGTCGGAACCCTTGTTGAGGGGCGTATCCACCCTGTGCAGATCGCGGTGGTGCGTATCCTGGATTCAACGGGCTGGAGCTCATGCTTCTGTCATAGGGTTGTTGCGTCGGTGCCGTCGTGGGTCTGCCGGTATATCCATAGTCCGCGTTTCCACTGTAGCCTTGACCGTACATTTGTCGTTGCTCGTAAGATTGCTGCGGACCTCGTCTCCCATTGTTTTCGCCGGGATACATGGGCGCGGGTTCCTGTTGCCCGTAGAGGCTTGGGCTCTGAGAAACGGGTCGTTGCGACAGCTCTGATTGGTGCTTGAGCGAGTCACTGGAGAAGGACTCATCATCATCAAATGCCTTTTTGTCTTGAGAATAGGTGTGCATTCCGTCTCCTCTCGCGGTTGCACCCAAGGCGTCAAGTTCGGTGGTGAGAGCGGCCTGAGACTTGATGAAGCTTCCACGGTCATCGCGCATCGGTTGGTATCGAACTTCCGGGTTCTTTGATGCGATGGCGTAAATAGATGCGATAAGTACCAGAATCAACAGAACCACAGCGAAGATGACGTTGTACAGGGCGAAAATAACGCCCATGACCCCCGACACCATTTCCGGCTGGTTGAATACATCGGAGAAGACAAGGAGAAAGATGGCGTTGAGGAAGTTGACGGACGCGATGGAGATGTTGAACACATTGGTTTTCTTGTCCATGAATGGTCGGATGACACTGATGCCAATCAAAGCCACACCCTCGACGATGAGCAGACCGATGGCCTGGGCGACCGGCGACTTCTGAGCGAAGGCGATGAAGACCGCTTTGACTATGATATAAGCCAGCAACGGGACGACGAAATAATAGGCGGTGGCGCGGTATTGGACGTAGAGGAAACCCCACTTGTTGAGGCACTTTGGATCGGAATAGAGGATGTATGCCGGGTTCTTATGCATGGCCACCGATTTCTTCGCAAGCTGGATGACTCTGAACGATGCCCAGACCAGGGCGGCAGCCATGGAGATGAAGACGATCAGCGCCAGCACGACCTCGGCGGCCGAATCTCGCTCCATGATTTCCCAGAAACACAATATGGACATTTGCACGAAGCCTAGCAGAACCTGCAAGAGTGAGCAAACAAGGCCTCATCAAACGAGGGGTGCCATCCAACTTACCAATCGGAACAAAATTCCCTTGATGACGATTTTCCAGCCATTTCGGAATTCGAGGAACCGGTCGGATCGCATCCAGCCCGCGCGGGAAAAGCCCTCGAGAACGGCCTTGGTCAGGGCAACCAGGACAGCGACCACGAACAGAATGAAGACGAAGAAGATCAGACCCGTCATGAAGATATTGGTCTGCTCTATTCCGGCCCTAAAACCGACCCTATCGATTCCACGAACGACCTTAACGCCGGATGTAGTGGTAGTATCGGACGAGGCATCTGCCCGCTTGGCCAAAGCACGCACACCTCGTACAGCGTAGGCTGCCATTGCGTCCAGGGAACGCCTAATGGCTCGCTTCTGCACTTGGACTGAATATGTGCTCAGCGTGGAGAGATAGGTGGTGGGAGTGCCTCCAGTGGCTCGCTGGTACCAGGTTGCAATGGACTGCAAGAAACCGACCCGGATGATACCCATGCTCCACTGGAAGTTCTGCGTCCAAGATTGCACAATAGGCGGCATGGTGACAGAGGTCATACCGATAATGGCCTGTGCTTGAAAGAAGCCAAACAGCGAGACCGCATTTGCTGCGACGTGAGCGGCCGTGTTGGGATGGCCCAGACCTGAAGTCACGCCGGCAGCCAGAAGGCCCAGGCCGGCAATAACGGCGGTGGCCCAACCCACACCTGAATGATAAACAGTCTTGGTGTTGGAAAGATCGGCTTCCATGCAAGCAATGACTTGGTTGGTGTCGGTCGACGTAACATAGACTCGGACGACGCCGTCGAGATCCGGGACGGTATAAGCAATGCCCGGCACATTCTTCGCGACATCCTTAGGCACATCAATGTTTGTCTCGATGTTGATTTGACCTGTTTGCATTGGACAGAACCCAGACAAGTTCATCTCGCAGGGGTTCAATGTCTGATTGACGATCGTGAACCCGTACGCGATGACTTCGAGTTGAGCGGTGACATTGCCCACGAGGGAGGAAACACCATTGATGTTGAGGGCAATACTGTTGTTCCTCGGTGTGTAGGCGACGTTGAACAGCGTCGCTGTGAAGTTGGAACCACTCTTGCAGGAGTTGAGCGAGCTGGACTCGACGACATCGACGGCGAGGGCTAAAGGCGAGAAGAATAAGGCGGTGAAGAGGGTGAGCAGGTAGGATAAGGATGTTTGAGGCCGCATGATGAGTTGTGGCTGATGGTAATGGCGCCGAAGGACGCGTGTTGCTCTGGAGAAGGGCTGCGACGCAGGACGAGAGCGCCAACCAGGGCGAGACGCAGTCCAGCAATCAACCGTCAAGCGTAGCGAGATGTAGTCAACGTCGACAACCTGTATCTAGACTTTATTCAACGATGGTGGTGATGGTCAATGGTGTCATGGATGTTGATCGCAGGCGGTTTTGGTGAGGAAAACCCGGTTTCGAACGAGCGGCAATAGCCCAGAACTGCAGTGCAAACGATGGTCGTCGCCGAAGGATAACGAGGATGAGAGGCCGTGACAGAGGTTGTCGGCTGTCGAGTGCAGTTTGGGATCGAGTTAAATAGCGAAAGTGAGTAGTGATTGAGCGAGTGTCGTGAACGAGGGAGAGACTCGATGGGATGTACGAGGCGATTCGGTGAGTGACGGAGGCTGGAACAAAGAAGAGACAGATGCAGATGCAGATGCAGAACTTGAAGTTTAGGTGGATGGGCGAGGGAGGCGGCTGACGGAGGGATGAATCTCCTTGACCGGGGAGAGGACCAGGCGTTGTACAGAGGTGGAAGAGCTCTGCTGTTGGTGGATGGGCGGCTAGACGACTAGCTGCGGATCCCCTTTAGGTGCTGTCCGGGTTGTGGAATCGAATCTGGGTGAAGTGTTGAGGTGCCAATGTGACTGGGAAGGCCGGAGACCACGGCTACCGTTCACGGTACGCACGGTTAGTTTACTACGGGCCAGTACTTTAGACACTTGGGCGGGTCGTTGGCTGACGGATGGGTTTCTCACTCTCTTTTCCTCCTCTCCCAATCTGAGTGGTGGTACCTGTTAAATGGCGTTCCTAGTACCAGACGGAGGCCCAGAGTGACAAACGTAACTGTTTTGTTTGTGTTTGAAGTGATGCAAATGCTGGTTGGGTGGCGAAGCGAGGAGAAGGACGCAGGAGTTGTAGGCGGCGCAGGGGGGCAACAAGGCCTAGGATAGTTCTTTAGGTCACTGGGACACCTGCACTGCACACGCCTACAGTGTACCCTAGTACCTGGGTAGACTTCTAACGTTGCGCTGCACAGTAACTGCCAGACTGCGCAAACCACTTCCAGTTGAACTGTTGTGACTGGCGCAGGCAGATTTGACGCCAAGCTTAATCTGGACTCCGCTAGGCAAGATTTGGCCATAAAGCTCTGCTACTTCAGCTCTAGAGCAAATTCTTTCGTTGTTATTATTATCCCCCTGGCAGTACGTACCACTCTCTGTACAATCTGCCACTAAAGTAACACATCATGTCTCCTCCCTTCTAGCGCTTCCTCCACCACTGAAGACTCAAAAGAGGCCTGAACACGCAGGCTCATAGAGGCGCAGCAAGCAACAACAACATCCACCGCCCATTACTAACCTGGTTTCCCGATTGCGAAATTGCTGTTCTCTCCAAACTCCGGCCATCTACCGTTCCGTTCACTCGAGTTCCACAGCTGTCTCTGGCTGTCCACAAAAGCTACCTACCTACTACCTCGTACCTATCCACACGGCCGGATCTACGCTCAGATACACCTGCACACTACCTCGCCCTGCCTCCGTGTCAGGCTTCCCCATGAAAACATGGGTGCTTGAAGCGTCGGACTCGGACCTTTTCTGGGAGCTGAAGAGACGATCGTAGGACACGCTTTGTACTCTCTCCAAACAATGACGAAGCGAAAGACCTCTTCCGAGCCCCTGGTCCGCCGATGAAAGAATGCCGTAATCATACCACTACCACGAGGCCGGAGCTGTCGGATCGTAGTCGAGCACTGGGCAACACCACTACTGACGAGTGCCTAACCAACGGCACCTTGGACACTGAATAGACTGGTGCCCAGGAAACTTGGGGAAATCCGATACCAGTAGCAAAACAGTGCAAAACAAGCCTCTGACATGAAATTGTTACTGCTTCTGACAAGGCTCGGCCATCACAGATACCTTTCATGCCGGATCTGGGGCATGTCCGGTTTCGTCTGTTTGTTGCAAATCATGCCCAGATGTGTCAGGTGTCAGATGAGTTACAAGATCTCCGGGAAACCATGATTGTTCTCCAGCGTACAAATTGCTTCTTGGCCCCCCTGCCCGTCCACCTTCAAGACTCGATTCATCGAAAGACAAAGAGTTGAACCCCTACGCTACAAAATTGCTCAATTGTCAATATACAATTACCCCAAAATGCAGCACAGAAATGCAGCACAGGAAAATTTCTCCAAGGATGCCAACCTGGTCTGTCTCGATTGCGCCGGTGGCTCTCTTGAACGATCTTCCGACCATCCTGGCTCCATCCACAGCATCCAGGTACCGCCTCCCACGTCACTCTGTCTCGGGCTGTCGCACTGCACTCCACGAAACCTAGAACATGCAGCAAGGATCACCGCATCGTGCAGTGTAGGCGCGATGACTCGTGACGGATTCTGGATCTGGAAGTCCGTTTCAGAAATAAAGATTGGTTTCATCAGTACGAGAATGAGACTGATCTACTGCTGGTTATATCTAACTCGGGTACGTTTAAACCTGACCACTTCTCACTCACTACGCAGCTAGTGACACCGGATATTCTTTTTCTCTCGATCCGACGTGATAATGCAAATAACATCCCCGAGAAGGGGCTGTAGCTGTCGCGGAAGCAGCCCTCTTTTTGTCCAGGCTCTCTCACTGCTGATGTAAAGAAAGGTACCTTTATCGATGTGCGGCAGGGACAACGAATCCAGTTATACTACAGAATCGACGTGTCGCAATATCATACAAACACGATCGGTGTATGTACCTAGGGAATCACGCAGCTTTAGAGAGCTCTTTGGTCCATCTGATCTAGCACTCAGCATTGCAAGGCTCCTGTACGACCCAGTCGCTCTTGGAGAATCTACCAGGTAGGCATGTAGTACCAACGCCGGGTATCAGCTTTCGCCTCTCGCCTTCTGTCTCCAGCAAATCATCACGGCCCCTGAACTGCGAATGCACCTGACGCCAATCGAGCACAAAAACCCCCTGAAATCATCCAGCGATCCTAGAAAAGCTCTGTTGGTGAGCATGGTTCAAGGTTCGTACATAGTCCTCCGCATTGGAGGAGGAGGTTGTTGATGTGATTGTTGTTGCCGTCGTTGTTTCTCAAGAGCCTCCAGCTCCTTCCGCTCTCGAGCTCGCTTCCGACTGAGAAGGTCACCGCGTACCATGCGCAGATATTTGAGGGCGTGTTCAACGACCTCCCTGCCCTCGGTGCTTTCTTTGAGTGTTTGGATCATGGTGGCCACTTGAGCCTCGTCGTTGAGATGGGGACAAGTTCTCCCATGGCCCAAATGTGCAAGACCACAGAGCCCGCAATATTCCAGTCCTGCCAGCTTGAGACGACACCAACCCATGGGATGCTCTTCTCCGCAGGCCGAACAGAGATGGGTGGGCGGCATGTGACAGACCGGGCCAAAATCGAACTGGGCATCGCCATTGAAATGTGGTGCTGGCCCGAGCGGGACTCGAACTCGTTTGAACGGCCGGGCTACTCCTCCATCAGTGTCGGCGACGTTTGGGACTGGGTTTCTCCATACCTTGTACCGTGCGATTGGGTTTCGCGTCGGATTCCGAGCTGATTTCATCATCGTGTGATTCTTCCACGGGTGCTTGGTAGTCGTCATCATGGGGACCAGGTCGGTGAGAACCAGCTCTACCTTTGCTGGATGGCCGATGCTTCTCGCCATCATCCTCCAAGGCGTAGTCCACAGTCTGTACCTGGTTAGCGACGATGACCTCGGAGTTCCCGACCCGAAGTCGCCTACCTGTCGTCTGCGTTTTCCTCTGCCAAAAGCCTCAGCTTTCCGGGCCTGCTCCTCAGCAAACATGCGTTCCCGCTCCGCGAGAATCTTATCCCATATCCCCGGGTTGGGCGTGTTGGAGACAGTCTCTGCAGTGATCTCGTCTTCTAAGGCAGCCTTGTCGTTCTGCCAGACACGCGCAAAGCTGAACTGGGATTCGGCGGATTTCTCTTCACTTATCTTGGTGTTCTCAATCTGCGAGCGATCTAACAGACGGTCCACTGAGGTCGAATCGTAGACGATGTCGTCGGCTCCTGATTCGTCCTCGAAGAGGGCCTGAGCGCCATGCTTCAGAATAGACTCGAGGTCCTCGCCAGCGTCGTCGTCTTTGTCCATGCGTTCGATGAGCACGTGATCCAATGCCATCTTCTTGCGTCCGATCTGCATGATCTTTTCTTCTGCGCTGTTCCGAGTCATCAACTGGAACACCAACACTTTGTTCTTCTGACCGATCCGATGAGCTCGTGACAGTGCTTGAATGTCCTGGTGCGGATTGAAGTCTGGATCCAGAATGATGACTGTGTCGGCCGTCGCGAGATTGATTCCGACCCCGCCAGCTCGGGTGGAGAGTAAGAAGGCAAAATATGGCGAGTTCGGTGCGTTGAACTCATCGATTCGCTTCTGTTTCTCGACAGAGGAGATGTTGCCATCAAGCCGACGGTGTTGTAAGCCGAGCCCGTCCAGGAAATCTTCCACAACATCCAGATTGTCCAAAAATTGGCTAAACATGAGGACTCGGTGGCCTCTTTCCTGCAGTTTGGGAAGCATAATCGATAGCAACTGCAACTTTCCTGAAGCCTGTACCAGGTTGTTGAAAGCCACTGTAGGATCAACACCTCTCTCTTCAATGTCCCGGCTGTAGACAAAGGGGTGACACAGCGTCTTTCGTAACTGCATCAGGATATTGTTCAGGTTCATTCGTTCCTTGCTAGCCACTGCCCGGTCCTGACTGAAGATGGACTTCATGAGCTGAGGGTTCCGGGCCAGTATCGATTTGTACACCTTCTTCTGGACAGTCGACATGCTGACCGGGATGATGACTTGAGCCATGGGCGGGAGAAACGTCAAGACCTGCGCTTTAGTGCGTCGCAGGAAGAACTTGCGCAGGGTCTGATGCAGCTCAGGCACATTGTCTTGTGTCAAACTGGCATATTTCGCCTCGAGGTCTGCAGCAACCATGGTCTTGTCCAAGAATTGCAGCAGGTTGAACAGCTCACGGGCGTTGTTCTGCAGTGGAGTCCCGGTCAACAGGACTTTGAACGGAAACTTGAACTTGGACAAGATATCATAAATCTGAGATCGATCACTTTTCAAACGTTGTCCTTCATCGACAAAAAGACCTTGCCATGGGATCTTCATCAAGCTCAGCCGGGTTTTCTCTTCGGTAATGGACTCATAAGACGTGACGACGATGTGAGCTTTGATGTCCCGGACCTCTGAGCGGCTCTTCTTCTGTTGGTGATGGGACTCGTCGTCCTTCAATTTCGGGAATAGTTCATAGTCGTGAATGAGCTTTCGCGCCGTAGACGAACCGAAGTAGGTCACGACTCTGAGAGACGGAGCCCATTTCTTGATCTCCCGACGCCAATTCGGAACAGTCGAGTTTGGGACGACCACGAGGAAAGGCCAGCATTTATGGTCCTGAACCAGGGTGGCAAAGAAGGCAACCAGCTGTATCGTTTTGCCCAAACCCATTTCGTCGGCGAGGATGGCATTTTGATTCGAGAACCACTGATACATCAGCCAATTCAACCCTTCGAGTTGATACAGCATCAGTTCACCTCCACTCATGATCGACGGTTGAGTCTTCTTGATCAGGTTCGACTCGAAATCTTGTGCTTGGATGTGCTGTAAGTGTCGTCTTAACGAGGCTTGAGGAGGTATTGACAGGTGTAGTTTCTTGACGTAGTCTTCATACGCTTCCTTAAAGTCGTTCCAGCGTTCGGTATCGGTATAAGGAGGCGGCTTCTCCCAGATGGCGTCTTCGTATCCAAGTCCTTTATACTTGACGTACGCCATATCCACTTCCTTGACACGAGCAAGATCGATCTCCTTGGTGCTATTTCTGACGACACTCGTATATCGTACGTCGAACACGATATCGACGCGGAAGACTTCCTCGGGTAAAGCGTCTGCTGTGGTCATCTTGGGAAGCTGGTTATCAAGCTTCTTGAAAAAAGCTAGGCGCATACTGCTTGCTGCAGTTCCCCAGACCCAGGCCCCCGGCATCCAGTTGGTGCGAAAGTAAGACTGAGCTTTCCACTTGACCAAGTACTCCTTCTCGTGCTCTTCCATTTGCTCGACGGTCGTGCCGGGAACGTAGGCCTCGAGGTCAACGGGGCGCCAGGCGACCAGAACGTCGATTTGATTCTGGTGCTCAATACAATCCTTACACATCCAGGATCGGTGATAATGCTCGAAACGCTTTTGCGCCAGTTCCGCTTCATCCAGATCTTCCTCCTCGTCATCCAAAGATGAATCGGCCGTTTGTCGTGCTGGAAGATGATGCATATGCCAGGCGCGGAAACACTGAGCACATCTAAACAGAACATGGGCAACATTGTTGATGAGCTTCGGCTCAACAATTGTGATTGGATCGGTTCCTCCATTTTCTTCTCTTTGCGCTTGCTCTTGACGTGTGGTCAGACGGTTGCGGAGGGGCTTCGACAGTTCACCTAGAATATTGCAGCCAACGCAGACACCATGGTGCGGTGCCCGCTTGTCCCGGTCATGAGCGAGTCCGATGCATCGCCTACATTGTAGGACAAAGAGGCTGTCGCCCACTTTCGTGACCAGGTGATCTCGGCTGCCTCTAGGGCCCAAGCACGCCTTGTGATATGAGTTTGTGCATCCCTGACAGAAAACCAGTGGTCCTTTGCCGGCATCGTCTCCCTTGAAATAGCAGATGTCGCACTCCTGCCGGTGACGTCTTCTGAAAGGGTCTTGTTCGGGGACTCGAGCAAAGTACTCCTTCGTACCGACAATTTTTGGTCCTGCTTTCTCCTCTTCGTAGCTCGATATGTCATCTTCTTGCCGCTCGCGCATACTCCGTCGTGGCTTGGACCCGTTTCTTACAGATCGACGAGTGAGCATCTCAGGCTCAGGCAAGGAATCGTAGGCTTTTGATCTGGTAGATCTCAGGGATGGCGACCCACCTCTTGTCGGCTGCAGTCTAGTAGTGCGCCGTGTGCTTCTGCGGCGGGGTTGTGAAGCAGAGTCATCGTCGTCGTCGATCTCGATTAAGTCTTGTTTGAAGTAATTTGTCTTTTTCTTCTTAGTGAGGCGCGCGGACCGTCTTCCCTTAGCTTGAGGCCCATCTGTCACCTCTTCATCTTCATCTTCATCCTCATCCTCATCGGACGACTCAGCTGCCAGCTCATCCTCTGACACGTCGCTCTCCTCAGCTTTGTGCCGAGGTCGTGAAGCTGGCAGTTTTTCGTCCGAACCTGACAACTCGACGGTATTCCAATCAACCATGCCTGTGAAGCCTGGCTTCTGGGAGTCTCGCCTGTCTCGATTTGAGGATGAATTTGATTTGAACTTTTCAAGAGCCAATGATCCGTTCTCAAGGTCAAGCAATTCACGGGAAGACACCTGTATAGAAGACATTTCTTTGTGAGGTTGAAGGGAAGAAGGGAAGAAAGACGCATGCGTGAGGGAGGGGTATGTAAGCAAGTAAGCTGAACTTGAAGGGAAGGTGAACAGGTAAGGATAGATCGGCTCAGGAGACGTGCGAAGGGGACATGGCGCTTACAAGATCAACCTCGCCGCTATCCAACTTGACCAAGTATCTGCCTTTCTTGCTCTTAGACAGGATCCTCTGTACCGAGAAATGCCCCGGCAGGTATTCGTACTCCTGCTTGTCCTCATCCGGCAGCTTAGGTACTTCGACGTAGAAGGACTGTCGCAGACTTGGAGCAACTCCGGGTGCCGGGCCATTCTCCGTCTCAGATGGCGACGATGGTCGTCGCCCGAGTCTAATCGTCACTCGGCTCTGCCCCTTGGGGCTGTCTTGGTCATCGTGTAGGATATCGCCGTCGCTATCCGAGCCATCAGGCACCGAAGAGGCAGTTTGTGTATGAGAGCCAGAATCGTCGCTGTGCGCTTGTTCATCTTGCTCGCCTGAAGGGTTGGGGTTCTCGGGAGGTTTGCCCATCCAAGAACTCAGATCGATGATAGGGTCCATGTTTGTATCCGGCCGTCTGTGCGACAGTGCCGTCGGTGCAAGAGATGTGTTGATATCCGAGAATTCGACTCTTAGAGAAACATTGTAACCACTGTACAAGGCGTACCTTATGACACGATCAACGGATGCGGTAGGCGAACAGGGGAGACGCGCTTCTTGCCGGTCATTTGTGAATGGCAGAGATGAGGGTGCGATGTAAAGCTACCTGCCAGTGGTTTGTAGTAGTCGCAGTCGCAGGCGCAGGCGAAATTGCAGTCGCAGTCGCAGTTCCGCAGCTGCGATTCCTCAAGCCACGACGCGGGTCGCGTCAAGTTCGTTTAATTAGTTTATCAAGGCAGATAGATAAAACCTCTGCGGAGATTCGTGGCGATCAATTCTCCAACTCCGTCTCCGACTATAATATACAGCGAGGACAGTATACTGCAACATTTTTTACACAGGCAACTGACTCTTGTCATCCACTGCTTCTCACCCGCTTAGGCTTATTCATGAATGCAGTCGCTCCTTTCTAATGTGCCGCGGACGCTTCTGGGTCTCAAGACACCCACAGTCTACCAGCCTGCACGCTATATCTCCTTGACCGGTGCGATTGAGAAGGGTCTTCGAGAAGCCCAGCACGGCGCAAGCAAACATGAAGCACGCTACGCAATCCCTCAACATGGAGACCAGGCCCGGTCAGCCATAAGAGAGCCTCGAGGCACTCGCGGAGAGGACGACCGCCGGGAATGGCAGAGGAAGATACCGACGAGAGACATGCAGCCGCGAGAGGAGGAAGAGAGACCAGCCCAATATAGGGTAGGAGTGCCTACTTCACTCCCATACACAACAGCAGGGTCGGAGTTCATTTACGGAACCTTTTCTGTCCTGTCTGCGCTCAAGGCCGGAAGACGGAAACTCTACAAACTCTACCGCCTGCGTCCACCAGCTTATGGCAAAGGATTGGACAAGCCAACAAGAGCGAGGACAAGGGCTGATCAATCGGAGGAGTTGTGGGACGATACAGAAGCACAAGAGGATGTCTACAACCTTGCAAAAAGAACCCGGGTGGAGGTGAAGGATGTTTGGGGACCAGATTGGCACAGGATCCTGTCTAAAGCCGCAACGGGACGCCCACACAACGGCTTGGTGCTGGAGGCTTCTCCGCTGCCCAAATTGCCAGTTACAAGCCTGTCTCCCGTCGACAGGTCATCAGACGAGATCACTGCTGCTGTGGGCTGGGCTTCGCAGGAGGATCAAGAGGTCAACCGTACATTCGATATCCGTGGAAAAATCGCGACCATCCCTTCCGTGCGGCCATCTCATCGGTATCCTTTCATGCTTCTCCTCGACTGCATCACCGATACTGGAAACTTCGGAGCGATTGTCCGCTCTGCCTGGTTTCTTGGAGTCGACGCTATCCTCATCCTTGAGCACGGCACAGCCCCGATAGCGTCCAACAGTCTGAAGGCATCCGCCGGAGCTCTCGAGTACATGCCGATTCTGCATGTCAAGAATGAACGTGCTTTCGTCAAGAGTTCGCGTGAGAATGGCTGGAAGTTCTTTGCCGCGGATGCCCCCAGCGACGAACTTCCATTGCGCAGACGCTACACCAAACGCAACAATACTCGAATGCTGGGGTTTGAAGGAGCATTATTGAGCCACCCTTGCGTATTGGTGCTTGGTAACGAAGGGACGGGGATTCGTGACTTCATGAAGTCTCTTGTGGATGGTATGGTCGGGATTCCCAACGCAAGGCCCCATGCCGGAGACATCGACAGTCTCAATGTCAGCGTGGCAGCGGCTTTGATGACCCAGAGGTTTTTCGATTCGGCTCCAGCCCCCCGTGGTTCAGAGTAAATGTCATGGCATGCGATCTGCACTACGCTTGAATCCATTCCAACGAGTAGATGGGGCTGTTCCGTCTGAAAGGAATGACAACGTCTGCAGCCGTCGAGTCTGTCCCGGAGCCGCCGCTGACCGACAACATCGGGATCACTTTCTCGTCCTTGGCGGAGATCTTGATCTTCTGACGGCTAGGCTCGACCTGATAGAAATTCCGACCAAAGGCACCAAGGAACCCTTCCAGTACCTCCTTGGACAACTGGCTCTGTCCAACAACTCCCTTGGCCACAGCGTCCTCAAACGCCTCCAGCACAAGCTGCGTCGCATACGGCTGAGTGAATACACCGGCCGCACACTTTCCCGCATCGTGGGCGCCCAGACCGCCTTTCTTCGCTCTCAAAGGATGCGGCGCCGAGTCGGTGCCCAAAAAGAATTTGGGATTACCGCTCGTCGCGGCCTTGAGCAAGGCCACCCGGTCACTGGGCAGCTTTGCCACGGGTTTACAGAAGTTGATCGGATCGCCAGCCCAGTCATCAATGATCAGAGAGAGATGGTGAGCCGTGATGGTGCCGACAACATTGGGCCCACATTTCTTGACAGCTTCCACGGCGGCGGCAGTCGTGCAGTGCTCTAGGACAATGCGGAGTTTGGGGAATCGACGATGCAGATCGAGCAGAGTGGGCAAGAATGCTTCCTCGGCGTTGAGCACCGTGATGTCCTCGGCAGGCGGTGCTTCGCCGTGCAGGTTCAGAACGAGGTCTTCTTCCTCCATTGCTTTGAAGACCGGGTAGAACTGCTCATAGTCCACGACTCCGGACGCCGAATTGGTCGTGACTCCCGCCGGGTACGATTTGACTCCATAGATCCCAGCTTTCTTGGCCTCGCGGATCGTAGCTGGAGTGATGGAAGGGTGTAGATATAGCGACATCAGACACTTTGCGTCGGTATATTTGGCGATGGCGGACTTGTATGCTAGCGCATGTTCGACCGTGGTAATGGGCGGAACTAGATTCGGCTATAAAGCAACACAGCACAGAAAACAAAGGTCAGATAGATGTTCCGTGTTCAAGTCTCAGCATATACAACAACTCAAAGACAACCACTGAAGCATTTTGCTGAGTGAACCCGAGGTAGTATCGAGGTATCAAGGGGAAGAACTTCGCATTGGCATTGGCATTGGTATTGCAATCGTCCTTACCATGACAAAAACCGTGTCCACGCCGCCTTGCTTGATCGTGGGCGTGACGGCTTCGAGCATTGCGCCCTCGCGGAGGTGGACATGGAAATCCGCCGAGGCTGGGAGGACCAGGCCGTCGAACAGTCGGGGGGACATTTTGTGGAGGGAGGGACGGGGAGAGAGGGTTAGGTAGGTATACAGCAGAGAACAGCCGGCGAGACTTCAAGAGAAAGACGAGGTAGGTATTGTACGTCAGGTACCTGAGAGAAAGGACAACGACGGCGTGGTACGCGCTAGAAAATTGTCACTGTCGTCAACTGCTACCAAGGGTAGTGTGATTCACCATATTGAAATGCCCTAAATGATACGGTGGAACTCTGCATCATCAAGTGCTGTGATCCTCCCCTTCCCAGTTTGCCCCTTTTTCCTTCAGGAACTTCGTAAATTACCGGGACACTTATAGTCTCCTTAATACCAGGTATGAGTCCTGTCGCAACTACCGAGACCAGCATAGTAGCCACGGCTGGAAACTATACCTCAGACAACGCCTGGGAGGGCACAACAAACACAATACTCTCTCAACCGGATCCCCAAGTACCGTACGTGAGACGGTCTGGTTCTGACGGAAGCGAAGTATAGCCTACAATCCGCAAACAAAGAAATAGTGTGTGCTGATGTCCCGTTGCCGAACATCAGTCAAGCCATGTTCGAGAGGCCGATATATCCATTAAGTCTCTCGTCGTCAAGTATACTGCGTACAGTACCTCGGAACTAGGTCAATCTCCACCAGTCCCGATCGCTGATCAAGAGCTCCCTGAAACACATTCCGTCTCAACTCCTCCCAGGTATTCACAAGCTCAATCTCAATCTCGATCTTCGTTACCCCATTTCCAGTGTTTCGAACAGTAATGCATGATAATTGCTGGCCCTCTTGGTACTCAACCAAGTGCCTTCCGCTTCGAAATGCTCAATTGCAGATCCCTGTCTACTTCCGAACGCCAAATGTAGCATTTCGCCATGCCATGACGAGTTTTTTCGTTCATGTGTGAAACAAATAGCGCTATCGCTTCGCTGAAATCGCAGGTCATGTACAATTTTAGTCCTATGAATTGGTCAGCATGGCAGTTCTTCCAACAAAAGGGTCAGTCATACCTCATCCGTCAGGCGATCCAGTAATTGTATGCTCAATATCATCACGAGCAAGCCGAGCGTGACAATCACCAGGAGCCCAAAGCCAAACCACCCTAGAACCATCGCTGCCGTTCCGACGCCGGATTTGACGCTTCCATTCCCCAGGTCTTGGGCCACAGTGCTCGCTGCCACGGCGGCAGTATGCTGCCACATCACCGACACCAATACAAAGACCGACGCAATGAATATTGTAGCCAGAGCCACCTGTGACACAGCCCTTGATGGGAATGGTCGGACTTCCCGTTCGGAACCGTCAGGGCCGGTACTGGTGTGCCAGCCTGGAAATGTCGCCAGCAGGAGGAAGGTGAGGAAGGCCAGGACAATGGCGATGATCAGCAGATATGGGAACACAATGGCGTTCTTGAACGTGCTGGCAACCCAGATCAGGTTCAGGGGATCTTGATCAATGCTGACGAGGTCCGCCAGCGAGGTCGAATTCTGGTTGCACATCCACGCTCCCCTATCCACTTTGATACAAATCCCGAAATATCCCACTCGCACATTGAGGTCTGCATTGCCCACAATATTTGCTATTGCCGTTGTGACCGATGGGTCCACCTGGACACTGCTGAAAACGGGGGCATACTGTTGGTAATATAGGGAGATGAGGTAGATGTCGGGAATGAGAGGAGAGGTAGAGGAACATCCTGCCAGAAGTAATGCTAGAAGGAACCAGTCAGCTCAATGTGGTCAGAACATCATGCCGTAGAGGTACTCACATAGTAGGATGATGGCAATCGCAATGAATATCATGAGAACATGGTGGTAGCCGATGAGTGGGACAAATCTCCGCCATCCTGTGGCAAACCTGGGGGCCATTGTTCTCGAGGTCAACGCTCAGTGCCTGTGCTTTGTTTAAAGGTGCCGTCCGTGCGGACGGAGTAAGGTGTTGGAGCTCAGCACGAGCAGTAAGTTGGCCTGAGCCCGGTTCAAGTGGATGGTCAAGGCTGTTCCACAATGTCGGTGTGATAGAGTGCGATATCGAGGTCAGTGAGAGGTAACTGGTGGGATACGGTCTGTTCAAGTTCACTGAATGAAGATTGTCAGTGGCCTGTATTTTGCAGTCAAGGACGATAGAGAAGAGATGGAGGTTGATGGGAGAGAAGAGAGGCGTAGCTTGGTTTAGTTCTGCAAATATCTGAGACTGGTTTTGCAAGGCGCCAATTGCCATGGCGGTCTAGGGATTTGCCATTGAAATGCGTGAGGCTGGTCCGCAGTGTGAATGATTTAATCTGGTGGCAGGAAAACGATGCTCTGGAATCTGCCGCAGACGCTCCAGAGAAATGGCGCAGGGAAGGCAGGGATCTGCCAAGTGGGTTATGTTTACATTTAACTCTTTTGGTACTAGTGCTTCCGCCAACCTTAACCTTCAAATTGCCGTTGGTGGTTGGCAGCCTTGCAATGACGTCGCCAAACTCCTTATCATTCCCCTGGCCTCTCTGTATGAGATTCTGCCGGTCTATCGCTCCTGTTCTAACAAAGCTGGTCGTCGTTCATGTTTTCACTCCAATATCCGGAGTGACCATAATAGTATTCGTCTTAATGATAGTCCACACTCAAAGGCCTCTGCAAGTGACCAAAGAGTGTCCCGCCGCATCATAACGTAGCCAATAATAATCAATCCGCTGCTTCATTTTGTGCCCAATATGAAGTAAGCCATTCAAACCAATCTCAACCGCGCACGTCACAACCCAGACCCAATATCTTTCTCCATAACAGTGATAACGCCTTGCAGAACACCGCTAACCAAAGTCCCCCACCGATCATGCTGAGACAAACGTAAATGAACTGAGGCCCAACCGTGGCTTTCGGCCCGGTGACTCCATTTCTGAAATTTCATCTTCACTGTTTGGGACGAGCGCATCTTCACTGCCCTGTAGGGTCTTTCTAGACTGCAGTTTGGAAGTCAAGTCATCACTGCCCCCGGAGCGCGTCTTGGTATTCATGCCCCTGTGTGAAGTATTCGTCGTTTGAAGCACCCTTGTTGTCGTAGAAGGAGTGGCTGGACTTGCCGCATGTTGACCCAAAGACTTGAGTGCAGATTGTCGGACTTCGGGTGATTGCTTGTCGAACGTCTTATGCAATTGGATTTCGTGGCAGACAGTTTGTATATTCCCTGCCTTGGGTAACATTCTCAAGGCGGCAATTTGTGCTTCAGGGGACTGGGCTGAGAATGTTCGGTCTGATTTTCGGGAGCCTCGCGGAAAACGTGTGGAGGTCTGCTGGTCCGCCCCCGGCTGGAAGGCAAACTTTTGTAGCAGAGCCTCATTCTGTTTCCGAACATGATAATCGAGTAAGTCCTCGAAGGCCCTGGGATCATCATCTTGATTTAGTTCCTTGGAGTCACTCAGCCCAGCAGGATCCTCATCACCGAGGCTCCGGCTTGACGGGGAAGAGGTGCACCGAGGCGACGCAGAAAGTACTGAAGATGGCCCGACAACCGGTGATGACTGAGGCACCGACTGTAACGTATCTCCATCCTGAGAAGCCCCTTCCTTTTCAGCCTCGTCGTTGATTTTGCCATCTCGAGTCTGATCAGGACTAGCCACTTGCTGAACCTCCCAACTCAACAACATTTCGTCAATAGAGCTGTCCGAAAACACCTCAAAAGCAGCTTTCTTGCTCTTCTTTGCCTTGGCAGGCTTCTGTGCCAGCGGGCTGGACTCGTTAAGTTTTGAGGAAAAGAAAGGGCTTTGTTTCACAGCCTTCGTTGGGGAAGGGTCAACGGAATCGGAGCACAGTCTTTGTCGTTTCGGTGCTTGGTATGTGGACATTGTGGAGGCTCGTGCGATGAAGTTCAACTGGTCTGAAGCAAGGGAAGGCCCCGGTAGGGAGGTACCACTGTGTCTGAGAGCTGGAGCAGAAGATACGAGCCTCGGCTCCCAGGAAGCGTTTCGGTTGCGTTCCAGGAGTCGGTTTTGCGAGGGAGAAGGTGTGAGACTGTTCGGGTCAAGCTCAGCAAGCGGTTGGCGTTGTGGTTTGAAGAACGTCTCGATTGATTTCTTTGGCTTCAGATCCGCAGCCGGTGCGTGACTGTGTCTCCGATTTCCACCTAGAACTGGACGGGACACTGCACTCAGCTGAATGGGTTGTTTCGAGAAGGGATCCAGGTCGCCGCACGCAACACCGAGAGACGTTTCTGGATCGACATAGGGACCTAGATATGGCATGTCGGACTCGAGCAGGCCCGGTGCGAGGTCGTTGAGGAAGACCATCTTTTTTGCAACGGGGCAAAAGACCCGGTGGTGCAAGAAGGTCAACTCGGCCTGCTGAAAACGTTCGGCATACTGGTTCGGTACCATCATTTTGCCCTCTAATTGGACTATCCGAAGGATCTTTTCAATGTCCCTGTACTTTCGCACGTAGCCATGTGCGGTTTTGAGCCCCATTTTGCCGATATTGGGAAGATAGTCACAGCCGCTCAGAATAGCCATCCTCATGAACATTGAATCGGTCCATCCGGCCAGACTCATCTCTTTGCACATGGCGAAATCGCTTCGCTCAACCTCAATAAGCTCGCCATATTGATTGAGCTTCGTCAGCAGACGTTTGGCACCGAAGACGAGAAGGTCCGAGTCTTCAGATAGAATTCCATCAATGATGCCCTTCTGTTCCAGATACACCAGTTGGGCATCGGCTTCATACGGCGCGACGATGTACTGTACGTTAAGCTTCTTCAATTCTTCAATCAACTGTCGGGCCATAGCAGGTGTGACATCCACGGCTTTTTGAAGTTCCTGGTGCGCTTGTGAGGTTTTACCTGCTCTGTGCAATTCTAGACCCAATGCCCTGGCCTCTTCTCTTTTCTTTCCCCTGGCAGCGTTTGTTCCGGCTTTGCTAGGTAGATTGTCGCCGTCGAAGACTAAATATGGGGTAACTCCAAAGTCCAGAAGCATCCGTACTCGACTCAAGACAAAATCGATGTGTATGGTGGTGGGCTTGTCGAGTGCGAGAGCAAAGGCACAGCCCACCACGCCTCGATGCAGCCATCCGTAGGCGTCTACCCCGATCGTCTGTCCAGCGAACTTTTTCAGCGTACAGTGTTTGTGGATCGACTTGAGTAAAGGCAACAAGCCTGGAATTTGTTAGCCAGATGCAGAAGCCAGGATATGAGTCGGACCTTTGATGCCCATCTTCGCATAGATGCGACTGCCTTCACCGCCTGTTCCAATCGACTTCAAGCAGGAAAATCCAGTTCATTAGAACGAATGAAGGGGTCGAACCAAGGTAAGATCTAGACAACAGCAATTGCGGACCAAGGCTATCCGGGCCATTGACTATAGAGGTGTTGTCGTTGTTACTAGGTATTAGCAGGAGATGGTATGTGGTGATATGTAGTGCGCATGTTTTCACGGTGCAGGATGTCGATGTCTTGTCGCCTGCAATTGACGCGCCGCCATTCAGAGACGCGCTCCGGGGAAGGAAGGCGCGCCCCCCATTCGGCCCTTGCCGAAGATTAGCCGGCATCAACTTTTTTGGGCGGCGGAGCAAAATGTCGATAACGCATCAACAATTTACTATCAAGCTTGAAGCCGATCTCAGTCCAGGGCCAACTGTAGGCACATCAAGAAACAATGGCTCGCTCTCTCGGTAAGGTGCAGAAGCAAATATCTAAAAAGCGTGGAGGAAAGCCAAACAGCCTCCATGAGAACAGTCGAGATGCAAGGAAACTCAGAACAGCCGCTGCAAGAGAGGAGAAACTGTCCCGTATGATGGATGCCGCTGTCAGGGCGAACCAGATTTATGGTAAATGCTGCGTCTTGGGCGACATCGCATAGTGCTAACAATGCTATCCACAGTTGAAAGAGTGGCGTGGTTTAAATCGGCGCTCCAGGGCTCGGCTGGAGCCTTGACTGACGAAGAGGTGCTTATTTTAACGCAAAGGTAAGCCGGCCTTGGAATCCTACAGAGCCATTCTGACAACTCCAGCTTCATTGACCGTGAAGATGAACAGCTGGCCGAAGCGAAATCACAGAGGAGACCCGGCAGACCGCCCACGAAGCTCGAGGAGCAGATCCAATTGCGAAAGGACGCAGAAGAGCGTGAATTCCGCGCCGGCTTTTGGATTCCCGAACTTCGCAATGAGGAAAGTCGAGCCAAGGTCGAGAAATGGGGAGGGGAATGGGGCGGTCTAAACACTTTGGACTTCGTCCGGGTCGTGAAATCCGGTACCATCAAACCTTCAAGCTTTCCGCCCAAAGGCCTCTCTTGAGGGTTTACATGTCCGGAGAGCTTGTAGCTCCCGAACCCGGAACCTTGCAGCTGCAACTGCCTCGTCAACCTCCTATTGTACGAAGCCGCGGGCCGTTGTCGTCCCATAAGGAGACGCAAGCCCATGCTCTTCCCGAAGGCTATATGAGGGCTTGTGCCGTGGGGGCAGCCTGCGGGCGACAATATTGAGGCATCCTCGCGCGGATTACTTCAACCTAAGAGATGACGGCACAGTTATCCGATCACATGGACCCTGGCCGGTCGTCGTCTTCGGCGGGTCCAAGTTTTGGTAGTCGAAGATGTCCACCAAAAAGAGTTGACACGGCAGCGTCTGCAAGGACGTGAATCATGCCCCTTCGAGGGATTTCAGAGCCTGCCGATTATGGTCTGGGAGGCGTCGACAATGTTGAGATGGCATAGGACCATCTGTGGGAACCGAGTGGTTGTTCAGTGTTGTGCGATGTGGTCTCAGAAACTCAAGATATCGGAGCCTGGTGGCGGACGGGCTTAGGGACCACTCAATACCACTACATCTGTGTCCAGATAGTGTGACAAAGGCTTAGTGTATTACACCAAATCTGACGCGATAGATGCTGTCAAAGTGCTTCGTGAGCAAAAGTACTTGCGTGATAGGCATGTAATGAGACATCTCAGCCCTTGACGGGAAGGACAAGGCTGATGCTTAGTCATCGCCAATCTTCACGTGCCGGCAGCGATTCTCCCAGAAATTTATCCCCGGTTCGAAAGTAACTCGGCGACAACGGCTCCTTTACCACTGCATCCATCTTCGAACTTCACTTGCTGCAGCAATTCTCCCATTTTACCGACTCAAAGCTCCTGCATCTGGAAGAATAACAAGATGACCGCTCTCAGAATGTTCAACCGGGCGCTGTCCAAGGCGACTCTGCGGCAACCGACGGTTCGCTGCGCTTCCTCTGTTTCCAGACTTGCGGCTCGTCGACCGCTATGGCAACCGGCAATGAAATCGTCCTATCCTGCCTTTTCAACGTCGTTTGCAAGAAGAGAACCAGCTGGTGAATGTAAGAGCACCCGGACCGGATGGAAAAAGGACCCTGGCTAACATTTGCTCCAGCGGATCAAGAACTTTCCGAGAAATTCAACGCTGAACGAACACTCGAGCTCGAGTCCAACGATTCCAACAAGACTGCTTCTATCGACGAGTTCGTACAAAACAGCCCTTGGAAAATTGAAGACAAGGAGGGCACACACGAAGTCACCCTCACGAGGGAATTCGGAAACGAAAAGTAGGAAGACCGTGAGATCGCAATCCCCAAGAGCCGTTTGCTTACGAATATCTATAGGATCAAGATTCAATTCAGCGTCGCCGAACTCGACAGCCTCGCGGAGGAAGATGAATTCGATGAAATGGACGAGGACGGTGCGCTCGATGACGAACCCGACTACAGCAGGGGCAAGAACACGATCAATCAATCAGGGACGAGAGGCGGAAAGATCGACGTTATGCCTGAAGACAGTATTGCCCCCGCCGACAGAAGTGAGGCCGACGATGCCGACCTCGACGACTCCCTTCCCGCCTATCCTATACACCTGACGATCACCGTCACAAAGCCCAGCAAACGAGCAATCGAGATCCGAGCCGTTGCCGCGGAGGGAGCCATCGAGATCGAAACCATCAGCTTCTTCCCCGACGAGTCCCTGCTTGAAGCGGATACCCCCAAGGAGGCCCTAGAAGCCCGTAGCCTGTACGCAGGCCCGCCGATCAGCAACCTGGACCCGGAGCTTCAAGCAATGCTTGACAAATATCTCGAGGAGAGAGGCATTGACGCCCAATTGGCCAGCTTCTTGCCAGAGTATGTCGACTACAAGGAACAGCGGGAATACGTCAAGTGGCTTAACGGTGAGTGGCCATCCAAGACCTGGCAGATCGCAGCGCTAATGTTACTACAGACATGAAGAAGTTCATTGACGAATAGTTCATTGACTGGAGGCGCACCACCGCAATTGCAAACTCATTCTATCACCCCTAGAGTCTCTACTTTTGACATATGCCTGATATCCCCCCAAAATGTACACTATTATGACAGCAGCAAGGCTGATCAACCATAATTGAATACCCTGTCAAAATACCGCCCTTACGGTATATCTTTTATTTCATTTATTGCCCTGCCATGCTCTCTCGGTCGAGTCGGAAAGGATCTTTATCTATCTGATGTCTGGCCTGGACCTTGTGCTCATTCTCTTGCCTAGCTTCGTTGTTTTGTTTTCTGTTCATCATCCCGTGCTACCGTGCCACCGTGCAATTGTTAGCAGCTAACTCATTGGAGGAAGTTGTTCAAATTTCGATAAGCGCCCAATATCGACAGATACTATCAGATCGCGAGGCCTTTTCGCACGTCAATAAAGGCTAGGACGTGCCCTGCAGTGTCTCATGTTGTGCACCTCTGGCAAGTTATCTAGGTTCACGACTTGTGAGTTCGTGGCGGATAGAGGGGAACACCGTCGATGGGATGGAAATCTTGCTGTTGAATGGCGGACCACGGATTTGCTCGGAGCAACAATTTGCAGTGACGGATGGCGGGAAGGTGATCGTGTGGATGTTACAGGAATTGATGCGATCGAGACCTACGATGTCGGTCCAAGGCGTGACAAGCATACCGTCTTACGACTGCACCAATCCAGGTTCGTGTCCGCTTGGACTGGGTGCAGGCTGGAATGGTAGAGAAGGCGCAGTGTGGCTGCGGTCGAGGTGCTCATTTGTCTGCACCTAGGTAGGTAGGTAGGTAGGCAGGTTGTAGACTGAACAGTTCTTTCTCCAGTCGAAACTACACATTCTCTCAACATATCTCGGCTTCAGTTATAAGACTGCATTGTATGGCCCTACGAGCGATCTCCGTTCTCCTGCCTGCCATCGCCACCATTGCGCTCTTCCTGATTCCGGCGCCCGCCTATTGTCTACCCCTTCGACTGCTGCCTCCAGATGAGCGGTCGTTGCTGTCTGAGAAGGCAATCCAGATTCTTCAGAGACAGCAATCATCTGGCGAATCTTCCCTATGGCTAGACCTAGACAGTCCTCCCTTCGTCAAGTCACCAACTCTCACCTCGAGTATTGTCGACCCACGGGCTTCCCATAAAAACATCGTCCAAGGTCCGCAGCATGTCCTGGGTATAACTCCATATGCCAGTGATGCCTACATCTCGCAGTTCCGGCAGTACCTTTCTGTGCAGACAGATAGAAAGAGTGTCGTCCATAAGCCGGATCTGAGCAACAGTCAACAACCCCTCATCGCATCGAATCCATTGTTCCTGTCTCGAGAAGACCACGAGACGGTGCTACCACGAAGGCTCCGTCCACAAAACGACCGGCCCCGCTCGCGGTGGTTCAAAAGCTCCACCTCTTGGATGGGCTTCGGAGGATTAGTTTCAGTAGGGGTGTTATTAGGTCGGATTGTCCAAAGGAGGTTCATCAGATCCAAAGGGTCGGAACAACGGAGCACTGATGCTCCAACGAAGACGCCATCAGAAAAGTCCAAGGCTGGGGGACCAAACGGCATTACCATAGTTAATCATGGTGACGAGGGCAAATTGAACGATGCTCGTCCTACAGGAGGAGAAAGGGACGAAGAACGAGAGCAAGATGCTGAGAAAACAAGAATGCTGCAGGATGAGCCATGGGGGTTTCCTTGCCCTTGTGCTGCCTGACGATAGTGACCGGGTGATGGCCAAAAAGCCAGGCTTTCTTGACGAACAGCTTGTATTCGATTTCACAGGTGGCCGAAAGCCATGCCTCTCCCTGCGGTATTTTACCATGTTAATTGCTGAACTGCACATCCCAAGTGACGGCGGGAAACGACAACCGAGCAACAGACTGGGATCTTGATCTCCATCCCCATATTTCCGTATTTCCTATGAGGAGTTTATGGCCTATGCACCCCGCTTGATCTCATAACCCGTCTGACGTTTCCCGTGTTTGAGACGTTATCATGTTCCTCGATTCCACAGTTGAACCCTTTGACGTCTGCGCTGCTGTTTGTGGCACTTTATTTTCTCCGATTGGATGTGGGCGACACCTTCCAAGGCACCATGTCCCACAGGCACAGGTACTGCATCACTGAGCGTGTGAGGATATACGGCCATGACGTCGCCTCTTGTAGCCACAAAGCTGTAGGAGGAAGTGTCGAAGCAGGTTTGTCCAGTAGGTGACGCGAGGGCAAGTGAAATGGAGGCTGAAACAGTTCCTGCTCACTTGCCTTATAAGACTGATACCTGACCCGACTTCTTCGCTTCTTATACTTGATTCCATTGACCCTATTCAGAGAAAATCCATAGAACAAAGTACTACCCGTGAACTTCTGATCAACCCAGCTCCAAGCATAACTGTCCCTTGCCAATTGAAACCAAACCATCAAATCTCTTCTCACCAAACCTATTCCCAATATGTCGTCCTCCCTCTCTTCGGCCAAAAGTGCTGCCTCCAGCGCCCTCTCCTCGGCCTCGGCCTCTGCTACTGCAAAAGCATACTCAGGTTCCGGCAGCGGCAGCGGCATGTCAACCACCGGGACGATCTTCACATCGATCACGGCCATTCTCACAATCCTCGCCGTGGCCGCAGCCGGCATTTACTTCGCAGGATACGCTGACGACGTCGCCGAATGGTTCGCCAAGAAATACTACAAAGGAAAAGCCATCGCAGAGGTCAAAGTGTTCGAGAATGCTGGGAGTGAGAAACTCCAATCCATGGCCAAGGGTGAGTTTCATCCATGCTTTGACTGTTATGCCTCGGGGCGGATCCAGGATGGAATAAACCTGCCGGCACGGTTGAACCATAGTCGAGGCTCGTAACCTGCTCTGTGTCGCTTCTCCGTGCACCATCAGGGTCCTCGCCTGGTTCCATCTCATTTCACACCCCTCATTTGGCACATTATGCTGACTGTTGTCTCTGAAGACTCGTTGAAGAAGAATCCCGTGATGGGCGAGGGTGAGCTTGACCAAGTGTCCGGCGGCCTAGGCAAAGAAGCTGTATCAGATGGCCTCGGCGGCGTCAGTGGGAAGTTGGGCGGCCTGGGCAACTTGTGAGCCTTGTCTCTCGGATGGCATAACAGAGTCCGGCCCAGGGCAGCGTTGAGTCTACAGCAACCAGACTCAGATTGATCGAAAGGAACATTGAATGCAGTGGTGTTAGCGGTGACTTCAAAAGGTCAAGCGGCAACGGGCAACAAGCAACAAGGCGGGAGCCCATAAAAGAATGCTGTAGCCTGAGCATAGCTACCTTACTTTCCTAGTACACAAATACACATTACACAACAGACTTAGCTAGGTATTGTTTAGGTATGTACTGTGGTACGATCACCTGCTTTTCTATCAGGCTGCTGAAGATGCTGCCAGTATGGTATCCTCGGACGCCCAGCACTCCTAACAACCCATCCTCCTTCTCGCATGTTGTATGTTTACCGAACTTGAATGCTCACAATGATAATGTAGTAGCGCGGACCGTGCCAATTTGTGCACCATCACAAGGGATATGCATCGGTACAGAGAAACTACAACCTGCCAGAGCTGTCAATGAATGTTCATAAATGTGAAATGCAGGGGGCTTATGAAGTGTACGGGGAAGTGTGTAATTCTCCAGGTGCAGTTCTGGAACAACCGTCAAGCCTGTCTCCAGTCAGTAAAATAGCAAGAGTATCTAGTATAGCGACACAGCCGACTTGTCATGCCATCTCGGACCATCTGGCTGCCTGCAGGGACTTGACAGCTTCACTCCACCGAGTATTTCTTCTCCTTATATCCGCCATGCCCCTTTGAATCCTCGAGTCTTTGTCAGGGCTCTCACCACACCATCATGGCCGCCAAATCGTCCCGCAAGGACCGCATCTGGTCGCGAGGAGAAATCGAGGGGTTGATTGCAGAAGGAAGAAAGATCGTGATATTCGATGGACAAGTGATCAAGACCGATTTGTGGCTGCCATTCCATCCTGGAGGGGAAAAGTCCGTCCTTCATATGGTTGGGAGAGATGCAACAGACGAGATCCGCGCCCTACACTCTCCTGAAGCTCAGAAATATATGCAGAAGTACGCGATTGGAAGAATCGAAGGACGATGGGTAAACTTCTTGCCCCCCATACAAGGCGGACACTTCAGACCCTACGTTCCGGGTCAGGAAGAGTGTGAAGAGCTGGATTTGGAGATTGACGATACAGCGAGCTTCTCGAGCAGAAGTACTGTCGCTCCCTCACCGGTCTTCGATCCGGCCGATACGACCACCCGACACCCTTCAGCAACCTCCTCCGTCTCCTCCGTCTCCTCTCTGTCCGATGTCGCGTCTGCAGACGTCAAGCCGAATCCTATTGACCGCCAGCTTGATGCTGAAAGATCCTCCGACTTCATTAAATATCCATCTTTGGACCTGGCGTCGCAGGATCGGATCATTGCCAAATACCGGGAGCTGGATGCTCGCATTCGTGCCGCAGGCCTGTACGACTGTCCATACGGCTCCTACGGGATCGAAGGCTGTCGATATACCTTCCTCTTCGTCTCGTTCTTGGTCGCTCTGCACTACTCACACTATGCCATTGCTGGTTTGTTCTTGGGTATGTGCTGGCACCAGCTCGTGTTCACGGTCCACGACTCGGGCCACATGGGAGTCACACACCGATTCCACATCGACTCGTGCATCGGCATCTTCATCGCCGACTTCCTCGGTGGTCTGTCAGTCGGGTGGTGGAAACGAAACCACAATGTCCACCACATTGTGACCAACTCTCCCGAGCACGATCCTGACATCGAGCATATCCCATTTTTCGCGATCTCGACCCGGTTCTTCGGTTCCCTTCGCTCGAGCTACTACGACCGCGTGATGCCTTTCGACGCGATCGCCAAGTGGTTCATCTCCAAACAGGATTGGCTATACTATCCCATCTTGACCTTTGGCCGGTTCAACCTGTACCGCCTGTCGTGGGAATACCTTCTCCTCGGCCAGGCTCCCAAAAAAGGTCCTGCTTGGTGGCATCGCTACCTGGAGATCCTGGGACAAGTGTTCTTCTGGGTCTGGTACGGCTATTTTGTCGTCTACAAGTCCATCCCTACCGGCTGGGACCGGTTCGTGTTCGTCATGATCTCTCACATGGTGACGTCGCCTGTCCACGTCCAGATCACGCTCTCGCATTTCGCAATGTCCACCACGGACATGGGAGTCCACGAGTCGTTCGCCCAGAAAATGCTCCGCACCACTATGGACGTCGACTGCCCGACCTGGCTCGATTTCTTCCACGGCGGCCTGCAGTTCCAGGCCGTGCATCATCTGTTCCCGCGCATCCCCAGACATAATCTACGCAAGGCACAGAAATATGTCAAGGAGTTCTGCGCAGATACCGGCATCCCGTATGCGATCTACGGGTTCGGTCAAGGGAACAAAGAAGTCATCGGCAGGCTGGGCGAGGTGGCTAAGCAGGTCAGGGTGTTTGAGGAGTGTAGGAAGGTTTGTGCTCAAGAGTTGCTGGAGGGCCATGCACATGCAGAATAAGATGACAGCATTGTCTGAAAAGCAAACCTATAGAACTGTGCCAATTGGGCACTGTGCGCCTGACCTCTAGATGAACGACCCGATATGTAAATACCCTTGATGAGCAGAACGAGGATGACAAACAGATAGAGACGGTGGAGAACATGTATTTATCCAGACACCCCTGATTGGAGGCTGTCTAGAAGTGTCTTGCCATGAACAAAGTCGTCAGTGCAAGCTGCTCTCAGTCCATTGATTGATAGCTTCATCTATAGAGTAGCCATCCCTCAAGCCTGCCATCTGCCTCGATGCCTCGGTCATAAATTTTCGATCATGGCACCATCTTACGACATCCTCGGGTCCTCATGTCTAGTCTACTCGACAGTCACTCCCTCCTCTGCAATCCTGAAGGTGAACGCCGACCCACCCGTCCTCCCGGGGTTGAGTTCAGTCCTCACACCACCCACCCGACCTGGGCCATCATCCACCTTGGCCACAAACCTCGCATTGCCGACGGCCTCGAACCTCTTGTCCGCGTCACGCAGACACTCGTCCAAAGTCATGTGCGGCGCAAACTGGACGACCTGTGTTCGTGACAGATCGAGCGTGAGGCTGGCGTAAGCCGTCCACGGCGACACGGTCCACACAGAAGAATCTGGCGCCAGGGGTGTCGATTGCATTTCCGTGTCTGTCTGGTTCTGAGGCTGAGGCTGAGTCTGACCCTGGTTTTGGTCCTGGTATGGCTTCGGATGTTGAGGTCCTCTGCCACGATTTGCCTGCTGCGCCGACGTCGAAAGATGGGGGGCCCGCGATCCCGAAGAAAGAGATGACCTATTCGAGCTGAACACGACGACACACTCGAACCTGTCCTGCACGGCTTTCAATCCGTCAATGATCTGGGCCGTCGTCGGCACAGGCGACGGCTGCGAAGCTGGTCCACCACCAGCGGCCGCGTCGAGGCGCCACATGTCCCTATCGAACCGGTCCTGCCAGTAAAATGCCGTGGCTGAATCAACCACCACCAGCCCTAGACGGCGGTAGATAGACGAATGGCGTGATCCGTCGAGGAGATAGTCGGGAAGCGAGTTGAGAACGGACATGACTTGTGAAGACGACTGAGGGCGGAACACGTGGATATGCTGTAACGCCTCGAGCGCAATGTCTCGGTCTGCATCATTGTCTTTGGCTGTGGTGATTGCGCCCTCTGAAACTTGAGCGTCGGTAGTGGTTGTTCCTTCTATGTCCGTAGTGCCCGTAGTGCCATCGTTGGTGTCCTGCCGCTGCGTTCGCGTCGTGACCATGTGGTGTTGCATGATCTGCATCAGGCGGGTGGCTGAGAAGCGGCCGTCGCTGTCGATATAGACCACGGTCGACGCTTTCCCTCCAACAGCTTTGGGCAAAGTGGCTACAGCGCAGAGGTAGTACAGCAGACTGGTCTTGCCCGCAGCGGACTTGAGACTTGATATCTCGATCGTAGCGGGCTTTGGTTTGATCTGGCGTGAAGCGTGTCTTTGAGTTCGGTCGTCACGAGGAGTTTCGACGTCAGCATATCCTGCCGTTCCGACATCCTCGTTCCCGTCATCTGGACCAGGCCTTTCCAGTTGCCATGCTGTCTGGCGCGAGGCTGGCGGAGCTTGTTCTTCACCGGAAGGAGGATTCAGCACAGCTTCGAGGAACTCGTCGAGCGGTTGGAGCCCAAGCGCCGACTTCCGCTGAGGCGATATTGTATGTCTGAGTTCTGCTAGAAACTGCCATTGCCACAAAGATCAGCTCACTGCCCACTGATGCTGTTGCAAGGCCGAGACGGTGTTGATGGGCAACTGTTGAATCAACTAGCGCGGAGCAACCCTCGTCGGTTCCACTTCTTGGGAGAAGTCATTGAAGCGAGGATGCGCTCGCTGTTCACAACACAAGACAATACAACTCACCGTGTCCAGGCTTTCTTGTTGCACCTCGTCAAGCAGTCTGGCGCCGTACTGTTCCGCCGACATGACCCTCTGGCCATGATTGACCTCCGCGACGCTGTATTACCGGGATTCCCCTGCATGAAGTGACGTCTAGTAAAAGTCGAGAAGGAGAAGTGCGGTGCGGTGCGCTAGGTTTGGCTGGTCTACTACTAGCAAGAGAATCGAACATCAAGTGCCTGCAGTTTCACGCCGTGCACTTTTCTGTTCTGTTATTTTCTTTCCAAATGGCCCCGCCCGAACACTCGTTCCCAGTCGGCGCCCTCGACCAGCGCGTGCACTACCGAACGGTCGAGTTTAAGGAGAAGAGCCGGAAACTGCGCGGCGACTTCGATCTCAAGCGAGACTGCGAACTACTCGAGCTGGTCCAGTACAGCTGCACCACTCCCGAGCAGCAATACCAACGGGCGATGGCCAGTCCGACGGGGACGGCGCGCATGGAATGTTTCCCGTTCGTCAGGCTGTTCAGAAAGTACGGTGACCATGTTCCTGTCCAGATCTACTCGGAAGAAACCAAAAAAGCACATGGGCGCTAACGAAGAGTGTGGTCTATAGATGTCAAGAGAAGAGCGGCAAAGTGTTCCACGTCGAAACCACTGCTTGGGAGGGCGAACATGCCTGGACTCCGCCTGCGAAGTCGCAACCGACAGCAGAGTTGACGACTAAAGACACCGCAACCTCAACGAGTGAGGAAGACTCGATCGGAGACACAAATTCGTTCGCAAACTATGGCAACTATTTCTGGTCTCGGAAATGAAGCTCAGCCTTTGCCTCGCCTCGCCGCCCTCAGCGCCAATTGGGGTATCTTATGCAATGCCATCCCCTTTCCCCGAGGGGTTCCACCAACGCCAATGCTGTGAGAAGAAAAGAAAAGGAAAAAAGCACTTTTGGACATCAAACCTCCATCACATCTGTGCCACTTAACGCCGCACTGGTGTGCTTTTCAAGGCCGGCCGAAGCTGGGCCAAGAGCCGGCGCGAGTCTCTTCGCGTGTGTGTCATCGGGCATGCGGTATGCCTTTTCGCAATTCACAATCGGACCCAATTCAAAGCCACCGGGCTCGTGAGCTAACAAGTCCCGCACGGTCTCCTCGAAAATGGCCTGTTCTGATATCCGGATGCCCTTGCGGCCCCTTCTCTGTTGCAGGACTTTGGGTTTCTGCTTGGCTGATTCCGACTCGAGCGGATGCGCTGCATCTAACTTCACCGCGCCGGCCAACTTGCGCAGAGCCTGTTCACCCAGCTTGCCCTCCTGCGTCGCCAGCTCTCTGATCTTCCTGGTGTCGGTCTCTCGGTACGGGTATACTGGAGTGTGTTTATAGGTGTGCGCAGAGGGCAGTTCCGGTAGAACGGCAGTGTTGAAGGCGTATCTGGCGACTTGGCCGTGTCCGTCCAGCTCGGGCCCGAGGAACGACGGTGGAAGCTCGACCGTATTGTGGAACTCATCTTCCGGTGGCGGAGTGGGTAGTAAAGGAGGGTTGATTTGGGGTTCTGTTTTGTAAGGTCCGAGTTGGTCGTCTGGTCGGGGCACTTCAAGGACATCAATGGCGGTTTCGAAGTCGGTGGCTATAGGGACGGTTCGGCGCGCTGCCTGCATCGACCGTCGAACTCGAGAGAGGAATCTGAGCACGACTATCCATGATATTAGCCCCGCGTTGCTTGTGCGCGCGCGCAAGTTAGATATAAAGGGAATGAATTACATTCTTCCAATGCGGCGAGCAGCTCTTCCAACGCGACCGACTCGATGTAGGGATTTGTAATTCCCTGTTTCACAGCCTCCTCTTCGCATATTGTCTTGACACAGTCGATCAGGAATTTGTCGACAACCGCTTGTTCCAGGATCGCCGCTTCGGTCGGCGGCACCGACTGAGGCTTGTGATGGAGGACATGGTGGTGGTGGTAGGGGACCTTTCGTTTCGGCGGAGGCGGCGGCGGCGAGGTCGTAGACATCTGCAGCTGCAGGCCGGTATGAAGGATCAACCAGCCGATTATCTGGGATATCAATATCAGATCGGTCTACGTCCTGCCGCAAGATGATCTACTACTGGTAAGGTAGTCTGTAGGCGTTGCCCTCAAACGATCGATCTGTAGATACCACTCACGACTCGGACATTACGCGAAGGTGGACTGATACTAACTAATCAGTGCACCGGCGGAGCACAGAGGCTGCCAAGCCCGCAGCTTCGACTTCGACTTCAATTCAACTTCAACCTCAACCTGCGGATCTTGAAGGAGCTCCAACCAACACCACTTCCCAGCAGTTCGCAAACCTCGACTGTACGTACTACAGTGTCCTGGGCGCTCCAGCAGCCACACTTCGACCGCGACTCCCATACTATCGCAGTCTATATTCCTACGACACCCGGTGTTTTACAGCTCGTCGAGAGCTTGCAAAGGAAACAATGGCGATCAAACCAATCACAGGAGTACGTCTGGCCCAATATTGTCGTGGGGCGGTGATGTTGTGCTTTGCCCTGAAGCTCAATACTGCACGCCTCCGTGTTCGCGAAACAATCTTGGAGTTGTGTCGTTTTGCTGACTGTTCTGTTCTGTGTCTGTAGATGCTCCGACGAGGGCTTGTCTTGGATCTGAGTATTGCGCTCGGTAAGCCCATCTGCCCATAAACCGCCGACTTTTCCTACCAATCGGAATTGGACCGATCAAACAATGCTATCAAGAAGAACCAGAATCGGGATCGAAGAGCTGGCGAAGTCTTGACAAGGACATTCCGAGCTGACTTTGGACGGAATATAGGTCTGGGAACCACATTCGGATACCTATGGTGGTACGGTACGTACAGTAAAACATCCCACATGCTCCTGTTCCCAAATGCGCACTCTTGACCGGCTTTCCAACGAGGCCGCAACCGGCTCGTGAGGCAGGAGAGGGCGGAATTGGTCTGCTTGAAGAGAAGACGCCGTGATCTAACTGTTATGTCTCGTCCAGGCTTCCACCTGCCCCGTGTACGAGCCCGTGACAACTTCTACGCCAAGTTAGAAGACCAGCGCGCCCGAGAAGCTGGCTTCAAATGAACAATGACATCAGTTTATGCATTGTGACCCTTGGGCCGAACAAGAGATCGGCAAGGTCGGCAGGGTGGGAAGGAAAGTGCACAAAGACGATTTGTGTGGTTACTGTACATATCAACCTTCTGCGACACCAGAGGTCAATAAAGGACAAAGATAAACTCCCAGGTCTTCGAGTTCGAATTCGAGTTCGGAGCTATACTCGTTCCCCACATGTGTGTTCGTGCTTCAACGAAGATTATCTAGATACCAAAATTCGCTGGTGGTGACTGCGTCAGTATTTTCGTGCTAACAGTTCTGTAATCGAACCCATTATTGCCTTTCCAGAGACAAACCGGCTCTCCCGACCAACATCAACTGCTAGAGGGATGTCCCTGTCACTACTATGAGAACTATCGATCGAAGCATATATCCATGGGTTATGGAGGAACACTTGGAAAACGAGCTTATGGTTATTGAATACAGTTCTTGTATCTTTTCGCATCATCTGCTGTCTGCGTGGGCATCATCTAGTTTTACACAAGACGTCGGCACGTTTTCTTACATGAGCTCTCAGCTTCCCAGAGGACCAGATCCAAGACATGGTCAATAGGCGCGAGCCAGTCATTGCTTCTTCTTCCGCTCCCGTGCTCGGTCACCCTTGGCCCAGGCATCCTCGAAGATAGTCGGTCTCTTTTTCTTCTCCTTGCTATCGACATTCAGGTATCTGACCACCTCGACGCTCCCAGTACCGATTGCCATGGTCTTGCCTACGATGACAGACTCACTAACACCCTCAATTTTGTCGGTCTTGCCGGCGATACCGGCATCGAAGACATGATCGGCCGTCTTTTCGAAACTGGCAAGCTGTAACACGCTGTCACGCATCTTGGCCAGACCGAATCGTGTGATCCCCAGCACCTCGCCTCTGTAGGTCATCACGTCCGCCAACAAAGCCATGTGTCGGGGATCGATGGAAAGACTTTTCATGACTTCTTGGATCTCGAGAATGATTTTCGATCGAGCAGCTTCGATTCCAAGGACTTGTAGCGTCTCGATTACAGAGTTGGTCCCGGTGTGATATGGGTCGACGCCTTCGGTGTTCATGCAATAGCGCAAACCGTAACCTTCAACCATGACTTTGTGCATCTGAATAGGCTTGCCATTGTCCGCTGCCGATTTCGGTATGACCGGCTGAGTAGGTTCTTCGACCTTCACCTTGGCCGAATCATTTTGCTGACCATCCTCAGTCTTCACTTCTGGTTCAGTGGATGAGGTAGCTGCCTTCTGCTTTTCAGCCTTAGCCCGCTCCGTAGCCCGCCGCAGCGCTTTGATCTCGTCTGATCTCGGATCATCTTCCGCTGTGACCACCGCTCGGGTTGCTAGAGGGTGGCCAAGAACATGTACACTGGGAAGCACACGCCGCAATGTCTGGAGACGAATCAGTCTTTCGTTTTGCCCTTCCTCATCAATCTTGGCAGCTGTGCCACGTTTCATCGATTTGATGGGCGCATCTGACGATATCTTCAGCTCATCTTTGCCCCGTATTTGTATTCTCAACTTCGCCGCTTTGAGTTGACGATGTTTCTGAATGGCGTTGCAGATGTCCTGGAGGGTAAGGTCGAGGCCGAGCTCGGTGATGGTGTCCAAGGAGATTCGTAGGTAGATGCAACTGGGCCGGTCCAGGGAGTGACTGATTTGAATATACGAGGTAATGTCTTGAAGATACAGACATTCGATCCTCCCCTTGACGATTCTAGCCAGGGACTCGGGCAGCGAGAGATCCCTTCTCCGTTCGAGACGGCAAGTGATCACAGGTGTACTGATGTCCTTTGATGCGTTGATGATTTCCTTGATACGTGGGACACCGGCGGTCAAACTCATACCGGCAACACCGGCAAAATGGAAAGTCTTGAGAGTCATCTGCGTACCTGGCTCGCCAATGGACTGTGCCCCGACGGCGCCCACGGCATGACCTGGTTCGGTTCTTGCTCTTTCGTACTTCTCCAAGCACAAGTTGATAAAAGCTCGTAATGTCCTCTCAGAAACCTTGCAGGTCAATTCAAAGCGATCCCTCGTGGATGGAGGCGCCTGGACCTTGGTGATTGCCTGGTCGTCTGACGGGAGTTTCTTCTGCTTCTTCACAGCTTTCGGAGCTGTCGTGGCGGAGGTGGTGCCTTTACGGCCAGAGCGTCGCTCTGCTGCGGCTGACGGTTCGGCTTCGTCTACCACCGGGTCTGTTTCTGCTTTCCGCTTGCTACCACTGGACTCTCGCGATGGCGGCAGAGCATATTGCTTTTTCTGGACTCTTGCTTCGACAAAGCTTCGCGCCTTTGACATAACAAAGTCATGGATAGACTGCAGAAACGCACGGTGACTTTCGTTCTGATCAACCAGCCGTTCATCATCTGTTTCAAACGGAAGCTCTGCGCCATTGAAATCATATCTGGTGAGCAGGCTCCGTTTTGGCGCGAGTATCTCTTCCAGTATGGAGTGAATATCGGTATCCGAAAGGCCGGGTTCGTTCATGTCGAATGTTGTAGCTTCCACATGAGCATACGTGCGATCAAAGTCGACGGGCTTTGCGCTTGCCTCCATATCGACAGGATCAAGCTCGTCGTCGCCGAATCGAAATTGGACGATATTCGAGGCCGAGTTCCGCACCGTGTGGTCATATTGGGTAGAGAGATCCTCGAGAGACTTCATCAGTCGACGCGACATGTAACCGGTTTCGGCCGTTTTGACGGCTGTGTCGACTAGACCGACACGACCACCGACTGCGTGGAACAGAAACTCGTAGGGGAGTAGTCCGCTGAAAAAGCTGTTCGAGATGAAGCCTTTGGATGGTGGAGATCTTTCGTGCTTCGCAAAATGAGGCAATGTTCGGTCTTGAAACCCATCTGCCACACGTTTTCCTTCGATATCTTGCTGTCCCAGAAGAGCCGCCATCTGGGCCACGTTGATGTTGGAGCCTTTGGATCCGGATATTGCCATGACCATGGCCGAGTTTCTCTTGCTGAGTTGAGACGTCAAAATACCAGCAATGTTTGTTCGAACAGTACTCAGAACCCGCACTTGTTCTGCTTCCAGGGTGCCTGCATCATCGAGACCGGCCTTCCTCTTCAGCTTGCCTGCCTTGGATTGTCGCACAAACTCCTTACACTCTTCGAATACTTTGGCAATCATTTCAGCTTTGGCTTTGACAAGCATGTCGGGTGGCGTGACATCGCTGATGCCCACAGAGAATCCTTGGTCGCCTAGCCATCGGGCACACAACTTGGATAGGCGATTCATCCCCTGGGCGGCCGCATCTGGGCCAAAGTCACGATATAAGATGTAGAACACGGAATTCTTCTTTCCAGATCCGACAGTTCCTTTGTCCATCCTGCCACACATGACCTCGGAGTTACGGATGCACAGGAAACTGTCGTCCTGAAGATCTCGATGGAGTCCAGGGTGGTATTGATTGTGGTCTCTGCATGATGCATCAAGGTTGACTGTAACCGGGGACTGCTTGTTCGGGCGCATGAGGATGCTGAAGACTTGCTTGCCGGTCCAGAGAGTCTGCGGCTTGACGACCGCAGGAGGTGGAAGATCAAACTTGGTGTCCGGCTCCAACATTCCCACACACATGGTGACGAATGTCTTTCTATCGAAGAACTGGTCTAGACTGCTGAGAAGGAAAGAAGCCGTAATGAAATCCTGGATGGCTGAAATGATAGGTTCACCGTTCTTGGGCGTGACAATGTTGTGCTTGACACCCATCAACAACGTCGCTTCTGTCCTGGCCTCTTCGGTCTGAGGGACGTGCAGATTCATCTCATCTCCGTCGAAGTCGGCGTTGTAGGGGTTGCATACACATTCGTTGAGCCGGAACGTCCGATGTGGTCGGACTTTGACAAAGTGACTGAGGATACTGAGTTTGTGAAGAGACGGCTGACGGTTGAACAGGACAATATCCCCATCCTCAAGATGGCGCTCAACAATGTCGCCCGGCTTCAACTCTTTCGCGATGAGCTCCGGCTTACCGAACTTGAGGAAGATGCGGAAGTCACCGTCGGGCTTGTAAACGTAGTTGGCCCCGGGCCAGACTTTGGGGCCATTGCGCACGCGTTGTCGCAGTTTCTCGATGTTGATTTCATTAACCACTTCCGGGTATGTCATGTTCTTCGCAACCAGTTCCGGCACCGCCACCTCATCGATCCTCAGGTTCGGATCTGGTGAGATGACAGTACGACCGGAGAAGTCGACACGTTTTCCTGACAGATTTCCACGGAATCGACCCTGTTTTCCTTTTAATCGTTGGACAAAACCTCTGATCTGCTTCCCAAACTCTCCTTTCGCCAGACCCGGCACATCGCTGTTGATGTACATGGCAAGTTGGAGCGATAGGTAGTCCCAGTGTTCAACAATCGATTGAACAGGTGCACCCTTCTCGATTGCCTCTTTCAGTGCATTGTTCGCGGCCACGATATCGCCCAGCTTAGCTGTAATGTCGTCCTCCGTACTTGCACCTTCTTGGCCTACTGAAGGTCGGATACATACTGGCGGAGCAGGAATGTACAACCAGAGGAAAGATTCTGGTTTGGCAGTCCGCAGGCCAAGAAGTTCGCGGTCTGAGGCTCGTACACGCTTGAACAGCTTCAACGTTCGGAGGGGATTCAGATCGTCCATAGCCTTCTTGAGGTGTTTCTCGATTTCCGAGTTCGATTCCTTCGCGGTCTCAAAAGACTTGTCAAACTCGATCTTTTCCGGCGGCGGCTGCTTTTTGGCTGCTGTTGAAGAGTTGAATGATTTGAACTTGTCATGCGAAATCTTCAGAGCGTGCGTCCCGGCTTTTCGAACCAACCCGTTGATGGCACCACATTGGAAGCAAACCTTTGTCTTTCGACATTGATCCGCCACTTTTCTGACAATGGCGGCCTGTCTCAGGGTATCATTGCCTGCTCTTCGTAGAACGTTGAGGTATTTTCTTCGGTCCGCTTCGGTAAGGAGGATGGCAGAGCAGTCCTTAGACGATTAGCCGGTTGTCAAGCCCTGGCCTGAGTAGGATCCATACCTTGCAGATACTCTGGAGGATTTGTATGACTTTCTTGAAATAGCCGACATGGAAGGCGGGCAGAACGAGCTTGACATGTCCAAAGTGGCCGTTACATGTCTGCAGTTGCTCTCCGCAAGTCTTACATATATCTCGTTTGCCCGAGATACCCATGCGTCTATCAAGGGGTCCATATTCGGCGTAGGTCCGGCCTTTGTCCAGATCAAACATTCGACGGTCGGCGAGTTCGACCTGAGACTGGTTGATAATATCCTGATCCGACCTGTAAAATCATCAGAGTCATGTTTATGGGCTTCCCAAAGCAAATCCATACAAGACCCCGAATTGTATTTCCTTGATGACTTTTGGAACATCGTTGACCACCTGTTCTTTGCCCGGGAGGACACTCTGTATTTCCGTCGCCGCAGGCATCTTTCCGTCACCGTCACCGTCACCGACGTAGTAGGAATGGAGGACGGGTTTGTGACTCGATCATCTGTGCACCGCGACAAGCCGGCTTCGGAGGCTCGGTTTTCCCCAGGGTCAGGTATTCAGGTTCTTGCAGACGTTGACACGGCTATTGACTCGCCATGAACAAAGGTCCGAGTTGTTATACAAGGGTCGTTAAGCTGTCACCTGTAGGAGGATGCGTACACTGACGATCGATGTAGGTACAGAGTTATTAGCAGTCGTTCTTGGGCAAAGTAAGGTACGTAGGTGGGCCACCGCATCCGCCCAAAAGTTTTCTCCAAGAAATTCGCCGCAGCCTCGCAGCCTGAGTGGAACCCCGCTATACGCCTGTACACACGCCGCCCTTACGCCTAATTACTGATTTCCACTAGGCGCAGGCGCAGGCGCCTCAGCCTCTGGCCAGCTCCCAGCCTTGTCGTCCGACACCAGTGAGGAGCCTCCTTGTGCCTTGTTTTATTCGTGGTCACACTCAGCATCGGATATCATCTTTGATCATTATCATTTCATTGCCCTACTTGTCAAATGTGTCCTGACCGCCTGCCATCCCGTTCCCTGTAAAGACCTAGAACTCCACGCTCTCTGACATCTGTTGACATGGACTTCAGTCCGCCAAACGATAACTCACCATCGTGTCCACCTTGTGGTTGCTGGTGCTGAAACTGCGCAGCTGGACTTTCTCTCCGTTTTTGATCTCTTTCGCATCGCTGTCACCCCATTCGATAGGCACATCTGAGTCGGCATCGGCATAGACTAGCACGTTGAATGTGCAGTTCCCATCCAGGACCGGCAAGAAAGTGACAGAGGCAGTGATTTGTCGAAAGATGGCCTGGATCTCTTCTTGGATCTGCGTCTCTGTCTTCTCCACCTCAGGTTCCGGTGTTGCTGCTTCCCTGCTGTTCATCAGCCCTGATTTGTCTGGGTAAAACTATGGCATAAGATGACATACTCGGGGGAGACGTTCTCCTTGTCTGGGGCCTTTTTCGAAGAGCGATGTTTTGACGACTTGCCCAGGAACTGTACATCAAACTGCCATCGCTCAATGTGCTCTCCCGTCTCTTTGCTGGTGATGACCACCACTAGTTTTGAGATCTTGCCCCCAACCATCCACTTGTTCAGCTGTGACATGATCTTCTTGATATAGGCTTTGACTTGGTCGTCCGAGGAAACTGTAGTCACATCTGTTAGAGCACCGTGCAGGCCACCGCTTCAAGATGTCGTACCGAGCATGTTGAGGCCATATTTCTTGACACTGTGATGCGTTAGCCACGATCCTCGGCCGCGTCCACGCCCTTTCACTTACGGTGTAAAGTCTTCTGCAGGATAGACGCCTCTCTGGAATCTGGCATTCATCAATACGCATTCTTCAGCACTTGTAAAAATCGCCTGCTCACAAAATCGTATTGATCGAATATTCAAACTGGCTCAGGTCAGTCGTTGACGTGGCGTTGGAGCGAACGCACTCACGAATTCGGCTACCGTTTTGGTCGAGCCTGATGCGTTTGGATTAGCAGCTTTCTTCAACAGAGAGAATTGGGCAACAAACCGCGTAGGGCGAGCTTATGCGTCTGCGCCTTCTCTTTCTTGTCGACCGCCATTTTTGGGTTGGTGGTTTGTCTGTTGCGCAGGAGAAGAGAAAATGAGGAAAGAAGTCGAACTCGTAGGCATCATGTTGACAAGGATCGTTGGCGGGGCAATAATCACCACCAACGAACTTCAACCTCCAAAAGGACATTTTTCTCACCAAGACAGCCTCCCAGCCTGAGAGATTCAGTTCAATGAGTCTTCACCACCTCAAGGATCGCGACTCATGCGACAATGGCTACAGGTCTTTGCACGGCGAAGAGCTGCCATAAGCACCCCTTCTGCCTCAATATGGGCCCCGTTCAATAACTCCCGCGATCTCCGCCGCCCCCTGCGGACCTTTGCAACATCGCCTGTGCGCCTCGCCGCCCCGAGTGCTCCTCCAAGTGCGCTCGAGAAGCGGATCGCGGCAATCCCTATCGAACGATACCGCAATTTCTGCATCGTCGCACACGTCGACCATGGCAAAAGCACGCTCAGCGACCGACTACTGGAGTTGACCGGGACGATCGAACCGGGCTCGAATAAGCAAGTCCTGGACAAGCTCGATGTGGAACGAGAACGAGGTATCACAGTCAAAGCGCAGACATGTTCGATGATATACAACTACAAGGGGGAGGACTATCTGTTGCATCTCGTTGATACACCGGGGCATGTGGATTTCCGAGCCGAAGTATCGCGCAGCTATGCCAGCTGTGGTGGTGCTCTGTTGCTCGTCGATGCCAGCCAGGGCATTCAAGCTCAGACGGTCGCCAACTTCTACCTGGCTTTCGCCCAGGGCTTGACGTTGATCCCCGTGATCAACAAGGTGGATCTACCGCACGCCGATGCTCCGAGGGCGTTGGAGCAGATGCGTGAAACGTTCGAGCTGGACCCAGACAGTGCGGTTCTGGTGTCCGCAAAGACTGGTTTGAACGTGGAGAGCATACTACCGGCAGTCATCGAGAGGATTCCTGCGTAAGTTTCGATCATAGCATTGCCTTGGTAGAGGCGTGACCCTATTCTAACAGTTACAGGCCTGTTGGCGATCATGCCAAACCTTTACGCCTATTCCTCGTGGACTCATGGTATTCCAGCTATAAAGGGGTGATCCTGCTCGTGCGGCTCTTCGACGGCGAACTTTGCGCGGGCGACCAGATTGTGTCGTTCGCAACAGGACTGAAGTATACCGTGGGAGAAGTGGGAATCATGTACCCAGACCCGACACCCCAGAAAGTCCTTCGCGCCGGACAGGTCGGATATGTGCATTTCAACCCGGCGATGAGGAAGAGCAGCGAAGCCAAGATCGGAGACACATACACGAAAGTAGGGTTTCAGCGGCAAGTCCAGCCGCTGCCGGGATTCGAGGAGCCCAAGCCGATGGTGTTCGTGGCCGCATTCCCAGTGGATCAAGGCGACTTTGAACATCTCGAAGACAGCATCAACCAGCTGCTTTTGAACGACCGCAGTGTGACGGTGCAGAAAGAGTCGTCGGAAGCTCTCGGTGCAGGCTTCCGTCTCGGGTTTCTGGGGACACTGCACTGCTCGGTGTTCGAAGACCGACTGCGCCAAGAACACGGGGCCAGCATCATCATCACTCCCCCCACGGTGCCATTCAAGGTCATCTACAAGGACGGAAAGGAGGTCGTGGTGACGAACCCGGCCGAGTTTCCGGATAGCGACGAGACACGGCGCAACGTGGCGGAACTGCGCGAGCCATATGTGATGACCACCCTGACCTTCCCCGACGAGTATCTCGGCAAAGTCATGGAGCTGTGCGAGGCCAACCGCGGCGAGCAGAAGTCCATGGAGTACTTCACCTCGTCACAGGTCATTCTCAAGTACGAGCTGCCGCTGGCACAGCTGGTCGACGACTTCTTCGGCAAACTGAAGTCATCCACGAAAGGATACGCCACGCTGGACTACGAAGAGGCCGACTGGCGCGCCAGCAACATCGTCAAGCTGCAGCTGCTGGTCAACAAGGTGCCCGTTGACGCCATCTCGCGCGTCCTGCATCAATCCCAGGTCCGCCACGTCGGCAAGCAGTGGGTCGAGAAGTTCAAGGAACATGTCGACCGCCAGATGTTCGAGATCGTCATCCAGGCCGCCGCCGGCAAGCAGGTCGTGGCTCGAGCCACTATTAAGCCTTTCCGCAAGGATGTCACGGCGAAATTGCATGCCGCTGATGTCTCGCGCCGGAGGAAGTTGTTGGAGAAGCAGAAAGAGGGCCGCAAGAAATTGAAGGCGGTCGGGAATGTCATTATTGAGCACACTGCCTTCCAGGCATTTCTGGCCAAATGAGCCAGCCGGATATGTTCCTGGGAATATCCAAACCAGTATCAGATACGATAACGGGACTTGGATGAGTATGATTCCGCACAAAGAGGGTCAATAGCATTGTGTCGAAACCTCTACAAGCTTACATTCCTCTCCGACTCTATCGTCCACCCAACCTATACCTATCCTTCTTACCTTTGTAGACCCTTCTGTAGAAAGACTCCCTCTCGAGGGGTTTGAAGTTCACTTGACCTCAGAAAAGGCTCGTCCCATGAGGGATATGTCGGTTTGATCGCTCATCTGGAAGTCCATCATGGCATGTGTGGTCTTCTGTCTCATGGAAGCCGAATATCCGTCCACCCATCCACCAATGTATCTCTCCTGTCCAGGTAGCAGCAGCTTGAGTTGGAACAGCTTGTTCCTTTCCTCGTTTGTCAATAGCAAGCGTCCATGGTGTTCTCAATCAAGTGATAAACACCCAGTCGACCATCATTATGTCACATCATGCGCTCTCCTTTGTTTGCCTCTCCCACTGCTGGTTGACAAGTTGTTTCTGTTGCGGACGGCCATCGCTTTGCCTTGTTTCCGCACTTCCCTATTCTCAATTGATTGCGTAGATAGATGCGTTCTCATCCATCTGCGCAGTCCAAGCATCCGTCTCCCTTTCCGGTGTGATGACGACGGATTCTTTATTGGATCTTGTGCGCGCTCCACGTCTGTTTCTCGTACACGATGTGTCGGTCTGTTGGGGCACCGTAGCGACCACCAATACTGTCCACTGCTCCCTCCTCAGGGGAAAGACTGAAGGCCATATCAGGGAGAACTGTTGTGAAACTTCAACCCATATTGACCTGTAGCCACAACCACCACGAGCCATAAGCCATGGAAGGCCGAAAGAGTGAGTTTTTGTCCAGATGTCCTCGCTGTCTTCACTGTTTCAGGGATTTGGAAGGTGAATGTACCCTGTACTGCAGCATACTAAGCCTCGGATGATGGTTTGTAGCAGAACATCCCCCACTGCGTTCTTTGAGGTCAGCAGCAGCAACAGTAAGTCCAGCAGACAGACAGAGACAGAAACGGCACGGTTGTGTACCAGCATTGTCAAGCTCAACTTCGTCTTCGGTTTCATGTCCGCCCTCTTTGTACCCAATGTGACTCCTGAGCGCAATCTAGCATCGGAGACAGCCTGGCCAAGCGCAAGGCCATGGCCATCTAGAGCCAGCTTTGCCACTGACAGACTGGAATCAACAGCCGCCAGCAATCCATCTAGCCAGGGATGCCGAGCACAAGGCTCGCGGGATTCTGGTGACGAAGACGACATTCACAGTCCCAGTAACAAAGTGGAGAAAATTAACAGCGACAAAGACCGAGCCTCGCCGGTTGCGACAACGTATTCGTACCTCGATACCCCAACGTCCGGGCGCCGCTCTCCACCACCATATTGGGGATTTGAACTGCCTCAAGACCAGCTGGTGCTGACGTTCGGCATCGAGCTTGAATATGTGTTTGCATTTCGGAAGGATCCCAGGCCAAAGTATGACTGGATGGAAGTTGGCGAGGATGACAGCGAGCACCCCGACACCGACATTGGAGAAAGGGAAGAAAACGACGAAGGAGAAAGAGGAGAAGAAGCAGCATCAGAAGGTGAGGACACCAGATACCAAGAAAGCAGGTCGGAATCTTCTGGCTCTTCACGTCCAGAGCAGCGAAATGCACAAATACAACCACAATCGTTGCACTGGCTCGTCGACTGGCGTAATAGAACCAACGAGTATCAGCAGGCTTTGCTTGTTAAGGATCTCCGAACACTGCACATCCAGCAGAGAGTCCTCTGACACGCTGGTCTGAGTTGTAACGTCGACCAAGGTGATACAGCCACATGGGATCTGAAGAAGGTGAGCGCCACAGGGCCAACGTTCTCATTGTGATTCTTGACCCGTTTGTATGTTTCTTTATTCCTGTTGGCGCAGTTGAGTTCCTGTTAGCTGACATACCTTCTTTTTGCCTAGGACTCCTCAATCCGCGAACCGCACAATAGTGTGCTCTGGCCACAGCTGCTACCAGACAAGATACTCCTCGGGGAGCAAAGTGAATGGCAACTCCAAGGCCACGAGCTTGTGTCACGCGTCTTGACATTCTCGGAACAGTTGACCTTCGCGACCTTCAAATTGAGCAGTCCTCTCTGAGAAATCGAAAGCTACGTAAGCGCCGTACTAGGAAGACCCGCGGAGCCCTTCGGCGCCTTCGTCAACCAGTCGTATGGCCTGCATGTCCATATGGCGCGGGCGCCCGTGTCTAACAGCTCAAATGAGATGCTGCCGCTGCCGGTGTTGCAGCATCTGGCCTACCTGCTTGTTCAATTCGAGGAGCTCATCACTGCCCTACATCCGATAGAACGGCGGTGCACGACCAAGACAACGGAACTCTCTAAAGACAACACTGGCGTAGGCAAAACCGCCCCGGTCATGATCGGCTCAAACCTAATGGGTCTGCAGCGTTCACCGAATATCTGCCAGCCGTTGACAGCAGAGGATTTGCAGAGGGCGGCGACCAAGATCTTCTCGGCCAGGATGACGCCCAAGCGACTCGCTCAGCTCATGTGCACGACATACATGAACTGGCCGCACGACAAACATGCCCCGCGACGGTACAAGATCGTTAACTTCGAGAGGCTGATTTGTGAACAAGATGCACAAACGGTGCCATTGACAGTAGAGTTCCGCCAACATGCAGGGACTTTGGACTTCAAGGAGGTTGCGCATTGGGTGCATTTTGTGTTGAGTCTGGTGCGTGCTGCAGAGCGTATGGCTCTACGCAGCACGCCCACCAGTCCCAGCAGTCCCAAGAGCCCGCACACGGTGGCCAAGCAGCTGGAGATGCATTTGGAGATGCCGTTCCCAAAGCAGCAGAGGAATAAGTACAAGATCCGGTGCCACAAACTGCGCGACGAGTACGCCCGTCTGTTTGACCTGCTTGATTTTGACCGTCATACTAGGCATTACTGGACAGAGCGCTTCGCTGAGCTAAACCTTGACCATGTCCGGACGGTAGAGATGGATGAGTACGGCGTGGAGAGGATTGTCGTGAGCGAGAAACAATGTCCGGCGTGTCAATCAGTTCGCGGCTCGGTGAGGCCTGGGGATGATCGTGAGATGGAGGACGCAGATCGAAATTGAATAGGCCAGAACCGTGTCCTTTCAACGCCCCTCGATTGGTACCGCCAAGGAATACAGAGATTCACATGGTTTGCTGTCACAAGTGACTAGCAGTGTCTTTTGGGGGAGAGATGGCATATCATCAATCGTACGACGTTGCACCCATCTTGCAGAGTATCGGACATGAGGTTGGAAGCAGCCTGCCTACCTAGTGACGAGGCTGAAGCCTGGGTGGGCTAGTCCACTTTGGGCGTAGTCGATATCTTGTCCTGAGATGCGTCTCAGCCTCGTCCACCCCTTTTCCCCCCAACTGTTCCAGTGACAACTACCAGAGCCACTTCCCACGTAGAGTGGTCTACAATTCTCTTTGTTGAGGGGCAAGGGAGCCCCCTCTGGCGCCTATGACCGAGGAAGATATCCTGGTCCCATCTGTCCACGTAGTCTATCTGTCTCCATTCCCGTCATCAGCGCCTTAGACCGATAGCGCCCAACCAACTGCGCCCACCTCCGCATGTCAAGTCGAAGAGGAGCATAACAGACAATGGTGGAGCCCAGCATGTTCTATGTTCTCTCTACTTGAGGACGCTTCAAGAATTGATGAGTGCAATAGGGATGTACTGCGTAAGCACTTGCGGGAAGTTCGTGTTCCATTCTTCGTTCTCCATTCTTGAACAGAAATCTACAATCTACGGTTTGATTTGTTGAGATAGATCATTCGAAAACAGCGAAACAGACATACACAAGCAACAATGATCGCGGAGAAGAAGGTCGCCCTCATTACGGGCGCTGCTGTAAGCCACAACCCGACCGTTACATAGCATGAACACATCCCGAAACGACCTGCTCGGCAAGGCGACAATCACTGACCCTCAGACATAGTCCGGCATGGGAAAGGCTCTAGCAATAGACCTTGTCTCCAAAGACTGGAACGTGGCATGTCTCGACATCAACGAAGCGGCAGGACGAGCCGTCGCAGCCGAGCTGGGCGATCAGGCAATCTTCATCAAATGCAGAGTCGAAGACTATGACGAACAAGTGCAAGCATTCACCCAGACGTTTGAGAAATGGGGTCGACTGGACGCTGCCTGTCTGAATGCCGGGATCGTCGACCGGACCTCGATTTTCATGCTGAAGGACAGAAACAGCCCGAACCTGCCACCGAAACCAGATCTGTCTTGTACCGACATCTGCTACAAGGCCGTGGTGTATGGCACGATGCTGTCGGTGTACTTCATGAGGAAGAATCCCACCCCTGGAGGGCAGATCATAGCCACGGCTAGCGCTTTCGGTCACTACGGCTGCGCGTCTGTGCCGGAATACAGTGGAGCCAAGGCGGCGGTGAGTGCTTAGCAGATCAGTTCGTTTGAAGTCCTCCTTCTCACTGAGTCCAGATCATCGAGTTCTGCCGCGCGGCTGCGCCTGTATTGAAACTGGTAAGTGACCACGTTATCGTAGCTCAAGACAGTATCTGATGTTGTTGCCTTGCAGAGAGACAATATTACAATCAATGCCGTCTCTCCGGGTTTGGTCAAGACTGCATTGGTTTCGAAAGATCAGGCGGCATCTCAAACTGAGGAATAGTATGCAAAGAGAGCTGGCCCGTTGAAGAGTGGCAGCAAGCTGACACGGTTCTTAGTCTCACCCCGGTCGAAAATGTGGTGGCGAGCTTCAACAAGTTTCTGGAGGACCCGTCGCTGAATGGGCAGTTTCTGTACTGTGCTGGCCCGTCGCCGGACGACATCAAGTTTGTGCCTCGGCCGCTCCGGGCAAATGGTGATCAATCATGGGCCATGGAACTGGTGGTCGAGCCGTTGTTTGAGCGGATTCATGGCGAGCGATCGGGTCTGCCGGACTCCATGTCGCCCGAAACTCCTGGCCTTCATGTGAAGGCTGCAGCAGGTCAATAGTCTCAAGTTCGAGGATGAGAGATGCCAGGCTGACTTCCACAATCGAGAAGAGGTAGCCTGCCTTGATAAAACTGGCAATATCAATGATCACAGGGGTTTTTGATCTTAGTGGGACCTGCCAGCAACAACGCACCCGCCTAGGACCAGTACGATGCTTCCCGAAACCCAACAAAGGATAGTGAGAGATGGAGCTGAAGGGACCCTCCGTGCCAAAGGGCTGGCACAAGAGAGACTGTGCCTATGTGGTCCAGCACAGGAAAGAATTAAGACCGAGGAGCTGTAGGAGTAGAGCCAGACACACCTGCATGAAGCGTGAAAGACGGTGCGACCAGTCAGCCCTGGCTTGACCGTCTGAGCTCAAATGCGCTCTGGTAACATCTCTCTCGGCGAGAATCGATCATCACCAAGCTGGTGGTTGAGTGGCTCTGTAGCAGTCTACCCACCTTGTTTCTCTGTCGTGATCAGAGTAGCCTGGCCGAGCACCGAGCATCCATCATCAAGGTAGACCTCGGAGCAGTGGTTGTCCAATACCATTGCTGGGAATGTTACTACTGATGACTGGATGACTGGGAGTCCATGTTCAAATCGAAGCTTCTCGACCCTCATCACGTTCATATGAAGCTGGTCCAGATTCGTGGACGTAGCGAGTCCATGGTTGTTGACAGGTGTTTCTCCCCCATGCCTTGCCCACTTTTGACTAACACGCCAATGCTGTGTGACTTCGACTCAAACGACGAAAGGTTACTGAGAGGGTCAGTGGACGATAGAGGAGCACAGGGGTTTGAAGAGCTGGCGTGGGTCAAATACGGAAGAAGGATGTTGACAGGAGATGAAATAAATTCGAAAGGTTGGGCAGATCTGAAGCGCAGTCTTGAAAGGGCGCATTCTCCATCTACTCTCCTCTCTACTACTACATCCATCTCCCTGAAAACACCTTTGCATCTTTTGACATTTCATCAATCACCATCCAGCTGCTTCTCTACCATCAACTCAGGCTCACAATCACATCCTGGCTGCCTTTGATGGTACCACCTACCACCTACCATCCGCTTCCTCCTCTCCACCTGTCGCTGGCGAAGGAATCATCAGTGGACGTTACCCAGCCCGCCTTGCCTACGTGTCGGTCTTGGTGTCGTACGGACATGATATCCCGGTGGACTCACTCTCTGTCCCGCTTCCCGTCGGAGGCCTGACCTGTCTGCAACTCGGTGCCCACGGCTACCTCCGGGAAGATTGCTGGCAGTCATAATGTTACCAGACGAGACCAGAGGGGCAAGGGACCCCCTCGGCTCAAAGCATGCATAGGTATGAACAGCCCACGCTTCCTGGTCTGCCTGACTACCCACCCGAACAATTCATCTTGGACCCGTTTACAGGACCTGGTATACATCATACCCCTCGATTTTGTCTTCCAAGGTAAGGAAAAAGCCGCTGGGGGACCTCTGAACGGTTGAGCTGGTGTCAGCTAGTATGCCTCCAGGCCTGGCTCGAGGCAAGTTCCGCTCATAGCATGGTGTCAGTCACACGAACTCGTCCAAGGCCGGGCCGACCTTCCCTGACCAGTGGCACGCGGCGAGGTAGTCCGAACTACATGCACCTGCGTCGTTCGAGACCTTACCACTCCCTTGAGTCCGGCTGGGCTTACATCTGTGCATCCAACATGCCATGACTACCGGCCCAAGTCAACATGATGATCAATAAGATCAAAAGATTCCCTCCTTCATGCACGGCAAGCGCTGAACGAATCACACCTGCTCTGGAGTGGAAAGGTCTCAGGCATCATCTCTGGACCAGACCGTGGTCTGCTTCCCTGGAGAGACGACACTTAGAAAGAAGACAGAGGATCGAAATATCCAATAAACACATGCCAGGTAGCTAGGTAGGAGACTGGGTCTATATCTGCCACCATCGCCCTGCTGTTTCTTCCTTCTCTTGCTCTCTTCCTCTCTCCATTGGACTTACACAGGCCTTTTTCAAAGAACAGTGTTACAACCCCTACAACTCTCCGACTGAAATACTACCGACCCACCCCAACCTCAATCTTCATACCAACCTCTACCAAAAAGACAACAATGGGTCCCTGCTCTTCTTGCAACTGTTGCAGCGGCTCTTGTACCGGCTCCTGCTCATGCAGCAGCTGCGGTGTACGTCTCTCTCCCTCTCTCTTGATCTTCAAGTTCTTCGTGTCTCCTGTCAAGGTCCTCCTCTCCAGATTTACAATGCTGCTGCTTCTGCTGCCACACACGCTTTTCCAATCCATGACGGTCTATTCCTGCCCCATTTCACACCATTTTGTCCTGCTCTGCCATGAAAACGGCACATTATACACACCCATGTCATACTAACAACGGCTGTCATCCTATAGCACTAAATGACTAACCTCTCCGTTCCTCCTTCCCCAGTTTGCTGCCGGATCCAGTCTCAGAACCCAGACATCAACTACTGAGACTGGTCATGGCAACGCGACATCCTTCGACCGAAAGGGATCATCAATCGATAACAACTACAACAACTGGGGAGGGAGAATGATGGAGATAACAGACAAAGGTCCCCAACGACAGGAAGAAGTATCTTGCCATTCCCAATATCAGATACCAATATATCTGTTATCATATATACACTCTTCCTTTGTGGGATAGAACAACTGTTCTTGAACAGTATTATGGTTGTCAGCTATCAACAACTATGTTGTGGCTTCGACTTCATTTCATTTCGTTCACGCGACCTGGCTTCATCCCAGGTCGCTCTCGAGATTGGACTCTCGATTCGATGTATCGTGGTATCACTTTGCTCCCCATGGGCCCGTCCACTTCCATGTGGACGAGGCCAGCCAGAAAACAGGCAAATAAGATCTAAAGACTCGCACACACGATAGATAGCCTTCCCACCCGCTGTCCCCGTTCTCGTTCTCGTTCCCGTTCCAAGTTCCATTCCCATTCTCATTCCCATTGCCGTGACCGCGCAGATTCCCCTTTGCGTTTGGGCAGCCATTCCAGGCAGCCAGCCAACCAATTCCCACAGATTACGGGATGGCGGCGTCCATATGTGGCCGTAGTCATCATTAAAAAGTCTCAATTATTGGGCGGGAAGGGCGAGGGGGAGTTCAATTCAGTCGTAGAGTCCCCCTTCTTCCCAGCCAAGACGCAATTACTCCCTTCCAAGCTTTCACCATAGTCTCCATTCGGCCAGTGGTGCCATAGCAGATATCGGTGTCTCAAACCACAACTTGCCGTTGCGCCGTCTCGTTGACCGCCAGCGGTGCACACGGCGGAGTCAGCTTGAAGGCTTTGTTCGCTCGCGTCTTTGCGACTTCCAGGTCGTCTCTATCTTTACTTGCTTCTGTTTCTGTTTCTATTTCTGTTTCGGGGGCTTCTTGGGTGGCCCTGTGCTGTCCGTTCGGCATGGTTACAAACGATGCCGCCGCAAGCGTGGTGCCAGGTGCTTGTTGCTTATCCCGCTCCTGGACGGTGGCGGCCTCAGAATGCGGCGGTTTCGGCGTCGTGTCTTCATCGCGCAGCCTCTCAAGGTGTCTGTGGTCGAGCTTGTCAGCATGGCCGGCTCCCACTGACGCCTTGGCCTGGGTGAAGGCCGGCGATGGCGACTCCTCGCTGACGGACTGATATACCGACGGCTTCTCCGCCAATGGAAGTCCGCCAAACTGGTCGCCGAGACAGCGGAGGATGGCGACGAAATACTGGTGGAGGAAGGTGAAAATATTCTCGTCGCCCACAATGTCCGCGAGGCTGCGCGGAGTAGCATGCCCAACCCGACGCGGATGCCCGTCCGGGTCTACCGTCCGAGGCGTCAGGAAGGACGAGACGGGGGTGTATTTGGTCGAATTGGTCTTCAAAGACTCTGCAGCTTCTGCGGCTTCCTCTTCCTTCTGCCGCTGTCTTTCTTGGTGCCGTTGTGCAGCGGCCTCAATTCCCTTGGCCATATTTGCGAAGGCCTCCCATAGCATGGGACATGCTTGGAACGCACGGCTGGCGTCTTTGCCGGCCAGAGCTACGAAGGCATAGGCTCGCCGCCGACCGCGCGCTTTTGGATCTGTAAGTCGAAACACATACGCGATCGTGTAACCGGAGTTGGAGTCGCCGAAGCAGAATGGTCCGTCCGACATACCCCGTGGAAGAAGTTCACAAGACAGCGTTCGAATGACGGATGCTCTCAATCGCGCATAGCATTCTGGGTCATCAGGGGATTTGGCGGTCAGGTAGGTGAGAGTGTGGTCGTGGCAATTGTCGGGATGTCGGCGAGGGGATGAAGGTAGTTGAGAGGAATTCCGAGAGCAAGAGGAGGCGACAGATGATCCGTATGACGAGGGTTTCGACCCTCGTGAAGCGTCATTGGCATTGCTTCGTCTTCTCTCACGGAGGCAGACGAATTCTCGGGAGCGCAAGACAGGCGCGCCAGTGTTAGGACCCTTGCCGTCAGTTGTCTTGCTCCCAGGAGCCCCCGCCGGCAATTTCTCCGCTATCGCCTTTGGAACACTGAAGCTGCAACTAGCACATGTATCGCCTTGCGCTCGGCCATATCGCCACTGCGAGCTGACGTTTCGTTTCTGGTCCACATTCTGGAAGAGAGGGTGTTTCTCAATGGCAGGTCGATCGGGCTCGGTCTCGGAGTCAACAGTGGTGGATGCGCCCGAGAAGTCGGTGGGCAGTGTTATGTTGGTGTCTGTTTTGCGCAAGGGAGGCGGGGTGTGTAGATTGTGGTTTTGATCAAGGGGCGAGTCGTGGACCTGGGTCGTGAGAGATTCGGTGGAGGAAGAGGCCTTCAATGACGGCGATGGTGGTAGGCATAATGCGCACTCCAAGGGCAGGACTTGTGTACATAGGACAGATTTGGGACCATGCGCTTCGCAGAAATGGGTGAGGGCAAGCTATATGAAGGCCATTGTTAGCATCATGGCGACAGATGATCACGAGTAGGCATCGATAGGCATCTGTCATGCGCTCGCTGCCTGCGCAAGGGTCGTCGCAACAGATGATGCCAGGTGGACAATAACACTCACGGTGAAATCCATCCTTGCTGTTAGTGTGAAGTTCTTTTTGTCGTTCAATTGAACGTCACTCTCCTCCCCTTAATTTCTCCGACAATGATTGTACATATTTCGCAGGCCGGCGCAAGTGGCTGAGGTCGGGACTGCCATGGGTATTTTCTTTTAGGCTCTCAAGGAATCCGAGCTCCGGTTTCCAATTGCGCGGAGATCGGTATGGATCTCCAGATGATCCAATGTCGCAGGTAAGGAAGAAGTCGTGTGGTCAATTGGATGCCGAAATGTCCGTATCCTTCAGTGAATCGATCCGGAGGCGCAACGGTAAAGTCGGATGAGGGCGAGGGTGAGCAGCGCGCGAGAAGGGATGGAGTGCTTGTCGGTATCGAGATAGGGGACGGGTGTGAAGACGACAATGGTACAAGGTACAGGTAGAGGAGAGATGGAACAGACGGTGTTGAACAGACTGGGGAGCTTCTAGAAGAAGAGTGGACTTGAATCCACCGGAGAGGGACTGATTATGTTATGGGAAGGTTTATGGGTTCTGGATTCTGGATTCTGGGTTCTGGGTTACTAGGAGTGGTAAGGGTATCGGGGTACCTACCTATGATACTAGTAGTACTATAGCAGCTACTATTGCAAGTACTAGAATGGCACTTTTGCCGCAGCCTTGATGACGAGCCTGGACCGCAGGCTGCGCTGACCGCCACTTGCGACCAGCCATGCAACCGCAGCGAATCAGGAATCTCTCAATGAACCCGACGGTGACAGCGTGGAACCTACTGCTCCTAATGCTCCGACTGCTCCTACCGCTGGCCTCTTCTAGTTCATCCATTCTCCAACTTGAACAGTTAGTTCTTCCCTAACTACTTCCGACAAACTACTATGCGCTGCCGATGTCACACGGATGCATCCCCGGCCGCCGGTTCGAATACCCTCTCACTAGTCCCCTTCGCTCACTTAGCCTCGATGCCCGGATTCGTTCAGACACGGTTTGACTCAGGGTCACACCACAAGTGGCCGACGCACCTGTGAAAGCTACGTACCTAAGCGATACTGCCAGTCCCATGTCACCGTCACTGACACCGACACCGACATGTGCGGATCTGTTTATCCTTTTCCGCCGGGCCTCAACTCCTTCCGTACCCAGTCTGTCTTGAATCGTCCATCCGATGTTGCCTTCTGCAACACCAGCGCTACTTGGTCCCCCTGTGTCAATGCTTCAACGTCATGCAGGCCCTGTCCATTCACGACAACGATGTGTCTGTTTGGAATGTCGATCTTCACCACAATCGCCAGAGCCACACAGCAAGAATGTTCGCCCAGGATTGAAGAAAGGGACTGCATACTGCCTCGCGAACGTGGAAGACCTTCCTGGGTGCGAGATACACAAGGTGGCGGAGAGTCGCTATCAGAGTGTTGGTGGTCATTGTTGCTTCCCTCTGAGTCATTGCGCGTCGAGTTCAACCTCTTATCTCTGGGATGTTTCACCGCCACGATAGCCACCAGGTTGCCTTCCAGAACGTCGTACGTGTCTTCAGGTGCGACATGACCGCCTAGCAAGATGATGGCACCCACCTTCGCATCGTCGCCACCATAAGTAAGTGACACTTCGTGGTACGTCCCTCCTAGAATTGGCATGTCATTCCAGAAAGCTCGGTTTATCGACGAGTCGACTAGATGAAAATATGACTGCATTTGCAGGTCATATTCTCTCGCAGCGTGGACCTTGTCGAATACCTGAGAAGGGATCTGCTGAATCTGACACTGACCACTCTCTGCTAATGATTTCCACGGTTGCAGGTGAGGCGACGTGGGACTTGTATCTAGGCAGACAATGTTGGTAGGTGCAATCTTTGTCCACAATTGACGCGCCAACTGCAGTTCAATGTTATTCCACCACTTAGGCGCCAATACAATGACGGGGATCCCCTGGTGTTCGCTGCAATGCTGCCTGGCGAGTTCCAAAAGGTCGAGAATTTGAGTGATGTGCCAGTCGCAGACGTCCGTAAACTGTAAGTCTCCGAGAAACTGCATCTTCAGAATCCGACTGGTGTGCCTGCCTCGGCCGAGCATATGTGTAAACGAGGGTCCAAATAGAGGCTCGGAAACATGAACCAGACTTATCGTGCCTGGAGGCGCAAACTCGGGCATATTAGTGTCAAGGTCGAGAATCAAAGCACCCGCTGGACGCGCATTGCGGAAATTCGCCCCCTGTTTCGTGAGGATCCTATTGAGCAGACATCTGGCCAGAGTCGATACGCCCGAGCACCGTCTACCGCATAACAGAATCCTGGGCGGAGAAGTTGTCGAGGATACCGCGTCATCAGACGGCACTAGACTTGAGATGGTCGATTTCCAAGGAACAAGATCCAGTTCTCTGGAGCGTCGGGGAGCTCTAGGGTCATGATCGAAGGAGTGACCCAGAACATAGAACGACGAAGCTGACCGTTCGACATTGGCTGGAGTCCACATGTCCCTAGCCCCAATAGAGGGGAGATCAATCAACCCATTCTCGAGAGAGTCAAGTTGAAACTCTGCTTTCAAACTCAAAGCTTCAATGGCTGGAAGCGCATGGTTGTTGGGAGCATAAATACGGTGGACAGCAGTGGAAGCATTGATGGTAGCGCCGTAGAGGAAGACCGATCCTTGCTTTACCCAGAGAGTGCAAGCACCGAGGACCACGCATTTCTGCTCAAGTTAGATCATTCTGAGCCCCTGGGAGACGCTGCCTACCTGTCCACGAGACAATCTGATCTTAACAGACGTCTCACTCAATTGATCCACTTCTTTTGTAAAACTGAAACGGACAGCAGCCGCATCCACCAACGCCGAAAATTGATTCGAGGTTCCAACAGGCTGACTCTCGAGTTTGGCATCACTGCTCGGGGGTGAGGCAGCTCGAGACGCGGACTGACTCGACTCATGCTCATCTACTGGTGCTGCAGCGGGAGGACTGGGCGTTGCCAACTGGGCATCACGCAGACGGCGCCGTCGTGCGACTGCGCTGAGCCGTTCACCATCTAGAACTTGGTGAGAATTCTGGGTTGTCCCCGCGATGTAGTCACTTACTGGCTGTCATAAACAAGATGCATCAGAGGGGAGGGAGGCGTTGAGTGAGACTGAAATACTATAATACAGCATCGTTCAATCCGGCATATCAAATATTCAGCAGGCCAAGGTATCAGAATATATCTCGCCGCTTGGAAATTTCTTCAAGTAGTCCACTATCGCCCTTTAGCGGAGGGAATATCCGTGCTAAACGGTACCTTGCCGATCTTTGTTTTCTCCAAATTTTTGTATCGTTCAAAAAATCCCATTGTCAGCTTCAAGTTCGCAGCAACAAGGAATTTACTTTGGGTGTGAATACACCCTGATCAGCTCAGCCATGGCCAAGAAAAAGGACATGGTGCGGCAAAGCAATCTTAGTCAAGAAAAGGTCCAGGACTCTAGTGATGAAGATGGTTCAGTTGGACAAGTGACACCCAAAGCGAAACAGTCTCCCGCTTCCCAAAAGACCAAAAGTGTCCAGAAACCGCTGAAAGGCTCTAAATCCAAACCACCAAGTCCAGAGTCGGAGGAGGAATCAACGGACGAATCATCTGAAGTCGAAAGCGGACAAGACGACTCGGATAGCGAGTCAGCCACGAGCTCAGCGTCCAGTCAGAAGAGAACTGCACCGGCCACCGCCGACTCTCAACCAAGGAAAAAGACCAAGACAGCGAAGACCTCTTCAACAGTGCAGATAGCACCGAAACCTTTCAAAGCACCAGCAGGATACGCGCCGGTGGTGGTGTCAGCATCCGACTATGCCTCGGAGGTGGGATCTCTGTTCGGCGACCTGTCTGCCAAGCAGATCTGGCACATCTCTGTCCCAGATGGTGTTTCGATCGACTCGATCAAGGAGCTTGATATTGAAGCCGCGATAAAGGGAGCGCCGATCCTCAGCAAGAACGGCATCGACTATAACCTTCGTTCCGTGCATACCAAGAACGAGGTTGTCCTTCTACCACAAGGAACGAAGATGAACTACCGACAGTCTGCGAAGAGAGTCGAGCGAGTGTTGCATCTTCAAGAGATGAGCACCACCGAGTCGAAGGACGAAACACCTCTTCTTTTCACCGCTACGGGCTCAGGCAATCCGAAACCCGTCCGGAAACAACCCGAAGGCTTGAAGATGCGCTACGTTCCTTATGGCGCCCCTCCAATCCAGGAACCCGCTGAAGGTGAAGATGAGGATGTAGAGATGAGGGACACTTTGGACATGCCCCCGGAACTCGAACAGACTCATTCACAAACGACATTCAAAAAGTCCAAAAAGTCGAAGCGAGATGGGGCTGACGGAACAAGTCCGGAGAAGAAATCGCGCGTTGAAGATGGACAAGCGTCGTCTGAGAAGAAGAAAAAAAAAAGAAAAAGCGCAGGATAGTTGATGAGGACGTCCTGTAGAAGAAGCAAGCTAGGTACTAACTGCGTGTGATGCCATGTCTCCCACGTCCTATATTGGGTGCTGGAACGAAATACAGTCTGTTTGTTTCTTGTCCCGTTCCCACCGATCATATTAGTTACCCATACGAGGACATGCCTGCAGGCAGTGACATTGGACTGCCACAAAGAGGTCGTTTCCTACCGAGGTAGGTATATATGCGGCTGTTTTGTAGCATGTACGTACTTGCTAAGTGATCTTGAAAATGCCCGACAGGCCGGGCATTGTATCACCACCATGATGGTGTAATAACGAGTATACTCTAATGATTTATTAGCGACGGCATCAACAAACCTAATGAATGAATTAACAGACTACTAGTACTAGTACTAGTACTATATTAGTAGCGCGGGGAAATATTCGCAGGGGCGACACTTTCCCGCCCGCGTCTAACGAAAAAGTTTCCTACTGCACTGCAGTCAAAACAGCTGGAACGGTGACTCTCTTCGTCTGACCCGTTCACACCAGCTCTGCCATACTAGCACTGCATATACCAACATATCTTCGTCTAGTTAACAGATCTGACAAAGATGGGCTCTGTGGCCACCCCCAGCTATGCCTTGTCTCAGGCTCACAAGGAGGTGAGATGAAGCCGCATATCCGCACTGGACGCTGCATTTCCAATGATTCCATGGGCTATTAGGAGGCTAACGCACACTCCCGTCCAGATGCTCGAGAAGTCACTGGTCGAGTCCGACCCGGAGATTGCTGAGATCATGGTAAGTCCTTCTACTTCACTTCAACACATATCAGAACAGAGACCGTTCAAGCACTGGAGGATGTTGTTGAGGTACTGGACTGACCGTGGCTGTTTGTGTCCTGCAGAAAAAAGAAATCAAGCGTCAGCGCGAGTCCATCATCCTCATTGCCTCCGAGAACGTCACCTCCCGCGCCGTCTTCGACGCCCTGGGCTCGCCCATGTCCAACAAGTACTCCGAGGGATACCCCGGCGCACGATACTATGGAGGAAACCAGCACATCGACGCCGTCGAACTCACATGTCAGGCGAGAGCGCTGGAGGCCTTCCATCTTGACCCGGAGAAGTGGGGAGTCAATGTGCAATGTTTGAGCGGCAGTCCCGCCAATCTGCAGGTCTACCAGGCTCTTATGAGACCACATGACAGATTGATGGGCTTGGATCTGCCTCACGGAGGACATTTGAGCCACGGCTACCAGACACCGCAGAAGAAGTGAGTCAGAGAAAAAAAAAGCGATCGGGATATGATTGATATTTGGTTGACTGACTTGTGCAATCCAGGATCTCCGCCGTGTCTACATACTTCGAGACCTTCCCATATCGAGTCAACCTCGAGACCGGAATCATCGACTACGACCGCCTGGAGGAGAATGCGCTGATGTACCGGCCCAAGTGCCTCGTGGCCGGAACCTCTGCGTACTGCCGTTTGATCGACTATGCCCGTATGCGCCAGATCGCAGACAAGGTCGGAGCATACCTGATTGTCGACATGGCCCACATCTCCGGTCTGATCGCCGCCGGAGTCATTCCCTCGCCCTTCGAGTACGCCGACGTCGTCACCACCACCACCCACAAATCCCTCCGTGGTCCGCGTGGAGCCATGATCTTCTTCCGCAAGGGTGTCCGCAGCACCGACCCGAAGACTGGCAAGCAGGTCTTGTACGATCTCGAAGGCCCAATTAACTTCTCCGTCTTCCCCGGTCACCAAGGCGGTCCTCACAACCACACCATCACTGCATTGGCCGTGGCATTGAAGCAAGCAGCCACGCCCGAATTCCGCGCATACCAAGAGCAGGTGGTCAAGAACGCCAAAGCTCTGGAGGTGGAATTCAAGAAGCTTGGATACAAGCTGGTCGCCGATGGCACCGACTCTCACATGGTCCTTCTCGACCTGCGGCCCCAGAGTCTGGACGGCGCCCGTGTCGAGGCTGTCCTCGAACAAATCAATATCGCCTGCAACAAGAACAGCATCCCAGGTGACAAATCGGCCTTGACCCCATGCGGTATCCGCATCGGCACTCCAGCCATGACGTCGCGCGGGTTCGGCGAAGACGACTTCAAGCGTGTCGCTTCGTATATTGACCAGAGCATCAAGCTGTGCAAGAAGGTCCAGGGTGAGTTGCCCAAGGAGGCCAACAAGCTCAAAGACTTCAAGGCCGCCGTTGCCAGCGACACTGTGCCGGAGATCCTGAAGCTCAGAGAGGAGATTGCCGAATGGGCCTCCAGCTTCCCCCTGCCTGTGTAAGGATGGGGCAGCAAGAAGGGGAGAAAAGGATAGTTCTCCGAATGAAAAGCTGAAGGTCTGGTCTGGCGTTTCTGGATCGGTGACTTGTTGGCAGCAGATGTAGTGTCAACTTGGTAGGATTTTCAACCGGATGGCTTCTCATGGGTTTGAGAGGGAAAAAAAGAGGGGGAAAAGGCGTATCTTCAACGATACCCAGGATAGGAAATCTTCCATATCATCATTCCATTCCAGTTCATCTTACATGACGGTGTTCCAGAGCACGCGCTGGCCCCTTCTAGCAAGCGGTATCTTTCCTTTCCTGGGCTCTTTACCACAGTCATGCGCCGTTCCGCTGCAATGGTCAACACTCAGAAAATGGTGGACGAGGATCGTAGCAGTATAACAATCGCATCACCGGCGCCTCTCGTTTCGTTTGGTCAACTGCTGCTCTGCTGCGTTCATATGGGAGGCTGTGTTGACCACTCAGCGTCCAGGACCTCTCTCGTCATGCAAACATGCCTTCAGGTACGGAATCGAGTACGCGTTCGAGTACGCGTTCGTCCCAAGCTCTGTCGCAAGAGTCCTCGTAATTGTTTTCTATCGTTCGGTTGTCTCATGGTCCCCGCAGCTGGACCATCGTGGTAGGAGGATATTCGATCCTTGCAACCAGCGTGTGCATGTGGGTGCTGATGGAAGCCGAAAGCTATCGACTTCTCCCACGTCTCAAATTGCCATATTGGCTGTCTGTTTCTTGATCTGTCTTTCCTTTTCCGCTCCTCTCGTCCTTCCTCAGCCTTCGACACCCTGCATGATACTATCAGTTTCGCCTTCTTGCTTCACGTTCGACACAGCATCGCCCCCATCCGGTGCGTCCTGGATATCCTCCATGATGTCTCCATCTCTCTTCATACTCGAACCAATATTATTCACGTCATTTCCACTCGACCCCGGCGCCGTCGCCATACCAGTCGCAACAGAAGCCAACAGGCCCAATCGCTTCTTCAACAGCCCTACCGTCCTTTCCAACTCGCGGATCTCTTGCTCCTGCTCGTCCACTGACCTCTCGATATCTGGTAATGCTGTAACTGCGGCCCGGGCTTTGACGAGTTTCTGCTTGATCGGGTAGACTTGCGCGGGTAACTCTTTAAGGTCTACCGGTGGGCCTGTCTGGAGGAGAGGGATTTGCGAGGATGGCACAGAGAAGGACAGTGATGCCGACTGTGTCTGTGATAGGGATTGGGATTGTTGGAGAGTAGAAGTCGCGTCAGATGTTGGCTGATGTGGTTGTGACAGTGATTGCGTCTGTGATTCGACTTGGGGTTGTGTCTGAGTCTGAGTCTGAGTCTGGGCTTGTGACGTGGACGACACCTGTTGCGTTGACGCTGGATCTGAAATGGAAGTAGAAGTAGGGTTAGGAGGATGTTGTAGGATATTCAGCCGTGCGATGAGGAGGTAGATGTCGGGAAGGATGGAGAAGGTTGATGGCGCGGGAAACGGTGGGATGTCGGGGTGCGACGAGGGAGGGGACGACGCAGATGGCATCTCGAGGCCGTTTGTCTTCGTCTGGCTTTGAGATCAAAGGAGCTTTCGGAAGAAAGAGAGGCAGGAGCAGCCTGGACGATGATGGCGTGTCTAATCAAGGCACATGATGAGATGTAGTTCAAGTTGTTTTCACCTCAATCGCGGCTTGATCTTCACAGTCTAGGTACCCAGCAGACATACTCCAAATTACCGACCTCGCGAGGTATTCGTGCTCCATAACGCTGGTCCACCCGGACATTTGAGCTAGGCCAAAGGAAGTTAAAACAGCCTCTCTAAGTTTCGAGTAGTGGCAACCTAATGGCCTAAAAGCAGCAGGCTAACCCCAAACCCCATACTAGTACGGTAGCCACGCCATGCCGCCTTTATAGGACGACAAGGCTGCGAGGCTCAAAGTACAACAGCGGCACATGGATTTCTCACCCTCACTGCCACTCGCAAACATATTGATGGTGCGAAGTTACCGGAAAGGTTGTTAGGTCTGGACGACTTCCCATCACCTTCCATGTGCAGCGACCAGACCACAGTTCCGGCGACGCTACGAGAACCGAAAGAATTGGACTTTTTGATGAAGGGCCTATCCTCGTGCCGCAAAGATTTCAAGCACGATAACGATTGTGCCGAAGAAATACTCGGATCCCTCGGCAATCTGCGGATCAGCGAGAGTTAGCGGTACGGTCGGGTGGGAGCCGGTGAATATCGTGGATGTTTTGGTTGTGAAGTCGCTGCGCGAGGGATGCTGAGGCGACCGAGTTCACAACTGAATGGTCTCCCCACACGCTGCCAGCTCGTATCGGTAGGGGAGCCACAGTCATTAGACATCGTTGAAGCCAATACAAGTCTTCTGCAAATTCTTGTCGGCCACAGCCCAGACCCACGCCCTACCTGCTTCGCCGGTGTAAAGGCCAACAAGCTGGTCGTCTCGACCTGCTTCATCTAGCCAGCCTTGATTCTCCAGGACGGCGCTGGCCATGTAAGCCACAAAATGCTGGAATTCAGCGTCATCGTCAAGAGCCAGAGCGTTTCCGGCGATGCCATGACACAAGCATGGTTGCTTTGTCAAGACGCCACGTTTCCAGACATCCCTTTGCGCAGCGGCAATGGCGCAATCGATTCTGTCTCGTAGGTCGGGAAAATAAGGTCGAACGGACCTCAATGCGAGTACTGCACCCGGGCCTCCATGACAGAATTGAACGAGTCTGTCTGAACCCGGTGGCAAGGATGAGGGGAAATTGCCGGTAGGGAACTGGGTGTCGAGTATTTGACTGAGGATGGGTTGGACGGATTCTGCTGAAGAAGGGGACGAAAGAACGAGTTGGCAAAGGATACCAAACGAGCCATGTGCGGCACCGAGATAATATTTGCCATGCCATGTCCAGGGCTGTTTCGTGGACAGGATTCTTCGAACCGTTGTGTGAATCGCCTTATCAACAGGAATCGTGACCTTCGAGTCGTCTTCGAAGCCTGAACGGGCCAGGCGCAGGAGGTACAGATAGCCAGACCGGCCATACAGCCATTCATCGGATCCGGAAGCGTCATTGATGACAGCCTCATAGGAGCATAGCTTCTGCGCGAGACTGGGATCCTCTGCCATCACTGCGCGGACGGCTAGCTGTGCAAGCATTTCATTTGCAATTCCACAATGGTTCGAGTCAACGCTCTCGCGTTGTCCATGGCTGAGATCGAGATATGCTTCTGCCCAGTCTCGGAGGGATTGCCCCTTGAACATCAAGTCTGGATAATGCTGAGACAGGCGAAGGAAGAGGTAGGCGATCGATGTCGGCCCGTAGTAGAGGCCATGGAAAGTCCAGCCTGTCGAACATGTCTGGATGGGCGGGTTGAAGGTGTTGATACGGGTCAATGATGCAATAAGCTCTTCATGGCTGTTGGCCCGCTCCAATGGGTTACTCTCGTTCTTGAAAGACCGGCTTGAGGTGCTCATTGTCAGCGATCGGGAAGGATCAAGGGCCCGACGGCACAGAGAAGGTCAGGATGGCAGATGGGGCGTTACTGGAGAGGGCAATTCGACAGCCATTCCCTGCAGATTGTACAGGAAGACGAAAGGAGGGGATGATTTCATATCGACGACATTTTGGGTCAGTTCGTTTACCTGAGGAGCATTCCACAGACACAACTGCGGGCGAGGAATCTACAGAGTAGAATGAACATGCCCTCGATGCCTCCGCACTGCGCAGCACACGGGGAGTGCTTAGTACGGAGAATCATCCAGCACCTATCAGCTCTACGGTGCAACAGACCTGGAGATGCCTCAATTGCAGGCGCAGTCTATTGTCTATACTCTGCAGTCTATCGAATCCTGCTCCTCAGCCTCGTTGTCAACCATCTTGTACGGATCCCTCCTTTGGCCTCGGCCATGATCTATTCCATCATCCACAGCCTCCATAGAGATATTGGACTATAGGATATTGATATGTCTGCTTGACTAGATCCCTTCGAAACCATGCCACCGTCTTTACGAAAAGCATGCCACGCTTGCACAGCCTCAAAGCGCCGGTGTCGTCCTCAACTACCCAAGTGCTCTCGATGCTTAGAAAGAGGCCTGGACTGCACATATGATCTCGAGCCCGTCTCGAACCTAACAACGACCGGTACAGACCACATCCTCCCCGCACAGCATCCTGTCCGCCAAGTTCTACCTACTCGATTGTACGACTCGGTCGCCGCCGCCCATGCTGATGCGATTCGTTCGTATACGCCGCAAGGCTACGACCTGCAGAAGGGCGTGCAGGTGATGGCTAACCCCGAAACTTTTGAGCTGACCAAGCTGCACCTCAGAAGGATACCTCTGCTGACATTCCAACATCGGTCGACGCTGTATGTCCATGCCCAGGTCTTGTCTGCTGGTGAAGGCTTATCAGCAATTCCGCTGGTAGCCGCGCGATCAGATCCGCCTTCACGAGCAGATTCGACATCGGGTATCGTGCCCACGGAAAAGCGGCGCCTACTATCATTGAACGTCCGGGATTTGACATTTACCCAGTTCATGGCAGTCTTCCATGAGCTGATTGCCATCGTGCTGGCTTCCTATTTAGACAAGAGTCAGACGGATGTCGTAGCCTCGGATTTCCAAAACCTGTCTGAGCTGTTCACCACCTGGGCTCAGCACTTCTACTCCATACTGCCGGAGTCACTGGACAGTAGTCTTTCCGCATGGCAGGCCTGGGTTATAGCGGAGAGCGGCCGGAGAACGATGATCTGCATCGACATGATTCGAGGGGTCATGGAGATCCTGCGGCTGGGATACTGCTATTATCGACCGGGGATTGAGGCTTTGCCCTTCGATGCAAGGACGGGCCTGTGGGAAGCAAATAGCGAGGAAGAGTGGCGGTCTGCCCTGGCTAGCCATGGTGGTGAAGAGTGCAGTCTGATGTCCTGGCACGAGTTCATTGAGAGTGGAGGGCCAGCGCCACGTAAGGAACATGATGGCATGCTACAGCGACTCCTCCTCGTGGGCTATTTCGGCAAGGTTGCTGCGCAATACCAAATGAATGCCGATGACCAATTCCAAAACCATGGGACTCCTTCAACCTAGAGGGTCCGGCGAGGCTTTGCCAATCAAGCCATACCCGGTGTCAACCACTCTGTACGATGCCCGACCTTTGTACTTCAGGCCTATTCCACGGCGCCAAGGACTTCTAGCGAATACTACCAATTCTAGCATCAATGGTGAACAGGGTGAATGCCCCGGCCCATATCCGTCAGACGCCGATATGGCCTCAATGGGTGCCCCATGCAAGGCTGGACGCGTCAATTCCCGATCGGGTTTAAGTTCCACCAGGTGGGCCCATGAGGCTTGGAGGCTATATCCCCATCGCTCGACGATGCTGTGGAGGTGATGGTTTCGAAACAGTCTGACGACGGCACATGCCTATAACGAGCAAATGGACAGCCTCAAGATGCAGGACCTCAATGTCAGACGAACACAACTTTGGAAACTTTGGGCCCTGCGACGTCGCCTGATCTCAATGTCACCCCGAATGTTTGGGTCGCCATTGGTCGCCATTGCTACTGACTGATACCGCATACTGGATGCTCGATAAATATGGCGGACCCCCATATCAGAGAACCCAGTTCTCCCTTTCAACGGTCCATTGCCTGCTACGCTACCTCATTAAGCAGCACGAGCGGAAGAACACATTCTCTTCACGACTATGGAATACAACGAGAACTTGCCCAAAGGGCTCGGAAGGTAAGACACCTCTCTCCTTGTTCGAGCCAGGCCTTGACAGACCTCGGCCATGCTTCGATTCACATAATCCAACCTGCTGCTATGTGTAAAGCCAGCACTACTCTGTCCACTTCTTTCTTCTCCCGTGCAATGATCGTCACTGACCAAACCCTCCTCGCTTCTTTGCGATCACAGAGAACCCGTCTATTGCTGGGGTCACAAGAACGTGCCCAAGCAGGTCGGCATCACATCGTACACGCTGTCCCCGAACCGCTCACGGCCCATGGCCCATGCCTTCCACCGGGCCATCTTCAACACTTTCCGCCGCTCCAAGGCTCAGTTTCTATACGTCGTCCCCCCATTCGTCGTGGCTTGGTTGCTCATGAGCTGGGCGAATCAGAGGTGAGTCTGGACCACTTCCTTGTCAATTTTCTGTTCCCTATCCCTTTCAGCACCGTTTTGTTTGCTTCGCATCTGCCAGTCACGTTTTCGCGGCTACTTAGCCCGGTCTGTATGGACTTTGTTTCCCGTCGGCTGGCGTGGCCTGAGGAGCTGCTGGATCTCCTTTTGTGAGGATGCAAACTCAGGCCGTAGTGTCCAAAAGGCGTTCGAGGGAAAGTCTCTGTCATTCTTGCTTCGTCCATCTGTTCCTTCATGAGCCAGTTTTGAGGTTTATGAAAGCTAAACTCTTTCGTGCTTGTGCTGCATATAGGAACGAGTATCTTCAGTCGAAGTCCGGAAGGATGAAATCCGCCGCTGCAACTGAAAAGATCCCGACGGGACAAGACACCGGTTAAGGACAGAATATGATCGCAAGAAGACGCCCAGGTCCTCATCACAGCCGGGCGAATCAGGTGCGATGTTGTCTCAGTCGTGAATTCTCAGTGTTGGCCTGGACACCTACTCGACCGTTGCATCTATGGTCCAAGTCCCCGGTTAGAGGACAAGCAAGAGGAGACGTATTCCGACCTTAGCTTCGACCTGCTTCTTGATAGGGTTCTATCTGTGTCAAGGGATGATCCAGTGTCGGAGAGAACGAATTACATAGAGCCATACTAGATAGATGAAGAGAAAACGAGAGGATGTGAGAGGAAAGACATGGAAGCTGATTGATCTTGGAGCGACAGTTTGTATGAACTCTTGGTTTGATTTCAGCATTGACACTGCTGATGCGAGGCTGAGATACCTATAACAAATTCAGAAAGCACTGTCATGCAAGCAAAAGAGTTGACCCCGTCGCCGTCTTCATAGGCGTCCGATGCTCACAGACTGGGGCCACATCTCAACCCCAGCCCGGGTTTTGGGCCACCTAGTCCCCATGTTCCCTATCCCTTCAGTTCCCGCAATGACGGGGCTTTCTTGCTCAGATTGTAATGTACAGCTCGTCTCTGGGCAGACCTAGGTCCTTCATATTTGGATAATACGGCACGATGCTGTCCGCGCTGTGGACATAAGCATCATTGTACAGGCGCCAGTACGGGGTGCGGACCTTGCGGGCCGGATGGAACAGGCCGGCCCAGACGTAGTTCATGACGACTCCCGTGCCGACGGCCATGCGGATGGCCTCGATGGCCTCGATGATGCGGTCGATGACGTGCGGGCTGGTCTCGAAGAGGTTGGGATACAGCAGGTTCAGCAGGTGCACCATGGCGTCCTCGCAGCCGAGGCCGACGACGCCCAGCGCGACGTGCTTGACCACGCTCGCGGCCGTTTGGCGGTGCACTTGGTCGCGGTCGATGAGGGCGTCTTCGAGCAGCGGCGTCACGGCGTAGACGTAGTCCTTGGCCATTTCGCCAATGTACTCGAACAGGAAGGACAGGGATTTCAACACGCCGTTCTGCACGTTGAGCTCCGGCACGCGGTATTCGTTCATCAGGGCGGGGAGGACTGTGAACGGCGCGCAGGTCTCGGCGACGATGCCGATGGCGACGGCCGTGCAGACCCGCGACTGACGCTCTTGGACGCGCAGGTTGTTGAGCAGTGTCACCAACACGTCCTGGGGCCCGATGGCCTTGGCGATGAAGCCAAACGTGTTGTTGGCCGCACGACGGATGCCCTTCTTGTGCGCCTTCAGCATGTCCAGCAGCTCAAAGCAGATGCGCATCCACTCGCGCGCGTTGACTGCCTCGGGGCCACGGTCGGCGATACGGCCAACTAGGTCAATGGTGTTCTCCTGGACCTTTTCATGTCGGTTTCGCAGAATGGGCGTCAGCCGAGGGAGCAGGTCTCTGATAGGTGGCTGCATTTGGTTGATGCCAACAACCGTAACAATGGATCTCAGTGCACCCAGGATCGAGCCGAGCACTTCGGGGTATTCCTCGCCCAGGTATTCGTAGAGCACGATGCCCAGTTTGCCCATCAACGCATCCTCGCCGCACTGTTTCATGACCATGGCGATCCGGGAGATCAGGTCGGCGGCTTGTTGACGGACGGTGGCGGACTTGTTGTTGAGCCGCCACAGGATGGTACTGACGATCTGTGGAAGGTAGGGCTTGCAGCGAGTGCCGAGCGCGTTCACCACCGTTCCGAACCCGTTGAGCATGACGATGTCTTCGATGCTCTGTTCCTGGAAGGCAAACAGCATGCCATCGACCAGTCGTTCCTCCAGACGTTCTCCAATGTCTGCAGCACCCAGAGATGCAATGACTTTCTCAATTGTCTCCACCGTCATCTTTCGATAGGCCTCGCTCTCGTCCTTGAGGTTGTTGACAATGCGTTCGACGATCTCGCTGACTCCCACCTTTTGGCCCAGGTCGACAGTGGTTTCCACCACTTGACGGTAGTTTCTCTTGTCCAGCGCCATCCGACGGACCCAGAAGCTCTTGAAGAAATCCGCCAGGACATGTTCTTTCAAGTATCCCGCCGTGACACCGTCGGTGCTTGCGCATTGCGAAACGACCTTCAACACAACCTTCTTCATCTCTTCATCAGGAGAAGCAAATTCTCGGAGAAGAATCTCCATGATTTGACTGGTATAGTAGTTGGCATATTCTTCGTCCATGAGAGGGATGATATAGCCCACGGCCTTCAAGAAGGCGGCCAACCCTTTACCTCGTTGTTTCCGCGCACCAGTCCACAGAGGGTTCAGGATGTCATCGAAACTTTCAATACCGTAGGGGTTTGCGGCCTCGGCCAATGCAGCGATTGCCAATGCTGTGACCGTTCTCACTTTGGCTTGTTCATCACTCAGGTTGTCTGCTATGCAGTCCACCAAACCTTTCAGATGAGGCAGGACTGCACAACCCATGAGAATGGGGATTTGTTGGACAATTTTGACGCCAGTGTGTCTGGCTTGCCACGACTTCTTGCTTCGACAGACCGCACGCAAGAAAGGTAGAAGCGCCGGAATACCCAACGCTGAAGCCACCACCGCGAATGCCCTGGCAGTCGTGTTTCGGACATACTCATCAACGTGATCGATATCGGGTCTCATGGTACTGATCATGTGAGCCAAACCGGCAGCTTTACTGAGATTCGAGATGATCTCCCGGCCTTCGACGCGGGCATAGTAGTCTTGATCGATAAGGAGGGGTTCGATGACGACCAGAATCTTGTGCACGTAAGGTCTGATCAAATCGTCAAGCTTATATAGCACACGGTCGATGACCTTGACGAGCAAATGCCTCTCTTGGTCCTCGAGGGATTTCTCCATGAGCAAGGGCAAGATTTGATTAAATAATGGCCCGGCACCGAATTGTCGAGCATTGTCGGTCAACTGTCGCAAGGCAGTCTTCCGCATCGGAGGTGTTCCGTTCTTCACCTTGAGCAGAAGCCGCATGATCTTGCGTTCTTTCAACTCTTCGACCGACATGGCGTTTTCATCTGCGCCGTCCACCAGTTTCCCGAAATAGGCCATATCCTCGGCTTTGAAGAATTGAAGATCGCCCACTCCAGGGATTTCACTTGGTAACTGCTTGCCCAGCATTCTTGGGTTCTCCGGCTCCTGCATCATAAATCCTCCAATACCCGCGGCATTACCTGCTGTTGCAGGAGTGGCCGCGACTTTTCTTGCAACCGGCCTGATGGGAGCATAGCCGGGAGGAGGCTCTAAGATCGTGTAGCCCTCCGAGGGAAGCATCATGTCGAGCTCTTCGTCTGTCCATGAAGCTCCCCGGCCAGAAATGTCGGTGCCGAAGCCAACGGGTGCCACCTGCGAAGGATGCATAGGCGTTGCCAGACCAGCACTTCCAACCGGAGTGGCCGCAGTCAACGCCGGGGCTTGGTCCCATCGCGAACGTTTCGCCGGAGCGGGAGCACCATCAGGAGCTGGCGCTTGATCCCATCTGGACCGCTTCTTCGGCTCTGCTCCGTCCGGTGCAGGAGTGTCTTCGCTGGAGACGTCCCATCTCTTCTTGCGCTTTCGGCCCGTCGCTTCGACGGTTGATCCTGCGTCCAAATTTTCCTTGTCGGCTTCTTCTTTGAGGACGGGCTTATGCTCCGGGGCGTCACCATCTGCCTGCTTCTCGGCAAGGAGTTTCTTGACACGCTCCTCTTCGCGCTCCAACTCTTGCAGTTGCATGACCTCGCGATATGTAGCACCTTCTGTGACTCCGGCATGCTTATTGGCAGCAAAGGGGTCGGCTCTGGTTGGAGTAAGAGCACCTCGCTCAAACCTTCGCTTCTGGTAATCAGTCTCACGATCTGCTATCCTGGCAGATTTCTCACGTCCAAGCAGAATGTCCTCCTCCTCCACACCAGCACCCGTAGCGAATTCTTTGATCTGATCCTTCGTGGCCGTATATTGGCCAACTAGTCTCCTCGTATCAGCTGCATCCGGCATCTCGTCGTCGTCGCCATCGGCCGGGAGGGAGGTGTGATATCCCGCAAACTTGTCGGGGCCATCTCGATCGTAGAGAGAATTGTCGAAGTTATCGGTCAAAGACGCCTTGGTGGATGAGTCAGTGCGTTGACTGGATGGGTCGAAAGTCTTTGAACCTTTCTTGCCAGCGGACTGAGCGTTGCGCTCTGCCTGCAGGCGCCTCACGGTATCGAAGTCGGCTTGAGAGAGAGTCAGTAGACATCGCGAAGAGTGATCTGGGGTGTACTCACCGTCAGACATGATGAATGTCTAGGGCGACTTCGATCGCGAATGGAGTTGACAAGTATGAGAGGCAAGGATTCGATGAATGAGTTGATCAGATCCTTATCACGTTCTGCTGGTTCCTCTCCGCAGGCAGCCTGATGTTGAAGTGGGTGTCAGGCAAACTTTCTTTCTTGGGCGGTCATGTGATTGATTGCAATTAATAACCACTGCTCCACAGTATCGTTGGTGGCAACCACTACGGTGCAACGTAGGGACTACGTACAGCACTTCCTTCGCACTCTCGTCACGATCCGATATTTCAGACATATCAGGATAACCACCATGGCCTATCACTATAGTGTCTTACCTTACTGTGTTACTGTGTGTACTGCAGGAGCATTGTTGTGTTACCTGGTAGTTCAGATTGCAAGAGAGGTTCCACACCGAGCGACGCCGTCTCTGATCGAACATAATCTGCCCAGCTGCGAGTCCCAGCGGATTGGCCCACGACTGTCCATGTCAACGCGACCGGCTCTTGCAATCTACCTACCTACCGAACCTATCATCCTTCTGCGGGCCTGAGAGGAGACAAAGATATTGACAGGTGATGGACACCGGAGATACGTCTTTGCTCAGCTGCGGGGAGTAGATTCAAATTGGCTTTGAAGGAGTTTCCTTAGAGAACAGCATGTTCTGGATGTCAGCGCTAGTGTTCGAAGGGAGCCGGACACAGATATGGAGGGATTCAGGTCTGTCAAGATGCTCTGCTGGCTGGTCGGTTGAAGAGACATCTCGGAGTATCCGATTTGGTGATACGATAGTAAACCGACGGTCTGAAAGTAGCGTCGTCCACCCCCACACGCAAAAGGGACTGCTGAACCGTTAAACCGTTGAACCGTTGAAACTGTCAACTGCTCTCTTTTGATGGCTTACCGTAGCAGTTGTCCGTATACTAGTAGTATCTTGACAGCATCTTCAGTAGTAATACAGTGCCTTGGGTACGTAGTATAGTAACACGTAGTAACACACAATTAGTGTCCATCTCCACCACCTCCACCACCATCACCATCACAACCGCCACCACAAACATCGCCATCGCTCCCACTTGATGGCATGCGTTCTTGATTCCTGATTCCTGGCCTGTCATGCCGACTCTCCCATTTACATGAACCTCCAATCGCTTCCAGCACCACCACCATCACCACCACATCCTCCTCCCTACCAGTGCAGTGGTACAAACTACTACTTAACCTGACTGTCGCATCACACGTTCCTGCATAAGGCTGGCATCAATCCACCCGGCTCTCTTCTTATTTGAAAGCCTTCCATGCGTTTCCTACCTCGCCAGTCGCTGCAGCCTCTCTCAACAGGGTGATTCATCGTGGCTGGAGCTTGCTTCTTCCGACTCACTCAATTTTCGACGTCTACCTCTTTCGATCCCACTCTGACCGTTCGAGTTCTTCCCTGCGCTTGGGACCCTCATTCTTGGACGTCCGCAGCTCACTCGTTGCGCAAATGCCTAGTTGCTTGATCTTCACTCTACCCGGAGTCCGTGGAAGAGAAGAGAAGAGAAGAGAAGAGAAGAGACACAGTTATGCGCAGCGTGGGCGCCGTTGCAGCAATAATACAACGCATTGTAGATGCTGATAGTGAAGCAAGCCGAAAGCGAAGCAAGTCCCAACTTCACGCGGCGGGATCCCGTCAAGGAATAAACAATGAAGTCGGTTCAAAGGGACGAAACAGACAATGCCACGACCAGTGCTAGGTCAAGACCGCCTTACGTTCAACGCAGGTCAAGTCGGCAGGCTTCGTCGCAGGACAGACATGGTAAGGTATTCGCAGACGAAAATCACACCACGATCCGTGCAGTAACACCCGAATCTGGGGCATATCCCACGTTTCACGACGACCCTGTGGAAGCATCGCCCATTCGTTCGCCGGTACTGTCATCATCTCGTACCACGCATTCTCACCGAAGTCGTGAGGCGTCGGCGTCAGTATCGAATACTGACGAGGAGAGTACCGTTGAGAGAAGGAGGCGGAAGGCCCAAACAAGACCACTTGGTAAAGAAGACCTACCGCTGGACACTTCACCCAACTCGTTCATGTCCAAAACCCGGAAGCGCCTCGGGTCCATAACAACAGGACCTGCATTGGCGCAACGCGTTGACCAGCCTTACGAGTCTATCGGGTTTCCTTCGGTGGTGAACGGCCCTGAAATTTTGGCGCAGACCGTTCCTCGCAATTCCCCCGGAACTCCACGTCGGCCGTTCACTCCCGATCAGATGTTTCCTGGGAGTGCTGCTACTATCCGATCGCCCACTTTGTTGGACATTGATTCGGCCAAAATCCTGCATTTGATGAAGACCACCTGTGGACGCATGCACGGAATTCTCTTTTTCCGGCCTCTACATACCACGGCATGGGCTTCTGGGTATTGTGCCATCAATGTTGCGCCTGGAACACTTGTTTGCCAAACAAAAGGAGAAGTTACACAATCTAGAACATTGATAGCAGACTTGAGGGGCTGCACAGTCCGAACCCATTATGACCACGAATCCCACAGTACCTATCTGAGTGTCTTGGTTTCATCCTCCGGGACGGGCTATCAGCTTCGTCCACCGGTCCCAGAGACATTTGATTCCTGGCTTGCAGCCTTGCTTTGCTGGCAGCCACTGCGGCCGAAGGGGATACACAACAAAATGACGAAACCTCAACCTATTGGCATGACCGACCAAAAATCACCGTCTCAAAGGCGCGTGTCGGACGTCGCCAGCCCCAGGAGTACGGCCATCGTCAAAGTTGGAAAGATGCTATTATGGGACGGCCCCTTGCCGTCAGGCTCGCAGCTTGCGTTGTTCTCCAACGGTACCGGTCGTACAGCCTATGAAACGAATCCCCGCTGGCGCAAAGTGAGTTCTACCCTGCATGAGAATGGTACTCTACGGTTGTTTGGAGACATCGATCCCCGGGTGGTCTCTGTAACACACTTGTCCCAACTCTCTCGATGTGCCATTCAAAGGCTTGATGAAAGTGTGCTCCGGATGCCCCGTTGCATCGCCATATGTTCCCAGTACCGCGTGCATGCCGTGCCCGGAACAACTTCAAGGCCTCTGGTACTGTGCCTTGAAAGCAATGTTGCTCTGGAGGCCTGGTTCGTTCTTCTCCGCGCACTTACAGTGCCAGAGCTGTACGGTCCGGAACGACAGCTTTCTTATGATGTACCCACGCCCTCGGACAATGATGGTCGGCATCAGGGCAGGTCAACTCAAGGAATGTTCCGGATAGAACGTTCGTTGTCGGTGAAGATAACGGAAGCGAAATTTACTCAGCGCCCTGCTGCTCCAGAGGAGCCTCGCGACTCCCACAAATCCAAGAGCAAACCTACAGACGCAGGCGAGAGCAGAGATTACGTCTACGCCGAAGTGTTACTTGGCAAGGACTTACGTGCACGCACAACTACCAAATCGAACGTCGGTTCAGCCTTTTGGGCGGAAGAGTTCAACCTGGAAGATATTCCAGCCGCACTGTCCAAAATCACAATCGCATTGAAGCTTGAAAATCCTGCTGAGAAAGAATGGACTGCCATCTCGGAAAGCTTCAACGACATCTCTGCAGAGGCAGAATATCTGGCTGGCCTTGATGGACTGGAGATCTCCTCTCACGATCCGATCTTCGGCCGACTAGATATATCAATAGATGAGCTGGAACACAAGGCTACGCTTGAGAAATGGTGGCCTTTATTAGACAATAATGACCACTCGGTTGGTACATTGTTGGTACGAGTGGCACTTCAAGAGACCGTGGTTTTGATCGAAGAAGAATATAAAGAGCTCTCCGCCCTTCTGCAAAACTTCTCGAACGGCTTGACCACGCAGATTGCTCGTCTACTTGGACCAGATCTTCGCCACTTGTCTGACCTCCTGTTGGACGTTTTCCAATCCTGTGGCTCAGCTAATGAATGGATCAGTAACCTCATCGAGGAAGAAATTGACGGTATCAACAGAGATGGACCTCCGTCGCGGATGAGATTCAGTGGTCGTATACATTCTAACGACTCGTTCGAATCCGCCGAACAAAGAGAACTCCTCGTTCGAGACCTAACTCGATCGGCAACCATGGAGGCGAATCTCCTCTTTCGCGGCAACTCGCTGGTAACCAAGGCACTTGACGCTCACATGCGCCGTCTCGGCAAAGATTATCTGGAAGAAGTCCTCGGGGAGAAGCTTCGAATGATCCTGGAGCGCAATGCCGACTGCGAAGTCGATCCAAATAGGGTCGGCTCCCTTGAACAACTGGGCCAGAACTGGGCGAACCTGTTGTTCCTGACCAAAGCTATCTGGAAGTCGATAGCTGTCTCAGCATCCCGGTGCCCGATGGACTTGAGAGTGATATTCCGCCTCGTCAGGTCTTGTGCTGAGGACCGTTATGGGTCTTTCATTCGGACGGTCAAATATACCAGTGTGTCTGGCTTTCTCTTTCTGCGGTTCTTTTGTCCCGCAGTCCTGAACCCGAAGCTCTTTGGCCTGATACAAGGTACGCTCCCCCTCCGCTTGCTGATATTGTTCGCTAATGAGTGCCAGATCACCCGCCGGATCGGACCAAAAGGACATATACCCTGATTGCCAAGTCCCTGAATGTGCTTGCAAACACGGCACGGTTCGGGACCAAGGAGCCTTGGATGGAGCCGATGAACAAGTTTCTGGCCGCCTCCACGAACGAGTTCAAGAGTTTCATCGATGAGATCTGTGCTGTGAGCTCAACTCAGATTGCATCAGCAAATTTCGAGCCTCAGTTTGCTGCCCCCAACCAGATACGAAGCCGGCTTCCAGCTATGTCGCGAGAAGGATTGCCCAGTCTACCATTCCTTCTGGATCATGCAAAGTTACTCGCGCAGCTTGTTGACTTGTGGATCTCGCACGCTCCTGCAAATATTGACGCCGCAACCAACGATGAAGCTGTACATGCTTTCCATGCCACTTGTGCGAGGCTGAGTCAGGCGAGCAAAGAGTGTTTCAAGGCCGCAGAACAAGCCGAGCGGCCTGATGTGAAATCCGAATCCGCATGGCAGCAGGCGCTCACAGACCAGCAGAGGACCATGTCGCCGGACCCTTTCGACCCACCCCCTTTGAAAGTCCTTGCGGACAACGAAATAACAGCCTTGCCACAAATGGCGAGGTCCATGTTGGAAACGGAAAACCCGACCACAGAACTGTCACCAGGGGTCGGCGAGGTAGACAGTACACCTTCTAGTTCAGCATCAGCCGCCTGGGATAGACGCATTCCCTTCCCGCATCGGGCGGCAGATGCTCGAGCCTTGACCGACTCGACTAATTCATCGTCGGCCTCGATTGATCTGATCGAGGAAGGACGTTCACGACCTACGCTGAACAGTCGGGACGGTTCATCGAAGAACCGCCTGTTCGAGCTGATGAGCACTTCTTCACGCAGGAAAACCCGGACTGGAGACCGGCATTATGTGGAGGACGACTCCAATGAAGTTTGACGACGACCAGGAATGTTGATGAGTTTATGTTGTAATTACTGAGCATGTACACGAGCACAAGAACATTACGAATGACGTTGCGCCTCCTGATTTACTCTCAGTTTACCTACCGTTTCGATGAGGATGACATGATTTTCTCTTCAGGATGGCGAAAAACAACTCTACGATATCGTGCATACGAACCCCTGAGCGACTGTCTACCATCTCCTTTTGGTCATGAGGTCCTCCCGAGACTCATCCGCCTCTGCTTCCCGCGAGCATGCAGACACACCTCTCCCTTATCTAGCTCACTGTATTTGCATATCCCATCGCTCGATACAGAACCGGGCACCTGAGAACAACTCAAACGGTGCCGTCTCTCTTCCAAAGAGACTCGGTGAGTTATCCTGCGGTAGCTGGAGACTGGCGTTCTGCGGTGAAGTTTCTCAACATATCTTTTTCCCATGACTGGCAACTGAAATATATGCTGAGAGACTTATTTTCTCGCAAATGATTTAAGGGTCAAGTCACTCGGACAGTGGCCTTCTATCCTGATATCACAGAAATTTTCTCTTCATTCCATCCTGAGAACGACGGCTAATCTGCGACAGGGCCTGGCATAGGTCTTTGACCTCATTTGACTCTTGCTCGCCTTGATATTCTCTTTCGGACCAGGAACAACGTCTTGAGAGACCAGTCACTCCTCGGACTCTCATATCCTTCCAGTCCTTCCTCGAACCTCTCATGTCCTTCCGGTCCTTCCTAGTCACACCCGGCTCATTTCCCTCTTGCTATATGCTTTTGTCCTCGTGACAGTTGTCCTTGGACAGGCCCCTTATCCTTGGTATCTCTACCGCCGCCCGACTTGCCGCTCAACCCTTGATATTCACCTTGCCTCATTCCAGGTGACAGAATCGAGACAAAATTGTGCGACAAGAGATGCTGTCCGAAGATGGTAATCCTTGCTCAGCGCCCCTTTCGCCTGATCTAACAAAGACTGAACTCCTTGCAAGACTCACGGAACGGATTGAAATATGGGAGTCTCCCGAAGACCTGACAAGGCTGTATCCATCGACCGTGAGGTCCACGTTCCACGGTTTCGACTCATCGGAGGTGATTGCACTGAATGAGTTCCTTGCTCAAGACGACCATGGTCCAGGATACCCGCCTGAGCGCTTCAACGAGTATGAACTCGACGACTTTTGTGTCTATTGCGCGCCTACGCATCGACATCTACAAGGTCAATTCGATTATTTGAGCATCACCATGTCCGAACTCTCACCAAAGGAAAACTATTCGTCTGGCGCCGCCCAACCATATTGGCTTGTTAATGGCGTGCTCCGGTACAAAGGGATCACACGCCAGATTGTGGCCGCGGAAGTCGTCGCAGTTGAGATGGGCGAGCTTGAACACCTTGAAGCCCATTCGGCTGAGGATTCCATCTGGATAATGACTGTTGAAAGCCAGAAGAAGAACTACTGGTATCGCTTGAAGACGCCTTCGAACGCATACCTGTCCTATTGGACGACGTTTACATGGCTTGCGGACTTTGCCAAATTCTTCATCGACTATCTCTACATCTGTCGCGAGACCGGCACCGACGTCCACCTGTCGCATTTCCGATACCAGTTCTGGGTGTGGCTTCATGGTCTTCGTGGACACAAACTACAGAAGTGGCATGCTCAGTGTGCAAATCAGACCGACTTTCGCCAGCACGTCCTTTCACACGCTCTGTTTTTGTATCAACAGGCCTGTTCACTGGGTCAACAAGGTCCGCGCATGTCACACCCTATATGGGCCGAGATTGGCGCTGTTACTGGGACTCAAGTCTCCCAAGCAACGGCGAAGGCGAAGAAGACCCTTGTGACACGCAACGTCGCTGCTTCGTTTGCACGCTTTTTAGCCTGGCAGAAACATGACCTGCTTGAGATCACTCAGCTGTCTCTTCAGGCAGAAGCGTACCGTACCAGTAAGATGCAGCAGTGGGAGTTTCCCGTCAAGTTGCGTAACAACAACGACACATTCATCACCATGAGCAATGGCTCACAGGTCTCCAAAGCAGCTATGATCCTGGAAGAAGCTGGAGAGGAAAACCAGCCGGTTTTCGTTTCCAACCCCCAAGATCTGGTTGGACAAATCGTGGTTATGCGAACAATGGGCGATGCCTACGGACAATGGGAGTTCAGCTATGCCTGGGTCAAGAAGGCTACCAGCGAGCTGCTCAGAGTGATATGGTTGGCGCTCCCTGCCGACACAATATGCGGGTCACCGGGCGATCCAAAAGTGTTCTACCCCGTGGGCAACGAGCTGTTTTTCAGTGATCGCTGCAGTTGCGAGACAGTCTCTATCCAAGAAGTTGTGCGGATTGTCTCAGCCTCAGTGTGTGAACGCCGTCCTGCAGACAATGCTGAGTTATTCGTTCAATCACTTTACCGTGAAGAGGAGGAAACCATCACCACTTTGGCAGCATCGGAACTTATGTCTTGTCAATGTCTAACGCACGATCAGAACTGGACTGCAAATAGGCAGCAGCAGCACGTCCCTAAGGAACGTGGCGACAGACCCAGACTCCGCGGTCTGAGTCTCTTTAGCGGATGCGGTCTCTTTGACCATGCGTTCACCTCCAAAGGCAGCAGTGAAATCGTCTACGCGATTGAACACTGCGAAATCGCGACACGAAGCTACAAAGCCAACGACGTTCTCAACACCACTCACATGACAATTGGATCGGTGGAGGACGTGTTCGAAGATTTTGCCCTGGGACGACAGCCTATGCCTGACATCGACTTCATCATCGGTGGATTCCCTTGTCCCTACTACAGCTCGATGAACTGCTTCAGAGACTCCCAGAAGGGCCACAAAGATGGTTCCCTCCTGGCCAATATGCTCTCATGGATTGAACTCTTTCTGCCACCGTATGTGTTGATGGAGAATGTGCCCAACATGGACCGACTGCGGCCGAACGCATGTCGACAGGCAATATGCCATCTCGTGGCCCTGGGTTATCAAGTCCGCAAATCGATTCACACTGATGCCAGCTTAGGCGGGGCGTCCATTCGAGAGCGACTATTCATCGTGGCCGCTGCCCCGGGCGTCCTCCTCCCAGACGACCTGGTGGACACGCATGGTCCTGCCGGCTCAGGCCTTCGCAAGATCCGCACCGTGGCTGAAACAATCGGGGGCCTTGAAGCAATCACGAACGATAGCTGCATCAACGTCAAAGACACGAGCCACGTGCCTCTCCACCGTCTCGGCCTGGATTTCGCCCGACACGTCAGTTATCGCAGCCTTGTCCGCCAGATCCCGACCGAGCCCAAATGCATGTCCCTTGCCCAGACATACTACGACAAAGGTCTGCTTCCTCATCAACGCCGATTCTTCGAGCAGGGGCTCCACGCCGAGAAGCAGGCGCGGACCTCGAGGACTCTCAAGCGCGTCGATCCAGACACGCCGTTCCGCACTGTCTGCACGATCATCTCGCCTCTGGACGCCAGAGTTGGCGGACATATCATCCACCCGACTCAGCATCGCACTTTATCTCTGAAAGAAGGGGGGCGCAGGGCTATGGGAGTGCCCGATTCCTTTCTGCTCGCTGGGTCGGTGGAAGAACAGTACAAGCAGTGTGGCAATGCGGTTCCTTGGGCCATGGGGGCGGCGTGGGGCCGGAATTTCTCTCGTGCTTGGTTCGCGTCTCTGGATAGGAGATCGCCAGCACAGAATGAGGCTTTGCCAGTGGAAGTGATGAAGCCTGAGCAAAGTAACGAAGACGTGTCTTGCGATGTCGCGCCATCGGGGATGGAGAAAGGAGACGAGCATGTCGCTACGCAGAAGCAGAAGCACAACGAGACGGGAAGCGGTGTCCCAACGTCACTGGAATTACGGAATCATCATGATCTCGTTGGTTATCACGGTGGCAGCGACAACGACAGTGATTCTTCGGTGGAGATACTCGAGGTCAGACCGGTGAAAAGACCTTTCGTCCCATCAGTCATTGAGATAGAAGACGAGGTAGTCGCCATGCCAAACCAGACGCAGAAGCAAAGTGGTGTTTTGGAAGTACCTGACCATCATGACGACGAAGATGATGGCAGTGACAGCGACAATCACAGTGATGGTTCAATTGAAATCATCCACGTACGGCCGGCGAAGAGGCCCAGAGCATTTTGAGCCTCTCATACAACCGAGTTGCAGAATGGGCAGCGGGTCGAGCGCCACATGCCATACGCCATAGCCGTGGACCATGGATACAGGGAGGACCGTGAGCAGGTAGAGATGGCAGAGAGCAAAGGGCGTGGAGTAGAAACCGTGGAGGGAGAAAGTTTTTGCAGACGGAATTCCGTCTCTGGAGTCTTGCTTGCCTTCGCCAGAGTCTCGACAAGACAGTCGACAGACTCGTGCATACAGGTTCGTCGTTATTCTTTAGACATTCTTGCATGTTTTCCATGAATCTAGGTAGCTTAGACAGCAACCGGGATTGAAATTCAACAGGAACAATAGAATTACTAAAGACTACCTGAAGCATCTCCGTTCCATTCTCATTGCCTATTCAATAGGTAACCAGTGAACCAACGGTCGCAAGGCTGTCGAGAAAAGGGGGCAAGAAAGTTGAAGATGTGGTAGGTGATTCATATTGCACCTCAGGCAGAGGTGTATAGCAGTAACCCGGAGCCGGTCCCCGTTCTGTTTGTTATAGATTGTGATTGCTGGGCTATGAGATGCTCATGGTGAAGTGGAAAGTTCACTTCAATCCACTTCACTCCTCGTCGCCCTGGCCACCTGCCCGCCAAGGTGACGGCTGGATGTTTGTCTTTACAGATCCTGCTTCAATTATAGAGGCATTCCCCATGAAATGATCAGAATTCACCGCTGTCCCTCTTCAACCATCTCTTTCATCGTCAACCTCTTCGCCACTATACTCAACCAGTCCAGAACCCTAGGAAACCAAAATACCTGCTCATGCCTCTTCCACCAAGCAGCGCCTCTGCTTCCCCGAGGCACACCGTGGTTGCCCTCCCCCCTGCCCAGATCAGCCGCGCGTTCGTCCTCGATCTGTCGCAGAATACGGTACGTCTCTTCAGTGAGCTCGACGCCGCCGCGCTCCATCTCGGCAAGCAAGGCGTCGACTTGGCGCAAGGACGACCGCGTCATCCAGACCAGCGACAAAAGTGAATTATAGAACTGCGACCCGGCGCCCAGAACGTACGAGGTGTGTCCGAACGCCCGGATGCGTGGGAGCAGGTTGTGCGCCAGCGGCGAGGATGGGAAGTGATGGATGTACAGTCGGAGCGCGAGCAGTAGGGCCGCAGGATATACGTGGTGCAAGGCGGGGAGGCTCAAGGAAGCCTCTGTTGCCGATGATGATGAGGGTGAGGATGATGATGATGGTAACTCGTACCTAGGGACCACTGGGTCTGTGGCATTGCTAGTATGATGATGAGTGGCACCCGAGGCCCGCGCCGCCACCTCCATCAGCTCTGACGGATTGTCCGAGTGCGATCTCGTGAACGTGAACCTGGGCGGGTCGGTCGGTTGGTGTAGTCTCTCGCGCGCCGGCGGGGCTAGCTGGCTCGCCATGGAGAAGATCTGCGTCTCGCATACTTCCCACATGGCGATGTCGCCGCGCTTGGTGGTCGACGTTGCTGCGGTTTGGAGGGCGTTGGCGATCTGCGACATGCGGGTCCGTACCTCTTCTTGGATGGACGCGTCGTGGCTGGAAACGCGCAGTGATTGGGTTATTTCTTCTAACGATTGCTCGCCAGGTGGTAGATCGTCGGACATTGTGGATTGTGGGTTTGTTGTTGTTGTTGCTGCTGCTGGGGAAAGATGCTGTCGTTGTGGTCGGTCTGGTAGCTGCTGGTCCAGGTCTACCTGAGCTTCACTGTTTGAGAGAGTGGATGCCACGTTCGCTTGTGGTGCTGCAACATCGAGGCTGATGCCATTCTGGTCAGGGGTCCTTAATGGCTTGACAGCCTTCTGTACCGTCTCATCTCGTTCACCATGACGACTTCTCATAGAAGAAGAGAAGATGTTGAGGATGCTTTCAACGTCGGTGTCGACAGCGTCGATCATGGGAGATTGGTGCTTCACTCCCGATGGCTCGGCTTGTCGAGGCGTGAAGCGCAAGATTGTCTCGAACGCTCTGCGCTCACTGGCAGTGATGGTCGAGTTGACTCGGGTCCCGACCGTATTCGGAATAGAGGACGGCGCTTTAGGTGCTTTTGAGGACTCGGCGACCTGGCGTGCCTTTTCTTTGAGGAAGCCTCCATGTCCATGGCCAATGCCGGGGGCTTCGTGGTCAATCGAGGTTTCTGCTTGCGGTTGACTGGAAAAGAGTCTCCTTCTTCGGCTCGTGCAGGACACTCTTGGGTGACAGCGCAAAATGGTGCGCGTCTGGTACAGAAAGGACAGCTCAGAGTGAGCAGCCATACTTCCAGCAGACAGGACGCATCGAACTCTCATCAGACTGAGAGACCTGGTTGTCGAGGAATGTCCACATCGAGGACAAAAATGATGCCACGTGATCTGAAGGGAGCGCCCGGCACACTAGCCCATTGCAACCTAGCACTTTTGTTTAGCATCTTGGCGGGAGATCAGTAGTAGTGAAGAAGCAGAACTGCGTATGGCCCCTATTGTCATTAGGGGCTGTACTACGCCTAACGCAGAATCTGGCAGGCCTGCTATGGGGAGCTGACAGGCGCATTAGGCTAGCTGCAGCCCAAGGAGCCTCACGTCGGGCGCCAGCTGGCAGGTTAGTGACAGAGCCATTGGCCTGCATCTCACCAATCACCCCTAATAAGGATTCCTTCACTGCCCGCTGTTGCCTCCTTGTTTAACCGCAGCACTACTACTGCTACTCTGTACAGCACCTGCGCCCCACCATCTGGCCGCAATTGATAAACGACCGATATCGAGTCGCCCGGGATCCTCACCCAACGAACCCTGCCACACCCGACTTCATATCTGTTGACGCTGTATCTCGAGGTGTCTCATAGCGAACACCACTCGCACCTCGTCGTCCGAGTTTCTGAATCGCTCCGAAATCCACATCCTCGGCGCATCGCCTACAGAACACGTGGGGAAGCCTGCCTCACTCCCTTACTCCCTTATTGAGTCGGCGCGCGCTCGAAGTGCCGCATGACTCTGTCATACTAGTTCCCGCATACCAACTCATCCAGAGTGGCCTGGCCTCGTGGACAAAGGCGCTGGACCAGTCGACACACCTCCTGACAATCCGCCAGCCTGCTGCCGAAGCCTCCTATCTACATCGAACGCGTTCTCTCTTCCGCATTCCTCCTCCCCCCACGTCATGAGCAGTGGCCCTCCTCGACCGACCGCGAACACTTCTGCGACCTGGCAGGACCATGAACAATATCCCAGCATGAACCGTGGACAGTTGAACAGCACCTCTTCTTCTCAGGGACCAGTACCCATGATGCAGGGACATAACCGACCGCGCAATGGCCTGGGCGCCAATGGGGATAAGGCAGTGCCTGTCCCAGGAACAACACCCTTTGGAAATGGCGTGGATCGACGAGGCAGTCTAGGATCCGGTCCGGCGCTGTTCGACATGGCGCGGAGTCCTCCCAATGCTTCGAACAAGAGTAAGTCTGATAAGACCCTTTGACCGAAGACCATATACTGAGTGACGGCCAGACACCAAGCATGTGCCGTGTAAATTCTTCCGGCAAGGCGCTTGCCAGGCAGGCAATGCCTGTCCCTTTTCACATTCTCTCGACCCGATGACCCAACAGGCACCGTGTAAATACTTCATGAAGGTACCGTTGGCCCCTCTGTGACTCCTCGCCGTGGCCAAGCCTTGTTGACTCTGGCTAGGGAAACTGCAAGTTCGGAGCCAAATGTGCCCTGGCGCATTATCTCCCAGACGGACGACGGGTCAATCGAGCTGATTTGGACGTCGGGATGGCCATGTCAGGCCGCAATTTCAACTATTCGAGTCGAGCGGAACAACCGGCGTTCCCCAACCCAGATTCCTCCTTGGGCGATCCTCTGGTCAATCAACAGCCCTATGGTCCTGACTATTTCCCAAATCAATCCTTTCCTCTCATAGATCCGGACGAGCCAGATGCATACCCAGACCGGTACAACCAATACCAAAACCATTCTGCTCTCGACTCCGGACTCAACTCGCCCCCGACCTCACAATTCGGCTCACCTCCTAACGACTACCAGTACCCCAAATCCCCGGTTGATAATCTGCGAACTGCTCTCAACGCACCGCTACCGCAGTCTTTCGATGCTAACGGCATGTCACGCATAGCCAAATATGGCCCGCTTGGTCAATCTGTCCCCGATAAATTCGGAATGCGGTCTCCTACCTCTTCTTCTTCTCTTTCCAGACAGCTGGGAAGTCCCCCTGACTCCATTGTGAACGTCCGAAACGCCAACCTCGGCTCGAACCTAAGAAACGCCTCTCCTCTTGGGCTTTCACCCCAAAATGCTGAGGAGTCTATCGGTCAGCGGATAATGCACTCCCAGAGACCCATCAAAGTAAGAGGTCTTTCGGCTAGTGTGCCGCGCTCGAACCTACTTTATGAATGGGAAGAAGGCTTGGGAGCTGAAACAGACCTTCTACCCAACAGCCTGCACGACGAAGTTTTGACCCCGCAGGAGAAGATGCGGCGCATGTCGAGGCCAGACCAGGATCTAGGTTCTAGAGAGCATGGTAGTGGACTGGCCATACCGAGCGGAACATCCAGTAAAGTCGGCTCTCCGCCAGCCGGAAGTCCGTCCCGGTTCAGTGCGCTATGGGCCGAGCAACGGGAGAAAAAGGCGGCAGAAAACGTCGGGCCGGTCAGTATAGGTCATGTGGGCTCGCCTCTCCGTGGATCGTGGATGCCGAACGGAGGAACAGGGCCAAGTGTGCAGGTTTCTGGCATCTCCCAGGCCATGGCGCGGATGCAGCTGAATCGAGCCGATTCTGGCGAATCCAACGGAACAAGGCCGCAGGTCAGTGGTTTGAGGCATTCATCTGCGCCCATTGCTCGTTTCGATCGTGGCATCTCCAGTCCAGGCTTCAGCTCCAAGAAGATTGACGAGGAGGTCGAAGGTGTCTTCTTCCCGATGGACGGCGATGACAGGACTCCCAATTGGACAGCCCAAGCACAAGCGCTACCGCCGCTACGTGAAGACCCGAATGGAGACACCCCCGGCAGCAAGGTCGAGACCATGGCTACCACGCAGAACGGCGTCGAATCAATGTGGGCATTTCGCGCATGATGTACAGCACGGATTGCATGCGTCTACACGAATCACAGGGAATGACGAGACACGACCGAAATCAAATGTACAGCCTTTTTCTATATCCCCCGGCCCGGTCTTTGAGAGGCTGCGCGGTCGAAAATGCATATACACGGCACGGCGTGGGAAGCTTGCTTCTACATCGGAATAAATGGCATGGCTGATGCCGGGAGGAGTTGAATGCTGGTTTTGCTTCGTTTTCAGGATGACAATTGCGTGCTTCAGTCTGCATGATAGATACAGTTTGATCAAGTATTATAATCACAATCCATACCATACCTAGTGCTTTACATTGGCCAGGACAGTCGTGTTGAACCGTTGAAGCACCTCAATCGACGAGAAAACCCGACCTGTAGCAGTCGATAGAGGACGAGGCTGAGGATCATGGCAAGGCTGAGCATGACTCGCGCCGATTGGCTGTCAAACTTTCTATTGTTGCGCATCTACAAACACCGAATTCTGGTTTTCTCTCCCGTGGACAGCGACCATCCCACGCATCCCTTCATCTGCTTGACCAATTTGGGTCCTTCGAGGCATGTTGAGTAGCGGCCGGAATTGGCGGCTATGCTCAAGATGCCTTGGACTTTCGCTGCGCACGGGAGCTAGGCCTGTCTTTGCCAGGGCTCGCTTCCAAAGTTCAGGTATTATGTCGTGTCCTCTCTATGCAGCGCAGCTCGTGGCAATACTACTTCGCATTCGAGTTCAAGTACTCAGGCTAACCTTTAATCCAGCTGTTCTCTCCGAAATCGAGTCTCAAATATCTCCTGTCCTCCTCCAGCGCGCGCGAGCGGTCGCTGCCGAACACAAGCAATTGGCGGCAGCCAATGCAACCGAGTACGATGTCAGCATTGCAAAGAAAATCGGCGAACTGAGCCCGGTCGCCCAAGCACTGAAGGAGTGGGAAGATGCTCAAAATGTATGTTCGACCCCTCCCTCCTCTCTTGCGAAAGTCACACAAATTGCAGGACATGTACTCTGCTTCAAAGGAAAAGGACAAAGAAGAAGACTGACTTGGATATTGTCTGCGATGCTCTCTAGTCACTCGTCGAACTCCAAGGTCTGCTAGACGACCCCTCGTCAGACGCGGAAATACGCAGTCTGGCGCAGTCAGACATTGAATCGACGGTCGCGGAACTGCCTGCGCTGACGTCCCGGCTCAAGAAGTCGCTGGTGCCCGCCCACCCGTTTGCCAACCTGCCGTGCATGATCGAGATACACCCGGGGGCCGGGGGCAGCGAGGCGTCGCTGTTCGCGCACACGCTGCTGGAGATGTACCAGGGGTTCTGCGCGCGGATGAAATGGCCGACGCAGCTGGCGTCGTACACGGCGGACGACTCGGTGTCGGACAAGGCGCTGACGGAGGCGCTGCTGGAAATCAACCAGCCGGGCAGCTACGAGATGCTGCGGTCTGAGGCGGGCGTGCACCGCGTGCAGCGCGTTCCCGCGACCGAGAAGAAGGGCCGCACTCACACCTCGGCCGTGTCGGTGCTGGTGCTGCCCGTCCTGCCGGAGACGGGCGGCGAGTCGGACCTGGACTACGAAGACCCAAACTCCGACTACTACATCGCGCCGCCGGACGTGCGGTCCGAGACCATGCGCGCCCGCGGCGCCGGCGGCCAGCACGTCAACAAGACCGACTCGGCCATCCGGCTGACGCACATCCCCACGGGCATCGTCGTCAGCATGCAGGACTCGCGCTCGCAGCACAAGAACCGCGAGAAGGCCTGGCAGCTGCTCCGCGCCAAGATCGCCCAGTTGAGGCGCGAGCAGCGCGACGCTGAAATCACCGCTATGCGTCGCAGCGTCATGGGCGGCGTCGCCAGGTCTGGCCGCGAAGATAAAGTCCGCACCTACAATTACTCGCAGAACCGTGTCACCGACCATCGCAGCGGGAGCGAGACCTCGAACCTCGACGCCGTCCTGGCCGGCGAGGAGCCGCTTGAGGCCATCATGCAGAGTGTCAGGGAGTGGTTGAGCGAGAATGAAGTCAAGGGTCTGTTGGCCGAGGAGGAGCTCAAGGATAAAGCGAAACAGAACGAAAAGGAGAATCAAAAAGAGAATGGGAAGAAATGAAACAGAGAACTAATACAAGAGTATCATGCAGTGGCATCTGATGAGTCGCTCTACTTGTGTGTTTGTTGAGAATATTGTCTTTCAACCAGCTATTTGAGTTCTCGCTATGAGAAATCCTGCCGTTGGACACTCATGATTCAATTTCATGGGTATCATGCCACCACACGCGAAGCTCTCTGCTGCTTGTGTCTGCTTCGTGCTCTCCCTGTGCTGCGTAGAACCATGTCTGTCCTCTCTGTGTGATGCTTTTTGGGTCAACGCTCCCCATTCCTTCACTCCAGCTTGACTTAGCTGACAAGCTCATTCCCATCGATGCTGAACCCTCAGATTCTCGCAGCTCGTCTCAGCACTGTACAATTGAAGCTTTTCTGATTTAGCAGCGATCACATCCATGCTACCGACCCAGCATACAAAACGCCATTCCATTCCGTCGCAAAGTAATTGGTGATGTCATCTCAAGCCTGTTGTCCCAGTCGGCTGGCAATTGAGAAAACCGTCTAATCCGCTGGCTTGTCATGCATCTCATGCTGTTTCTTTTGTGCTGTTCACTTGGCAACAGCAGCACTGAGGACTTGGGTGCGGAAGAAAGCGCCCTTCGTTCTCTCAATGACTTGTTGATACACGCTCTGGGGTGGATGGTTCATGACCACGGTGCCGGCTTGGTAGTCGATCTTTGCATCGACCCTGGTGTCGCGGATCAGGTTGACAATCCATTTCTCGCCTTCATCTGAAGACAGGCCGAGACGGGTGGATAGATCCCTGGAAAAACAAAGTGTTAGCATATGCATATCACATGCAAGCGCCTGGTGCGCCGGGAAGGGGAAAGTATTAGGACTTACTGAATATCGATCCTCTGGTGAATCTTGCAGTAGCTTTCGGAAATCAGATGTCGCGCAGCCTCCATGAAGGCATCGGCCGACGACCCCAAAAAGAAATCTCCTCGGAGAATTGCTTCGGCTTCAGACAGTTTCTTCTGGGCGCCCTCGAAGTCGAAGTCAATGTAGAGAGCCTTGATGAACTCGGTGATCGGGTCTTGATATTCGTAGACTTCCTGCTTGACGACACGCACAAGATCCTTGAGTTGTTTCTGGTAGTTGTGGGAATTGTTGAGTCGGTTGCGGTTGGTGATGACCGCGGCAGCCAGATACCGCAGAATCCACGGGCAGACGGTCTGGATGGTGCTGATGTATGGGGCAGAAAAGTATAGATCGGTGAGCTTCTCACGGGCTGGTTCATAGTTGAAGAAGGGGAACAAGGCGTAGTGGACGAGAGCCTCGCGAGCGGTGAGTTGCGCCCTTGGGTTGTTGAACAACCGCGTTTCGATGTGCTCCTTGACCTTCTCGACCTCTTCAAGCGCGTTCTCCCACTCCTCGCCTAGGATTTCGCAGACCAGCTTTCCCCACGTAGCCTTGACCACCTTGTCGTTGTCCGTGGACAGCACGCGGAAGCGGTACAGCAGATCGGCTGCCTCGGGGTACAGACCACACTCGTAGCGGAACCGGCCGAATTCATAGAGTTTGTCGACCATTTCCGGCGTGACGCCATGTTGTTCCTCCAGAAACTTCAAGTTGGCCACCTTGTCGCTGCGCAGTTGAGATGTGACCGCCTCGTCGCTGAGGAGGTTTGTAAGGTGTGCCGTCTCTTCTTCGAACGCAGCCAATTTCTGCAGCACTTCCTCTCTCTTCTGTGCGTACTCTGCAGGCACGTTTTCTGTCTTGTGGATCTCCTTGTACAGGTTTCCCACGTAGTCGATCATGTTTGTGTTTTTCAGCAGGTTGAAAATCGCGAGCTTCAGGTCATCGTAGCGCTCTTGTGAGATCGTTTCCGAGTTGAGTTGATGTTCAAGTAAAGGGAAGACGAGGTGTCGGTCCATATGTTGGACGAGTTTGGCCAGAAAGGCATACTCGCCCGTGGGATCGTCGACGGCGCTCATATTGACTTTGCCTTCGTGCTTTGGATCTGTAGCGTTTTGGGCACTGTTGTCGTCTTTTCCTCAATTTTCTTGAGGTTTTCGACAGTCAGTTCGGGGCGGGGGAGAAGGAGAGGCGCGGTGACTTGGCGACTAGCTTGAGATGCTGGTGGGAGCTCAAGGGAGAAGATGAAGCCGGGGGTGTCGTCGTTGGAGGGATGCTCTGGGTGTCCTTCGTGGATATCGTCGGTTGAAGGCATTTCTTCTTGTGTGGCCCGCTGCCACAAAATTTAGGTTTCGGGTATAGCCGTGTCTAGAGCAGATACGATCTAGCGTGAGGAGTAATAGATTTTCCGCTCCGTGGGCAGGGGCTTGGCATCATGAGGTCACATGACTTGAATGGAAGTTCACAAGTCCAGCCATTGATGGCACCCAGAAGGACGCTGTTTGTTCACACCCTCCACATCCCTTTCACTTCCGCCGACCTTCATTGTCAATGTACCACATAAACAACATGAGGGCGCCTTCGACACTCCTTCTTCGTGCGTTGCTGAGGCCTCAGCAGCCTCTGTGTCAGATCAGATCGAAATCGAACTGGATGCCCCGGGAGAAATATGCGAAGATTACATTACTCGATAAACTACACCGCAGACAGAAAGAAGCTCTGCGCAAGGAACGTACGTGAGGGACGATTGAGGAAGGTATTCACTAAGCCAGTTGCTGATTCATACTGCAGGTCAAAGTAGCCAAGTGCGCGCCCAGAAGATGACCACCGAGTCTCTTCCTGACCCTCCACCTTCGCAAATCCAACATCCAGTCTCAACTCAAACCGGCCCGAGCCCGACGATATCCTTGCTCCCCTTCAAAATCAATCGCACACCATCCTCTAACCTTCCCATTTACCAAAGCTCCAAGGCTGGTGGAAGCAAACACATCACCTCGATACGAAAAATCACTGGCGATCTGAACGAGCTGGCAGCACGAATACGCATAGCACTTGGATTGCATCAGCATGTGGTGGATGTGAAAGGTCGCCGCAAGGAGACGGTGGCAATCAACTGGACCACGAAGCAAGTAGTTGTGCGCGGATGGAGAGGGCCTGAGATCAAGAAGTGGGCGGAATTGAATGGTTTCTGAACCAATTTGAGGGAAACAATGCGCAAAGTTTATGCTCGCAGATCACAGCCCTAATGCAGAGACGGGCGAACATCTCACTGCATCAGAACATATGACCCAGAAGCTTACTCCAGTCGCACGACCTTCGAAAGGTCTATTATGCGGGAGATTGAGGAATGAACAAGTGCAAATTGTAGGAGGTCCTTGGGCATGGCTGTGCTACCTCCTGAAGCATCTAGAAGCCGTTGCGGTGCGTGCGAGAAATGTATCAAGTGGACAGTTGCGGTTATCGTCTATGGTAGCATGAAATATGCTCGGAATCAAGAGGATAGGTTGGGTAGCTATTCTTTGCTACGGCGTGGGTATCACCCTTGCACTTGTGATCAATGGGGCAATGCTCTTTTCTTGACATTAAAATATCAAATGCAAGTTGAGTAGTAGATACAGCGGGAGACGTCCCTCCGTGATTTTGGTCCCTTGCACAATTGCCATGCCATTCGTAGCCAACCACAGAAACCACGGACGAAAACCTCATGGTCGTCGGTAGCATAGCCAATCGCAGAAATATGCATGTAATGCTGGGGTATCACTGATCTTCCTCCTAGACATCTAGTGCGGCGTGCAGCTCATCCGATACACCGACCCATGCATACTATCCATGAGTTCCGCCAATGCTGACCGGACGTCAAAATCGGGGAAATGCAGCAGCGGGACGCGGTACGAGACACAGTCGTACAATCGCGTCATTCCTCCAAGCCAGCAAAGACGCACAACTGCCGTAAGATGCCAGGATCGATGTCCTTCTGGATCATAGCGCCTAGAAGGCTTTCTTTCCTCGGCATAACACCCAAGGGAACAGTCGTGGAACCATGCTCGTTGACAGTACGTGCCTTCTGGACCAAAGTCTTCAAAACAGCCATCGCACGATTCGCAATCGCTCCATAACCGTTGGCATCGGGTTCCGGGTTGTTTCTGCCGTTTGCCTGTGGGTGCTTTGGGGCCATTTGTGTCGTTCTGTCAGCGCTGAGAATTCCCACCAAGCGCAACAGGTTGCCAGCAAAGCCATCTTCGGATTCCAGCCACGAGCGCGCCAAAGGATGGTCGGAACCGGGCGCGAGGCCGGCCAAAATCTCAGCTGCCAGCATCCCTTGCAGCAGGAAAGGCTTTCGTGTTTCAATGATGGTCCTTGTATGACTCGAAGTCGCGGGTATTGGGGAGATCGCAAGTCCAAAACATCTAGTCAACAACTCATATGGCGGGGTTGAATGAGCGTCCGCTGCAAAGATTGCCTTATAGTACGTTCGATTGGGTTCGTCGCGGGCCAACAATTTGGCAAGACTGTCCACAGCCGAAGGCATGTACTTGTGCAAAGTCGGGGTGTACATCGTAAACGATACCTTGGGCGATGTGCCTGAGGTCGGTCGAGGCATGGGCGCAAAGGCGAGAAGAAAGTGGAGGATGCAGAGCGATTCTTCCTTCCCAGGCAATTGCAGCGAGGTGGACAAGTTGCTAAGATAGACGACAACATCCTTCATGAAGTCAAGGGCGTTTCGATGATTCCGCAGGAACATTTCCATAGTGCCCAGGTATCGAATAACAGTGCTGAGCAACTTGATGACCTCTGGTTGGCCAAGTATCCCAAAGTTGGCTTCATAGAACGAGAAATTGCGCATAAGCGTGGTTATACATATTAGGCGGTCAGCTGCCCGCTCCAGATCGTATTGAACTGTGCCAAACTCGGGTGCATCCTGGAGAGACTCATTTTCCAAACGACATGCTCGTACTAGCTCTTCGTATGAAGGCAGGAGCATGTCATCGGAGACTTCTGTGGCATGCTCACTGAGGAACTCGACCTGATCCGCAGCACAATCGAGTAGCGCATCCATGAGGTCTTCGCAGTCCATCAAAGATAGTTGCAAAGCAGGTTCCGTGGAGAGGGTGACAAGCGTATCCAGGGCCAGTCGTGTCTCCGCATGAAGCCCCGACTTTATGCCCATGGTCAAGGCATGTATGTCGATAATGCCCATTTCTCTGACGGTAGGGACGACAGGCTTGGACTCCACGATATGCTGTCCGATGATGAACATCTCATCCACATTGATAGGCCCGTGAAAGCGACTAGGAGGGAGAACATCTGGTTTGAACGGATCTTGAATGGGCTTCGACAGAGGTTTATCCGCTTCTGGTTCCGGCACGACCGGCTTGGGTGCGGTCTGTGGACGCTTTTGAGGTGTCTGGATCTGCGCCTGCATGGAGGTGATCTGTTGCGGATCGTACTGACGAGGCATGTTTGGCCGGTTCTGCGGCGTCGCAGACAGATCCTGTGGTCCTTGACTATGGGGAGGGATGAGTCCGTTTGTGCCAGGCTGTGGCATCTGAACCCCAACTTGTCCATTGACAGAAGGTGCTCTTTGATGTCCGGGATCTTGTTGCTGATGGATCTCCCGGGAAGGAGACATCTGGGGTTGACTTTGATTTTGTATGACGGCCTGGGCTGCCATTCTTTGTTTCTGTTGCGACATCTGCCACGCAGCCTCGTAAGAACCAAGATTGTTCATCCAGTAGGCCTGAAGTTCCTGGGCAGCCTGCATTTGTTGCGGTGGTGGAAACCCGAATTGCTGTGCAACAGCACCCCACTGGTTCAACTTCGATATCCTTTGTGACCCTCCATTCTTCACGACAGCAGCATACAACCGTAACAGCTGAAGGGGTCTGCCACAAATCACAGGATTCAGGTCCACAGGTCTGCCACGAGCAGCCATAAATGTCTGCAAACCCCTTATGAATTCTTCTGGGTTGCCGGGCTTTGGGGGTTGAAAGCCTGCCGGGGGCCCTTGAGGCATCTGTGGATTAGGGAGGGGTTGTCCGGGATTGTTTGGCATGCCGTTTGCGCCACGCATCGGCGGTCCTTGACTCTGTGCCTGCATCTGGCGTGCTTGAGCCTGCAGCTGCATCTGATAGTTCCTCTGTGCGGCCGACATCCCCGGGTGTTGAGGCGCCATCGTTGCTTGCGGATTGATCCCCATTTGAGGCATTCCGTTGTTGATGTTCTGCCCGAATTGAGCTTGATTGTACCCGGCGGGGAAGCCTCCGTTGGGCATGAAGTTGTGAGGGTTGTCATGAGGCGTGCCCACGCGACTGGCGTGGTCCGATGGGCCGGGCGAAGCATGAGGTCCACCATGTTGTTGCGGTGAAAACGGACTGGGCGAAGCGGTGGAGACGCGTTGATTACCACCAGGCTGGCCAAATTGGCTTATTTGCTGAGTCGTGGGGGACGGGGTGGCGTTTGATGTCTGTTGTTGAAGGTGTGGAAAGTGCGTCGGCGCGTTCGAAACCGGAGGGCCGCCATTTGCTTGCGCATTGTATCCCGGGAAAAGCGCTTGTCCGGGTGTTTGCGATCTCGATCCAGGCAGTCCACCTGGTGCCTGTCGTGGGGATGCGCCTAAGCTATCGTCCCTTGCTCTTTTGGAAGGTATTACGGGATTCGTCTGATAGATAGGATTGTGGAAGGCAGGCGAGGCAGTCCGAGCGGCGCCATTGAGGAAAGCAGGATTCTGGAATTGCGCAGGATTTATGGTCTGAGGAGGCTGGAGAAAAGACATGCCAGCATCCATCGGGCCTCCAAAGCCAACATGGTTGTTTGGAGTCGAGGAGGGATCGGAGAGCCAAGGGTTCATGGCTTGGTTGAGGACCGGTCATCCATTGGCTATGGTAGAAGATATCATCAGTCTCAGCTCAACAGTACGCGCATCCATCTTAGTAAAGATGTCGTTCGCATTTGGATTCAGCATGCTCGTGATGGCTAGCCATGGGACGATGGACACGCCCATCGATGGGTGTGTAGGGAAGGATGAACTGGGTGCGCCCCGGAACAACAAGGACGCGTCGCAGGTGAACGTGAACGTGGGATAGGGACGCGCCGAAGCATGTGATACGGAGGATCTCGAAGATGATAAAGAGGAGAGATGGCTTCGAATAGGATTAGGATGACTTACCTGACTGGCAGTGTTTGGGGAGAATCGTCAGAGCGCAGAGGTATGCGAACCGAATCGGCACGTCGAGATTTCTTTGAGGCTGGGGTACCCAAAATGGCTTAGCTCGGGCGGCGTCTGACTGAGGCGAATCGGGAGGCCCTAGAAGGAGAGGGGGGAAATGTTAGTCATGGTCAGCCAGACGAGAAGGACGCGGCAACGAGGATCAAGAAAGTCCCACTCGGGACCTGGACCTTGGGCCGTGCAACAACGATCTCAATCAAGCATCTGGATGTGAAAGTAGACGCTAACGATGGAGACGATGGTCACGGTGGTAGGAGAGAGGGTGATGATGTGGTGGGCAAGCCATGTGCTGTACTGAATGATTCCGGCCGTTGCGAACCGGCGCCCGAGGGCTGGAGAGGACAAGCCCACTCACTACTATCTTAAGACATGCCAGGGGATCCGGGGGAGCTGAGGGGGGAGTCGAATGGATCAAGAGGTAAAGAGAGATAGTCGCAGGCTTACCACGGATGTGATTAGAGGACGACTGTCTTTTTTTCGATACGCGGCGATGCGTTGGATGCTGTGCTGTTCGTGTATGGCTGAGGCAGCCAGGAGGCGAAAGTCACAAAGCGAGTAGGTACCAGGTAGGAGGAGTACAGGTGCGTAGCAAGCCAGGGGGCTGTGTGTAATTGAATACTAGTACTGGGACGTGACCAGCGGGTAGAGGAAACACTCAAGATGCAACTAAAACGGTACCTAAGAGAGGTACCCAAGGGGGATGAACACTCGGGACTGTGAAAGGTCGGAAATCGGGCCAGGTAAAAATTGTGAGTGAGTGAAAAAAGAGGAGCCTAGAGGGGGAAAGGGAGAGAGTCAAGAAGGGAGCGCAAGAGCTTGAGTGACGGGTGTGCAGTGTGCAGTGTGTGAGAGTGGCAGAGAGAGGAAGAGGGAGAGATTTGCCGTGGGTGGAAGCTTGAGGGCGGCCAGTGCAATCAATCACCAGTGGCAGCACTGCACTCTGACAGGGGGGCGTGGGGGCGAGGGGAGTGCTCAGCTCTTGGTGCCTGCTGACCTGCGGTGCAGACTCACCACAGACCCAAAATAATCCAGATAGCTTCCCTTAGTGCCGCTAATTTGGGGGATTGGTGACCCCAGAGGCCTGCCTTGAGCGTTCTTATTGGGTCTCAAGGGGTCCCTTAAGAAATGGCCTCGGGCCGCGTGTCCGTCTCAAGATGGAGGTTTGTCAGTTGCGCTGTCAGCCAAAGCCGTAACCTCGTCTGACACAAAGTGAAGCCAAAGACTTCGACCAGAAAATGTGGTCATATGAGATTTCCTTCACAGTCAGACAAAGGCACTGGGTGAGCTGAGTGCTGCGAGACAGCCAAACCTGGGCAACTTGGATCAAACTTGTGATAGTAAGAACCAAGCAGGCGGCTCACTCCACTGTCCAGTTCAACTCACCACAGCTCGAAAAACCGCAGTGATCCGATAGAAGATGGAACGCACAACATGCTCCGCTTCCGCCTATACTGGCCATGCCTGTCACCTGGAGGTAAAACCCTCTCGCTTGCTGCTCCAGATTCTCCCAGCTTGCTCACCGTCCTCTGGTACGGCGGTTGTTGGCTTGCACATCCAGCGGGTGAAGCTCACTGGCAATGCAAGATGAGCAGGTCGGCGGATGATTGTGGGTGCTGTCCACTATAGTTGCTCCTCGGCTCGGGTACATACTGTGTAGATCCAGACTCGGGAATTCACACCCGCAGTGCGAGCCTCTTAATGCAGTGACGATAGAGCCTGAAGATGACCCCAAGTGGCTTCTGTGGACGAAGGTGGCTCTTGCCGGATGACTGTGGAAGCGTCCAACCTGGAGTTCAACGGCGGATGGAGATGTTGTTGCAAAGAACGGCGGCCGCCATACAGAGTAAGAGCAAGAGCAAGAACGGCAACTAAAGGTGAAGGAGGAAGAGAAAGAAGTCTGCGTTCTACAGCAGAAGTCAAGAGCTTACATACCTAGTCTAATCCTTCTTGCTCAACACTTCATGTTTCTCGCGGAGCAGACAGAGTTTCCCTGATTGGCAGATCCACGTAAGGATTTCCCTCATCTCGCCGGTTGCGTGTTTTTAGACACAATTCCTGATCGTGTCACAAGCCAGAAACAATATTCCAGCAAGCTTGGTGCCTGATCCCACCATCGAGAATACGCATGCGGCTTGCCACCCTCTACTTTCTACCGATAGTCAAGTCAAGAGAACACTACAGAGTGTAGGCAATGGGGGCTATATCTCTCCCAAGTCCTGAACTCTCTCCAAGAAGCCCACTACGCAACTGGAGCGATCACCGCAGTTCTTATAGACAAGTTGAAGTGAGCAGCATGAACCAGACCATGCTAATCGTGCTTCTCGTCACACAACATGTTCTGTAACATGGTGTAGATGGGTGTTTGATCCTAGGCCAGCTGGCAGACTCTTTAAACAAAGGGAAAGGCGCCATGGCTTACCTAGGTAGTACTTGTGGCGGAAGGTATCTCTACGCTGTGAGCGGAGCGAATCCTTGCCGGCGGATCAGGAGGCAGTTTCGTTCTACCACACTACTATCACAGCAACAGAGTCAAAAAAGTATCGTGGCCACATTCACAATCCCGTTGGCCGTAGAGAAATTGTTCAAGGTACCTACCAGGTCAGGGTCGAAGGACGAAAGAGTTTGGGAGCTTCGATTGCGTCTCGGGCGCCTCTCCCGCTGATGACAGCTCCAGCAGTGGTAGTGTCCATGCTGGGGAGCCTTGGGGTTGAGGTTGGTGTCGGGAGGGTACGAAGTCCGTAGTTGTCTCAACCAACGCCAGTCGCTCATCGCGATGAATAACACCTTGCTGGCCCAACAGCCGACCAGCGGCCGTAGCCTGGGTTCGCAGTACTAGTACCTTCTTCTCTCAACTGGCAGCGCAGATGGTGCTCACTACAATGATTGTAAGGTGGTATACACTGGAAACACTGGGCAGTGTTCTCCATAAAAGGTACTTACGTAGGTACCTAAAAGTGCACCTCCCCGTCTGCGCTCTGATAACCATTTTGGGTTTAGTGCCATATTCCCGACTTCGCGTTCCTTCGGTGGCCTTCAAACATTCCACTGACCAGCATGAACATCCTCCAGATCTCGCCATTGCCAACCACATCTCCCCTGGACCTATTCTTGCTCTGACGGATTAACTGACAATCCGCCGCCTTCATCGCTCTCATTTGGACATCTTTCAAATCTTAGGGTGCCGTCAAAACAATGGGCGACGTCCTTGTCGACAATCCGGTCCATTCTATCCCACCGCACAAGAAACCACTCATTTCAGACTCTATTCCCGACATCGATTCTCCAGAAGGGACTGGAGCCGACAGCAACGATGAATACTCCACATTGAAGAGATTGCAGAGGCACTTGGAGTAAGGCATATGTGATCGAGTTGAGGACGCCACAACTGACGGAAACAGGTACATCAAGTTGCAGGAAGAGTACATCAAAGATGAGCAGAGGTAATGGGATGTTGAGATGAGTGTGTGATTATCTGCTGACTATCATTACAGATCCTTGAAGCGAGAACTGGTGCGGGCGCAAGAAGAGATCAAGCGGATACAGAGCGTGCCTTTGGTCATCGGCCAGTTCATGGAAGCTATCGATCAAAAGTAAGGAGGTTGCCCCTTTACAACTTTTCGCAGACACTGATGCCTCAAAGCACCGGGATCGTCCAGTCATCCACAGGATCCAACTATGTTGTCCGTATCCTCTCTACACTTGATCGCGAGAAGCTCAAGCCTTCATCCTCGGTGGCCCTGCATCGCCACTCGAACTCTCTTGTCGACATTCTCCCTCCGGAAGCGGATTCGTCTATTGCAATGCTTGGGGCAGACGAAAAGCCAGATGTTTCGTACGCAGATGTCGGTGGTCTGGATATGCAAAAGCAGGAAATTCGGGAAGCGGTGGAACTGCCATTGACACATTTCGATCTGTACAAGCAAATTGGTATTGATCCACCACGAGGCGTTCTGCTCTACGGACCGCCCGGCACAGGAAAGACTATGTTGGTCAAGGCCGTGGCCAACAGCACCACTGCAAACTTCATCCGGGTGGTTGGCTCGGAGTTTGTACAGAAGTACCTGGGTGAAGGGCCCCGAATGGTCCGAGACGTCTTCCGGATGGCTCGTGAGAACTCCCCCGCGATCATCTTCATCGATGAGATTGATGCGATTGCCACCAAGCGATTCGATGCACAGACCGGGGCGGATCGAGAAGTTCAACGGATCTTGTTGGAGCTGCTCAATCAGATGGATGGCTTTGACCAGACCAGTAACGTCAAGGTGATCATGGCAACCAACCGCGCGGACACCCTGGACCCAGCTCTTCTTCGACCGGGACGTCTGGACCGGAAGATTGAATTCCCCTCGCTACGGGATCGCCGAGAACGTCGATTAATCTTCAGCACCATCGCCAGCAAAATGTCTCTTTCGCCCGAGGTCGACCTCGACTCGTTGATTGTCCGGAACGACCCGTTGTCTGGTGCCATCATTGCAGCGATCATGCAAGAAGCTGGACTGCGGGCAGTGCGCAAAAACCGATACAACATTATCCAAGCAGATTTGGAGGATGCCTACTCGAGTCAAGTCAAGGGAGCACAGGAAGCGGACAAGTTTGATTTCTACAAATAGAATAAAATCATGGAATCGACGGGTTGGGCATTTGTTCTGGAATCCTTGAGGCTCGGGGCCAGAGCAAGGCTGCATGCATTGCAAGGTTTCTAGGTAGCGATGGGGTGTACTCAAGACGACGGTACCTGACAACAGGTCCGGAAACCACGTGTCTCATCAGACAGTATTCACCACAAGCAGACCCGGTCCAAAGCAGCCGGCAGCAACTCAGGCTGGGTGAAATCGATGCACGCAGCATGATGTATAGTAGTACTACTATCGATAACATTCAAACCCCTTCTGATATCCAATAATGAAGATGTCTTGTACCAAGTAGGTATCGAATGGATAGTTACTGTATGGGCCTTCAATCCGCAATTACTATTGGTTCCTGGCCAGGGTACGTACTCCCACTGGCATGGGACGATGTCAAGGAGGCGATGCGACGACCTCCTGGGTCATGATTGCGTCACGTTTCGGTGGGTCGGGGCGTACCATGCTGTATTAATAATGTTGCGCTCCCCTACAAGCATGGCTATTGCCACGATAACTGATAAGTGCGATCTACATTGATAGCGGCCTGTACGTGGCTGCGCTGGGACTGGTCAGAGCAAAATGTACCTAGGTACACACAACGCAGGATAAAGGGGAAGGAGAAATAGTTGGCAATTGCCTTTGGGCTGTCCTGCCAGTGTTAAAGTCGATACAGAGTACAAAGACACCCACTAGATGACCAGGCCCTTACAGAGTACAGTATGGTTAGTAGCCCCAGGGGTTCGATGATACAGACCACCACGATAAACAGTCGGCGAATAAAAGGAGCTTTTACGAGCAGGAAGAAGAGACTAAAGATGGTGTGGCGTGCTACTATTGGCGAACATGTAGTATGGTGGAGAGAAATCTTCCACTTGGGAATGAAAAGTTGAATTGATAAAGCTAAAGTCACTGGCTACTATTAGCTTGAAGCAGGATAGTGCATTCATAGGCTGCTCTAGTGGGTAATTTTAAGAGTGAAAGCGGAGGACGAAGATGCGATTGCGTCAGAGTTTCAAGATTCGTACCAGTCACTTTACGGCAATTACGGGCAGTGGTCCAGTGCTTTTTCTCTCATCTCTGCTCCACCTGTCTCTGCCTGTATCCATACACTCTACAGCGGCAAGGTAGTATGGACCTAGCGCAGTTGATAGGGATATTTGGCTCTATCCAGGTAATCTCCTCGACATCCTGAGGTCATCGTTTTCTCTTCCAGAACATCTGCCTTTCGCCAAACAACTCTCCCTGTCTGATCTGTGCATTCCATTCCATCCACCGCCCACGGGACTTTTGGCTACCTGAGAAAACTCTCGATCCTGTAGAGGTATCTGAGGTGGTTGTCTCTTTCGGTCGGGGTCGTGCAGTAGTACCTTGACTTGGTCTGCAGTGCAGCGGTTTGCACGGGTCTTCCATCCGTAACGTCATCCGGCGCAGGTTTTCCCTCTGGAACCACTTACTGCACACCACACGCGTCGTACCTAAAGCGAATCGATCCCTTTGTTGCTTCGACTCGATCTTCTTTCCTCGGTCATCATCAAGTCGCGTACCACCGAAGGGGAAGCAAGAAGTGACTTCCAAGAGACACCTTCAATCCCTGCCAGTGCCAGTGGTAAGCAACACACACCTCTTTTTAAGCTCTTGTCTCTCAGCATCCGGGCCCAATCTCCGTCCTTGTTGGACGGGTAGAGTGGCGATGCGACGGGGGTGTTGGGTGGCTCGCGATCGCCCTGGGAATGGGCGACTTCTTGTGCTGACACGTCCCTGATTCGCAGGCTCTAGTTGCGCCCATCGCTCCCAGGCCGCTCGGACACGAAAGACCCTCAGACCTTTCTCCGCCCAGCGACTTTCAGTCCTCCCCCCAAGTCTGCCCTCCCTCGCCCGCCCTACCAGAGTATATGAGGCGCCAACGCCTTCCCAGCTCTATCGACGTCACTTCTGCAACGACTGACGTTGTTTCCTCAACCTACGTATTGCTTCACCACCACCCGACAATATGGCAAGCGCCGCAGTCGCAACTCAACCATCACAACAACATCTAGGGGCTGGTCCAACCTCTCGTACGTCGTCGCCTATGGACAATAAGAAGGTCTCGATCAATCAACAAGGTTAGTCTACCTCGCCGCCCCTATGAGTAAAATTTCTTCCCTCTTCAACAATTACACAATGCGGCCATCAATGTCATCGATTGCGCATCGGGAAATGCGTCATGCATCAACAGTACCCTCGTAGGCACATGGGGACATGGAGACTGACTCGGTCTGAGCAGAGACATCATCACCATTGCAATCCAAGTCGTCGCTGCCAGGTACGCGTTGCCTAACGCGCCACCCGTTGTTTTTCCCAATGTACATTGATCACTGACTTCGATGCAGAAGCGCAACCTACGTCGCTGGCCGAAGACACAAAGCCTGTCACCCAAGTCACGGAACCTCTTGCGCCCCCGCCGCGGCCTGCGCCCGCCAACCCAGCCGAGACACCAGACTACTTCTCGGCGGTGCATAACAACGCAAGTGGAATCGGTCAAGAATTCAATCCCTTTGAACAATCCTTTGGCGCCCCATCAACAGAGACGCCAGGTAAAACCCTCCTACCCCCCGTCGCCGCCCTCACCTCTCCTGCTATCCCGGGTACCAGCTCAACAGGAGGGTACAACTGGCAAAGCTCACTGCGATCCGGGCCATTAAGCCCTGCCATGTTGGCTGGTCCACAACAAGGCGACTACTTCGACAGCATCGGCCGTGGCTTCCCTACTCCCAACGAGTCATCGCTCCGCACTGGACTGACGCCGGGCGGCGGCGGGTCTATGTTTCCGGCGCCTAGTCCAACATCTCAAGCCCTCTTCAATTCATTACAAAGTGGCGGCGCCACTCCTGGGACATTGGATTTCCACCGCACTGCCATGACTGCAGCTGCGCGAAACAAGAATAACCAATTCGCCAACACGTCCAATCCGCCAGAGCCTCTGCCGCAACCCACCAGTATGGATGCCCAGCACGATGCCACCGACGCAGCCAATGGCCTCTTCATGTTAGCCAAGGGAGGTCAATCGAACAACCAATTTGCAGTGCCCAACCCGGCTCCAACCCAGCTGGCCGCGCACAACGGCCAAGACCCGAAACGAAACAGCCGGGCCTCTGTGTCTGGCCCTGATGTTGACAGCCCTGAGAGTCACGAGGAAACGAAAACCCCTGCTCGCGGGCGTGGCAAGAAGAATCCCAAATCAGAACCCACCAACAACCGAAGGAAGTCAGAAGCCCCCACGAAAGGAAGCAACAAGCGATCAAAGGGCAACTCTGGTGCTGCTAACGTCGACCCGGCTCTTGATCCCCACGAAGAAGACGATGACAGCGAGGACGATCAGGATCACGAAAATGGTAACAACAGCAGCAGTAGCAGTAATGCCCACAACAACGTTGGCAGCAACGGTAAGAAGATGACCGATGAAGAGAAACGACGGAATTTCCTGGAGCGCAATCGGTAAGTCCATCGACACGTCCATGTTCGTTCTGCCTTCAACTAACATATGACAGTGTGGCTGCTTTGAAGTGCCGACAGAGAAAGAAGCAATGGCTGGCTAACCTCCAAGCCAAAGTGGAAATGTACTCTGCCGAAAATGACAGCCTCAACACTCAGGTTGCTCAACTGCACGAGGAGATTCGTACCCTGCGTACCCTCCTTATGGGTCATAAAGATTGCCCTGTCGGCCACGCTCAAGGCATCGGACAATTCTTGAACGGCATGCAAGACCCGACTGCCTTCGCCAATCAGCACGTCAATCCTTATGGTATGGCCATGCCAAATCCTGCACCTATGCAGCCTGGCATGCAGAGAACATGATCGCCTTTCGGTACAGAGGTGAACATCAACTGGAGCCACACATAATCCGGTTTTCTAAACTAATTACCCATTCATGACCGTCAAGCCTGCTTCGATTTTGAAGTGGAATTGGAGTTGAGGAGCACGGCTAAAGACGTGTTCGATTGTGCCTGCTCCCACTACTTCACCTTCACTTTCTTTCGACGCCTTGCATTCCAGGATACGGCCATTCAGCAACGGGCCGACGTTGATGCAATTGCAGCTTTTGATCCTTCGATTGTCTCTCGACTACTTTGGGGTTCTGTCAAGCTCGTTTCTCTGTACATAAAATGGGGGTTCTGTACAGCACCAGCAAAAGTACGGGAGGATGGGGTCCCGATACGGTGTGGCCTTGATCTCTTTGTTACCTTGTCATGCGTTCATGCGGCCACACACACGCACATTATGGGAAGAGGACACAGGCCTGGGGCAATGGAGAACGGGGCGATTCGGGGAGCCGGGGAATCGAGGAATTGGCGTTCAGAAAGTCTTTTGTCAGATCCTGTTCTCAACACACAAGACATCAGCTGGAATTCCCTGTACTAGGACTTAGTTGACGAGACTAGAAGATCCAATTGATGTATTGAGTTGTGAGTAAGGTCTTTTCTCAGAAGCACGGCATTGCTTAGGCCTCGCGGCTGTCATGTGATGAAGAAGCAGGTCGGCGTGGCTTAGCAGCATCTTGGAGAAGGAAGATGTGTTCCTTGTGGACTTGATGAGTTCAACTGCCTTGAGTGGTAGTACTGCTAAGGGGAGGTCTGCTCCCTGTAACGGTGAACGATGTCGCTTCCTTGGGCAAGTTGGGCATATTGCTCTGCATGAACTCCAACCTCGTCATCACACAGGATGCTGATGTGTACCAATCAGAGGAATACTTTCACTGCATGCATGAATGGATTGCTGCATGCGCCAGACAACGCAACGACCAGCTCTTGACACAGCCGTACCGGATCCACGGAGAAAAGACTGAGTCTAGTCAGGATATGGGCGTGCTTGGTGTACTAGACCCGACAACGCACGGAGACTACGTGCGACTTGGGCAGGCCAGATATCGGGACATCGCGCGCCTGTCACAGATGATCAAGTCAGCAAACGGAGCGAGTACGATAACATCCATGATGGCCTTGGTGAAGACAGCATACCTCGTCCGGCATTCCGCATCTTTCAAGCATATTCTCAGGTGCAGTATCAGGGTGACAGAACGTATAGACATACGCGAAACAATGACCTACACGTCCACACCAACTGGGAGCAGCTTGAAGAGAGGAAGCCTGTGCCTGCCTTCACAGAACCGCCAGAGCTAGAATATGCACTTGACAATGATATGAAGGTCAGTAGTTTGGTGAGATTGAGCAATAACTTGGACGGCGAAAAGTGTGACCATGATATCGGCATATGCTCCCGGGCAAGCCATTCATCCGCCCAGCAGGTGGTCGCAGGGGATATATCCGAGTGTACAAGCATCGGGACTTACAATCCAGCCATCGTAGACGGAAATCTGGAAGACCGCGAGCTGATTATGTGGATCGAACCGTCGATCGTTGCAATGATGGGTCGAATCATCAACGAAGATAAACCCCCAGGCCCAGGCCCAGTCGAAGTTGGAGTCCTAGCTTCAGACGGCGACGACGGCAACGATGGAATGGTGAATATGAGGACGCAAGATGGCGAAAATCTCGTTTCAGAGCGGTCTTGAAGAAGGTGGGAATGGAACTCGTCCGAAAGCTCAGATGCTGGGCTCGGGAGATTATGCTGGAACTACATGGTTGAACTCAATAGGATGGTTTCTTTGCCGGGAGCTACCGCAGATTCTCAGATCCAGTGTGGGTCGTGAAGACGATGGATGCTGAAGCCGAGGAAGTGAGTGATTACAGGATAGAGAAGCTACAGTTCCCTAGTACTTCTATATAACTCTGTATATCTCGGTGCCGTTAAAGGTAAGGCGTCTCTTATATAAGGAATCATCATTGGCTAAGAGGAGAGTGGAGTCGTCCGGAATAGGTAATTACTGTTTTTGTCCTCGACTTCTTTCACACCTTGATAGGTTCATGAGGAAGCCTCGCGCCCGGGCAGATATGGGCATTATCCCCTTTGCAATGACGACAGTGTAATTTGTTTCTGACCGGCGTCAATTCCGAAGGAGGCCGGGCACAGCTGCCTCCCTAGACGTTCTCGAGGGATGTGCCATTTGTGTGGGGCATTGCGTGCTCATAGACATGAGCATTTGTTAGGACAAATGATTTGCGCCTAGGTTTGACATTGCAGCTCAAAAACATCTGTTATGGGGTAGAGATGCCGTATCAGAGACTTCTTTATGTGTCGCACATTGCGTGCTCCGAGACCTGTACATTCCTGGGGCAAGCTCTTACGCTTAGTTTTCACCTGGTGTGTCAAGAATTCGTTAGGGAGTCCAGATACCGTATCGGAGGCTCAATCAAGGGCCAGAGCATTCACGTAGGGCGTGGCGTGCTCTTATTAGACCGAAGAGTCCGTAGGTCAAGCTCTCGTGCTCTGACTTCAACGTTGCAGACTGCAAATCCGTTGTGGAGCACAGAGAGATAGACCTACCACCTACCCCCTGGACCGAACTCGTTGTATCTCCCAGAGTAACATGCCGTGGAGCTCTGCAGGCATGAGATAATAGTTTCAGATATCGCGTTCGCGATGGGTTCTGACGTGCTCCGGGTGCAAATCTTGTTCGAAGCAGAATAAGAAAGAGAGCATGGATCGTTGCCATGAGATTTGGTAGTCGTGGTAGTCGTGGTAGTAGAAAAGTACCTGGGAGACATTCACACCTGCAGCCCGCGACTCTCGTCTGATACCAGCCGTTCGCACAAGGGAAACCCCTGTACATCCATCCATCAATCATGGCTTTCGAACGTCTGGCCCAGTTCTACCGGTCGTGTCTGTTCCAGATGATCATCGTGGGCCTTGTCGCCTTCTGCGAACCCGGCATCTGGACTGCGCTCAACAACCTTGGAGCCGGAGGAAACGCCAAAGTGAGACCAGCCCTCGCGATTGATTTATCCTTTTTTGTTTTCTGTGCACATGGGCCGCTGACATATGTATTCTGTTTGTTGTAGCCGTTTCTGAACAACGCCGCCAATGCCTTGACGTACGGACTCATGTCGGTGGGCTGCTTCCTTGCCGGCGGCGTCACCAACAAGATCACAGCCAAGTGGACCTTGTTCATCGGCGCCGCCTTCTACACCCCCTACGCGGCCGGTCTGTACTGCAACAATCGCTATGGCAACGAGTGGTTTCTCCTGCTGGGCGCCGCTCTCTGTGGGATTGGAGCGTCTCTTCTGTGGGCCAGCGAGGCGGCCATTGCGGTTGGATACCCGGAGGAGGAGAAAAGAGGACGGTAAGTAACCAAACAACTCTCTGCTCTGTTCTGCTCTGTTCGATCCTCAATCCTCAATCACAATCACCCACATTACTTGCCTGGGGAATCCGACTGACTTGTCATGCCTCAGATATGTTGCAATCTGGATGGGCATCCGCCAGATGGGACCGCTGGTGGGCGGTGCGATATCCCTGGCTCTCAACGTCAACACGGACCATGTCGGCAAGGTCACCTACACCACATATCTGGGGCTGGTGGCCATTTCGTCGCTCGGAGCTCCATTTGCATTGCTATTGTCCCAGCCGCAGAACGTCGTCCGAAGCAACGGCACCAAGATCCCGTACTTGAAGAAAACGAGTTTCAGCATCGAAGCCCGCGGAATCTGGAAGCAACTGAGGAACAAGTACATGCTGTTGCTGGTCCCTGTCTTCCTGGCGGGACAGTTCGGGGCGACCTATCAAGGGAACTATCTGACTAGTAAGTGGTTTCTCTGTCTCTGCGTCTATCCCTCGCTCCCTTTTTCTGTTATCCAATCATTCATGGCATCACCATCACAATCGGTGACCAGAGGCCCGGCGGCTGATCAATTCCAGCATACTTCACCGTCCGCTCCAGAGCGCTGGCGTCGTTCCTGACTGCCGTGGTGGGCGCCGCAGCCAACCTGGTGACGGGGATCATTCTAGACCTGAAGTATTTCTCTCGCAAGACCCGATCCAGAGCCCTGTACATTTTCGTCCTCGTCTTCGTCACCGCGTCGTGGACGTGGAATGCCGTCGTCGAGACCAGACTGTCGCGCATGGCCGACCCGCCGGCCTTCGACCTGGGCGACGGCGCCTTCTTCAACTCCGCCTTCACCGTCTACATGTTCTTCCGCTTCTTCTACGAAGTGCTGCAGACCTACATCTACTGGCTGATGGCCGAGATCAAGGGTGCCCAGGGAGACGGCGACATCGCGCGCACCACCGGCATCCTCAGGTCGTGGGAGTCCATCGGCAGCACCATCGCCTACGCCGTCGGCGCCAGTCACTGGTCCAACTTGAACCAGATGATCCTCGGCTTTGCCCTGTGGGGGTTCACCATCCCGTTCACTCTTCTCGCCGTGTTCGGCAATTGGAATGTATCAACGTCCTCTCCGGAGCCGGAGGTGGAAACAGATGATAGTAGTCTCGAGGCCCAGGAGGTGGTCATCAGTTCTGAAGTCAAGAACTGAGGATACTTTCTGTCGTGCACATAGCGCGGGCTGTGGGAGGACTGAGCCATTCACTTCCAACTTTTCGCGGATGTGTCGAACGTACCGAGAAGATTGGGTACCTCTCCTTTGCACATGCTGAGGGATAGACAAAATAGACAAAATAGACAAAATAGACAAAATAGATAGAGACCCGAAAAGAGTTCGGGAAAGCGTTCGGGACTGTGGTACTTGGGTCAAGGAATTGTTAGACAAAATAGATGGAATATGGCAAGTCTTCAGCGTGGACGTACTTGGAAGTCTTCTTGGTTATTTATTTGGTGTCAAAAGGAAATAGGATAGGCGATCGAACTCCGGTTTCAATTCTCTTTCCATTGACGGTCTTCATGGTGGATCCACCTTTATTCTGCGTGATAGATTATAGGTGTATCTGCCATACTACAAAAAAGGGAGGGATATGAGGACCACTGAAGACGGAGTACCTCAGGCATGTACATGGGTCGAACACTACCAGACCTTGTTGTTTGCTAGACACAGTTCTTTCGCGTGGGAGTGGACGTCGGACGCTGTATGTTAACCCATCACCAGTGAATATATATTCAATTTTGCGATCATCAAACAGAGGACATCTAACAAATCTATTTCGACTTCTTAACCGACCGACCCTTGACGAAAACCTTTGCAACATTTCGATCATCACCACTCATGACGAACTTCTCCAGAATGTCTTCCGTAGTATCCTCGTCCTCGACCAGGGTGATGATACCGGCGTCGTCTCCGACGGTGTGGATCTCCAAGGCATCGAACTCCTTGCCGACGAGGAAATTGCCGATCTTGTGGTCGAGACTGCAGACGCGCGCCCCACCCAGGGTGGCCAGGTACAACATCTCGGTGAAATGCAGGGGCTTGTCTTGCAGGTGGTCGAGCTGTCTGGCTTTGGACACGGCAAAGGCCTGTCTCATGCAGTCGATGATGGACGACGAAAAGCCGCCGCCGCTGTCGGTGCCCAGGCCGACCTTGATGTCCTGGTTCAAGTACTCGCGCACGGGGGCGACGCCGAAGACGCCGCTGGTGGTGTTTGAGATCGGACAGTGCGCCACGCCGCAGTCCAGCTCCTTCAGTCGCCGCATATCATAGTCGTCCATGTAGATGCAGTGAGCGAGGATGGAGCGGTCGTTCAACAGGCCGAAATGCTCGTACAGGTCGGCCTCGCTGTCGAATTCCGGATACAGTTTCTTGGTGATTTCCATTTCCTGCAGCGTTTCGTTGAAGTGAGTCTGGATCGGCAGGTCCGGGTTCTTCTCTGCTAGCTTGCCCAGACCCGTCAGCACGTCGTGGTCGCAAGCCACGGCGAAGCGCGGCGTCAAGATCGGCGTGACTAGTTCCTGCGTGGGATCGAGCTGGCGTGTATAGGCGATGAAGTCCTCCGTCACCGCGATCGACTCGGCGGCGCTCTTGTCGACGTAGTAGTCCGGCGCCTCGCGATTCATGTTGCATTTGCCCACGAGCGCGCGCTGGCCTTTTTGCACACAGATCTCAGCCAGGATCTTGGTCGCTTCGCCGTGCAGAGAGCCGTAGTAGGCCGCCGTGGTGACGCCTTGTTTGAGGAACCCGTCGACACACGAGGCGTAGGTTTTGCGTGCGTAGGCTGGATCTTGGAATTTGGCTTCGTGCGGGAACGTCGTCTTGTTTAGCCACTCCATGATCAGCTTGCCTCTGCCCAGGCCTCGCTGCGTCCACTGTGGCGCGTGGTTGTGCGTGTCGATGAACCCGGGGATCAGGAATTCTCCTCGCTCCAAGACTGTGAAGGTAGGAGAGTGCCTGCTCAGGCCATGTTGAGATAGCAACGAGTCAACTTTGTCGTCTGCCACGTCCTTTTCCACCACGGCAATCTTGCCGTTCACCCCGACGATGAGAAGCCCTTTCGGGATGATTTCAATCTGTTTCGGTGAGAGATGGTGGATGATTGTGCCTAGGAAGGCCAAGGGGGCATCTAGACCCTGCTTGTTCTGAACGACACTCATGATGGCGACGATTTGTTGGCAGCGCTGGACAACCAGAGAGAAATTCAGTACTGATAGAGCAAGGGTCGTGCTCGCACCAGCCTCGAATGTCGAACTCGTTGCTTTTTCTTGTTCACAGCCTCGTGGCTTTGATCAAGGTCGTCCTGTGCCCACCCGGCAACAACCGTGTGCTGGCTTGACTAGACGGTACACTCGTACACCGGTACGATGGATCCCAAATGGTGGGGATTATGGATCGAAAGTAACCCGACCAATGGAGACCTCGATCTGACAGATACAGCTCCCTAACAGCCTTGACAGTGAGAATTGGAGACAAGTGTGGGTTGGCAAAGAAGCAGTGAGTCTTTGTTTCGCTGTAGGGCTCTTCGGATAGCAGTCAGCCGGAACATGCTTGTGATGCGACGTCTACCGGTAACTTGAAAGTCGACTGATATCAACGCTAGAGATAGGTAGCTTTGATAGTGGCAACCGCGGATTTAGGCGCGTTCCGGCTATGTAGGACACGCTACAATAAAGCAGGGAGGAGGGGCCGGTTTGGTGAGGCTACCAGAACGCCCTAGCAGGTCCAGCCGAGATGCTGGCCTACTTTTGGAAGGTGAGTAACAAGACCAAGATAGGATACCAGTCCGTGTAACAGGGGTCGTGGTCTCGGGAGAGACACCGATCCGTGTCATCGAGGTCAAGTTGAAATCATCTGGGGCCGACTCAAGCCACATTGGCAGACAATGGAAGGCTAGTATAGAGTCCGTGGCAACCCACTGGTACGTACGAGGTCCGGTTTGGAGAAGAAGGTGCCTGGGGACTTTTGGTGTAGTCGTCGGCAGGGTTGTTAATCCGTCCACTTAACTCGTCTATTCTGTTAGTTATCGGCCCATCTGGAGGAAGGCTCTTACTTGAGATCTATAGTCTAGGGCTTGACACTTGTTTGAGGGTATGGGACTTTTGTGTTCGGTGTCAGTGGCTCTGCTTATGACAAGGAAGTGGCCTATTGTCGTGAGGATAGCCGTAGAGCCACTCCCCGATAGGCGAGACCGAGCCTAGTCCGTGGTTTGTGGGGCTGAGCGTGACCCAGCCTTGCTTGGCTGATCCCACTATCCGAATAGGGGCATTGAATGAGTTTGTTACCCCGGATGGATTGATAGGCATTACCCCCCAGATACGTCGCTGATACTAGTAGACGATCTTGGCGCGCCTCCACTATTTGCCCGTTCCAGGTTATCTAGTATCCACCAGTCCCAATTGAGACCCACTTTACCGTGGCTCGATGAGCTCCATTCGTCTACAGTGAGCAGTATCCACAAAATAAGAGCTTCCGCGATCTTACCATATCGGGTGGCTAACTTGAGTCTGGTTACCGTACACAGCAACGAGGCCTGTATATACATACATAGCGGACTTGGCAGCGGTGAGCATATCACTTGGCGGAGCTATCGCACGACTCACACCTTCTGGTGGGATGGATCAGGGCGCTCGGTATGGATACAGTACCCAAACATTGGACCCGAGACGACAAGGTGGGACTGGTTATCATGAAGCGACGTCGATGCATAACGGTATTCGGCTGTGCGAGATAACTGAAGTCCATTTCTATGGCCAGACCTCAGCCTTACCTCCATCAGGCCAGAGCTCAAGAGACATCGAGACCGGCGCCCGCCGCCGACCGAGGGGTTTACGACGAGTACAATAACTATTCTTGCCCATGCTTGTGTATGTGCACAAGATTGAAAGACGACGATCCTCAGAAGTGGCCGACCTCTACATCTCCATAGCTCCAGACTCCTCCTTGCACCAGCTTTTCACTCGCAGCCATGGAGAGAGTCACCCAGTTCGCGGCCAACTTCAAGTCGGCTGCTGCGTTCCACGCTTTTGTTCGGACAGAGCCTCAGCATGGGCTTCTCTCGTCCCGATGGATCAACGACGATCTAAAGCCAACAAGTCCTGGTACGTCATTGTCATTGTTCTGTACTCGCCACTTGTTGTCAAATCTCTAACAATGTTTTCGTATAGAGCGTCGCACTTGGACATGGTACCATCTTCCTCTCTTCTGGGCCGGTCTGGCCTTTGGAACTACCGGTTGGAACGTCGCCTCCTCCTTGATTGCTGTTGGATTGGTAAGAGAAAGCGGCTCAAAACAGACGTTGAAACACAACAAATCTGATTCTCCCTTTGTATTCAGTCATGGCAATATGCCTTGTGCTCTTGCATCCTTGGTAGCGCCATCTCAGCGTTCGCGGTCACAGCTTTAGCCCGACCAGGTGGTCGATATCACGTTGGATAGTGAGTTACACCTTTCTTACCTCCTCCCGTACCATACCGTTGACCAATCCAACAGCCCGGTCGTCCTCCGAGCAGTGATGGGAATGTACGGCTCATTTGTTTTCGTCTGTCTGCGTCTGATGACGGGTCTTTTCTGGTACGTCACAATCTCTCTCTATCTTCTTGACAAGGCACGCGACAGGATCACCCACTAACAGCTGGCTGCTACAGGTTCGGGATCCAAACGTACTCGGGCGCCAACCTGATCTCGACCTGTATTCTGTGCATGTTCGGCTCGTCATGGAAGAACTGGGAAAACACTCTGCCTTTATCGGCCGACATCACCTCCAAGCAGCTGGTTTGTTTCTTCGTGGCCTGGCTCATTCAGATGCCATTGGTACGTTTCAAAAGATGCTATACCCCTTAGCAGAGTGCAGTCTCAAAACTATGTCAGTTTACTGACTCATGACTCATTTGCTTCCAGCTCTTCATCCACCCGTCCAGAATCCAATGGTTCTTCACCGTCAAAGGCCTGGTCATGCCAGTGGCCACCTTTGGTCTGTTCGGCTGGTGCATGGCCCACGGCCAGGGCATCGCGTCCATTGGCAACCCCGTGGCCAAGGCAGCCGACGGGGTTCCTCTGGGATGGGCCATCATGGCCGGCATCAACACCATCATGGGCACCCTCGCGTCTCTGTCCGTCACGCAGTCCGACCTGTCGCGCTATTGTCGAAAACCCTCCGACGCCGGGCCGCTGCAGGGATTGGCCGTTTTCGTGTCCAAGACTCTGGTCTTCTTCCTCGGACTGGCCGCGACCGCGTCCATCCAGGGCGCCTGGGGCACGGCATACTGGAACATCTGGGATCTGCTCGACGCCATCCTCGACCGCTACTGGACCGCCAGTGCCCGGACCGCCGTCTTCTTGGTCTCTCTGGCTTTCTACGGCTCAGCCATCGGCTCCAACATCGGCACAAACACCATCGCCTTCGGCGCCGACTTGACCGGTCTGATGCCCAAATACATGACGATCGTGCGAGGCCAGGTCATCTGCTGTTTCCTGGGTATTGCCATGGTCCCGTGGAAGATTCTGGCGTCGGCAGAGAACTTCATCACCTTTTTGGGCTCCATGCCAATCTTCTTCGGTCCGTTGTCTGCTGTAAGTATAGCCTACTACTCCTACTGCTACTCCTACTGCTACCACCCAAATTGGGGCTACTTGCTCTGTCCAAGCACAATGAATACTAATCAATTTCTTTTGACTACATAGATCATGATCACCGACTATTTCTACGCTCGACGCGGGAACCTACACATCGTATCCTTATTCCAGGGCGAAAAAGGCACCATCTACTGGTACACCTATGGCGTCAACTGGCGCGGCATTGCGGCCTGGCTGTGCGGCTTCGCGCTCGGTCTGCCCGGGCTGATCGGCCGCTTCCACCCGCACGCCGTCGACGACGCGGCCAAAAACATCTACCGCATGGGCTGGCTGATCACCTTCTGCACCTCTGGCGTCGTCTATGCTGCTCTCGTCACCATCTTCCCGGTCCCCGTGTATCCGGCCCGTTATGACGACACGCCCAAAACCTTTGAGTATCTCGGCAAGACCGACGGCTTCTTCGACGACGAACAGGTCATCTACATCGACGGTACTGCGTCGGAAGATGCAGATCTTGAGAAGAAGATGGCGGCGGCCACGGTCATCACGGAAACTAAGCTATAGACGGACAAGGATCCTCTTCTGTTGTGTGACTAACTAAAGCTTTCCCTCGAAAATCCCTCCGATAGACGGTGTCAAGCCAAGGGTTCAACAGTGGTTAATATGACGACGGTCGGGTGTCCATAAATGTCGTAACATAGAGATATTAATCTTACATTTTGTCCCTAGATGGTGCAGTTGATCGTATATGATGTGTCCATGAACATCTCTTTCTCAGAGTATATATATGGTATATGTTCTTGGCCAGCCTTGCTGCGAGTCCTTCCTCAAACAAGCTTTCCTGCTTTCTATACTTTTTTCTGGTTTTGCAAAAAAGCTCGTCCAGCCGCGCCAACCTCATCGACAAGTCTTTCAACAGTCGCTTTGGTGGTGGAGATGTTGACAACGGCACGGAAAAAAGAGCCCTTCTCAACTTCATGGCTCAAGGCCGGTGCGAAGTCGACGAGAAAACCTCGCGGGATCAACGACTGGCTGATCCGACTTGTGAGGGATGAATTGCGTTTTCCTGTTCTCAGCTTCGTTTTTATGTCTGGCTGAGTCTCTTTCTGTTTCCCTCCACGCACTTCATCGTCAACGTTGTATACCATTCTCCCGCCCGGCGCAAAATAGAAGCACACCTGCAGACAGGGTGGCGGGTTCGTGCTGACGAGGACCAGGTCTGGATGTCGGTCGACCAGATCCGCAAAGTGGCACGCCACCGAGTATGCGTTCTCGATTTTCGCGCGGTAGCCGGACGTGCCGTAGTATTGCCATGCGAAGAAAAATTTGAGGCTGTCTCCGCGCCGGCCACACTGCAGTGTGAGATCTGCTAGGTCGTCAGGAGGAGTCCATTCCTCATCTTCTTCCCCTTCCTCCCCATCGATGTGTCCATTGGTTTTTGCGTGGCCATTTACTTGTCCGTCCTCGACATCGACACTGTCGTTGTCATTAGGGTCATTCTCTGCTTCGTCTTGTTCGTTTTCCTTATCGTGGAACAGATATCCTGCTCTTAGTGTATTTGCTCGATGAGCATGTCGCAGATCTTTGAGGAGCAGGAAACTGCACGTCACCGGCACTCCGAGCATCTTGTGCGGATTGATGGCGATACTGTCCGCCAAATTGCACTCTCGCAAGGATCTTTGACGCAGGACCTCGCTGAAGACAAAACTGCCGCCCCACGCCCCATCGATGTGCAGCCACAGCCCGTATTTCCTCACAACCTCGGCAATGGCAGCGAACGGATCGAACGAGCCCAACACAGTAGTCCCCGCAGTGGCGTTGACATAGAAGGGAGTCTTGCCATGCCTCTTTTCGCGGATAATCAACGTCTCGAGCGCAGTAGGATCCATCTCCCCCGTGACCGGATCAACCGGCACAGACACCACACTGGCACTACCGAATCCGCACTGCTGCGCGGCCTTTTCGATACTATAGTGTCCATGCTCCGAGGTGAACAGAACCAACGAGCGGCCGCCGGCGTTGTTGCCTAGCCGCTTCGTGTCCGGGAATAGCGTGTTGCGCGCGATCACGATGCTCGTCAGATTGCTCGCGCTGCCGCCCTGCACGTTGATCCCGCCGGCGCGGGGCCCCGTGAAGCCGAACATGCCCGTCAGAGCGCGCGCGACGTGTGTCTCAATCAGCGAGAGGACCGGGGAGACTTGGTAGACGTGTAGATTGGTGTTGAGCACGCTGAGGACCAGGTCGGCGGCGATGCCGGGTGGGAGCGGCGCCGCGTACAGCTTGTCCAGGAACCCAGGGCAGGATGTGTTCACGCTGTACTTCAATACCGAGGCCAGCGTGTCCAGAAGCCCATCCTGGCCGGTTCCTTGGTTGGGTATTGATAGTGTGCCGTTCGCTGTGAGGATGGCGTGCAGGTCGGATGGAGCGTGAGCCTCCACGAGCGAGGATTTGCTGAGTTCTTGGTGGTTCTGGTGTGCTTGGACTTCGGCGTCGGCGGACTCGATGAAGGGGATGAGTCGGTCGATGACCGCTGAGAGGAGCGTCTTCAGCTCCTGCGCCCGCGATGTGGTGTCAATAAGGCCATCGGTTCGCTGGCTGCCGTTGACATGTGTGGGACCGTGCCCGTATGTCTGAGAGCCGTTGGAGGTCAGGTTGTTGGACACCTTACCGCCGAGTTGATGTATCGATGTTTTCTGGTTTGTCATTTTTATATTATAACGTTTATAGTCGGTTTGAAGGGAATGACTGCCCTGGGAGACGGCCCATGTGTTGTAGTGCGGTGTTTATGTCGAGTATATCGCAATGATGTCGTGGGAAGCAGGAAACAGTCGCTAGATGCAAACGTGCCACCCAGGAACACAAACCGAGTAAAGGATGCAAGCAAAAGAAGGGAATGGCGCTTCTAAATATGAATCTCTGATTATATGTACATGAAAACTGTTCATGTTGTCGTCTGATCTCTGCCTGGTGAAATTTTCGCTGGCGTTCGAACTTCTCCAAATGACGCAATTCCGGGGTCGACGAGGCTGCGAGGCTGCGAGGCTACAAGGCTACAAGGCTGAGCCATTCAGGGGACAAAACACACACCGATCAGGCGAATGCAAGTTTGTGTCATTGCCGCTACACACCATGGTCTCTACATTCCCGATATGACAATGCAGCCTGAATGACGGCCATGCTCATGCATTCGTCGGAACCGCGTTGGCGCCTCTCGCCGGGGTCTTTTGATGCTTCGCACCTTGAACCTTCTTCTGCGCAAACCTCTCCCGGGCAATCTGGATGGCCGACTTCTTCTCCGCAGGGGTATCATTTGCATGCTTCCCAGTCGTGCTCACTATTTCCGCCTTGGGTTCTTCCTTGTCATACCCTTTAGCCAACGCCCGCCATTCGCTCGGCCGCCGTTGGTACGAATCCATGGCCCAGTTCTTCCATACATTCCGGCCGAATGGCGACGGTCGCAGTTCGCTCTCGTGGCCTGCAAGTTCTTTGGCCAACCGCTCTTTCATGTAGTGCAATCCATCTGTCGCAGTCCACAGTGCATCGGCCACGTAGGATCCTGTAAGGTCTTGGGACAACGTCGCAATGTGCCCATAGAAGCGTGGGACAAATTGCCGCCTGAATTGAGTGTTGGAGCTGCTTGGAGAAAGGGCGGTTTGAATCACTCGTGAGGCAGCTGAATCTTGACACATCTGAAGCAGTGTTCTGTCGTCAACTGCAAGCAAGCTATCTTGCACGATCGCGTCGGTCTTTGGAGCCCGAAGCATGGCCTGAGCCAATAGTGAGTCGTGAACATCCGTTTTGCGGGGTGTAGACACTGGTTTGTCTCTGGACTCGTCTGCGATTTGAGTATGATCCTCCGTATCTGACGGCTTGAAGTCAAGCAGTTTCGGAAGGAACTGCCCCGGCTCGTTGCCGTACTCTGCTTTCAGTACGTCGGACAGATCTTCTAAATCCACTTCTCGCACAGCACATCGCTCGACCAGAACTTTGATCAAGCCAGTCCTCCGGCGAGAAACCAGTATGGGGATTTCTGACAGAAGTAAAGTCTTCGCCTCGGTGAGGTCGTCTTTACCGAGCCGCTCGAGAATCCTGACCGCAACAAAGCTTGCTATGTCATTCTTCGCCATGCTGCTCAGTCGCGGCATCAAAATATTCCTGTAAAGCTTCTTGAACGTCTTGCCTGCAAGGTCGTGCACAAATATCTCAACAAGATGAGATCCGGTGGGGTCGTAAAGTAGTCCCGAAATGAATTTGGCACTTTCCGTATCATCCTCCAGATCTTCGTCGGGTAACAGTTTCTTAAAGACCGAGTTTGCCTCCAGCCTTTTGTTCTTCCCGGGATGTGAAAGCTCCAGTCGGACAAGAAGTTGGAGCACCGGGTTCCCTGTGGGATGCGTTGCCAGGGCTCTCAGATACGTCGTGTCCAAGGCTGAAATGGCGCTATGAATGAGCTTTTCCAGCGCAGGGCGGAAGGTCTTGGGTACGACTCGTTTGTTTTGAGTTGACTGGAGTTCCGTAGCTGCCGGGGCTTCAAGCTTCTCCTTCTTTTTACTCGCGAGCATGGCCTTCACCGAGGAGTCGTCCAAGGGCTCCCCGGATAAGACCAAAAACAATACTCGGACAGTGTGGGAGGCGAATCGGTCTGTCAGAAGGAAGCCCATGTTTGGCTCAAGCTCGTCGGCGGCCTGAAGGAAGAGCTCTTCCATTGTGGGGAGATCTGCTTCCTCTCCTTCGCTGTCGCGACTCTCCTTGCCCACATACTTCGCAGCCTCGAGAAACAAAGTTTCACAGCAATGACTCCCGAAGCGATGCCGGACCAGGTAGGTCAGATTCCCCAAGAACTTGCTGAACAGACTTCGAAGTTGTTCGGCGGTTGATAGCATGATGATCTTTTCCAAATACCTGGAACATGACTGACTCGAGGCGACTTTGAGTTCTTTGCCCTGCGTTTCTCTGTGGACGGCGGCAATAAAGATTGCACGGTCTTCGGCAGACTCAAAATCATTGGCTACGATCTTGTTGTTCACATTCGAGTAGTATTCTTGTTCTTCGGGATCAAGGAGTCCGTGGAAGACGTCCTCTTCCGGAGGTGGTTGGGCACCCGATGCAGCCTCGATCTCGAACCCAATGTAGTCATCTCCGGCATCACCATTGATGACAATGTCATTGGACTCTGGTTCGTTTTCGGTGTCGTCGGATTTCAGTCTTTTCGCGGCGGATTGCAAAGTCTCGTCATGTTTGCGTTTACTGTTTTTCTCCTCTTCTCGGCGGCCACGCTTCTTCTTCTCACGAGGCATTTTGTTGACCACGCCTCGAGCACTTGATCTTGGAAGAAGACTAATTTGGTTTTGTAGATTGCCAGTTGAACATCCACAAGTTGAAGTTGCCGTCGACATCAAGTTCGAGTTTGACCCCGAAAAATATGTGCCAAGCCACCTGCAGGAGGGGCCAATCGTATAGTCTACAGGTTTTACCCCGATAGGACTAGTACAATAGACCTCTTTGGTCATAATCACGTGACTGACGAGGCTGTCCAATTATCATCAATACGCAGCAGGGCCTTCCTCATTTCGGAGCGTTGTCGGTTGACCAGATCCTTTTTCACAGACACGGAAGCAATGCTACCCAATGCCTCAACCCTGCGCTATGCTATCAGGGCAGACGGCCTGAGTATTGGTGTGGTGTACGCACAGACTCAAATATACAGAACCAAAGGCAAGAAGTGATAAAGATGTTGAGTGACCCACGTGCCATATCTTAGATAGGTTGTGCTTCTGCGGTGTATGATGGTGCTTTTTGCATGGACTCTGTAAATTTATACAGGCTGAGTGTGCTACTGCAACAACGGCTTCGGATGTTCATCAGTCCGTCACTATCTGATCTAGGACAGTCACGCACCTAGGGCGAACATAAGCACTGAGAAAGATGCTTTAGTACCGCTGGCTCCATAGTTCAGGAGCCCCTAGGGCGCGCTGGGGGGAATGCTCAAGTACTAAGCGCAGACAACGCCTTCGGACCACCGCTTCAGTGCTCTATACCACCTCCGAGGGAATCGATGATGCAGAAGCAGGCACCTCGAGTGTCAAAAATCATAGCCTTCCCAGGTCCTCGACCTCCCGCAACAATAGACAACATCCGGGTCTGTTCCTTCTGGTGTTTTGAATCGAGATACAATGTTGCTGTCGTCGTAAGGCCCAGACATAGCGGGCAGAGTTGACAACACAGCTGTAACCTCCAACGACCTCATGTCTGATATCAGATCGTGATGATGCCATGCAAAAATGTGATGTTTCCTCGACTTGTGACCCAGTTGCTAATTGTGACGGAACACTAACTCGTCAGCGTCGTCACAGTGTTGAGCGTCAATTCTGATGCGGTTGACCTCCGACGGAGCCTCGTCGAGAGCGATCACGTCCGGCAACAGCCGGCGAAGACTGCCCATTCGAAGGGCGGTACAAGACGTAGAGAGATGCCCCGGCTGGTTGCATGGCTTAGAGCTCGCTTGGAATCGTAGCAGGTCAGTTCAACGCAGATATCATGCACAGCTCGATACTTGTTGTCCGACCCCATCTCGAAGTTCTCCTTTCGACACTCTCAACCACCACCTTGCTCTTGCGCCGCGATCTGCAATTTCTGCTGCAGTTGCATCAGATCCACCCTCTTCTTCTCACTACCTTCCTGCAGCTCTTGGATCTTCGCTTCTATTCTGGAGATTTCTTTGCCGATGAACTCCAGTCGACCTTGGACGGCGCTCAAAGCTTCGGTCTTGTCCTGTTTCAGCAACACAGGGCCGACAAGCTTGAAGATGCCTGCATCGTCGGCGAGCGAGACAAACTCCTTCTGTACGGCCTGGTTTTCCTGTTGCTGCGCTTCGAGTTTCTGGCGGGCTTCGATTGCAGTCTGAAGATCTGTTGGAGAGACATTTGGTCAGAGGCATTGAGCGGAGAAGAAATAGACAATAGGTTGCCTGAATATTGATGGCTTGACTGGTACTCACCGTCTTGATACTTCTGCAGAGCTTCGGACAAAGCCTGCAGTTTCGTCCTGTCCTCTTCCATGGTGCTGAGACCGTGCGAGGGTTGAAGACGGTTCACGTATGCTGGAATCTCAAGTGTTGTTTACTGAAGAGAACTTGAAGTGTGTTAATTATTCGCGGGGCAAATCCCGACGGCGCTTTAGGTCAAGTAAATAATAGTAATACGTAGATAGCAGTACTAGGAGTACTACCTGATGTAGCGTATCAAGACTTATAAACTCCGCCGCTCTACCACTGCCACTGCACACCAGTGACTTACCTCACGCACGACAGACCAGACGCCCGCACGACGGAGTCTATACACATCTGGAGTGCGCTCCTGACCTTGTCCCTTTCCCGTCTCTACACAAAATCTTACAGTCACCTCTATCGCGACCAAAGAACCCCTGTTGCTGCCTGTTCGGCGCTTGTTTACCACCTTGACGTACCCACTGCAACAGCGGCGAAAGGACCTTACCTACCTACGTTAACCAAACACCAACATTCCACCCTCGGAGCCTGAAAAAGGGCGCCTCTCTCCCAAGTCTGCCGGTCATGTCGAACACCGATTTCCTCGGACGAGCGATCGACACGGTGAAAAAGGCAATCGAGCTCGACACGGCGGGATCGTACGAACAGGCGTACCAACAGTACTATGCGGCGCTGGAGCTGTTCATGCTCGCGCTGAAATGGGAGAAGAACCCGAAATCCAAGGAGATGATCCGGGCAAAGGCGGGCGAGTACATGGACCGGGCGGAGAAATTAAAGGCACACATCCAGGCCAACGACCCGAGTAATCGCAAGAAACCCGCGGCGATGGGCGTGAATGGGAAGGCGGTGAACGGCGCCGGCGCCGGCAAAGGCGAGAGCGGCGACAAAGAGGACGAGGACGCCGACAGCAAAAAGCTGCGCGGCCAGCTGACGGGGGCGATCCTGACGGACAAGCCGAACGTCAAGTGGGAGGACGTGGCCGGGCTGGACCAGGCCAAAGAGGCGTTGAAAGAGGCCGTCATCCTGCCCATCAAGTTCCCCCACCTGTTCCAGGGCAAACGGCAACCGTGGAAGGGCATCTTACTGTACGGCCCGCCGGGGACGGGGAAATCGTACCTGGCCAAGGCCGTGGCGACCGAGGCCAACAGCACTTTTTTCAGCGTCAGCTCGTCCGATTTGGTGAGCAAGTGGATGGGCGAGTCCGAGCGGTTGGTGAAACAGTTGTTCACCATGGCGCGGGAAAACAAGCCCGCCATCATCTTCATCGACGAGGTGGATGCGCTGTGCGGCCCGCGTGGAGAAGGCGAATCCGAAGCCTCACGCCGCATCAAGACCGAACTGCTGGTCCAGATGGACGGCGTGGGCAAGGATTCCAAGGGCGTGTTGATTCTAGGCGCGACAAATATCCCCTGGCAGCTCGACGCGGCCATTCGTCGCCGCTTCCAGCGCAGAATCCATATCTCTTTACCGGACAAGCCGGCTCGCATGCGCATGTTCGAACTCGCCGTCGGAGACACCAAATGCGAACTGACCCAGGCGGACTACAAGACGCTGGCCGATCTGAGCGAGGGCTATTCCGGAAGTGATATCAGCATCGCAGTGCAAGATGCGCTGATGCAGCCTGTGAGGAAGATTCAAACCGCCACACATTATAAGAAGGTGAGTTTTTCCGTCATTTCTTCTCTTCACTTGATGGCATTGGCACTTGCTTGATCATGCAGCATGTCAAAAGAAGCCGGAACGCAGCAGGAGAGACTGAATCACACAATCTCGGCGGCTAACCACTGACTTTTCTGTTTCTTAGGTCACCGTTGACGGAGAAGAAAAACTCACGCCCTGCTCCCCCGGCGACGCCGGCGCCATGGAAATGACCTGGATGGACATCGACTCCGAGAAGCTCCTCGAACCGCCCTTGCAGGTCAAAGATTTCATCCGAGCCATCAAGGCCTCAAGGCCCACCGTGTCGGGGGAAGACCTCAAAAGAAACGCCGAGTGGACGGCAGAATTCGGCAGCGAGGGTGCTTGATTAGACCATGACTCGAGTTGGACTTGTTCCCACCAATGACTCCTCGCATGGGCGGCAATTTGCCCCCCGCTGTCCGAGAATATCAACATGAGCGGCTTCTGCATTTTTCTTCTTCTTCGTCTCTTGAAATACACGCATTTGCTGACCCGTCTCTCTATTGTTCTTGTTTACTTCCGTGGTTTTGTGTTTTCCGAAGGGGGATTGAATTGGAGTCCATATCGCGATTATGCAGTGGCTAGGACACAGCATGGGCAAAGAATAAGGACGCACAGCAAGGCACTGCCGGGTATGAGCAACCGGCGTTGGGTTTGGGGCGGACTGTGGTTTGCAGTTCTCCCAATTGGTCGTCTTGTCTTGTCTTTTCCTCGTCGGGTCTCTCCTCGTTGCGAGGTGAGCTGCCGACAGTGGAGCGGGATGAGGTTTGGGGGCACTGCACGTTTGAATGGGAGATGGAATTGGAAGTGCAGAACAGCGAGTCCAGACGTTCGAAGCTATCAGCTACTCCTCCCTTAGAGCAATGCTCTAGATACGAATGCGAACAGGGGCTGGGGAGACGAAGTAAACACAACTGTACCTTTCTTTCCTCTGCATATCCCTGACGAGTAAACAGGCACAGCCCCCAACAATACTTGCATGAAGATAGAGAAAAGACATTGGTACTCAGTAGCTTACGATCATCCATCTCATCGTCGTTAGGTTGAAGCTGAATATATGTCGCTACCATGGTATCATCATCATTAATCGTCATATATACGGTTCAATCCCTCTGCATATGGTCCAGACCGATGTGGCCCTGACAATGACTTCCAGAACACTTACTATATGGGAATACCATATTTCCATATCAGGGGTCGCCGCGAACGAAATCATCTCCTTCTTCCCCCTTTTCGGTAAGACGACGGAGGCTGTAAGACGTGAACAAGCGATGTAAGAGAAAAAGACACGCTCAACGTGTCCACCGTTGAATCCGAGTCTTTCACCGTGTCCGGGGTTTCCAAGCACGCATAGTCCGTCAAGGGTATAAATATCCCTTCTCAAAGTAATTCCCATACATGTCAACAACACCCGTGCGTCCCTTCGGCGTCGGGTTCCGGATGACCTTGATCTCGCCTTTCCAATGGCCCTCGATGAACTTCATGTCGAGATCGCTTACTTCACACGCAGGACCGAGGGCCGGGGTCGAAGGGCGTGCATCCGCAGTATATCCTACCGAGCCGGGTCTTGCGCCATGGTCGAATCCATAGCCGTAACCTCTTGGTTGTTCGGACGAAGTCTGCTCAGCGGCGGAAAGTCCGTTAGTCTGTCTGCTGTTGAGGAGCAGATTGTTCGTTGCGGGCCGGCTCGTCTTATACCGCGCCAGTTCGTCGTCGTAGACTCTCTTGCGTTCTTTTCTCCAACTCGCCAGGTCGCTCACGACATCGATCTTGGGTTCCTCTTCGTCGTTATCCACTTGAGTTGGATCCGAGGTTGGTGGTCGTTGTCTCTGCGACACCCTCTGGGACTGGGACTGGCACAGAGAAGGTAGTCTTCTACTGCCACTCATGTATTGCGGCGACACTGGGCCGGCCTGGATCTCGGCGAGGGCTGGCCTCTGGTTCCCGCCACCGCGTTGTGCCTCGTTTGAGCTTCGTCGATTCCGACCCAGAGGCAAATTGCGCGGACTTGGAAAGACACCCACTGAGCCAGAATAGTCCACAGAAGACGGCGACAGCGTACTGTGGGCTTGGGTTCCGAAGACACTGCTATGTGGACTGTTGGAGCCACTGTCCACATGACTGTCCTCGGGGGTCAAGAGAATCTTATCGTCCAAGTGTGCCGTTGGGAAGTATTTCTCCGGGTCATGCTGGTAAATGCCACACTCCGCCGGCTCTTCGCCTTCTTCGCCGAAGAAGCTAAAGTCATTCTCGGCCGCAGACCAAAGATTTTCACTATCACGGTCTCCGGTCGAAGATTTACTCATGCTGACGTGCTGACGGGAATGCTGCCAGGCACGTTGAGCATTGGTTTTGTCTACACCGGGCTGTTCCATCTCTAATACAATGGTACGGAGAGCAAACAGCGACCGTGCAGCTTCAATCTCGGCGATATGTCGAGCTTTTCCTGGTGGTAGAGAATAGTCTGTTCTGGCCATTAGACGAGATATTGCAGACTCATCAGCGCAAGCAGAGATGAACGCCTTGAGCGCATCAACTACCCCTGAAGACTTCGGCACAGTGGTTGGCACATTAGTCAGTACCAACGTCCGCAAGTTGGGGAGGAGACAGGGATGTAAAGTGGTCAAGCTGGAGACTGTTGCTTTGGAAAGTGGTGTACCATGCTCTATATTCTTTGATGATAACCCCGGGGGTCTTTTGGCGAGGAGAGCTTCTATCCGCGCCTGGCGGTGGTGCGATGCGGCAGGCGGTGGCGGTGGCGGTGGCGGCATTGCGGAAGATGAATCCGATGGAACAGAGGGAGACAGTGCGGGCAGGTCGGAGCTAGGAGGAGGTCCCGCCTTTGGGGGAGGAGACACAAGAGTTGATGGAGACGGGGCCACCAGTGGTTGGAATGCCACCGTCCCATGCGCTGTCACAGGAGAGACCGGAGAGAACAGAGACTTCGGTGTACTGTGCGTTCCTGTCTCATCAGAGACCTCTGTCTCCGACATGATACCGCGGTCTTCATGTCCGCGACGAGTCATCCCATCATTGCCGTTGACCACCTCTGGTGCATAGGGTCCATCTCCTCTAATCGGGCTCTGTACCTCGATCACCGGGGTGGAAGTCTGCGGCTTGTCCCCGATCGGAGGGCTGACAGCAAAATACATCACATCACCAATCAGTTCAACTCTCGGTGGTGCGGGAGTAGCATCAAGTTCGAATATGGGTCCGTTGGACCCGGGCGTCTCTACAGAATAGTGGGCAGAAGTCGGCGCTTCCACCACTTTCCAATCTGTAGATAATTCAGCCGCAAGTGGTTGAGAACCTGCAATTTCGATTGACTTTGGGTTATGTTTTGGCAAATTTGGGGTGACCTCCGTCCTGGACGTAACCAGTGCATGGTCAATCCGCAGATATGTCAGGGTTTTTCTAGCAGACTGCGCCAGGACCGGGATGAGCTTTTCGGCACCAGGGAAGCGAACTTCATCAATATAACCGGTCGGCGATGACACAGAGTGAGTTCTCGTGATGATCTTGATGGTGTCGACGGACCCACCATCAAAGATGTGTAACCTCTCGGACTTGAGGAGGCTAGATAGGCCTTCAACGGACAGACGATTTCCTGAGATGTAGAGATGGGTGAGTCCTCGATGTGGAATGTCCTCAAATGCTAACCTCCCAGTTAGCGGATTGGTTAGTTGTTTAAGCAGCTCATGATCCAGTTCTTCACTTCGAAGGGTGTCAAGACTGAAGAAGTCTGGTCCCGGGGCCATGCCGACAGGCCAGTCTTCCACATGGAGGGAGTTGAACTGAGGGGCACCAGGTGGGAGGAAAGATGCTTGCATCAAGGACCTGACAGCCATGTCGGTCAGTAGATTGTCCCTGAGGTCTAACAGACGGACACGAATCCCAATGGCGTTAGCCAACACCTCTGCCTCCCCATCTCGAAGACCAACACCCCGTAATTTGAGAACCTGCAAATCGCGTAGATACGACAGAGCCGCGAGGACCGCCGCATCTCGAGCCGGTGTGGTATATGACAAATCGAGATAGACGAGACAGGGGAACCTTGGCAATGCATTTGCCAACGCCGACGACGTGGTATTCGGCTCGCTGCATGCCAACAGTAGTTTCAAGCCGAAAGTCGGCAGTATATCTTCTTCACCAGACGACAATCTCCTTTCATTGCGTGTGGCCCTCAGGGCATTAAGGCTGTGATGATCGAAGAAGGGTAATTTGGTGACAATAAGGCTCTGGAGATTGGGGAGGTATTCGAGGACATCGCGCAACCAGGAGGGGTTTGGACCCCCATAGATCTCACTCAAGGCAGGCGGGAGATGTAACGTGTGAGTGAGGCTTCTCACGCTCAGCCTCGCCTTACGAAGAATCCTTTTGAAGCGAGTGAGTCCGACGTAGACGGCGTCATTGGCGATTCCGAAATGAGAGGCTGGGTCGCCCCAGAGGAAAGGGATGAAGATCGAATACCATTTCTGCGACACCAGACATGCCGAGCAGAGGTCGCTGGAAGGGATCCAAGGTGCGATTATAGTCCAAGCCTCGCGACTCACTGCACTCTCGTAGGAGGGAGGGACATCGGGCTTCATGATTGAAGGGGACGGTGGTGAGGTCGGATCATCTTGGCCGATGAGGTGGAAGGGAAGTACCCTTTCGTGTAGCCGAGGAATGAGAGGTGGGTGAGTATAGGGAGGAAGAACAAGGCCGTTCGCCGTGGCTGGTGTAGAGTTGTCGATCAAGAGGTTGCGAGTCTGGTATCAGAGAGTCTTGTGTTCTTCTATACTAGGTAGATAGATAGATGCCTTGCGGTACGTGCCTGCGCAACAAGATGCTGGAGTTCAAGTTGGAGACTTGGAGTCATGTGGAGAGGACGGTCACGTGTATACGGAGTGCGCCTTATGACGCTCAATTCTCTTTGTCCAATTCAGCCTCGTCAGCCTCGTCAACCTTGGATTCGGTAGAGCCAGGCTTGGTCCCTAGTATCCAAGGGCAGAGGAACAGAATTACAATATAGTTGACCTCAACAATCCTTGCTCATTATGATGACTAGTTCGTCGTTGACGACCTCTACCGTCCCTCGCGCCGTGCTAGCCTTTCGTAATATACCTGTCGTAGCCTCTATTGCTATCCAAACTCATGTCCAGCGTCCAACCTTTGCGTATGATATGTGGCAAGGCAGAAGTCCCAACCGGCCAGAATCAATTCGAAACTCGAGCTGTACAAACGCCGGCCGTATCGCAATCACATGCAAACAAAAGGCAAGCAGGGGCAGGAGTCGTCTGTTTTTGGGAGGAGCAAAATCCTTCAGGTTACATTACATATAACAAATCCGTATCTGGAGGTGGAAGTTAGCACGGGTCGCCTTCGCAGTTTCGGAGGGAGAACTTACTCAGAGGATGTGAGGCACTCAATTGAGGCTTCTGCGTATATTTGGTTGCCAACTCGTCTCGAATGCTGTTGAGTAGCTGCACGTAACTTTGGTGCGGGTTCTTCTTCAAAGCGGTCACAAACGCCCAGCTCATTGCCCCTGTGGCTTCTCCGTTGATTTGCGCATCTTGACTGGTTTGTTCGTCTTTGCTGCCAGACCACATGATCACGTCGGCCGGACTGGTCTTGGTCTGTTTGTTGCGCTCATATGTAGCATTGCCACTGGTTGCCTTTTTGAATAATCCCATCGCTGTCGAAGCCATACCGCCCAAGTCTCCACGAGCATACGACGAAACAATGGACAGAAGCCCTTGGCCTGCTTCTTTGGCCAGATTGGGCTCTTTGAGCACTCCTTGAGTGGAGTAGATATATGGCAGGTCCAAGGCCGATCCGGAGTGACACGAGTCGAAAATTGCCGTCAGTCTGACTCCCGCCGGCAGCGATTTGACGAGGATGCGATGCATTTCGTCGTCCACGATATGACCGGCTGTTCGGAAATCAACGGGATAGATGACCTCATCGTAACCATCTTCTTCGTCTCCATCCAGATCGGGTGTTTGACCGCCGTGACCGCTGTAATGGAAGAACAGTGAATCATTGGGGCGGGCGTCTTTGACCAACCAGTGCATTGCCCGAAAGATGTTGGCTTTGGTCGGTTGTGACATGGGATTTTGTTGGTCATCCGTCAAGATGACCATATCTTCCCTGGCATAACCGAAATTCTGGTTCAAATACGTCGACATGTTCTTAACATCGTTGATGCATCCTCGCAGTTGTCCTCGTTGACCAAAGTAATTGATTCCGACCAACAACGCCTTCCGTTTTCCTGTGCATGCCGAGTACTGGAAGCTATATCCTGCAGGGGCACCATGGCCGAACTGTTGAGGGGCCGTCGGAGGCGGACGAGGGCCGCTGGAGTTGCCTTGTGAATACTGGTTGTAGGCTGGCATTCCGGGTCGAGGGCCTAGAGCACATCAGTATCCAGGCTATTGTTGGCAAGGGGGACAGTCATACCTGGGTATCCATTTGGTTGCGGAGGAGGCGATCCGTAACCGCCATAACCGCCGCTCTGTGGAGGAGGGGGATTGTTATAGCCGTACGGAGCTATTTGTGGTGATGGTTGACCATAGCCTGGAGGAGCGCCATAGGCCTGTGGTGGAGGAGGTCCGTAACCTTGAGGAGGATAGGGCTGTGGCGAGTGCGACTGAGGAGGATATGGACCTTGAGAGTAGCCTTGAGGAGGGTATGGTCGTGGAGAGACCGATGGAGGGTATCCGTAACCAGCGCCGACGTGTTGTTGAGCACCGTAGCCGCCCTGGCCCGGGTAGTAAGACATTTTCAAGCGTTGAAGTCGTCAGCGGGCGAAGAAGATGAGCACTGATCTTGAGCGAGCGTCGAAATATCAAAATGTCGTGGTGAGAGAGCAGCAGGTGAGATGAGTTTCGGCTCTTTGACTCGGATTTTGCTGTCCAGGGCCCTAGCCGTCCGGAGGTGGAGAAGAGGGTCGTAGGGTCGTAGCTTAGGGACAGGGAGGAGTTCGTATCGCCTGGAGCCGCAGGTCTCTAGCGAATCTTGATAGGCGAAGTGGGATTAGGGGTCGGCCCAGAACTTGAACGGTACCTACGGATGGTCTCCGGACGGTGAAGTGATCGTGTTTTGAGATGGATGATAACAATAATGATCGAGGAGCGCAGGTGATGGAGGACTGTATCCCTGTGAGATACTGATGTATAGGGTCAGAGGATTCTGGAGAGATGGTGCCTGTGCCTGCGCCTGCGGTTTGTGTATGTTCGTTGTTCGCCGTCTGCCTGCAACTCGAGTGTCCTTCTAGGCTCCTCTGTAGGCGTCACGATGGCAAGTTTGCAAGCTGACGAATGTTTACATCTACCGTTCCTCGACTACCTACCTTCGTGTGCTGTTATACCAACCAGAGCCCTTCTCCCTTCAACTACAAGAGTACCTAATTCTGGGTATTCTCGCGATGGGTATGCTTCAGCCTCATCAGCCATACCAGGTCCCCTGCCACCGCCCCTGCCACCGCCACTGTCAGGCTTCACCTTCGTATTCCGTCCTTTTTCGTTCAACACCTGCCGAGTCTGGACTAAGAGGGGCTGATGAGATTGTCACTACGTACGGTGTACGTACTACTAGTCGCCGCCCTCTCATTTTCCGGCGCTTTCAGTGGCCATGACACTTTCAGGATACCTCCTAGCCGCTGGATCCAGCCCTGTGACCCTCCCTTGCACGCGACGGCTATCAGAGTCCCTTCCTGGCAAAGTCCGATCACCTCACCTCGCACACTGACGCGTTTAGACACCAAGCACTCCTTAAGCGGTCGAGAACACGTCCAAAGATGTGGTCGACCTTCAATTTCGGGCCACTGTCCCGCGCCCCTGCATACTGCAGCTGGTACAATACTCAAATAACAGACCACAAGCAGAACAGAAACCAATACGAATGCTGCCTTATTGGTACCTTAGGTGAATAGTTTCTGTCCATGATCCTCGAACTGACTCGCAGTCCTTGACTCAGCGAAGCAGCTCGCCTACGGCCGTTCTCCAGCATCTCCTCTTCCGTTTCAGCTGCTTTCCAACCGAGAAGCGGATGCTACCTTGTTCAATCTCTCTTCCCAAAAGACAGTGTTCGGGTACCATCTTAGGATGTCCACGTGGCAGCGTATTGGTCGGTGATGACTACACCCTGCATCTGATTCGGGACGAATGCCTGAGTCTTCCGAACGACTACAAAGATCCTGACCCCAAGCCATGCGTTCCGGACCAGCTACTACGCCGCTATCAATATCACAATCCTTCCTTTGTCATCCGCGGGCCTCTGATACAGCTGAAGGGGTTTGGTCAGCCCTGACGCATCTTCTACGAACGCACGCATACCCTCCGCTGTCGACTAACCGAGTCGACAAGGCCCTGCTCTCCTTTGAGACACGCTAGACAGGCACTAACTATCAGCCCGTTTCCCTGATTCAGCAACTGCAGCCTTGGCCGAGTAAACGAGTGCTGTCTTTCCAAGTGGTTTTCACTTGTCTACGGCTAAAGCCATACCTTGCAACAGGCCAGTTGTGGCAGAACTACAAAATTGACAGATTTCAAATCGGGCATCAACAGCCGTAAGCGAACACACACAGGCCTTGGATCGACCACTCGCGCGAAACCATGATTGCTTAGCCATACCCTTGAGATATCCCGGCGCGAAAGCTTCGGTTTCCAATACGAGGTTAGACAGACCATACAGCCATCCAAGTACGTCTTCGTGATTGCAGACTGGTTTCTCTGAACAGCGGATTGAATACCATGCTACTCCTATACTGTTATGAACCGCGCGAAGAAGCCATAGTCGTTGCCCATACGATCGTTACATACAAAAGGACATTCAGTCACCCGCACACCCATATCGAGTGCCAGTCCCGGACACTACAGGTCTAGTTGCTGCTTGCCATCTGCCTGCCCGAGCTGTCTGTCAATCAGATAGTTATTGTCATCTACCTTACCATTGCTCTGTCATGATTCGGGGTTATTTTTGTGCTTTGCCTCTCACCATCCGTGACTTTTGTGTGACACCGATTCTTCTGGCAGCCTCGTCCTTCGCCTGCTTGACCTTGGACGCGGAAATGCATCTCTATTATCGACTTTCCGTGCTGGCAGGAAGATACATACTGGTGACTGGCAGGCAAGGCAAGCTACTCGCCTTAGGTTTGCAAGAGGATCTACAGCGCTCTTGGGTATGCAGGCCCCTGCCTACCCCGTGAAGTCTTGATCTTTTCTTCCTTATCCCCGACACCGATGCATACCCCAGCTATACACCCTTCTCTTCAACGAACCTATCTACCTTATGACGAGTAGTTTGATCAGCTTCTCCGGGAGACCTGACGGTGGTTACCAGCCACAGACAGACATGCAACATGATGACATGATCATGAAGACATCGAATTCACCTGAAAAGGGGCTAAGGCCAGGATTGCAGGGCTGGGTATGCTGCTCTGGGATTCTGGGTTCCTCGTTCTTCACACCAGTAGCTTATCTACGATGACCACCATCTGATTCACTGACACTCGTTTACGGATCCATTATCCATGTTCTATTTTTTCTAGCATTCATGGATAGAACCATCTCGAGACATCTCCAAATAGGTGACGGTATCATATCTTTTGATCTGTAAGGGGTCTGGTGTTCATCCTCACGCCCATGAAGCAAAGACGTCCGCTGGGCCAGTACCATGCCACAAGGCGTAAACTGCCAGCCTGCACTGCTCGTTCAGGGCACCAGTAGCGTAGCCTTTGCTTGACTCGGTCATGACAGATCCTGCAGGTTGGCCCTTCCGTGGTTGCTGTCCCATCCCTCTCACGACACGACACGACAAGACAAACACGGACGGTCCGGTCTCATCATAATTCAGAAGTCAAGGGAGCCCGATTCAGAGAAATCTGCTTCCCATGCATCTTGGTGCTGATCTCTTCCAAACTCGGCTTCACATTTGGCCTCGCTTGCAATGACAAGACTCCGTGAATCTCTGGCAACAAAAGCACAGCAGGGCTATCATCCCCATCAGGGCTGGAATCTTGCCAGATCGATCTTGTCGCTGTTTGTAGAGATCCAGCCCAGCCATAGTGGTTCCCAGCATTGGGATCTTTCTTCACCCAGCTCCCTGGGACCTCAGTGCTGGACGATTGACATGACACTTCCACGACCGTCCTTGTCTTTGTCCAGCATCTTCATTCATTTCTTCTTATCACTCACTTACTCACCCACCGACTCTCGATTTCTCCCCTTTTTTCTGCTTGTCGATCGTCGTAACGTCATGTTCTCCGGGTTGTAAACAGACACGGATTGGCAATGCAACACGTTTGAAAGAGGCATTTCTTTCTACCGTCTAGGCATACCTCTTCCTCTCCCTCTCAGAGCTCTCTGGGCCGCACCAGGCGGCAATCCTCTCTGCGGGGCCTGCGGGGCCTGGCTCTCTTCGTTCTTGATGGTCTCGTCGACGGAGAGGATCAAGCAGGCGGCTTCGACGGCGGCGGCAATGGCATTGACTTTGACCAGGGCAGGTTCCCAGACGAAAGCGTCCATGTTGTTCCGCACGCCTTCATGGTCGAAGTCGACGCCGGCCCACACCTGACCTTTGCGATGCTCGACGCGCAGCCGGTTCAGGATGTCGGTGGCATCGAAGCCAGCGTTGTCGCACAGTTGGCGGGGAATGATCTCCAGGGCTTTGGCAAACGCCTTGACGACGGCCTGCTGCTTGTGCGGCACGTTCTTGTCGGCGTAGCGGTGTAAGTATCCCGAGACTTCCATCTCGGTGGCGCCGCCGCCGGCCACGATGGTGTTGTTGCGCAGAGCGCGTTTCACGATCATGATGGCGTCGTGCAGACTGCGCTCGACCTCGGCGATGAACTGCTCGGCGCCGCCTCGGAGGACCAGCGTGCACGTCTTGGCCTGCGGACAGTCGCTGAACAGGTTGTACCGCTCGCCGCCGATCTGACGCTCCTCGAACAGTCCGCACGTGCCGAGATGCGATGGCTGGATGTCTGTGCATGTGCTCTGGACCGTGGCCCCGGTGGCCTGGCACACACGCTCGAGGTCTTCGGCGGCAACTCGCCCGGCGCAGAAGATGTCACGGTCGGCGAAGTACTGCGTGGCGAGATCACCGATCGGGAGTCGACTGAGAACGACTTTGGCTCCTGTCTTGTACAACGCCTCCATCTTGTCGTAGATGATCTGCCACTCGGCGTCCACGATGGCTTGATATTCCGACACCTGCTCGACGCGGACCTCGGCGTTGTCCTTTTCGGCCTTGAGCTCGAGCTCGACGTTCAAACACACAATCTTGGGGTCCTTGAACGATTTCGGTTGTTGTTCAAACCCGGCGTACGAAAAGGTCTTCTTGAATGCCACGCCGTCGACGAAGAGGGAATCTTCCAGTGCTCCGCCGGTGATTTTCTTGATACCGATCAATTTCTCGTTGAGGTCAGCTTGGTCTAGCGACAGGACTGCATCGACGACCACTATTCATTGAAGTCAGTATGGGTAGCTCTTCCAGAGAGGGGTCAACGTACTCTTGGTAAAGAAATCAGCATTGCGATGGATGAGTTTACTGCTCATGGCCGTGGCGGCCAACTTGCGCAGCGTCTCGCTCTTATTGCCTTCCTGAGTCGACACAGCAATCTCCTTGACTTTATTGATCGCCATCTCCGACGCCCTCCTCAAACCCTTAATGATTGTCTGTGTACTGACACCCTGCTCGACTAGCTCTTTGACTTCCTTGAGGATCTCTCCGGCAATGACTACCACCGACGTGGTTCCGTCGCCGACCTCGGCATCCTGCGACCGCGCAATGTCGACCAAGATCCGCGCCGCCGGGTGGACAATATCGAGGAGTTTCATGACCGTGGCGCCATCGTTGGTGATGGTCTGTCTGCCTCCCGCGTCGACGAGGAGCAGGTCACCGCCGTACGGGCCCAGCGTCGCCTTGATCGTGTCTTGGACTGCTAGGCACGCGTTGATGTTGGATAGGACTTGGCCTTTGCCTTGAGACTGGTCGGTGCCTGTAATCCGGGGTTTGAAGTTAGTATCTCTTTTTCGTCTTGAAGCAAAGCAAAGCAAGGTCCAGCAACGGTAGTATATATCCTCCCATCTCAGGTAATAAGAAATACAGGCTGGACGCTGGTATTTCCCATCCCATCCAATCTGTCCTGTAGTTTCCGGCATGACCTTCACAAACCCCAAGTACAACTAGAAGAAACGGACTGACTGACCTTCTTTCAGCACGATGATCGTAGGCGTCTGCCCGCCGAATGCCGCCATCTTGTCTTATCTTGTCTTCCCACTCGTGTAATCCTGTCCTGTCCTATCCTGTCGACTGCTCTTCTGGTCAACGCGTTTGGTGGTTGGCTTTCTGGAATGGACTGGACTGGGATTGTTTGCACTGCAATGGCCGTCCGGGAACTTTTCTTGGGCCTGCGATGCAGTGCATGATCGACCGCACGCCGCATACTTCGTGAAGTTGCGCTTCGACTACGGCGCGCGGCTCTTGGCAGGGGAAGTATACGGCCGAGTATCAGAGTCTGCCATAAAAATGCTACGGCAGGCCATTGGTTCATTATATGCACTATCAAAGGGGCATCTGAACATAGGGAGAGCGATTCCACCAGATACCTAATGATGCACCAACATATCACGTTGTCAAACGTGGGCAGTCTAGGGGTTGCTAGCATGGTTGTAGGGGGCCAGTTAGGAATACGACATGTTGGGATTTTACTCCTCAACGGCGTCCCTGAATGCTCTCTCTATTCTTCATCGTGGCAAGGCTGTTTCCGCTATAACATAACCATTGTGGTCCCAACTCTACGTTTCCAGAACACCAAAGAACTGTTCCAGAGAACGCATGGGACTCATATTTTGTAACCTCTCTTCCGTGCACGAGTACTCGTTCATAGGGAACCACTCGCGAATCCCATCGACCTCGTCGCGGCCAGTGACCATCGCCGCCAGCGCCTTTCCCGACAACCAGCAATGCACCATCCCATACCCATCGTAGCCCGCGGCAATCCATTCGCCCCCAATCTGCGGGTCACACTCGTCTCGTCCCGAGACGTGTTTTCCGACCCGACCTACCAACGGCGACCCGTCGCCCGTGAAGCCCATGATTCCCGTCCACTTGTTCACGATCCGACTACCTTCGCCGTGGACGAAGGCTTTCGCCGGCACGGTTTCCAGATGCTCCAGACTCTGTACGCTGAGCTGGCTGTCGTCCGTGTTCCCTATGTCTTCGTCTCTTTCGGGTCCGCCTTGCAGGAAGCCGCCGCCGAGATACAACGAGCCGTCGTCGCCGGGCGACTGGGTGATGTAGTCGAACCCGCGGGCCCAGATTGCACTCCAGGACCTCTGGGCACCGACGCGCGGGAAGTCCGGCGGCACCGCCTGCACGGTCATCTGGCCTCGTAGGGGCCAGAGTTTGCCCCGCAGCGCTGGGAGGAGATGTGCTGCGTGGGCGTTGGTGCAGTGGATGACGTGTTTGGCACGGATCGTTCCTCTGGACGTGATGACTTCGTAGGGATAATCTGCTGCTGCCGCTGTTGCTGTTGTCGTTGATGAGGGCGATGGTGGAGTCCGTCGAACATCCTCTGCCACAGTATGTGTTTCGAGCGACAGTTGTGCTCCATCCAGTAATCGCTGCAAGATACATCCAAGAAATCGATACGGCCATGCGGCTCCCGAAGGGCCACTGATAGCCCCAAAAGCGTTGGCAATGCCTAGCTCCTGAAGGGAGTAGTCAAGACTGGTGTGTCAGTATATATATATCTCAACCAAGTTTTTCCTCGACTGGACGTCTCCACGATACTCGCTCAGCCGATAAACGGAACTGGTGGAAAGTAATGGATGTGAAACAAAAGGCACCATGCTCTTCTCTGCTCTTGCTTGCTTGCTTGGCTTACCTTGAGCGCCTCGACTCCCTCAATAGCGAACCATCGGCCCCGTTGCTCCGGAAAATCCTCCAAAAACTTTTCCAGCTTCACTTTCGCCGATTCCCAGACCTCCTGATCGTACACCGCGCTCAGACTCTGGACGCGACGGACCAAGCCGACTTTGCCGGCTTCGCCCAGCGCTTTGGCTTCCTCGACCAGGGCGTCCAAGTGCGCCAGCCGGAAACTGGTGATCCTCATCGCACTCTCCTTCCCGAACTCGTCTTTGAGGGCGGAATAGTCGCCCCAGGGGACGGCCTTGATGTGTCCGCCATTCCGGCCCGTGGCGCCCGAGATGGCCCTCCTGGCTTCAAGCATGCAAATTTTGAGCGACGGCTGCAGCCGCAGTAGATGCTGGGCTGTGCTGATGGCGCTGATTCCTGAGCCGATGATGACAACGTCTGTCTCAGTCGGCAGGTTCGCGGATTGCTGGTCCGCGAACGGGTGAGGAGGATCTTGCCAGAACGACGGCGTGGCATTGGCGACAGGAGTGCCGGGATCCTTTTCGAGCCTTGCCGCCAGCTTCTGCACCACAGACCGAATCGAGGGTTCTACCATGTCGTCAAGTCTGGAGAAATCTCCTCGGAGAGCCGGCGTAACAGCCACCACAGCTGTGTCCCAATCATGTATTGTTGTTGTATATAAAGCGAGCTATGTTTGCTTGGTTTGCTTGAGAGGGCTCAGGAGGCCGTTTCTGATAGACCTTATTACAGATTCAAGGGGTTAGATCCGTAGCCTTGCTCCGCCACAGATGACGGCTATCGATAGCATAATGGAGTTGCCCACAGACCCATATTTGACAGCCGCCGGCGCATTTGGTCGCCGTCTTGGTGGTCGAAATATATGCAGTCGTAAAGCTGAATGATTGGAGGGAGCTGTGAACATCCATTGGCTCAGGCAGGACTGTCTGTCGTCTTGGTAGTCGCAATAGATGCTGGTCGCAAAGACGAACGATTGGAGGGCGCTGTGAACATACATTGGCTCGGACAAGGGCGATCGATAGCTAGTGCTCAAGACAGTATAATTGTACGACGCTTGAAGGGTCAAATGCCACTGGCAGATACTCTGTAGATATGGTTGGTGTCTATAGCGTGCGGCAACAACGACGTCGGATAGGTTGGACGACACTCCAGAGATAAGCAGTGAGAACCTGAAGCGGGAGGAGAGAGAAGCGTCAGTTTGAAGGCTGAAGCGACGCCTTAGAGACCTCCACTCAGTTATGCTAATTCCCAGATAGCATAGAGCCAGCATTGATTGATCAGCCTCATCGCCGGTCTCCCAAATGTGCCCAGGTTGAAGATAGGTTGCCCGCGTTCTCGGTGGAGGGCGCTGGGTATATGCGTAGGGCTGTATGGGTATATAGATACACACTCCGGAATCCATGGAGATCTGACCACTGCTGCAACGCACCTACCCCGGGATCACTCGATAGCGATAGTGGTGACCATTCTTCAAGGCTTATCACAACCTGAGGTACAGAGACAAGATATCGAACGTCAAGATGGGATCCATCGACCAGTCTAATCAGAACGTCAGCTGGCAGACCAAGGTCGCCCAAAAGCAGAAGCAATGTCGAGGAGCCATTCCTGCAGCATGGCAGCTACCATCGTCGATTCTGGAGGCGCTGGATTACCCTTTGGACAAGAAGCCAAACAGGCTCCTTGAAATGGACACCCCCCGGAAATCAGGAATCCTATCCGACCGCGAGATCATGATCACCGAAGACTATACCGTCGGCGAGTTGCTCGCCAAACTCGCATCCGGAGAATTGTCGTCTCTCGAAGTGACCACGGCGTTCTCCAAGAGAGCTGCCATTGCTCAACAGCTGGTGGGTAGTCCCATAGCCATGCCCAGACTCCTACCCCAATTCTCTGAAGCGAACCCGACTAACATATACGATATATTGGGACAGACTTCATGTCTCACAGAGATGTTCTTTGACCAAGGCCTGGAACGAGCCAAGTATCTCGATCAGTGTCGAAGTGAAGGAAAGCTGGTCGGCCCCTTGCACGGTCTTCCCGTCAGTATCAAGGACAGTTTCCAAGTCATCGGGACCGAGGCCAGCATCGGATACGTTTCGTTTCTGGGGAAGAAATCCGAAATCAATTCACCACTGGTCGACATTCTCCTTGGCCTGGGTGCCGTGCTGTACGTCAAAACGAACATCCCTCAGACGCTCATGACCGCGGACTCGGACAACAACATTTTCGGCCGGGCGCTGAATCCGCACAACACGGCTTTGAACGCCGGTGGTTCCAGCGGAGGAGAAGGCGCGCTGGTCGCCTTCCGAGGCTCACCGTTGGGTGTGGGAACCGATGTCGCCGGCTCCATCCGCATTCCTGCTTTATGCTGTGGGGTGTATGGATTCAAGCCAACAAGTTCCCGCATTCCGTACGGAGGACAAGCGAACCCATCACTGGCTGGGTTAAAGCCCATTACTGCTGCTGCTGGCCCGCTAACAAATGATTTCGAGGCTATGGAGATCTTCGTCCAAGCCGTGATTGACGCGACTCCGGCCACGCTGGACTCAACCGTGCTGGATGTCCCGTGGCGTCGCTTGGACAAAGAAAGCCCGCCTCAACTGAAGATTGGCGTTCTGGCCGAGGATCCCCTCTACCCGTTTCATCCTCCCGTTAAGAGAGTATTGGCCGAAGCCGTCGGCAAGCTTCGAGCAGCAGGTCATGAGATCATCGAACTGACTGCGGAACAATGCCACAGTGCTGATGCGACAGAGGTTGCGTGTGAGCTCTTCACCCTGGCGCCCGGGGCCGCGATGGGACATATCAAGGCCAGCGGCGAGCCAATGGTGCCATCTGTTGCGAACGTGTTTGGACCAGCCAACGCTGGGAACTATAAATTCGTTCCAAGTCTCGAAGGTGTTGATGCCTTGCACAAGTTGGCCGTTTTGACGGTGAAAAGGCAGGAAATCGCCGAGGATTGGCGGAAAATATGGTTGGAGAACAAGTTCGACGTAGTTATCGGCACTCCCTCGCAGACCACAGCGGTGCCGCATGACACGTTTGGGTGGCCACCCTATACTTGCCTGCTGAACCTCCTTGATGTAAGTTCCAGCCTTGGGGTTTGGGGTGACGAACGATCTGCTGACTCTCCAGTACCCGGCTTGTGTGCTGCCCTTTGGTAAGGCGTCGAAACTAAAAGATCCTCACCCCATGAAGATGCAACCAGGACAAGGCGGACCCGACTGTGAGTTGTGCGGCGGTTGATCCGATGTCATCGACTAATAAACCACAGATAACCCCGAGGTGCTGGATGGAGCACCTTGCTCAATTCAAGTTTTCACAAGCCGACTGCGGGATGAGGAATGTCTTAAGATGGCCCGTATCGTCGATGGCTGTTTGAAGCAGGCATAAACCCCTTTCTTGTGTAGATCGTGCTTTCAGCCATCACCATGAGGTATCACGGGTGTCCCACCCCATTCTTTGAAATTAGTGTATTGAGTCCATCGAATTGCGCTTCATGATTGGTAGCAAGAAGCTCTTCCGGATGTTTGGCCAGCGATCGAGGAAGCTTCCAGATCCTCTCAAGAGCGCCCGCTATGCGTCGCACATGGCCAGAATAAGATACTTTCCAGATCTGTAGGAGTTGGGTTTGGATCAAGCTCCGCATTTCCGATCGAAGTGCCTCTTCTGGAGTATACGACAGGCTGTTTTGTGTTTCCGAGGTGGTCACAGGACAAGCCGCACAGCCCAGGATGAGGATTGGCCAGCAGATGAATTGTCCACAAGGAGCACTTCCGTCGTAGACCGTGAGGAGTTCGAGGCCTTCCGCCAAAAGAGCCTGGATCTGGGAGGAACCGCTGCATACGCCTTCCGGATCGAGTACTTTCATAATGAATATACGGGTGGCCAGGAAGTACAGCTTCGCAGCAACGGCGGAGTCGCTCGTCCTTGTGCTGTGGTTAGGTTGGCTCCCGAAAGTGTCCTTGGTATCGAAGATAGCGCACGTCTCCTGGAGGTGATCGACCTCAGTCAAGCACTGTAGAGCAAGCGTATAATTATGTCCATGATGGAAAGGCAGTTGTCGGCTGAGCCACGTGATCTGATAGATCTGAAGGAACAGAGCTGGCGGGGTTTTTCCAAGAACCGGTAGGATCGAAGCATGCTGTCGACCTTCTTTGCGGTCGGCATCGAGTGCCTCAATATATTTGGCGACCGTCTGGCTGGGGAACGACCTACAGATGACGTCGATATCCTGTTCAAAGATCAACCTGGTCGAAAAGTGATACAGCACAGAATCAAGTAGTGTCCGGTGGAAGATGGAGAGCTGGTCGATCTCGAAACGAGGGATGTCTGCGGCTTGTTCTTCTAAGACGCGCCCAATGGCTCCATAATGAGTCAGGCTCTGACTAGAAGGGGAGGAATAGAAATCCTGTCAGGCATCAGCATATATGACGGCCATAGTTGCGTCCTCAAACTCACTTCGAACACGCCAAGGAATAGAGAGGCGACGAGGAAGGACTCGTTGGAAGCAGCTTGGCTTTTCGTATTTTGCACTGCTTGCCGAAGCCCTTGCAATGCGCTCTGTGTGTAGGCCATGGCATCTGCCTTGGGGATCAAAGCGGCGTGGGAGGCATGCAGAGCTGCAGGCGCAAGTGCCGCATGCATGACCCAAGGTACATCGAAGCCAGCAGAGAGGACGGCTGACACGTTTCTAAACTCGGCTGTAGCCTCGGGGGTGGTCAACAGTTGGTAGAACTTGGTCGAGCAATAGTGAAAGATGTTCCAATCGCGTTCGGTGCTGATGCCTTCGGGTCGGGACCAGAGAGACGTGAACCGCGGACTGGCTATTGCTATCTCTGTCACTGCGCTTCGCGTGGTCACGACCGAGTCTGACGATGGAGACGATGGAGGCGTGGGAGGCGTGGGAGACGAGCGATGAACCTGCGGCGAGGCGGAAGATGGAGTCAACGATTTCCGGTAGACACAGTCGATGTCTAGTCTCTTGCAGGCTGAACAGACGGGCCTCCGTTCGTCACACTTCTTGCGCCGCTCCCTACATTTGAAGCAGCCGGTTTTCGTTCGCAACCGGGGAGGAGGTCTGCCTGGTTTCCTAGGCTTGCCAGGGTCCATCTCAATTGGACTCATGTTGCTGAATACAGTAAGGAATGCGCCATCATGACAAACAAGCAAGACAAACTGCTCAATGGACTGAGAGACGTTGATTGTGGAGTGGAAGAACCGTGGCGAACGTGTCGACTGCTGAAGTGGGAATCTGTATCTCGCTGCACCATCCAGGAAATCTTCTTGTCTGACAGTCCATTTAAACTTATCGACGACTCAATGATGAGCCAGTGAGTGGATTACTTTCTGTCAGACAAACCATTTCCCAGCCTTCCTGTATCTGCCTCCTGTGCTCCCTTTAGGAAAGGTGTTCGTCAGATCTCTTGATGGGATTCTCAAATACGAGTGAAGACATACGTTCATTACTTCAGTTGGTATTCTTTGTATTCGTTTCTTCGTATAGACATCTCCTCTTGTGCGGCGGCAAAGCCTCGCCGCACCGCCCACATCACATTTTGTCTACAACCATCTATCTGATAGAAGTCCCACATGGGTAAAGGTAAGTTTAGCCTTCATCAAGAAGGAAGAAGAAGAAGAAGAAGCAGATGAAGAGGGGGCAAAGAGGCCACCAGCTCTGGACATGATGCTGCTTTAGGTATGTTCAAACCAATCAATCCATCAAACTCCGTCTCAACCATGGATGGGGTCCAGCTCACTCCATCCGACGCCATCCGACCACACGAACGCCGAGATGCTGTCTATTGCTCAAGTTTATACTGCGGGTTGTTGGAAGGGTCGATGTAATCCATTGGCAGAACATGTTGCATGGGTTGCATGTTGCTCAGCCCCGTCCCGGAACTGCCGTCATTCATGACATGATCGTGGCCCAGCATGGCTTGATTCGTGTCATTCATGAATTGATGGTCAGGAGGTTGGGGGTTGAAATCGTGCGGATCGTGATGAGGCTGCAGGTGAGAAGGATCGGCGAACGTCGGCATTCCGGCCTGGACGTAGGCGTGGGCGTTTTGATCGTATTCGTTGGCCATCGCCTGGATCTGTTCCATGATCTGCGGGTCAATGGCCATCTCGTCATATGCGTGCAAGTGTGAGTTGGGGTCGGTAAGGTGTTCGCCGGCCAGATCCATCGGCTGCTGAATCACCGCGAAATCGTGGTCGGATATGTCATTGGTGGCCAGATTCTCCTCGGGGGCGGGTTGGACCTCGGGCACGGGCGGCGGTTGGGTGATTTCCTGTAACGAGGGAGGAGCTTCATCGATCGTCTTACTTCGGCCCGGTCTGTTCTCGGCACGGATCATGGGCGGTTTGTTGACGTCTTTGCATTCGGGACAGTTCTTGATCACATGGCTGACCGTCTCCTTGATCCGGATCCAGTGGTATTTGGTCGCAATGATGGCGGTGGTCTTGTTGATCCCGCCATGCGCTTGGTCGTGTATTTGTTTGGCGATCTCGTACTGGGCTTGCGGATCCGAGATGACTTCTTTGTCCTTTAAAAATAACTTCTCCGGCACGCCCTCCTGGCCACCTACCAGTTTATAGTGCGTCGCCGCGCTCCGGAGTCGGCTCTTCTCCGAGCGGTCGGCGCCCTGGGGATACAACTGATGTCGGAGGTAGTAGCGGATTTTGTCGAAGCGTTCCTCGGACTGATCCGTCTCGCCCTCCGCCTTGAGGTCCCGGCCGTAGATAATGGCATCCACCAGTTCGCTGGACGACTTCAGGCGGCCACACCCGGGAACCCGTCCAATGCGCTTAAATCCTAAAGAGTCCCATATTCGGGTGGACGCCGTATTCGTTTCATATACTAGGTTAAAGACTGAATATGTGTAGCCCTGACGGACAATCAGCCTCGGGTCCGAACGACTTCCTCCCAAAAAGGACGACTTACCAGTTGAGGCGCCCAGTCCAGGTAACATTGGCCCATCGATTTGCCTACACCTTTGTTGCGCGCCGCTGGAGTGACAAGGAACCCGCCGTTACACACATGACTGCTCCGACCGGGATAATTGGGCTTGACGTAAAAGCTGCCTAGACAGAGTTTATTCCAGTCGGCACCGTTGCGATCCATTTCAGAGACAGCTTCGACGCCGCCAATGTCCCCAAGGACCATGATCGCACCGAAGTTGCCGAACCAGTAGGGTCCGAACGTTTCCACGGGCAGAGGATTGATCATCGGATAAGTGTCCCCACGTTCAATCTCTTGATTGAGATTGTCCGCGAGGTAGTTGAGGAGCCGCTTGGGCACTGCATCCGGGGAAAAGAAGGGGATCAAGGTCGCCACGGTAACGCGATCGCGCAGGGTGACGGGCCTGGGAAATATCGACGAAGGGATCTGCGGGTTGTCTGAGGTTGGATACGGCGCCTGGCCCGATTGCCGGTAAATCACGGGCGACTCTGGATCCTCCAGTAAGGCCGGCATCGTGGACCATCCGTCGCAGAACGGCCTGAGACGCGCGGGAGAGAACGATCGGAGTTGATTGACCCTCGTTAGCGACAAGTCCGTACTGCAGTGTCCCGGATAGCGTAGTATACAACCCAGATATTGATACAAGGATGAAAACTTGTCGAGATAGACGTCGTAGGGAACTTTGAAAGGCGAAGGCGTCGAATCGCCCAAACTTCAACCGGGGCTGGAGCTCAGATCACGTGACCGCACATCGTGGCGGGTCTTGGCACGCTAGTCCCATTCCGTGTCTATATCAGGCTGCGTCTGAAGAAGCCTCGCCCAAAAGCAGTTGTATCACACACGGTACGAGCGGCGAAACAGGATAACTAAGGTATGTCGAACATTGATTGCCTGGAACGGCGGAGCCGACAGATAAAATCCATCACCCTGACGAGTTGTTCAAGTCCAGCCACATCCTCGAGAAAACGTCGCTGCCTCGCCTACACAATCCACAGCACATGCCGTATTCCATCTTCCCCTCTCCCCCATCCCTCGTAGCATCGTTATCAACAGAGCCGAACACGAACTTTTGAAAAGCTTCGCCGATCCAAGTCTCCCGCCTAAAGTGGGGATGAAGCCGTGCCGGTTTCGAAACGTCTCAGCGTAAGATCCAGATGACACCTCGGATCGCGGAGAGATCGACACTTGGGACCACAATTTCCAGATTTGGCGCTCTAAGCCGGTCCAAGGGGCCCGACGACCTTCAGTGACCCGCGTCCGTGGTACTGTCCACGTGCAGGACGTCCTCGCTGCTCCTTTGCGACTCGATCTTAGCATGAAGTAGTCTTGTCGGACTCTGGTAGTTGGAAGCATTAGCGCTGGGAGTGGAAATGCCCTAGTTCGGGTTGGTTTGACTTGATGCAGGGAGAGATGCCTCTTGTCGTGATACAAGTCCTTCATGATACTTGGAAATCCCCCGGCTCCGCTCTATCGACCAGATCTGTTGTTCCACTACAAATACTTTGAAGGTGACATTCGTGCTTGAATACATTGGATCTCCGCGTTCGCAATGATCACTTCTCATATTCCTTCATACTCCACCGTTTCGATCCGGACATATGCGAGGGTACTCCGATATACATTTGGTCATTCTCTTCGACCTGAGGGAGGGCCGAGATACCTGTCGCATCAGGCTGACCGGTGGCCGAATGAAGGCCTACTCCCTTGTGGGATCTTCCGCTGGATTCTGACTCCGCTTCTATCGTCAAGTCCGAAACATAATGGCCTTTCCCCGGAGCCCCACCATAGTGTCGTCGCGATCCCGTATGCTCGTAGGGAAGTCCCGCCTGAAAGACGTTCTTCTCTTCGGCGTCAGGAGGCCTGGAACTGTCATAAGTTTTGTTTGCGCTGCTATTGCGACGCTGTGAGTAACGTCGACCGAGCAAAAAGGCGACGAAAACCAGAATGATGACGGCTATGGCCACCCCAACGCCGATACCAGCCTTGGCGCCTGTGGACAGCCCTTGGGAGGTCGATGTTGATGACGATGACGAGATGCTCGACCCCGGTGACGTAGTTGATGCAGTAGATAAGGTCCTGGACTGTGATGAACTTGTGGATTCGGATGAAGTTGTTGATGGGGTGGATGACGCGCTTTGAGGGTCGGAGGTCGCGGCGCTCGTAGTCGAGGCCACAATAGCTGCAACGGAGGTGCTGGATGGCTCCACGGGCGTCTGTATGGTGGTAGCTGGAGCAGCCACTGGCGTGGCCTCGGCGATTGTGGGAGCAGCTGTAGCAGGATCGGTAGTCTGCACGGAGTCTGGTTAGCGATCTGACCAAAACGCATCATGGACGACCTCGAGTTGGCAGTGGCGTATGCTATGTATGGGTGCTAGTGACCTTGTGCTGGTCGAGTTCGTTCTCTTCTGCAAACTTACTGTGGTCACTGGGTCCGGACCCAAGATTGTTGAATAGTCAACGGTGCTGACGACGACCACATCTGTCGGCAAAGAGACGGTTGAGATGATCGTGTTGGTCACTAACCCACCGCCAACGCTGTCAGATGTTGCCACAATAGTTTCTTGACCATTTACGGTGGTGGTGAGTGTCTGTACAGCACCACCTGCATCCGTGGCCGTAACAACAGAATAGATGGTGACCAGTGAAGGCACAACTGTCGAAACAGTAGCAGTACTCAGAATAGGATCAGTCGCAATGGGTACCGAGGGCAACGCATGGGCTACCCGCACAAGGACGAATAACAGAGCCCCGACGGCTCTACAAGGGTTCAATGTGCCCATTCCACGAAACTGAGAGGCGGAACAATCGTGTGACTTGTATTTGGTGACAATGGAGAGTAATAGGCAGGGTATCTGCGGAAGATATCAAGTCTCGAATGTAAAGCGAGAATGCCGAAGTTGCGGCAGATGAAGGACATCCATTGTCTATTCTCCATGAGGGGCGGACTGAGTGTTACTCAGCTTGCTCCCAATCTGCACTACCCTTGGCTCAGTAAGTCTGCCGGTAATGGAGTGAGCTGGAGAAGAAGATGGTGTAGTGGTTGTGATTGTGGCTTCAACAGGCTCGCTAAAGTCGAAGGATGGAGGGATCGAAGATAAAGGAGGTTGAGGATAAAGCGCTGTGATTGGTTGGTGTCACAGCCACGGCATCTCTCATTTGGAAGATGCGGAAATTGGCAGGCGACTTCACCGGGATGGAGTGAGACGCCTCGCGGCATGTCTGCAGCCTTTCGGAGAAGGCGAAGCTGAGACAGTCGAGTCGATTGGTTCGGCAATATTGTCGAGCGTCGAACAGATGAAGTCAAGCTTTCATCGTCGCCCGCCTCTTTATGCAAAGCGAGGTCGTCATGATCTGCCGAAATAGGTCTGGAAGTCTGGCAGCTACCGACCAACTCTTGGACGCGTCGCGAAGCTGCAGGTGTGAGCGCGCATGTCGAGGCAAACGTGTGTCGGCCCCGGTACGACGTCCGTCTGCCGACACGAGCAGGACTGTCTCTATCGTCTCTACAACTGGGTACTGGCGGGAGTGCGATATAGTCTGCATGAGGCAGGTGGACAACATGAAGGCCCTTTCGATGGCCTCGCCGATAGCAATGACCCGTTGTCTTCATCATGGATATCTGGCCCCCAAAGACGTCAAAAGAGTGGCCGCCTCCACGGTATTTGAGAGTTCTGCCACCAACCTCTTTGCCGTGGCTTTGGATATCGGGCTGTTGTAAACTGAGTGAGCAAAGGCAGCTGGCACGTACGGTGATCCCGTTCGGGGCGGACTGCATCGACCTCAGATGCTTCACTTGGTCAACTCAACTTGTTCGAGGGTTTTTCCAACGACTGGCAGGAGATTGGCGACCTGATTGGCGTCTCTCAGAACAGCAGCGACATCATCTCTTCTGCCCGCCAATTCGTCGCGCACCTTGTCGTATGCCTTCTCCTTCTCAACGTATTCTCGAATTACTTCCTTCTTCTCGAAGTCGATGTAGACCCGGGTATCCCGCACCCTCAGCACCACATTGTCAAGTCTCATGAAAAAACGACAGAGAAGGAGTAACCGTGCAGGCATGACTCGGATCTTACAGGAGAGCATTGCGATGCCATTGTCGGCCAGCTCGTCTTCGTAGAGGATGACATCGTCGAAGAACAGAATGGGATCTGGTCTCTTCAACAACTCTAGCGGGATCTGCTCCGTGGACTCTTTGAATGGAGGACTTTCAGGTGCTAGCTCTCCCTTGTAGTCAGTTGTGTAGGACCAGTCAAACGGCTTGACCACCTCTTTGATATCATGCGTGTCCTCTCTGCTCTGCTGCCATTCTTTTGAATAGGCCACCTTCAATCTCTTCTCTCCTGTCTTGTCAACCCGGTCCAAAGCCCCGAAAGCATCGAATTTGATTCCCCAACCAGAGGACGGGTGTTCAATAGACACGAAGTTGTCGCCGAAGATCATTTCCGGAGGAGCTATTCCGAGTTTCTCGGTCATTTCTTCGATGGGCCTGGCCTTCAGGATGGGCAACTTCTGGGTCATGACTCGGAAGCCCTCGATGGAGAATGTTCGGGGAGGAGCAGCGGAGGGAGAGGGGAAGTTTGTGTTGATAGAGTGGCCGGTTCCATGGCCATTGAGAGCCATGGTCACGGCGAGGTCGTTGGGAGGCTTTTAGTGCTTCAACCGTCAGTTGCCAAAGATAGGTCAGAACGACGACGAGAGCGACAATACTCGTGAAATCGTAGTTCGTATTACAGGCTCATCAGAGCCTTGTAGTTGAGGTGCAGGATCAGAGAGAACTGTCTCATTCGTCTCCCACGCCTGAAGCCTGGGACAAGTACTAGTAGAGAGAGTGGTAGGTATCGATAGCGAGGCGGGGAATAGAGCGGCGCCGGTTGCCTGGCCGACTGCGCACTATTTACCCCGTGCACTGGCACTGCATGTCTCGCCCCGTCGCATTACTACTGCTACTACTAGATATTGCACCTCAATCTCTGCTTGAAATCTGATTCTGACCTTCAGCTACGACTAACAACACCCAGCATAGAGCCTGCGACAGCAAACAACCGCCGTCCCAAGTTTATACCTCGCTCCAGTGGACAGCGTCGCGTTGTCGCATCAGCAGAGATGGCTACCAAAACCCTAGAAGCTCGCTTCGAACATCTTACCGTGCACGATGAGAACGAAGCGCCTACGGGCACTATGCTCAAGTCAAAGGTATGTACAACTCGCAAGCCGTGACAATCTCCTGGCAATGCTGACGGTGATGATTGTTAGGCAGCCTGTCAAGGAACTATCGCAAGCCTCCCCCAAAGCCAGACGCGGCCGAACCTGGTGAAATACGCACTTCAAGCCTCGAACGAATCGAGACAAAACGCTGCTCATGTCACGACCGTCACAACCACAACCACAACCACAGTGCCTACACTACCTCCATCGCCGGTGCGGAAAGCCGTGACTTCGTCACGCACATCCGAAGACCACAACGGCGCAGCACATAAACAAGGGGCGGCGTTGAATTTCTTCGATCAGCCACAAGCTCCCAAACAATTCCACCTGGGCATGTTTGAGATCGGAAAGCCCCTGGGGAAGGGAAAGTTTGGTCGTGTGTATCTAGCCAGAGAGCGGTCGTCGGGATTTGTCTGCGCCTTGAAAGTCCTCCATAAATCCGAGCTGCAACAGGGGAAGGTCGAGAAGCAGGTGCGGCGAGAAATCGAAATCCAGTCGAATCTGAGACACCCCAACATCCTGCGGCTGTTCGGGCATTTCCACGACAGCAAGCGAATATTCCTCATCCTGGAATTCGCCGGCAAAGGGGAGCTGTACAAGCATCTCCGGAAGGAAAACCGATTTCCCGAGTGGAAAGCGGCGCAGTACATTGCTCAAATGGCTGCAGCACTCAAATACCTACACAAGAAGCATGTCATGCATCGGGACATCAAACCCGAAAACATCCTGGTGGGGATACACGGCGAGATCAAGATCTCGGACTTTGGCTGGTCGGTCCACGCTCCAAACAATCGGAGACAGACCATGTGCGGCACCTTGGATTACCTTCCACCGGAGATGCTCAAGCCCGGCAGCTCCGATAATTTTTACACTGAAAAGGTGGATCTCTGGAGTTTAGGTGTGCTCACCTATGAATTCCTGGTTGGCGAGGCGCCATTTGAAGATACGCCGATCATGACACAGCGACGAATTGCTCGCGGCGACATGACTATTCCGAGTTTTGTGAGTGCAGAAGCCAAAGACCTTATCCAACGTGTAAGTCTCCGCTCGAATCCTTTTGTGGTAATAGACCTTGACTGACCCAAACAGCTGCTTGTTCTTGACCCTGAGATGAGAATTCCTCTCGAAGACGTCCTTCGACATCCCTGGATCGTCAAGCACTGCGTGACCAAGGGTGGAGAGCGTGGTTCACAAAGAGCGTCTAACAGCAAACGCTCGAGCTCAGAACAATGACGAATGTTCCAACCATAACAAGCCGATGTAGATGATGAGATTTCTTCTGTGTTGGTGCCTCGACAAGTACATACCTGTAGGTATCTGTGCTTGATATGATGATGGGAATTTGGATCATCAGAGCGAGACATTGGTCGTTTACTGGAGCGAGGAGTTACGGAAAACTTGGACTCTTTCTTTGCACGCACTCTGGAGGTCATCAAACACACAAGGTGATGACTATGAATTCATTTGTAACTAGATGCATCTACGCCTGGTAGATACCTAGTACATCCATTGAATACATAACAGCCGTTGTTACTGTCGTGTTCCACCGTAAGATAAGAATTCCTCTGATGCTAAGTCCGCTAGCACCCTTTCGTTCTACTTCGTAGCGCACCACCCACTACTACAGGTAGTATATATAAAAAGAAAATAGGACGAACAAAGTTGCCAAAACCAAAAAAGAAAATGCCTCCTCCGGGTGGGCTTGAACCACCAACCTCCCTACGAATTGTTAGTATTTTCTTTCGTTTTCAGAACGAGTGAGGGTGACGGACTGATTGATGTAGGATTAACAGTCAGACGCGCTAGCCAATTGCGCCACAGAGGATTTGTTGCCCCACATTTTGGGTATAATATATATATACCCACACAGCATCAAATCTATCTTGCTTACAAAATTGCTTTGTCATATCCCCCATCACTTAACCGGTCACCCTAACACGGACATGAAGGATCTATCTTCTAGACACGAAGCTATGCTCACTGCATCAATTCACATATACAGCTACTTAGTAATAGAAGGACAAACAACCGACTGGGAGGCCAGGTATAGCCGCCTCAGGCTGAGGCAGAGTCAACAGAGCGGCGATGTGACTGCAGTGTTTATAGACGGATTCGAACAGAACATGTCTATTCGGTCTCCACGACCACAACCACAGAGAAGAATTGATGCTTATTGTTATGTGAAATGCAACTCAGATTGTCAGTAGAACTGAATTAAGGTGTATAAAGCAGCTGTGGGTGGAGTGTAAATCACTACGTACCTATGTAGTCATCAACATCTTGCTCTGGATTACCTTCTTATTAATTATATTCGTCTTGACCAGCGGACTTCTCCATTGCTGTATTGCACAACTGTAGTGCTACTTGCAGTATCCCATGAGGCTATCTGGAGAGCATTAGATTCCGTGGTCTTGTTGAAGATCCTCGAATTCTGGAGATCTCACTCAGAGCCACTGGCAGGCAGGAATAGATTCATCCGCCATGGGGACCGCGGGAGGCGCCCAACGAGGCATCCGGATCGCCATAGATGTGAGCCACACACGCTACGCCAGCCTGTGATTTCCTCAAGAGAAGGCCAAACTAACCAGCATACCTGATCTAGCGAGGCGGCACGTTTACCGACTGTGTGGGAAACCCAGGCACGGGACGCATGGAAGATGATATAATCATCAAGCTGTTATCAGAAGATCCCGGCAACTACGACGATGCGCCTCTCGAAGGGATCCGACGCCTGATGGAGAAGTTCACGGGCCGGCAGATCCCGCGAGGCGAGGCCCTGGACACCAGCAAGATCGAAAGCATCCGGATGGGCACGACGGTGGCCACCAATGCCCTGCTCGAACGCAAGGGCGAGAAGATGGCCATGGTGGTGACCCGCGGGTTCAAGGATTGTCTGGAAATCGGCAATCAGTCGCGCCCCAAGATCTTCGACCTGGCCATCCGCCGGCCGGACGTGCTGTATCAGAAGGTGGTCGAGGTCGACGAACGCGTAACCCTCGAAGACTACGCCGAAGACCCTGAACGGACGCAGACCAAAATCGAGGCCAGGCACGAGGACTACAAGAGCCACGATCTCGTGCAGGGTCTGTCCGGCGAGGCTGTCCGGATCCTGAAGCGGCCAGAGGAGGCCACCATCAAAGAGCAGCTCAAGGCTTTGTACGACGAAGGCTTCCGCAGTATCGCCGTGTGTCTGATGCATGGGTACACGTTCCCCGCTCACGAGGCGTTGCTTGGAAAACTGGCCCACGACATTGGTTTCCAGCATGTGAGTCTGAGCCATGAGTTGATGCCCATGATCAAACTCGTCCCGCGAGCAACGTCGGCTTGTGCAGACGCCTATCTCACGCCCGCCATCAAGAAATACATTTCTGGCTTCCAGGCCGGCTTCGAGGGCGGCCTCGGTACCGAGAGCGTCAAGCACGAGAAGGGCGATAGAGGCGCCAGATGCGAATTCATGCAGTCCGACGGTGGTCTCGTCGATGTCGACAAGTTCTCCGGTCTGCGTGCAATCTTGTCCGGGCCGGCAGGCGGCGTGGTCGGCTACGCTTTGACCTCCTACGATCCGGAGACCAAGATTCCAGTCATTGGGTTCGACATGGGCGGCACCAGCACCGATGTCAGCAGATACGGGTCTGGGCGGTATGAACATGTCTTTGAAACCACCACCGCTGGAGTCACAATCCAGTCGCCTCAGTTAGATATCAACACGGTCGCCGCAGGAGGCGGATCCCGGCTGTTCTTCCGAAACGGCCTGTTCGTGGTCGGTCCCGAGTCGGCCGGTGCTCATCCCGGACCTGCGTGCTACAGAAAAGGTGGTCCGCTCACCGTCACCGACGCCAATCTCTTCCTCGGCCGCCTCCTGCCCGACTTCTTTCCGAAGATCTTTGGCAAGCATGAGAACGAGGGGCTCGACCCGGAAGCCAGCAAGAAGCTTTTCGAAGACTTGACGCAAGAAATCAACAGCAAGACAGACAAGAGCATGTCCGCCGATGAGGTGGCCTACGGATTCATCAAGATCGCCAACGAGACGATGACGAGGCCCATCCGATCCCTGACCGAGGCAAAGGGCCACGACACCTCGCACCACCGTCTTGCCACGTTTGGGGGCGCAGGAGGCCAACATGCCGTCGCCATAGCGGAATCTCTGGGGATCAGACAGATCCTGATCCATCGCTACTCGTCGGTCCTGTCGGCTTATGGCATGGCTCTGGCGGATGTCGTCGACGAGAGCCAGGTCCCGGCCTCCCACGTCTGGGACATGGAAGGCGGATCGAGAGAAGCATTGAAGGCGAAGATGGACGAGCTCAAACAGCGATCTCGCAAACGGCTGCAAGACCAAGGCTTCGATGACGACTCCATCGTGTTCGAGGAGTACCTGAACATGCGGTACCGCGGCACTGAGTCGGCCCTGATGGTGATCAAGCCCAGCGAGGAAGAGGCCAAGGAACTCTACGACGGCGACGACTGGGCGTTCGGCGCGGCGTTTGTGCGCCAACACGAGCAAGAGTTCGGCTTCACGCTGCCGGACCGGGACGTCATCGTCGACGACGTCCGAGTCCGTGGCATCGGCAAGTCTTTCGAGGGCATGCCCAAGACGGTCGATCAGCAATTGAAAGAGGTCAAGCCGAAAGACGTCGCCCAGGACAAGGTCTACGCCACTTCACAGGTCTACTTCGAGGGCGGTCGCAAAGACACCAAGATCTACAAGCTTGAGGATCTCGAGGTCGGCACGGGCGTTGCCGGCCCGGCCATCATCGCCGACGGCACGCAAACCATTGTCGTGTCGCCGGGCGCGTCAGCGCTGGTCATCGAGACGCACGTGGTGATCAACATCGGCGACGAGGGAAGTGGGAGCAAGGCCAACGCCAAAGAGGTAGATCCGATCCTGTTGTCCATCTTCGCGCATCGCTTCATGGCGATTGCGGAGCAGATGGGTCGGGCACTGCAGAAGACTTCTGTCTCGACTAATGTCAAGGAGCGTCTGGATTACAGTTGCGCCCTGTTTGACTCCGCGGGCGGCCTGGTCGCCAACGCACCCCATCTGCCTGTCCACCTGGGCAGCATGTCCACCTGCGTGCGGACGCAAGCGGAGATCTGGAAGGGGAAGCTGAACAGGGGCGACGTGATCGTCTCCAATCATCCAGAGTACGGCGGTACCCATCTGCCCGATATCACCGTTGTCACGCCTGCCTTCTCACCGTCCGGAGAGATTTTATTCTACGTGGCCTCCCGAGCCCACCACGCAGATATTGGAGGCATATTGCCGGGGTCAATGCCGCCACATTCGCGCGAACTGTACCAGGAGGGCGCGGCGATCAAGTCGGAGAAGCTCGTTTCCGAAGGCCATTTCAACGAGAAGCGTATCACAGAGCTTCTCTACGATGAGCCGGCGCAGTATCCGGAGTGTAGCGGGACCCGTTGTTTGGCGGACAATCTGAACGACTTGAAGGCACAGATCGCGGCGAACCAAAAGGGCATTGGTCTCATCAGTGCCCTAATCGAGGAGTATGGCGAGGATGTCGTGCAGTTCTACATGCTTAATATTCAAGAGAACGCTGAACGATCAGTGCGTGAGCTGTTGAAGGACGTAAGCAAGCGCTTTGAAGGGCAAGATCTCCAGGCCACGGACTATATGGATGATGGAAGTCCTATATCTCTACGAGTCACAATTGATCCGCACAAAGGAGAAGCAGTGTTCGACTTCGAGGGCACCGGCCCTGAAGTGTACGGCAACATCAATGCCCCAGAAGCTGTGACCTACTCAGCCATCATCTACTGTCTGAGGTGTCTGATTGACCAAGACATTCCGCTGAACCAGGGATGCTTGAAACCCGTTGACGTGCGCATCCCTCCCGGCAGTTTCCTCAGTCCGAGCGAGAAAGCTGCAGTGGTCGGTGGAAACGTGCTGACAAGCCAACGCGTTACCGACGTGGTGTTCAAATGCTTCGAAGCCTGTGCGGCCAGTCAAGGAGACTGCAACAACTTGACCTTTGGTTTCGGAGGGAACGTAAAAGGCGGCGCGGCCAAAAAGGGTTTTGGATATTACGAAACCATTGCTGGCGGTAGCGGTGCCGGCAAAGATTGGGAGGGTACCAGCGGTGTCCATACCCACATGACGAACACGAGAATCACGGATGCTGAAGTGTTCGAACGACGTTATCCTGTGATTTTGAGAGAATTCGGTCTCAGAGCTGGAAGTGGCGGAATTGGACAGCACAGAGGTGGTGATGGTGTCATTCGAGATATTGAATTCAGGATTCCTGTGCAGGTGAGCATCCTCAGTGAAAGGAGAGTATATCACCCATACGGTCTGCACGGTGGAGGAGATGCTCTATGTGGGAAGAACATTTGGGTCAGAAAGGTCAAGAAAGCGAAGAAACGAGGGGTTGGGGGTGAGCATGAAGGGAAGCGCAGAGAAGAGGGTGAGAACGATGAGTTCGAATGGAGGCATATCAACCTCGGTGCGAAGAACACCGCCAGTATGCAGCCTGGTGAGAGAATCATCGTGGTAAGTTCCTGTTCCTGTCTTGCCAGACATGACTTGTTTGACCGCAGCGCTAACATGTCCTCTAGATGACACCTGGTGGCGGCGGCTATGGCAAAGTCGGTGAAAAGTCCAAGGTCGAACTCAAGGAGGATTATGAGAAGCACTGGAAGAAGGGCAGCTTGGCTTCCCGGTTGGCCGAATGGGAGAGCAGTTCGTGAACGCTGCTGTGCGAGGCTTCTTGATACAGATCAGTCCGGTCTGCAGCTTATGTGGTCAGCAGGTTCTTGGGATCGAAAACGCCAGGATAACGTACCATCGAGCCACTAGCTCTTCAATCTATTAAGCCAATTGTTGGCAGTGACTTCGTGCTCTCGGTGCATTCACATCACCTCGAATGGACTGGTGGGCGTATGCCATTTTGATCGGGTTCGACTCTTCATATTGCCACAACGGATGGCTTCACTCTTCTTCATCGCTAGTTGCTTCGATATTGGCCTTTTTGGAGTCCATTTCTTCTTTGACATTGGTGTCGTCGTCGTTTTCCTGCCCGCCATTCTGCGATGCTGCGGCTGGAGCGATGCCACTGTAATCGGGTCGTGGTACTGTTTCGCCTTGTTTCTGGAGCAGTCCCTCTATCTGAGGCATGATATCGATGAAGGCGGAATACTGCGCGAGGCTCATCGAGATCCCCTGGTTTGAACCTGGTCAGCAACTTGAAGCTATGGCTATCAGGCTTGAAGCTATACCTTTTTGCTTGGTAGCCATTCATTGTCCTTCTGATAGTATTCTCGGATGTTGACCAGCTTCTTGCCGTTGAAATCTGAAATAGTCACGCGTCGATTCTTGGAGATCTCCCAGAATGTGTTTCCGTCCGAGTCTGTCTGTGGTTTCGTGTCCGGTTGAAAAGGATTCCCTGAGGCGTCTTTCGCGCGCTTCGGCGGCACATCCACGTCGACGTCACTATCGTCGCGCACGATGGCAGCAGACTTGCGTTTTCTCATTCTGGGAGCCATGGAGAGAAGAACTCCTTGAGAGAGAATCAGTTCTTCGCAATTCCTGAGCGTGATAGAAGTCAACAATCGTTGAAGTTCTCTGCAGTGTCATGTAAACACTTTTCTGGTGCGACGCGGTTCCTGCCTCGCCTGAGGATTTCATTCACCGATTCGAGGAAGTCGCGACGGAGATAAGACGTCATAGCCAAGAGTAGACTAGCGCATATGTCACGTGCATTGCAGCCACTCAGAGAAGAGCCTGCGTCCCCTCTCTTCCCGATCTTTCTGTCGTCAATCATTTACTTATCATCCTGCGCCGACCCTCGAAAGATTAAACCTAACAACCTACCACTCACTCACGCAAATACAACCCACGATCGAACTCTGCAATCTATCGAAGAACCACCGGAATACTTCATACAAACAACACGATCATCGATACCCGCACACATGATGTCTCGACGAGCTCTGTTCAGCGTCCCTCGCGCGATTTCCACCTCGGTCCAGGCCTCCGTCCGACCCTCTCTCGCCTCCCAGACCGCCTCGCCATTCCTCAGACCTGCCGCTTCGCAGCCATCGCAGAGACGGTCATACCATGAGAAGGTGTTGGACCACTATTCGAACCCGCGAAATGTTGGCTCCATGGACAAGTCTGCGGTCGATGTTGGTACTGGTGAGTAATACTGAGCTTATGTCCGATCCTCGCTCGGACTATCCGGGCTTCGGTCGATAAGGCCTCAACAATTTTACCAACTGTTACTGACCGCGGACTCTCATCTTCTAGGCCTCGTTGGCGCCCCAGCTTGCGGCGATGTGATGAAACTGCAAATCAAAGTCGACCCGAACACCCAGACCATCTCCGATGTCAAGTTCAAGACGTTTGGCTGCGGTTCGGCCATCGCCTCGTCCTCGTATCTGACTGAACTGGTCCGCGGCATGACCTTGGAGCAAGCAGGAAAGATCCGGAACACCGAGATTGCCAAAGAGTTGTGTCTTCCGCCTGTCAAGCTGCATTGTTCCATGTTGGCCGAGGATGCCATCAAGTCCGCCATCTCGAATTATTACCAGAAAAAGTAAGTCTTATCAGTTACCCTGTTGGCTCGTCCTGTTACTAACCAACATGAACAGTCCTAAGGCTAGGGCTACGGACTTGGGCAGCTCTTCGGCGCAGATGCCTAAGATTGAGATCGAACAGGTGACGGCAACGACGGATACCGGGGCCAGCGCCACCGCCTAAAAATTGCATCTATATTCCATAAAACAATGTCAATGCGAACAACCCACCTTCATTGTTCACCACCACTCGTCCGCCTTTCGTTTGGATGGCGTTCTGGATTCGGCGTTTTGCTTCCACATTCACGTCCCAGTCGACCACAACAATCGTAACGCATCTCGACCAGATCTGACCCGCCACTATTCTTGTCCACTCTTTGATATGGTCGAGGAGTAGGGGAAGGGGCGTGGGATGGTGTCACTTCCCTGTGCAAGCATCTTCGGAGGGGAGGTCTTCTTTCGTTTCGGGGCGGTCGAAGTGACAGGACCGAGATGTATAGGCGAGATTGAGCACGATGTCCCTATGTATATGTAGCTACAGGAATGAGAAACTTCGTTCCCCCACTGACCTCTGATGGAAACCATTTGCGCGGATGATTGTAGTACTACCTAGTATGTGGTCACCACTGGATGGCGTTGTCATGACTGCGATGTCAAGCCGATCTTTGCGCGTCAGCATCAATCTGTGTCCCTCAGTATATTGCGAACTGTGCATTGGATGTACCGACGACTCGCACAAATCCCGCACAACAACCTGTTCGACACCGACACCGACACCGTCGCGGGGCTACCTTACCGTACCTTATGCTTCAAGTTGCTTGTGTGCTTTTCTCCTAGTTTAAGACACAAGATAGGTAGACTCGACAGGAATGAACGGCTAATACTACTGCAGGAAATGCGTACTGGCAGCGAGACGGGGGAATAGTTGTACCATCTATCATCAAGGCTCACGATTTCTCGCGTTATCTCATCTCGTCTCATCTCCAAGAGTTCAAGGGTTCCTAGTTCTCATTGGAGTACTAGCACTAGTAGATAGTATCAAACGCTTCTTCTGAATCGCTCAACACGTTTGGCAGAAAAGTCCACTCCCGATCGGAGGTTGGTGGACCATTCCCTAGGTTCTTCGTGTACTTACTGCCACTGCCACGGCTTATCACGAATGCCTATTTGGCAACACACTGATCTGATGTCGTAGACATGACACGGCGACTGAGTTCTAGTCTTGTATTTTTCGCCTCTTCGCCGCTGGGAGACACTAGTCCTAATATTCCTCCATCATGTCCTCGTCAACGTCGTCCGCTGCGGTCGCTGTGCGAGCGGTGCTGGCCCCGAGTACGGGGTTCTTCTTTTCCTCGTCTTTCGCCTTTTTCAGCTTTTTCAGGTAGTCGATGTACTCCTTGCTGACTTCCATCCGGTGTTCGGTGTCCTGGATGTGGCCGAGCAGACTCTTCAATTCTCGCGTCTGCACGGCCAAATGTCTCTCATATTCTGTTTCAGGCTTGAAAGTCGTCGCTGCCGGTTGAAAACGGAGGATCTGGTCTTTGGTGCCGTCAGCGTCCGAGATGGCTGCTTTGACGTCGCCGCCGGCTATCAAGGTCTCGAGATATACTCTCGTTTCATCCACGTTGGAGGCGTCCGGTGAAGTTCGTCTCGCCACTTCGCTGATGGGTAACGCATCATACGTTCGGCCGAGTCTAAGGACGGAGAATTTCCGGAACGCTTCGAAGACTTCGACCATGAGACCGTAGTTTCCTTCTTCTTGCCAGATATTGCCACCCGCTTCGATTTCGGCGCGTAGTTTCTGCGCATTGCCGACCTTGAAGGCATCTGCGACACACTCGTATGGTTTGGCAGCAGCCCGGATATGCTTCATGGCTGATTGGCTGGCGCTTTTTGGTATTGAAGGTGCTGCTCCTCTGAGCAACAGACCCACGAGAAGCCACTTCTTGTATGCTTCCACCATGATTGAGCTTGCGACATTTTGTAGCACTGGAGCTGTGATGACCACTTCTAGAAAAAACAAGGCATCTTTGTATCGTCTCATGGCCAGGTAGCACATCCCACCCAATAGATAGTATTCGAGATACGTGCGACTCGACACAGGATGTGTGAGACCAGTTGCTGAGGTCAGATACGTCCAGGTCGGGTCGGAGCTACTGCAGAGGTATTTGTAGGTGCGCGGGTCGACTTGGGTGGTAGGGATGTGATAGATCGGTCTGTCCAGGATGTCAATAGCTTCGCTGTATGCCTGTGAAAGCAGACAGAGCCGAATGAACGATCGATGGGTGGAAGTAAGAGTGGACGCGGTGCTGTCGAGCCGCAGGATGACATGATGGAGCAGCTGTATGGCGGGTATGTAGTTTGAGGTCTGTTCTGCGCCCCAGGCAACATAATCCACCAGGCGCGTCAACTGGGGGCCGCAGTATCGCACCTGAATAGGATCGAAGTCGAGGAGGGTCTGCACAATATGAGGCCATAACGGTGCTTCGGGAAGGACGGTGGGTGGTAGTTGTCGGGGGACACCTCTCCCGTTTGCGGAGGAGGCTTCGATTGTTGCCAATAAGGCGTAGAGGTAGAGTATCGTATGGCTAGCTGGGGAAATAGCCTAATCCAAGATCAGTCTCTTCCGACAGCATATCTTAGGATGCGCTCTTACAGTAAGGATATCCTGCGTGGCTGCTAGATCTTCTAGTGGGATCTTTCGGAGTTTGGAAGAGAGAGCCGCCGCCAGTTTGTCGTACTGCTCCGGATCCTGAGTGAGGAGGACATGGTCGAGAGCCGCGCTTTCATCCAGGATCTTGTCCATGGCGCCTGTTGGGAAGGGAGGTGCGTTGGTGGTCTCCGATCACGAGGCTGCCATGTGGGAGGGTTCAACACGATGGAAGGACGGGTTTCGGGTCGTGAAACGAAAGACGGGTGTTGTCGACGCGGGTTTCGCTGGTGGATAAGAGTGTTTGGTGCAATAAGAGCTATGAAGAACACCGCAATGCCGTTGGGCTTGCGAAGGAACGCTGTCCCACGAAGTCGACTCAATACTGGATTACTAGGTAGTAATTCGTTGTTGGAAGGCCACTCCAGACTGCGATGCCTGGCGTCACTCTTAGGACCCTAACCGCAGGTGCGCACTGTGTACAAACAGTACGCCGTACATTACAGCACTACAGGGACTACTACTGCACAGTATTGCATCCGGTAAAGCATTCCCTTACGAGATGAAAGCATTCCCCCAGCTTCTGGCACTGCATCAATGAAGCCTACATGGAAATTGGGCCGACACTGTTACTGGTAGAAATCTGCGATGAAAGAAATGTGCAATTCCAGCTCCGACCGAGAGCTATGCGTGGTATTAAGTCTGATTCTATCTGCTGGTACCAGATGAAATCAGGGAGTTCCTGTTGACCGTCATCATCATTCATCTCTTTAGAATGCTAACCAAAATTCGAAAGCATCTTCACATTTGTGGTACAATTGCCCGGTCACCGTCGCATTGGAGATGAACCACTCGATCCTGTCGTGACCTCCACATCCTCAAAATCCAGATCCCACGCATCCACATCTGCCCACTTTCCCAGGGTGGTAATGGCTGTTTTGGCCTTGTTGATATTGGTGGTATCCAGGCGTCCGCCCGAAGACTTCACTGACGTTGGGCCCCTTTCGGGGGTTTCAATGCCGGACTCGTCTAGCGATCCATGATGCTGAAGGTCGAAATTTTCTTTGTCTGCGCCAGTGTGATCTTGCGATCCGTGGGGGGAGCCACCAAGCTGCTTCGACTTTCCCTGCCCGTTCCTTCGGCGCCCGTTGTTCGTTCGTTTGGTGTTGAGATTCGAAGAGTTGACGGTGGAAAGCTGCGACGGAGACTTAGTTGAGTGATTTCTTCCGGACAAAATAGGTGTACAGGGCGCAAGGACAGGCTCTTTGGTAGCCATGAGGTGACTCGTACTTGTATTTGCATTTGACCGGTTGGCGGCACCACGACCGCTCTGCTTGACAACAGTGCCACGTTTGGTACCACCACCGGCTTTGAACCCCCTATTCACCGCTGCTTGCATCCGGCGGGGTTTTCGCCCTTTCTTTGCAGGCAAGAAGATCGATTCATCCTCTTCATCAGCCGGGTCAGATTTCTCGGACCTATGAGAATCGGAGTCGACAGGAATGTCGAATTCGCTCTGCATTTGTGTCCGCGTCCTAGCGGTCCTTCGTCGTTTCCTAGGCATCATTAGGGCTTGAAGTTCCGCCGTGGCCAGGGTAGGTGCAAGCTTGGGTGCTTTCTTCCTCCGGTGTCTGGTGGGCGCCGGTGTGTTCGGTTTCACAGGTGACAGTGAAAGCGAAGAACTACTCCTGGGGAGAGCCATGATATCTTCGTCTTCACGAATATGCTCCCGGGATTTTCGGCCTCGTTTTCGAAGCGTGGATACTGCGACCGTGGGAAGAGACGGCTCTGGTGTCCCGGCTCGATCGGGCGAACTTGCCGCCGGTCGAGGGGCTTCCGATGAGGTTCTCTCGACCAAGGCCGGTTGGAAGTTAGAGGCTGGGCCCAACTTACGCTTCTTCGAGGATGAGTGCAAGGAGGTGTGCGAAGATTTGGTGACTGGCGTTGAAGAAACGTTGTGCGATATAGCAAGATTCGTGGGAGTTGACTCCGAATCAGGAAGAAATCGTTCTTCGTCTTCAAGGTCCAAAGTTGACGAGTCAGGTTCGAGCGCTTGCAAAATGCTAGGTTGCCTTCGCCTGGGCTTCAGCGTGCCCAGAATCGAGTTCTCCCTCGTCGGCGTAGGCTGTGCAGACCGCAAAACACTTGCCGGTGGCTTCACAGCGGATGACGGAACTGGAGCAGGTACAGGCCTCTGCCTGGTGGCCTTGTCGGCATTGCCCTTCGCAAGAAGCGGCCTTTGAGGAGCCTCTTTGTTGGTGACACGCTGCGGAGAGTCGTCTGGTCGAGTCCGTGCCAGTATATCGTCCGTTGCTTTGGTCAAACTTCTCCTTCTCTGGACCCTGGTGGGATGCGCGCCCGGTGTATCACCCTTTCCCACGGCACCCGAAGCAAAGATCTCCTGCCTGGGCGCGTTTCTACCACGTCTTCCACGTCCCTTCACCACTAGCCTGTCGCTGTCGTCGCTGTCGTCCGGTCTTTGCCCGATGGGTTTCTGCGCGAGTCTCTTTTGTAGCTCCAGCCGCGCAGGACTACTGCTGGGAATCTTTCTGTGGGCGCGAGGGGAGGGCCCATTGCGGTTGGGCTGTCTGCGCCGGAGCGGCGCGCGCGGCATGGTAGCTGAGCGCCGATGACCTGCAGCAACGGAGACAGCTGACGAGGGAGTCCGACTTCCAGGCCGAAAGAGAGGACGGCGGTAGCCTTTCGGAGGTGTGGATAGTCTTCTCTGATAGAAGTGGTGTTGAAGTTGTGCAAGGATTGGCGATAAGCAAGGCAAATCTTGACGCGAGTGATGCGCGCAGGATGCGGGCACAGCACCACTTGTTTGGTGGGTTCAGTTTCAAGTTCAAGTTGTTGATGGGCCCGCTCAGATCCGCCGTAGATTATGATGTAATTTATTACTAAGTGTTGCTGTGGAGCGTGGCACGTGTTCGGAGTAATAGTTATCTGACGCCGCTTTAACATTATCGTGAACCGGAACCCCTTGAGAGGCTGGATTCATTCAGTGTAGGTCTATAGCATGAAATATGTATAACCCAGAAGAGCAACCTTTGCAGGTACCTCGCTAATACGAGGTGAACGACGTTCTCTGCTCTGTCCATTGCGAGCAATTCTTCATCTGCCTGTTCAAAAAGCTTTCAGGCCAAATAAGCTGTGCATTAACCCCAGGGGTATGGTGGTGTCACTCAACCGCCCATTTGTATGTATAGTTTTATCGTTACTGCCTTTTTTATCTCCTCACACCAACCCCATCACAGGGAATTAAAGAGCAGGACCCCCAGGACAAGGACCGCCAGACTCCCGACCCTGGATAGAGGATGATCTGTCCCCAAGAGCTTGCCCACTCCGTTGGACGTGCTATTGCCACTCTCGCCATCGCCAGTGTTGATTCCAAAGGGCAGGCCCTGATACCCGAAGGTCAAGTTCTGTGGGATTGATGCATTGTAGCACTGACCATTGACGATGTCGAGGCCTGTCAAATCATCCGGGACCTTGAAGAACATATAGCTCTGCTGGTTGAGGTTCTTAAATCCTTCCGTATTGTAGGGAAACTTGTCGCCCGAGTCCGTGGCGGAGGTGTTGCGCAGGAAGATACATTGTACCTGGCCGGGGTACTGCGTGGCCATTTCAGGGTAGTCGCGCATGACGTCGGAGTTGCTTGTGTCGGCGATCAAGATGAACTTGCGGTGGGGAAAAGTTTGAAAGACCCTATCCAGGAGCCACTTGCGGATGGACAGGGTGGCAGAGACATCACTGAAGTTGAGGGGACGGGTATCGAAGCTGCCACCAGGATACGTGTCGTATATGAACTGCATATAGTTGCGCGTGATTTGCTCTGGGGTCGTGGTCAAATAGTGGAAATGCATATTGGGCAGGCTTGTGGACCAGTTGCGGTAGATATCGGGCATGTTCATCCAGGGGGTAAAGGGGCGCGCGAAGGAGTTGAGCAGGCCTTCTTTCGGCTGATAGATTTTGGTAACCCGGAGGATGTCATCAATGTCACTGATAATGGTCAGGCCCTCGCCCGAGACCAGGTACGAGGTTGCATTGCCGGTGTCGGTCCCCTGCGCATAGACATTGAGTCTCTGAGGCGGGATCTCGCCTACACCGGGTGTCAACGCAAAAGAGTTATTGTCGATGGGTATGAAAACGTCAAAGTCGCCTTCTGGAGTTGTCGGATCAGGCAGCGTCACGACCTGCTCGCCTCCTGCCGGGGTCACTCCACCACCACCTCCTGGCTGTCCACTGGAGCCGAACTCAGGTCCAGGTAGGATAACCATAGTGACGTTTTGGCGAGCCTGTTGGACGACGTAGATCTCTCTGGTGAGATTGCGAGCTTGGTCTTGCTGCGAAGAAGGAAGGTCTGCAACACTAGTGTCTATCAGAAAGAAGTTGGCCAAGCGATCCACGGTGTCATTGGAAATGTTTGGCTGCTTGAACACATTGCCGTGAATGCGTAGGTTCCAGCCATCGTCAGTCCAATTGCCATATCCCGGTATGTTCAAGACCTGCGTTGGAGAAGCTGCAAGGTCGGAACTGCTCACTCCTACCGAGCTCATGACCGCAGAACCGGTGGGCAAGCCTTGCAAGCCAGGGAGCAAGCCATTGGAGACGTAAGATGGGATCGCCGTCCCCAACTCGCTGAATATCGAGTTGACATATGAGTCTAGCTCTGAAGTCAGGTCGCCAATCACTCCCCTCCTGGCTCCCGCATAGGATCCATAAACCGCAAGTGTGGGCGTGGGAGCCGGGGTTATCAAAGCCTTCTCATCCAAAGCTACCTCGGTGGGTAGGGCAAGGCCACCATTGTGGTGGAACGAGGAGGCAAGGAGGAGGAGAAAGACGTAGGTATTTCTGTACATTGAGGCTGAGACTGTCAGCGAAAGTGAAGCGATTTTGGCATACATGCCTACCTGCGCGTGGCTATATTCTGTGCATGCAACAAGCTCGTCGAAACAGCCCTGGTCGCTATGACACTTGCATTCTAGGTCAGCAATAACAGCGGCTATAGCATAGCAGGAAATACGCAATAGAAGTAAAGAGCGGAGAGACACGCGTAGGAACTGGAAGAAGCACAAGACGAGAAGATTTCAAGACGAGGATTGAAGGATGCGCCAGACATGGCTACATGATAAGTAGGTACCTACTAGTACGTAGTAGGTGCCCTTGGTGCCAATCTCCTAGCACCCCAGCTATCTACAAAGTATGTCTGGTAGTAACATTGAAAAGGAGGCGCCATGCCAACATCTAAGATCTCGAGGCTGGTTGCGGGCCGTATCTGTCATGATGTCATATCACATGACCCACTCACCCCAGGTCACATGCTGCCTTCATCCCCAATCGGGCGTAGTTCGTCAATCCTTATTTTGGCTGCGATGCGTTCTCCTGCAGTTTGAATACAACGAGGAGCAACTTGAATGCAGCGGGCGTACATCCTCCCCAATCTCCTGTGCGTCAAGGTCTGACCACAGTCTGCGTATAGGCCGTGGCTACGCTGGCCAGTGCATACAGCCATGCTGTTCTCTCCCAACCCGCCGTACAGGCCGCCGCCCAATCGATCGGACGGCCCGTCGTTACAACTTGGGTGATCGACCAGCATTGCCCAGACCGAAGACTGAGCTCTCCTTCTTTCTACTGCATGAGTGGTCGTGCCTCGTCTCTCGAGCTTTCGACATGCCTCTATCTACGCTCAGAGCCTCGTCTAGAATCGTTGAGGGTCGATCTGTCGCGGCTGAGAACGAGGAAAGGAAGGATCAGCAGAAGCCACCTTTCTATACCCCGTTCCTCTAATATCACTCTCCCCATGTACTAGCAGTGCTTACTTGGGGTCAGTTCCAGACTCCCGCACAATGGTGTTGCCATGCAGACTTGACAATCTTATTCGTTCAGGTAGGTCAGCTAACCGGGAGTCTGTTTACATTCGAATCAAGGTAGGCGGTCAAAACACGCCCAAATGGCTTGCGACTCATCCCTTGAGCCTTGATGCTCCAGCGCGCGCGCGTGTGAAGTATGTCAAAGCGACCAGCAATGATCTCTTCATTCCTTCAGACGATCCTCAAATTCCAACTCCATGGTATCTGGCGGGGAGTCTGTGCGTTGGTAGTCGAGATGGGGATACTGGTTGGAATGCTGCATTCTGACCCTTTTGTTATGATCGCGTCGTGGGAGCCGGCGCTCTTCAAAAGCAAACAGTGTCTACCGTTCTCTTGGTTTCCGTCCTGCCAGTCACTCGTTTGGTTTCAAATCTGCGGTCTTACACTTGCTGTTCAGTCTTGTCAAAAAGCCAACGGCCATCATGCGGCCGTCTTTGTCGCTCCTTTTACAATCCCTCGCCCTGCGCTTGGCAGTGGTTAACGGCCAGGCTTTGGCGACAGTAACCTACGGACCCGGTGGGCCATGCTCGGCACCTCTTGTCACCAGTGTTATTGTACAGCCAGTCTACTACAGCTCTTTTTTTCAATCTGCGTCGCAGATTGTGAACATCTTCGGCAATGGGGAAACGATCACCATCGGCAATGCTCCGACGACGTACATCCAAAACACATATATCACAACAACCATAGTCTCTACCGTCACAACCATGATCAATCCTTCCTCGTTGAGCTCTTCGGTCTCGGGGACCTCATCCACCACCACTTCCGGAAGTGATATCGGGCCCGTCACCACCAGTGCGCTCAGTTCTTCCAGTGGTTCGACTTCGTTGTCGAGCATTACTCCTACCCCAAGCTCGATTACGACGACAATGTCTGGCTATCCTACTGCTCCACCCACAATATACAGCACTGTCGCGCCTCCCATCACGATACCTACACCGCAACCCGTCTTACTCTCTACCTCCGTTGATTCGCAGGGGAATACAGTGACTGTCACAGTCACCCAACCAACATTTACCTTGGGTGAAGGTCTCCAGAGTGGGGTGCAAACCAAGATACCGGCAACATCACCAGTCCTGGTCGGCATCGCTTTCGGTGGCCCAGGTGCCAAAGTAAAGAGACAGGCTCCAACTGCTGCTCCCAGCTCGACCTTGGATGGGCCTCAGCCGGCAGGATTGCTCCAAGGGGATGATGGAGGATCTGGTAACAACTGCGGCTTCGCAACCAGGTGGTATCTGTCAGAGGGTATGCTGCTCGCGGGCAATGACTCTGTCGGGCGCAATTTCAGCGACTTCTACGCCCGAATAACTCCTCAACCATGGGTCAACGACGTGGACACCACTTTCTACTTCAATGATGGTATCCTTGGCTGGAACAGCTCAGATCAGGGACCGGCGACCTTCTATCAATGTGGCGACTCTCTGGTGTACGCTGGGTTTCCGTATCCTCCACGAGAGGACTGCTATGTCGTAACATTGGGTGGTATAGCAGCTGCAGCGTGTCCTGTAGACTATACGGATTCAGCTGTTGAGACGTCTACAACGACAACATCGGATAGTCCCGAAAGTACCACGACCTTGTCTGTTCCGGATACAACGACGACATCTGATATTACCACCACCTCGGATATGCCAAGCTCGGCGTTGACAACAACTGCTGGAGTTTCTTCCGTAGACTCCACGACCACGTCCCCTATTGCACCACCAACCAGCTCTCCTACGCCGACTTCGTCTCCGGTGCCTGCTTCAACCTCCAGCTCTCCTTCGCTCGTGCCGACCAGCTCGACGACGACCCACACAAGCACTGCAGCTTCGGTCCTGACAACGGCTTCAACCAGTAACACAGCTGCTTCCCCAGTGTCAACCTCTCCGACGTCTCTGGTGCTTCCCACGACAAGCACAACGTCGATCGCAGGTGCCTCCGTGGTGACCAGCACTTCCTCAACAACCTCCACCCTGCAGAGTACCAGCGCGAGCACCAGCAGAGTCTCCTCCACTTCTACTGGAGGAACAAGTGAGACGTCCAGTTCATCGGTAGTGGTTGGGACGACGAGCACAACGTCTTCGTCCGGAAGTCAGACTAGCCCTGCGTCGTCATCCTCATCTGGAACGAGCAACGGACCTGCTGGTGTATCAAGCACTACTTCAGTGGTTGGCCAGAGTACGAGTTCGACGACTCAAGGTTTGACGAGCTCTGTCTCGACTACTTCAGCAGGTATGGTGTCTTCCTCTCCTAGTTCTTCCACCTCTGTCCCTCTTCCAAGCACTTCCTCCCCGTCCCCAAGCAGTGGTTCGACAACGAGTACCGTATCATCCACGTCTCTGGTGGCAACTACATCGTCGACGACAACCTCAACATTGAGCTCCTCGTCGTTGGCGCCGGAGGCAGGGTCTTCGAGCAGCTCCACTACGACCACGACGCAATCCACAACAACGTCTCCAAGTGTGTCTTCGTCCTCCACTACTGGCTCATCAACTAGTCATACAAGTTCAAGCTCAGGTATGTCTCCTAGACCGTTTTTCACGAGTTCATCAACCCTTTCCATATTATCTTCAAGTGTGTCTTCGTTAAGTCCAACAACCACATCAGCTGTGACTACTACGCCTCCGGGTTCAACGACTACGACGGATCCAGTGGCTCCAGGAACAATCAGCTCAATCACTAGCTCGACTACAGTAAGCACAACTACCAGTTTGGTAACCACCACGAGCTTGAGCCCGAGCAGCACCACGACTACGAGCACGAGCACTACTACGACTTCGACCACGAGTTTGAGCACGAGCACAGGACCAACGTCCTCGACCACTACGACGTCGAGTGGGACCAGCTCTTCTAGTTCATCCTCAGGTACGTCAAAAGTTGTCAGTTCAAGTACATCTGCCTCTTCTACCACAACTACTTCCCTCGATACTGGTGGAGCTGCTACGACAAGCAGTTAACAAGGCACATCTACAACCACATCTGGAGGGACAACTCCAAGTACTCAGTCTGGAACAACTACACAGACAACATCAACGGGTACCACAAGCAGTAGCACCACCACCACCACCACCACCACGGCGTCCAGTACGCCATCTACAACGTCCAATACCAGTGTGACTTCCTCGAGTGTGAGCCCACAGACAACGACGACCACTGGTGCTACTACTACAACAATAACACCAAGCGCAAGCGCATCGTCGACAACTGGATCGACATCGCAGAGCCAGACTTCTACCACTCTGTCTTCATCTAATAGCGCTTCTTCTACCTCTTCGTCTGCAAGTACGTCAACCCCTCCCTCGACTACTTCGTCAACTACTTCATCATCCACAAGCTCTGTCTCGGCGACTACATCAACAACGACAAGTAGCACTCAGAGCACTACACCGATGGTTACATCGTCTTCAAGCTCGACATCGGTGACCAGCACCTCGTCAAGTAGCTCGCTGTCCACCTCCTCGTCTACTCCGTTGTCCACCTCGACGTCTACCTCGACGTCTACCTCGTCTTCTAGCTCATCGTCTACTCCGTTGTTCACCTCGACGTCTACCTCGTCCACCTCGACGTCTACCTCGTCCACCTCGTCGTCTACCTCGTCCACCTCGTTGTCTACAACGTCTTCTACTCCGCTGTCCACCTCGTCGTCCACCTCGTCGTCCACCTCGTCTTCTACATCGTCTCCTACTCCGTCGTCGACCTCGTTGTCTACAACGTCTTCTACTCCGTCGTCTACCTCGTCGTCGTCGTCGTCTTCGTCTACATCTGGAAATGGTACTAGAAGTACTAGAAGAAGTGCCCGACGTGGAAGCCGTGCTCGTCGTCTCAGTGCTTATGGATGTGCTCGTCGTCTCAGTGCTTGAGTACTTCTACCACGTCGACCACTACAACTGATCAAACTACTTCGTCAAGTAGTACGACAACTCCTTCTACCACGTCTACGACTTCTACTTCAACAACTAGTGCTCCAACTACGTCGACGACTACCACAAGTGCGCCCACAACTTCAACCAGTTCTACTTCGACGACGGATGCCCCGACTACTTCCACCACGAGTACCACTTCTATTACCTCGACTACTACATCCTCGACTACTACATCCTCGACTACTACATCCTCGACCACCTCAACAACCTCCACGCCCACCACATCTCCCACTACTTCGACTTCTACCACTTCTACTTCCTCCTTGTCATCTTCTACTAGTACCACAACGTTGCTAACAACTACTACCACTACAGCCTCCACTAGCACTACTACCAGCACAACTCCTGGCACGACCACAACCACGACAGCCACTACAACGACCACGACCGCCACTACCACGACCACTACGACGCCTTCTACCACGACCACGACCACGACTGCAGCGCCTACAACGACAACGACGACAAGCACAACAAGCACAACAAGCACAACAAGCACAACCACAACACTTGTGACTACCACAACGACGACGACGATGACGACGACGACATCTACAACGAGCTCAACTACGTCTTCCACTGGATCGACCACTTCCACGACGACCACAGGTATCACACAAGTCCCACCAAATTACACTTCGTTGGCTTCGACTGTTTATGCCTCAACGGTGTCGAGCTCGTTGGGCACCGGGACATTGTGCGCCGGTTCCAATGTTGTTGCAACCAGTCAGGCGTCATTCCCCATCTACCCGGGCGCATACAATTACCAAAAGGTTGCGTTATCCAACAACCCGACAGCCGTGTACGAGGTGGAATGCTATATGAACGCCAACTCCGGCAGTCAATATCGGCCGCCTACCACAAACGTCTATTCTCTCGAATACTGTATAGATCTGTGCAATCAGGTAGGGCCCGCGGCTTGCACTGTCGCATATTGGGCGGCAGGAGAGAATACCTGCACACTTTACCCGACCTCCGCCAGCGGCGGTGGATCGGCGCCGGGCGGTCTGACTCCCAACTCGATGACTTTCAACAAGGTGCGGACAGCAAGGCTGCTTACCGCTGCGGCTCCGAACGTTGTGGACGCGACGTATCTCCTGGGCCCTAGCCCACAATACAACCTGGGTCTCTGCACCGGGCCTGGCTATTATGACAAGGCCTTCATTGGAGTCTACCACCTAGACAACACCATTCGGCCGGGGCGTGCAGATCTGTGGTTCGTCAATTGCTTCGGCAACACGTACTACTCGTCGGGGATCGCCAGTAACCAGTTGACGCCGACGCAGATGACCAGTGTGCAGACCACCGCAGGTGTCGGAGCCCCTGCAACGGCAGACGACTGTGCCCGGCTTTGCGCGTACGCCAACGTGGCCGCCGTCGACGCCGGCACGCTGAATTGTCGATTGTGGCACTGGCTCACCACCAACAGCTGTGTTCTGTTTAGCAGTCGAGGCACTCCGCCCACCACGCCGAACAACGACAACACCATCGTCGCGTCGGGTTTGTATCGCGGCAGCACCGGTGAAGAGTACACTCAGGTGGCCAGTTACAAGCGTTCGCTCCCTCCTGGAGTCGGGCCGAAACGTAGCCACGCAAGAGACGCATTGGCCGACACTGACCATCTGACGCCTGATGTCATCATCCCCTTCTCCCGCGACTAAGGGATGTCGAGAAGGCTTGTCCCAACCGATGATATGGCCAGGACAAAGAGTTTGAGTTGTGTACGGCCGATGTCAACCAGTGCAGGTCGTTCTGTTCGGCAAGGGCAGATGCGTGCTTGGTCAAGGTCTTGCTGCCGAGATGGGAAAAGGACAATGGTTGCTTGAAATATGGGATATCTGCTTGGAACGGGGACGGCAGGGAAAGGAGTAGGGCGGGACTGATGGTTTTGGTCGAGACTCGAGAGTTTGTTGTAGGCTGGCTGGACTGTGTCAGGTCCTGATGGTTCTGCTTTTGCCGGCTTTTTGACTTGTGTTTTCGATTTCTTTGATTTTTCTCCATTTCTGGTTGGGGCCAGCGTGGGTAGATGCGAGAGAAGATGTCGGTGATACTTCTCAGGAGGTCAGGAGGTGTGACACATGTTGTTGGGCCTTTAATATATTCATGTTTGACCGCCAACTATGGTCTGTCTGCTCAGGGTTCACTCCCATCTTGTGAAGAGTACCTCAACCGGGACTGTAGATTGAAACCAGCCTCTCGGGGCGCGTGGTCTTCGTCGTGACGCCAGGCAAATACAGTGTGGCCTACGTGTTCTTCTCGAGGCGCATTCCTGCTTGACTGGTGGAGCAGCTGTAGTTAAACCGCCCTGCTGTCCTCCACGAAGAGGATGGATGATATCTTGCCCAGCCGAACGAACCATTCCTAAGGACCGCGGCGGCGGGAAGCATCGGTGAATACTGTTTCGCTCCGTCATGACACAAACTTGAAGGAGAGACGATGGGAACCAAGATGCCTGGGACAAGAGATGAGAGCAGAAAGACAGTTCCGGCAACTGTTCATCTTAATTGCGCTGAGCGGTCAATGTCATATATCTACAACAACATCATTGTATAGACAGACGTGTGTGTAGATATATTGTATAGTATACATACACCTCATCCCATCTCATTCTTTCTTAATCATCATCACCAAGACTATACGTGGCCTGCGGATCGGCGCCCAACATCAAGATACTCTCCGTGGACGGGCGGAAGGGCCATCTCTCATATGCCAACGCGATCTCGACAAACATGTCCGCAGGAAGAGCACGCACTCTGAACGCCGACAAGTCGTACCATCCACCCCTGGTAGGATCGTGGATCCCGGGGACGGTGGCGGCGAAGTCTTCCAGCCCTTCGTGGACCAGCGACTTCAGGCCCTCGGCCACGCTTTTGGCGAAATACGGATACAGCTGTCTCACGACGTGGCCGAAGCAGACCATCCGGTCATGCGTGTCGATCCTGAAGAGGAACTCTGGACGTGGGACAACGTCCAGAAGAGCCATGGGAAGCTCATGAGGCTCGAACTCGCCGTCGTGGACGATCAGGGGCTCCGCTTCACGTTGATTCCACGCCATCACGGGCGGGTCCATGTCGTAGGCTCTGCAGTCGTCGATGGCCTTCTCGGCAAAACTCCTGTTGGTCCGGTTGAGTTTCTTGACCTGGGCATTGAGCGACTCCGCGTGGGACTTCAGTCGCTCTTCATCTTGCGGCTGGAGAGGTTTGTCCGAGCCTGACGCGTTCAGAAGGAGCTTCTTCCACTCCGATACGAGTTGGCGTTCCTCGTTGATGAGACCGACTGCTTTCATATGGGTCGTGTAGGCCGTTTTCGCGCGCCGTCTTAGCTCGCGCCAGGCTCGGCGGTCGGGTGTGTCGAGGACGCCTCTGGGCGGATATTTCACGTAGGCATACTTCTTGAACCAGGCCGCATCTCCTTTCCGCAGACGGTGCTCTAGTTCCAGAAACTGGGGGACCCATTCCGCGTCAGTCGTGAAGGCCACTTTTCGTATCTCTTTCGGGACAGGTTCGACGCTCAGAAGATGTGGCAACGGAGTCGTGTCTCTTCTTGACACCGGTGTTCTGTATCCTGCAGCAGCCTCTTTCGCTGCGACTCGAGCTGCGTCTTCGCGGTCTAACTCAGGCCACCTTCTCAGGCGTGTAGTCTTGGTATGTGTCGAGGTCCCGGCCACTTCGGAGATCTTATAACTTGCTTCCAACATGACAGCCTGTTTGCGACGCGCAGACACCGTTCGAGGAATGTATGCGTCCTTCTCATCGTCTGGGATCCATACCAGCAGTCGCACCAGGCCGTATCGATGAATGTTGCTGCGAATCTTCCATAGTGAGAGGTATAGATCGTCAAAGAACTTCCGGCTTTGCGTCCCCGCGTAGTTGCTCATTTTCAGGTTCGCTCCCGACAGATTGGCCGTGATGAGCAGAGACGGATTGGGGTTTGTGGCATAGTTTGAGTCGTCGACTTGACTTGTGACCTGCTTGGACAACAGACCGCTGTCCGGATGCAACGCATCTTCGAGCAGCACGGCATGTCGATATTTGGAGTCTTTCGCGTTCAGCAGAGGTGTGAGGTGGTCGGAGTAGGAGGAAAGCGCCGGTTCAACAAGGACGTGTCGTCGTGGCTGTAGCAGGTCATGGAGCTTTCGCGACCAGGTGCCTCTGCTGGGGTTGATATCGATTAGATCGCATGTGTGAGGAGCGGGCAACGTGTCGCGAAGTCGGTCGGCGATGTCATCTGAGAGGCATTAGGTGTGATGAACAGACCAAACGAATAGAGAAAATACACACTGCAGAGCTTCTCACTGACGATCTCGGTGCGTCTGTATCGCGGACGGCCCGTATGGGATTTCTCCTTGGGCTTCGGGATGCGGCCATTTTTATTCTTGCTCGTGTTGTTACTCGCGACAGTCGAAGCTCGTCGGACACAATAGCGTATCACCATGCAGGAAGGACGTCGGAGGAGAACAGGAAGGAGATCTAGACGAACCGGGCGAGATCAACGTTCAAGGAGAGTCGACGATGAAAATAGAAACAAACAGGGCGTGTACCAGGTTGGAGGACGTGGGCGATGTTGATGTTAGTACTGTTTGTATGGCGCAGGATGCTTGCGGTGGTTTTTTGATGCGGAGTCCTTAGGCGATCCTAAGGCTAAGGGGCTAGGGGATGTAGGGTTGCCTAACGCACTTGGCTCCCTAGGCACAGTACCGAAGGCTAAGAGTTCCTAGGCTGATTAGTAGAAGGAGGTACCTTGACCTAGGGGCGCCTTCTCCCTGGACACTGGACAGTTTGGTGGCTGCCCCGGGGTTTAGTGTCTAGTCCAGACCCCTAAACACGCTCATTGACAGCCTGAAGTGACCAGGTTCGTCCCCGCATCTTTCCTCTCCATCTGTCCCTCAAACGATCATCACCACCACCTACGACGAGGATATCAACATTGCCGCTCTCCTATTCCTGCTTCTGCTCCTGCTCGCCAATCCTCCTATTCAGCCCAGAGCCCAGCTTATCCTACACGACCATATCTGTATCTCCGATTCATCCCTCGAGGAGACCACCTTTCTAGCCTGAATCAACCCCCTCCACGATGCAGACTCAGACGCAGTCTCAAGGCGGAGGGGAGATTTCCCCTCAGCAGCGATTCTTCCACTACTTCCAGCACGAGATCACCGGTCAGTCAAGCCTAAGCCTGCGTCTGTGTCAGACCAGGGAGAGAAGCTGATGGAGTGCATGATCCAGCTCTCCAAGAGGGAATGGACCGCCTCGCCGAGAAGGCCCTCGTCGGCGGCGAGCGTGCAGATGCTGCGGACCACTGTCTAGCTGGCATCACGCGACTCTCGAACGAAGTCAAGGATGCTTCAGGATACCTACCGGCCTACGACCAAAGAACATATGCAGAGGTACATACATAGATCGAAGAGCTCTGGCCTTTAGGCACCTGCAAGAAGCCATACTTACTTCTGCTCACGCTGTTCTAGGCCATCAAAGCCTTGCAAGAAAGACTCGAGGAGACACGAAAAGCCTTTGCGCCCAAGCCCAAGTTCTCTTTCAAATCCAAAAGTCCTTCGGCCCTGTCCCTGAGCGACGCTGCCGAGATGGCCGCAGAGAAACGTCGCGGTGTCCCAGGAGGTCTACGCTCGCCCGGCTCCTCCTTTGCAAACACTCCAGCTTCGACCAACTCACCGGCGAACGGGGCCGCCGACGCAGCCCAGGACGAGCAGCCAGTGGCCCTTCAAGAGATGGAGGCAAGTCTAGCTGCCAAACAATCCGGTTCTGGTCGAGCAAAAGCATCTGGCACAGAGCATCGGCCCTCTCTGTCGTCTGCAGCAACCACCATTTCAATCACCGACCAGACAAACACCCACATCATCCTCCCCTCGTCCAGCCTCCATTCCCAAGCTCCATGCACACTTCAGAAGATCACCGGCTGCATTGTCGATCTTTCCGTCCCGACCACAGCGACAGCGCCATTCGCAAGCCTCACCGTCAACGTTGTCTCCTCATCCTTGCTGCTCTGCGGCTCAGTTTCCGGCCCAGCACATATGACAAAAGTGAAGAACAGCATCCTGGTGATTAACTGTCGTCAGTTACGAATGCACGAATGCGAGAACGTCGACGTCTATCTCTACTGCACAAGCAGACCGATCATTGAAGATTGCAAGAATATTCGGTTTGCCGAACTGCCCAAGCTCCACGTATGTCCACAATTTGAGAGATCCCAACCACTCTCCTTCTCATTCCTTCGAGGCTTTGCTCTCTTTGCTCTCCCATGCTTTGCTGTTTTCTAGAGTGACCTCTCTACAGACCATACACTAACCATGTACTACTGCACAGTCCGAACTCATGTCTTCAGCTCAAACGGGGACACCAGCACCAGACACCGCCCCGAACCAATGGAACCAAGTCGACGACTTCAAATGGCTCAAGGCCGAACCGAGCCCGAATTGGTCCATCCTGCCCACAGAAGCCAGCGTTCCTGACGAGACCTGGCGGGAAATCGTCCCCGGCGGACCCGGCTGGAGCGTCAAGGACATTCTCAAGGCCGTGGGCTTGAACAAAGCGCCCAACTGACTGAAACCCGGAAGTCAGTGAAGCGTGATGCGGAAGATCAGGCTGTTGCACTTTGACAGGGTTTTCATAAGCAAGCGGGGCCTTTGCATGGCGGAAGAGAGGATTGATTACCTGCCTAAACCGAGGATGAAGACGAAGACGAAGATGAGAGGCAAAATGCAGGAGTTCGGCTGTCAAAAGAAAAAGTCAAAGCAATAGCCTTCTGGGAGTAACTGAGAGCTGTTTTTTTCAGAGCGTGCGTATGCGACCAAGACAGAGATGAAGAACATGAAGAGAATGAGAAAACACGCCTAGACCCAGTGGTATAGTCCAGTCACGGCTCATAAAATGATACATACAAGTCCCGAAAAGGTGAATGAACTAAGACGGGCTACTTTCCCCAGAGTAATACAGACGGGCGACCATGAATGATACGTAAATGCAAAAGGAAAAAGCGGGCGCTTTCATGTCCACGACTCTCTTGTGAAGAGCAAGCCACAAACAACTTGGAGGCAACGTCAGGCTTCGTGCTACCTATCAGCCGTTTCAGCAATCGTCTGGCCAGGGAGGAGGAGGGCATCACGAATCGAATCGAATAGGCCATGGAATAGTAATGTGGTGGATGGGTTGGTGGTACAAAATCTATCTACCTGACCTGACCTGACCTTTGCTCACCCAATGTGGCTCCTTCCTAACGAGCAGTACCCGTTACTTGTCCACTGGAGGGGATTCGTCACCTCATTGCAGCCCGATGGCAGACTCCAGCCCAGCCTGTTGAAACACCCCAGACCAGAGACCCTCCATGCCTTCCACGAACTTCGTCCATGAGAGGACAGACACCGCACCAACAGCCAGGGCAGATAGGTGACCTTCTCCAGCGAGATATTACTATCACAACATCTTCCGCCTGTCGCCTGCCCCCTGTCGTTGATAACCCCGAATCGGTGGACTGCGTTCGTCCCTCCCACCTCGGATAGGCTGTTCAAAAGTGAGCACGCAGCCTCGTGCGTCTTTCTCACTTTCATGACCTTCCTTCCACGCGACCTTCGAGTCCTTTCCACGAAAGAACTAAAAAAAGAGCAGCTTACTGCTCGAGACATGTAAGCCCACCAACGCCATAGCTATGCCTCTCATACTGACAAAGAAAAGGAGCGTGACCGTGTCGATCTATGATACACACAGGAGGACAAAAGAGATTGTTGAGGGAATAATGGAATGAGGAATGCAACGCCATGATGGAGAAAGGGTCGTTATCATTTCGAGCCTTTCCAATGAATCTCAAGCAGGGGCAGCTGAAGTATTCGAGGATCTGGTAGCGACATTGCCAGAAGCGTAGAGAGCGTGATCCAGATCGTGCAAGAGAATGCATCATGAGGCGTAGGATGCGATGTGCGAGCTGATGAGCCAGTGACGTCCAGTCGATCCGGATACACAAAAGTCCAGGTCTGACATGAATATAGACGGCATGCTACTACTCAGCCGACAAATCGAAATATTCATCACGCGAAATTTGACGCTTTGGAGTCTCGGTCGGGATTCCGCACCTATCAGGTCATTAGTGTGAAGTCCCCAAGACGGGTCAATCCAACTTACCTGCAATATTCTCCTCGAAAAATCTCGTTCATCGGCAATACTTCCGATACTCGGTCTGCGGTGCGAGTAGATTGAAGGGTCAAGTCGCTGGTCGGTTGTTGACGCTTTATCCGACTTGCTGGACCCGAACGCGCCGACAGCAGCGTTGCGACGGTGCTCTTCTTCAATCTCCCTGTTTTTGCGGCGTTTCATATAGAAGAGAACAACACCGATGATTGCAGCAAGGGCAATGACTCCGACCACGACGCCAACAGCAATTCCAACCTTGTTCGGTCCGCCCGACGATTTCGCCGCAACGGCGGTGGCGGTGGCATCGGCCGAGGCGGTTACCACAATGGTCTGGCCAGCTTTGGTGATGACAGAAGGCTGAGTGGATGTCGGCGGCTGGTCAGAACCTTGTGTCGAGGTGGGTTGCGCTGTAGAGGCAATAGTAGTACTGTTTGGAGCGGTGTCGACATCGGCATTTAGTCCCGTGAGATAGACCTGCCAATATCCTAACCCACCACATGTCTGTTGGTCGTAACCCTGACACGCCGAGTCACATTTGCCCTGGTCCACTTCTTGATCCAAAGATGGGAGTTCATCGCCACAATAACATGTCGAGCCGCCTGTAATAGCCATCACAGCTTTGTTTAATCCCACGCATTGTGTTTGGCAGTAGCCAGAAGTCTGAAAAGTGTACGACCCTTGTTCAACCAGAGGGTTCGGATGTTGGTAACAGCCCAATGTCGTAATCGATGACGGGGCATTTGCAGTCGCTGTCTGGCCCATGGCTGTTGTTGAAAATAGAGCCATGACTGAAGCCAGAGTGGCCGCGCGTAGTAGTGATCTAGTCATTCTTTTGGATGGCGTTGTTTTTATGTGCCAAAATGGCTAAAGGCAAGAAGACTGGTACAAGTCTTAACAAAGACCTGCAAAGTCGTCGCTTTTCTCTCAAGTCGTGTAGTAGGTTATGATGAAGTCCTCATCCCAAGGTCCACAGGGTGAGGCAAGAGTTTGCAAGTGTCGTCGGTGAAGTTGCGGCTGGTGAGATTAAATCAAAGCGTGTTTGTTGGTGTGACTGTAACCTCACACGACAGGTGAGAGTAGGGCGCAGCGAACGACTTTCTTTGTCACCTCACAGCAGCGGCCCGCACTGCTATTTCCTTTGCTCTTTTGTCGTCCTTGTTTGGCGATGGCTTCTCGAACTGTACATAGAACGCAGGCCGCAGTCGGTTGACACAGGTTGCGAGGGTCAACCTGGTTCGAGGAGGTCAGGTTGACGGTTCGAAGCAGATTTTCGCTGGGGAATGCGGGTTGTTTCAGGTCTTGACGCAAAGGCCCCCTGAAGTCGGACACAGGCAGTGATGTAGCCAAGCGAGTGTGTGAAGGAGAATGCACGGTGAGACGGTACCGTTGTTACGAGGACGAGAATCCGGACTGTGTGCTTGCCTCGATGGCGATGTGGTGAAGTTGCTGAGCTGCTGTGCTCTCAAAGGAATGTGAGGTTGTGTTTTGGCGGCGGGAGGAGAGAGAAGATTGGAAGTCGGCTCAAGGTGGAAGAACTGGAGAGGTCGAGCGTTGTGGGACTAATTGCCTGTCACTTACTAGTGGCAGGGAACAGAGAGCGGATAGCACAGCAGCGTACTCTGCACTGTGTACGTAGGTAGTACTTGTGTAGAGAGGTCGAACCCGTTTGAGAAGGGCACGGAGGCGCAGCCGACGATTTCGGCTGGCGATTGGATGTTTGGATGAGGGTGGGCTCGAGGCCTTAGCGACGCGCAACAAGGGACTCGCTCACTCGATCTGACCGAGTGATTTTTCGAGCATGGGGGAAAGCAACGATGAGCTGGCTGATGGACTGATGAGCAGAGACGCCGACCACACAAAGGCGGCAGTAAAATCAGTCGTGAGGGTTGGAATACTACCTAGTGGGGATGAGGCGTGATGGAGAGGTAGAGAGCAGAAACACGCCCAACTCAAAGGCCCCCTTCGGAAATTGCTTTGCAGGCCTTTGGGCACGATTTAGGGATGGTGGCAGACTGCGCTTGAACGGTCTTGGTTAAGGGCGGCGCCGGGGTGGCCCCTTAGTAACTCCCGTGAGCGGCTTAGTCCAGGCACCAGTGGCAGCTCCCTGCACCCAACAACAGCCACCGGCAACCACTCCACCACCACCTCTTTCTCTTTATCCTTCCAATCTGCCCTCGTCAAATAGTCCTCAGCTCAATTAAACACCGTCGTTGTGCGTACTGAAGCCGCCCTTCATAACGCTTCCTTCGCTTCCGTTGCCACCTTGCTCAGTTCTATTTTGATACATCCTGGCAGAGTCCTTATCAAGGCTACGATGGTGTTGTCGATGCCGTGACGCCGCAGCCGGTCGAACGCCCAGGAGTGAACACAGCTTAGCTCCCCTTCTCCTGACTAGCCTACAACTACCTACGTACGCACCTAGCAACTCAGGTACCGCATAACGAGTAACATTCCCGGACCACTGTGCTCTGTACAACGCCTGGCGAAGACATGACGTGGGAAACCCCTGTATACCTCTCCTTATTTTGTCAACGGTCGAATGCCGCCCGATCATCGGCCTCCCGAAGCACCAATGCATTGTTCCTGCATTGGCGCACGCGAACTACGCCTAAAACACGCCCGCGCAACACCCTCCTTAACCCCAGCTCCAGTCTTGACATGGCGTCCACGTAGCATCCAATCGCAGTGCATCTCCATCTAGACGAGTGCTTCATCGCGGTCTCCCTTTCTCCTGCCAAGTCAGCTGAGCAGAGCACCACGCACCTCTTCAGGTTCAGGCGTGCGTCGCCCCTGGCCTCCATCATTGTTACAAACACTGGCGCCTCGTGGCTTACAAGCCGCCTGATCTTGCGGAAGGCGGAAAAAGATTACATGTGAATGCAGCGGGTATCCATGTCAGGCACACTCGGACATACCGGATCGAGGATTCCACAGCTCATTTGACGAAAGACAACATGCACTCAGGATGGTGGTGAATCGAATGAGCATAGTCGATAGCATAACTCAACGCCCTCGGCGCTCAGATCTTGTTGTCGAGGGTAAATTTCTCTCAAAGTACCTCATTTACTCGATCATGCCCGATCCTGAGTGGACGCGCAGCTGAGTTACCATCAAGCATACTACGGAGCCGTCCAATAGCAGCCTGAGACGCGTCTGGGGTTGGAGCAATCGAGCCCACGTCAACATGTCAACATGTCTGACATTTATTACTTATTGCTTCCGAAACAGCACAAATGTTGTTCGATCCTCCATTCGCCCGTCGTCACCGTTCTCTCAGGTCCACCACCTCAAACTCCATGCCCTTGGCCTCGACGACGTGACCCGGTCGGAGCGCGTCAGTGTAAATATTCTCAACCTCGTGAGGGTGGAATATTCCTGGTTGATTACAGCTCAGAATGGCCTTCTTGCCCGGAGGATCCGTGAGCCGGTAAACTCCCCAATCGCCACCGTGTAGCGTGTCTCCTTTGCTAGGCGCGCATACAATCGCAATGCTTTCAGCCAACATCATTTGATACCCGGCATGGGTGTGTAAGTCCCTACTGCTCATAAAGCACGTCTGAGTAGGATGCGTGTGGATCCACCCGAGGATCATGAGGTCCTCCGAATCGACGTAGTCGAACAACTGCGATTCATTTGTCATCTCACATGTGTCAGAAGTGGAGGTTTGTGCTGGAACGATCAGTCGACTGATGAAGAAGGCATTCGCGATCAGCGTGCCTGCCAGGAACCCGCAGGTTTCCAGATTGGCCAGCGTATTTTTGTGCGCAATTCTCAGGAATGTGGTTCGCAAGGTGGGAGGCAGGAAGACCGTCCGGAGCGGCGTTCCATTCTCCAGGTATGCAGCCGGAGCGAAGGTGTGAACTGGCTCAGGTGTCGCCGATCTCGACGCAGACGGCTGTGACACTTTCTCCGGCCGAGCTGGGGGTTGAGTCGCAGTGCTGCCAGGTTTGGGCGGAATTGCCGGAGGTGATGTTGCAATGTCTCTCTGGACATCTGAGCGAGGCCCTTGCGGCAATGGAGGGCCAAGCGCTGATTGATCATGGTGTGAAGGAATGCTGGGGTAATGATAGGTGAAGCTGTTGGCCGCGGATGGCTGAGGACGACCATCTCGATCCAACGGAGTCGGTTGCGTTCTTCCTTCGACTCGGGCACGAATCTCCTGCAACCTCCGGGAAAGATCGTCCCCCTCGGTGACTGATGTCGAGGCCGCTTGCCGGTTGGCTGCTCTTCGGGAGATTTCCTTCTGGGCTAGTCGCAGCGCGAGATCTTGGTGTTCATATGCTCTCAGTGGCTCCGCTCTCTGGTCCAGTGCCGCCTGCTGCGCTGGATATTCACCGGAGGGCTGACTTTGTGTTTGGGCAATCCGTCTGGCCTCCCTCTCTTTCATTAGCCTGACATATCGATCGTATCTCTCGTTTATGCGAGGCTTCAGCAGGTCAAGCACTCTGAAGTTCTGATTGACTTCTTGCTCCGCCTCTTTCAGCAGCAGTCTATTCACCTTGTCTCGAGCTTGAGGATGGGCGGGCAACTGGGACAGGATGAGGTGGGCATGTCGAAAGAGGAGGAGATATGTCGTCTCTTCGTCACCTTCACGCACGTATATCTCTGCCTGCGGCGAGCGTCAGTCTTGCTTTGAATTTTCATCCAAGGAATGCGCGGTCACCCACCTCTTTCAACATTGCCTGGGCCGATCGCAGCCAGTAGCGGAGAGGAATCGAGGCGTCATATTCATAGTCTTGTGCTGCTTCAGTGATCTGCTGGACATTCCGAGGCGGCCGCAGCAAGCTCAACGCTCCCTTAGGCCCGGACATCACGCAGTTTAGGAGAGATTCAAACCCAGCTTACAGCCTTGGAGTAGTGACAAGGGAGTCTCACACGGGGGTCGAAGCGATGGGTTAGCCAGGGTCAACGGTCGAAGTGTGCCGGAGTGAAGGGCCTGACGAATATAAGGACCATTCCCCGGCATATATGCACAAACGCCACGCTGCGCAATAGGTAGGACGAGCTGCAATCGGGACTGTCATGCTGCTGGATGCAGAGGTTGGCCATCGCAACTTGATCCAGACGATGCCGGCCTCGTTGGCAGGCGTCACTCATTCCACTTTTGACAAAGGAAGGTATGCCGAAGATCTTGCCGCTGACTAATCAAAGGCCCCGACATGCCGGGAAGCAAACATCCTTGTCACGAACATGTCCACGACTCGCCCAGGGGGCCGCCCTGGCTCCAAAAAGGCCTTCAATCCTAGGCATTGTGCCTAGAGATTCTGGACCTGTAGTTGATATCTGTTATGTTCGGGGCGCCCACCCGATCATGACATTTCCAAGAGCTGTCTTGGACCTCAATCCATATTATATAACTACTTCTTGACTTCGTGAAAGGTAATTTCATTGTCCTTTGGACTTTTCAGCTCTGCTTCCACCACTTCGGCTGAACCCACTCGGACCAGGCTGGCCTGTATCACTGTCATCGTCGTCTGGCTCATCCCTCGGCAGCCCGAGACCCATCATGCCCATCAGGTTTCCTCCCGGACCGGGCATCCCCGCTTGCGACCTCAGACTCTCCAGTAGATTCTTCGCGAGGTTGACATCGATCTCATGGTCGATGTCGTCGTCGGAGGACAGCTCCTCGACCTCGGCCTCGTCGGCATCGTCTTGCTTTGACCGTTTGATGGCTGGGTGCTTGCCGGCAGCGTCCTTTGGGGGATACAGGTTCAGGGCACCTGTTGATCGAAGTTCTGCTTCCATTTGCTTCATGAATGTCTGCATGTCTTGGTCATCCGGTTCGGATTCTGACCCTTCCATTTCTTCGACGTGTCCGTCCCCATCAGGTGGCGGGCGTAGGTTTGAGCGGTTGCCACCGTCTTGTGCCCCGGGTCCCAGTTTGCCGGCCATGATCTCCTTCATGACGTCGGGCGGCATCCCCATCATCTCCTGCATCATTTTGGTGAACTCATCCTCCCCGAAGCTCGCATCTTTGTCTTCACCCATCTCGTCTTCATCATCTTCATCGTCATCCTCGGCATCGTCATCATCATCGTCACTGTCTTGGCCGAAGAGACCTGCCCCGTCTGGTCCGGCCTGATCATCATTCAGAAACTGTTCAAATTGTTGCACAATCCGCTGTAGATTCTCTTGGGCAGCCTTGTCTCCAAACCCGGGCTTCTTTCCCTTCTCAGGCTGTTCCTTCCGGCCAGCAAGCTCTTTCTCGAAGTCGTCGAAGCTGATATCAAGCCATTTCTCGTCATCTTCGTGTTGTTCCCAACCCTGGACCTCGGTATCCGAGGGCAGTGTTTCGTCGCCCGACTCTAGGTCTTCCAACAACATCTTCATTTCCCTGACTTCTGGGCGATCTTGATGTTGTGGATCCGTCAAAAGCATCTCAAAGCCACAAGTCACTTTCATACCAGTCTCCGCTCGGACGAAAGCCTTCGAGTCCGTCCTAGAGGGCATAGCGTCCGAAAAGACAGCCGGTGGTGGGAAGTCTTGTGATTTGACCTGGGCATAAGCTACCCGGGGGAACTTGACGCTGACGTTGACAAAATCGCCCGGTGGGAAGATCATCTTGTCTCTGTTGTCCTTTTTCTGGAGCGGTTTCAAGGCGATAGGGTCTCGGAGATAGAACGCTTCGACTGCTGGTGCAATGTACGCTGGCTTCTGGTGCAGGAGATATGCGACTTTCCGCGGCAGCGTGACCATTGCGTGATGCATGTTTTGTTTGATCTGTGCAGGATAATTCCTGAGTCGAAAGAACGCCTCTTCCTCCATAGTCGTCGAATGCATCAGTCTCTTGGGCTCGTTCAGCAGTATGTCTCCAGCCTGCGCCAGAGACAACTTTTCTTCTGTTCGCTTTGAGGTCCTCGCACCACTCGCAGGTTTTATAATCTGCAATTGTCCATTATGTATCCACACACGATTTTCGGCGACATCGGGTTCTAGCCAGGCAGGCAATGTGCCCGAGGCCTCGATGAGCAGGAACTCGCCATCTGTGTCTGTCACTTTGGCCCAGAGGTCGGGGAATTTGCGTGTCAGTTCTCGAAGGAGAAAGACAATGACCCATTCGTCTTCCACTGAATCGCCGTACTCCGTTCGACCGCGGAGGAAACTCAATCCTGTTCATAGCGTTAGTCTAGTCTGATGGTCAAATTTGTTTCGTAACAGACCTCACCATCCTCTTTGTTTAGTTCTAGAGAGAACCCCTGGCGTTGCCATATATAGTCTTTGAGATGTTGCCGATGGAGATCAGTCGCATACTTCTGTACCTCGCGGAGGCGCAGTCGCAATTCGGAATCATTGTTCGCATCCAGAGAAGGCGATATAATGTAGAGGGAGTATTCGATGCAGTCGTCGGGCAGCTCGGGTTTGGGGATCGGATGGAATGTGGAGCGAAACCAGGCGATGTCTTCGTCTGTCGGCGGCATTTCTACCGCAGCCTTACCGACTCTTCTTTCTTGAAGTCTTGAAGTGACGAAGAGGAGTGCAGACTGTATAAAATGCGACTTTCACATGAGGATTCACTTGTTCAGCGCACCAATCAGCGTGCATTACATACGCCAAGGCGCGAAGGGGGACTAATGCACGGTAGTGGAGACATACCCCAAAGAAGAAGCAACAAAACAATGCGTTTCGAGGCTGAACATCGAAGCATCGAAGCATCGAAGCCCGCCTAATTGAATTGTACTTTGTTTGCAGCATGTTTATGAGACGTTAGATTTGATATTGCCTTGGCTACTTTTTGAGCTGGGATCCTGCGGACAGGAGAATCCGCCTTTTGGCCCAGCATGGCTCCCTACATCGACACTCCGCAGACAAACAACGTCTCTCGTGTTAACAACGGCTCCAGCTTGCTGGGACCGCTCACCTCTCCAGAGAAGTCTTTTGCGGCGCCCGTAGAGCATGGAGACCTGCTCAGTGAGATGAGAAGTGCAAAAGGGCATGGAATGAATCTCAAGACTCCCCGAGCTGGAGCGCCTCGAGACCCTCTGCGACTGCTCCCCAACGGCAACCAGCGCCGATCCGAGTTCACTCCAGTCTTTGGCAGCGGCATGAAGAACAACATTGCTCGGCGGCTTTCGAGTCGGAAATCAGGCTCCTTCGCGACTCCTGCACACCTCAGAGATGGCTACACCCCGGCGCAGCAAAGACTCAGCGACGTATCCCGCCTTGACGGTGAGAACACCACCAGCTCTGCAGGCAATGCTGTCGACTACACCCCCATGCCTCAGCAAATCAGCAGCAGCGCTCAGAGTACGCCCCTCGCGCAACTCCCTGGACGTGACGCCCCTGGGCTCGTTAATGACGGGAACATGATGACACTCCGGGAGCAAGAGAACATCATTGACAAGATCGAGAAGGAGAACTTTGGGTTGAAAATGAAGATACACTTCTTGGAAGATGCGTTATCCAAGCGTGGAAACGAGTTCAATCACGCAGCGCTAAAGGAAAACACCGACTTGAAGGTCAATCGAATCACGATGCAGCGCGAACTCCACAAGTTCAAGAAAAACATTGCGCAGGCAGAACGAGATGCAGAGATCTACCGACTACAGCTGGAAGAGTACAAAGAACGAATTCGGCGGAAACAGGTCGACCAGCATGTCCGACAGGAGCTTGAGACTCTTCGGGCTGAGCTCCAATCCAGAGACGACCAGATCAAACACCTGGAAGCGGAGAAGGAGCGTGCTGTGGATCAGGAGAGCACAGAAGTGAAAAGGCTCAAAGATGAGCTTGAGGACCTACAGGCCAACCTTCGAGACAAAGACCGTGCGATCGACGAGCGAGACGACCAAATTGACGACCTCAAATTAAAGGCTAGCAAAGAATCTAATGAGGTCGCTACAGTCGAAGATGAGCTAGAGTCGGCGCGACAGGAAATCGAAGACCTCAAGCAAAGTCTCGAACGGGCTGCGGCGGAGGCGCAGGAGGCCAAAGAGATTCGGGAAGAGGCACTTGACGAGAAACGCCGAGCGGAGGAAGACCTCGACGAACTTCGTGATGAGATGGCCAATAAGTCCTTCACTACCAAAGGCCTGAGTAGACAGCTGGAGGAAAAGGCAAACAAGCTGGAAGACGACTATCAAGAATTGCAAGAACGGCATGACTCTGTGCAGGCCCAATTGCGCGAGAAATCCGAGTCGGAGAAACAGCTGCAACAGAGACTCCGCGACATGGAACGGGAAGGAGCGACAGACGTTCGCAAGCTGCAACAAGAGCTAGAGATCTGTCAACAGCAGCGCGACACCCTCGACCGAAAACTCACCAATATGACGAAGCAGCTCGAAACCGCGGAACAAGAGTTGCAGGTCAAGGTTGACGAGAAGGATCTGCTCCAGACCCGCCATGATGCTCTGACCAAAGAGTCTGCTGAGTTGCAAACAGACCTCGACCGAGCCAAAGACACAGTTCGGGATCTTGAACATGCCTTGGACGAGGAGAGGCAGCGTTCCGCTCAGCACGACAACATTCTGAGAACACAGCATAAACAAGAGATTGACATCCTGAATGAGCAAATCGACGGGCTGCACCGGGAAGTCAATGCGAAGGACAGTGACCATGCGGCCGACTTGGAGGAATGGGAGGCTCAAAAACACACACTGGAAGCAGCATCGCGAAAGGCGGAGGAAAAGGCAAAAGGCCTCCAACGTACCGTGGACAAACTGCAAGACGCGCAAGGGACGCTCAGTGGGCGTGAAATGAATCTACAGCAGGCGCTCGAAAGCGAGAACCAGCGGCATCAGCAAGAAGAGAAGGTGCTGTCTAAACAGATCGATGACCTTCAACAAGATCTTGCGGCGAAACGAGGTGCTGCAGACGAGAGCCGAACAGAACTGAGCAACGCCAGAGAAGAGCTGAGGATCTCGATTCGAGAACAAGCGTCGCTGAAGGAAAAGGTGGCCGAACTCGAAGAAGAGATCGAAGTCCTCCAGGCGGACATTGAGCAGGAACACGAATTTGCGCAGCGAGTGCAGCAGAGGCACTCGTCCAGTGCGGATGCCCAAGTGCAGAAGATGCGACAAGAGAAGCAGTCGCTGCAGGAAGAGCTGGCTAATGTCAAGCTGGAACTACGCAACGCCAGAACTGCTGCTGACGCGACCGAGAAGGAGCGCGATGACCTTGAAGCAAAGCTGCAGGCTGCTCAGAAATCGAACGACGACACCTTCAATGTGGATCAAGAGAAACGCGAGTTGAAGCGGCTCAGAGTCAAGCTGGAGAAGGATGTTGCAAGACTCACCAGTGAACGCGACAATCTTATCGAAGCCAACCAGGCACTTGAAGATGAGATCAATGCAGAACTCGAGCGAGCCAGTGAAGAGGAGAACCGCCTACATGCAGAGCTCGAGTCTCTACGCAAACAGAAGCTCACGGGTGTGGATACCAAAGACCGCGAACTGCTGTCTTCGAAAAACAAAATATCCCGCCTGGAGGGCAGGATCACTGAACTGGAAGCACTGTTGGAAAACCAGTCGAAGGTATTGACATCTCCCGCTGCTGATGTTTCTGGGCTGAAGCGTGATCTGGCCGATGCGAGAAACAACGAGACCACCCTTGTCAGACGAGAGACCGATTTGAAAGCGGCGAATCGAGACCTCAAGATGCGGGTCAACGATCTGGAACGGGAATTGCACGAAGCCAAACTCGCGCAGTACAAGGCGAAATCTCCTTCGGTGTCTCCACCTCCGTCCAATTCCAAGGAGATGGCAAAAGTCCGTCAAGACCTTGTGGATGCTCAAGCCGAGATCAAAGTCTTGAGTACGGAGAACCGGGACCTGAAGCGAACTGCGCGCAGAGCTTCAACGATCGAGAAAGAGCTTGACGACCTTCAGGCTGTGCTGAGAGCCCGCACGGCTGAAGCTGAGACCTTGAACACCAGAGTCACAGAGCAGAATGATCTTGTCCATGCCTTGCGAGATCAGCTGACTCGCCTACGCGGAGACAGAGACGACGTGGGCAATGGGTCAGCAGACATCCGGAAGCGCGATCGCCTGATCAGCGATCTGAAATCGGAACTCAGACGGTTGCGGGAGGAGCACGAAGGTGTCAATGATCTCTCGATGCAGCTCTCAGTGCGTGACGGTGAAGCTCAGGAACTGAAACATCAACTTCGACGACTTCGGGAGGAGCGCAGCCTTGCCAACAAGAAGGCCGATGCGGTGGAGACGGAACTGGAGATGTTGCAAAGCAGATACGAAAACATACTCGAGAAACTCACATCGGGCAAGTCCAGCAAAGACGAGCTGCGCGAGAAGGAGATGAAAGGCCTCATCAAGGAGATCATGTGGTTGAAAGCCAAGTGCAAGAGAGAAGAACGGCTTCGGAGAGACCTTGCCTGGAGCAAAGGCTTCCTCGAGCAATCCGAGGCGATGAGGGTTCAATGGTACGTTGCGTCCCCCATATATCCACTGCTTCATATACTGACACGAGCGATAGCAACCAAGTTGACCTTCGCATCCTCGGCGAGATGGGTGTTTCTCTTGACAGCCACAAGTACGAGGCCGAGCTGAAGCCGATTCAGAAACTGCGCGCAGGAGTGTCTGCCGTGATTGCGGCCATCCGTATGAGCAACATGGAGGAACAGTGGAGGGATGTCCGGGTCATCGGTGAAGAGTTGAAGCAGATGCGGACGAGACGGATGAAGCCTCGATCCAGGGTTCGCATGCTCGACATATGAGGCACTGGTAGTAGTCGTCACTGTTGCTCTCCACTGGAGGCATGAACACGTTGAACTCGAAAGTTGGTGTATGGCTACCTAGCCGTTCACGGGTGAGGGAGGTTCTGCATTGACAGGCGCAGTTTGTTGGGTATCACGACCTAATGACCATCGAAATAGTATGACCACGGCGCTGGATACTGTCTGAATGCTTTTGTTGTCATCGGGCGTTGTCTCGAGTTGAATGTGGAAACATGGAGTGGTGAATCTAGTTCGTAGTGGTCGAGCATCGATATCATTGTCGCCAGGCTGCGGCGGAGAAGAGCGGAAATTTCAATCTCTCTGCGCCCGTCTCCCAACTACATTTATAGCATGCCACCTCTGATATCCTGCTACTCTGCCACTATCCTACTCTCTCTTTACAGGCTTTCAATGGCCTGAGACAGAAGGTGTGAATTACCTCAAGAAGCTCTCTCTCGTCCCGCAAACCTCCCCCGCCGTTCAGAGTCGGCCGATAGATCGATCAAACGCGTCCCCGAATTCGTGGTGGACATCTCCTATATTAAAATCCCTGAATCGACATAGAAATACATCATCGACTACACTATCCATACCCCAAGACCCTTACCACCTTACAAGTCGGCGTAGAGTCAGCGCACCAGCCCAGAAGGTAGAGAGAGTGGTCGTGTTCAGACCTCTAGATGACCCTTGGAGAACCACTCTACAACATCTGTCTATTAAGAAAGCGAAAGATATATAAAGGCCATACACCATGGCTCCCACGCCACCGACATACGACCCGACTGGGATCGAATTCTATGAGATACCCGACTTCACATTCTCCAACGGCACAACGCTCCACGACGTCCGCGTCGCGTACCGGAGCTACAACGCATCATCGGACGCCGGAGTCGTCCTGATCCCCACATGCTACGGAGGGTTCATCAACACGACGCTCACATTCACCAAGGGCCCGAACAACGCATTGGCAAAATACCATGTCGTGGTGGTCGCGATGCTCGGCAACGGCGAAAGCTCCAGCCCGTCGAACAAAGCATTCTTCCCGGACCCGGGAGAGCTGCGATACCCGGACGTCGTGCGGGCACAGCACCAGCTCCTGACGAAGCACCTGGGCATCACGTCTCTCGAGGCGGTCATCGGCTTCTCCATGGGCGGGCAGCAAGCGTACCACTGGGCCGTGATGTACCCGGAGTTCACGAAGCGGATTGTGGCCATCTGCTCGTCGGCGCGCACCAGTCTGCATAACTACGCGTTCCTCGAAGGGCCCGTGACCGCGCTGACCAGCTCGATCGACTATGTGGCGTGGCGGGCGATGAAGGAGAAGAAAGCCCGCGGCGAGCCCGTCGGCGCCAATCTCCAGGACGTCGTGCCGAAGCGCGGCCTGCGTGCGTTTGCGCGGGCGTATGCCGCGTGGTTGACGAGTGCGCGGTGGTTCCGTGATCGCGAGTTTGCGAGTCCTGCGCTGGGAGAGAACGCGGTTAAGAGTGTCGAGGATTGGATGTTGCTGAGGGAGGCGGGGTACATGCTTTGGGATGCGGAGGATTTGTTGGCCCTGGCGCGCATGTGGCAGATGGGTGATGTTGGGAGTGTGGTTGGATTCAAGAGTGAAGATGGGACAGACAAGGAAAAGAAAGAGGGAATGGGAGGACAGCTGACACAGCTGGGCGGCGCTGTTCCCGACGACGACCTCTACGTCAAAGCTCTGCAGAGTATCAAGGCTCGTGTCCTGCTCATGCCGTGTCGGACGGACCAGTACTTCCCGCCCGAAGATTCCGAGATCGAGATGAAATATCTGAAGGATCCCAGACTCGCCGTGATCGAGAGCTCGTGGGGCCATATTGCTGGCGGAGGGGCGAATCCCAAAGATATCGAGTTCATGAATGGGCAAATCGCCAAGTTCATGCAGGAATAAAGGATTGAGATCTTCGAAGTTGGATAAATGAAACAGTGAAGTACATTGGAGCTGGCATTGTATGCTGAGTCTTACGCTTCTGAGGAAACGCGTGCAGTGGTGTCAGATATTATCGCTCTTGGAAGGTCAGCCATAAGCCGAGCAACATGTTGTCAACACCAGATTTTGCTCGGCTGGCCATATCTGGCTCGAGTATATATGGGAAGCCGGGGCTCGTGGACAAGAAGGGGAACGGTAGCGAATAGTAGTGGACATCTTCCATTTCCCCCACACCACATTCCAGCGAGGCTGGTATATACATCTTGGTCTCTGGCATTGCCGTCATTGTAACCCCACAACCGACTCACTTTTCCTTTTCCAACTTCGTCAAGTGTCATGTCGAAAGGTCGGCTCGCATGGATGGCGCTCGCTCACGACGCTGGCCAAAGACTCAAACGAAATCATAGTCATAACTCCCTTGCCAAATATGCGTATATATACCGTAGAAGACAACACAGCTCGAACAACTCGCGTAACATGCATCAAACATCAAAACATCCAAGACATACATGCTCAATTGGTCGCGTCCAAAATTCAAGGCTCTCGTGGAACAGAAACGCACCAAGTCGCCTTTCAGGTTAGTCGTCGTAGTTCTGCACCTGCCAGGACAAGATCATCATCCACAGAAACAAGACGGCCAAGATGATGGACCAGGCGAACGAGGCTTTCCAACACGAACATATATTGCTCTGGGTCAGCCAGGCCAGAGTCTCTATCGACACGCCCGTGTACTCTTGCCCCGTGACATAGTTATTGCAATTGCTGTTCACGTTGCCGTTCCCGTACAGTTGGATGGCCGTCTCGATGAGGGTTGTCACCCATAGCACGAACAGGATGAACGAGCCGAGGAGGATTCCGCCGGGTATCAGCATCCGACGCGCGGCGAGGATGAGGATGATGATCAGGAACAAAATCGTGAGACCGCCGACGATAACGGCAAAGGTGAATATCCTGCGTTTGGCGCAGAAGAATGTCAGTATAAACTCCCTAGTAAGTAGTAATATAGTGTCCGGGCTCTGACAGCAAACGGGGGCACATACCACGGGACTCCGACTCTTAATTGATTCTGTACGGAGATAAACCACGCGTTGATCCCCAGTACTGTAGATGCGCCGGCCAGAACGATGAATATCCATAAATTGAGTTGCACCTCCGGCCATCTGTACCGCTTCCGGACTTCGCGTTCGCGGTATACAACTTCGGTGGCCATGGTGGATGGAGGTGGAGGAGGGTCTGCGCTGACAGCAGGGTGCGCACGGTGCCAGTGCGCTTTATGGGGGGATTTTAAAGGATCTTCTGCGGAGCTTCAAAGACACGCTGTTTGCCGGAATGCAGTCTAAGGAGGACTTGGTAATTGTGTATGAGGGCTATTGTTTCTTGTCGCGACGGAGGGAAAGGTTCGTAAGTGACAGCAGCCGGCGTCGCTCTCGTGTGGTATAGGAGATAGTATATGAGGTGTCGTAGCAGGAGGACGTAGTTTGGGCTGCAAGGGGCGCATGTGACAGAGGAGAAACGTGGACGTTGTTGATCGGGAGGTTCATCGGGGGTGGGAATTCGAATAGCAGTCTGCCACGATATGGCCTGTGAGCCTCTGGCGATGGAGGACTGAAGTTGCCAGTTGGTGGCCAGTGTATCACTACTACTGTCCCAAGTAGTGTGTGCACTGTGTACACAGACAGGTACACACACCTACCTAACTGTGTACGGTGTGTTGTCTTTGTGTACTTGGTGGATCGCCGCAACCTGCCGGCGCCTGCCAGCTGGTGGTTGGGGGCAACCGGCACGGCTCCGGGCTATCCCTTTCTCCGGGTTACAATGGGGCACCCACGTGATATAGGGATGATTTAGGGTTTATATGATGCTTAACAACCTTAACAACCTTAACGGGGCGAGCCATCAACTTTAACAGCTCTAATCATACCTCCCCGAGACACCCACGATGAGGTAGGTACGCATTCATAGCTACCTACCTCATCCTGCTGAAAATTTATGAATGTCTGTCTTCATTGTTGTCTCCCATCGGCTTGATGTAGCAGACACTGGGCGGTGGGCTATTGCCGTCCGTCATGCAGTGATTCACGCCAATACCCTCGGCAACCCGAATCCTAGGCATGGGCGACGTCTTCTGCTATGTGGCTGATGGCCTCCAATAACTCTTCGATGCTCATATGAGCCAGAAAGTGGTGGGAGTGACCGTCCTTCGAGTCGAAAAAGTCGCAATCGCTGCAAAGTCCAAAAGCAACCACACCCTGCGCGTATCCTTGCTGTCCAGGCCAGTGGAAGTGGGACCTGAACTTTTGAGGCGAGAACTTTTGGATCCGACCACTCCTATCTAGGCAAGGAGACATGGTAGGCAGTACCTTCTGACATATCCTGACTTGTGTTGGCCATCCTGCGGCTGTGTCACGCTGGCCCTTCCCACGACTGGACAACCTACCTGCAGGGCGTGCGTCGCTTGCCTCCTTTCGGAAGCCTCCTAGCCTAGCCGCGAACTTCTGGCTGCTCTGCTGCGACAGCCTCATGGGAGGATTACCTATTTATCACCTTGGGAGCATGCTTTCATACTCTCGATGTTCTTCGCACCTTCCGTATCCTACTGATTTCATCTCTTCGTCCATCCCATCCCGTTTTGCTCATTCTACTACCCTTCCTCCAAAGATACCAGACAAGCAATATTCTTCATTTCTAACTCCAACGTGTCACAAAAGCTGTGTGATCACAGACAGCTTTGCAGCCTGATTGATTCAAACGAAGCTCATCTCACCATTTACAATTCACTATCTCTGGTAGAGACTGGCTTTTGGTGGCTACTACAAGCATGTCTCGCGACGGAGGACATCAACAACCCGACTACGATGCTGTCATTCAGTGGCCATACAACGATCTCTTCGACGAGGTTGATATCTTCGACGAGGTTGAGATCCTATCCGTCGATCTAACTCCGCCAGCCGTACCTCGGGAAACCTTTGCCGTGCCTGAGAGTTATTCAGCTCATCCACATACGTATCGCAATGACTTCTCCACACACAACACATTCAATTTTCCTATGTCCAACGTGGATGTCACCTCTTTCACTGCACCAGAGCCCCTCGATCACCTCGATTTCTCAGGCATTGCCACAACGATAAATCCTTTCCCGATCACCGACATCAATGATCCATTCACGGAACCTAATGCATGGTTAACTTCTCAAGACCGGCCGCTAATGTTGGCGGACGCTTCAGACGCGATAACAGAAGACGACCAGTGGGCCCAGTATAAGGAAATCCTACGCCATCGATACTTGGACCAAGACTGGTCGCTTAAGAAGCTGAAGGAATATATGAAAACCAATTGCAAATTCGAAAAAAGGTAACAAGCAATAGTGTCTCGTCCTAGGACAGATATTGTCTGAACGCCTACTAGTGAAGCTCAATACAAGCGCAAGTTCAAGAGCTGGGGCTGGCGCAAGCACCTCAAAGCCGAAGATTGGAAATTTGTTGCCCACCGTGTACGGAAGCGCACATTGCATGGCCAAAGCATCAGCGATGTCTATGTCGACGGGGCCTTGGTGCCCGCAGAGAGAGTCCGCAGGGAAATCGCTCGCTATGGCTGGCAGAGAACTGTTGAAAGATTTGCCTCCGGTACCCCTGTGGTCCTCATTTGAAGCTACTACAGATGTGCTGACCAGTCTTAGCCCAGAGTCCAGAGACACCCGAGGGCATTCAAGTATTGACGCCGATGGGACAGCAGCAAGGTCAAATGACGGCTGCTCTTCCCTGGTTCAAGCTATCGTTATACAAAGGTTGGGAAAACAGCACCCCCAGTCCTTACAAAACCTTGCTAATCTATCGAGGGAATAATCAGCCCCTATTCCAGGACTGAATATACTCACTGTATTTCTAAGAGAGGATCTACAACTTGGAAATCCCTGGAGTTCAAATGACTGGAGCCATGGACCCAGCCGAGCGGAAAGCACGCAAAATTCTTACGTTAGAGCTCTACTTCCTCCAGGAAATAGAGGCGAATCCTGGGTCGACCTGGTCAGACATTCGAGAGATGGCCATCTCGCTGCCCAACAAGAAATCGTCCGCTTGCTGCTCTTCGCCGTGTCGAACGATATCACCGATGAGAAGACTGTGGCGAAGGTCCTTGCCGCAATCTCAGAGATCCCCGAGACACGGGCTCTTTTCGACTTCCTATCAATACAAAATGCTACCATCCAAGCCTTTGCAGAGAGACTGTTCAAGGCCACCATACTCGCCGGGAATTTTCGCCTCATGGCCGAGTTTTTGAAGCGTGGTGCAGATCCAAACATCCTCCTGACGTACGATCACGAAATGAAGACTGCTCTCTATTCATGCGCCGCAAAAGGACAGCTGGAATCTTGTCGGCTACTGTTGGAGTTTGGTGCTGATGCCAATGCCCTAACAACCGTTGGGGCCTCGTTTGATACTCCATTGGCAGCCGCCGCAGTGGGAGGGAATCCTGAGCTGGTCCGTCTGCTACTCAGACATGGCGCTGAGGCGCACACCAGTCGGCGTATTCATGAAGGAAGCCTTGCGCTAAAAACCCTGTTGTACCGCAGGACTGCAAGCCAGGCTGCTTGTATTGAGATTATTGAGATTATACAGATGTTGTTGGGAGCAGGAGCCAATATCAATGCTCAAGGCTTGGGAAGTCTTCTCGCTCCGCCTCTTCTCTGCGAGGACCACGACCTTGTCAATTTTCTGCTACAGGCTGGAGCCGACCCATCTCTCCTTTCCACTGACAAGGTTGGCGGGACCTTCTTCGCAAAAGCAGCAGCGACAGGAGGTGTGCGCTTGCTCTCGAACGTGTGGAAGTTTGTGTTTAAGGTTCAACCGGATGATGGCAGCGTGGTCGCTGATTTCGGACCTACAGTCTATTGCCTTTTGGGAAAGTTGACATACTTGCCGGGCGAGATAATCACGCTATTGTACGAGTGCTTTTCGGAACGAAGACCGCCTAGAGAAGAAGAATATTGGAGAACGGCCGCACAACAGGCAATACACCGAGGGGATCTGGACAAACTCGCAATACTGTTAACAGCTGCGGGACGATCTGAACGCAATATGGACATACAACCCAAACCTGGCCTGGGAACCTGTTTTTGGATGGGTTCAACCGAGGACTTTTGCTATCTGCTCGAGGCCGCCGCAGAGTACTCTGACAGGTCGATTGCATTGCTTCGAACTCTCTCTTGAGCCACTTGTCCAGAAAAGGCAATATGAGATCTTTGATGAGATGTTGTCTTGCTATAGGACTTCGTTTTCAGTCACCGCTAGCCATACAGACGCCATTGGTCTATTCGCCGCGGCAAGTCAAGGTGATGTGCTCTTGCTTCGCCGCTTCTTGCAGTCTGGCGTTGATGTGAACACGCCCGCTATCGCCTGTACTCTAGGATCTCCGCTCGAAGCCATCGCAAGATGGAAGAATCCTAATCCTCTCGATGAAGGAAGCGATCAAGCAGCAACGGACTCGTTTCGCTCTATTAAAGACGACATGATCCATATGTTGGTTTTGATGGGAGGAGCAGTCAACAGAAAAGTTCCCAAGGCCGCAATTCAAAGCCATGATTCCCACAGTGTCCAATTGTTGATCGAGTTAGGCCTCAATCTCCCTGCAGATTTGAGCATGATAATACCAATGATGCAATATATGGAGACCAGCCAGTTAGCTGCAGATATGGGTTTGCTTCATCTGCTCCTTCGGTACGACAGCTCGCTGGCCGCCACAAGGTTTGGAAACCTTGTGCTTTACCAGGCAGTGAAGTCCGCTTGCTCGATGACGCTGTCGTGTTCATTGAGGCGGGCGCCAGTGCAAACTTTGACAATGGTGGTGAAAAGACCTTGCTACAGATGGCTCTTCATAACGGCGACGTGAATTTGGTCGAACATCTGCTTCAAGCAGGCGCAGACCCAAATGCAACCTCAAACGAATGTGGTTCTATGCCTCTTGTGCTGGCGGCAAGGAAGCAAGCTCAAGAGGCACTGGTGGAAATGCTCATTCATGCTCGGGCTGATGTGAATGCATCCCCCGCAGAGTACGATGGCACTGCGCTACAGGCTGCGGTAGAATCAGGCAATATGAACATCGTGACGATGTTGCTTAAGGCTGGTGCTGATGTGAACGCATCCCCCGCAAAGCACGGATGCCCTGCGCTACAGGCTGCGGTACGATCAGGCAATGTGAACATCATGACGATGTTGCTTAAGGCTGGTGCTAATGTGAACGCATCCTCTACAGAGGAAGACCGAAGAACTGCGTTACAAGCTGCGGCAGCATCCGGCAACCAGAAAGGTGTGACGATATTGCTAAAGGCTGGTGCCGACGTGAATGCGCCAGCGTCGGAGGTATGGGGGAACAGTGCATTGCAAGCAGCAGTATCGAGTGGATGTATTGCGATTGTTGAGCTGCTGATTGGAGCGGGTGCCGACGTGAATCAGGAACCGGCATACAAGGGGGTTGCAACAGCACTGCAGTTTGCCGCGATTTATGGTTATCTGGGAATTGCAGGCTTGCTGATTGAGGCCGGAGCAGATATCAACGCGGATGCCGCCCCGAAGAAGGGCAGGACTGCGCTTGAAGGTGCAGCGGAACATGGTGGGGTTGCCATGGTCGAACTACTGTTGGCAGCCGGTGTGGAGACCAAAGGAGCAGGCCGGGCCCAATATCTCACCGCGATCGACTTTGCAAGACGTCGCGGCCATTTAGTGGTGGCTAGGATGTTAGAATCTCACAGCTCTAGGGATTTCTAGTTGCAATGTGTTCAGAGTTTCTATATCTATGCTGTTACTGTGAATCTCTGAAGTTTCCGTTGTTGGGCACGAGGCTGAAGTATCATGTGGTGGACGTGGGTACGGCTGAATGTATATTGGCAAGGCTGAACCATCACAAGGCTGAGGTCGCAGTCCGTTGCCCTGGCGACCAACACGGCAGCTTGGCAATCAACGCCCGCGTCCTTCATTGTCGAGTATCAACTCGACCACAACTGCGCGGCTGTCATTGACGACGTAAGAAGGAGTCATCTCCTAAAGTGTTGCATTGTTAGGTCAAAATGAGTGTCAGGGTCGTTGCTCGTATCCGGCCTCTGCTCCAGGCGGAACTAGAGAAGGACCAGATTGTGACGAGCCACATTGGACCAGATGGAACACCTACCATGATCAAGATCCCCAATCCGAAGAACCTCGCCGAAGAATTCAGTTTCCAGTTCAACAGTGTGTATGAGCAGAGCGCGACTCAGCAAGAGATATATGACGCCGAAGGTATACTTTGTCCAACGCTACATCGCACTTCAACTAATGTTTCATCACAGTCGCCCCAACAGTCAAACACCTCTTCCTCGGCTACGATGTGACCCTATTCGCCTATGGCTCGACAGGAACAGGCAAAACTCATACAATGCGAGGCGGAAAGTCGCTCGCCGATAGAGGAATGATCCCCCGTCTGCTCAGCAGCATCTATAGGAAGAGCCGTACAATCGAGAAGAGCAGTAACGGAGAGACCAACGTGGCCGTGTCGATGAGCTACTATGAAATCTACAACGACCGGGTATTTGACTTGTTTGACGCACCCGAGAAGAGAACCGCCACTGGTCTGCCCATCCGAGAGGCAGAAGGTGGCAAGACTGTCGTGGTTGGATTGACAGAAGTGCCGTGCCGATCGTTGAAGGAGTTTGAGGCGCTGTACGATAAAGCCAACGCCAACCGAAGCACTGGCGCAACCAAGCTGAACTCCCACTCTTCTCGGTCGCACGCCATTCTGTGCGTCAAGGTCACCATCACAAGCCCTACGGAGACTAGAGTGAGCACGGCTTCGGCCATCGATCTGGCCGGGTCCGAGGACAATCGAAGAACAGGAAACGGAAAGGATAGAATGGTCGAGTCGGCAAGCATCAACAAGTCTTTGTTTGTTTTGGCGCAGTGTGTTGAGGCCATCAGCAAGAAACAGCCACGGATTCCATATCGAGAGTCGAAGATGACCAGGATCCTCTCGCTAGGTCAGAACAACGGGTTTACTGTTATGATTCTGAACCTGGCTCCTGTCAAATCATACCATCTCGACACTCTCAGTTCTTTGAATTTTGCGAATAGAACGAAAAAGATCGAGGTACGGGAGGTGGAGAACGAGCCTATCTTCAAAGGACCGCCACGACAAACCACTGGGGGAGCCCTGGCTGGTGGAACTATGCAGCGACAGCCTTTACGACCACTGAGCAATGGTATCAACGTCAATCTCACAGCCAATCGTGATGCAACGACCAAGAACGAAAAGCCACCGAAGGCGTTTGCTGTATATTCCGATCGCAGCAGACCTACGGCACCGAAAGGCGTTCTCCCCCCAAAGTCGTCACCACTGAAGCGCAACGCAGACAACTCCTTGCTGGGGTCTAGCCGCCCGAGCAAGATCTCTCGGCCAACACCGAACTTCATCCGCCGCGGACCGGAAGCAACGACACTGAGCAAAGCTTCGATCGAGACGTTGGTCGAGCAGAAAGTGTCGGAGATCCTGGCAGCCCGGGCATTGAATGCCCCCGATCCAGCTCCGACCAAGACCGTTTCGGAAGAAGTCCAGCGACGACTGGACAGCATCGAGAAGCGACTGGCCGGGCAAGATGGAGAACGAGCCGAAGGCCTCAGTTATTTGTTTATGGCCAAACAACATCAAGCACGGGGCGAAGATGGAAGCGCGTTGAAGATGTATGAGCTGGCACGACCATATTTCCCCGACAATGAGAAGTTGCAGAGCAAGATTGACCGGCTAAGAGAGAAGTTGGCAACCAAGCGAGTCGAAGAAGATAACGTAGGGACTATCCCGGCACAGAAACCAACTTCGTCAAACCCCTACTCCAGAGAACGCCGTGACTACGAAAATGATGATGGGGATGAAAGTTACCACGACGAGGCAGAGGAGTCGGCATATCATGATAGCGAAGATGACGACGACAACGACGACGGCGGATCCTCTCACCGTGCTCGTCCGAGGAAACAAAGAGGAACTCAGGGACAGGGCCAGAGACAGAACCGTAAAGCGAGAACATCGTCGCCCGATCCCCTGACTCGACATAACCTATCCCACGCAGATGCAAGGGTATACACAGATGAACAGGCAGAATCCGAGACTGGCACCGTCACGCCTCGCACCCGGTATCTTCTCGACGTCATCAACTCGCGCGACGTCTCCAAGATCAGAACTCTGAGCGGGCTCGGCGCCAAACGTGCCGAAGGAATCATCGAATACTTGAATGCTGAGGCCGAGGCTGGTGCTGGGTCTGAGGCCGAGGATGACATGCCCGGTAACAATCACGACAGATGTTTCATGTTGAGGAGTTGGACAGACTTGACCAGGTTGCGCGGAGTGGGCAAGAAGACGCTGGAAACAATGAGGGAGGCCGTCCTTGTTTGATGATAGACAACCTCTTCTATCATGCACTCGATGTATTTGTGCTTGTTTGGCCTTTTTAATTACCTATTCATGCTGTTTCAATTCAAATTTTAGCGTGCTGTTCAAATCGAATTTGATCTCGAATGCTTGTGAGGTATTCTGTCTAGAATTGGTCTATAATTGGACACTTGGATAGTCTTCTTCACACGCACTCTCTGTCTTGCCGTCCGATGTCGAGAACCTCATGTCATGGGTCACTGTTGTTCGCTTTCTCTCTCCATTCAATACAGCTGTTGTATTCGTTGTTTTGTGTGTGTGTGTGTGTGTGTGTGATTTCTTAGATCCAATGCCGTCTGGTCTTGAGAAGCCAGATAAGTAAGAAATAAGTAAGTGTATTACATATTGTGTTCTACCTATCTAAGTTGATTAGGTAGTGCTCGACACGAACATTCTGCGTTCGGGTGTCTCTTGGTTTCTGGTTCCGAGATATCCTTTCATATTATATTTCCCGGGCATCGATCAATGTTTGTTTCGAAGGAACTCTTCTGACGGGTCGTGGTTCTTGTTATCTGTGTGTCTTGTTGTCGCTGGGACAGATTCATCATGTTTGAGGGGAAGGGGTCAGGAGGGGACCGAACCATTGCGCGCGGATGGGATGTGCCGCATCCGACCGGGCGGAGGGACATTGGAGATTTGAGTCGTCAGAGATTGAAGATGAAGATGAAGATCAAGATCAAGATGGAGCTGAAGAAGAAGAAGGAGATGGAGATGGAGATGGAGCTGAAGGTCTCCTAGGTGGACGTTGGCGGCATCCCCATGCCGATGATTCTTCGTCAATGTTAATCTAGCCGAGACCTTGGTGTCGTATCCATGGGACTATACAGTCTTTTCGTCTGATCTGATCGGTTTAGTCGAGTGTTGACGGAGATTCGACTCGGTCTGTGGGTAGCTAGCTCCCCAGTTGATCTCGAGTTGATAACAGTGTTGTCGATATTCCGCACGAAAATCACCACTGGTCCAGCGATGTGATTTCAAGTCCACCTTCGTCAGGGGATCTCCGTGTTTCGAAGTTTGCCAATAATGGAACCGACCAAGCCATTGCTCATTCGGCTCCAAGCTTGACTCCTTCCACAGCCGTCTCTTCCAACACAACGATCCCGTACGGATCTCTGTCTCTCTCGCTCACAACAACTTCGACACTTTCATCTTCCAGCATTTCTTTCAGCTGGGTCGGTAACCGACTCTGTACCTGTGCACCTGCCTCGTTCCTCACCCTAGTCCACTCCTCCGAGAGCTCAGCCTCGAGTTTCTCGCGCATGACGGTCCAAAGATATCCTCGCTCCGAATTGGAATGGAACAGTGTGATCACGCAGCCACCCCGGTCCGTGACGGCCAGGGCTTCATGGTGACTCAGTTCGCCGGTAAAAACCAGGTCAGCACGACATCCTCGGACCACGCCCCCGCCGCTGCCTGGACACGTGGCGACGCTGGAAATGCCGATGTCCTCAATACTTTGGCCCTGCGGAATGGCGACCGCGAAACCCTTCGGTAGGCCGATGGCATGGGCGATCCGCGTAATCAGTAGTGTTAGCGGTTGGGGTTCGGAGAACTCAATCAGTCGTCCCGCGCCGGTGTTGGATGCCGTGTACGTCACGGAGTCGGAGGCGACGAATCTGTTCGCGGCATCGAGGGCGGCGCTGGGGGAAGGTGTGATCACACTTCGCGAATGGGTTATCACGGCGGGATGAAACGTCGACGTGGGATGCGGATATGTTGGTTTCGAGTATGTCCTGTGCGTAGGGGCGGGGTGGGAAGGTCTGGATTTCCGGGCTTTTGGGGTAGTTGTAGGAGAGACGAACGGATCGGAGAGACGGTCTTGGTCTTGGTCTTGGTCATGTTCCGCGGCGGATGGCGAGGTAGGTTTCGTCGACGGTGGTGAGTCGGTTGCGCTCTCGGACGTGGTGACTTCCGTCTCGGACGGCGAGGCCAAGGGTGGTTGCACCGCCGCGGCTGTATGTGTCTCGGGTTCAGGCTCGTCGAGTTTGCCTGTCACGATGTCGCAAAGCCAGTCTGCCATGCCATCCGGGACGGTGTCGACCGCGGTGTGGGGACAGTAGACACTGATTCCATGCGCCAGGAGTAATGTTATGGATAGCTGTTGCGTATCTTCTGTAGTTATCGACTTCAGTCCGCGGAAGATGATGGGGTGGTATGCGACGACGACGGAATGGTTGTTCTCGATGGCCTCGTCGGCGACCGCGCGCGTCAGGTCGACGGTCAAGAGCACCGAGTTGCGGTTTCGGGGGCGTGAGGGTGAGGCTATGAAGGGCGCCTCGACCAGGAGCCCGGTGTTGTCGAAGGATTTGTCGGCCAGTGCTTCGGGATATAGTCGACGCATGGAGGAGACCACGGCCGTGGTGAAGCGAGAGACGGTGGGGGTGGCCGAGGTGCTCATTTTGCGAGAGATTCTAGAATTCAGGTCGACGGGGTTGACGAGGTGCCGGTGAGATCTGCGGATCGTTCGAGGGAAGAGATGGCGCATAGTAGTAGTCAAGGACTGGTAGGCGGCGCATGGTCATCTGCGATGTTGGGCAACATGTTGTATAGCTGTGGAGGGTGAAGGACACCAATCGTCGAGAAACGAAGTACTAGAACAGGTAATTTGTTGGAGCGCATTCGACTTGTCGCAATTCATGTAACGAGTTGGAGTTGGAAGAGGATGACATAATAACGTCGCTGCTGCTCCGAAACCTCACAAAACGTTGATTTCCAACCATCATCGAGACTCACCAGCATCAGAACCAACACACACAGACACACACTCCTAATACACCAAACCCAAGTCATCCTTCGCCATCTCATCGCAGACTCCCCAACTAGTACTACTCAACTCAACTCAACTCAACTCAGCGAAGCGAGACAAACACAAACACAACCAGCATCGCTGTCCCGACACAACCTTCCCTCACCACCCTCACTCAACTAACTGTCCATGCCGGCCCGTGTGGCATCAACACTATCGCAAGTCGTCCGTCGAGCAGCAAACACCTCCAGACTTGTGCACGCAACGACAACGACAAGAACTACGACTACGGGATCCTTATCCTCGTCCCTTCTCGTTCCTCACCGCCCCTCTCGAGCATTCAGTACCTCCTTCTCCCGTCCCTCATCCACATCCACACCAATGGCCGCCCAAACAGACACCTCTGCGTCCCTGGCCGCGGCTTCGTCCGGAATCACGCCCGAGACGTTATCGCAGAAACTGCAAGCGACGCTGGACGCCACGCACGTCGCGATCGAAGACATGTCCGGCGGCTGCGGCCAGGCGTTCAACGCGATCATTGTGTCGCCGGCGTTCGAGGGCAAAGGCTTACTGGCGCGGCATCGGCTGGTGAATAGTGCGTTGAAGACGGAGATTGCGGCCATCCATGCCTGGACGCCGAAATGTTTGACGCCGGAACAGTGGGAGAAGGAGAAGCAAAAGATGGGGGAGATGTGAATATGAAGCTCAAGCTGAAACTGAATCTGAATAGGTGAATAGGTATGGATGACAACCTACGAGTACTCATGGGGAAGAGGTGTCGGAATACAATACAACGTTGCCGACTTGCGGATCTGTCTCTCCAGGTGTCTACGATATTGCTTTGCTTTACCTTACCCTACCCTACCCAGGTGCTTGCTACGCAGACGTCGGTGCTGTGGCTTGTGAAGGGAAAAGCTCCGTCTATGTGGACTGGCTAGAGTAAGGGGGAGAGAAGAGAGAGAGAGAGAGAGAGAGAGAGCATATACAGACCATCATGGCCGCGACCAGGTAGTCAGTCTCTTTACTAGTATGTGTGTATATGCTTTCTATAACATAAGAAATAATCCTCCATACAACCTCTTTCTGGTCATAGGCTATACATCCCTTCTCTTATGCGTTCTTCCATCGCATATGTCAGTAGACACGACTAGGGTGACAAAGGAACACTGCAAGGCAAGCAATTCGAATATAGGATGCCAGATCGTAACACCAGAGCGATACCTATACCTGTACCTGTATCTAGAACTCCTTCCTGTCTTGATACACAAACTTGTGCTCTCGTCACTATCACCATCTCCATTCAAGCTGTCATCATCAATGGACGGAACGATATTTCGTCCCAAGAATATAGATCGCAAAATCCAATCCACCACATATCACAGAAACATCTCTGTGCAAACCATACACCCTCAGGCGATGCCCAGAATGCCTGCTTCCTAGAAGATGCCTGTCTTCATACAAAACCCTACACACGCGGCCCAGGAGGCGGATCGACTCAACTGTACTTCCAAATCCCTCGCCTCAATGGGACTTCCCGTCCCTGGCAAACCCGCATTCAACTCTCGATTCCACCCGGTCCAGTCCAGTCCAGTCCAGATGAGATGCTCAAGCACACAGACATTTTGAGGGAGGTATCACTATCATCACACACCCACACACGTAACAATCAAACGCACCCCGACAGCCTGAACCTGGCTCTGGCTTCCCCATTCACCGCATGCATGCCTGCTTCCATCATCAAAGTCGTAAATAGCTTGCTTGGTTTCTGTGTGCCCTTCGTAATCGATATCTTCCACTTCTCTTCCACTACTCTAACAGCCTGCCGGCTCTGCCAGCTTCCCGGTCATGATAAGCGTGAAACACTTCCTTCGTCTCGGATGACAAGAGATGGGTAGAGTGTTCCATAACGCTCAAGCTCCATAATGCGTCAAAATCGACGCGAAGCCAGAAACAATGTGGGCAGATAGAGGGCTCGTCAAGGCTGGATCCTGCGTCTTGTGCCTTGATCCCGACGACTGGCCAATTCTAACATGACTCATCAAAGTGGTACCCCTTCTTTCTCTTTTATAGAAACAGCCCAAGAGTTTCGGCCATTACCGCATTGGAGCCGCCATGGACTGCTGCGGTGCATATATCCTCTGTCGTTTGTTGGCGCCGCCCATATCGTTTCCACCGCCCATCTCGGCCTGACCTCTTCGTTGTGCTTGTTGTTGCATCACGCCTTGCCTCATCCCCATCGGGGTTTGTGGGCCGGTCTGAAAGGTGTTGCCGGTCATGTCCACGAATTGCTGCTGCTGCAGCTGTTGCTGAGGGATCCCGGGGAAATGCATGTTGGGATTAACCGGCGACACTCCAGAATATTGGCTAGGAGAATTCCACGCTCCACTGGACCCGGCTGGAGAGGTCCCTGCCGACATGTCATCGCGAACGGATTGACCGGAGGATGAAGGGCCTCCGGAAGCACCCATGGCGCCCGAAGTGGGTTGCTGTCCGTCCATCCCTTGCGGCATCTTTTTCAGGTGCATGAGATGTTTCTCCAACATGTCCAACAAGGACTTCCGAGTAAACGGCTTGGGCAAGACGTCGTCCATGCCGTGGTGGAAATACATCTGGATGTCGTCCGATCGGATGTTGGAGGTCATGGCCACAATGGGCGTCCTGTCGAACTGTCGGATGATGTGGCATGCAGAGACACCATCCAAGTTGGGCATGATGATGTCCATCAATATCATATCGTATTTGATCCCTTCCTGCATCTTGCTGACCGCCTCGAGACCGTCCAGTGCACAATCGACCACGCAAGAAAACGAATACAAGAATTTGCCGCCGATCTGTCGACAGGTCGGGTCATCTTCAACCAGAAGAATCCTCGGCGGTCGGCGCCAACCTGGATCAGGGAGCCCACTCTTCTTCCGAGTGTCGGCAAATTGCGCGCGGGGGTCTTGTGTGTCTCTTGATGGCATCGGATACGGAATGTTGTTGATGTGTTCGCTGTACATGGGGTCGATCCCATTGGTGGAACCCATGGGATAGACGATGGCGTCCATGTCATTGGGGTTCATTTTGACGAATCCCATGCTACCGCTTGACGTGGCCGAGTTGGACCCACGGAACTGGGCGTTGCGAGGATCTTGCGAAACCGGGGTGGTGGTGGTGTGCATGTTCATCTGCTCGAGTCCGGCCATGTTGAACTGCCCATCAGGCTTGATTTCGTTGAGAAGTTTGGCCGCATGTTGGAGAGGTGAGGCCGGCACATCTTCCTCCGAACCGGGCATATTCTGACTTGTCGGGGTCAAGGTGGTGCTCGTCGCAGGGCCATCCGCTTGGGGAGCAAAGAGACTCTTACTATCTCTCCGCTGCTTCGCATCCACGGATTGCAGGAAGGTCATGACATCTTGCATGACTCGATCATGGTTGACGACGGTCTTTTGCAGGCGCAAGAGCTCTTGCACCACCATCTGATGATTCATCTGCAGCTGACCGGTCGTCTGCACCAGAGACTCGATCTGTTGGGCCTGGGCCACAATCTGCTGGTTCATGAGGTCGATTTGCTGAATGGAGATCTGATCATCGCTGAGATTGGACGGTTTTCGCGGCGCCGGAGCCTTGCGCCTGATGTTATCAAGGCTATCTTTACTGTTTGCCTTGAATTCCGGGTGTCGGAATTCCCAGGCGTTGGCGCCATATATCGACGAACCGCCCTCCTCATTGTTTTGTCGCACTTTGTGGAAGTCATACTTGTTCAATTGGCGGACGAAGCTGGCGAAGTTGGAGTGTTTGAAATGCTTGGGGAGGATGGATTTGGTGAACTTTTCGTTCTCGAGCACGACGAAACTTTCGCCATCGTCGCCCCAACGCACCACCGAGGAGTACGAGGGGTCTTCGAGCATTCTGCGCACACATATTAGTTGTTTGATGGACCGGGAAGGACACGATAAGCCAAGGCATACTTGTACAACTTGCGCACGAAGTCGCTGGAGTTATTTCCAGCAGCGCCGCCACTTTGGCCCTCCATCATGTACACCTAGGTTGGACAGACGAGCCGGAGAACGCGACGTTTGAAGGGCGATTAGACGTTTTGCGCAGAGATCTCCAAGGGTAGATATCGCAAAGGGGCGGTGATGGGAATCGGTGATGCAAGCAACTGCACGCAGCCGACTCAGTAGCACATCGCTTAGTGGGCGCCAAAAGACACAGAGGAGAGTGCAATCGAGCGAGGCACCGCAGGGATTGATTATGTACGCTGTCGCGGATGACTGTCGATGGAATGGAATGTTGATGGGCGATTTGCGAGGGGACACAGACTGCGCGAGTCGAAAGGGCGGCGGTAGGTTGGGCGATGTGGTAGTAGCAGTAGCAGTAGCAGTGTTGTAGTAGTAGTCGGCGGTAGACCAGTCGGAGAAGAAGAATCTTGGTCGAGGTCGTTTAGGGTCGGTGGCAGCGGGAAAGAGTGAGAGAGATCTCCGAGGCACTAAGCGTCGACGCTAGACGAATAGTGCTCATCTGTAAGGGAAGAGCGGCAATGCTCCAGGTGGATTTGCTGTCGCTGGCCAAGAGTTTGAACGTCAGAAACGGTATCACGGCAGCCATTATGCCCAGGTTGGTATAGTATAGGTACGGTACATACCGTGTGTTACTGCGCGTTTGGACGGGGACGGGCACTTGGAGATGTCAGTAAGAGACCATACAGACCGGTAGATGCACGGTTCATGCATCTACCGGAACCGAGGTGGAGAACCGTTGACAGCCGATTGAAGTGCAGTGGTTTGTGTACACATGAACACGCAAATTGAAAGGGATCCAGATGATCAATTGATTGATGGTTGATAGATTGGGGGATTGGAAACTGAAAGTAAGGTACCTAACCAGTGCTGGCAGCGCCGACCAGGTTTAGGAGGCTGTTCACGTACATCACTCTGTATGTGGGCAGGCTGGTGCTGGATTCGGGTCGCCCTCCAGGGAGATCCAGAAGGGATTAGGACGAGATCAGGGAGGGGAGGAAAGAGGCTACGGGGCTAGCGGCCCCTAGTCTACAGAGGCACCTAGAGAGGGTTTGGGGGGGTGAAGGGGGGACTGATTGGGGGCTCAACCCCCTGGAAGCATGCCGAGGGTGAGGCTATAGGTATACACCAACCACCATCGAACGGGTCCCCCATCATTGTACCCTCTAGGCCCTATAACTCCAGGCAGTCAGGGGCTTAACACACTGCAGTGCATCGTTCCCAGATGCTTCTTTTCCACTGTCCTGCTGCTTAGCGAACTGTTAGCGAAAGGGCTGCATGTCCACACGCTGCAATACATATACACCACTACCACTACCACCACCACTACCACTATAACCGTGCTGCAGGCGGCCAACCTTTGGACCGTGCGGCGGAGAGCGTGCCCCAAGTGCAAAGAATCGTGCTCGTTTCTCGGACTGGCACTCTGCCACTTCGGTTTTGGCACCACAGTTTCTGCATCTTGTAGCTATAGCAGGGACCACTCTCTGCCAAAGGCCTCTTTAGCGTTTGGGAGCAGGCTGAACAGCCACTGAATGACCCTGGACGCACCATCCGGGTGGATTGTACAGGCAAGCTGCGGTACGCTACCGCACACCGGACGGCGGACGGGCGCTCTTTTAAGTGGATGTCATGGCGGGGATCAGAGGGCGGGCATCAATGGGACTCCAGTACTGTGCACATAAGGAGCGGCAGGGTATGATATCGGGCGACTTAGGAGCCTCTCCATGTCCAATATAAAGGGTGCTAGCCTTAACTTGAATTGAGCACACAAGTGCCGGTGACTGTGGTTCGCAGGCTCCCCAGGCTCCCTGTTGTACCTAACTCGATCTTATTACCCTGCATCCATCACACACCATCATAGAGCGAGCGAGCGAGCGAGCAAGCATTCCCCCGCTTTCATACCATCGCACTCGTCCAAAACTCCGCGCCCGGCATTGTTGGCACAACTTACTTGTCTCTGAACATGACGACGGGGCGCGCTCACATCCCTCTTATTGGGCCTGGATGGCTCTGTCTCTTGCTGGGGCTATGTTTCCTTCACCAAAAGAGTCATGGGTGAGCGCCGTAGCAAGGAGACATGCATCCGGCACCGACCACCCAGAAGGCAAGGCGATCGGATGAGAGTCGAAACCTGCCAGCCGCTTTGCTCGTAGCTTGTCCGCCAGCGAACATGTTCTCTCGGAGCCGAATACTAGTCATAGTAGTGTCTCTAACAGGAGCCAGCCAGCACATTCGAAAATCAACCGTCGGAGACCCTCACGGTTATGTGCATGGTGGAAATTGTCTATCTCTCTGCCCCTTTGGAGGCTCGTTCTGCAAGTCCGAACACAAGTCCGACTGCACTGACAGACTGGAATATGGAGCCCATGCTGAAGTCCGTTCAGAAATGCGGTTGTATCGTGCTTATGTGTGGAGGATGGCTCTGCCTTGAACCAGACCTGCCGTGGTCTGGGCATCATGCAAGAGTGTTGACAGCCTGATCAAGGCCTCAGGAGCGGTCAGTCCACCTCAATACCAGGGGCATGAGGGTTGGATTTCCACTCGACGTGGGTGTTTAAACTGCGACACGAGGCTGATCGTGGAGTTGGTATTTGCTTTTATCCCGAGGGCCCGTCCTCGCCGTGCAAGCTGGGAAGAGGGCTCGACCATCGTTGGACATCGTGGAAGACATGCCCATCCTAATCTAGGAGAATCAGTGGTCGACCTCGGTGCCTGAATCGTGGCTCCCGACACCACGGCAAATTCCATTGAAAGCCGGTTTCCAAGCCACAACTCGACTTGCTTCTTCTAGCCGTGTAGAGACATTTTGAGTACATGGATGGTCTCGGCCTCCGACGCTGTTGGAAGGATCTCGGTGGAAGCGTATCATTCGCCTCGGATGCTCGACACGGGCCTACCCGCAAAATAGGAGTCCAAACTCTGAATAGTACAACTGCTGCTCAGCTTGATTAGGGAGGTGGCTATCGTCTCTCACCCAACGGATCAGAAAGGCGGTTAAAGTTTCTCTGCGAATGCCACCATAGTTCCGCTTGGGCCCGTGGCACTTTCGGTGACAGGAAACGTCTGCACCGTTGATGGGGTTGTCTTCACTTGGAGGACAACGTGGTCAGCTAGGGTAATGAGCAAATGGCCATGGTGCGCATGCTGTATCGTGGTGGCCTGAGAAGAAAGGGTCTGGACCTTGACGGCTAGGGCTGTTGTTCAAGAATGACTTGTCGTTGTATCCGAAGTAAATAATGAGAAGCCGGTGCTTTTTAGGTCACGTCAAAGCCATCGAAAGACGGCTACGGGTGGGTTCATCGGAGACTGATCTGTTTTGGGCAATCGTTACAGTATCAGTGCTCAAATAGGTAGGACCTGGCCCGTTCCAGACGCGGAACGAGCAGCGCTGCAGAAGAATTGGCGAAAGTTGCCATGAAAGGACAATGTACCGTCGAGCTCGCCGCGCAGCCATACCCGGTGCAAGGCGGAACGAGAGTGTTTGGTCCTCGTCGACTCGGGGGTTGAATAGACGGTTGATGGTTCTTTGAAGTCGTAGTTTTCATCAGACAAAAGTCATTACTTGAAGCTGAGCAGCATGAGAGTTGTGAGCTGCGTTTTTGATCCTATCTCTTGTTCCACCTCGAAGTGGGAGTGCTATCCAATTCCATGTCTTCGAGGAGACGATATCGAGGATCTGGACGATGTATCGCAGGGAATGATGGCAGTGGCATACAATATGATTTCGTTGGCAGATAGGAGGCTGTTTCCCACTTTTACAGAGATGGCTGATGTGAGTTCAAGTCAGTATTCTGTTGGTGGCTGTGGTCACGACTTCGCTTTCGGGGGTCGTCATCTCTAGGCAATACTCTGTAGTAGTAGTAGGTTGCTCAGGGTTTGTTTCATTATCAAGTAACGGTTCCATCCAAGAGGATTAAAGGAATCTCGGTTTGGTGCCGGCAACCCGACCCGAAACTCTCTCGCTTGACGCCTGCGGGGGACAATAATGGAATACGGAGGTGGGCGGACGCAGGCACCAACTCGAAAACCCCAACCCTTAGGGACTTGATACCTGCATACCTAAGGTACCTAGGTAGGTAGGTAGGATCCTTAGGAGGAACCTTATAGCCCGGGAGGTGCCCCTCGCAGGCTGTTGACTGCCCAAAGCTCCCCCGCAATGATATACGGGAAAATAAGAGACCTTGGTCTAAGTTTCCTATGCGGATGAGCCTACTCAGCCTCCGTGTATGGTTAAGGACGAGCTACCCAGGCCCTGCCTGATACACAGTAAGTTGGTGGGCAAGCTGGAAATACCAGATCCTACTTACCTAGGTAGGTACCTATAGCGAGCCTAGGAACCGAGAGCCCAAATGATCCAGTAGTATAGAGTGCTGTACCTAGGATCTGTGGCTGTAGAAGATGCTGGCACACTAACAGAACCTGTATTGCGCAATCAATCAATTAATTGGCCGATGCCGTCCTCGGGCCTTATCCGCACTCCAACTCGAAATGAAGTCATCACATCACAAACTGCGCCATCCGTTCTGTAGCAGTCTGCACTGCAGTGCACCTCAATCATAAGGTACTACTAGTATTCCAAATCTTTGGTAACGATTAAACCTCAGCAATGTTCGCTCGATCTGTCCTGCGTTCCTCATCACACTCACTCCGTCCAGCATCGTCTCCGTCTTTCATCAGATCCTTCTCTTCAACACCCGCCATCATGGTAGGTATCTTCCCACTCTCCCACCATGATCGTTCTCCCTGCTAACCGTTTCTCTCCAGGTCAAAGTCGGCGACCCGATCCCCAACATCGACCTCGTCGAGGACTCTCCCGGCAACAAGGTCAACCTGTCCAAGGAGCTGAGTTCCGGTAAAGGAGTCGTCATCGGCGTCCCTGCTGCGTTCTCGCCCGCATGCTCCGACACTCATATCCCGGGCTACATTGCCAGTGACAAGCTCAAGAGTGCAGGAAAGGTCTTTGTGGTCTCGGTCAACGACCCTTTCGTGTAAGCAAGCTTCCACAAGAGAAAATACTGTTCGTCAAGACAGAAGACATGAGTGGCTGATATGCTTTGATTTGGTTTGCCATCACAGCATGAAAGCTTGGTCAAAGACTCTCGACGAGTCGAAGAGCAGTGGCATCCGCTTCCTCGCCGACCCGGCCGGCGAGTTCACTCGAGCTTGGGACGTCGAGTTTGATGCTTCGGGCCTCTTAGGCAACAAGCGAAGCAAGCGTTATGCCGTGGTCACCGAGGACGGGAAGGTGGTCAAGGTGGCTGTCGAGCCCGACAACACTGGCGTCACGGGTAAGTTCTTCAAGAGTTCGAGTTGGACAGTCACACATCATCTAATCCTCGAACAGTGTCCGCCGCGGACAAGGTGTTGTAGGTCGATATTACGACCGCCTCCGCTTCAGACGAAAGTCAAGCTAGTCTGTGATAGCAGTAGCCACAGGAAATGGGCGTAGCTTTGCTTAGCACTACCCTCTAGCTCGAGTCTGCTGCTCCTGACAAGCAGAAATTTGAGATAGTGTTGACTCCAAACATTTCCCTCAAGCACCGTCATATATTTTGCTTCTTCTGTCCCATTTCTTTTGCGTGCTACTGCTATAACTCTGTATTGTCATCAACTCAGCAAGGCTCTGACCTCGGCGCCTGTTCGGGGATACAGCTCCCTCAAAGAAGCAGCTTGCCCATTCACCTCGGCGGTGTCGATGCCCAGACCGCCTGGTCGTCCCAGATCCTGTGCATCCATCATCTGAAGCATACTCTCGAGCTCGTCAAACTCGGCACAGAACCGCTCGACGGCCTCAGACACCACGTCTTTGGCAAGCGTCCGATCGAGAAGATTCTTAAGATTCTCCTGGGCGTCCATAAGCGCCGAAGACAGGAAGTCATCCAGACGCTGGGCGGCGGCATCGAGATTCTGGACCAGCCAGTCCTGACGGGCTTGAGCATCTTGGGCGTGCCGCGCATCGATTTCCTGCATCAAGTCTCTGACCCCCGAATCCTCGAGGAACGTAGCGCTCAAATACTCCACCAGCTGATCACGCAGGGACCGGATCTCCGACGTGGCTTTGTCCAGAGGAACCTGCGCCACGGGGACTTGGCTGCAAACCGCAGCCAGAGTCACGCGTAGTGCTCCCATGTAGTTGGCCCGGTAGATGGTGCTGCGACGGATGTCTGGGATCTGCACAGCGGCTTCGGCACACGCATTCAGGATCCCGCCGAGCATGGCAGCAAAGAGACGTTCCAGCTCGGGCTCGCTCATCTGCGGGCCTCGCGCACGAGCGACCTCGGAGAACTGCGTCAGGGCTGTCGCGAGGAACACGGGCGGACTGAGATCCATGGCCGGCGAGTTGTCCGCGGTGGCGGCGACGGTCTCGTCCTCCATCACGGCCTCGAAGTGAGCCAGCGTCGACGACTGCAGGGTCTGGATCGTCCTTGTCAGCGACGAGTTGGCGCCGACGAGTTTGCCGAAGATGTCGCGGTAGAAGTCGAGCAGGTTGAACGTCTTGAACGCCACCACGGGGTCGCCGGTGCTGCGGACGGCGACGTCGATGCGGGACTGCAGCGTCTCGCAGACGGCCGCGAGGTTGCGCGAGATGAGATCGGACAGAGCCTTGCGGCCGTCGAAGACGGGTTCTTTGTCTTCCTCTTCGTTGTCGAGTTCGTCCGATCCTGAAGAGGAGGACGTGGCCGCAGACGACACACTCGGCCGCCGTCGACTGCCACTGGTGATACGTGCCCAAGGCTCGCTCGCCCGGCCGGCGGACAAGCCCTTGGAGATCTCATCGGCGTCAGACACGAAGAGACCTTCCAACGCTTCCTTCTCGGACACGGTGGCCGAGTGCACCCAAGCCAGCATGTCGCCGACATAACGTAGCGGCTCGTGCGTCGAGAATTCAATGGCCTTTGCCGAAATCGAGTTCGCCGCCCCGGCCGAGCCCGTCAGCGCCGCCTGGAACGCTTCCGCCAGAGTGCTCTGCCTGGCCTCGGCAAAGAAGTCGAGACAATTCTGAAACAGTGTTGGCCGTTCACTCAACACCCTCAGTGCTCGCCGGATCGAGCCCGAGATATGCGGGTCTTCGAGATCCAGGCCCTTGAACTCGCGCTGGATCCAGTGATATAGCTTCTTGAACCCGGCGTCGAGATGTCGCGCCGTCTGCTCCATCAGCTCAAGCCCCAGCCGCTGGTTCTCGTAGCCCAGTAGCACTTCGCAGTCGCGGTGGATCTGCTTGACGCGCGCCAACACCGTGAAGAACCGCTCGTCCAGCGGCTCCGCCGAGTTGGTCAGCACATTCAAGTCGCCTGGGGAGACGAGGAAATGGGTCGTGAAGGCGTCGAGGAGCTGCTGTTTCGTCTCGGTCTCTTGTTTGCGCGAAAGGAGCGTACTGGCTTCCTCGAGCATGGGGTCGGATTCTTGTTTTGCGGCGACAATGTGCTCGCGCATCGAGGCGCATGTTTCGTTGAGCGTCGCGATCATGGCACCTACGCGCTTGAGTTGCTATACAATCGGCGCACAAGAAGAGCAACGTCAGTATGAATGTACTCTTCGCTTACGCAGGCGTATGTATGTATATGCTTTCTCTGCGTTGTTCTCCTTGCCCTTTGCATGTATGGTGCATTTGTGAGATCTTTTCTTCCGGGGTTCATACCTCTGCAACCTGGCCAAAATCATCCACAATCTTCGAATTGCAATCTATCACCTCTTTCTGCGCGTTGGCCTTGAGCGTCCTCCTCGCCTCCTCGTTGTTCTGCGCGCCTCGATCATCGAGAAGACGTAGCGCATCGCGGATTTCGTAGTCGCCGTAGGATGAGGACAGGACGCTCGCGATCTTTGTGGTCAGGGCATTGGTTCTTTTTGACGCGCTTCCTTCGGTCCCGGTCCCGGGGGTTACAGTAGGATCCGCGCCGGGGGACGTGAGTCCATCGATGTTGCCGAAGTAATGAGTCGCCATATACTATCATGTACCATGTGTCGGAAAGGAACGTAGAGGGAAATGTGGCTCGAGGACAAACAAGGCTGCGGAGAAACGAACTTGAACTGCGAATGGGGAAAACGCATGTGCCACACGAGTCAGCGAAGCTGGACTGACTGTCCACTTTCGATTGTCGAGTCACGCACAGGGGGATACTACTTCTCTCTTGACATGCTATTATTCTTAGAGAAAGGCATAAACTGCACTCTACGCGGCAGAAGTACGATTACGGACATATGGCAAGACTGTGTGCTCAGAACGAGGTCGTATTTGCGTCTGTCTACCGCTGAACCGCCTTCACATCTGGGAGATCAACCACTTGACCCCGGCAATCAGATTTTCCACAAACTGTTGTCCTTCAGGTATCGCCGGGAAGATCCAGAAGATATGTGGCAGACCCTTGTAATGATCATGCTTCGTGGGAACCCCAGCCTTCTTCAGCGCCTCCTCCATCACAAGAGCATCATCTCTCAAAGGGTCTTTCTCACAACTGACAAAGTATGTTGGCGGGAAGTTCTTATGGTTTTCCGTGGCCAAAGCTACAAAGGTGTCGGCGTCTTCTGGGTCGGCGCCGGCATGCTCGTAGAAAGTCTTCATGGAGCCCTTGTCAATGATTGGCACATTCTCTTTGTTGTCTTCGTACGAGGTATACATGGCCTGGTATTCGGCCGGCACATGATCCCAATGAAGGGTGCAGGGGACGAGTGCAGCAATACCTTTGATGGCATCGCGTTGTGAGGGCTCCTTCACCAGTTGATTGGCGACCTGAAGTGCCAGCGCGCCACCCGCAGAGTCACCAATGGTGTAAAACTTGTTTGGATCACCACCGAAAGAGCTGGCGTTTTGGTGGGCCTATATGCGATCAGGGGCCGTCACAGGACATGATTGACAGAAGACGTCACTTACCCATCTATAGATCTTCAGGCTATCCTCCAGTTGTGCAGGGACCTTGTGCTCTGGCGAAAGGCGATAGTCGACACTGACGATGATGGACGGGACATGCTCGGCAACAACTCTGCAAAGAAGATCGTCTGAGTTGAGATCGCCCGTCATCCACCCGCCACCGTGTGTCAGAACGCCAACAGGAAGCGCTCCCTGTTTCGAAGCCTCCTTGGGCGTGTAAAGCCGGTATTTGACGCCGTCGACTTCGCCATCTTTGCTCTCGACGGCATCCGACGGCGGTGGAAGTTGAGGAAGCAATACTGCAACCAGCTGATCATACTGGCCCCTTATGTCCTCAGGCGTCCCGTGGAGCACCATACGACCGCCCAGGTCCTTCTCCAACTGTATATCATGGTAAGTTGTGGACGCTCCTGTCCGTGGAAAAGACCCACCTTGAGCCATGATTCCGCGTAGCTCATCTTGATCGTCGCATGGGAATGGAAGAGAATACGGAATTGTCGCCCGAAATCGAGCTGTAGCGTGAGCGCAAGCCTATCGTAAGACTCAAAGGGTTCCGAGCACCCAAGAAGGATAACCCGCCCCGATATGTAAGGGTTTGGGCCTGGATGATCGGGTACATGCAACCTCGGCTATGGTTGGATGGCGGGGCCCCCAAGGTTAGGGAACACAAAACGGGGGTGAAGCAGATCGCCGCAGGAAATACCCCTTCTTTCTCCACGAGACCACCAAAAGAGAACAGTCGTTCCGATCCGAGCGAATCAGACACAAAATGGCTCCCGTGGCACGTTTATCGGCAGAGGACGGCCGATACCATCCATGGATGTTCGACTGATATACTGGTGTGTACTAAGAGATGAACATTTGTCAAAGAGTCCTCAGGGCATTGGCGGAATCAAATATCGATGAGATGTGGAATTGTGTACCTATTGTGCATCTGCTTCTCCTGCGATGTGGTTGGCGAGTTTCGCATTGCCAGGAATAGCATTGGATCTGGACGAACCCATCGATCGGCCATCAGGAAGAAGACTGAGGAGGTAGAAATCTGCCGTTACATCAAGGTGCAACGCTCGAGTGATCGTGGTTACGCGGTGTATCCCCTTGCGTCCTCTTCCTCTTTTGCGACCCATTGCCCACCATGAATGAGACCACATGTCGCTTCATTCGAAGACAACAGAATTGGAACGGGATCCTAGGCGGCTTCTCCAAAATTGTAGTGGCCTGTCGCCTGGGCGTGCTGTGTAGCTCCAGCCTCGCCAACACAGACTGCTCCGCAGTCACCGCATTTCAACGTAAAACCAGCAGTGTCCGTATAGTAGTGTTTTTCTTGGAGTTTCCGACATAAAGCCACAGCTTGTGGAAGGACCTCGTCAGATAATGGTTGCTCAAACTGCTTGACATCCGCCTCGGGTGGCATGCCAAGTAGACTCAGCGCGATTGTGTCGTAATGTATGCCCGAATATACAACAAAGCATCGCCGAGCAGCTCCTTCATTGTACCTGTCGACTCGCAGTGTCTGAACGTCGATGCTGCAGATTTCAATATCAAATTGTCGACTGAGGATATCCAGCTCTATTTGCCCACCCCAGGCATCTTCATTCTGTATCCACCTGCAGTACACGTCGGGCTCTTTGTTGTCCAAGATCGGCTTTGAATATTTGTCGGGGTTTGCTTGGATTGTTTGCGCGATGATAGATCTCAGTTCTGTCACTGTGTCCATGTCCGACATGACAGCACTGGCCACCGCTCTGAACAGACACGAATTATCATCCGGCATGATTCGCAAAACTAAGCTCCCTCCAAGATCTGGAAGGAAGATTTCTGGTGGATCCGACATCTCTTTGTTTTCTTTTCGAGTGAGTGACAGAGGTGCTGATGAAGGCTCCTGGAGTTTCGGGGACGGCTTAGATGCGCTTGCTGATGTTTGAGCAGGAACACCGTGGTCCCTTGATGGCCCAGCTTGATGAGAAGGAGCGCCCTGCTGCAGGCCACTGCTAAGGGTCGGCTGATGTGGCGGAGTAGCATCCTTGCGGGCTGGCGATTGTTCAGCATTATTGACAATCAGCTGTTCTCCGTTCAGCTTGATGTCCAACTCTGAAAGCGGCTTTGACGAGGGATATTGATCCAGCACTAGAGGCTTCGGAGGATAGCCATACTTGACGTCAAAGGCAGACAAAGACGTTTCAGCTGCGATTGTCTTTCGCAAGGTGTCTATTGTCGCAGAATCATCGAGTGTCGCGGTGGTAGATTTCCCAGAGGGGCCTCTGATACGGACTCGCATCGTGTTGTGCGTGACTTGTCTTTTGGACACAAGATAACCTCCAGGATGGCAGAAGTCGGGCGAAGGTCTATGTTGTTCGTATGGACAGGTGAATTATCTATCACAAGATGACAAATGAATGTTGTGTCGATGGTCTTGTCTTGCCACCTGGAACGGCCTGGTCAGGGATGGAAGCAACACTCGCGGTCCTGTTTGCAAAAGGCAAACAGCCCTCGTGTTATACCGTGGCCGTGGTGAGGTTAACCGGAATGATTAGGAGCCTCGAGCTGATGCTGGTGGCAGTGAAGGTTAGGGGTCGCGGATGCGGTATTGATACCGTGGCTTAAGGATAGGTATGAGACTCGTAGCGGTTGTATGGCTTCAACGGCTCAATAGCGAGAAGCAGGCAAATGCGTTTCAATGTGACGATTCCCACCAGCAAGACTATGTCCAGAGCAGAAAAGCAGATATCAAATGTGATTTACAAGAGGTAATGAATGGTACCTATAGTGAAAGCACCATATACACAAGTATAGAAGTGGTGTCGAGTATAGACCTATGGTGAATCACTTCTTCCAGCATGGCAGTTCTGTCACGTGCCCGCGGATGCTCGTTGCTCTCCGGGAGAGATTCTCACCCACCAGATACTTTGTGGCAGAGTATCTACAGAATCCTAGGTACATAATACTACAGGACTAAAGATAGTAGGTACTGTGGTTGGCCTCCGATCTTCTGCTAGCAGGCGTGAGAGGCACCTGTCTACTGCGTATACGCAACGGCCCCGCCGCCGGTCAATTGACGCAGATCCTCTTCTCCTTGCAGTCAAGATCGCGTCGCGACCTTGAAAGCGGTGCCTGCGAATCACCCAACGCTAGACCCTCACCACATGCTCCCTGCCTTTGCGCTTCCGCTTGCGTCGCCTGTGTCGAGTCGTCGCGTGAATTCGCGATAGTTGCTGGGATCACCATGGCAGAAACCCCAGACGCCAAACCTGCCGCGTCGGAGCCAGCCCAGTCCATCGAGCCGAAACCAGATATCAAAGAAGAAGACACCGGCGAAGATAAGTCCGATAATGAAGTAGACGCAGCAGAAGCCCACAATGGCGAAGAACCGGCTGTCACAAGTGAGCAGTATAAGGCGCTGAAAAACATCACGGAAGTCTTGACGAATTATAAGGTAAAATTAAAGGGCGATGAGTATGCAAACTCCAATGAGCATGTTCCCGTGTTCGGCGCTGATTCGCACGCAGAGAGCATTTTCCTTCCACATTGTTCAGACGCATCCCGAATAGACGAAACCTCCCGGATTACCATGAAATCATCAAAGACCCTGTTGCGCTCAGTACCCTTAAGGGCAAGATACAGAGGAAGCAATATACAGGAATTCCCGAGTTCGTGCGTGATTTCGCCTTCATTGTTCACAATGCCCAGGTGTACAACCGGCCCAACTCAGGTCCAGTAAGGGATGTGTTGGAGTTGCAGAAGGTCTTCAAGGAGGAGTTGCAGAAGCTGGTGGACCAAGGGTTGATCAAACAAGAAGAAACAGCATTTCCGGATCTTGGTGAAATCCCCTATGCCACTCCCGAACCAGATCCCGCCGATGATGAGGACGAAAATGAAGACGAGGCAGAGGATGACGAGGACGAGGACGATGAGGCCGACGATTCAGATGACGACCGGCGTCGGAGGCGGAGTCGCAAAGGACGACCAAGCATATCCGGACGAAAAGGTCGTGATGACGAGGACGAGAAGTTGAACGAGGGCGATGTTCGTAAGCGTCGCGGCCGCCCTCCGAAAGTCGATACGCCAATGGAAGCCAGGATCAAGGCTATCCTCAAGGGTATCCGAAAGCCGAAAGACAAGGCCGGCCACCTCAGGATCCTTCATTTCGAGCGACTGCCTGACAAAGCAGAATATCCGGAATATTTCCTGGCGATCAAGGATCCCATCGCGCTTGATACCATCAAAAAGAAGGCCAAAAGGAAGAAGTATCAGTCTTTGGAGCAGTTCATGAAGGATCTCGACTTAATGTTCGACAACGCCAAACAATTCAACGAAGACGGCAGCGAAATATACCAAGATGCGGTGGAACTGCAGGCTGAAGCGCAGAAACTTCTGGAAATTGAGAAAGCGAAGCCTGATGAAGAACATCTCATGGAGGACGGGCGACGGCCTCTACCGTCTGGCATCCTGTACAACAACGAGCGCTGGAAGGTTGGCGATTGGGTGCACATCCAGAATCCCAACGACGTGACCAAGCCCATTGTGGCTCAGATCTATCGGACATGGGAGGATCTCGAAGGCCAGAAATGGATCAATGCATGTTGGTACTATCGTCCGGAGCAGACGGTCCATCAGTATGAGAAACACTTCTTCCCCAACGAAGTGGTCAAGACAGGTCAATACCGGGATCACCGGATCGAGGAAGTCGTCGACCGGTGCTTCGTCATGTTCTTCACCAGATACAGCCGTGGCCGCCCGCGGAACCTCGACCCGACCAAAGAGGTCTATGTGTGTGAGGCGAGATACAATGAGGAAAAGCACCGGTTCAACAAGATCAAGACCTGGGCCAGCTGCTTGCCGGATGAAGTTCGTGACAAGGACTATGAGATGGACTTGTTCGATACGCCTCGAAGGATCAAGAAGATCCCCAGCCCGCTGAAACATCTCTTGAAGGATGACATGAAGGAGACCGATGAGATCCCGGCTCCCACCTGGGGCCATCCAAATGCACCTCCCATCGTTGGTGCCATTCACAAGCAGCCTCGCGATGAAAATGTAAGTCTTAGTCCAGTGGCGTCTCACCGTCATGTCACCCGTGTTTGCTTTTCACCACGCTTGGCGAACTTGAATTGCTTTGTTGTGAATATCTCATGACATTCACTGACCATACCTTGTTATAGCAATCACCACCACCTGAACCGACACCACCACCTCCTCCAACTCCTCCACCTCAACCAGTGCGACAAGCTTCGACAAACACGATGCCGAACATCCAGTCTCGCCCCAGTATTGACAGACAGGTCAGTACAGGCTCTGGAAACCTACAACCTCAACGGACGCGTCCGTCCCCGTCACTCACACCTCACATCAGCCCATATCCCAAACAGTCTATCTCGCCTGCTCCCCAGTACGGCCGACAGCCTCTCTACCAGCAACCGCAACACCCACCACTCCAGCCCAACATTGCTCCGCAGACACCCACTCCTCACACACAGTTGCCATACGCGTCGCATCAGCAATTACATCCTCAACCAAGTTTGGCCGCCGCCGGCACCGTCGTCCATCCAACCGGTTACGGCGGTGCCACACCCGCTCAAGCTTACGGCCGTCCACAAGTCCAGCCTGCGCCATCACACGCTGGTTATGTGCCAACCCAGACAGACGTGCGCGCGGCCGAGGTCTACGTCCTCTCCGACATTGCAAATGCATCCATCCCCAAGCGTATCCGAGATCGCTTCCCTCAAGACGATCAAGGGCGCGTGCTCTTCTTCGCCAAACCCCCAGCGGCTCATGACATGATTGCCAGAGGCAAAGATGGACAACCATTGGCCCATACGGAGAAGTACCTGGCTGCGAAAGCGGAGCGGGATAAGATCATCGCCACACGAAAGCGGGCACGAGAAGAAGAAGAAAAGGTGGCCGACTCGAAACGACCCCGGCACACGAATGGACTTGAGAAGGCGTGAAGAGACATCAAAGGCTATGCTTGTCATGATACCCTGAGAGAAAATACTGTTGAGAGGCGGGCTGGTATGCATTTGTATGACCATTTTGGGGACTCGGTATCAGCAACGGCGCTGGAAGGAGAGCTGCATGTAATGTACGATGGCATAGACAAGCCTCCCAGTTTACTTGTTGCGGAATTCATTGCTCGTGGCTCATCGACATTCCCTCTCTATATCGTGTAGCATGCATGGTTTGGAACGTGGCTTTCAGTAGAAACGTCCTTGTTAGGCTCTGTTCTTCGATTTCGCTTTCGAATGGAATCGTCCGCATCACTGAACGCACGAAACCCAAGCAGGTCCACAGGTAGGTAGGTAGGGGATGGATATACCGACCATCCATCTTGTCCCTCGTAAACTCACACTGTAGTCTCCATGTCATGTCATGTCTAGTTTTGTTCCTTTCAAGCCAACTCTTCACAATACAGTTCATTTCTTTAATTCTATCTCTGTCACCCGCCCATCCTCTCAAACAGAGCGTCTCTCTTAACCTTCAATGCATCCAACTCAGTCTGAGCTCGGTGAACCTCGGCCCTCGACGCCTCCAAGTCCGGCGGCAACCCGTGAAACGCGCGGATCTTGGTCTCCAGCGCCGAGATCTTCGCTTTTTTAGTCTGTAGGGCATCCTGTTTGGCGAGAGCCTCGGCGACACTTCGCTGGGTCCCATTGGCGTGGAATGCACTTGATGCCGCTAATTGTCGCTCCAGAGATGCAATCCGGTCTTGGTATTCTTCACATTTCAGAGCCAGTTGTTTAATCTCGCGTTGGTGCTGGAGGGTTTCGGCGAGAAGTTTTGCGTGAGCATCGGTTGTTGTTGAGGTCGAGGGCGAGGAAGGCAGAGAAGTTGGTCCTAGACCCAGGGGTGGATTCGATGCCTTTGTCCAGGTTGGCGCCGAGATCGAAGACGAAGATGAAGCTGAAGCTGAGGAGGAAGATGAAGATGAAGATGAGGATGGACCTGACGAATATGCAGAGGAGTCGAGACGGGCAGATGATCGAGAAGAGCCATGTGAGGAAAAAGGGGCCGACACAGCAGACGTGCTTGGACTGAGGATCCTCTGAATCCGAGATATTTGACGCCGCAGGTCGGCCATCAGCGCATCGATCTCCGACAGCTGCGTTTCAAGAGCGAATGTCTGTCGTGGAAGGTCGAGGATTTGACTTTGTAGACGCTGGATAATGGATGTTGATTCGGTCGTGGGACATCCTAGCAGAACGGCGGACTCGGCGAGAGAGTCGAGTGCTTCTTTGGACTGTCTTGAGAGCGATGATTCGAGATGGTAGACCAAAGGCTGCGGGTGTGTCGACTCGGCCTCAGCCTCAGCCTTGTCGGATGCAGCGAGGTCTTGGTCGTGTGAGGTAACGATGGAGGTGGTGGCGGTCACTTCTTCTTTCTGCGCCGCGCGGACCAGGGCGCGCACATGGTCGGCGGCAATGTTCTCTGTCATTAGGGTCTGTAGGGCTTTCAGAGTCTCGGGGTTGCGTTCGACAAATGGCGCGGGTGATGGATGGTAGAGATCTGATAGCCATGAGTGCACGATGGACCACGACTGCGCTTCCAGGGCTTCGGCACGGGCTTTGGACGGCGAAGCTTGCATCGTGTGAATGTCCCTCAGAGGTATGGGTGTGGGAGCGATAGAGACGTTTAGTTGTTGTCTCGGTCACGCAGTCAATCCGTTCGAAACGACTACGAGTCGGTTGAGAGACAGATACGAAGAAATAGGGAATTCAGCCTTGTCGTCCCCGGGTGACTGATGACTCGCGCCCCTGATGGACGAGGACTGGTCTTGACTCATGTCAACGAGGCTGCGCGTAAACATCACGAGTCATGAGTCGCGTCTTTACCACAACGGCGCTACATTGCAATGAATGTCTGTAGATGACTCTTTCACGTTGGCTCTTGAGGGATATAATGCTACACACCTCCGCATCGGAGACAATCTGGAGTATTGTTCCCTTAAGGAACCATGCGGTGAGAGGCATATGATGGCCTCCAGGATTAGAAGGTCAACTCGCAAAGACCAAGGAGAGCGCGGAATCGCCTCGATACAAACATGGCAGTCATCTCAGCTCGTGTCGTGCTCTCAGTAGGGAGGTAACTTAGGTTCTGTATACCAACTGGTGTCAAGTTCTTATTGCCAACTATGCTTGAAGGGAAGCATCTACATCAAATCTCATGTAGAGCCTTGGGTAGCCAGTTCTAGTGTTATTACAACCAAATTCCCCGACTGCTTCGGTTGCATGGGTACCCAGCCATAGAACAACCCTTGCGTCAAGTCAAGTCAAGTCAAGTCAAGTCAAGTCAAGTCAAGTCAAGTCAAGTCAAGTCAAGTCCTAGTGAATGGGAGAAGACCTTCTGGTGAGCCGACGAAGCTCCCGCTGCTCCTTTGACTTCCGCCGGGCATTCAAGCCACGTTGAAAAGTCGAGCAACCGCCATAGTTCTGCATATGTTCTTGTAGTGGCATTGGTGTTGAGATGGGTTGCAGTCAGAAAAGACTGGAGCTGCTGGTCTTTCTAATGTCCACTTTCACCCATTTCCTTGCACCCGAGGTCGTTCAGTGCTCAGACCCGGCTTTCTTCGCCCATAGAATCGATGGGACAGGGGCATCCTCAAACCCTAGTGTTGCCCGAACCTGAGCAGAGCACAGTAGCATTTGCGCTCAAGGCCAGCGCATTTCTGCCACGCAGAGTGGATGCTAAGTATCATGGACCATCGAGTGTCGGTATGGGCCAAAGTTCGTCAAGCGTAGGTGCGGGCTAGCTTTGTGTGCTGTGTCTTGGACGCCCTGAATGATCCTCTCAATGACTCCCAGGCGCTACCGCGTGAAGCAAACGTAAGCTTGCCATTTCAGGAATGCATCGGGCTGACGGAGGTGAGGGAGGTGATTTGCTGCCACCGGTAGCTTGTTTGGCTGAGGTGCAGACACTGGTCAGTGTCACACAGACCTTTGGTCCGTAATGGCCTAAATCCTCTTGATCCTCGACGATCCCATTTGATCGGATCACATCCAGGTTTATATCTTCATCCCAAAGGACCGGGCGAGGTTGACGCTATTGCCGGCCCAAAAGCCCATGTACTGTGTTAAACCTCCTACGGTGCCACCGACACCTTGCGCATCCTTCAGCCTGCGGTCGAGAAATTCTGCTGTGGCCGTGAAATCCTTTGAGTTGTCAGTCGTCATGAATGTTTCGGTACTGGCGTAGACGGCAGCTAGTGAGCCTCGTTTGGTGTACCAGGAGAAATCGACCGCAGTATCGCCGGCAAGGTACCAAATCTCGTCGGATAGGGCATTAAGTTCTCCCAAGGAGGCAGGGATGTTTTCAAGCAGTGACATGTATCCTAACGCCTGCATTGCTACTTGTTAGCCTGACGCTGCCAACGGGAGACCAGCCTTAAGCTTACCCCTTGCCATTGATGTATGATATCCGCATTGGCTCTCAGCCGCGCCAAAGCCAACGCCTTGACTTTGGCACCCAAGCCTAGCGTTGTACCCTCCGAGAAATGCACTTTGTCTTTCAAAGCAAGCCGCTGCGTGACCATGTGATAGTTGACGAGGTCGAAAACGCCACGAGGAAACAGTTGCACCGACACCTCAAGATATCCTGCGTCTTTTGCTCCCCGCACCAATGCCTCTTCTGAAAATCCATGTTCCGGCACGCGCTTGATTGCCGCAGAAAGTATTCGGTCTTGTGTCTCGGCATACGGGGCAGGCTCCGGATGGTAAATGGAATAGTATGTGCGTCTGAGCCGAGGGACGTGATTCCGGACACGGCCACGACAGCCTGCGTTTGAAGCCGGGCGGAAAGCCCTGAGCAGCGTGGCCGAGGAGAGAGAAACAGTCGACATGATTTGCTGCGTTCCAGTGATAAGGTAGGCTCAGTACAAAAGTCGAGCTGCGAAAGAACAAGCGGCAATAATGTCGGTGCAGGGAGACGATCTACGATGGCGTCCAAGTCCGGCTGCGGCAGCGGCTGCGGCGTGGGCTGCACAACTTTTGCAACGGCGGTGGAAGCTAGCCGTGGTAGCGGCGGGCTGGTCTCCTCGGTGGTGGAAAGCCAGATGAGACGACGGGTGATTTACAGCATTACAAAGGTACTCCGAGTCTGTGGCTTGTCTTTAGTCGGTCTCTGTGCCGGGGCAAGCCTAACAGCCAAATCAGGAATTCGACCTCCGAAGCTGTTTCTACATATAGACATTGCCATGTTGCCTACGGCCGCTTCAGCGCAGCCAACGCAGCCTTGCCGGTCCTTGGCACGAACTCCTGCAATGCAGTGCCGGGCTCGAGGGAGGGCGCATGCAACCTGGTACATATATGTACTACTAGTAGTACTGTACCTAGCCGGGTACGTACATAGTATAGGTCTATCAAAATCTACCGAGGTATCTAGGTACATACCTACCTACCTCGACTTCCCGGCTTCACAATCGTGGCCTCTCTGCTCGTATTCCTTGCCGTCTCCAGCATAAACGGACACATTCCTCCGGGTCGAGATATTCCACTGCGAGGACATGGATGTGTCAAGGTCGCCGAAAACCATAAGAACTGAACTCTGATCCACCATCTCTGTCGGCCTCGACTTTCGCTAGTTGGACGGTCTACTGCCGAAGATGGAAGATGAGAGTGTGTATAGCTAGAAAAGTATATCCGTTCACTATTGGGCAGTAAGGTACCTAGTATCGGGATGTGATGCGCCAGATACGACGTTGGTGGTTGTTGAGACTCTCCGGGATCTCAGAGTTGGCGTGGTGGATCGTTCAAGCCGGTGCTGTGCCTCTTCCTCCATGCTTCGAATTTCTGCCTCTCGCTGGCTTGATATGCGTATAGCGCGGTGACGATCACGCCTGCACCGAACGACGAGTCCTCCAATGTGGACGTCGCCTCCATGACTTTACCACAAGCGCACGTGTAGCAAGGCACATCAATGCATGCTTGATGGACGGCATACGCATGCATGGTGTCTTCGCGTGACGCAGAGTACAGGGTGGACGAACAAATAGTCCCAACGTTGGAGAGTGGTTGTTGGAGTCCATTTGATGAGAGGCTTCACAACGGGACGGCTGGCGTTTGAGCTACGACGCGACCTGGATGCCGACTCTGCTCTTTCTCCTTCTCGCAGACCCTTGTTTGACATATGAACATTTGGTCGACCGGACCGAGATCGCCAATATCCAGTGCATAACAGTCCTTATGGTCAAACATAAGGAACCAAAGTGTTCCTCAGTCGGACTACGGATGCCATGGGTGCACCGAGCAAGGCGTCTTATACCACTTCTCGCGGAGGTCAGCATTCAGTTCAAAGTAATGTAGCGGCTGTTCGAGTGCCCCTCCTAATGCTCTCTTCAGCTACAGTAGCTACAATACTAAGTGCGTTCGTCTCTTGACCGGCATCGAGTACAGCCCTAGTGCCGTTTTCTTCTGCAGGTATTTTCGCAGGCATGCTGGTGCAAGGGAGGAACGCCGGGGCAAAGGTTGGGTTATGATCTTCGCAGATGCAAGTAGTGTAGTAGTGCATCCGGACATGCGTTGAAGCGGTCCCGCCGACCGGCAACGGCCAAAGGCTGTATCTAAGCCAGCGGGCATAGTAGGTAGTGTAGTAGATCGGTCTGAAGATACGTAGTCGGCTCTACTTAGTACTCGATACGAGAGAATGTCTCTGGCGCATGCGATGTCGGCGTAGACAGGCGAGCGGACACAACGATAGGGAAGCATCTTGAACCAGAAGCGGAGCTTGTTCTCTCGAGGTGCTGATCTCCCCTGTCATCAGCAGCAGCAGCAACAACAGGGGAGGTGGGAAAAGTGGATTTGAGGCGGATGGTGATGTGCAGACGGGGGGTTGCGAGGGTGAGGGTGTGCCACTTCGACTTGGACTATGCCAGTGCTTGAGGTGTGAACAAGATGGGATCTTTTGGAGACACTGCAGCAAGTGGCAGGCTGCTAGTCCTGCTGCTACTGCTGCTACTTCGTCCACTACGTACATTGAACTGCACACCTCCTACTTCTACGACGCACTCCGCGGTCATCGGGCGAAAAGGCGCCACTGGCAGTCAAGAGTTCGCTAGCGCCAAGGCCGTCACCCACTCAGACGACGTGCCTTCAGAACAACAGCCAACAGCTTCCCCCGTCACACTGCAACTGCGACAACCTCAACCTTTCTTTAGCTGCAGCCCAACTGGCACTGGCATCGAACGCTCCAAACATCCTAACCCTACCGTCGCCCGACATCTGTTACTCGCAACTCATTCGACCGCCGGACCCTGGCCTGGTAATGCTTCTCCCGCCCTTAGGCCCCGAAGAACAAAGCCTGCCCTGTCTGGACTCTTGCTGACGCGAATCACCATCCCCTCCTAGACCTCCTAGATCCTCACGCCCATCATAGGCAATCCCCATTGGGTCGCACCTCCGAACAAGCCCTCTTGTGCCGCAGCACATCTCGACGCAGAAGACTTCGGGTCTCTGTGATTGTTCTTTCTGGTTGGTTAGACTCCCGCAGGGTGGAAGAAGGAGGAGGGCACAAGAACACCTCTCAACCACCATCCCCCGGCTGGTCTTTGTCAAGAAGAAGTCGAAGACAAGATCCCCACTGGCGTTGAGGCAAACCCGTGTGCTGACCAAGTTGACTGACCTGTGGTCATAGAGGATTTCGATTCCATCATCGCTGCGAAACGGCGAAACCATCTCCGCACCATATCAGCTTCCGCCCTCCAGGACCGACTCCTGCGTACAGCGTCAAGCCGCTGGTCGCTCTAAGTTGCTTTCGTTCGTGCCCCGCAAAAGCTGTGGTTGTCCCTCGAGCGAAAATTTCATCGGACGAGGCACAACAGTAAGCCATTTCGCGACACTGCCCCTTAGGAGGCTCTGTCAGACAAGTCTTGTCGCCCACGCATCCGACTCTTGCGGCCCTGAGACGCGCTCCACCCAGACAAATCGAGGCGTTTGCGTCTTGCGAGCACGCCGGACAGCCCTTGTCCTACTCGGGAAACCTTGTTAGCTGGCCTCTCCCCCTCCCCTCCTGCATTTTCGTGCATGCGATCCTGATCTCGTAGAGTCAACAGTTGAAGCCAGCCGCAGAAGACATTCTCGGCAATCGATAATCATGGGTGCGTCTCCTTCATCAATCCTGTGCCCCAGTCTAGCCCTTTCCTGTGGTCGTCTGCTTTGACCAGGCCACCAGTTATTACCTTTCCTGCCCTCACATGCTCTCCTCCTCCGCTGCATCAACTTCATACCTTGCTCACATCACCTTCACCGTCTCTTTCTTGTTCTTGATTTCTCGGAGCTGAGGGAGGAAGCTGGCTAACATTTCTGACCGAGTAGTAAGTGACACGATCCTTTTGTCGCAAGCACAGATCGGAAGCAGCCACAGTCCAGATGGTGCCGGAACGATAGATTCACCTCACTTCAATTTCCTGCCCAATCGGGTCTGGGTCCACCTGGCGCCTTGGGCCCTTCACTTCGAGCACAGGACGCGGTGAAGTGGCTTTCACCATCTTCGTGTCTGCCCAAAATTCATGTGGAATTCACTTTCACATGCGATGCGGGTTGGGATTCACTGGCGCAACATATAAAATCAACCTCGTTTCTCGCGCGTCATGGTCACTTTTGCCAACCAATTTTTCTAACTCGTTGCAGAGAGACCGTTCTCGTTCACCTCGTCGCCGATCGCGCAGTCCGCGAAGAAGCCGACGCTCCTATTCCCCTCGTAGTCGCTCTCGCAGTCGAGGAGAGGATCATCGTCGCAGTGAACGTCGATCTCGCAGTCCCATGAGCAGTGCACCGAACCCATCTGGGGGATACGCAGGGTCAGGCTACGGCGGTAGAGGTGGCGGACCTAGATCTATTGAAGACCGATCTGTGGCAAAAGAACAAATGATGCAATCGGTTCGCGAGTCTTCGCAGCAAGACCGCCGTGTCTATGTCGGCAATTTGGCTTACGACGTCAAATGGCATCATCTCAAAGATTTCATGAGACAGGGTTAGTCTTGTTCTACCATTGTCAGGTCTCGTTCACCTACTGATGCTTGGGTTCAGCTGGAGAAGTTCTCTTCGCCGATGTCTTACTTCTTCCGAATGGAATGTCGAAGGTGGGCGCCATTGTGTGATGCGGCTGGTTCTGCTGGTCTTCCTTTCTGGTTACTTTTGTTGGACGTTGGATTGACGGGTTGGACCTGGTCCACGGGTTTATGTAGGGATGCGGGTGAGTGCACTCTGATTCCTATTATCGTCGACAACATTGCTGACCTTTTTCCAGGATTGTGGAATACGCAACTAGGGAACAAGCCCAACAAGCAATCCAAACTCTAAGCAATCAGAGCCTCATGGGTCGTCTCGTCTATGTCCGAGAGGTACGTATTCTCCGATCAACACGGACCCTTGTTAGTATTCATCACTGACAATGGTATTTCTCGATCAGGATCGCGAAACTGAGCCACGCTTCACCGGTCCTTCCAACCGCGGAGACTTTGGTGGTGGCCCAAGAGGTGGCGCTTACGGCGGAGGCTACGGCGGCATGGGTGGTGGCATGGGCGGTGGTGGTGGTGGTGGCGGTGGAGGCCGCCAGCTCTACGTCTCCAATGTTTGTTCTTCCCTCCTCCGTGACTGTTAACACAAGGCAGGAATTGTTGACATCTACGTGACAGCTCCCCTTCAATGTCGGTTGGCAGGATCTGAAGGACTTGTTCAGACAGGCTGGTATGTCCCCTGCATCTCATGGCAAACTGACAATAATCTCACTCTCCCCAGCGCAGGAAGGTGGTGTCATCCGAGCGGATGTCCACGTCGACGCCACTGGACGTCCCAAAGGAACCGGTATTGTCGCTTTCGAATCTCCAAACGACGCCCGCAACGCCATTCAACAATTCAACGGTTATGATTGGCACGGTCGCGCCCTCGAAGTCCGCGAAGACCGTTACGCAGGCGGTGGTCCTGGCATGGGCCATGGTGGCCGCGGAGGATTCCAAGGCGGCTTTGGCATGCGTGGTGGCTTCCAAGGCGGCTACGGTGGTGGCAGAGGCGGCTTTGGCGGTCGCGGTGGCTTTGGCGGTGGCGGCTTCGCGCGAGGCGGCTACGGAGGTGGTGGTGGCTACGGAGGTGGCGGCTACGGAGGTGGTGGTGGCTATGGTGCTGGTGGCGGTGGCGGCGGTCCCCCCATGGGTCCCGGCCCTGCTAGTCACGAACCGGTCGCTCCCAACCCGTTCACCGATTTTGCAACCTCTGGAGGAGAGAAGAGCCAGACCATCTATGTCCGAAACGTGAGTATTCTGTAGCGAAGAGTTTCCGCTCAGGCTAACCTCGTCGCAGCTACCATGGTCTACCAGTAACGAAGACTTGGTTGAGCTCTTCACCACAATCGGCAAGGTGGAGCGCGCTGAGATCCAGTACGAACCGAGTGGACGATCCCGGGGATCAGGCGTGGTGGAGTTCGACAGTCCCGACAATGCTGAGATGGCTATCTGTGAGTCCTCTTCCTGTCTTCCAGCATTGATCATAGCTAACACTTTCCTCAGCGAAGTTCACTGGCTACATGTATGGCGGCCGTCCCCTCGGACTGTCCTATGTCAAATACACCAACGCCAATGGCAACGAGGCAATGGAAGGACAAGAAGCTACTGGTGGCATGACGCAAGACCAGATGATGTGAGGGTCTGTCAGAGAGCGGAACCCATCGCACGCCGCATCCGGCGGAGAACAACTTATTGCCTTCTCCTCGACGCCGTTCTTGTGGCTGTCTTCCCGTGGACTTTTCTTACCGAACCGTTTTCCCTTTACACATGTACGATTCTACGCGGATTTTCTCGCGCCCGCGAGCCTACGCCACGAGTGTCGTCAATGGGCACGGGATTTACCCATTTTTCCTTGTTTTCATATGGAAAAGTTGTGGCATCCAAAGTCATCCAAGGCAAGTTTGAAGGGTGGTGGACCTTGGGGAAAGGGGAAAGTGTCAAGACATCTACAGTCTGCCCGCAGATTTCGTGGGCCGTTGTGCCTCTGTCACGTGGCCCAGTTTGTCCAGGTCGGGCACAAATAGCTTGTGGGATGGAAAGGGTGGAGGGTATGGAAGGTGGAGGGATGGCACCCCCGAGACCTGTGGAGTCACAGACCAAAAACAGATTTGTGTTAAAGAATCAAAAAGGCGAATAAAGGGAACCATTTTACAGTTCTGGACTTGCTTCGGATAGGGCGAGAGTTGATATCGAGGCTGAGAGAGATTGACCGCCACCAGGGCCATACATGACACGGAGGGTCTGATTGCTGACGGAACGTCTCACGTCCACGGCCCGAGTCGGCAAGTAGTCGCCATCTCCTCGGGCATTCTCTCATGATGTCCCTGATATGTAGGCAAGGCTCGGGGCATACCTGGACTGAGAGATATTGACAGCCACCAGGGCCGCACATGGCGGATAATCATGGCCCAAGCCTAGTCTGCAGGAAGCAGCGCCGAAACCAGGGTAGAGCTCGTGCTGCAGAAGCCCATGGGCCTTCAGATCCCTGACCTGTCCTGGTCGGAATGGAAGGGAAAGGTCCGCGATGCAGGTCTCACCGCCACTCTCTGCGTGCGTGAATGGATAATGATAATGTCTTTCTGCTGCAGCATGTTACACTAGTAGTTCCATGTCACGGTGACCATCGAATCCAGAGCTCCCTAGCACATTACCTCGTCGAGCACATTGGACTTGGGTGTCCGTTACCTACTATGGAAGAAAGGGAATATCTCACCAGCAGGCGTCGACGGCCGAATTCTAGTGGATAAGGCTGAGGGGAACAAACAGTGCAGACTGTTCGGATCGTTGGTCGATACCAGACCTTTTCTCGGTTTCCGTTCAGTTGTTTTCTGTCACTGTGTAGTTCGTGCTTACCCAAATGTCGACAAGGGCTTGCTGCAGTATAGGAGATTCTGCAGCAGTCTTCTTTGGTGCCTTGAAAAGTAATGTTGCAGTATAATTAGATGCCTCGAGTGTATCGAACGATCAATTAACTGCTGCTCTCCTTTTCCCCACGTTGTGCATTATTGTGATTGTTGCGGGGTCGCAAAAAGCGCCACCAGATGACGACTGCTGAGAAGGGGCGGTATGACGCTGGATTTGGTCTGCCAGAGCTAGAACAGGACACAGCGGCACAAGCTGTCATCATCTTTTGAGAAACCTGAGTCCACTGTTTCCCTGCCGTGGCAGTAATTTCCATCAGATCAAATATGGACCAACGGAATGTCGTTATCAAGAGGGTTCGCCGACGACAACACAGCAGCTGTGACCAGTGCCGAAAAGGCAAACGAGCATGCGATGCGGCGTTCATGAGAGAACAGACACACTTGGACACCGTCGCAGGGACTGCGTCCATAGCCCGATACGATCCTCATCAAGGAAAACCTCGAGCCCCGGCAGCCAAGTGTTCCAACTGCCAGAAAGCCGGTCGCAATTGTACCTTCGACTGGCTGGAATGTGCCTTGCCCAGAGCGACCAAAGGTATCAAGAAGAAGCTGCAATCTCGCAATGACGGCGATACGGCGAAGGAAAGGTCCGAAACTCAGTTCTCAACCCAACAGTCGACGTACCCGTCCACGCTTGAGAGCGACCCTGACTTGTTCTCAGACGTCGGAACACAAAATCTGAATGTCGCGCACGTCAATGATCCCGAGTTGTTCGATATTTGGGGTTCGCCTGAGATACTCTTCGACCAAGGGGTAAGCGAGGGGCAATTTCTGGACTCTTTCGCAACAGACACACAAGCAGTGGGTTGGGAAACCTCCTTCACCCCCACCAATAATCCTCCTTTTCAGCTTGATTCCAGATCGTGGCCGGGAAACGAACCCGTGCTGCGTTTGGTGGAAAATGTCCAGGATCCAGAAGAGATGGTTCTGGAGAATCAGCAATATAAGGGAGCAGACCAAGAGCTATATTCGACGGATCCATGGTCTCCAGATACGCTCCTGCTCACAACACCAAGATATAGCTCAGCCCCAACTGTTTTAGATGACGATTTGCCTCCATCTCTGTTGTCCGAGACTACTTTGTCATCAGAAACAAATCGATGGTTGTTGGCCCAAAACTGGTTGCGTGTGTATCATGACAGCATGGAGAATGCTCTCTCGTGCTGGTTGACGGAGAGGAATTGCCCATATACGCTCACACATAGCGGCACCAATGGACTCGCCAATGTGTCGGGTCCACAATGGTCAAATCGAATTTACCAGCGGGTGTGCAATCTGGATAAAGCCATCAACAATTTACCTGGAAGGAGGTTATCGAGTAAAGAAAACTCAATGGCAGAAAGGGCTCTCAATGCAGCGGTGATGGCTTTTGGTGTTCAATGGGCCCAAGCTGGTGACAGGGGTGGTATTCGCCATCACACCTCGTCCTTTGCTGCCACCTCAAGTGTTCACGAGGAGATGAATCTCCCAACCGCAAACGAATTCGGTAGGTCTGTACAAGAAACATTGTGGAATCAAGCCCGTCAAGCGTTACAGGACGCCGCTGGTGTTGAATCCTACAGGGTCGCCTTCGCAAACATCATCTTTTCTCTCACTCAACGACCACTCAACCCTCAAGACTGGACTCTAACCAGGAGCTGGAAGCCTCGTGCTGAGAGCATACAGTTGGCACCAACCTCTCCATCTGACTGTGGTGTTTCTGCTGCTCACAGTGAAGGGTTGGATTCGAGGTGGGACGCTCTTCAGGAGATACTCAGTGCGGATGGACCTCCCGTGTTTCTTGAAGCTGCATCGAGACAGCTTATATCCTCTCGATGGAAGTTGGAGCAGTACAATCGAAAAAACGCGAGGAAGACAGTACGGTCGCCGGATGGATCTCAATGGGAAGGGACTCGAGCTTGTGCAGCAAGCATAGTTCTCAGCCGCGAACATCGGGACACTTTCCGGCTCCTGTCCTGGCTGGCGATAATGTTCGATACGCTCACTGCTGCAATCCTTCGACGCCCTCCAGTTGTCCCAGATGAAGACACCAGTATTGAATCTTCGGACCCATGGGAATCAACTTTGGAGTCTTCAGGTGGCTTGTCCAACTCATCCGCCCGAGGCATCGATCTTGATGGCTGGGATGCCGGATTACGTCCACGGAAACCGAAACCGAAACAGCAACTTCAAACCCCTGATATCTGGGATGACCTCTTTCTCCAAGATCAAGACTTTGATGACCACGAAGTAAAACAACATTCCTACAGCTTGGACGATGCGGCTGCGGTCTTATGTGATGCTGCTCCTGTGAAAGTGTTACTTTTCCGCAAGGTAGGCCACATCCAAAAGTTGATGGCCCGAAGGGCTGGCAGCGAAGCGCTCGAGCAGGCAGTGGATAAGGCCTTGAGTGTGTACATGTTCTGGAACAGTTCATTCGGAAAGTTCATTACTCACTGCATGCGCGGGCATCACAATCTTCCAGCTCGCATCCAATCATGGTACCTGATACTTGCAGGGCATTGGCACCTTGGAGCCATGTTGCTCGCCGATGTCATTGAGGAGATGGACCAGGCTGGATTGAGTCATCCAGCACGAAAAAGGTCACGGCAGATGTCTGACTTGTCGAATGACATGAGACGGAAAGATGCCATCGCCATATCCGAATTGTGCCGATGCTCTTTGTATGGCTCTGCTTTGTCTTTTCCCGCAGCTCGTGAGTTTACATATCCTGTCAACCAGGTTGCATTATTGTCAGAGCCCTGGACATTAGTGTTGATACAGTCGTTCAGTCGTGCGGGATACGTCTTTGTGAGTCAGCTGCATGCACCTCGACGGCGGAGGAACGCAGAATGGTCGACCGTCGAGGACGAAAGGATCCTGGCCAGAATGAGGTGCGAGTATTGCATCGAAGGCCTCCTCCATCTCAGTAACAAGTCAGATATGGCTTATCTCGCAGGGAAGTTTCTGAGGGATTGTCTAAGCGATTTAGCCGAATAGATGGGAGGGAGTCGTCCCTTTCAGACAACGATCGAGATGAATGACCCTTCCGCACAGGAAGAACATCAACCAGCAGGCACTGGTGTGGTCAAAATGGCTGCTAAGGAGGTGCAGAATAAGAGCCTCTGGCCCAAGACGAGAACAGCTACAGGAAGAGCATCAGGTGGAAGTCAGAAGTGAATTCAATCAAATGTGTAGAAATCGCAGCTGCCAGATTTGTGGCCTGTGGTCCGCCGCAGTAACTGCGTCATTCACCATATACTCCAGCGGAATACACCTCACCCCAGCTCTTCGAGCCACCTTACAAGATAAGTAGAAAGGCCAAAATGATGTGGTACCTATCTAGTATCTAGGTAACAGTCCGTAAGGTTGATACAATAGGCGTTCTCCTTCAACGTAGGTGTATCCACCGCCTAATGGAATTTGAAGGGCGCCGCTACCATGATCTGGCGGTGCCACTGATTGGGCAGACACGTCACGCAAGGCTGCGCCATGTCCAGGTCAGACGACATAAAGGGGAAGGAGCGTTCACTTCGGTGCAGCGCTGAGCATTTGACCGCACGGGACCCAACTCTAATTCTACTCTCGGAATACTGTCAAGTCCTCTGCCAGCTCCTTTTCTCGATATTCACGCATCAAGCGCAGGATGACGCGCATCGCGGAGTGAGGAATGACAAATCGGTATCTCGCCGTGATGTCGAAACCTATCGCAGATCACCACGAATCGGTAGATCCTGTTTCAACTGGTTCGCCTTCGCGACGCGATACGTCTACAGGTGATGTCCAGTCTCAGGGATATCCTTCGACCTCAGGTAGCGTCCTTGATGCTCATGCCTTTACAGAAGAGCATCATTTAGCCCGGTATACCGAAGTGTTCGAGAAGGCTGCAACCATCATCCATGGGGAGGTCGACTTGGACAGTGTTCCCGGCATGACGACCTCGGAAGCACAGGCACTACAAGACGAGACCGAGAACAAATGGAGACAACCGAAAATGCTCTATTTCACAATCCTCGTTTGCTCTCTGGGAGCTGTCGAACAGGGCTGGGCCCAAACTGGGATGAATGGTGCGAATCTGGGAATGCCAAAGGCATTCGGCATCGATTCGAACAGCAAGCACGATGCCTTTCTATTGGGACTAATCAACAGTGGTATCTACCTTAGTGTGTGCCTTCTGTAAGCTGCTCAGTCCATTATCACTGCACCATGCTGATTTTCTAAGAGGTGCTTGGCTGTCAGATCCCATCAACACTCGACTGGGACGACGCGGGGCGGTTGTGATTGGCAGCATTCTATGCCTTATTTCTAATACAGGGTCATCGCTCAGTCAGAACTGGCCGCAGCTTCTACTTTTCCGCTTTATTCTGGGCACCGGTCTGGGCATCAATGCCAGTACTGTGTCGGTATATGCAGGGGAATGCGCGCCATCAACGATCCGAGGAGGCCTAGCTGTCTCATGGCAGCTGTGGACAGCTTTTGGAATCTTTGTGGGGTTCGTTACGAATGCTGCGGCGTATGGAGTAGGTGTCCCTACCAAGAAGCCTGAAGGTTTTGAGGTCCAATGGCTAAAGACTTATGTAGTTTGGAGACACAGCCTGGAGACTTCAGCTCGCCGGACCTGTCATACCTACTATTCCTCTGCTCCTCATGGTATATATGTGTCCCGAGTCGCCGCCGTGGTTTATCAAGAACGGACAGAGATACGATCTTGCTTTTCACTCTCTTCGCCAGCTGCGCAACAGTGACCTGCAGGCTGCAAAGGAAATATATTCCACCTACCTGCAAAGACGTGCTCGTTCAATGCTAGGAGGATGGGAACAAGCTACCAGGGTGAGGAAGATTGCCGAACTCTTCACAATTCGTCGCATCCGACGGGCTACTACGGCGTCCTATGTCGTGATGCTGTCACAGCAGCTTTGTGGAAGTATGTGGCCCTTTCCACTCGGTTTCGTGGGCTGACATGAGTGAATGTAGTCAACATTATTGCTTATTATTCGTCAACTGTAAGTCGATCGACCATGCCCCAAGATCAGAACTGCCTCGAGGTTCGCCCTAACGGGAATCTTTTAGCACAGGCTAACATTGCAACAGATCTTCACCGAGGCTGGGTTCTCCACATCCGGAGCTTTGTTTGCCTCTTGCATCTTCGGTTTTGTCAATTTCATCGGCGGATTTCCCGCAGTGTTGACCATGGACACGTTCGGCCGGCGTTCCTTGCTACTCTTAACCTTACCGCTGATGGCTGTAACAATGCTCGGAGCTGGACTAAGCTTTAAAATCCCCACCGAGAGTGTTGCACATTTCGGACTTGTTGCAACGCTCATCTACCTCTTCTGTGCTCTATACTCGCCCGGGATGGGGTAAGACATTGCCCAAGCCGATATTGACTGCAGTGCTAACCGCATCCAGTCCCGTCCCATTTACTTACTCAGCTGAAGTCTTCCCGCTGTCGCATCGGGAGATTGGTATGAGCTTTGCAGTGGCAACCGCTTCTTTCTGGGCGTCTGTGCTCTCACTTACGTTTCCACAAATCCTCTCAGCTCTGCAGCCGCAAGGTGCGTTTGCCTTGTATGCTGGACTCAATATTGTGGCCGTCATCCTGGTCTTTCTTCTCGTTCCCGAAACCAGACTCAAGACTCTGGACGAATTGGATGACGTGTTCTCGATCCCTACTCGGGACTTCGTCAAATATCAGGTGACTGAATACCTGCCGTGGCTCATGAGGCGCTACATACTACGCCAGGAAAACGCCCACTTGCCGCCTTTGGATGTTGAGGAGGAATACCAAGCCCTGGGCGAAATTGACTATGAGGGGGAAGAGGAAGAAGACATGTCCTAGTCCGACGTGGGTAGACAAGGTTGTGTCCAAGAATCCAAGATAGGTTCGGGTTTCGCGTCAGTGAAATTGTTGCCTTGAGCAGGTCCCTTGGGCCCAAGAGGCTTGATCCTCAGTTCCATCCCCAACAATCCAGGGCCTTTTCAGAATGGCATAGCGTTCTCTTGTTTCATATGAATCCACGTCCAAACGATAACACGTGAGTCCTCCAGTCTGGCACGTTGCATGTCACATGAAGTCACTGGACTCACTAGCCTTAGCACACTTCACCCACAAGGCCTGCCCCTGCACGAAATATAAAGTCAGACTGGCACCACTCGTGGATTGAACCCCATCCAAGTCAAGAGCTAAAAATCTCGCGCATTGGAGTTGACCCCGCCTCACAGTCGGTAAGAACCGTTAGTGTCCTCGGTTAGGTTTTGGATTATGGGTTTCTGGTCCCCGAAGGAACCATATCCATGCAATGCAGAGCACGAGCGTAGACGTGAAGGTTCAGGTATACGCCCATATGTGCGCCTTCGATTGTTGGAGGAAAGTCCGCGGATTTGATCTATAAAGTACGTATTCCAGGATGTATTCACTCAGCCTTGTATTAAGGCAGGCTCACCGGCCAATCAGAGGTCTGATTCACTTTGTTTACAACACTTGCAAAACGGTTTAGTGCAGCCTCGTGATCTCTACGCTTCTGACCACAATGTTCCACAGTACAACTGCTTATCTTATCTGCCAATGTAGCTTGACGTAACCATTGTACGACCGGCCACCTCCAACCCACTGCCCCTCAAAAGAATAAAATGCCGTCGGCCTCCTCCGACCGAATCCCATGCGGCACTGCAAAAGGATTTATTGTGTCCCATCCTCCTCTTCGTCTTCTTCTGCTCTACTTAAAGTAGTACAGTATTTGCGTTCCACGGCTGTTCTCTGCTCTTTGTCACAGTAACTATTCTCACCTCCCCGTTCGACACGGCGCAACATGGCATCTCCTATCACCTGCCACGTACTCAATACCCTCTCCGGGACGCCTGCTGCCGGCCTCAAAGCCACACTCACCCTGTTATCGAAGTCCACGTCGGCAGAGACCAATGTGAACTTCCATGCCGTCACCAACGACGACGGTCGGGTCAAGGAATGGAGCTCGCCTTCGAGCGTGACTCTCTCCGACATCATGGAGAGGTTTGCTGCGGGGGAACGCATCCCTTGGAGTATCAAGTTCGATGTCGGCCGGTGGTATGAAGAGAAGGGAATCGAGAGCTTCTGGCCCGAGGTCGAGGTCAAGTTCTACGTCAAAAAGGGGGAAAGACATTATCATGTGCCTGTTCTGGTTGGACCGTGGACCTACACTACCTACAGAGGGTCATAAAACGACCTATTGGGATTCCAAAGGATATGCTCGAACGGACAGTAGTCAAGTCTAATGATTCCCGGATACATTCTACCAAGTCTCCGACTTCGACAGCTGAGTTCGTTGAGTCATCCAGGCTGCTTGTCCGCACCAGCCCTCAAAGTCGATCCGCCCATCTACAGTCACACCACAAACAGCAAACTTGCTTAGGTCTTCCGCGAATGACAGCCATAATACAACATCCTTCTTCCAGCGATCTGGAGCCGATTCATTCTCTCGGCATGACCCCCGATACAGCTGCTGTGGCACGCTCCTCAATACACTCTTCGCCAAGGTACCACGATCGTGCAGGTGCTTGGCCCGTCTGGCAGATCAAGTGCTTGTATTTCCAACCACCGTCGACTGGACGATTCAGCGGCGTGCTTTGATCTGCAGGATTGTTGACAGGCACTGTATGTGGCCCGCTGGATATTCATGCCACTCAGCCACACGAAAGAGATCGCATTCAAGATCCAATCATCAGAAGCAAAATTCCCGACCATCAACGTTGCCCATGTCATCGGGCCCGCTGATACGGGGAGTAGGACTTTGAATCGTATACAGGACCACTGCGCCGGCTGACAGTCACGACCACCAGCTCATTGATATCGGGTTCGACTGCATCCGTGGATGCAATGGTTTTGCCAGACATGCGAATGGTCTGTTGTCTTTCGTACTCACGAGACTGCCGTCGGAGATCTTCGATTTGTTCCTACATCCATTGAGATGTTGCGCATTCAGGGCTTCTGCCATCGTACCTTTGTCAAAGGAGTTCCATTGATCAGATAGCCTTCTCGACCCTGGTTCTTGATGAGCTTGCGGTTCGGGAGCAAGAGGATATGTGTTCATACATGGTAGGAGTATGGTCTGACTGTGGCAGAAGGGCCCAGGAAGAACTGCAGCTGTCGAAGCACAATGTGTCGTGAGAGGCCGTAGCCAGGTAACCAGTATTCCTGTACGGATCCTGTGGGCTGAGGCATTGGTGCCAAAGGGTGTTGGACAGCAGTCACAAAACGTAAGAAGGGAAGATATCGGACGGTCTTGGACCAGCGCTTATACAGGCTGGAAGGTGTGTGTTATTGTTGTCGAAGTCTTGCCATGAAGAAGAGAACCATACTGGCATCAACAGCAGCCTCGAGGATGGTCATATAAGGCTTTCGGCGACCGGTGCACGGCAGCACAATGGCGTTAGCCAATTGCCGCTTGTCTCAGCCCAGAAGCAACGGAGCTTCGGCGCAGTACAAGTCCAGCAGCAGGAAGAAGAATGACATTGAAGTTTCTTGTAAAGGGGTTCCATTCTAATGGTTGCCTTGTCTCTAGATGTCTTTGGTCAGAGGTGTCTCGCCGGCGCCGATGGCTGAACCAGGCCAGGGATATCCCACCAATCAGCGCAGGCGCAGGCAGACGCCCCCTTTCGCCTCACTTTCATGGTCCTCAAGCATCCTCCATCCTCCATCAGACGAACCGTCCATCATTCATCTCATCCATTTCAACCAGCCCCGGGCTCAACGACTGGGAATTGCAATGCGCTCAACATGCCCTATCCCACCGCAAGCGGGTTCAACAACATCTCCACTCGCTGCACCTCTACCAATTTCCTTCCTCGGACCCCGCTCTCGAAGGCTGCCATCTCAGTGACTATCCGGCATACAGAGTGCCCCTGTGGCGTTTCCATGGGCCTGCCGGCGGTCGACCGAGTCTCATTTCTCGGATCGTAATGAGGTCAGTTTGTCGGTGTCCGACAGAAGAGTATTTGATCGACAGACCTCTTACACACCCTCCTACCAAGTGACCGGGCAATACCTCTGTGGTGTCTCCTTCAAGCATATCGATCAGCACTGTATAGAACTACTCCAGGACACAGGGCGGCTCTCCGCAGTACGTGCTACACAACGCATGCAGAAGCTGTCAGAGGGCAGTCCCTCTCAATGCGCCGCTGGACCATGCATTGCCATGCATGACGGCCCCAGCCTCAGAGGGTGGACCTGTCCTCGTCCCGCTCAAAGTAACGCAAAGGTAGACGAAGCGCCGCCGTCATCTCTTGTTGCCCTGGACGGCCGTCTCCTGCTTGCACACGTGGACGATTACACTGCGTCCTTCCCTGGGATTGGGTTCTAGAGTCTTTTGAGGGGTTGCAGCGAAGGTTGCACTGTCGTATCACCTTGTCTCCAGTCAAAAAGTCCCAACCTTACATATGCCTACTGCCAAAGGAGCCTTATGAATTTCCACGACTCCCGGGTTCCACTGACCTGTTAGAAGTGGCGAAACCTTTCAATATGCATACTGCTGCCTACATGAGAACAATTTACACACTCCACGGAGGAGCCACAGGTCCAGACACTGCTGCGAAGTCAATATTTCCAAAGCATAATTGGCTGCTTTTTCTTCCCAGGGCGGTGTCTGAGGGCCTCGAAGATCTGATTCCCGTCATTCATGGTAAACTAGTTGCTGGCCACCGTCCAGCCTCAGCTCAAAGAGATGTATTGCAGCGCAAGCGGACCGACCGTATGACCTAGATGTTGTCACCTATCTGGCAGGAATTGTATCGGCGCAAGGCCCACGAAGCCGGCTCGGCTCGTCCACTTCGATTATCAGCCATCCACGTCACGACTCTAGACTTTGATCTTGATCGGCACATACCTTCTGTCTCTGTCTCTGAGTCTTCAGGACCCCAACAAGGCCAAACACAGAGGTAAACTCGCTTACGCGGCGGTCCCGCTGCTGCACACACGGTAACCTGGCAATATGCTTGTCCAGTTGACCATTGTTGGACCAATCAGAGGCGGCAAGGCTGTGTCGGACGATCGACAAGCCGAGGAGCCAACACGCCGGTCCGCCGCCCAGAACCGCGACAATAACAAACAGAACGAAGAGCTTCAGGCAATGCTGGTATCATGCCCTCCTACAATCGAAGCAACATAGTCAGCCGTCCTGGCGCCAACCTCACTTGTTTGCATGACTGCTGAGGATGTACATGCATGCGCGAAACTCACAGGGCAGCGCATTGAACCTCTCACGCCCATTATGGCCTTCCCGCCATTGCTTTAAGCGTCCTGCATTGGGCGGATTCTTGGGCAGTAATGGGATATCTCCCATGTCTTGACTTGCCTGAAAGCGATTGAAATGGTGTCGCAGATCTCGTTCTGGGGTTGATAATACATCGATCTGCACTGCGACTGTACCCGCAGTTACCCGCTTACTGCGTGTGCATAGTACTTCCTCTATCTTGCAAGAGCCGGCTATCAACCACCAAGCTGCCGTCCCTGCGAAGAGCGTTTGAGATCTGGCGTGGCACTTCCAGGGGGCTGTTGCATACTGGAAACGTCGTTTTAACCTCAATCCAATGTCCCCGGTCGGGGCTTGCCTCACTCTTATTGATCTGCAATGTCGGCGTGAAGTCGAGTCAGTCCACGTTTTCCTGGCAACGGCCAATCGAGGATTCCTCCTGCGTAAGTCGTTCACGCTTGAGCCGATCCCTGGCGCTTATGCTGTTCTCAGCCGAGCGGAGCTCTATCCAACGTTCCTCAAGTTCACAGGGTTTAAGTTTCCCGAACATGGGTCGGCTAGTGAACGGCAAAAAAGCCACGATCAGAGATAAGTGAACTTGACCATGGAAGTCACCTGAACTGGCAAGCTTCAAAGTGTGAGGCGATCATGGTGCAGAAATGGAAGCTCAGTCGCAGAACCTGTTCCAATGTCGTCGTCGAGTTGGGTCTCGACAACGACCTTGACCTCGCTGATCGCGGTGCAGATCAGCTAGACAGTGCCCGAACATGACTCGCACAATGCAGAATCGCGACTGGCTTCTCAGCCACCCGTCATGTTGACCCAATAGCCACCGAACTCTGGGTCCGGTCTGGATCGAAGGGCTGGCCATTGACAACAACCAACAATACCCTCCTCCTTCTCACGTTTTCGCTACGAGTCAAATCTGGACGCTGCCTCGTCGTCTACCTCCCGAATGGTCGTAACTGAGCACCTCTATTTGTGTGTGGCACACACCTAGGCCACAATGTGGCCTGCTGCTGCTGCTGCTGCTCACTGTTGTTCTGTACAAGGGCCAATCCGGTATGATCAGAGTACCGAACATGACACTTCCAGACAATTTGGGATGATCTCGACCAAGACATTGCCACCCCGTCAATACAGTCTGGCCCTCTGGACACTGTCGACCGGTCCTTAACCTGGACAGTCATCGAGGCAGGACTTTGCCCCGTGGCCCCTCGCTACGAGAAGGGGACACGCAAGCCAAGCGGTCAGCGAAAAATGAGAGACCCGATTCTGAAATCAAAGCGACCCTGCCCTGAGATGACCTGACAAAAGAATGTATTCTACCTCGCTTGTGCTCTGCCAATACATGCCTCACTTTGAACCGGAAAGGCAAAGTAAGCGCGATGTACATCCAGACCACGTGCAGGCATGCAGTCAAGGTACCTAGGTAGGCGCTCCGCCGAGCTGTCTCAAAGGAGTGAAAGTTGAAGCACCGGTTGAAGAAGGAATGTACAGTCCTGTACCCGACCACCAGGGTCCACGATAGTGCAACACGCAAAAGCCCGATGACAACGATGACAAGACATCGCCAGCCTTCGAGCCCAGGAAAAAAACTCCAATCAAACAACCGATCCCAGATATTGTCCCTTCCCAAAGCTCCTGCACACACGCTACCGATTCCATACAGTCATTTGAGCCAGTGTCCTTGATACCGATTCGCCCTGTGCAATCATACCCAATTCGCCTCATCCATAACGCATTCGTCTGTTGGCTAGTTGATAGTACATGGAGGCATCAAAGAGGCATTAGTGAAACCCGAACCATATTGACAATTCGCCGATTTTCATTTCGTCATCACAAGTTGCTGGCCTAGGCCGCTTCACATGGTGAAGAAGTCCTGAGCTGAAGGGTCCAGGCCCATCTCCATGCCTCCATAATCAAGGAAGGTGTCGAACTCATTCCTCTCGGACTCGAGCTTCAACGGTAGCTGCGAGCTCTGGGAGGGCATACTGGTCGAGGAATCCGTGGGCAGACTGGAGAAGTCAAATGCCACGAGTTCGGGAGCAGGAGAGGAGCCCGAATGTGACAGACTGGGAAGGCTTTGTCCTGAATAGCCATTATCGGCGCCCATTAGCGGCAAGCTCTGGTCCATCGTGGGGAGGTCGGGCAGGAGTTGCATGTCACCGTTGTTGTGCAGATCTGGAATGTCGCCCAGGTCTGCCGGTGTCAGCTCCCGGTACGAGGGACTGGGCTTGTTGCCGGTCGAGTATCCTGGGCTAGCCGGGGGTGTGAAGGAGAAGGTGCCAGGTGGGAAGCCCATCATCTGATCCATACTCATGCCGCCTTGTTGCGGCATGCCAAAAAGACCCATGGATTCAATCGGCGATGTCCCCCGGATGCTCAGGTTGTCCATGTTCTCCGTCGGCGGCGATCCCCAACTCGAGATGGAACAGCTTGACGCTGAGGACCCATACGAGTCATGGGCCTCACTGTTCTTTTGCCTAGTTCGACTGGCCTTGTCGAGGCGGTTCTCCATCTCTGGTCGATGCTTTTTGGGTCTGCCTCGCTTGATCACTTTCTTGACAACGCCATCGAAGGCACCAATGCACATGCCTCGTTGCCGATGCCTCGTTAAAGCGTCGTGGCGGGCAAAGGAGTTGCCGCAGAGGCAAGGATATGGCTTAGTTCCCGTGTGGATTTTGGCGTGACGTTTCAGGTCGTGGCCTCGGACGAAGCATTTCTTGCAATGGCCACATCGAAATTGTCGGTCACCGAGGTGAGTCTGGACGTGCGACTTGATGTTCTCCTTTCTACCGAATTTCTTGTTGCAATCCTCATACTTGCAGATCCACTTGTTGTCCACAGGGTCTGGTCCTTCGATGAACTGGGCAATGTCATCCAGAGTGACGTTGGTCTCTTCGATTGAAGCTTCGATACCAGGCTCCAAGTTGAGATCTGAAATGGACATGCGGCGTGGCGAGAGAGCCGGTCTTCCCGGGGAGCTACTGCCAGCAGGAGCTCGCCCGGGGCTCAGTACAGGCACTAGCTGATTTGCGAGCCTCGACATATGGAATTCTCCATCCTGACCGAATCCAAAGTCGTAGTTGGCTGGCGCCGACTCGGACTTGACATTTACTCGTTCTTCTTGCTGTTGCGATGGCGGAGTCTGGAGTCGACGTCGTGATTCTGGGATGGGCATGTCGGCCATCTCGAAAGAAGCACCACTTTGAGGACCCATATAGTCCTGCTTGAATTCTTCATTCTCGATGATTCCTTGAAGGGATCTCCCTCGCGCCATATGAATGGGGTACGGTGACTGCAAAGCAGGTGATGCTTGTAGTGATCGTGAATACTGTACAGCTGGAGTGTGCTGGCTAAAGGGAGGTGTAAGAGGAAATTGCGCTTCTCATTGTCAGCATGCCTTCGGCGAAGAGGAACTCAAGTGGTCGAACTCACCAGTCTGGATTTGATGTGATGGCGTGTGTGGTCGTAACTGAGTCTGCACTCGCAGATCCGGTTGCGACATTCTCCGAGTGTCTATTGCGAGACCCCGGGTGGGTTGTGAATGGAGAAGGTGAGTATCTTGATAATACTGTGGATTGTTCTCGTCCATCATCCCCATGTTGGAAATCCCCTGTTGCATTGACATGTTGAGATCAGAGAAGAATTGTTGTGAGTGTGAGTAATCCATGCTCTGGGAATTCTGGTGCATGAATGCATTCATTGTCATGTTTTCATACGGCGTCCCCGGCATTGAGTTGGGGGACACCGCATATATACCGCACTCGGGTGAGATTGGTAAGTCCAAATGTGAGTTGTGTTGCTGCTGCTGGCCCGGTCTTGCGATTTTCTGCTGCTGCGCTTCCCGCAAAATTTGTTGTCCATGGATTGATCCTATGTTAGTCATACTTACCGCGCCGCCGTGATGCTGTTTGCGAATGGGACTTCGTTGTTGTTGATCAAACGATTGTCCTCTTCTGTGCATGTTTTGGCTTTGTGGCGGCATGTTGGTGCTAACCTTCATGGCTTCGAAGGCTACAACGGGCGTCGAGTTTTGCCTCCGATGTAGCCTCTGTCGTTGCTGAAGAGATGAAGGTGCGTTGGACATCATCTTAGGCGAGATGAGTTCGAATGGTTTCTTGTCGAAGGGGTGTCGTGGTATTTCCGGAGATTGGTTCCTTCTGTGGTTCGAGACTATGGGAATAGATTCAATTAGTTTCTGTCACCATTGCCATTGTCTGCATATGTATTTTGATCTCACTCACCTCACGCAGCGCAAGGGCTGCGGACCGGGCAGCGGTCTTTTCTTATCTAGCTTTCACCAGTCGCAGGCGATGCTTGCGACAGCTTTGGTATGAGAAGTGGCCCTCTCAGGGCGAGTACAAGTTGTAGGGTCAAAACTCGGGGCTCTGAGAGGCTTCTCGCTTGGCTTCTTTGTAGGTTCTTGTTTCTCCGACGGTGTCTTTGACTTGGTCTTGAGGGTTATGAGATGTGGAATGTGGGTGTCTGCAGGAGGGAGGAGAGGACGTGAGGTGTTGAGGGCAGAGTAGAAGTAGACAGGTCGTCGTCACTGCAGCGGGCGTCCTCAGGTGAGTTCGCAAGCCCGGCGTCAACACGGATTGTTGGCTGAGCAACGGCAGCCACTACCAGCTGCAGAGTTCGACTCCGGACCCAGTACGGACTAGACTGATACGGCGGAGCACTCGCAAGCACACAAGAGCTCAAGCCACGTAAAGCACGTGATTCTAGCCCGATTAGATAAGATCGTTGTGGAAGGCGGCAATTCTTGGCAAGCCCACGGTTGGCTTTGAAATTCCCACATCTTCAACTTGCTCTCGGACTTTCTTCTCGTTCTCATCAGCCCTTCTGCATTCAGAGGATTGAGGAAGACAATTCTTGTCGAGGTGAGTCCGCCCTCTGCTACCGTCCACTGCTTCCGAATTTTCGCATTCCATCTGCGGATATGACCTCGACGCTCCAACGGACTGCATGTATCCGTACGAATTTCGAAGCCAGATTGACTGAACATCGCAATTGTTCTCTAGATCTTCAATATGCAGATCTTCGTCAAGACCCTCACGGGCAAGACTATCACCCTTGAGGTGGAGTCTTCTGACACCATTGACAATGTCAAGTCCAAGATCCAAGGTATGTCCTTGCCAGTCGACTTTTCGACAGCCGGCCCTGTTTTCGGCCAGGCCCAGAACTAACTGTCGTTCTTGTAGACAAGGAAGGCATCCCGCCCGACCAGCAGCGCCTGATCTTCGCCGGCAAGCAACTCGAAGACGGCCGCACTCTGTCCGACTACAACATCCAGAAGGAGTCGACTCTGCACCTGGTCCTGCGCCTTCGTGGTGGCGCCAAGAAGCGCAAAAAGAAGGTCTACACCACCCCGAAGAAGATCAAGCACAAGCGCAAGAAGACCAAGTTGGCCGTGCTCAAGTACTACAAGGTCGATGGCGATGGCAAGATCGAGCGCTTGAGGCGCGAGTGCCCGACCAAGGAGTGTGGTGCCGGTGTCTTCATGGCCGCCATGCACAACCGACAATACTGCGGTCGCTGCCACTTGACCTACGTCTTTGACGAGTCGAAATAGGCGGCCAGCGCGGGCTTGTCTGCAAGGCCGGCTTAATATTGATTCTGGCACAGCATGTTCAATCAAGAGGGATTATCTAGCTGAAGAGAACCTGCCGCCATTCCTCTGAGCTGGCGGAATCAATCAAGGACATTCCAATAATTTCTCTATCTTGACCTCGTGCTGTTGGGGCGTTCTCGCTGCCCTAAACGCTTTCCCTGCTTTTATGCCTACATGCACCCGAACGCAATGTAAGCAGTTTTGCCTTGGAAAATGCTGTGCTCCGCGGTTCGCCCACAGATATCACTGAGGATGTGCGCCAATGAGTAGGTAGTGCAGACTTACCCTCTGGCTTACCAAGGCAGGATCACAAGAGGCGAACAACAAGCGTAACCACCACCCGGGTTTCTGTAGGAGATAAACATGCAATATCAAGGTCGAGCCCAGCAACAACAGGGCGTTCATGCGGGTGAAGGTTCAAGATGTCCGAAGCGCCACTGCATGCAGTGCAGGGCATCAGTAAAAATGCAGTGGGTGATGTTCAACCCAACCAATGGCAGACCTGCAGCTAAATAAGATCCTTAACGCGCCCTTATCGATTGTGGTTTGTTTACTAGCGACTACCATCGAACCTCAATCGTAGCGCTCAACCAACGACTCGCACCGGATTGGTATGCCAGACATACAACCACTCGGCGTCCAACATACTAGTAGAGCAACTCTCTCTCTCACGCAGACGTTTCCATCTTCAAGATGGAGTCAGAGGACAATCTCCAGCCTCATCGCATCCCCGACTCACACCATCGCAAAATCGAACTCCAATCCCCCGCCGACCTCACATACCTCCAAGCGAATCTGGTCGCGTCCGCGAAGGAGAAACTCGATCTTCACTTCCCACTATCGGCGGCGCAAAATGGCGGAGCTGGTCACGCGCAGCCCGCAACAGTCATCTCGCTAGATGGCGTGGACTCTAGTGCCAGTGCCATTGCCAGCGCCAATGGCAGCAATGGTCAAACACCAGCGGTAGCAGCCACGGTCGGCGCAGCACAGAGACAAGAGCAGGAAGACCCTTTGCGCGCCCGCGTTAGACAGCTCGTGGACTCCTTCATGGCCAGAACATGGGAGGGCGCGAGCAAGAACATCACGGTCAACGGCATGGATGCGGCTTCCTTCCCGCTCTTGACCAGCACGACAACCACTACGACCACCAGTACGGATATAAATGCACATTCGACCGGACCCCAGGAAGAAAGGGAAGGCATCAATTTCGTCTATGAAGCATACGACACGCGACTGCAAGCCAAAGTGGCAGGATTGTATGGCGAACTGGAGACACTCACGGCCCAAGTAAGCCGCTTGAGGAGGACGGCACCGAAGCAAGGAGCCGACGAATACCGCAACAGGTTGATGGCGCAGCTGGCCGAAGAGGAAGAACAGTTTCAAGCTGAAATGGCTGCGTTGCGCCACAAAGCGGCGAGTGGATCACAAGAAGGTGCTTTGAAGCTGGAGCCGCCGCTGCGGGAAGGTTGGCATGACGATGTCAAGACCATGTTTGAACACGCGACGGGCGAATTGATGGCTCTGGCTGGTCTCGCGGGGTCTGAGGGTGACATTCGGTCTGGTCAGGCCAGCTTGACTGAGACGGTGGGCAAAGTCCAACGGGCGAGGAATGTGGCTTTGGAGTTTGAGTGAGGAGACTTGGCATAATGCCTGGAAACTACACAAACGCGCTGTCGCAAGACCCCGACCGACAACGCACCTTGCGATGGCATTCCACCCGTGTTGCAGTCCCAGATAGTGACCATGTGCGTTGCTGTCGCGTCTACCAGTAGGGAGACTAGCTACGCCAGCAGCTGCAGAATTGTGACGCGCAGGTCTACACATCTTGTGTTCTCGGTCGATTGGGAGACGTCGCCTCGGAATCTAGCATTATCCTGCTGCTATGATACACGGGTGACCGAGAGGTTGAGTGGCTCAGAGGTCGAGATACCTTCAAGTGTCGACGGTGCACCAGGGCCCGCTGCTGTGAGCACCAACCGGCCCATGGAGGACATACAACCCAGTTGGTACCCCAGTTACGATTTCTGTCTCCAAGAGAGGCTGAAGAATCCACCGACTTTCGAGTAACGGAACGCAACGGTCAAACTATGCGGCCCTCAAGTCGAAGCCAGTACAGGCAGTGGAAGGAGGCTGCCGTGCTCATAGCCACGTCAGGGTCCAAGTCGACTCACGTGTGTCAATAAGCCGGTAATGGAGAACCTACCAGGACAGCGATAGGGAGTAGGAGGGATGCAGGAGAAGCTGAAATCACAAAGAAGGCGGAAATGTTGGCGTTTACCTCCTTTGTGTGCACCTCTTCGCACAGGGTGATTGTCGCGCTACACGGTGCCGTACGCAGGCTCAACCAGAGTATTTCAATGGGAGTGATAGAGGAACCAGTGTCGCCACGGACGCCAGGAATGCGATGTGCCATTGACCAGTATTCTGCCCAAACTCGATAATTTCTGGATACATGAATGGCCCCCCAATACGTTGCCTGAGGAACATAGGTGGCACCACCCTCGTCTCTGCCTGGCGAGAGTATGGCCGACCCTCCACCGTGCAAACTCCGCGTCTTGATTTGAGATTTCCGGTAAATTCATCCTTGCGTTGATCTAAGCACCTGCCAGAGGCATCTTGGGACCCTCTGCAGGAGCGTTTTCTGCCTCGGCGGGTGCCGACGCGGGAGCAGGCTTACCTGCCGTTAACGGATCCTGAGCACCACCGGTGGGCGCTGGCTGGACAGTGTTCGCAGCATCCTTGCCGGTCACAGGATCTTGCCTGGCCCACTTCGGGGGTCTAACCCACTGGGGATCTTTCCAAGGACCTTCGTCGCTATACTGGCAACCGCCCTCGCACTCGCAAGCCCCGCCGAGGATCTTGGGAAGATTTTCTGCGGGCACCTGCTTGAGGAGTTCCGGCAGGTAGTTTGAGCCAAGCACATGAATCTTGGCCACTGTGATCGGATCGAGGAAACCTTTGATGAAGTTGAAGACACTGCTGAATCCCCATGGCGCATTGATGATGTACAATTTACCCAGTCGTTCTGGGTAGTAATCTTGGGAAATGGCACTGACCGACTTGAGATAACCATAGACGGATGGGATCTTGGTCACGCCGACACCCTTCATGTCCATGATCGTGCAACAGGTCTCGAGAAGCTTGCCGGCTTTTCGGCTGCAGGCAGGGAGACGCGGGTCGGCAACCTTCTCGTATTCCACAACAAGGTTTTGAATCATGCGTTCTGCGGTGGTGATCTTGTACATGGCGTTAAGGTCGATTTTCCCATATTGCTCGATGTAGACGGGCCGACCATCCTACGAAGGTTTTGTAAGTAACAATGCAGGCCCAGAGACTATTGTCTCGCGGGAGTGTAGAGAGACTCACCTTGTCCGTCTTGTGGTAGTACTGGGGATAGTATTGGAAGACCTGATCCTTTTCCGTGTACTCAAAGTTGCGGACTAGGTCATCGACGCCGAACTCCTTGCGCCAGTGCTCATTTTTGATAAACCTATGCTTCCATCAATACGGGAACACGTTGTGTGAGAAGTCTGGATGGATCGTACATCTGCTTCGCGGCCTCGACATGGAATTTCCGGGCTCTTAGAAAGCGCAGCAAGGTCAAAGTGTCCAGCCTCTCCTTGTAGCCTTCTTGTTCCAACATTGCTCGGAGCTGGTGTACCTGTGCATCCTGCTCCTTTGTTGTGTGGCCTGGATGCCCCGGTTGTGTCTCGGGAGAAGTTGTGGGAAAGTCGTAGTCGTCATATTTAGGGTCTAGGTCCATGTGATGGCTGCCGGCTTGGGAGTCTTTAGAAAGTCGCGACATCTTGTGTGAGGTAAACAAGCCAGAGTGTGGTGTCTAATGTTTTTGATCTCAATCTTTAGTTCAGCACCACCAACCGCATCAAGGGGGGTTTAGCACGCACTGACGACGATCAAGGGTGCCGGAGAACAGACGGCTGCGCGATACAGCGGCTGGTACGAGTGGATGAAGCCGAGTCTGGCAAGTATGAATGAGTAGCGAGACCAGGAGGTGAACTGTAGGAGAGCCTGTAGTATGGAGTGATCAGACTGGATCACAAACACAGGAGCAATTTATTGAATGGAGGATACCTGGAAATCTGAGGTCCCGGGGGTCAATCAAGCAGTACTACGTAGTACTAGTAACAGAGGAGTAGGTAGTAGCTGAGGTACTACTAACTCTGTAGCGGCCAGAGTGCCTACGGGAACAGTAATTTCGTGGCGCAGGCACCACAACGGTGCTTTGAGCCCCTCGTTCAAGTTGGCTATGACGCAGGGAGCTGAATGTTTTCGCGCCGCAGTTCGTTGAGAGTTCGTGCCTCTCTGCGCTATCTCATCGATGCAAACACACCATTCAATCACACACTGCGGCTGTCCATCCACCTCTGATAATTTTGACAATTTTTTGCCTCCATCTTCCCTGAACCTGCCAGTGTGGCGCTTTAACACGGACTCGAATCGGATTCTCTAGTCCTATTGGGATCGGGACGATATATCTGGGGGCCACACAGTGCAACCACTCAGAGGTGACTCACTAGTCATTCTGCATGCAGTGTGAACAGGCTTCACTTTACCCAATTTCGTCGACCAGGACAGTGGAATAAATAGAAGAATCCGTTGTAACTGGTACGATGATTTGATGACCGCAAGGAGAAACATGCATACAACGAGTCTGCGACCTCAGGACATGCAATTCAACATCAACAATCTCTGCCTGGCAAGACCGTAACATCAATCCCAGGCGCAAATTTGCCGTCTATTACTTTTTGTCTAAGGCGCGAACATACCAAACCAAAATGCCGCCCAAAACCTCGAAGCCCGCTGGAGGGAAAGGCAGATCAGGAGATGACAGCAAAGAGGAGCCCTTAACAGCGGTCATTGTCGCCGATACCTTTGAGACGAGATTTGCCCCGTTCACGCTCGAGAGGCCGCGATGTCTCCTGTCACTCGCCAATACCCCGTTGATCGATTATACTCTGGAATATCTTGCTAGCGCTGGTGTTCAGGTCGTTTACCTCTACCCGGGTGCTCATGTCGAACAAGTGGAATCATATCTGGACTCGTCCCGATGGAAGTCTCCTAATTCGCCTTTCGACAGCCTCACCATCCTCCGCTGCATGGCAAGCTCCGTCGGCGATGTCATGAGAGACTTGGATCAGAAACATCTCATCGCCGGAGACTTTCTCGTAGTCACTGGTGATGTGATCTCCAACTTCCCGATTGAGCCAGCATTACGCCAACACAAAAGTCGAAGAGAGAAAGACAAGAACGCCATCATGACCATGATACTGAGAGAGGCCGAGCCGGGCACCCACGATCATGGGGGTGGAATTGTGCCGACATTTGTCCTCGACCCGACCAAACAGAGATGCTTACACTACGAAGAGTCATTCCCGGGGACTCAATTCACTGCTCACATCGATCCGGATATCCTGAAGTCACCAGAGATTGACGTGAGGCAGGATCTGATTGACTGCAGGCTGGATATTTGTACACCAGATGTGCTCAGTCTCTGGTCGGACAACTTCGACAACCAAGCCCCTCGCAAAGATTTTCTCTTTGGCGTCTTGAAGGATTACGAGCTGAACGGCAAGACCATCCACACATACATCGTCCAAGATCATTATGCCTCGAGGGCTGCTGATTTCTGGTTCTACAACGCCATATCTGAAGACTTCAAGCGGGGAATGGTCACATCTCTTGCAGTTGAGAACAACGTTTTCGGCGATACGCACTACGATCGTACTCAGCGAGGACATGTTGTCGATCGGAGCGTTATTACAGCAAGACCTACCAAACTCGGAGCCGAATCTATCGTTGGCCCGAGGAGCAGCATTGGCGCTGGCTGTGACATAAAGAGCACCGTGGTGGGCCAGCGATGCCACATCGGCAAAGGCACGGTGCTTGACGGCGCCTACGTCTGGGATGATGCAACGATAGGGAACAATGTCAAGATCTTACGTGCAATCGTCGGAAATGAGGCATTCATAGGGGATGACTGCATCATAGGCGAAGGGGCCTTGATTTCCTATGGCGTCAAAATTGCACCTGGGACTACCGTGCCTGCGGGTGCCAGAATCTGTAAAACGCAAGCAGGATCTGACAGCGGACACAAGAACGATGCGCTAGTTGGTGGTGATGCAGGTGAAGGTCATGCTTATGCCGATGATGACGAGGACGACTACTTCGGCTCGAGGGTCTCGAGGCTGATCTATGAGAAGCCAGAATTCGCAGATTCGATCTCGACACTAGATTCTGATCTTTCCGAAGATGAAATCTCTTCGAAGGGCGGGTCGAGAAGCCAAAGTTTCGCAACATCGGTGTCCGACGAAGACACTAGCGATCGATTCCAGCACGATACAGTGGCGATTCTTGTACAACGAATGCAGGAAGGCAAGCAAGCGGACGATATGCTCAGCGAGCTGATGGGCCTGAGGTTTAGTGGAGGTGCGGACGAGACCCAAGTCCGCAAAGCTGTTGCGGTCGCCTTGATGAAGTACATACACGCTCAGATCGAGTCCGGAATAGCTCCGGCAGAGGCGACAAGACGAGCTCTCACTGCGTACAATACGCTGATCAGAAGAAAGGGGGCCACCCAGGCCACCGAAGCGCAGGTGGCATTCCTGCTGGACGCTCAAAGGGACCTGACCCGGCGCAAAGAAGGCGGCAAGACGCTACTGTTCGTCATCAAAGATCTTTACGACCTTGAGATCTTTGGCGAAGAAGCATTCTCCGAGTGGTGGGCGGATGGAAGATCGAGTCATGACCCTGACATGGCTGCGGTCAAGCAACAGAGTGCACCATTTATCGAATGGCTGGAAAATGCCGAGAGCGAGAGCGAGAGCGAGGAGGAGGACGAGGAGGAGGACGAGTGATGTTGTCAACGTGAAACTGATGCCGCCAAATAGACATAGTAGACTCCATCCACCATCAATAAATCAGGTATCCAACCTTAGTCCTTATATGGCCGTTCATTATCTTGTGATACAGCAATTCGGTAAATACAGGTAGTCAATCTTCCGACGTTGCGAGGTGAAGCCGGCAAAAGGCGCAGTTACGGTCACGTGGACATGGTGATGATGACGGACTCAACCGTATGGTGGGCCAAACGAACCGGCTGCGACGACGCCGCCGCCACCACCACTGAATCAGCCATGAACCTGGAACCATTCCCGGACAGCCACTGCCGACTGACCCTGGATCTGATCCTCTTGGGATCTCCTACTATTATTGCATTTGACCACGTCCTCATCTTCCTACAGTTCCTACAGTACCTTCATGTCCAGTTCTAACACTTCCTAATTGAGACCACGCTCTGTCCCAGCCCCTAGACGAGCCCGTGCGCCCATTTAGGCACACCCCTCTTCAATCGTCCCGACCGATAGCGAGGTTGACTCGTGGTATTCCCACCCGCAGCCTGTCGTCTCGTTTGGAGACACAGCTGCCATTACTATAAGCCAACACGACATCTCAAGCGAAGAAAAGAAAGGCAGTGGAGTGCGTCACAGACGCGTCGAAACAAGGGCCTCTGAAATCCCGCAAGACCTCCTCCATCCAGGCGCAGGCACCCTCCACCCCCATCACAGAGCACGGCTCGCCTTCCTTGCGGGAGATGGACTCTGAGGACGACTTCATGTCTGACCCGCCTAGCGGGGATGAGATTGACTTCGACGAAGGCACGCAAGATAGTGATATCGGAAGCCTTGGCGGAGGTGAGTGAACCCAAACAGTACCCTCAATGACTTGCAACGGCTGACAAATGACAGACTATGATCACGATCACGATGGTGGCTTTGGCTACGAAAAGGACATCCTTGCCAACCCACAGAAACCCTTTGAAGTCGATTACAGAGTCCTCAGCCCCAAGGAAATCCAAATGCACCAAGAGCGTCAGTTCCAGGAGGTTTCGTCGATCATAGAACTACCACCTGAACAAACCGCAATCCTCCTGCGGTACATGAGATGGAACAAAGAGAAACTCATCGAGTCATACATGGACAACCCAGAGCAGGTGCTCGAGTCTGCAGGCTTGGGAGCAACAGTGGACCCGTCACCGAAGACCGAGACGGTGAAAGGGTTTACATGCGACATCTGCTATGAGGATGACCCGGCAATGCAAACATACGCTATGAAGTGTGGGCACAGATATTGCGTCGATTGTTACTCTCACTACCTGACCCAGAAAGTCAAGCAGGAAGGAGAAGCCGCCAGAATTGAGTGCCCCTATGACGGTTGTCACCGCATTGTGGACTCCAAATCCCTGAGATTGCTGGTCGACCAGAACGTTCAGGACCGATACGAAGTGCTCCTCACCAGGACCTATGTCGATGATAAAGACAATCTGAAGTGGTGTCCGGCACCAGAGTGCGAATATGCTGTGGAGTGCTCCGTCAAGAAGCGCGACCTGAATCGCGTTGTCCCAACGGTGCGGTGTGCGCTCGAACATAGCTTCTGCTTTGGATGTACCCTGGCCGACCACCGTCCGGCTCCCTGCTCTCTAGTCAAGATGTGGCTCAAGAAATGCGAAGACGATTCGGAGACCTCGAATTGGATATCAGCCAATACGAAGGAATGTCCCAAATGTCATTCAACCATCGAGAAGAACGGCGGCTGCAACCACATGACCTGTCGAAAATGCAAACACGAGTTCTGTTGGATGTGCATGGGTCCATGGTCCGAACATGGAACCAGTTGGTACAATTGCAATCGATTCGAAGAAAAGTCCGGGGCGGATGCACGCGATGCTCAGGCGCGTTCCCGACACTCTCTCGAACGATACCTGCATTACTACAACCGTTACGCCAATCACGAGCAGTCGGCCAAGTTGGACAAGGACTTATGGGTCAAGACGGAGAAGAAAATGACCAGTCTTCAATCGCAGTCGAACATGTCTTGGATCGAGGTACAGTTTCTTGATACTGCGTCCAAGGCTCTACTAGCTTGCCGGCAGACTCTTAAATGGACCTACGCGTTTGCATTTTACTTGGAACGCAACAACATGACCGAAATTTTTGAGGACAACCAGAAAGACTTGGAAATGGCTGTTGAAAATCTTAGCCAGATGTTCGAGAAGCCAGTGACCGAACTGGGAAGTCTGAAAGTGGAAATCTTAGACAAGACGACCTATTGCAACCGCAGACGCGAGATCTTGCTGAGTGACACGGCGGAAAACTTGAAGAAAGGTACGGGATGCATCAGGGGCCATTGATATGCTCATCGCTAACATGTCGTCGATAGATCAGTGGAAGTTCAATGTCGACTTATGATCTCCTGGTGAGCAAGCAAGGATTGTGTAAAGTTGGCTGAGGCAGTATGTGCCTTTTGTATCGGATAGCGAGGCGTTTACCAGCGGAAGGGGCTCTTTGGATGCATGGTCATGGGAATGGCGCTTCGACCGCAGGTTCTACATATTTACACCGGATGGCCGGGCGCACGGGCTGTAGAGAGCGTCACAAACATATGTTGAGATTGGGATGAAGGATTCATTCCCAGGAGATACTCTGAACCTCCCACCTTCTGTAGCCGTGGACCGTGATCCCCGTGGATGTTCGAAGACAACATTGAGATTTGTTCCAAGCATGGTATGATTGCAAGTACTCTACAGAGTAGTCTTTCGCCCCTCCCGGGTCAATGATATCCTGGCTGTTTGCATAAGGCTCAAATCTCTTCCGACAAGAGTACTAACGTAGCTGCGACCATCTCATCTCAATCAAAAAGCCGGGCTTTGATCCAGCCTCTTCCACGCTTCTGCCAGTGTTACTCTCTAGGCCGCCGATTCGGCCGGAAGGGCGAGGAAACGGACGACATGGAGACGTGTTAGGAGCGAGTCCAAGCCAGATCAAGAGATCAGCAGCGAGCTCGGAGGCTGCCCTGGACCGAACTAAAGCACTCCAGGGCTAGGGGGGCGACCGCGGAGGCAAGCGAATTGGTGGCGGCGAGAGCTAGGCAAGAATAAATGCTCTGTAACGGGGGACTTGGAAGGATAAGGAGTAACTCCTTGGGCTTAGGAGGCCTGTGGGTAGCCAACTAATAAGCGTCATGAATGACGGATGGATGGTGGCAGGCCCGGGGCCCAGCCAGTCCCAGCCAGTAGCCATTAGCTAACCACTGGCACAGCTCAAAAGTTATCCGGAGAACAAATTCTCGAGAGGCGGATCTGATCTGATTAGTTAGTATGCTGCGCAGGCCTCGCTCTGTTCTCTTACTGACCGAATGCCCATTGCATCGGCCACCATTTTCCCTCCACACTGACTGTTTGCTTGTCTGCTCTCCTCTTCTCCACGAACCTACGAGTGTCAAGGGACGATCCCGATCCAAATTGCAGCTGTGCTCTCGTCGACCGACTCGACATCCGCACCGCACTGGAGAAAGAGAGCCAGCCAGCCAGCCATACGTCTGCTGCAATCGTGGCGGCGTCAGCCAAATTCCCAGCGGCATTGCCCGCGGAGAATATGTCACTATCGAGCAGTCCAGATGCAGTACCTGGCGAGGAATTCGAGTATGTGCTATGTGCTCGTTGTCCTTGCAACGTTGCCGGAGTGAATGGTCTAATATTGACAACTTTTTGTAGCTACGAAGCTCTGCCTCCGAATTATGGGCTGGGGCACAACATGATGGCCGGCGCATTCGCCGGTATCGCAGTATGCAAAACCGAAAGACGGGGGATGATCCGTACAGGAGACTGATGTGGTTTTAGGAACATACCGTGATGTATCCTGTGGACTTGATGAAGGTACGCCGCCGCCCTCTGTCGCCCCCACTGATCAAGAAGTGGCTAATCTGATATTGGTGGCTAGACACGGATGCAAATCATAAATCCTTCCGCTGGCGGCCTCTACACCGGACTCTCACACGCAGTATCTACAATATACCGAATAGAAGGATTACGGACATTATGGAGAGGTGTGACGAGCGTGATAGTCGGAGCAGGTGTGCATCTACCCAGAGTTGCGGGCACGTGTGGACATGGTTGACATATCCCCTAGGTCCTGCTCACGCTGTCTATTTTGGCACATATGAGATTGTCAAAGAGAAAGCAGGCGGAAACAGGGCAGACGGGAAGCATCACCCTTTTGCGGCTGGTATGGACGATTCCCGTATTACTATCGCCCGACGCCCCTGCTAACACGATCCAGCTGCCAGCGGAGCCTGCGCAACGATTACGAGTGATGCCTTAATGAATCCCTTTGATGGTATGATATGAGGAATGAGCCGCGCGCATGGAAGGGCGACATGCTAAAAAGGCCACAGTTATCAAGCAGCGAATGCAAGTCCACGGCTCGACATATCGATCAATCACAGAGTGTGCCCGTTCAATATTTCGAAACGAAGGTATTTCGGCATTCTACTTATCCTACCCGACCACGTTGTGCATGACGGTACCGTTCACGGCGACCCAATTCATGGCCTACGAGTCATTGTCCAAGGTCATGAATCCGCGGAAAGAATATGATCCCATCACCCATTGCGTGGCGGGTGGCTTGGCCGGAGCATTTGCTGCGGGAATCACCACACCACTCGATGTTATCAAAACTTTGCTACAGACACGAGGAGTCAGCCAGCAGGATGAGATTCGGAATGTCCGAGGACTGGCGCATGCTGCTTCCATCATCAAGAAGCAGTTTGGTTGGCGAGGCTTCATGAGGGGCTGGCGACCCCGAATCATCAGCACCATGCCAAGCACCGCCATTTGCTGGTAAGACATGTCTCCCTTGGCCATATTCGTTGAGTATTGTCTCTAACCCAGGCATTTCTAGGTCATCATATGAGATGGCAAAGGCATACTTCAAGCGCACGCTGCGGGAGGAGCAGATTGCAGCTCATACCAGCAAGCTCTAATGCGCTTCGTGGGCTGATGCTCGGTCAGTACTGAGTATTCTAGCTCCGAAGTAGAAACTGCGGTCGAGAGGCGACAGGCCGAACCCTTCATTCTCGGTCGAGCTCCTCGGCTTTATGAAGATACCCATTTTTCTGTGTTCGTATACGCCGGGCACCGGTACGTCTGGTCTGGGCGGGTGGCATGGCCGCATGCCTTTTTGTCTGTTGGTCCGGCCTTGATCTCGAAGTCGACGGCGGTCATTTGCATGCGAAGGCGTCGTGACAGATCCTGGCGAGGGGCCAGAGGCCATTCTTCTGGTGCATGTTTGTGCCGGATGTCCTAATTAAGGGCTTGGATACTATTGTATATTTATCAATTGGGGACTGGCTCTTGTGCCTATCATGTCTTTTTCGGCCATTTGATAGACGGGGGATCAGCAATGAAAAAGTGCAGCTGGGCCGGGTTAATGTGTCCATTCTGGTAACTTTCATGTCCATCGGAGTCGCGTACCTTCCAGCGGGTGTAACAGTCTTGAATTCCAGAGTATTATGGTATCCGGGGACAGTACCTTATTGTATCGATTGAATTGTTGGTGTTTGATGATGGGGCAGCCCCTGTGCGGTGTGCGGTGTCCTGCTGTGCTGCTGTGCTGCACCCCAGATGGGTGACGTAGTAGAGCGGGCGGTGTTTTGGTTGAATTCGCCTGGTCGCCTGGCCGCCTATTCTTTGACATACTACCGTATACGTACTAATTGTCCGACGACCAGTTTCTCCAGTCTTTGGAGCGCAGACTTGCAAACAACAACACATGAATAGCCTGGTCGCCGCCACGTCCTTTCTCTTCTCCAAATGAGTATGTTCCTACGAGATATACAAAGCAACCATGATGCGGAGCAAGCTATCCTCGTCGATGCAGAAGACCTACGATGAGTGTTATCTGCAATGCTCCACTGCCATCTTCTTCGAAGGCCAGGTAATGCCGTCCATCTGCCTCGAAGTCCCCTTATACTGACCAGATCTTGCCTCACAGGGTAACGAGCCAGAGGCTCTCCGCTCCTGGAAATCGGCGCTGGATCAGATCAATTACTTCAGGGCCTACAAACTTCCGTCCAACTACTCGCCCAAATCGGAGACCGAAAGGGCCTTGTACGACTCATTGAAGGAACTCGAGATGCAATGCAAAGAACGTGTGGACTTACTCGAGGCGCTCAAGAGGAGCCGGCAGGACGTCGAGCGGGATTCGCAAGGTGAAGAGAGATTAGATCATGGCGGGAGAAGGCGGCTGGAGAAGAGCAAAAGTGCAGCAGAGACACCGCTTGACAAACCGGGATCATGGCTCGGAGATCACACCATACCACCAATGCAGATGTCTGAACTTCCCAGCGCGACCCCATCAATGGCCTCGCGACCACCTCTGGGAACCGCCCGGAGTAGTGATGCCGCCGGAAAAGACTCGAGCTCCCGGGCGCGTTACTCGCCCTTCACCGCCCCGCCAACCTTAGCCGTTCCCACCAACAAGGTCTCGCGGAGCCCGAGTCCAGATAATGCTGGCAGGAAAACGATGCGGACGACGCTGCGGAGCGAGAAGAAAGGCTTTAGAAACTATCGGTCGGCTCCGAACCGGGACAGGATGCCAGAAACCTTGAAAGCGGCAGGTCTGGCCTGGGAAGCGCAACCCAGGAGAGGATCACAGATTAGCAACCGGCCAGACTCGGACCCGACGATAGAGGCAAGACTGAGTGCCACCGCAGCCCGGCGAAGTCTCGATCAGGACGCCACCGCCCGATACGAGGAGCAAAGAAAGTCGAATTCTTCTACGTTGGGGGTTCCCGATTTTCTTCCCCAGCAAGTCTGGCGCGACATCTCAAATCCTGGCCATGGGCAGCCGTCACTGAAGAGATCCATGGACAACCTAAAGCTTAGCTCCGAATCCGTGCCGAATCTGATAGACCTGGAGCCGGAACCAGATAGGCCTCCTCCCCCTCCCCCTCATACCTCATCGCCGGCTCCCGTTGCTGCCAGGGTGGGAATGACATCTCCTACAGTCACTCTCAAACCGCCAGACCTTTCATACCGGAAAGAGTATCCAACAAGGACGGTGAAACCGGCGCAAACCCTGAGCAACAGTCTCCTCGACAAAGCCTATCCGCGCACCAGTTCGAACAATACTGTACCTGGTATGAGTCGCAAGCCTGTTGGGAAACCCAGGACGGCTATAGAAACAAGAGGTCGATCCCCGGCCAAAAGGGACGACAACACTGACAGCGACGATGATACCCCAAGGGGGGTTGTCGAGAGGACGCGGCGGCCTCGGGCTGGACGGACGCAGAGTGCGACCACGATCACTCCCCCATCGACCGATGTAGAGTCCACGGAGGATGATGGGTCAATCTCGGCGGAGGGAAAGAGGATCGCGGAAATTCTGCAACGACTGCCCAAGGGATTGGACGAGAATGCAGCGAAACAGATACTCAATGAAATCGTGGTCAAGGGGGATGAAGTCCATTGGGAAGACGTCGCGGGCTTGGAGGCTGCAAAGAAAGCTCTAAAAGAGGCGGTGGTGTATCCTTTCCTGAGGCCGGATCTGTTCATGGGTCTGCGAGAACCCGCGCGTGGAATGCTTCTGTTTGGGCCACCAGGAACGGGCAAGACCATGCTTGCACGAGCCGTGGCGACCGAGAGCAAGAGCACCTTTTTTGCCATCAGTGCTAGCAGCCTGACGAGCAAATGGCACGGCGAATCTGAGAAGCTGGTGCGGGCGCTGTTTGCGATGGCCAAAGCCTTGGCTCCGAGTATCATATTCGTGGACGAAATCGACTCTTTGCTCAGTACGCGGAGTGGTGCGAGCGAGCACGAGGCATCCCGACGCAGCAAAACCGAGTTTCTGATCCAGTGGTCGGACTTGCAGAGGGCGGCCGCGGGCAAGGATACGACGATTGGAGACCCTAGTCGGGTGTTGGTGCTGGCTGCGACCAATTGTCCGTGGGACATTGATGAAGCGGCTCGACGTCGGTTTGTCCGGCGGCAGTATATTCCCTTGCCGGAAGCGGAGACCCGGGAGACCCAGATCCGGACCTTGCTAGGACATCAGAAGCACGAACTTGGCGATGAAGATATCAAGCGGCTGGTAGAGCTGACCGATGGTAAGTGCCGGCTCTCTTGGGCGAATCTTGTTTGAGGAAGCATGTGACTAACTTGAATCAGGATATTCCGGGTCCGACATCACAGCATTAGCTAAAGACGCGGCCATGGGCCCTCTCCGTAATCTGGGAGAGGCTCTATTGTACACGCCCAAGGAGCAGATCCGGCCTATACGCATGGAGGATTTCGAGGCCAGTCTGATCAACATTCGCCCCAGTGTAAGCAAGAAAGGGCTGGAAGAATTTGAGAAATGGGCACGGGAGTTTGGAGAGCGCGGAGGATAGAAGGGAAATAGACTGTTGTATCAATTCGGTTGATCTGAGTCGCAGAGGAGTTTGATGCGCTCACAGGGCTCTTGGAAAGGGACTGGCATAGCGAGCAGCATCCAGACAGGGCGTTCGGGACAGCGGCAAAGCGTCAATAACCTGGGGATATTGGGAGGCCCATGATTGATGACACTGCGTACTAGTAGTTCAACGAATATTTGACATGCATGTTCAACACAACTTGATGCATCTACACAAGTTGTACCATGGTCTGTTCCACAGCTTCAGTTGCAAGTATTTTACATAAGCGAGGCTGAGAATAGGCGATACCCGCAATGCGCAAGGCTGAGAACGGACAAGGGCCAAGGACACAGCATCTGGTCGCCGTGACAATTGTGGCTGTTCTCCGTCATCCGTTTGCAATCCTCCTCTTCGCACCACCATGAGGGTTCTTTGTGTGTTGCCAGCTCTCCTGGCTTATGGCATCTGTCCTCTGGCTGCTTCTCTTCGTGTGCACTAGTACAGTGTGGTGCTGCATGAGTGCGATTGCGAGTGCGAAGCTGGCCGGGAGCTGTAGACTGCGCAAGAGTTGAGGTCGAACATAGCCACCCTCCTATGCCCAAGCAGATTCTCTGCAGCTTCGAGTCGTATAACTAACAGATGGAATGGGTCTGACATCGAAGAGCCAGCTTCTGCTGAGTCAATCTTACTGTCCTTCTCTTCTCAGGGCGATCTGCCATCAAACTGCAACGGATGATACGAGACGAAGGGCGAGAGGCGCTGGGTGCGACCGAGTAAGGACAGGTGCTGGACTCGATGATATAATCCCTGGAGCAAAGAACATTCTGACCATGGCCAGACTCGGCAGAAGGGTATCCAGCTATCTTGACTGACAGCGGGCCCTGACAGCCAGGGTGACAGTGACAGGAACTGTGGCTTGCTTACCTACCTCACCTTTGTCTTGGTAAACCCGCCGACCTGGGCTGTCTCGCAAATGCCGAGTGACGATGATGATGGGGGAGACCACGAGGATTGTGGGTGTGAGAGTGAACGACGGCGACGACAGTCATAGTTGAGGAAGAAGCGTCAAGGTGGTGATGCTGGAAGAATTAATCAGGCGAAGTTGGCTCTGTTGAGCTGTGTTCTTCCCTTCCTTCACCCAACACCGTGACTCTCTTCACAGACTGCAGTGGAATTGATGTTTCAATGAAGCTGGCGACCTCTTTGAACAGCTGACCCTCTGTCTACAGTATCCCATCTTGTCACTGAGGCCCTCCTCACTCCCTTCGCTGTCGCCAAGTGCACAAAGTGACAGACAGTGAATGCAAGTCGCGTCGATATAAACAGTCTGCCGGTGCTTGCGACGATGGCTTCATCTCACATTCCTTCCACCCATATTCCGCTTTGCACTGCGCAAAAACAACATTCCATCCTCTCCTTTCTTCTCTACCATCTCCCGCACCTACTCGCTCCCATTCCGACTCGCGCCTTGTCATCATCATCAACATTCCCGACTACTCTCATCGCGCTGCTCTCTACGAGGGTTTCAAGAGTAAGTTCTCGTGTCCCTGCGACTGTACAAGACCCTCTGTTTGCTGTTCTGTCTGTGCGCAGTCTCCTTCATCGCAGGATGTCCGTTCGCAGCTGCCGCAGGGCTTTGAATCTGGCGCAAACGATCGCACCTCCTCCTCCTACTCCTACTCCTCTGTCTTCTTATCCTCTCTCCTTCAACCTTACATTCCCGTTGCTCCAGAAGCGGCGGGCCAGACGAACCCAGACCAGTCTTTCATTGTCTGTGCTTTGTTCTCGGTCGCCCTGGTCAACAAAGATGGCGCGTGGCTGCTTTGGTACTTAAGCCCCAAGTGACAGCGCATGGACCCGCGAGCACAGACTGCCAATCTCCCCTTGCCCTTCCCCATATACTCCATTCACGAGTCTGCTCTGCCAACGGCATATCTCCCCGTCGACGTCGTGAGCTATAGTATTGGACTATACACCCTCTGACCCCTGTGGCGCATACACCTTCAAAGACCGCCGGCCGGTATACTCGTTGCTCACTTTTGATCCTGGTTTGCGCCACCAGCTAGGTTTCAAACGCTCGTTTGGCTGAACGCCTTCACAAACTCGTATTCCATACACAATGAAGGCGATCATCTTGGGAATTGCTGCCTCGCTGGCGAAACTCGGTCTGGCTGTTCCCCATGGTAGGTCGCAGATCTGAGACATGCATTGAACGGACGCTGACATGGGCCAGGCAATAACCAACACCACCGTCTTCACTTGCGCCACGAGATTACCGACTACTCTACGGTCACCGACATTGTCACCATCACTGCGCCAAATGCGGTCGTCTGGGTTGATCAGTACGGCAACATCATCTCTACCGAGTACCGTGATCTCCCAACTCCAAAAGCCACCACTTCCGACATCGTTGTTCCAGTCGTGACCAGTTCCACCGCTGTCACTTCCATTGTCCCGACCACCAGCATCTTGTCCACTTCTCAGACTTATGCTCCAACCACTACTCCGTTCATCTTGTCCTCGTCCGACTCTGTGTCCCCGGCTCCAGTATCCTCTGTGTTGACCTCAGCCACTTCGGCAGCGGCCTCGACCCCTGTCCCTGACACCTCCACTGCTGTGCCAGCCGCCTCGTCATCTGGCACTGGTGGCGACAAGGTCTCTCAGCACAACGACACTTCCTCAGCCCAGTGGAGCGGATTTGGGATCTGCTACGAGCTCATTGGTAGTTCCGGATGCAAAGACCAAGGTAGCCTTAACTCGGACTTTGGGTTCTTAGCCAGCATGGGATACACCAAGGTGCGCACGTACGATATTGGCTGTGATCTAGGGGTTGTTGCAGCAGCTGCTGCTTCTCAAGGCCTGCAACTTATTGTCGGTCTTAACGGAATTGGCAATGTCGTCCCCGACATCACCACCCTCATTGGCATGATTAACGGTAACTGGGCTCCCATCGACACCGTGGTCATCGGCAATGAAGTCGTCAATAGTGGTGGTGATGCGGGCGCCGTGGTGGCCGCGATTGCCCTAGCCCGCCCCTTGCTCGCCATCGCTGGCTTTACCAAGAATGTCGTGACAGTGGACACCTTCAGCGCCCATGTGAACCATCCGGTGCTTTGTCAGAGTTCGGACTACTGTGCGGTCAACGCCCATGCCTTCTTCGACCCCAACACCAGTGCTGATGGAGCTGGAAAATTTGTGACCAATGCTGCCGCAGCGGTTGCCAACATTGCGAGTGGAAAGGCCGTTATTGTGACCGAGTCCGGCTGGCCATGGGCGGGTTTGTCAAATGGTCTTGCCATTCCGTCGCCAGCAAACCAGCAAACTGCCATCAACAGTCTCAATCTCGCTTTCAGTGGCAACCCTGGTGGTTTGTTCATCTTCCAGGCCTTTGATGCGACCTACAAATCACCAGGTCCGTTTGGAGTCGAGCAATACTTTGGCATCTATGGCCATTAAACGGCTCAGTGGGTGAGCAATGTCCTATGTCGCGGCTTTGATCCCTCTCAGATCAGCACCAGTTGGACTTACTCGACGACATTGCACACTCAGTACAGTTGATCTCGTACTCTGCACAGCGGCGGCGTTATCGGCAGCATCTTCTTCAGACGGTTTCAGGGTTCCATGGAGCCTTGATCTTCTTGATTGTTTAGCTTCAAATTCCCCGGTTTTTCGACAAAACTTCAACATGATACCCCCGGTACTGGTTGTTGTCAGTTCATAGCGCTTTTTCCCAACAGATCTCTTTTCAGGTCTACATCAGGACTGGGTGTGCTAGATTCAGACTCTGCCACAAACCGACACCTCTTCCAGTCATCTTGTCACACATTCACCTTCTCCCGGCATCAGGCACCGACAAAATGCCCTCAGCCAACCTGGAGACGGAGAAGATAGACCACACAGGATCGTAAGGATATGGTCTTGGAGATTGGCATGTGCATCTGGGATCTCACTCATCTGCGGAGCGGAATGGTTTACCCTGTGGGTGGCCATGGCCTGGACCTTGTCCAAAAAGAGCACGGGAGGGGTATATCTCCTACCTGGGCTTCCATCCTCGTTGTCTTGCAGTACGCAGCAGAAGCGAGGGCGTGGAAGAACCCATGCGAGCTCCACACGAGCGAGACGGAGTCCAAATGCCCATTCCCTCCAGCTATATGCCCCTGCAGACGGGCTTGAATAGCTTAGTTAGCCAATTTCTGCCCCAAACAATGATGAGCAATGTTCTTGCCTCAACCGTCCCAGAGTTTTCGTTGTCTCCCATTGATCTGTAGGCTTCGATGACGTACTAGTAGGGAAAATGCGATTTTTTGTGTTTTGTACCGTATGATCTAGTCCGTTTGCTAGGTCATGAGTAGTCATGACAATCGGTCTGTGATTAACTGAGTACGTATGGTGGACAAGGTCGACAAGAAATATGAAATAGATGTATAAGTCCTCTCCTCTCGAGTCACATTTTGGTTTCTTTCGGTACGCCCAATCACATAGTAATCACTCACGACCGATGAAAGAAGGGCCGCTGTAGTTATCATATGGATAGGTAAATCGATAAAGATATAGATGTATATAGAGACATATATAGGCAAGGCGGCCCAGTAAAGCAGAGCAGCAAAGTTTCCATTATCATTATATTAGTAATAAAGATACTGAACAATCTTTATAGATAGTGTTTGCTTTGCTTTGCTTTACTTTGCTTTGATTGCCGTGCTATGCTATGCTATGCTTTGGCGTGAAGAAGAAGTAGTAGTAGTAGTAGTAGTAGTAGTAGTAGTATCAGCAGTGGGAAATATCCCATAGTAAGGTATGCTTTCTGTCTTTTTTGACTTTTGACCTCTGATCTCTGACTTTCGACTACGAGTACCCTCTACGTGTCTCTCTAAAGAGTTGGTCCGGTTCCGCCGACTTCAAGGTCAAATTGAGATCCTGATTCAGCTGGACCCCTTTCTCTCCAGTTCATCGTGTTTCTCTTGAGGCCAACTCGTCCTTCGACGGCCGTCTGTCTTCGTTGTTGTTACCGAGTTACGGCAATCATCCATCGTCTTCTCTTTCAGCAAGATCGACATGGAATGCGCCTTGTTCGCCTTCAGATACGATTTCGACTTCGAATCCGACCCCAGCACCAACACCAACAGCACCTTTAAGGTCGTGGTCGTGGTCGTGGTCGTGGTCATCTTCTTCGTCCTCTTCCTCCTCCTCCTCCTCCTCGTCCGTCAAGAAGGGGCTTCGTTCCAATTCGTATTGCGGTCCTGGCACGCCACGCAGGGGCTCCTGGGCTGGAGGCGTGAGGACCATTCGCGGCGGGTTGTTGGAGATGGGCACCCACACGCCCGACTCGGGTTCAGGGTCTGCCATGACCTCGACTTCGTTGGGATTGGCTAGCTGCTGAGAAGGAGGAGGAGGATCTGAGGAGGACGGAGTCCGAGACGGAGATAACGCTAAAGATTGTTCGGTGTCTGGTTGTGGTTGGTTCATCACGGCGTCATGATACGAGGGTTCGACGTCTCCCCCCGTCCGAGAATGAGACCTGGAGCGAAGTTGCTCAATACTGACGCTTGTTTCGGCGGTGGAATCGATCGTCTGAGTACCGTCTGCCTCTTGGCTTGGTTCTTTCAAGCCAGCGTCGTTGTTGTCGTTGTTGTTCTTTTCCGCATCGCCCGTATTGCTCGCATGCAGATCGACGTGTTCCAGAGTGTCAGTGATGGCCTCTACAACCTGTGCTTGAGCGTTCTCCAGAGCCTGGCTAACGGCCATCTTCATGTTACTATCTGCGGTCCGTGTCGTCTCACTCGATTCCTTCTCGTGCGGCGAGAACGGGTTCGGCTCCGGGGTGTTCTTCCCGGTGGTAGAAGTGGTGACAATCGAAGGTAGATTCGAACCGAATTTTCCAGGTTGCCGAGGTTCATTGCTACCATTGTTTCCGTCCTCCTGTTTCCCACGACCGACGCGCCACCGTCGAGCCTTTGGCGCGGGCGGAGGCTTTTTGAAATGTCCTTTGTGACGAGAGGGCACGGGGGGTGGTGCCTGAGACGAGGGAGTCTTCTTCTTCTCCTTTTCTTGTGCCACTGATGTCCGAGGCTGGCTGGACTGCTTGTCGTGGTCGTTGGGCTGCCTCTCGGTTTCTGGGTCGACTTCGAGCCTCGCAACTGTGATACCTGCTTTGGCAACTTCCATGTCGGTTTGGAAAGTTCGCGCATGCGGCCTGCCCCAGCCAGAACGTCTGGCTTGCGGAGGCGGGGGAGGTCTTTCCTTCTTGTGCATTATTGCGGCGCGAAGGTTTTGTTTCAGACTAGGGTTCCGGCTAGGCGTCATGACTCCGGGTTTCTCTCTCTGTGCGGCCACCTCTATCATACTGAGGCTTGACTGGCGAGCGCTTGCCGACTGAGGCGTAAGGTACTGACCCATATCCAGTGTTGAACTCTTGGAAGAAGTCCGCTTTTTCAGTTTGCGTGGCGCGGGAAGTGCTGGCGGTTTGCCTTTGGATGGCGACGATGGGGGAGAAGCATTCGACGCGGTTTCGTCCGTAGGCGATTCGGTTGGTGTTGGATTGTCGATCTCTGGGTCCGTCAACCAGCTCACACCCTCGCATCGCTTGACCAGGCGACTCGTGGTCTCGTCCACCACGTCAAAATGGGTCCAGGGATGTACCTCGTCTGACGAGTCGTTTCCATTTCGGGCATGACCGCCACCCAGGATCATCAATACTTTGCGGATCTCTTCCCTTTTGTAATAAGGAGGATATTGGAGTTGTGTGTGTTGAAGAAGGGGATAGAGCACGCGGAGATAGGTATGACGGAGAGAGGAAGCCTCCTCTGGGAGGTCGAGCAGATTCCGAAGCAGGATGTCTACCATGACGTGCAGGTCGTTTGTGTAGAAGTATTCGTAGGTGGTCGGGGTGGTGAACAGCAGGTAGAGCAGCTTTAGTGTCAGGAGCTGCAAAGATGTTTCGTCTGGCCAGGTCAGGGTCTGGAAGCAGAAAGCAAGAGAATGATTCCATACCTTCTCGGTTCAAGAGCAGTATGATGTTCTCGCCGAATGTCTTGTACTCACTGCCATGGGTGGATAGAACCTTGATCACCCTATTTGTCAGTGGCGCGGCATTCTGACCGTTCGCAGGATCGTGCGCGGCGACCATGTATTGTTCATTGAGAACAAGCTACCCGACTGTCAGCGCCCACTCACCGTAGAGGGGGAAATGGGCTCACCAAAACACGTATCGTCGGGTAATGGTAGGGGTCGTTGACATCGTCGGAAACCTGTTCTATAATCTCGAACAGCATCTTGATAAAGTCATCGCTGACATGTGCTGTTTCGATCCCACATAATTAGATCACCACCCAATACGTCGACCACTCTTCCAACGTACCAAGGTCACTGAGTCTGATCTTCTGTATGCGCGCCATCTCGTAGAGCAACTCCATGAGGAGTCTGTGAAGGACCTCGTTTCCATGTTGTTTCGGGCTGGATATGAGGTCCACCAATCTCGGGAATGCTCCTTCGTCATTCAATAGTTCGAAAGTGCCCTCATGGCTTTGCGCATCGGCGAGCAAGAAGGACGTTGATGCCAATATGACGTCGTGTTCATCCTCCTGTAAACCGTCCATTAGTTCCAGGAATGTCCAGCGACCGAAGCAGAACACACCTCAAGCAGACAGTGGACAAACTGCCGGCGAATGTAGTCGGCATGGATTTCAAAGAGCGTCGACTCTTGTAACCTAAATGCGCAACGGCCAAGATGCTCGTCGGTGGGCAGAAAACGGTCTGAAGTGCCCGACCGTCAGCATGATGCCTCTCTTCTCTGTCTTGATGCAATAGTCCCAACGTACCCCGACAAGAACACACCAAACTCAGGTAGGAACGCAAGGTATCGTCGATACTGCTGTGGGAGTCGCAATGTCGAGAGACGGTCTGGTCGAGAACTGAAGGAGGAGATGGAGAGTCAGATTCATGCGCTGGGAGACGAGACGAGTAGTCCGTTCACTGACCGATCCAGAACTGCTCTTCGTCCTCGAAGTCATATGTAACCTCGTGATCCATACTATGACCAGCTTCATATCGTCTCTCCAATGATTGATACTGAGCGGAACACGGTCGGAAGCGAACAGTCGCTCTTCACACGGGAAGAAACGCAGGCATGCAGGGACATTTGTGTAGACAGGGTCACCACAATACCGGCGACGGGGGTGCTGACAGGCAGCGGGTAGCAATATGTGGTGATCCGGAGGTGACAGGGAGAGAGGTAATCAATAGTAACAGTGATGCTGATGGTGGTGAAGACGATCAAGGATTCAAGGCGCAGGTGGAGTGTCAACTGCAGTGTGTTAGACACTACGTAGTACGTAGGGAGATACCAGGTACCTGGTAGGTATCAATACCTTAGGTACAGCTCCGTATGTACCGGGCCCTAGATACACACAACACTGGAAAGATGGGGCTTTAGGACGCTGTATTGTGGTATCACCGTATTATCCACCAAATCTTTGACGTATCGGCGATTTATAGTTGGCAGGAGATGCCAGATGACGCGGTTGCAGCACCACAGCAATAAATCTACAATCCACAACCTACCAGCTTCCAGTTCTCCAGGCCCGCTTCTCCATTTTTGAGACATCTCCCGAGGACGAGTAGGTATGCTACATTCAAAGAATACCTTGTCTCTGCAAGGCTGATACTCGCGTTTGCAGAGCTGCGCTTCATGAAATCTTCCTGCGTTGACAGTTGCAGCCTCACAGCATCGCCTCTCCCACCGCATCCTTGACATCTCTCCCCACGGGCCGCCTCCCAAAAGAACGAGTCGGGGAGGAGAAGAGGGAGAGATTGAAAAACCTGGATCTTGCCCGTAAGTTCCAACAGGGTATACCGAATACACCAAGGGTGCTATGGAACAGGGGGATGGGATCGAGGACGGTAACATCTATCATCCAGACACAACTGGTGTCAGTGCTCTGCATCAGGGGAGGCCCCTATAACGCCACGCCGTACAGATGCAATGCAACATTAATGTCGGTATACATATACGGTTCGCCCTTTTCCATAGCCCTATAAAATACTAAAAGTCGTTCGTCGTCATCCAATATCACTTGGGTCGTTTAAAGGGATGCGCTTCGGTATTCCTGTCACATCGTCAGCCAAGGCCTATCACTCGTGGGCCTGGCCGGGGTACTCACAAAACATAATCGTCCAGACTGATCAGGTCCGGCTCGCTGAACAACAGATAGTAATATTTCAACGTCTCGGCCAGCCAGAAAGACTCCATGGTATCAACCTGTTTCATCAGCTGGCTGGTCACGTCCTCGATGGCGGCATTGGCGATCTCGGTTTTGGTCGCCTGGTCGACCGCTTCGAACATGGTCCAGCCTTTCTCTCTCCAACTCTCATCGCCAGTCATGCGATACAGAATGAAGACTGATTCAATCGCCTCAGGACGTAGGCGATAATCCCGGGCCCGGATGTTGGTGTATCCAGGCGGGAGGCGTTCCTCTGAAATCCTTGCGGCCACATATTTCTCATGTGACAGAGGCACCTTAGGAACGAACGGTTCCGAGACCGGTTCTGCTGGATCGACTGGCTCCTCACCATCCTCGTCGTCCCCAACATTGGAAACGAACTCCTCGCTTAGCCTCTGCTGTTCCAGGTTGTATGCCTCCACCGCTCGGAATCTCTCTTCGCGACGAGGATCCAGTGCCTCGTGCCATCTCGTCTTGTTCCATGGACAGGTAGTGACACTGTCGCAGGGCACGAGCTCGAATTCTTCTGGCATGATGCCCACCGCCGTCGATCCATACGCCCAGACACAACTTTCCGTGAGCTTCTCGGCCAGGTGCATGTCTTCGGGAAGATCAAACAATTTGGCGCCCAGCGCAAACATACCTCCGGCAAAACATCCCAGATGGGTCCCCTCATATTTGGTCACATTCTTTTTCGACGACATTGTTGCTTTTGGAGAGATGCTCTGCTTGGCCACGAAGCGGATGTCGTGGTCCCCCTCCGTCATGGGCCGATACAGTAGTTGCTCTCGAACGACGTTCATGGAATCCAGATACATGGTCTTATATTGTGAATTCAGACCACCAAGGAGTGCGTATTCTTTCGGCAGATACTCATAGGTGGAGTCGGCCATGGCCCCAATCCCGTACGTGTGGGTAGTAGAGTGAGGTTCGGTGCTCAACCCTTGCGGTTCACAATTCACGCTTGCGTAGTCACCGCTCCAGTGCTCGTTGGACACTGGCACAACCTTGCCGCCTAGTTCGTCGACAAGCTCCTTCTTGGGAGCGCCCTCTGCTTGTGGGTTGGCAGGGTCTTGTCGTCTCACCCGAGACCTCGAGCCTGGCCCGGTGTTGGCTACGTCGGAAGCCACTTTGGCTTCCTCCTCAGCCTTGCTGATCGCTACCACGGAGGGAGGCTCTTCATCTGTATCAGCAGCATGGCGGACGACCTCCGGCTTCCGACAGCCAGAAGTATCGACCCGTAGGGGCCACAGTCCCGGAAGAGTAGTCTCCTTCTGCCATTTCTCCAGGGCATTAGTGATACGTGCAATGGCATCGTAGTACTTATCCTCCCGGGTGATCTGGGCGAGGCGCGTGAACTCGACAGACAGCGATCCTAACTCTGCCAGCACCGTATGTGCCCCGGCCCTATGCGGTTGCGAGGAGTAGGATGGGGCCCAGTTGTAGTACGTCAGCGGCATTCTGTTGGGCGTGTCGAAGGCGCCCATAAGGATGTCGGCCAGTTCAACCGCCTTGTCCAGCAAGACCGGGTACTTTGCGGAGCTCAGATCATAGGCGGCAATCAGTCCACCGAGGTAGCGGATGGTAGTTTCAAACAAAGGGATGTCCTTCCGGGGAGATGTCTTGAAGTCAATCTGGCCAACCATCTGGACGGCTTCTTCAAATTCGTCGCGTAGCCCCATGATCCAAAGCGAGTCCAGAGAGTCCACCATTGTGGCTCCCCAGCCATTGAAAGGGTCCGCGACTCCTTTCGACAGAGGTTTGAGCTCATCATGCGGCAGGGAGTAGTTTTTATATCCGTTCCAAGCATGTCTAAACGATTCGCGAACCGCCGTCTGCCTGCGCAACCGATCGGCCTTTTTAGATGATGACTCGCGACCAAAGCTGTACTGCACCTTGGGAAGAGCCTTTGGCTCACCTGTTGGTAGAGGTATCAAGCTTTCGGACGGCACGGGGAAGTGTTCCGTCTGTTGTTTCCAATATGCTCTTGGATGGTCCGATGGCCGCGGGGCAACATCATAACGGCCCTGACCATGCTCGCCGAAATCCTCCTCAAAGCTCGGTTGTTTGGTAAGGAGCTCATCTCCTGTGATTGTGGGTGCGGAGTTTGCGGAGGTACTAATAGACGATGTCGCGGACGTCTCGGAGGCCTGTGAAACCGTCGCAGAGTGGGGCTCAACCGCCGGGGGGACTGCAGCTACTGGGTCTGCAGCAGGTTGTGTCTCTTTTTCTGGTGTAGAATCGGGTGGAGGTGGGTGTGGTATTGACTGCGCGTCGGAGGTGGTGGTCTTGCCGGTGCTGGGCTTGAACCCTATCAGACCCTCTAATGCTGAGCCATCCCAGCCAGGCACTCGGGATAGGTGGTACACAGTGACTACTGCCAGCAGAGCCACCAGGAGGAACAATCGATATCGGCGTATACGGATCATCGTGATCCAGGAAGTCTCGCGACGTGGGAACGAAGGGGGAAGCAGATCAGCGTCTGGACGATGCGTCAACCCGCATTGGCCTGGCCTGAGAGTGCGGAGGCAGCCGGGGTCAGCAATGACAGCGTCAAGTGTGAAACGACACAAGCAATACGAGGCGCCTCGAAAATATCTGGGTAGGAAGACCTCAATGAAGAGGGTATCCAGCACACTCCACAAGGCAGCTTCTGGAGCAAGGACGGCGAGGAATGAAGAATTTACAGACAACAATCATGCTGGAGATCCGTCAGCATCTCCTCCTGGGGGCAGGCTTACGACGTCCGCCGCTGGCGGCCCAATCATCATAGAGCAGACTGGGGACGGTGAAAGTTGCTGCCGGGCGGAGAAGGGGCCGGCCTTGGCATGTTTATCCCGCCGACGGAACGTGAACAGTAATTAACGGTCTTATCACAGCCTCGTGCAAGACCTCCGCTACCTGAGTGCCTGCATAAGACTGTTCTCATGCAATCAATGCTACCCGTTATAACTTCGCAGATCGTCTCCTGATGCTGAACTCTCGTGCCCGCTTGCTAATCGCGGCCGGAAGATGACACCAAAGCCATTGCTCGCTTCAGTCTCTGCTCTAACTCGATCTGGAATGCTTCGTGCCTCCCAAGCATTTGGAACCCCTCGAGGGGCTCCTTCTTCAGCATATCGCCCACGCTGGAGGTGCAATACAGCACATCCTTGATCAAGGCCGCCATCATCTCGTGGTCAGGCGGGGTGAGGGGCGGCGGCGGCGGCGGCTGCTGCTGCTGCTGCTGCTGAAGGGCACTATCAAAGAAGGTATGAGCCGTTTCTAAATAAAGTTGGTCCTGCAGGAACTCGGAGTCGATGTATTTCGGCTCGTTGGGGTCCAGTCTCGGTTGGTCGCAAAGCCGCTCACACAGCCGAGCGAGATGGCTCATAATGTTCGAAAGAAGCAGCTGACAGTTGTAGTCGGAACGGATGGCCTTACTTCGCAAAATTCTCCGCACGGCTGCATTGCATTTTCTCAATAGTTCAATCTGTGTCTCACGTGGTTGTGATTCGTCTCGCCCGTGTCTTTTCAAGTGTGCCAATAACTTGATACAGACTGTCTCCTCATCGTCTGCAGCAGCATGAAGGCTGCGAGCAAGCGGCATAGTATAGCTTGGCGGATGAAGTCTGTCAGGGTCCACAGGAGCGGAAGCCTGTGTCGACAGAGATCGGGCTTGCGGTTGAGAGGGCGACAGGTACCGAGTGAACCGGGGAGGACTGAGGATTGGGGTAGGGAGTCCACTGTTCGGGAAGAAAGAGAGGTCGCTTGTCATGGAGAAGCTTCGATTGTTGGCCATTTCCACCGCGTCGAATGAGTCCGTGGTACCGTCAAAGTCGAGTAACGGATCGCAGTGTCGTTTGTTGGACTCTTCGGAGCCCTGTGTGTTGGCTGGCGAGGGAATGGATCGAACAGAGTCCGTTGTGTTGACAACCCACGTCTGGAGATGGACAGATCCGATAGATTCCTCGACCGGTCGCTTCCTTCGCTTGCCTACGACTTTGCCTACCCGAGACTCACTGTAGATACAGGACAGTCTCTTCTCGGTGCATCTGCGGCATCCTTTCTTGTTCCCATCACAACGAACCTGACGGCCGAGTGGTCAGTGAGGCAGTACATGGACGGTAAGATGATTCGAACCCACCTTAGCGGAGAAACAATGGTTGCATGCCGCTCTCAATCTAATCGGCCTGGGGACAGCTTTGGAGGGACGAGCCGGCCGAGATGTTGCTTCATCCAGAGACGACATTGACGCAGCATCAGGGCTGATTGATGCTGTTGAAGAGGAAGACGAACAGACCGATTTGGAGGTTGATGACGATATCGCCGTGGTCGCCCTTGCATCTCTCAGTAAAGGTGTCTCAGCCAGGGAATGCAATGTGAAGCCATATTCATACCCAGAATGAGCTGTCATCTTCGTGGAAGGGAATGCGACGCAAAGAGATGGCCACAAGTGTTCTCTCGCCGCGAGGGTCGGAGATGCCGAGGACAAATGGTGCTGTGGTCCAGGAAATGCCAGCTATATGGTCTCCAAGGTGATGAAGTGACCAGTCCTGCTCGAGTGGTACAGATCACGACGTCGTATATGCATGAGTCGGTGATTGTCGATCTGAGTGAGCGGCGAGCATAGTTTGCACAATCACACAGTAGTAATCGAGAGAAAGGGTTTAAATGTAGTCGTTAGGTGGCAGTATGACACTGCACTGATTCTCTTTTCTATATCGATCAGACCCGGTTCAGGGGCCACCCCGGTCGAGGAGGGCATTGTGGCATACCACTAGTAGTACGTCGGTCTCTGAAGCCTCCTTATTAGTCGGTCAGACAGCCAGTGGCAGTACTAGTACTAGTAGTACGTATGAGGATATTCGAGTCGTTTAGACTTCCCTGGGGACAGGGACAGGGGTCGGATTGAGACAAGGCGAGCACTTGATAAATCCAGGAAGGATGAACACCGAGACGCCTCCTTTGCCGCGTGGGAGGTGATGGATTCTCCCTGCCTCGAGGACAGGAGGTTAGACACTCCATTCCTGTGGCTGTCAGCAGCACTGCATGCTATAGAGCTAATAAATACCAACCGGCAAGGGGAGACCGGGCTCGGTCTCGTTTATGTACACGACATGCGAGTAGTAGGGAGTCCCCTGCATTGCGATTCCTTTCTCGGAATGCTTTTGTTTGCTTACCATCACGGCCAGGGCACACTACACTGCACTGCAACTGGCAGCTTGACTCAGTTGATGCTGCTGCTACCACCAGGAATTGTAGCATCCCTTCCTGCAGGGACTGCAGTGTGAGGTGTAAGCTGGCAGACGCCAGTTGCACAGACGAGTTGATGTTCAGGGGTCGGCGAGAGCATTGCGCGGGCTGCTTAGGCGTCGACTACGTAGTAGGTGGTTGCCAGTAGTTGGATGTCCACGTGGATCCTCGCCTAGATTATCAAGTGTCAGACTCGAAGCCTAAGGGCCTGATAAGCCTAGGGAGCCTCCTTAGTCCTATCAGACCCAAATGTCGCCCATCAGCCCGCCGGAGATCCCTTAATGACTTAACAGGGCCTTAGGGGCCCTTAAGCACCCAAGTGACGCTAAGGACGCCTCCGGTGCCTAGAAAGTGACGCCTGTCGTGGGCTCCCTAGGCTGTCAACCAAACGCAAACTCGACCACATTCACAACTTCATATCCCATACATATAGATACTCAGGTACCTCTACCAGCACCTGGTAGTAGCAGGAGGAGAGAAGTACATAATTCCCAAACACCACTACCACAACTAGTAGGGCAGATCTACTCTACCTACCTAGGTAAGGTACCTAGGTGTTCCAATGACACCGAATGCTTTGACTCCTTTACAAGACTGCTTCCCGCTCCTTCACCCGCTCCTTCACCCGCTCCTTTGGCCCCTAATCTTCTCAGCTGCAGTAGTGAGAATCCGGGCAACTCCAAGAAACATTAGTTACTGTGAAGCATCATCACTTAGGATTCAATGTTGGCCCCTTTGTTGGCCTTATCAAACTGCGCCGCCGTCACCGTTTCCTCCACCTGCGCCTGCGCCTGCGCCCAGCGTCTCCTACCTCTGACCGTCCGTACAACCCTTTCGGAAGTTCATCCTGTTACACCTGAGGTGCCTCTCCTTCGTCTCCTATTCAATCATACTGTGTTCACTCTCTTGATAGTGCACGAGCCCTCTCCCATGGCATGGCGATCGACCTAGTCATCCGCTGTCAACTCAACCATCACAACCGCAATCTCGGGAGAGCGAAAAGCCACGCCCAACATCACAAACAGTGGCGTCTCGCCGCGCCTGCTAGGCGCCAGCCACATCATTCCATGTCGGCCCCAAAGGCCAAAAGGAGTTGCAGTCGTCCCGATCGAGAGTTGGGGGTCCGAGGTCTTACTACGATGGTCATCTACTGCAGTGTGATACCATAAGCGTGAGTCTCGTCAATGGTCAATGACAATGACAGTGGGATCGATCCGTCCGGCCCGTGGCTCACTTGCAAGAGCTGGGATCCATGGTCATCGATGAAAGGCCTCCCTACCTAGCCATCCTCGCCTTCTCAGTTTGAAGCTCTGCCAGCACGATCATGATGATCAGGGGTATATGACTGACTTGACTTGATTACGTACCTCGAATTGGGGCGTCCTTTATTGTTTGACTAACGGTCGATCATTTCTCCCTGACAAGAGTTGATCTGATCTGATCGCAAGCTTATCAATGTCGCCCTCGTCCTTCGACGCCTCAGACGGTGTCTCTCTCAGTAAGCTGTACTGGCAGCGCTTACCTCTGTCCAAAGCCTCGGAATCCTCGACCTCTCAAACATAAGGTACATACAGGTATCGCAACAGAACCACATGGACACACTTTACCGAACCCGGCATTCACAGCTCCTGGCACGTCAATGTTGCATGAATATGAAGCTGCCGATGTCAAGCATATTTTCACATAGGCCTGATTGCTGACTACATGACTGACCCCAGCTCCCTATTTCAAGCACTTCCCCGGACTCCAGGAACACAAGGCCTATATGCTCGTTGTATACGCAACACGCAAACCTCACACTTTCCACAATCCCAACCCGGAGGTCAGCCGACAGCGCTGGGGTTGCATGGGAATGAATGATCTGTCACCTGAGAATGCAGGGTCACAGACAGCTCTGCGAAACTCAAGGTCCATGCAGTTGCCCACAAGAAATCCAACGACTACTAATAACACCACTACTTCTCAGCTGCCAAGTTGCTTCGGAGTCTTCGATGTCAGTGTCGTGCGACGGGAACATATCGTCGACCCTCAGCTGCAGCTTTCTCCCGACTCTTACTCCCCTCGTACCGCATGGCATGGCATGGCATGACATGGCTGTAGCGTCGCGTTCGCTCAGAGAATAGCCCCGACCATGCTCGGTCACGAGGTGTCACAACCACATTTCCAACGAGAACCGGGTGACACATGTGTAACTGGTGAGACAAGATGGATGAGGATCCCCGAGTGCGGCCAGGCTCCAGCTTTCCGGCTCGTTTTCCCTCGTCGTCGAAGTGGTACGTAAGCCCTGCCTTTCTTGTCCGACGAACGTTTGCCATGTGTCAGCGTGTGCATCGCAGACACGGAGAAGCCTTAGGCCAAGAGCAATCAGCTCATTGGGCTTTGACGTGAATGTAGCCCTCTTTGGTTCGATCGTCCTTTGCAAACCAAGATGACACGAACAGCCACCGGCCAGATCCAGCTGCCGACCCACTCACTTCCTAACATCAGACTTCGATCCTCCTCCGTCTAGCTTTCTGATAATGGTCAGCATGTTCTCTATCTAAGGGTGTCGGGCAATCAGGCAAGGTGATAGAATATTGCGTTGGTATCGCTAAAACAGTTCGCCGGCCTGTTCCATCATACGCGTAGTGTACCCTTCTAATCCAAGCACATCACATAAAGTGATAAGCCTAGCGTTCATGACAGCATTGCTCTTCCTCGATGATGGAATGAGGCTTGCCATACGGGCATTCAGTACCCGAAGCTTGCCTGCCAATGCTTCAACTGATTCAAATTGTGCACCCCGGGGTGTGTCCCATTTTCTTGACAGAGTGAACCATTCGACGTCCCCCTCCAGCACTGACTGACTGGTATGGGATGTCCATGCCTCATCGAAACCAACGCAACAAAGGGAAAGGGCTTTACGCCCATGGTACTAAAGAGGCGGGTATTTATGTTATGAGGCTACCTACCAGTATTTGCTATCCTGGTACTAGTACTAGTACTTGTATGGTGCACAGCGCGTTACTCACACAAGGGAGCATCGTCCCTTTTGGACCGAATGCCACCTTTTCTAGAAGGGTACAAACGGTCCATTCATCTTGGGTGTATCATCCTCTTCTTGTTGTTGAGAGTCTGTTTTTCAACGTCCCATTGGTATTGTTCGACTTTCCACCCTGTCGTCCACCTCCGGCCACAACTGCAGCCTTCATACTCCCAACACTCTGTACTTCACAGTTCAGGATTCGAGACTCATGCTTCATGGCGTCAGACTTTGGAATGTACACTGGTCAATATCACATCCCCGCTTCACCAACTCTCGTCCTACCTCCGTCCTGCGTCTGAGCCTTTTGGAACTGTCTAATCAACCCCAACGGACCCAGCGCGCCCAACGCAGTGATGGCTTTGGCATTGCTGTCTTCGTCTTCGCTGGCCTCCCCAGATGACGAGTTGTCCTCATATTTCCAGGAGCCGAGCTCACCTTCGTGCATCTGTGTGGTGCGGTCAGAGAGACGATCCGCCCTGCCGGCTGCTCCTGCCAGACCATCTGACCTTGGTGGAGGACGAGGCTGAGGCTGAAGACGAGAAGACTGGGGACGTCCGGGAGGGAAGTCGTCTTCTTCGGCCAACTCGTCAGGAATGTCGGGTCGGGTTCTCCCGAAGAGGCCATGGACACCACCACCACCACCACCGCGAGGTCGAAGAGTCTGTGGCGATGAGACCAATCCGCTGGCGGAAGGCTGATGATGCGGGTCTAGAAGCATCGACTGAAGCGGCGAGCCGAGTGGCTGAGATGGCAAGTGACCGTGCGCGTGAGGCTGGGCGCCGAATCCGGGCGTGCCTGAGGCATCGCGGTACGGGGATCCAAGCACCCCCGTTCCTGTGCTGCCATGACGAGCTGCATGGATTCCCATTCCACCTCCAAATGCCTGGCCTGGATCTGCGCTTGGGAAGAGCGGTGAAGGTAAGCCGGGGACGGGAGGGGGCATAATGAACCGTCGTCGGGAAGGGTTGTAAGGAAAGCGGATGTCCGTCTTGGGATTACGAGCGTAGTCGTTCATGAAACCCCAATAGCTGTTCTCCAACTTGTTGTCTTTGGATGCAAAGTATTCGTCTCGTGGGTTCGTATTTGTGTTGTTGCTAATGTTCGCTGCTCCGGTTGAGATCCCGGTTCCGGCAGTTTGAGTGACAGCTTGGTCGACTGCTGCTCTATGCGGCTGCTTCATAAAGTTGAACTCGGCGAAAGAACAAACGTATCCGAGCCCGTCAACATGGACCGTAAACTCTCTGAAAAAATCGATGATCCGATCGCTGCACTTCGGGAGACTAAACCAGAGCACGAAAGGGGTGAAGATCATACTCAACACCTCCTCGATGAAGATGACAAGCTTCATTTGGTACAGCTGCGAGAACTCTTGCTTGACCTCAATGGTATGGAGCCGGCCCGCCCAGTGCTGGGGTTCGTAATGAGTGAACTGTATCACTTCTTGAATCGCGAGAGATGTATCATACACCATGTTGTCGTCCGGTAGAAGACCTCGAGCCAAGGCCCAGATCGAACCAAAGATTCCAAGATAAAAGATTGTGGTCCGCCCTGGGGTCACTTCAAAATTGAGGAAGTTTTCTTGATCAAAAATCGTCGCCAGACCGAGCACCGACACCACTGCTCCGGACACCAAGCTGACAAATTGAGCCGCTTGGATGGTTTTGTCCTTGGGGAACTGATTGATGTATCTCGTCGCAAAGGGGTAAGACATGTTGATACGCCGCTGGAACAAATGATACAATTCATTGAATTCTCGGAACTTCCACTGCGCGAAGCGGCTGTATTCTCTCGACCCAATCTGAGCAGGGTTCTTTTGATATTCATTGAAGTTCTCGAAAAAATGTTTCAGGATGAAGAAAATGGCGAGGAAAGGGGCAAAGAGGAGACTTGCAACGCCGGCGAGGATGAATCGCTTTCGGAGTGCTTCCGACAAATCCTTCCGGTGGGTATCCTTCAAAAAGAGCGTCCGCACCTGTCCCTTACGGTTGAAGACGAAGTCCATGATGCACATATCGATATTCCACTCCAGGGTCCGGGTGAAAAGCTTGCGGTTGCGGAGGAAGGGGATGGGGAGGGTCAAGTCAAGGATGTCTTTGTTGATCATAGCAATCATGTAGTTTTGTCTCCGCATCAGCCTATTGGCAATGTCGTGTGCGTCCATCCGCTGTTTGTCCTGGGACCTGATGTAGCCTCCCGGCTTCTTGGAGGTTGAGGTGATGGTAGGATTGGAATCCCGAAGAGCCATAAGCCGACTGACAACCTCCTGCCAGGATATAGACTGGATTTCCTGCTCGGGGATGTTGAGAAGGTGGTGATAGAAGTCATGCATGTGGTTCAATCGAGGAATGTCAATGACGTACAAGGCAGATTTCCAGATCCAAATGAAGGTGGTGAGCCACAACAAAGCATTCGGGAGAAAGCCCATGTTCCTGCCACACTGAGGGACAAGAATCTCCGACATTTTGGTGCTTCCTCGGATGTCTCGATAGTTGATACACTGAGTGAGGAAAATGGAGAAGCCGACCACGAATGCGACCGTGACAAGGTTCAGCAAGCGCATGAGTAGGATGGACCAGAAGCCGTGATAGACGTAGTAGGTGTACACTTCCAGCAGGAAATTGTCCAGGTTCGTGACGTTGACCCAGCGGAACATGGCCTTCTCCTTGGGATCTGCACTGGCAAGGTTGCCCCAAAGGGCGGCGGGAACCGCGTCAGTCCGGGGATGTTGTTGGTCACCGAGACCTGACGGTCGACGAGTCTGTGAACGAAGAGGGTGACCCGGAGACTGCCGACGACTTCCATCTCTGCGCTGAGCAATGCCGTCGGACGACGTTTGGCTGGGAGGTGGAGGGAGCGATATGGAGCCATGTTCACGGCCACCCGCGTTATGGTCAATCAGCAAAGATGCTGGAACCTCGTCATCCGCCTCTTCCACATCCAGCAGTTTGTGAGTGCCCTGACTCCATCTCGGCCGGTGTTGAATCCTGCTCTTGTCTTTTCTTGAAGCCTGACCTCTATTGGCGTCCAGTGTCGAGGCATCGAGGTGACGCGAGGGGACTTGCGGTGGAGTCAGGTTTGGATCGGGGGAGTCCAGATCTAGGTAGCCTTGGTCGGCCAGTTGACCTTCGGCCACGAGCCCGGCTCTCTCCTCGACATCAGAGCCTCCCGAGTCTTCATCATGCTCTCGGATGGTGTCATAGATGGAGGCTGAAGCATTGTTGGACCCGGTGAAGCGAGAGAAGAGGTTGGATGCCATGGAGGCACAACGTTACAGGGGTCCTGTATGCAGAAGGCGGAGAGTCAAAAGCGTCAAGAAGACTGGTTCTGTGACTGTATATGAGAATGAAACAGATAGATAGAAAGAAATAGTAGTATAAGATTCAAGTCAAGGCCATGTCGGCGTGTTTGTGCCTGCGACTGCAAGTGCAAACGCCCTTGCGCAGGCACATGACAGAGTCTCACGCGCAGGCAGAGATGCGACTTCTTCTCAACGTGAAGGGCGATGGTGAGTGAGCATTGAACAACCAGGAATATGTGCCGTTGTTATAGAGAGCGTGATAGACACGGAAGAGAACAGTTCTTGGCTCGCTGTGTAAAGTATACAATAGAGTGAGAAGGGAAACAATACAACAATAAAGACAGACGGATGTTGATGTGATTGATGCCCGCGTTCTTTGTCCCCTCAAACATTCCTCCCATTTCAGTGGTTCAGTTGTACACACGCCTAGGGAGCCTCCCGAACCCCACGATCTTCCCCCAGCCTCTTAAGCCTCCACGTCCCAGGCTCTGGTTCTGGCTACTTTTATAGTTGGAGGCATCACTCCTCCTGTTGGATCAGGCTGTAGATTGGACTAAAAGGGGTCATCTTCGGAGTGAGGCTGGCCCCCCTTAGCCCCCTGATCTAGGTATGACTTTCTCTCACTATACTAGTACTATTCCAATCTGTACATTATCATAGTCTCTCATGACCTACCAGGTTCCTACCCATTCTGTGTAGGTATACATCTATTAGTTTTCCTGTGTACCCATCCATTTCCACCTGCCAGCTAGACTATCCAAGCCGTGCCATGCATGCACCCGACCAGTCTACAAGAACAATGCAGCGACCAGAGAAACTCCAAAACATGCCACGAGCCATTGCTGATGCTGCTCGACTTTTACTCGGTGCAGCTTTTCCAGTCTGTGGCACCCGGCAGCCCACAATGCCGTGAGGAGGATCAATCTATTCAAGACGCCAGTTATCATTTTGAAGCACAACAGCGGAAAGAGGGCCATGGCGACAATACACAGAGCAATCAGATCTAGCGGGGGTTCTGTGTGCCCCGGGGGAGCCGATGCTTCTCTCAAGGAGACCAAATCGTCTTCGTCGTCCAGGAACTTGGCCTCGGGAGTTGACAAAGGATTGTGTTCTTGCAGCCATGCTCGAAATTGCTCAATGTCCGCCGGCATGGCGAGGGTGGACAGTTTCTGCACCTTCTGGCCCGATATCAGAGCTTGATCTGTCGTCCATCAGTCCCATGTCAACCACCGACCACCACTTCATCCGACAGGCACCTACAGTATTGCTCCAGTTTGATATACAGCCTGCCCAACACCTCTAACCGCCGCGCTTGCAGCTCGGACAGACCCCATTGCCAGTTGACGCGGCGCGAGGCTGGGGAGGTGCTGCCGTCAGAGCTGAGACGGTTCTCGCCATCAGCCAGGTCCAGCGCGGCGAGTTCTTCCTCCATTTCCACAATTTCATCCTGGATCTGCAGTAACACTCGAAAGTGGATCTTGCCAAACTGTCGAAACACCGGGGGAAGTGCTCCCCGTGACAAGTGATCAGCAACGAGGTCGTAGCCGGACAACCGCTCCCTCGGCACCCGGGACCCTTTGTCAGCCCGTTTTGGGGGCCATGAGAAGCGTACACGGCGCTGGCTGGGGCTGGGAGTCCTGCTGCGAGGCTCACTGATGTTGGACTGGTGAGTGGCTAGTGGTATATCGGGCCACTTCCACCGAGGTGGTCGAGTGTGGTGTGGTCTGCTTGCCAACTGTTCTTGACCGTCACTTATTTCCTGTCTGTCCTCGGGCAATGGTGGCAAATGGCTTTCAAGGGTAAGCTCGCTAGCAGGGTGACCAACGCTGTTGTCCCCCATCGAGATGCCCGAGTCAGAATGCAGACTTCTCCCCATACTTTCATTATCTGACTCTTCGTGTCCCGGCGGAGCCGCTTGTCCAAAATGGGCTGCTTTCTGGGGCTGCTGTGTGGAAGTGGACTGGTTATCGTCTTGGACAAGGAATGCAAAGACATCGATCGAGTCTTTAGACATGCTCTTTTCCCCCTTTGTCTTGTCTATACTGCCTTTCCCAGATGCCAGCTTACCATCTCGACTTTCTCGGGATCGTTTTTGGTTTGATGTCCTCCGCTTCTTGCCGGAACTTGACGAGGACTTTGTATAGGATTCTTGAGTGATGGTAGAAGCACTGTCGTTCGAACCATGCGAACCAGTGGTTATTGCAGAAAGGAGGGACAACTTGGATGAGCGGGCGCCCTTGCTAACGCCGTAGGTTTGACTGCGACGCCGGCGGCCCTGGTCTCGCACGGAGGTGAACATACAGGTAAACAGCCGTTATGAGACCTCCAGGGGCCAGTTATAGGCACCGGCATGTAGGCTTACGAGAAGAGAAGTTGTAGAGAGTGGTAGTGTTCGGGAATGAGATGATGGAGATGTTCCCTCCATCAGCGAGGCACAGATCCAAGAGTTGGAACGAAAGACAACGAAGGGCCCTTGACGTGTAGGGCGGATGGTAGTCATGAATGAACCATTGTCATCCCTTGCCACACAGCAGGAATGATCGGACCTCAAGGGTTGAAGGGGAAGTGACAGGTTCGAGAACGGAGGGGCATCAAGCAGGGGGGCACGAACCAGGCCAACAGGACCATGCAGAAAGGAGCAGTGCATGCAACGATGAGGCTGGCTCCCTTCTCCTGAGTGATACAACCAGTATATAAGGGATAGTGACAGGCTGAACGAAGGGAAACCTGCAAGACGTCCAAATGGCCAGCACAGAGTTGTAAATGGCCCAGTCAAAGAATTGCGTCCAACCTGCTTTTGTCTCTCAGCGAATCTCCAATGGGAAGACCAGGTGTTTCCTGCCCAACGACGTCCATTCCGTCCATTCAGTCGACCTCCAGTGGATTGAAGACCAAGGTTTGCCGCTGACAGTTTGCCAGCGAACGGCGTCAGGGGATCTTTGACCGCCTGGAATGCCCGTGGTCAGCTTGGTGATAGGGAGGGAAGCGTGGGATGGTGGAGGAGCCGGTCGGAGCTTCTCTGGCTTCGTTGCTGATCTGCCAGTAGGTGATGCGGAAGACAAATCCCCATGAGGAGGAAAATACCGGACGATGCAGAGATCCGCTGGAGGGAACAAACAAAAGCAAAGGACCGGCGGAATGGACAAATAGATGAAGGAGAGAGAAAAAGAATCGATTCAAGATGCGGCGGACCCATGCATCGACATCCACCGCCTCAGCGACTCAGACCAAGCCAGCGCAGCCGCTTAGGCAGGCACCTGCAGCAGTCGGCAAGCTACTGTAGCTGTCGGATAATAGTAGTTAGTGATCTGTATCAGGATTGACAGAGGTGGCAGATGTGAGAAGACGAGGAGAGGGCTTTAGAAGAAGGGAGCGCTCCAGTGCAGTTTATCCATTATTGCTTGTAGGTATACCAGTTGGTTGATGACAATACATCCTCACATATGTAGGTAGGATGTAGGTACAACTTCAAATTTCATCTCATATGTGCAACTGCCACTGCCACTGCCCCTCTCCTAAACCTGTACAACTTCATACCGCTACATACATGGATGCGTGATGCGCAACGCCTGGTAAGTGATGGACAGCCAAAAGTCCCTCCTCCCACTGCAGCAAACACTCTTTCATCCCCAGAATCTCCAGTCAGCAACGGGTTTCATCCCCCGACACAAATCAGGACGCTTCTCCTTCCATTTCTCATCCACATCATCCGGGAACTTCTCTTGCCCTCGCGGCACGAATCTCATACTGACATGACCATTTCTCATCTGCAGCGAGATGATGACGCCGAGACCGTTGAGCATCAAATCCCGGGCATGCTCCGCAGCTTTTTGCCACACTTCCACTCGGGCATCCTCGTCCATTGCGATTACTTCCTCATCTGAAGCCCATTGGTCCACGGCCAATTCGACCGAATAGGTCTGCAAAATGACGGCCAGGGTGGCCAGGACTTCGACCTGGGCGAACCTCCTCCCCAGGCAAGCGCGGTACCCGTCGCTGAAGGGCACGTACGCGCCCCTAGGAGGACGGTACATTCGGTCCGAGGTGTCGGCGGCCTCGTTGATTGCAAGGTCGTCAGTGGTGACGGTCTCCGTGGGCATTTCTTCCTTCGTTCCCGTCACCGCTGTCTGCAGTTCGCCCTCTTCGCCTAGGAGCCAGCGTTCGGGGCGGAACTCCTCGAGATCATTGTCCACGTTTGAAACAGGATGGACGGGCTTGCCACCCGGTAATGTCGGTTTGCCGGCCGGCCAGCATCTCGGGTTTCGCTGGACGCTTGATGAACAGAGGCTGATGTACGTGGCGCTGGGTACGGTACAGGGCTTGCCGTCGACCGTGATCGGTTGGTCAGGCACTCCAAAGGTCGACTTGGGTATTCCAATCACCGGTGGCACCAGCCGCAGTTCCTCCGCCAGTACAGCACCCACCATACCGCCAAACAAGGCCGGGAGATCGCGGTCATAGTCCCATTCCGAAGGAGGCCTGCCGTGGAAAATGCGATCCAGGTCTTTCTGCAGTGCTCTTTGGCTCTGGGGGTAGAGCGCCAGGTACACCAACGAAAAGTGTATCGAGTTGGCAGCCGTTTCGTGGCCAGCGAGGATCAAGACGAACATATTCCCCAGGATCTCGGAATCCGTCAGAGGCGTGTCCTTGCTCTTCCCGGAGTTAACCTGTCCTTTGACCAGTTGACCCAGTAGGTCTAATTGATCTTTGTCTTCGGCTCCCGCCTCGAGACTCTTCTTTTTGGACGCAACGGCTTCTTTCATGTAGTTGCCCCATTCGAAATAGGCCTCGTTGGCCTTCTTCACCGTCTTCGAAGGAATCTTCTCCATGAGCCAGCGTGGAATCAGAAATTGAAGCAGGATATTATCCAGCAGACAATGAATGGCATAAGTATAACTCATCGAATGGCCCGCGTCACGATCGATCTCCTGATTCTTGATCTTGGATGCGTCGACATAGTCGGCATCAACATCCGCCTTTGCTTCGGACGATGGCCACTCGAGCTTTCTGCCAAAGCCCGCTCTGCTGATGACATACAAGCTGAGCCGCATGGTATCGTCCATGACCCGGTCGACAGTCCTGTCGCCCTTCCCATCCGGCCCGACCCATGAACCCAGCATGGCGGATGCCTGATCGATACTCTCGGCCCAGACGAGGTGGTTGTTCTTCTCCGTGAACGGCGGACTAGTGGCCTTGCGATGTTGGCGCCACATTTGGCCTTCCGAAGAGACCACGTTCTTCCCATAGATGTCCAGGGAGCGATAGATGGCCGTGGGCTTGGGGAAGTCGTTCCGCCGGGTGGTGATTTGCGAAATGACCGCCGGCTCGGCCGTGTGCATCATGATGCCGCCCGGCGACACGACCAGGAAGGTATCGGCGCCGACGCGCTGGAAGACCTCGATGCTGAGCCGGTGGCCGAAGTCCGGGATGCAGAAGTCGACCCATGCTGTCCAGCTGGGCGGCAGCTTCGCCAGCAAGGGCAGCCACAGTCGATGAGTGATCAGCCATATTCGATTGATGTAGTAGACGGGCGCCTTCACGTAAGCGATCCCCGACTGTTGGGCACGAAGCAGGTTCCGCCGGAAACAGAGATAGGTGTTGACGACATAGTAGATCACAAAGGCACCGACGGCCAGCGCCAGCAACGACGGCATCGGTCTCGAAGTATCCGGTGAGAGTTTGGGTGATCTGGCGAGAAGACAGCTCAGGATATCATACTACGTTCTTTAGTATGGCAAGACATCCAAAAATCAGATCTGGGTGGATGGAAGCCAGTGAGTGTCAGCGACCATTGATTGTCCGAACAGATGCGAAACCGATCGTGTCTGAGAGGATGAATGAGGAATAGTTCACGAGTAGCACCGGGGTTAGAGGGTCGAGATACGGTAGACTTGGAGGTCCACTCGGATACTCGTTACTACTACTAGTAGGGCACAGATGATTCCTCAAGAGCTTCTTTAAGGCTTGTGGGCCATATCGAGCAGGTGTAATCATCATGATCCATCTTCTCCTTCATCATCCTCCCTCATCTATCATCATCCCCCCTGATCCTTTATCATCCTCCCTCATCCGTCCATGGCAGTGGCGAAGCAGGGATGAAGAACCGATGAATCCGTTGTAATGCCACTGGCAGTAGACGAAACAGATCCTTAGTGATTACGCGCTGTTGTGATCATGACTCTGCGAGTTCTGGTTCGTCGGAAACCCTGATCATCCTCTCTAGATAATGATAATCTCCCTCTGCAATCCAGCCAGCCCAAAACTGTGCCGCCCAATGTCGAAGCGAGAACGCGCCAAAGAATCCTCCGACAACCTCGCTTGCGAGCCGGGGTGCCCTTAGGCTAGGAGAGGCCAACGGTTCGCTCCCAATGCGTCGTTGTTGTAGGCATGGACATGGACATGGACATGCTATTCTTGGCCACTCGTTATCTTCTTATAGCTGACCTCGGGGAGGGGCATGGAAGTACACAAGATACAACACAACCAAACCCCTCCCTTTCACATGCACGTACACATACATTAATGTTGGCAAAAATCCTGGATTTCTACAGACAACACGAATCAATAAAGCGACCTGGATACTAGTCTGCTGCTTCTCAACTTCTTGATGCCCAATTTAACACCCTCTCCACGCCCAAGGGCCCTGTCCAACACCCCCATCGAGATACAAACCAAACGCAGAAAAAGGAACAACGGGAATCCTAAAGTTCATGATTGACGACCAGCAAACGACATCACCGCGGAAACCACATCCTGCGTCGGACTCTTGTTCTGGACCCCTTCTCGGTCTTTCTCATTGTCATGGTCCCTGTCACCAGGGTGGTCCCGTGCCTTTTCCCTCTCCCATCGTTGCTCCGCGTTCCATGCTTCCACCTTCTAAGCGGTCGCCGACTCTAGATGTGATCCCTGGCTTTCCGCCGCCGGCTTCTCTGTCGGAGGAGGCGCGGGGACTGGCTCGGTCACTTCTGTATGGGTGCGGGTGCCCTGAGTAGGCTCGTCTGAAGGCATCAGATTGGAACCGAGGCCGCCGGCATTGGACTGGATGGGCTCAAGATTGGGTTGCCACGAGAGCAGCTCCTGTTCGGCGTCGGCGAGGATCTGTCTGGCCTCATTGCTCTCCTCGAAGGGCTGTCGTACGTCTCCCGGCACGACGGGCGTGTCGTCGAGCAAGTTCAGCAGACGGCGACCGTATCTGGCCAGGATGACCTGTTTCTCGGCGCGCTCGACGGTCGCCGCAAAGTGCACGTCGAATGCTTCCTTGAGCTTCTGGCGGGTCTGTTGCACGGTCAAGAGTTAGCTTGGATCGCTCTGTTTCCCACCGCAGTAAAAACTAATTGGGGGTGCACTTACAATGTTGGTGAGTTGCGCTTCGGCGACCAAGTTCTGCGCCTCGGCTCGCACGAGCTCTTGCTCGAGCGTGACGATCTTCGGGCTCGAGGGCTCCTTGTACTTGAGCTTCTGGATCTCGTCGCTGATCTTGGCCTTCTGGTCTCTGCTGGGCTGGACGCTGGACTCGATGTTTCGAATCTGCTTCAAGATGGAACGGTAGTCCTCCAGGTTTTGTGCAAAGAGATCCTCCTGTTCTCCGATCTCCGACAGAATCACGCCAATCTTGTCCGAGATGTCCGAGATGGCATCGTCGCCAGTGGATTCGCCCCAGTCGGACAGCTGCGACGCAATGGACAGGCGCTCGCGGCCCGCGGTCTCGTAGGCGCCGATGGCATGGTTCTCGGTCTTGATCAGCTTGTACAGTTTCTTCGAGAGTTCGGCTTGCTGGATGCCGCGCAGCGTGGAAATGGAGAAGGTGTGTTTAGGAGCCTCTTTCATGTGCTCGTCCTTCTTGCGGGAGCGGATGGACAAGGCGCGATTCATGGTGGCTGATTCGGTGGCAGAAGGGTTATGATGTAGGCCGTGTAGGTAGTGTAGGTCAAGTCAGTGGAAGATTGAACCGACTTCTTGTGGTGTGCTGTGTTCAATTTACTCTGTAAGTTGGAGAATAAACAGGCACGAGAAAGAAGGCAGAAAGGCAGGGCTGGGGATCATTTGCATGCGATGAGTTGCGCTGCGAATGGGATGCACAGGACACGAATGACATGACGTATGTGGAGGGAGCAGCTGCTGATACAATTGATACGAGTCCGTACCTGGGTAGGTAAGGTACTGCTTGACCCATTCAGGTACCTACCCAGGTCAGGTACTGTGAGTACAGAGTTACAATACTAGTACCATGGATTCCTCCCGCCTATATATGATGTCATCAATGGCCGCCCGCATTATATTCCTCACCCAACATTCCCATCAATCATTCATTCATTGTATCGCTCGCTGTTCACAATCGAATGCCAGTGCAACCTCCCATTAAGTGATGGCCATATACATGCTGTGATGCCAGCACAGAGATTCCTCATCAAACACATCAATCATACAATGGCCCTCTCTCATGCCGCCACATATTGTCTGCTTCTTCTGCTCTCATATGTAGCAACCCGAGTCCTGCTCCCACTGCGTCTCGCATCCGAGTAATTGTGGTTGTTGTGGTTGTGGCTGTTGTCGCGATACTGCCGTTGATTCTCGAAGCTGCCCTGGCTGTAATTTGGCCGATGCGCAGACGCGGACCGCCGACCGGTTGCCTCGCCGCGCCTGTACGTGGCCACTTCGGGCCGTGAGACATATTCCCGACGGTACCGTGGTCCTTCACGTCTTCGAATGACCACTGCGTCGTCCCGTCCGCCACCGCCGAAACACATTTTCAGGCGAGAAGGGGGTAGTAGGTAGGTAAGGTAGATTGAGTATTCAATACTGCGTATCTGCTGGACGCGCCCGATGAGCTGGGAGAGGTCTTGAGCTGTTTTCCGGTCTGACAGCAGTATGAGGTGCTGGAACCAGGCGAAAAGTCTTTCTGCTCGTGGGTGGTTTAGTAGTGTATATACCTCGTATGTCGTCGGATGTAGTAGTTGTGTTGAAAGGTGGTGGAAATCTGACACTGCTTGCTTGCCCGGAAACCAAATTCGGGGAGGTCGAAGGTGGAGGAAGAATGATGGCAGTGGTCAAAGGGAAACCGGTGAATAGCTTTCGACGCCCGACATCTTCATATACTCTTCGTAGTAGACAAGCAAGATACTCTCCATGGTGAGATGGTGCATGGTTCCTTGATTGCGCCCCCCTTCGCACGCCTTATCTCTTCAACGACATCATCTCGTGGCTGGGCGAAACATGTGGGTTCTGGAATCCGGCTTCGAGAGGTCTTTTAGGCGAACTCCTCGCTTGGAGCTGTGGTTGGTTCATGCAATGGAACGGCTAAGGAACGAAGGCCTGGGTGGCTCGTAGGCATATCCTTGTAGGGGAACATGTCCGGCCTGAAGAGCCCGTAAGTCTTGAAGTCAGCAAGACAATTGGAGTTCAAGAAGATGAATGATGTTTTACCTGATGAAGGTGACCGTGTTGATCTGCCATGCTAAGGTGTACACCAGACAACATGGGCAGCATAAGTATGTAAGTACAGAGCAGCAATCAGAACAATGACACCAGGAGTCGGTAGGGCTGTTAGAAAAGTAGCAACAAGCAAGGACTGCAAGGGTATATGCAAGTTACACCCGTTCGCGACCCTGTCAGCTTCATCGTCAATCTTCTACCCACTACCTAGGTAGGTACTTGAACCTCTCCTTTCCCCGCCTCCACGTTTCGAGCCCACACTGCACATGGCGGAGGCAGCAGATTCACCTCACCGGCCTAACAGCTTGTCTCTCTACGCGTAGCCTTTCGAATTGCCCACTGTACCTCACCACATTCGGATTCCGAGCATACCTAACCAAGATGACCGCCCCAGCCTCGCCTCGCGAATCGCAGATCAGGCTCTTAGACCTCCCACCAGAGATCCGCTTGCACATCTATGCCCACCTGTTCCGATCGACCCAAGACATCAAGATCGAGCATGAACACCCCGAACGCCAGGCCGAAGACCCCGACGACGCCAGGCCGAAGACCCCGACGACGCCACGACATGGTCGATGCGACGACCCGTGGCAGCGAGAACAACACCATCAACGTCAACACCAACAACACCAGCAACAACACACAATTCGCCAGATGGACTGTCATCACAAGCCCTGCGCGTGTCCCGCCAAATCCACGACGAGGCTCTCCCCACCTTATACCAAGTGAACCGATTCAACTGCTCGGCCCGCGACGCCGTGCCGCTTCTGCTGCACAACATCGGCCGGGCCCACTTCAGCCTGATCCGCCAACTGGTCCTCGACTGGGAACAGTTGCAGGAATTCGCGTGGATGCTGGCCAAACCCGACCAGCGCGCCGCCCTGGCCGGGCTGGAGCTTGTCGAGACCGCCAGCTGGCGCATGCGCGTGCTCGGCGGCTCGTCGTTTCTGTGGCGCGACGTCAAAGCCCACGAGCGGCAGATCTGCCAGGCGGCGCTGGGGATCTGCCAGAAACATCCGCGCCTCAAGGTCGTCTTGCAGCGAACGTTCCACAGGACGCGCTGGGGGATGGGCAGCCACGCTGCTTGGGCCGCGGGCGCGGGCGCGGGCGTGGGCGCAAAAGTGCTTGCTCGGCCCTCCACCACTCATAGGATCAAGTGGCGTTTCGTGACGGACAAGGTTGCTGCGAGCTTGACTGATACCGAGATGGTCGTGGACTTGGACAGCGAACTGGCTGCGCTGAAGGCTTGACCTGGGACAGAGACTTCAATACGGTCTTGCACAGAGTGATGAATTCGACGCAGGAAAGAAAAAAAGAAGACTATACGATATGGACTAGGGCCCATTTGAACGTTTCTGGAATTTCAGATGACTATCTTCTCCGGCAAAAACCCCGCGGGCACGTCTTCAATAAACTGGCGGTCCAAACACAGAAGGTAAGACAAAAAGATACTCGTGCAAGCAAATCGTACCCGCGGAAGTAGCCGCTCAACGAGGACCCTCCACAGTCTGGGCTGGCATCGGAGCCTGAACCTGAGCCTGATTCGCGGGCGGAACAGAGCCCCCTCCCGCCGTCCTGACCTGTGCTGCACCTCCGTCGTATCGTCCGTACGGGGTGCCCACCTGCGGAAGGACACCAGGTGTGCCAGGCGTCCCGGACCCTTGCCTCTGGAACGGGTAAGGCGACTGAGCCTGCTGACCGGGATATTGTCTTGGGGCATAAAGTTGTCCATTGACGATCGGCTTCTGTGGCGAGGCTGCTCGTGGTACATTCGCCATGGAATTGTCCTGGGGACGTTGCTGGTAACCCGGTTGACCTGGCCGCTGCACGAAACCCGGAGTCTGTGCTTGGACAGGGGTGCCTCCATAGTTTCCATAGCCGTTCTGCACAGGTCGCTGGAATTGTTGGATAGTGGGACGAGATGGATATGGGTTGCCGGACTGCTGGTAGGGTGTCTGTGAGTAGGCGGGCCGTGGCACGGTCGGTGTTTGGTAAGAGCCTCTCATGCCATATCCCGCCGTTGCAGGCACAGCATTGTAATTCCGAACTTGGGTATTGTACCCGCCCGTACTCACTGGGGCTTGTCCATAGTTGGGCCGAAGCTGAGGAGTTACCGTGGGACGGCTGGCCGCCGAGGGGGCTTGCTGGGGCACCTTCTGACGACGCAATGTATGGTCCTCGACCTGACTTGTCCCTGGATAATCCGGCGGTTCGACAAGTAGGGTGGTCGAAATGTTCAGAGCTTCTAGCTGATCTCCGTCCAGTTTCGCGACGGCAAACGGTGGCAACGTCGAAACGAGGATCCTCAGTTGACTTTTGAGCACTTCAAACATGTCAATCTCGGGCTCGGTCGGTTTCGGAACGCTCCCAGATACAACCGGTTCGAGGCTGCGGTTCTTTTGGTAAGAAGCCAAGGTTTCGAGCAATTCCGACACTTGCTGCAGAAGATCGTCAACATCCTCAGGCTCCTTCTGAACGGGGAAAGCTTCCTCTTCCTGTACTGGTTCATAATTTGCCACAGCCTCTTCAAAGTTGTCCAACTTTTCTTCTTCTGCGGTGGCTGCGTCTTCGGTCGAATCTACTGAACCAGAAACCCTAAAAATCCTAGATAGCTTCTGTTCACCGTATTTGCGGTACCAATGCCGGGCTCTCTCCTTTTCAGAGTATATGGAAACTGAATTGTCGTAACAGGGTGCGAATGATGAATAAACTGAGGCGTACAATGCATCCGCGTTGACGTTACTTCGCTGTTGCACGTCATTTCCCTCAAGCGCTGCCTTGAAGTCATTCGCTACAGAAAGCTGTCGCGAGCGTTTCTGGTCATGTTGCTCCGAAGTGCCGCTACCTCCATAGCTCAACCATGACCCCGTAGGAAGTCTGGCAAACCTGTAATCTTGCGGGAATCGAGGGTCTTTTTCAATCTGGGCCCAGTATGGGATAAAGTCCAGAGTACCTCCTCGGACAGTAGTCTTGGGCGGGCGTGGGGTTTCCAAGGGTTTTAATCGACTCGACGGACGGAAGACGGTGCCAAACAGTCGCTTTTCTTGACTTTGTTGCTTCCCATCCCCTCCCAAATCCGCAAAGTCAGTCAGCTCGAACCCATTGGGCAAAGTCACCCCGTCGACCTCAGGTGTCGTATCGACGTCAACTTCCTCGGCGAGCTGACCGGTCTCAAGACCTGAATACAGTAAGTGAGCACCTCCGTTGACCTGGCTTCGTAGGGAGAGAACATGTCGGGATCGGATGCCGGGAAGGTCGGTCTTCGCTAGATCTTCGCCCTCGGGGGTTGTAGTAGCTGCCTCGGAGCCTTTGGATGCTTCATTATCGAGCATGGAAACAAGTTTCACCATGTTGGTTAGTCTGTCCGAGATGCCCGGTTTAGGTGGGCTGGAGGTTTGAGTTGTGCCGTTCGTACTTGGTTCGGATAGGTCTTTGATGATAGCGTCTTTGACAGTGTTCAAATCTTCCAGGAGCGCATGAAAGGAAGAGTATGTTCCTGCAAGAATTCGACTTTCGATCGTGTCGTTCTGCGAATCAGTCTTCGCAAGGCGCGCTCGTTTCGGATCATGGGCTTCCACAGTCGACGGTAACGGATAATTCAGCAACGAGGGTGTAGAATCATGTCTGTAAAATACATTAGCTGCAAGGAAGGAAGTGTGCACAGAGAGAAACGCACTTGCGAAGTGTTCGCAGGACTTCTTGCAGAGCGGCCTGCAAAGGTGAATCTTTTACTTTTGTTGGCGATTTTGCAGGGTCTGGAGAGACCGTGCGCTTGCGCTTCCCAAGATGCGTGGTCGACACAGAAATAGTGTCATCCTGTTGAGATACCCCATTTTCTTCGGCCATGATGCTGTCTAGAAGGAACAGCCTGGTGCGGAATGGTTGATTATATGTTTGGGGACGAAAGCAGAGGTCCAGACCGGCGTAACAACATGCAGATGAACTCTATGTCGAAAACATTGACGTGGATGCCCCCCTTCTTGTGTATAATGCGCGGGAGTCAAGGGACTTGCGCGGTTGGTAACGAGGTCGGTCGTGATGAGATCGCCGGATGCGCGATGGAGTGCAGGGAGTCTGCAAGGGCGATGTGCAGACGATATTGACCTCCCTAAGGAGAAGGCAATGCCGGAGAGGATGATACCCAAAAGGCCGGGGGCAATGCAGTAATGAGCGACGGTATGTTGAGTGAAGCTTTGCTTGTGTCTGCCACCCTCGTCAACGCGCTGGGGAATCGTAGGTCGCGACGATGGGACTGGACAATGCCGGTAGGAGATTTGGAAATGGTGGTGCACTGCAAGTCTTTTGCGGCGAGTCACCACTAAACATACTAGACATTAACGTTGATCACTTAGCACGACTAGAATGCCACTCTAGGCTAGTGCATGAGCACTAGTCGAGTTAGACTCCATCTGGCCTTGGCAGGAAGGTTCTCAGGCTCTTTCTGTCTTTGCGGCGCCTGCGCTCGAGATATGAGTAAACGTCCAAATGTCCTCCATGTCCAACTAATCGAGCTCCTTCACAGCATCCGCCAGCAGCACCTGGCTCATTTCCGCTGCATTTTTACTCACGAGGGTACATTGCTGAGCTCGTCGTATCCTCCACGCTCCCGAGTCCGCCAATACGGCCTTCACAGACCAATTGCTTCCCGATTGAAGCATCAATGGATGGTCAACGTCCAACGTGTGATCTCTACTTTTCCTGTTCCACGTCGGTATCTCGTGGCAGGGAGAAATGTGGTGAGAGTCACGGTGCTCTTGAGCTTGGTCGTCGTGTCTGACTTATCCCAGTGCGTCTTTGTGCGCCTGCCGTTGACAAAGGTGTTGCCACCGAGTACACCTGGACTCCGGCGTAACTTGTCCCAGTGCAAGTGTTTACATGAGGCCGTCACATCTGATTCTTCCACCACTTATGCTGTTACGCCCAATGAGTCTCTCCCACAGGCAAATGCAGGTGTACCTGAACCAACTCCTCTAGTCAGCAGTCAGTCCCAATCTACGCCAGCACGATCGAAAGTTGCGCCGTGGAACCCGTTCCCGGAATCACAAAATGAAGCGGAGGCTGAGCGGGAAGAGGCCTGTGTTGCTACAGAACTTGATTTTGATGCCGAAGATGACTCTGTTGACCGACATACATCCAGACAGTTGTCAACGTTCCTTCCCTCCAATGTTAGAGGTAAAAAGGTCGACCTCTCATACGTGAATCCTGTTGAGTGGGAGGAGAGCTTCATCGAAGATAAGGCATCGAATGCAGCCACATTCCGGTCGTCAACCCCTCTTCGTAAACTGGTTCTCGACTATCTCCGCAAAATTGAGCCTGCCATCCGCGACCCTTCCGTGGATTGGGACTCGGCCGAGCTTGAAGACGTCCTCGCTCAGAATCTACGGTCAACGTTCGACACAGTGTCTCTTGAGGTCCTTGCCACGACCGGCTTTGATGTTGCTGACGTTGCAAGCTGGTCATGGATCTTCTCATCCCAAACAGTCGACCTAGCGGTACAAAGGTATACACTGTTGGTTGAAGACCTGCGAAGGTCACAGAAACCAGCCATGCCCAAATTTGTCCTCCTGCAACTTCTACGAGCACACTCGATCAGCAATTTTGCGTTGAAGGAAATCATCAAAAGCATCTTGGCCGAACTGAAGACATCGCAGGAAACGAAGCAGTACTCTGGATGGGGCTGGATCACAAGGGTGTGCTTAATAGTCAGACTCCTGCGACATGCACGACGAGTTGCGCCTGACTGCCTTGGTGATATCAGCTTGATTATTGGTCATCTTTTCTCCGACTATTACGGCGCTGAGCGACCACTTGCGAGACTGGAGTCAAGTCGTCTGACCCACGTCTTCAATCGTTTTCTGACATTGATTGCCTTGACGCCTGCCAAAACGCCTTTCAATGCGTACCAACAACAGCAGAACGCGCAGCTAGCTCTTGTCCGTCTAATGGTAGCATTCGAACCACAGCTGCCGATCACACGCGAAGGTTACCGCGCTCTCATCACAGTCCAATTATTGCACCGGAAAACCAAGCATGAGCGGATATGGGCAGAGGCAAAAGCTCCGTCCTGGCCACCATGGCGACAGATCCGGTCCGGTATAGAACAAGACCTCGAATATCCCGGTAAGGAAAGCCGTGTGATGAAACTCCTGGGGCGAATGAACGAGGCTGGTTACGTCCACGGCGAATGGGAAAAGAGTGCTGCTGTGTTGGCAGGCTGGGACACGGACAAAAGCCCTACCATCCAGACTCGGTCAATTTTGACGCGGCCTTCTCGACCCTGGAAGACGTCGCCCCGGCGCACGAACGCTTCTGAGGGACCGGCTCTGTGGGCCGCTCGTATACGGGCTACAAGGAGCAGAAGGGAAGCCTGGGCATCGTTTTGTGCCTACGAGAAATCAACAGATCCATCCCGAGTACAGTATCTACCCTACTTCGCCATGCTGGAGAAGTTACTTGTCCAGACAGTTACGACAGACTCCCAATATGGAGCAGCATATACTCCCGGCGATGTCAAAGAAGTATTCGAAGACTCTGTAAACCCACGCGACTTGATCTACATTGAGAGGGACGTCCCTTCTGCAGAAGAATTCTACCAACACATGCTACGGATGGGCGTGAAGCCCGGGGGCAGTATACTCAGCGGCCTCCTGAAAAGTGCGCCGAATATTTCGGCTGGTTTCTCTTACATCCAGGACAGTAGGTGGGATGAGCTCACAAAACGAGTCCTTCGTCACGCTGGAGACTACTCGCCTACGGTAATCCGCCAGACTTTGAGCACTGTGCCGGACCATACTTTGGCCGCTCTGATTGGACTATTATCCAGACATGGGTTCGAGGATGAGCCCGAATTCAGGTCGACAGGCGAAAGCACCTTCGGCGGAAGCAATAGGCCCCGTGCCAATGAGACAACAACTCCCTTTGCCTATGCATGGGAGCTCTTGAACGTCGGACGCTCAACCAATCCCCGCTTATGGAATGCGCTCCTTGAAGGTTCTATCGCTTGCTTGATGGAGGCCCGGGGCATGGCCTTGAGGGACAACGTCGACTCTTGGACGGTTCGCGACATGAAATACGGTATCTGGTTGCGTTTGTGGATGACGTTCGGAGCATCGTCAAGACCGTGGCACATACACCCGGATCTCGAAACATTCAGACAAGCCGCACGGATTGTGTCTCTGCTGCTCAAAGATCGACGTCTCCATGTGCCGACTTCACGGTACAGTTGGTTCGCAAAGGCGATTTTCCTGCACGCCGTCTATGGTCGAAGGATCACACCTTTCCTTCCTCCGGCCACTGTTCCGCTTCTAGTCGTGCCCGAAGCCCGTGACCTCCAATTGTTGGTGCGAGTCCTGGTGTTGACCCACGATGTCGATGGTCTTGTGGCGCTAGTGCAATGGTTGAACGGACACGCCAAGGCTTTCGAGTCGTTGAACAAACACCAGGACGTCAGCAGCGACGATCTGGAACCGTCGTGGACCGGGCATCTGCCTCCCCTCCACAACATCTTGTGCGCGATTCGGCTGTTCCTTGAAGGCAGCCCACCTCGCTCTGTGGATGGTCATGATGCCATCTCGTTCGAGACTCCCCTCCGCGTGAACTCCGAGACGATTCAAGAGGCCAGACTGCATTGTGCGACCCTTGGGTGGCCGACCGATGCGGAGATTGAACTATTCCTGTCCCGCGACGGCAATTGGATTCGACGAGTTGCTCACGATGCAGAGTTGGCAGCGTCGCGACGACCGAAGCGCGATCATCAGAGTGAGAACAAGCTGTCTCAAGATGGGCCGGGGGATACAGGCGCCCACCCATACGGAATAGGAGAAAGCGATGAAACAAGTAGACGATCGCAGATTCCGAGTGATGAAAGTGTATGTTAAGATGTGGGCCGACGCAAGGCGCATTGGAAATGACACAATGTGTAAAGAAGGGCAGTCTGAGTAGACAAGAGTGTATGAAAGTTCTGTTAGCAGTCCATGAATGTCATCTTGAAAATACTTCGCAGTGAGAATACCCTATTTATCACCCGGATCCTCAGAGCAATGAATTGTGAGAAAAGCAGTCCAGACTATCACAGCAGCACATTCTAGAGTTGGGTATATACGTATAGTCAAATCATCAATAGAAGAATTAGTAGACCCTCTATAGAGAATGGTCGGTCTTGTTTCGCAATTTCCTCCCCGGAACGCGCAGCACACCACAATCATCACCGTCTCCTTCCCATACAGGATTCTGTCGATATGGGAATAGGAGCGGTGATTACGCACCCGGCAGTCCTCGACAGCACTCCTTCCAGCCTTTTCTCAGTTACCAGCCCATTCTGCATTTGTCAGAAAGAACAACCTCGGGTCATCGAGAATCGCGAATCGAGATTCAAGACTCCCGAGAGCAGAAGAGCAAGACAACCACGATATCAACTATTTCATGGCGAACTTGCTCCTGGCGCGAAGACTGGCACCGAAGTACCACAGCAGCCACATGCCGAGGACGCCGCCGCCGAGCAAGCCGCCGAGCAGACTGATGCCGCGGCCGATGCCGAGGTTGACGTAGAGCGGGTGGGCGAAGATGACGGCGCCGGCGGCCAGCGCGGAGCGACAGAGGTCGTTAGCGGCGAACAGACTGGCGGCGTAGGCCGGGTAGGTGAGGGGCAGGTACATGAAGATGCACTGGAAGACGATGAAGGCGCCGACGGCGTACAAGGTGATGCCGATGACGCTGACGATCCAGTGGATGTCGGCCTGGGCGGTCCAGCCGAACCAGAACATGCCGGCGGGCATGAGGGTGACGGCGAACAGGGCGGGGACGAGGCGGTGTTCCTGGGCGCGCAGGCCGTTCTTCTTGATGTCCGGCTCCAGGTACCAGTAGACGTAGGAGCAGTAGATGACAATGCCGATGACGCAGCCGGCCACGATGCAGGTGAAGACGATGCCGAGTTGGCCGATGTTGAAGCCGTACACGCCGAGGTAGACGAGCGGGAAGGCCTCGAAGAAGGAGTAGTAGATTCCTGTCGCGCGACCATGGTTAGCTTCGGAGGAGGAGTGGCCAGGATGATGAACGAGACCGGAGGAGAAATCCAGTGCTCAAGGTCAGATCAGAAAGAGTTCACTCACCATAGATCAGACTGGTGTAGACATTGGTGAAGAAGACTGCTGGGTCTTTGATGAAGATCTCAATCGGCTTCCATAGCTGTTCGCCGGCAATCTTGCTGAAGCTGAGGTTGCCTTGATCGATCTCGCCTTGAGACTTGAGGTTGGGATTGCCAGTGAGCTTGCGAAGACGTTGGGCGCGTCGGAGGAGGATGTTGTTGGCGCTGGTCTCGGGCATGGAGATGAACATGAGGACAAACACCGGTGCCGCGCCCCAGAGGACTTCCCAAAGGGCCCAGCGCCAGCCTTTCACCACCACACTGAAGCCGGACAAAAGAGGGCCGACGGCTGGTGCGCAGAATGCCGCTGCGACCCAGGCAGTCAATGCATAGGGAAGCTTGAGGAGTCCGTACTGTAGTTGACGTCGTCAGTAAAGGCTTCAATCCCGTTGTAGTTGACCTCCAGCATGAACCATCAAGAACGAGGGAATGGAAGAACAAATTTCACATACCATATCTCCCATGGTGGCGCCACCGGTGGCCAGACAGGGACTCCCCATGAAGCCTGTCAAGAACCGTAGGATCAAAAGCGTAGCATAGCTGTCGGCCAATGCTGTTGGGACGCAGAGGATGACGAACAGGCCAAACGAAATAACATATGGAATATTGCGCCCAATAATTGGTATCTCTGATAGGGGCGAAAAGAGCTGGTTGCATCGTCAGTTGATTCGTCCTCCTCATACGGATTCAGGCAAGCAGAGCAATACATACCATAGGTCCCGTGCCATAGCCCAGAACATACATGCTCAGACCCAATGCAGCCTTGCTCGTCCCAACCCCGAACTTCTCCATGATCTGCGGTTCCGCCGAGGTGTAGATGGCACTGGCACAGTAGACCGCGAAAGTGTACATCCATATGACTGAAGAGACCCATGCCTTTTTCCAGCTGTTCCAGTTTTGCGGATTGGCCGAGTCGTCCGTGGTATACCAATCCACAAGGATGATGCCGTCGGCCGTCCTTTGAGGAGCGATTATGCTGCTCTGTTGGCGCTCGATGGCCTCTTCTTGTTCCACTTCAAAACGTTCTCTCGAGAACGGGACGGTCCGCTCTCGGGTAATTGTTCTGGTCGTGACAACCCCGATGCGCGAACGCGCAGAGGAATGAGAGGTAGGGATGGTACTGAGTCCTCCGCCTTCAACATCGTCACGGGTCACGAAGGACTGCGGCGGCAACAGGGCGTCTGGAGTGGCAAGGCTGCCCAGATCGGCTTCGATTTCTTTCTCCTTCTCAGACAAAGAAGTATCCTCCCATGGGATCTTGAAGTTAGGATCGTCTTCGGGGAAGGCATAGACCTTATTTCGTGTGACGAACCGGAGGATCTGTCCCAAGGGAGAATCCTGGATGACGTCTGCCATTGCGTTGCCCATTGTTGCGAGTGCTTATGCTTCTAAGGCACCTATGGAGCCGGCGAGAGTATTGTAGGAGGAGGCAGCAGAATAGTGGCTTGGTTGATCAGGAGGACTTTCTGAAGGAAGGCCATGGCTTCCTTCGGGGCGTACGGAGGCATGATATATAATATGCGTCGTATTAATCACCCCTAACAGCAGTGGCTGGTCCCCGCGACATGTGGAAGTCGAGATCGGCTGCAAAGCTGTTCCACTAATTGTGTACATATACCCAATGACGACGTCGAAAGAGTGCCTCTGAGGCATCTTGGTGACATTGTTCTGCCCGTAAGGCAAGGTTCGGGGACATTCACCTTAGCAAGCACAACTGTCAGCAACACAACAAGGCCACCAAGGGCGCGCTGGGTCGAGGCTTGTCGAGTCGTTGGATGAGAATGCTCAATCAGTGCTACCAGACACGGACATGTCACGTGCCGGGGGTGGAAGGCTGATCAGTCAGGAGGTGATCAAGCTTTACCGACAGACTTGTGCAGGGGTTGCTCGTAAAGTAATCCAATTGCAGTAGTAGTTGACAAGTAGCGGCGCGAAGCAGGGGTTGTGGTTGTTGATGAATCAGTCAAGTCGGACAGATCAGTAATCGGCCTGTAAAAGCAGCAATCAGGCTTCCAGCCAGGATTGATTTGCAGTACTGTGTATGGAGGATGTCGGGGAACCAAACCAACCCCCAAGTTTCGAAAATGTCTCGTAGTCAGGATCCTCCCCGCCGTGTAGCGATCAAATGAATAGTGATCTTCACCAATGATTGATGGCCGGCGCAATCGATGGCCGAAGCAGGCAGCAAGATACGTCCGTTGACGGCCATATGTCAGCAAGGCCATACTGTGCCAAATCTTATGAATATCGTTTTAATGCCCTCAGTGACGTATCGCAGCTGTCGTAACTCGGATTCGTCACATAGTCTGATGAGTCTGAGGTTCCAGTGCAACTCCGTCAATTGGGAGCCACCCACACTGGACATAAACCTGCCACGATGGAGTCAATCCGGGCCCCCCGACGATGTGAAGCACTCAGCAAAGTGGTGTTGTCGGTGGAGCCGATTGCCATAGTGTGAAGGGCTTCGGCCTGTCCTCAGTAAAGAGATAAGGAGGTATGAACCCATTGGGAAGAACCACGACTTCGATTTCCAATCTCACGCCGTGTCGTTTGAAGAGGGGGGCCAGTTCGTTACACCTGTCGGTCATTCTCTGCTGAGCCACTACAACCTGGCTGATATCATAGACGCTATCACCGTCATCGGATATGCTGAGTGGCAGCTCCTCGTCGTCTTCTCGATAGTACTCGTAGGAGCATATCAGGTTCTTCAACTTCGGGACCCCATGTCTAGCTTTGTCCCTCACCAGGCAGGTCTCGAAGGGAAGCCAGACCCGTCGGCGGGCGTGGAACGGAGGTCGTTCGCCAAATGGAATGCCAAAGATCTTGAAGGTTTCTAGGTTGGGTGGCAACCTCCGCCAGGTGCCGTGGTCGCAGTTGGTTCGGAGCCTGACGAGATTGCCGGTGCGGACATCCAGGTCGAGCTGCTTCATCGCATGGAACGCGGTGAGATTAAGAAAGCACCCTGGGTAAGTGATGTTTTCAAACCCTTGCCGCATGTACCCCAGAGCCAAGGACAGGTGCTCGAGGGTGTTGGTGCAGTGCTCGGATAGTGCGTCCACGAACGGTTGCGGAGACACGTTACCGTGCAGGCGACTACTCCTAGCACTGAATATGCCATCGTAGCGGATTCCCTCACTGATTTTGAGCGATTTCAAGGCTCGAGGAAAGCTTAGGAGAATACCTAGAGACGGCGAGAAGATGTCGCATTCTTCGAGGTGTAAGTGTTCGAGGTTGGTTGACTTGACCAGCGTGTGGTCACCTTGGAACGGTGTAAGCAGCCTGTCGGGGAAGTCGGTACTGGCACAGGATATGGTAAGGGACCGGAGATTGGGATGCAGGAAGAGCATAGGATATCTGGTCATAGAATACATTTCTTTCTGACCGTCCACGAAGTGCAGAGTGCCTGGGATGGGTCAGTCCAGTTCGAGAACGAGCATCTCGCCGTTGGCTGGTGGGGTGGCCTACATTCTCGCAGGTTTGGAAGTACTCTATCCGCCGACTTGGGCACCACGGCTGAGGCGCTCTCGAAGATGCGCTCATATCTGTCCTGGAGACTGACCCATGCCACCCTCTCTTCCGGGAACTTGGCATTACAATCGGGGGTTTCGAGGCGTAGGATTTGAAGGTTGCGCATTTGGGCCATGTGAGGCGGCAACAGGCTCAAGCCTTCATCTTCGCCGAACTTGGTGGAGACGAGTAGAGAGCGGATCCAGGTGGCACGGCGGGGATTCGCTTGTAGACTGGCCGACAGAGCGGCGGCTTGTAAGCCATTGAGAACATGGATAGTGTGGTACAGGAAAGGTTCCGCCAGGCCGTTGAAATGTTTGCAGACTTGAACGGCATGGCGCAGGCCCGCAAGATCGAGGAAGCCGAGGATCGTGATCAGGATCTCGTCCGGCAGGTCAAGGAGGAGCAGAGAAGGGGGAGTCGGCGCAATCATGATGGACGAGTTCATCAGAAGGGCACGATTGCAGGCCCCTGTTACTGAGGTGATGAAAAGACAGGCATGTGGAAGGGTGAGATGAAGAAGGGGGGACTTGTGATAGATGGCGGATGTTTTGATGGTTGAATGATTCAACGCGACGTACAGAGAGCACAGATAGACCATCAACCTCAATCCAAGGAGCGACGATGTCATTGCAGCCCCCCATCCGCAGCGCAGCATCCACCGGGCAAACGGTGACGCCAGGCCTTAGGAGCCTCCCTAACCAACGCCTAAACCTAAGGAGCTTCCACTAAGAGAACAGTCATGCTAGGAGCCTCTAACTAACCTAACAGGACTTAGGCGGCGCCCCTCAGGCTAGGGAGCTCTGCACGTGAAATGCTTCAGGCAAGCCCCGGGCACTAGCCCCTTAGCCCCCTAGCCCCCAGCTTATAGCTTGCCTTAAGGCTGGAACATTGATTACAAGGTAAAATAGCACCGCTTGCCTTCCAATACTCTGTAATCATGACAGTGCTTCGAAATCCAACATCAAATCCGAGATATTAACCAGCAAGTATTAGACTGCCGACAAATCCAAGACGCCTTTCATTGTGCAAAGGCGCCCTCGAGCGAGAAAAAAAAGCAGGCACTGCAGGCCATTCAGAAGGCTGTACTTACGAGGCCGACATTTACTATACGGGGGCAAAATTTCTTCCCACCACTCGCCTGTTTGAGTCATCTACCACTTTCCGCGTCGACGAACAGCGAGAGTTGATTTTGGAGTGTCAGGCGGCGTCTTAACACCCGTGATTCACCTTACCACTGGCAGTGTGGACATATCGAAGAGACGAACATGTCCCTGACAGAATCGACGCCCGAGGCCGCCGCCCGAGCGGCCTCGATTGCAGCGCGGACTCTGGCCGTTCTGCCAGTGTCCGACCGCAATGAAGCGCTCACAGCGATGCACGACGCGCTGCTCGCCAACAAACAAGCCATCTTAGCCGCCAACGCGCGAGACATGACTCTGGCCACGCAGGCCTCGCAGTCCGGGCACCTCAGCCAGAGCGTGCTGAAACGGTTGGACCTGTCGCGCCCCGGAAAATACGACGACATGCTGTCCGGGATTCTGGATGTGCGCCGGCTCGACGACCCGATCGGCAAAATTGACTTACGCACGCGACTGGACGACGGGCTGGAGCTGGAGCGGGTGTCGTGCCCGATCGGCGTGCTGCTGATCATCTTCGAGGCGCGGCCGGAGGTGATTGCCAACATCGCCGCGCTGGCCATCAAGTCCGGCAACGCGGCGATCTTGAAAGGCGGGAAGGAAAGTTCGAACTCATTCGAGACCATTGCGACCGTCATCGGCACCGCGCTTGAGGCTACAAAGGTCCCCAACGCCGCCGTCCAGCTCGTCAAGACGAGAGACGTTATCGACCAGCTGCTCGGCCTGGACCGCTATATCGACCTCGTCATCCCCCGTGGCGGGAACGAGCTGGTCCGCTATGTCAAGGACCACACCAAGATCCCGGTTCTCGGCCACGCGGACGGCCTGTGCAGTGTCTACCTGCATCGCGACGCCGATAGGGATGTCGCTGTGAAAGTCGTTGTTGATGCCAAATGCGATTACCCGGCGGCATGCAACGCCGCGGAGACGTTGCTGGTGCATGAGGATGTCTTGAGGACGGTGTTGCCTGCTGTAGCGGAGGCTTTGTTGGCCAAGGGAGTTTCATTGCGCTGTGATGAGAAGAGTAAAGCCGCTCTTAAGGAGTCGTTGGCTCCCTCGTCCGCGGTACTCGTGCAGGATGCCACCGAGGAGGACTTCAACACCGAGTTTCTGGATCTTGTTATGGCCGTCAAGACTGTCCCGGGGTATCCCTCTGCCTCTCAGTCCACGACCAACGGCGATTCGGGATCGGTCAGCGGAGACGACACGTCACTCGAGCTGGCCATTGCGCATATCAATACCCATGGCTCCAAGCACACCGATTGCATCGTCACCGCTTCCTCCGCGGCCGCTGAAAAGTTCATGTCTGCCGTCGACTCGGCTGGCGTGTATTGGAACGCCTCGACTCGCTTTGCAGACGGGATGCGGTACGGATTCGGTACCGAAGTCGGCATCAGTACCAACAAGATCCATTCTAGGGGGCCTGTAGGCCTTGAAGGGCTTACAATCTACAAGTACAAGCTCAGAGGGCACGGACAGACAGCCGCCGAGTATGGTGAGGGGAAGGGCAAACGGAGATACAAACACGAGAAGCTTGCTCCTTGACATGCTTCCATGCGATGAGCCTTGTAACGAAGCGGTCGGTAGCATTATGATGCTTGGAGTCTGGTGGGCTGTAGATATCAAGACTAAAAACGTCGAACTTTGGAGTTCAGAATGAATGAGGGATAACAAAATACAGCATTCCAGATACGCGAAAAGTTGATGACAGCAATGGATAAAAAGGCGAATCCAGCTACGGGAAATGGAGCGGTTCTTTTTGAATCAACATTGAAATTTTGGCCTTCGTCTCAGAATTCTTGATTGATCGTAACCATGCAGACCTCGAAGACCAGGTCACCTCACACGATCGGGTTCATTTCGAGGAGGTGAGTGACACACGAGCCGAATGCTTTTCCTCTTTTGCATCTCCTAGAGAGAAAAAATCCTTCGTAGTCGCCCTGCCGTCTTCGCGCTCAAGCCGTGCGCCAGTCGCTGCACTACACAAGCCAGTTTGGAACCACACCGTCTTTTGGCTAATCACACCACCTCGCTCCTCACTAGAAAGGTCGAGAGTAAGATGATAACAACCACCACATCCACCCATTTACACCTTGAAACCCTTGGACCGTCTTCGGCCTCTGGCGCGCTCGAATTTGCGACCCTTGCTCTCGACGTAGGGCTTCTTGTGACTGTGGGGTCCGAAACCGAAGTGCTTGACGGCCTCACGGGCGTTCTTGGGTCCTCGCAGCAGCACGACGTTGCTTCCGGTAGGGTGTCTCAGGGCCAATTGGTCGAAGGTCAAGCACTCACCGCCGGCCTTCTCGATCCGGGCGCGGGCAGTCGCTGTGAATCGCAGGGCAGCAATGTGCAGTTCGGGGACAGTCAACAGACGGTTGTCGTCGGTCACGGTGCCAACCACAGCGATGGTCTTGTCCTTGTACGCCTTTTCTGCCGAGGGGGTCGCTACTTTGCTGACGATGCGCGAGATCGACATGGGGGGGCGGTTGATGCGGGACATAAACAGGCGCTTGAGCACCACCTTGTTGAAGTTGGCATCGGTTCGGCCTGTTTCAGGTAAAATTCAATTGTCAGCCAACAAGTCCTCTGCTTTTCTCTCTGGCCGTTCTCCTTCGCAAATAGCCTGCGCTGCTGAGATTGTTGGTTGTCAACGTACGGGCAAGGAAGCGATACAGCTTCACCAAGAGCTTGAGGTAGACATTGTCGCTCTTGGGCGCCTTGCGGTGGCTAGCCTTGACGTGATGGCGATCGAGGTCGATACCTGGTCGACAAGAGTCAGTGACACTGCAACGGCAGTCTGTAGAAGAGCAGTCCCCGTACCCATGATCGCTGTTGTCGCTGGTGGTGGCTGTTTGAAATTGATTGAACGTCGTCAACGACACACCGCACCTGAAATTTAGAGACGAAAAGCCACGAAGTCGTGCGCTTGCCAAGATTTGTGATACGCTAAACCGGTTTCGAGGGGCCGCTTGGCCAGGTACCACGTGACTGCCTAGCGGCAACGTTGGAAAAGGAACCTTGGCTTATCTTATCAAGCACGTGGGATCGGCAGCCTTGAAATTGAACGAGATGTACGTACCTTAGGTACGGTTAGCCATGTTTCCAGCAACGCTTTCACTTCTTGTTTATCGGATGGTGCCGTGGACTCGTATGTCTTCCGAACAGGAAGCCGGTACGGTGGGAGCAATGAACGCAGTACTAGAAATTGGGTTTATCTGAAAATGCTCAATGGTTGATGCCTGCAGCGCCTTGCTACTACTAATCAAAGTGCCCCCTTCCGTCGTTCTAGTCTTGTCGCGGTGACCCTCGACTCCATGAATGCCCGGATGCCCTATTTATCAGGCAAGTATTTAGTAGCCGTGTGAGCACAATGGTCCGACCCGGCTGAGGGACGCCGTTTCTGCATGATCATAGTCTACTGGCCCCAATTCTGCGAAAGATCCTCCTCCTCTCTTTGGAGACTCACGGTCGAATGGTAAAGTTTCAGAGGGTGACATCGTCGGGGCTGTCAGCATTTGCTGACTTGCGTACCTGTGTCTCATTTTCATAACTGTTCCATCACAGGGGATCTTCCTTCTCGGGAGCTAGAGCAACCAAATAGTCTCTAGCAATCTCAAAGCTCAACCAGCTGCTTGCCATGCTGGGAGCCACTTTGAGTAAGTTGGGCATAATCCCTTTATAAAGACCTGCGACGCCCTCTTGGGTGACGATAGTCCTGATCGCATCCCACAGTGATTTGTATCTGTAACCCATGCCGGACATCGAGTTGATCTGGAAACGTCGACGAAGCACATCGAACGGATATGTGAAAGTCTGAGCCACCGCTCCAGATATGGCTCCGGCAGCTAGTTTGCTGTACCAAGCAGGGTTCTTCTCCCCAGGCTCTGTGAAATAGGTCCTGATCGATTCATAGACCATGAAATTGAGTCCAACGTAGGGTGCCACACCTGCTACAGTTGGTATGATGCCGCGGTAAAGACCAAAGACGCCTCCTTCATTTTTGTACATTGTGACCATGGTCTGCCACATGCCTGGGAGTTTGCCCTCTTGCTTTTCCAGCGCAGCAAATGATGCTGACTGTATTGACAAACGCGTGCGCACGATATCAAGGGGGTAGGTGAAGACAACGGATGTTATCCCAGCCAAACCACCGCATAAGAGCCGACGGATGGGGTCAAGGTCGGCGCCTGGTGATGGTTCCGCGAAGCGTTTGTAGATGCTGTAGCTGCCAAATTGGACAGCAGAATAGGGGACAATGCGTACGCAATTTGTGCCATTTCCCCTCATGAATCCTCTCCAGCCCTCATCTCTGTACATCTTCCTAAGAGCCTTGGCAATAGACATCTTGTATTCATTGCGACCTGCGTCTTGCACTTGGTATAGAATCTTTAATCGTTCCAATGGTGATACAACGGTTCGGGATACAGCGCCTGCGATGCCTCCCGCTATGAATGCGGCTGTGAACGGCGTGGAAACAAATTCTCGCATCTGGAGGACGAAATCGCTGGTGGCCATAGTTGCAGGGTTCTACGCTTGTCAGAAGATGACTGTACATGCCTTTGAGCAAACTCACCTCTGGCAAGCTCGTCAACTCGCGGAGCGAAGTCGAACTTTGCCCATTGTTACCGTTGGCCGTCACAGAATCCTTCTCTCCAAGACGCATGATTGCGATGCGCACTTTGCGCCAATCCCTGCGGATCAAGGCACGAAGCCGATTGTAACGATCTCGAGGTAGCCAGTAGCGAGTGTAAGGGTGTGACAGCAATTGCTTTCCCGGTGCTGAAAGATAATTCGGTGTCCATAGAAAATCTCAGGATTGGTGTTTGCAAGACAGCATAGTGTATGGTATGATATTCTTTCGGCAGTCAACGCTGCAAAAATCTTCCTAAGGTGTGTCGCCCCAATGTATTTCAGCTTCTATGTTATCCAGCTACACCGGTAGATTCAACGGAGGGTGGAATATGTGATGGTCGACTCGGACGAGAGGATGGCGCAGCACAGGGGGAAAACAGGGCAAGTAGATGTAAGGTGGAACGGTAAAACTGCGGTTGTGGATTTTGTCACCAACACCTCAGAGTCAGGCGTATGGGGAATTCAAGTGATATAAGTGAGTCTCAGGTGTGAGAGGTTCCTTGTTGCACCCGATCCTTTTCATCTGAGACTTGCGCTTCACTGCCACTTATCACACGAGCAACGACTGGCTCCCTGAGTCGACGGCCCGCCAAGCCCCTATCTAGTTTTGGATTAGCTCCATTTTTGCGCTGGGTCAGGGCGCACCTGCGGTTACCTACTACCAGTAACCTACCTAACCATCTCTGGGAGAACGAACGCCTTCTCTTTTTCCCACTGCTACTTGCTGCCTCTTCTATCATCCATCAGCTTCGATTCCGCCAACCCCAGATTGCAATATCCGTCATTTGCAGCATTGCCGGACGACCGTTCTGTGTCCAAGGCATCTTTGTGCACGACTGACTCTCTGCCGCATTATCTGAACCATTCTGCTCGCTGCGACCTGACCTCGAAACGATCATGTCTTCTCGCTCTGGAACCACCCTCTATGTCACCGGCTTTGGTCACGGTACTCGCGCTCGTGACCTCGCCTACGAGTTTGAGCACTATGGGCGGCTGGTAAGATGCGACATTCCAGCTCCTAGGACCGCCTCTAGCCGACTGTAAGTTGCAGCTTCTTTGTGCGCGATTGCATGGTGAGCTGACGAAGTGGTGCAGCTTTGCCTTTGTGGAGTACGAAAGCCGCCGAGATGCTGACGACGCCTACCATGAAATGCATAACAAGCGGATCGGAAGGGATGATGTTCTGAAAATCGAGGTAGGAACATTCTCACGTATCTAATTCTGTTCGCGGCTTACCATATTATCTAGTGGGCTCGTACTCCTCCGTCTGCTACCTGGCGCTACGAAGCTGGTCGTGGAGGCCGTGAACGTCGTGACCGCACTCCTCCTCGTCGAAGCTACCGTTCCCCGTCACCCCGCCGCCGTGAATACTCTCCTCGCAAGGATGATCGCCGTGACCGCGACCGTGATCGCGAACGCGAACGCGACCGCGATTACGATGACCGACGCCGCTCTCGCAGTCCCGCCGATCGTGATCGTGACCGTGACATGAAGGACGACCGAGACCGACGTGATGATGACCGCGAAGCAGCCACAAATGGCGACGACCGGAAAGGTACGATGGACATGGACACCGATGCTGCCTGGAATTGAAGCTGACACCCGCATCAGCCCTGGACTCGCCGCCCCCCGCCCACGATGAGCTCGATACTGCAGAGTGATGGCAAACAGGCTTTACTGCGGATCGCTGCCGCGGCATCAAAAGCAAAAGTGAAGACTTTTCGAGGCACAGGAAGTGATAGGTTTTCCTTTATTTCTGCTCTTGACAGTGTTGCTATGGTCTTTTGACAGCAAATTATGACCCGAAGTGCTCAGGGAGCAGATGCTGGTGGCTGAGTGACCTAACATGAGGTTAGAACCGATCTCGAGCTCTCGGTACAGGCACGATCCTGTAGAGCACGCGGGTTTCCAGATCAACCATTACTTCGATAGCGTAATCGATCGAACCTTCGATGCGAACGATCCGACGATATCTGAACAACTGTGCCGCCGATCCTCGCTGCTTCCGTTCCCTTCGACACGACTTGACTCTCAGACATCGTTTCTCCTCGTCCAGTTTTATCCCTTTTCTCACACCGAAATCGAAACGTTGCCGTCCGGTCCATCTACCACATCCGCTCGATCCGCCCTCGCGACCCTTCGTTTTCGAGCCTCTAGCGCTACGATCCTGCCGCCTTCGTCGTTCCCATCCTCCATCGCGCTTTTACTACCGTTCTCACCAAGATCATATTTTCTTTTCCACTCTCTCCGTCTTCATCCTTACCTGATGCCACGTCCTTTCGCCGCAACTGTCCCGCAGCTGCAAGCCCTCAGATGTTGGAGCGGCATCGCAACTGTAAGTCATGCAGCAGCCTGGTAGGTTCACTGATTTTCGTACGTCGTCCCGGATATTGTGGGCACGTATTCAACGTCGAATACAACTACCTATGAATTACCATTCTCTGCCAGTACTATGTGCTCACCTCCTATAATCCAGTCAATTTCATAAATCGTTGCGGTATAGTAGACCACGTTTCATTGGAATGAATGAGCAACCTTTGGCTGGTGTTGAATGGTGTGCGTCCCAGTGTTTGCGCCTTTCTCTGCGATAATGCTAGTTGAGAACCCAACCACAAAATATCCTCGATACGCCTACACTTTCGGGCTCAGTGCTGCAGCCTCGCCCGCCTTCTTCACTGACAACCTATTGCAATTTTTGTTGACTCAAGACCCACGTCAGTAGGTCGACCTTGGTCACCACGGCGACTGGTTTCAATACCGGCCCGTTGGAATTGCCTGTAGTCTCGCTGGGATCTCGTTCAGTGACGACAGCTGCACTTTGCCATTCCAGGAACTTGTTGAGAGCACTCAGGGGAGTGTCAACGGTTATCTCGACGAATTCCCTCCTCTTTGGGCGCCGTTGCGGGCGCGACTTGGTCTCTTCACCGCTATCCTTCTCTGACAATTCACTGGAGAAGAGAGTCTCCGACTGAGCTACGATGTCGCTGATATCTCGGGGGTCAACCGTCACTTCCGGGATTTTGCTAAAGTCGAACATGACATCCGAGACCGGAGAGTTTGGAGTGGCCCGCCCGTGGCTTATCCGTGACAGAAGGTTGCCCAGCGTGACCAGACCGACAAGCCGGCGGCCTTTAGGTGCTAGGACGGGTAATTGATCGAAGCCCTTCTCGCGCATTACTTCGATGGCAGCGGCGCAAGGAGAATCGGCAGTCACAGTCTGGACAGGCTTGAGACGTAACGAACGCACGGTTGCGCCAGCAAAGGGGTCATTCCGCTTCTCATTCTCTTGCTGGGGCGACGCTGGCTCGGGAGGTGGGGTGGGTGGGAGGAGGTTGTTGGCTGCCAGCCAGTCGTCGTCGACGAATTTGGACAGATACGACCTGATACTGTCAGGAAGTATGACCACGATAACATCGTCCTTGCCGAGTTTCAAGTCTCGTGCTGCTTTGACCGCGGCAGCGACCGCCGAACCGCTGCTCCCTCCGACCAAAAGCCCCTCCTCTGCAATCAGACGGCGGGCGTAGTGAAAGGACTCCCTATCGTCTGTCTTGTACCACTTGTCCACGACATTCCGGTCCAGTACGTCGGGGATGAAGTCGTAGCCGATTCCTTCGACCTTATATGGCTCATTCGCGTGTTCCTCATTCAGCTGGGGAGGCAAAGCAAGGATTGACCCTTGAGGGTCTGCGGCAATGATCTTGACGTCTTTTTTATGTTTGTGTAAGCCTCTTGCCAGGCCAGTGATGGTTCCTCCGGTTCCAGCTCCGGCAACGATGGCGGTAATCGTCCCCTTGGTCTGCTCCCATATCTCCTCGGCTGTTCCCAGTTCATGTGCCAGTGGATTGTCCGGATTGCCGTATTGATCGAGGATATGAGCATTGGGTATCTCCTTTTCCAGTCTTTTTGCAACACCGATATGCGACTCTGGACTATCGTACGCTGCCTGGGTCGGCGTGCGGATAATGGTGGCGTTCAACGCTTTCAGGACGGCAACTTTCTCTGCCGACATCTTCTCGGGCAGGGTGATAATGGTCTTGTAACCTTTCACTGCAGCAACCAGGGCCAGGCCTATGCCACTTAACGTGCATGTTAGTACTACTGTCTCTGCTGGCGCGTGCTACCCCGTAGGATGCGACTTACGTGTTGCCGCTCGTAGGCTCAATCAACGTATCACCGGGCTTTATGCGGCCCGACTTCTCTGCTTCCTCGATCATGCGTAGGGCGATCCTGTCCTTGACGCTTCCACCGGCGTTAAAGAACTCGCATTTTCCGTATATCGTCGCTTCGATGCCAAGGGACTGAGGGATCTTTTGCAGCCGAACGAGGGGTGTTTGCCCGATAAGTTCCAAGACTGACTCGTGGGTGCCGGTGGCCTGGAGGCGACCATTGACAGAGGTCATCTTTCTTGGGTTCGACGCAGGCGATATTACGGGAAGGACTGTGGTTTTTTTCTCAATACTGTACTGTGCGATATGTAATAAACTGAAGGAAGATTCTTAAAGCGAGTCGAAAACAGAGTTACTACCAAGACCCAAGACAGCATTCCGACAAGCAATGGCGTGAACATTCGCAACCCAAAGATTTGCCCACGCCGACGATAACCGAAAGGTGGCGCGCAGTCTGTAATCCGCCGTAGTAAATGACGTTTTAACTCATAGAGGGAATGCGCTGCCGTAGCCTCGATTCTTCTCGCAACCACCTTCAGGTTGTGTCTTGCTCTGATGCTACCACCACCAAGTCGTGGAGTGGCCGTATCTCTCTGCATACCTAGGTAGGTACGAAGGTTGCTGTCAACAAGAGGAGCTTTGCCCGTACTGCTTACACAGCTAGGCGCTGACCACTGACGACCTATCAGCCTCACACAAGGTACCTTAGGTCCTAGTAGGTGCCCTACCGGAGATATCTACCTATAGCTTGTCCTTCCTCGTATTATGTGTGCAACTCACCTTCAGAATTGATATACACTATCTATGGCGAGGCCAAGTGTGTATACTCGAGGTACAACACCTCTCGGTTTTATCTTCTGGTTGAAAAGGCCGGATCTGAAGCCTCTTATCTCCCCATGGATCGACGTGGGTCTCCTCGGTCAAGCATCCGGCGAGCCGGAGCGGACGCACCTCGGCTGCTCCCTGAGAGATGAACAAGGCCGTCGTCAGATAAGCTGAGGACTGCAGCAGCCTCAACCCTCCATTCCAAGACCTACCACTACTCTGTTCTTTTCTAGATGCTGACTGGATCAACGGCCACGCCTGAGAGCCTGTGACCAACACGATGGGAAGCGACAATGGCGAACCGGAACTGCTCTGGCAGCCTCCCAAAGGCAAGACGATGCCCATGGATAAGTATCGGTTACACGTAAATGAAAAGTACAGGCAAGACTTGAAAGACACAAAAGACCTGCAAAGATGGTCTGTTACTCAGCCTCATGATTTCTGGATCGATTTATACGGATATCTGGAGCTCGCTCCCCCATTACCGAGAACGTTGAAGCACGCATACGATGATACCGTCCCAATGAGCAGCGTCCCACCATTTTTCCTTGGGCATGATATCAACTATGCCGAAAACATACTCTTTGCTAACGACAACCCGAATGCCGTTGCGTTGATCGGGATAAGGGAAGGGCAGGACATTTACAACGATAAGGCGGAGGTCGTTACGTGGGCCGAATTCCGAGAAAAGGCCCGGCAGGTTGCCAGCGCTCTCCGACGATGTGGTATCAAGAAGGGCGACCGCGTCGGCGCCCTGGTGGCGACGTCCAGCTGGGCTGTCATCCTCTTCCACGCCGCAGCCTCCATCGGAGCAATCTTCACCTCCATCAGCCCCGAGCTAGGGGTGGACGGGTGTGTCTCGCGACTGAAGCAGGTCACACCAAGTATACTTTTCGTCGACAGCGATGTCGTATATAAAGGCAAGACAGTTTCAACGGCGCAGAAGCTCGATGATATACTCCTCAGGCTCGAAGGATCCATCCGACCCCAGGTCATTGTCATACCTGTCACACCCAAGCAATCCAAGTTCCCGAGCATCCACGACTTCCTCCAGAAATCGAACCCGACCGATGAGCTTACCTTCACCCGTGTCCCCTTCAACTACCCTCTCATGATCTGTTACTCTTCTGGGACGACAGGAGTGCCGAAATGCATAGTCCACCGGCACGGCCTGATCATGCAAGTCAAGAAGATCTCGGTCCTTCACAATTCCTTGGGACCCGGGGATGTCATCATGCAATATTCCAGTACTTCCTGGGTTGTCTTCTATATCATGTGCGGTCATCTGTCGGCCGGTGCGACGCTGGTGGTATACAATGGCAGTCCCCTATTCCCGGACGCGAAGCAGCTTCTCCGGATATGCGAGAGGTACAAAGTGGCGTTCCTAGGCGCATCACCCCGGCTGTTTCTGGAAATCGAAATGTCCAAAACAATCCCCAAGAGAGAATTTGACCTGTCAGCCTTGAGGACGGTCTACACCACAGGCGCACCGTTGTCAGTTGAACAATACAAATGGTTCTACCGTGTATTTCCGTCTGCAGTCGAGATCTGCAACGCAGCAGGGGGGACTGACACAGCCACGTCCCTCCTCTCTCTGGATCCATGCGGGCCCGTCTACGCAGGTGAGATGCAGGTTCCAGCTCTAGGCATGGACGTCGACATTCTCGATCCCGTCACTGGTGAGTCGATCGCACACACGGGAGAGGCTGGCGAGATGGTGGTGCGCAAGCCGTTCCCCAGCATGCCCTGCTTCTTCTGGGGCGATACAGACGGCAAAATCTACAAAGCCGCGTACTTTGAGCGGTTCGACAATGTCGACGTCTGGGCCCAGCATGACTGGCTGAGCAAAAACCCGAGGACGGGAGGGTACACGATGCACGGTAGGAGTGATGGCGTTCTAAGTAAGTTATTCTTCAACCCAATGGAAATTGTCGGATGTGTCTTGTTTTGCTGATATGAAAAACGAGCAGATCCTTCGGGCATCCGCTTCGGGAGCGGCGAGATCTACGCGATTGTCGAAACGCATCCTTTCACGGAGTATATCAGCAACAGTCTGTGCGTGGGTCGGCGAAGACCACAGGACTCGGACGAGCAGGTGTTTCTCTTCCTGGTCATGAAGCCGGGTTACAGCCTGACCCGAGAACTGCGAGCACAAATCAAATCGGCGATCCGCAATGGGCTGTCTCCTCGGCATGTCCCCAAGTTTGTGCTCGCTGTGCCTGATATCCCGGTGACAATCAATGGAAAGAAAGTCGAGATTGCTGTCAAGAGTGTGATCAGTGGGAAGGATGTGACGCCGAGCGCTACAGTGCAGAATCCAGACACTATTGCTTGGTTCAAACGGTTCCGGCTTTTAGAGAGCGAGCCGGCAGATGCCAGGCTCTAGTCTTCCACACACAGGAGCGGGTGAATGGGTGGGATGAGGAGGGCCTCATGGTGGTCAATAGACTGAATGCGGGCGCCATAGAGAGTGACATATCAAAGAAATTATATTGCCTGCGGCCCCTGCTGCTAGGTCATACATTCGTTTCGAGGACTTCATGCGTGACGGTGACGGATTTGTCTCTTGCGGAAAGCTTGTTCGCCTGGTAAGTTGGTGTTGGTTCGAGATGCCACCCAGTCTGCTCTGCTCAAAAGGATGTGGGATCAATACAGGCCATCAGGAGAAATGGACTTGACATGGACACACTGCAGTCTACCTAGGTAGATACTAAAGTACCTATGTAGATAGACGGCAATTTCCTGCAAAACCAAAGCTCACGGATTGTCGTGCCCAACTTGAACTTTGCAACCTCTTGAATGTACCTCAGCCTCGTCTTGATGCCGCGGATAAATAATTTATACCTTGATTTTAGCACCTACTAATAATCTCTGGGCTCGCGCAGGAGATGCTGGTACCTGAGATAACCGAGAGCTGGGGACGCTTGCGGAAGATTTGCGGCTTGGCCCAGGGGTTCTAGGCGCCTCCTTAACCTCATCAGCCTGATGCTCCAGCCTATAGTGAGCCTCCTGGGGCTTAGGACTCCCTAGGCTGCCCTAAGCCCTGCTCGCCCTCTAGGCTTTCCATGCTGGCGCTCCGATCCTCCCGCATCTAAGATACCCACCGGCCTTTCACCTACCACCTTTCTTTCACCTTCGTGTTGCCAATATGAAAAGTACACGCTCTTCTACCTTCAATGTTCCTTCGAACCCAGACGCCACAGACCGTTCTCTTCCTGCTGCTCGGACCTCGATGACCATATTGCAACACTCGAAATGCACAGTCATTTACAGCTAGCCTCAGTCTTACAGTCGGAAGGTCCTCGCTGTGGCTATGGAGCCGCTGATAGAGCCGTCAGGTCGTGATGAGGAGGAAGCTTCCATCGGCCACGATGAAGAATACCAGCTTCTTCCTATGAGTGTGCGCAGAGATCGCGCCCCTTACAACCTTCGAGTGGATAACGACGATGAAGCGCCGTTGCTGCCAGATTTCATGCGCGCGATCCTCCCTCGGGCTCTGCAGAATATCCTCCAGGCCGTGAATCGGTGGGTGCGAGGACCTCGTCGCCCTGAGAAACAGCATATTACGCCACTCCCATTGACGCCGCCGCCATGGTTACAGGACAAGCTGAGCATCAAGCGGCAGGTTGTTTTTGTGACTGCGACGTTTCTGGCATGGGCTATCTTCTTTTTCACTGTGGTGTGGCGATGGTCTCTACTGCCTGACCTCCCCGGCTACGGCCAGCCTCGTTCGATCCGGTGTATGCAACAAGCTTGGTGCGTTCTGCCCTCGCCATTTCCTGCCGGAATGCTCCTTCAGTGCTGACCAGGGCCAGGTCAATCAACGACAACTGCGGTCTTGACGGGATAGACTGCCGTCCCTTTGCCAACATAACTTTTGCGTTTCAATGCTCCCCTGGCTGTGCGACCCAACAAGTCTGGAACCCTCATACAGTGGGTGACCAAGAACTTGTCTACCAGCAGATGGTTGTCGGAGGCGGCTCACTTGAGTCTTCGTCTTCATTGATCTACCGCGCCGACTCAAGCATCTGCCAGGCGGCGATTCATGCAGGCGTGCTTACCGAAAGTCGCGGAGGCCCTGTCGTCCTGAGACTAGTAGGTGAGCACACTGGGTTCCAAGCTGTCGACCGTAATGGAATTCATTCTGTTGGCTTTGATGCCGGCTTCCCCAAGGCTTTTGCATTTGTATCCTTGGGCAGCACCGAAACACGAGGATTCGACATTCGTTGGCCAATGCTCTTCTTCTCAGTGCTCATTACGACTCTCATCTCCATCTTCACAAGATCTACTGCTGCCTTCTTCACGCCAATATTTACAATATTGTTCATGCACGTTAGCTTTGTCTCGGACAGGCCGGAATTACCCTCCCTTCCAGAATTGTTGTCTGTCTCCGCGGAACGATTCTTACCAGCATCGTGCGCTGCATTCTTGATCTATTTGCTCTGTGTTCGTCGGCAATTGTCGGACCTGACCTCTCAAGCCGACAAGACCGTTCTGTGGCTAGGAGCGGCATGGTTTGGGGCGCTCGAAAACTACACCCTGGATCACCTCCCGATTCGACGACTTACTCCGAGCGATCTACGTTCACAGCCAGGCGCTGTCCTTGCACTTACAACTATAGTGGTCCTCATCTTGTTCATCGCCATTGGCCAGATATATTACCTCCGCCGTGAGGGTCGTCTCATCCGATACCTAAAAGTGTACGCCCTTCTTGCTGGCATCCTGATCGGTGCTGCGGCCATTCCATCCGTTCGCTTACGCATTCATCACTACATTTTGGCTCTGCTACTGCTCCCTGGAACAGCTATTCAGACACGACCCAGCCTGCTATACCAAGGCCTTCTCGTGGGACTTTTCATCAATGGAGTCGCACGCTGGGGATTCGCATCAATCTTACAAACGGACGCCGCACTCCGTGATGCCGATGGACCCTATGGATCTCCTTTTCCGAATGTCACAGCGGTCGTGACTTCAGCCTCGGCCGTGGATTTTCATTGGACTTGGCCCCCAGAACCATACCAAGGACTGAGCGTGCTGGTCAACGACGTGGAGCGATACAGGTGGTCCACCGATACTGCCGAACTGAATTACACCTGGACCAATAGTCCCGCACGACACAGTAGAAGCTATTTTCGCTTCGCGTATGTGAGCGATGGCCATGCTGTCGATTATACTAGAGCTGGAATCTGGGAGTTGGATGGCACGTGGAACACAACTCTCTGGGATCTTTGATAGCATTATTATCTGGCTGTCGGATCTACGTGCACGTCCAATGTCGCGGAGACCTGGCTTGCGAACAGCCGCCGGAATCGACATATGATGGCCTGGCGTCTCAAAGTTCCTGGCAGAACTCATCCGAGATTGAGGCGACTTGGTCACCTGTCAATTTGAATACCCGTCCACGACAGCTAGCACATCTCCAGAGCATTCACAACGCGGAGCTACAGGAATAGCCATCTCAATTATATAACAAAAATTACTTTACTAGACAATGTCAGTCCAGAAGTCCAATCGAGCCTTGGGTCTAGCCATGGTGTGATTGATCCACGTGATTCTCCATATCGATCGATGGCGTGCCTCGCTGACAGACTCGCGATAGCCTCGGAATCACGTCTTCTCACTAGCACCGCTTTCTTGCCAGCCAACAAGCCACTCCTCCCAAACAGGCTTGTCAGAAAAGACATATCTCAAGTGAATGGAAGAACCATTGCACCGCACCATTCTAGTAGGCCGCAACCATGGCCAGTTCTTTCCGGACTTTGCCCATCATCGACTTCCAAGCTCTTCAGGACGAAGAACAGCGCTCTGAAGCGCTTCGAGATCTAAAGCATGCCCTATTCAGCGTGGGATTTTTGTACCTTGCGAACACCGGACTGGAGGTAGGTTTCGACAAATCTAGGCAAAGCTACGTGCCACCAACATGTTACATGTAGGGTTTAATCAAGGAGACGCACGAAGCACTACCGGCCATCTTCGAATTGCCCGACCACGTCAAAGAAGAATGCAACATGATCAACTCGCCTTCTTTCCTTGGTTATACAGCCCTGGGCGCTGAGACGACGGCCAAGCGAACAGACTTACGAGAAGTATGGAGGACACATTCACTGCCCGCCTGATGCCCTCAGACAAACACTGACAACCTTAGCAATTCGATTTTGGGAGTCCAGTGGAAGCCATTTGGAAGCCGGGTGATCCCATGTGGAAGCGGTTGCAAGGACCAAGCCAGGCACGCCTTCATGCGCTTCTCAGGATGAAACTGGTACTGATGATGAGTAGTTTCCCAACGACGAAGTAGCGCGCCTGGTCAATCGTTACATCCATGAGCTTTCTTTGCTCTCCAAAAAGTTTCTGCATTGTGTCGCCGAATGCCTTTCGCTGCCTGAAGCCACATTCGAGCAGTTTCTGGGTAGGATGGATCGTCTGAAATTCGTCAAGTATCCTCCGGCAGAACCCGGATCTCAAGGCGTCGGCCCGCACAAAGACTCTTCTGGCCAATTTACTTTTCTATCGCAAGATACGGTCGGTGGCCTCCAGGTTCTGAACAGGTCAGGGGAATGGATTGACGCGCCACCCATCGAGGGCACTCTTGTTGTCAACATTGCACAGGGGTTTGAAGCCATAACTGGCGGGCGGTGTCCGGCAACGAGCCATCGAGTCATTGTGAGTGTCGATTCGATCCGATCCCAACGACTCCCTCTGTCCTCACCTGCTGACCCTCCAAGTCGCCCACGAAAACCACGCGCTACAGTGTACCGTTCTTCCTTGGAGTCAGGCTAGACCTCACCCTCGACCAATTGAAAGAATCTGCGGCAGATATTGTGCGGCAGATACCTGGGTCTGCGGACAGGACAGTCCCTGCCGCCGAGGTCGCCAGCGAGTTTCTCTCTCCGCTTTATTCCTGTGTTCGTCATCCCTTCCTGGACTTCGCTGTCTCTGTACTTACCGCTAGTAGTTTGGGGAGGCACATTTGAGAAACCGCATCGTCAGTCATCCGGATGTTGGGCAAAGGTGGTATCCAGATCTCTATGAGAAGTATTCTCAGGTCGTTTAGAGGAGTGGCCATCGAGATTCCGATGCTCGTACCCCTGAACAGATAGTCAAACAAATTGCTGCTTTAACCTTCGCTACCCGCTAGTGCATGATGTTCGTACATACCTCCTACTACCTACATGTAGTACTAGTAGTACTCAGTATCAAAAGCGGCGTCAATTAGACACCAAATCTTGGCGCTTTGGACTGCGCGCCGTGACGGTCCAAGTCCTAGTTCTAGGAGTCGCAGATGACAGAGGTGATGGATACACTGGCACCTTAGACACCGCATGCGCAGTGACAATTGTCCTCTTTTTCTCATTACCAGTACTACTAGATGCATGCCTGCAACTCACAGCTCGCATGGTAGCTGTCCTAACCTGCATGCTAAGGTGTTGAACATTGTCCTTCGACAAACAGACATAACCGTGGACATGGCACGATAGCCCCGCGACACACCTCTAGTCCGTGACCAGAATCTGGCGACTTTTACGGCAGACTCGCCGATCCTACCAGTATGGCGATGAACAGGGTGAAAAGCGCCTTTGCGCCTCCCAGGAAGGGAGAAACGTTTGAGCTACGCGCTGGGCTTGTGTATGCTAGATCTCACACTCTGTGCCCGGACAACGAATGCTGACCAGACAATGACAGATCTCAGTATGCCTACGAACGGTGAGCCACATCAGACAGGGTCCTTACGATATCCAAATTGACGCCTTCTACAGGAAAGAAGCGATCCAGAAAACAATCATGGCAATGACACTGGGGAAAGACGTCTCCGCGTTATTCCCTGACGTGCTCAAGAACATCGCAACATCAGACCTTGACCAGAAGAAGTTGGTGTATCTATATCTGATGTCAGTGCTACCAGTGCAAAGCAAGGAATGATATACTGAACGTGTGCTTAGGAATTATGCGAAGTCACACCCTGACTTGTGCATTCTTGCTGTCAACACTTTCGTCCAAGATTCCGAAGACCCTAACCCCTTAGTCAGAGCCCTGGCGATTCGAACCATGGGGTGCATCAGAGTGGACAAGATGATCGATTACATGGAGGAACCATTGCGAAAGACACTACGGGACGAATCCCCATACGTTCGGAAGACGGCTGCAATCTGCGTGGCGAAACTTTTCGACCTCAATCCGGCCATGTGTCTTGAGAATGGCTTCCTGGAGACATTGCAAGAGTTGATCGGTGATCCCAACCCTATGGTGGTAGCCAATTCAGTTCAGGCCCTGGCTGAGATCACCGAGTCCGCTCCCGAAACCAAAGCCTTGCAGATCAATCCAACCACATTGAAGAAGCTGCTCATGGCGCTCAATGAATGTACGGAATGGGGTCGGGTCACCATCCTCAACACTCTTGCGGACTATAAGGCTCAAGACATCAAAGAAGCCGAACACATCTGTGAAAGAGTCGCTCCTCAGTTTCAACATGTCAACTCGAGTGTCGTGATTGGTGCCATCAAGGCAGTTTTCATGCACATGAGATATCTTCCGTCGGAAAGCCAGAAGTCATATGTGAAAAAGATGGCACCGCCCCTGGTCACTCTCGTGTCCTCGGCTCCTGAGGTGCAGTACGTGGCTCTGCGAAATATCGACCTCCTGCTACAAAAACAACCAGACATCCTCAGCAAAGAAATTCGAGTCTTCTTCTGCAAATACAACGACCCTCCCTACATCAAATTTCAAAAGCTCGATATCATGGTCCGCATCGCCAACGAACACAACGTCGATCAACTGCTTGCCGAACTCAAAGAATACGCCCTGGAAGTGGACATGGACTTCGTACGACGGGCGGTTAAGGCGATTGGACAGGTGGCGGTCAAGATCGAGAGTGCTAGCGAGAGATGTGTCAATGCTCTCCTGGATCTCATCAACACCAAGGTCAACTACGTGGTGCAGGAAGTCATTGTGGTGATCAAAGATATCTTCCGCAAATATCCCGGCTATGAAGGCATCATTCCGACGCTGTGCAAATGCGTGGATGAATTGGACGATCCTCATGCGAGGGCGTCGCTTATCTGGATTGTGGGCGAGTATGCCGAGAAGATCAGCAATGCTGGTGATATCCTTGGTGGATTTGTGGATGGCTTTGCGGAAGAATTTACCCAGGTAAGATGTGTACCGAATGCTTCCTACACTTTTGCTGACAGCAACTAGACCCAGCTTCAGATTCTCACAGCAGTTGTCAAGCTCTTCTTGAAGCGGCCCCAGGCTGCACAAGGACTTGTGCAGAAGGTTCTCAACGCCGCCACCGCCGATTCCGACAATCCGGATATTCGTGACCGAGCCTACATCTACTGGCGGCTCCTGTCCAACACGAGCGACCCCAACGCCCCCAAAAACATTGTTCTCTCTGAAAAGCCGCCAATTAGCAGCACGATACAGTCTCTGCCACCCGCACTGCTAGATAGATTACTGGCGGAGCTCTCGACACTGGCATCAGTCTACCACAAACCTCCTGAGCAATTTATTGGACAAGGTCGCTTCGGCGCCGACGCAGTCCAGCGGGCTGCCATCGAAGAACAAATGCAAAACGCGAAAGAAAACCCTCTGGCAGCCGCGGCCGCTGCTGCTGCGGTACAGGGCAAGGCTCCGGGAACACAGAACAACATGGAGAATCTACTAGATATTGATTTCGATGGGGCTGCCCCTGCTTCAGCCTCCGAAAATCCTACGAATGGTCTCTCGGGCCTGGAGGGTCTTGCAGGGACCCCTCAACGGGTCGAATCGCCCTCAGTCGGTCAACCTGCCGCTCACACCAATATGGATGATTTGCTTGGTGTCTTCGCTAATGGGGGATCGTCCTCCACGACCAGTGGTGCACCAGGGTTCGCAGGCATGTCGGATAGCGATATCATGAATGGCTTTGCCTCGATGGACCTGTCGTCGTCCCAACCGCCCCCTCCACAACAGCAACTGAACAATGCGAGCGGCAAAAAGACCAACGAGGATCTATTGTCCCTTTTCTAGTCGTGTATATTCCAGCGGGGAAGGTCGGCAGTTGCTAGAAGGCTTGAATATTCATGTAACGAAATTCAAACAATGTCACCATGTACTCTGCAGCAGACTCTGGAGCAATCATGTCTCTTTTGAGCAAACCGTTGGACACTCCGCAACAACAAACATAACCTAACCTTGATTCAGGATCGAACGATACCGATGCAGCACCACCGGACACGCGACATATCACTTTGGAGCAGCGAATGGTCCGGTGAGTGTGAGACTTTGACCGAAATGAGTGGTGTCAAAGACTGCTCCTTGCACCAAGGATGAAGAATGGGATTTGCAACGAAACATGAAGCCTGCTCATCAAAGGTTACTCCAAACATCACCTCACGCTCAAGAATACTATTAAGCTGATCTTTGAGACTTACTTTCGCAGTACTCCAAGCTGGCAACACCACGACACTGCGACCAAGCATTGGGCTTGACCGTTCGTCCTGTTCGGTGCCCCAAGTTGAATGGATCTTGACTGTTCTCATCACTGTTGGCAACCCTTGATAAGGCGCTGTGGTCAAAATAGCCACATAGCAAATAGAAGTCTGCCGCTCTTTCCTTTGAAGACAATCACTGCGCTTGTCTTGCTGTTTGGACCTTCCCACGCAGGCTTCCTTTGATCAACGTCCCCCAAGCGGAATATGGTCAATTCTGCGCGACACCACGATGTCATTCAATCATGTGGTTACGGGCGCGGTCACCGCGGCGATATCTGTTCAAATTTTATCTTCAGCTTGTCTATCTTTGACTTTCATTTTCCCTTACACTCTTTCTCTTCTTTGTCCAACTTACGTCCTCACCGTTGTATGGTGAATTGATGAAACTTGGCTCCTCGCTGAGTCCCCCACCCGACACCATGTCGAACGAAGATACTGAAAGAGACAGAGCAGCTCCTGCTTCGAATGGACGAGGCCATCGCAGATCGGGGGGTCTACATCGTTCGGACAGGACCATTCGCCGTTCCAGGGCTGTGACTCCTCTCCGTGCAATCCCCGAGCACGAGGAGCAAGGCCACCTGCCATTGCCTGCCGTTCCACCATACGCCCTCATTGTACGGAACGATCCTCGCCGACCTGACCTCAGCTGGCGATCCCCGGAACTCTTGGACTTCGGCAGATATGAAGCGCAACACGTACTCAGAAATCTGGCGCAAGCTCACCCTGGGCCTCTGACCAGTCGAGATTTACTAACCTCAAACACAGATTCCTCGAACAGGAGCGAACCGACTTCGACATGACCATCGAATGTAGTGGCCGAGTGTGGAAGCTTCATCGTCGCTTTGCGGCGAATTCCCTCTATTTGCGCAGCGTGAGTTGGACCAACCTCCTTGCATCCTTCACCACGTTGTTTCTCCCGAAGAAATGTCGAATCAACTAACCGTTGTGTGATACCACATGCAGAAGTTCAATGTCGCCAACCCGCAACCGCACACCACAGTGGAAATCGACAACATCAACTTCACCAGCTGTCGCATGGACCTCTACCTCCTATGGCTCTATACCGGCCGGTTCACGGTGCTGTCACGATGGGTGGACGAGCTTTGGCGAGAAGACGACCTGGAAGGCATTCTCGAGATCCTGGTGCTGGCAACCGTCACACCTGGCGAAGACTACCTTTTCCGTCAAGCCCAGCAGGAAGTGGCCGAGCGGTTCGCGACCAAACTCTGGATCCTGACCGACGCGGATGCTCTCGACAGCGCCAACAAGACCCGCCACAGCGTCGACCAATGCCTCGAGATTCTTTTTGAACAGGAGACCAAAACCCATCGGCTCGACCAGCTGAGGGAGGCGATCATGGTGGAAATCTTCACCAAAGCAGGCCAACTGTTCCCCAAACACAAGTGGTTGGAAACCTGGATCGGGCGATCTCCTGCATTCAAGGCCGTGTTTCGGGCTGTCCGACAGCAATTACTGGAGAAAGGCCACATCATTCGCACTCAGATTCCCGACGATGGTGATACCGAGCTGGCCGATGCGCGCTGCGAAGAGTTTCACGACATCTGGCTGGGAGAGGAACCTGTCCAGGACGCGACTTTTCCTTCTCCTCCACCATCTGCTTCTGCGAGCGGAGGCCAGGATGAGAATGCACCACGAACCAAGGGCGCAAAGGTCTCTTTTGCTGATGACGCCGTCGAGCAGTCGGCTGATGATCAGGCACCATCCCAGCCTGGAGAGAGGGACGAGTGGTAGGAAACTCTTCCCTCTGCCTCTAGAATCGTGGATCCGCTGTACACTCATTTGAACATGGTCGAGCTCATGACGTGGCTCGAGATCATGGATGGCGTCGATCCGGAAAGTGACTGGAGTGATTCGGACTATTAGGCGACTGACAATTAACGACTTGCAAGGCCGTGAGAGGTGGGAAGCTGAGAGCTGTGGGCTCTGGGCTCTGGGCTCTGGGCTGGAGGGTGGCTATGGTGGGTCAGCTGGTGAATGAACGGGTGAATCCAGTGTGCTGCTGGTCTAAGTGTTCGCGAATGTTGAAGGTTGCTGGGGAATAATGAGAAATGCTTCGAGCTGGATCGAGAAATGGAGTCAATCGTTGTCGGTTTGTCATAAAAGGGATGGAAAGGAATCGACTCAACTCGATTTCAATTGATTGTAAGGTACTTGAGGTTACTAGTAGTATTCAGTGTTTAATGGACTTCTAAAGCCACATGGCTTGTTCTTCGACTGGGATTCTGTTTTCATTCAAAAGGAGCTGATCGTGATGTTCAAGAAGAGACCGGCTCTAAGGGATAATCGATGAAGAAATAAGAGTCCTAATACTACCGACTTTATCATGATAGATTGAGTCACCATGGTTTGTGTCTCGCATGTTTGTTTGATTTGACTTGTTAAAACGTTTCTATGAAGGGTATAATATAAGTAACAGGTCGTATCATATCGCCGGCTTCCTTCCCGCTTGATCCATCATTGAACAGAGAGACATATATATAGTTGGAAAAACAGACAAGATACCTGTCGACTCATTGATCATGAAATCATGAACTCATAACTCCTGAAATCATGACTCATACAGTCGAATATCGCGCCTTCTTGAGGATCTCCTCTTTTAACCGTCCCCTCCAATGCGCCAAGTCGAAGATCTGGCCGTGGTCGAGGTCGGGGCACCACACGACGTCCAAACTGCCGTGGTTGCACAGGTCAGTGGTGGTAGGTTGATCGGTCTTACTCTTTTCGATTTGTGTTGTAACGTTGTCTGGAACTGGAACTGAGGCATGGCCTTTTTCTTGGACACCTCCTTTTTCTTGCTTTTCCTCTTCCTCTTCCTCTTCTTCCATGGCTTGCAAGTATCTTCGGACCTGTGGGGCGTTGATGATCGAGTCCTTGGCGGACAGGAACACTGTCGCGCGGTGGGCGAAGAGGTCGTCCTTCCAGAGGATATTCTGGGACCAGAAAAATGTGCGGGACAGAGTATGTGCGACGCCCATGTCTTTGGAGCCGAAATACCATACTAGCCATTCATTGGCGTGTTTGGGGGCTCGAACGGTCTGTTGGGAGTATTGTTAGTTAGGTCTTGGAATTCGATGATTCGATGATTCGATGATTCGATGATTAAGTGATTTAGTGATTCAGTGATTCATGAATTCAGTCATTCAACGAGTCTGTCACAAGGACACGTGCAACGGGAGGGGGAAGGCAAGGAGAAGGTCTTACAAAGTTGTATGCCACGTCGGGCTGATGGAGAAGTATCGACACAGGGTCGACCAGGATGACGGAGGAAATTCGATCGGCCAACTCGGGCGTCTTGATCATGTGCGTGGCGACGACGGAACCGTATCTTGAATCAAAAAGAATGGTTAGTACTGGATGACAAGGGGTCGGACGGTGGAAAGAAAGTGGGTGGGAAGGGCTTCAACTGACGAATGTGTTAAAAGAACAAAATGGTCGAATCCATGGTAACGCAGAATGCATGCAATTCGGCGGCACATTTCTTCTTTTTGCGGCACCGGCGTTGTGATACGAGACGAGATAGGCAAGATCTCGATGGCGAGGATCCCAATCTGCCCCTCTTCCTCCCGACGGCCCATGTTCACTTCTGAGAAAAGCTGCATGTAGGGATACAGCCCGATTCCGATGCCGTGGATGAAGACGACAGGTAGATCCTTTTTGGAGGTATGACGGCGGTACCAGTAGCTCAGATGTGGACTCGGCGACCGGTGCCTTGTGATCAGAGCTTGCGGTCGTGGAGGAATGATGCCGACGGAATCGGCAATCGAGGCACGGTAGAACTCGAATCCGTACAGGTACATGTAACCATGGGTGACGACGTCGACCACAAAGATACACTGCATGATTTTGCAAAAATATCTGTCAGCATGTTTTCTTTTTTGTTTCAAGACAATCCGATTGTCAGTCCCAAGGAGAGCAGGGAGGCGAGGCTTACAAGATACCAGGTCAGACTTCGATGCAGCGCATCGACCTTGTCCAGCGTCAATCGGATGCTTTTGATATCCGCTCTTCCCGGTTCGAAGTTGAGGCCGAGTTTCCGCTCGATTTCAGTCACGTACGTGTCGAGCTCGTCTTCGTACGTCGGGTCCACCAGGCCGGTGTTGAGGAACGCCCAGCGAAGCCACTCCTTGATGTTCTCCCTCTTGAGGGCCGCGATGGGTGCATCCAAGAACCATCGGGAGAAGGACGTTGTCAGGTCCTGGTAGCTCTCGAAGCAGCGCCGAAAGAGCTGGCTTCGCTCTTCCTTGCCCAGCGGCGGAGGATGGGCTGCCGGGTGCTGGAGGTGGTGGTTTCGGTAGGCGTAGGTGATCAAGTAGAATGCCGTCTCCACGTACGCCCAGTACTCGAGATACCGCCAGAGACGGAGACGGTCTGGTAATAATCTGGACAGTATACTGTAGCCGACGCAGAGCGGTCCGATCGAGTGTAGAATGACGACCCAGGTCACCACCCAGGCATACTCGAGTGGCGAGGTCCCGATCATTGTCAGACTCTAGGAATAGGAATAGGGATTGGGATGGTTCAACGCTGTCTCTGAGAATGGTACATGTTGGGGACCACCAAGGAAATAAGACGATGATATATATGAGGGATGTTGCACTTGGTTCAATATTTCCACAAAGGTAGGCGAAGCATATGTATAGATACGTAGGTAGCTAAGTATCCTACCTGTGCCTAGGTACCTACTTCAGCAACAACAAGCGCGCTGCGTATATCGTACGTAGCTGCAATCTTTCGAGCATCGGATGATGGGCACATGGCATTGCAGATTTGGTAAGTGGACCTTCTCCCGCCATTTCCGTTGGGACCAGTAACAGTAAGGTAGATCCGTACTGCTAGTACATTGTGCGTAGGTCGGTGCCACATCTTGCATATATAGGTATCGAGATATGTCTCTCGCCGGATATTGATGTTAGGTTAGATAGCATGTGAATCATTTCGCGGCTTGCAAAGGGCTCCCAGAAGAAACAGCACAAGCCGGGATTTGATGAGATTGGAGATTCTCCTTGAACCCTGGCGGGTTATGTGGTGCCGGTGGCACTAGAAGCCTTCTGATCGAGATTTTGGACCCCATCCCGGATAAAGGTCCCGATGAACATTTGCTCTCCATGACCGAGCGACAGACGACGTAGCCATGATTGTCGCCATCGTCGGCAGAGTGGTCAAGGGGTTCATTCCGTATCGCATGTGGCCGGTGATTGCAATAAAGCATCGACACCGACACCGACACCGAGGTAGACAGAGTGCAGTGCCCCAGAGTATTTCAAAATTGGCACTGAGAGAAAGCTGAGATGGTCTGTAGTAGTTTTTGCTTGATAGATCAGATATATAGGTATGATGTGTATACGTGGAGGTGCAGTGGTCGAGGATACCTAGGTAGTATGAAGATGAAGAATAGAGCGTTGAGGCCAATACAGGGCTTCCGATTCTCTTGTGGTAAGAGCAATTTGATTGCCGGATGAGGCAGTTACATATAGACTTGGCGAAAATTGTCTATTGGACTTCAAGCTAGGCGCGGTTAGGCTTCATCCACGCGTTGGCGCAAATCGTGTCTACACGAAAGACGAAGAGACGACAAGATGAGATGAGATGAGACGAAACACGTTGATCATCGCTGCCGTACTGTAAAGGACCAGCTGATGCGAGACACCCTCACTTGTGCATATCCGTGTATCTGACCATCACCACCGACTCTCTGCACCGGCAGCGTGAACATCCTCAACTGTCTACTCTTTTTCATTCAAGAATCGGCCTCAAAAGTGCTGCTCCTTGAATAACTGGACGACCAGGAACCGCCCCTCAATTGAATCAACCCAGGCCCTATTACTGCCTGAAGACTCAGAACCAGCGGGAGTTAACACGAGACTCGACGAACCGACTTCGATCAAAGATGAACCGTTGCAGATAGCGCCTGGTTTGAGATTGTGCTTTCAGCTTTCAGTTGCCCCGTATACGCGTGGAGCTTTGCACGTCGACATCCCTCTTCTTCCACCATGGTTGTCTGCAAGTACTTCCTGAACGGAAATTGCAAATTTGGCAGTACGTTCCGCCGGTCCTTTAGACCAATGCAGCCAAAATGCCAAAGTCCTTCCTGTTCAGACGCATGACTTATATCATTCTTCCACAGGTAACTGCAGGAACGAGCATCCTGGTGCTGGATTCGCAAATCAGAACAGATTTGGCGCCCTAAGTGGTGGCGGAAGCTCTCGATTCGGAGGAGGAAGCGGAAGCAACGAAGGTGAGCTACAGCATAATCTGCCGGGCCCTTTCCTGCCCATACGACGTCTCCCAGACTGGCTTGATCTTCCTGGTTTGAAGTCACTTCCATACCGGAAAAATACTGACGCTTTCGCGCCCTAGCTCGCCAAGATCGCTGGCGAATCAGCTCCGAAGATGTGAGGAACGACTTGACAGACGGGAAAGGCCGGCCCAAATGGATCTTGACAGCATACGGTCCCGGGAGGTCACCGCCGGCATCACTACTGGAGTCTAATGAGCTCAGTTCGGAAGAAGTGCGCGTGCGCTTTTATGAATTGGCCAGCCAGGGTAAGGCAGCCGAAGCGGATCAAGAAGCAGGGACGTTGTGGAACAAAGCGGTCCATGATATGGGGCAAATCCTCAACAAGGTCGAGGATGTGAACAAGTTTATGGAAGATGCGGATAAAAAGCATCCCAACAGGAACGACTTTGTGAACATGGACGGGACAAAGACTCGCGACCAATTCGTCCAGCAGTTCGCGAACAACACCCCAGCCACCGCTTTTGGCCAATCTTCTACTCCGAATCCCTTTGCAAAACCTGCTGCCTCGACTTTTGGTCAGCCTGCTCAGCCGTCTATATTCGGTGGTGCTAATGGCGCCAAACCTGCCTTTGGTCAGGCCGGGTTCGGCAGCGGTGGAGGGCAAAGTGCGACATCGAGTCCCTTTGGACAGGCGTCTGCTGGGAGTCCATTCGGTCAGCCCTCGTCGACAAGCACATTCGGAAAGCCGGCTTTTGGTAGCTCTGGAGGTGGTCAGCCAACCTTTGGGCAACCCGCGCAACCGGCATCAACCTTTGGACAGCCTTCTCAACCGACATCAGCCTTTGGGCAGCCTTCTCAACCCGCAGCTGCCTTTGGGAAGCCTTCCCAGCCAACCTCGGCATTTGGTCAACCTGCTTTTGGATCAAGCGGCTTTGGAGCGAATGCTGCAAAGAGCCCGTTCGCAGCGGCATCGGCATCGGCATCGGCAGGATCAGGCTTTGGCCAGGGTGGTGCGACTTTCGGCCAGCCCTCGCAACCCAGCTCGACATTTGGTCAGCCTTCGCAGCCTACTTCGAGCTTCGGACAACCAAGTCAACCGGCATCGACCTTTGGTCAGCCAGCTCAACCCAGTTCCACGTTCGGCCAGCCATCAGCGTTCGGGAACGCTGGGTTCGGCCAGTCGACACCAACACCAACATTAACATCTACTCCAACTTCGACATTCGGCCAACCATCTCAACCTACACCAGCATTCGGACAGCCTTCGCAACCAAGCGGCTCTCCTTTCGGCCAAGCCGCAAGTACTGCGTCCCCTTTCGGACAGCCTGCATTTGGCAGCAATACCACCACCACCACCACCACCCCAGCGTTCGGTCAACCTAGCGCACCCGCCAACCCGTTCGGCGGTAGACCAGCAGAACCCCAGCCTAATGACCAGGCAATGGAAACGACCACCCCAGCCCCATCCCGTCCAGCTTCCAGGGGGAATCCCTTCGGAGCACCATTCACCCAATCGCCTCAACCTCAGGCTCAGCCCCAGCCGGCACAGCCTATGGCCACACCGTCCACACAACCGGCCGCTGCGAAGCCGATCGTGAATACTTCCATCACACCCCATCCACTAACCGGACGCCCTCCACATGCAGTGCACTATACGCAGACGCTTCCACTACAGCCGACGCAGAAGAATGCTTCAGGCCAGGTGGCTGCCTACCGGGGTCAACGAGTGCAATACGTCGACGGCGTCCCATGCTATGCACGACCCGACGGTAAAGGTCTAGAGAAGATCTGGTTCCCGGACGCCGGGGCTACTCCTGAAGTGGTCGCGCTGAACCGAGAGGACAAGATTGCTGATACGCAGGGATCGGCGGCCGATTATACAGACGAGATTGTGGACAAGTTCAAAAACCTGTTTGAGCAAGGACGGTTCGCGGACGGCAAGATACCGCTCATACCGCCGTTGAGGGAGTGGGGAGTGTATGATTTTTAGGTAGGATCGCGACTAGGATCAGAGCTCGTAAGGGGGTAGTTTCTCTTGCAGGCTCGTGAGCTGGAAAGTTGGGAATCTTATGAGACCGGTTCTAAGCAAGCATTGGCATTTGGGAGGCGGTGCTCGTTCCTGTTCCACAGAGATGGAGCGAAGTCTCACGGCGGCCGCACAAGCACATCAGGCACGTTCACAAGAAGGACTGCACAGAGCATTCAATATTCGGCGACATCCGTCTTCACATTCATTGCATTGGGTCTGTGGTTTCATTTCGAGACATTCCATTTTCCAGTGCCACTCAGTTGAGATTCTCCGGTCTGCTCGGATGAAGTCCACCTCGTGGGATGCTGACCTCGCGGGCAACTTCCTCATCTATCGCATAAATGCTGAATCTGAATCTGAAGCCGCACCTTTGGATGGATTTGGCAATGTCCAGTCGCCCACCCGTATCTCCACACACATCAACCCAGTTTCTTTTCCTTTCTGATCTTGCAAGCAATTAAGCCGCAATGGTAACCTCGACCTCGACACCGGCCTCGATGTTGATGATGATTTGCTTCACCACCTCGGTCGGGGCGTTCAGGTCGATCAGGCGCTTGTGGATTCTCATCTCAAACATGTCCCATGTCTTGCTACCCTCACCGCAAGGGGTCTTGCGGGTGGTGACCTTGAGGGTCTTGGTCGGCAGACGCACGGGGCCCTTGACGCGGAGGTTCTTGGATTTGGCGCGCTCCAGGAGCTCCGAGCACACCTTCTCCAAAGACTGGACTTTGCGCGAGGTCAGGGTGATGCGGATCTTGTGGATTTTCTGTACCGCCCAATGTTAGTACTTGCTGACTTCAAACAAGAAACAACATAAGGACAGTAGTCGTCACGACCAATCCATCTGCAAAGATCGTTCTACGAAGGGTAGGGAGCGGGCGCATGAGAACACATACCGGGCCCTCGCCGAAATCCTTCTCAGGCTTTTGGTAAGACATGGTTGTTTGGATTTTTTGGGTTTGTGGGTTTTGTGCTGGTGACTTGTGCGGGAGCTGATTTTAGATTGTCGGCGCCAATCAAGACCTGAACGGCGTGGTTCGGTAAGGTGATGAGAGGCTGGAAGATCGAACAATAGAGAAAGACAGAACGTTTCAATCGCAGACTGCGCGATGTTTCAATTTTCGGGCTGCACTGGCTGCGAACTGTGGGCGGAAATCTTGGCGTACGCTAGTGTCACGTGGGAGATGGGACTAACTGTATCGGGGTATTTGCGATCGTGTTTAGTCATTCTAAGTGCTTAGCCTGACAATAATGACTACTTGCTTGCTTTAGGGTTGTATCTAACATCTATAGCCTACAGGTCGATGACTGCATGCCTTACTAGGTACTATGTGAGAGACTCAAAAAAATCACCCAACCGATATACACCTGAACTTGGTACAGGAGGAGGTATCCGAGCAAAAACTACAAGAATATTCGAATGCTGTAACGATGGAAGAAGTGCCAGGCATTCCTGGTCATATTCCTCCTCTGGCAGCCTATCCCGCCGCGAGCGTCAGACACAGTCTCCCGCCCGCCGAATGGGATGCCTGTCTCGATTCATGGCTGGTCAGCATCGAAGTCCGGCTGCGTCTGCAAGACAGTTACTTCTCTCAATTCAAGCTGTCGCAGAATGCAAGTGGTACACCGTTTTTGGTCTCGCTTCTCACTTCAACTCGGGAAGAAGGGCCGGCTGCATCGAAGCCCCAGAAGGAACGGTTGCTCATGAAGCGGGCGTACATGCTCTTACGGAGACTGCTGCTGGTCACCAAAGTGCCCCTTGATTATGACCATGCGGAGCTGCTTGAACTGTTGTGTCTGGCTAGTCTTCACTATGCCTCGGTCGCGGATTGGAGGACGACAGTCAAGACGCTCTGGAAGAGGGATCACGCACAAATGGCGAGTGCAGTCGAGAGCTGGAAGAAGACGGTCATTTCGCGCCTCTCTTCACAGCCGGCGTCTGAATGGCTGTTGGACCAGTATCGTCGACTGAATGCTTATGTCAAGGTCTCGCCTGATGCGGGACTCGCCTTGATGACTGGCTCGGATTACCTCGAGTCTCTGATGGAGGCATACAGTTCTACCAGCTTACAGTCGACAGCGGACAGCGCCGACAGTCAAAAGTTGCTGACGGAACATCTCTTCTACTGTTTACGGAGTCTGATGTCTGATGGCCTGCCTCATGGTTCACTCCTCCTCGACCATCTCTACTATATCAAGTCCGAGGCTGACAGAGCGACAAAGTCAAACTCCACGCAGCCTACCTTATGCTCTAGTTTGGTCTGCACGACATCTTTCTTGAGGCACCTTGCCGCGGATGATACGGTGAACTCAGGAAAACGGGGTCAATCCTTGATCGAAGCTCTTACTACCTATCGCCAGAACACGGCACAATTACATCCGCTTGTTGGTCCACGGAAACGAAAGGTCGCCAAAGGCAAAGGAAAGGCCGATGTTCAGGCAGAGATACACGTGCACCGGGCTTCCCAAATTTCCCAAGTCCACGATCTGTTTCCGGACTTTTCGAGCAATTATATCCACAGACTGCTAGATCATTTTGGCGATGATGTCGAAGCTGTGATCGCGGCTCTACTTGAGCCTGAAACCCTCCCGCCTCATCTACGCGACCCAGGCCCATCAGACGAGCCTTTGCCTGATATTGATGGACCTCACCATGACCTCGCGCCACGTTCGACACCTCCTATGCTTCCTCAGAGGAAAAGCGTATTCGACGGCGACGACTTTGACAACCTCCGGATTTCATCAGGTCGTCTGCACAAAGGTCGAAAAGACCTCACGATCGACAAAGATGGGACGCCCGACGAGTCTGCTCGACGGAAAGCAGCAATCATGGCCGCTTTGGCCGCTTTTGATTCAGACGATGACGAGAGAGACGACACTTACGATGTGGCTGATGTTGGCGGCACTGTAGACTCCACCATTGACACGGATAGTCGACCACGGCCAGAGACCGGCCCTGCACAGAATCCATACGAAGAAACACTCTATCGGGCCTGGAAGGACAACGAAGAACTCTTTGCCCGCGATAGCAAGACCCGGATATCCAGAGTGCGACAGGACCTCAAACGCGAGACTGGAATGAGCGATGAACAGATCGAAGGCTGGGCGATCATGTTGAAGAAAGACCCGAAACGGCAAGACCAGCTGGAGAAGAAGTTTTCTGCATCCCATGCGTACAGAGGCAATCAGGCTGCTCTTGGTGCTACAAGATGGCAGGCCGGCACCCCTGAAGAAAGCGAGGAAGGCGAGGATCGACCGGCAAGTCGTGCTGGGCAGGGTCGAGGCCGGGGAAACCACTCATCAGGCCGTGGTCGAGGAGGTAGTGCTGCTGGACCTAGTGGTGATGCTGCTACTCAGGCAGCACGAAAGCGAAAGGAACAAGGTAGAGGACGGGGCGGAGCGAATCATAACAGGCGGGAGGGTCGAGCCCGTAAGATGGGCAGAGGCATGACGGGGCCTGCAGGATGAGGCTGTTAAGCCTCTACTTGCTTAGTGTTTGTAGATTCGGGACACCGCGGCATGCATACCAAGGCACAACCTTCCAAGCATATACCAGGTTGAATGATCAGTGCCTTGCAGCGAATGGAGGGCTAGATAATCGAAGATCTCGTGGACAGGGAGAGGACGAAGAAGGACGCAAACTTGAAATGGGCTCGGTTTGTAATGACCGGCTAAGTTTCCGTATACGGACAGCGGGATGTCTTGGCTATTTGTTTGCGGTGTTTGTAGTGTTTGCACTGTTTGCGGACTGTAAACGACAGCGGCAGCGAATCTTCCATTTTTGAGACAGATTCAGGAGTCTGCTTGTATACCGACTGCCTCTTGTTCTTTGGCAAAGAAACCCCTGTCTCCCTCTTTACGCAGAGTACTATTCAGTGCCTCGAGCCATACGCGCTGCACCGAGCCAGCCCTTCGAACTTGGCCACACCTTTGGTTTGGTGACAGCGCTCACAGACGGTCTCGTGTTACAAATCCACTATACCAACTCACCAACCGCCTTTCCTGGTCACACATTTCGTTTTCAAGCGCTGTGGAGGAGGCCTGCAAACGGCGGAGTGACATCCTGCGTCTATTTGAATAAATCTGGACTTGCCTCTGGCCCGGAGCCGACTCTTTGAAAACGACGATATGCTACGACTTATATCATAAGTAGGGTCGTCAATCTTTTGAATTTGTCTTGGAAATGACAGACGCTGCCACCGTTAATGGCGCTACGGATGGAGCGCAATCGCTCTCTTACAGTACCTCCAATATACTCGAAGCCTTGCAAGTCATTCACAACCCTGCAACCAAAAATGATGTACGGCGAGAAGCATCCCAGTACTTGGAAAACCTGAAAGCAAGCCCTGAGGCGCCTGAATATGGCTTTGCTCTGTCCACCGACCGATCTCAATCGCCGATGGTGCGGCACTTTGGTCTGTCTCTACTCAGCCATGTCATCCGCCATGAAGGTCATAACCTCACCGAGCAGCAAAACGATCAACTTCGCGAATGCGTGCTCGAATTAGGCAGATCGATCTTGCCGTCGGATCTTTCATTCATTCGCAACAAGACCGCAGAACTTTGGATAGAGTTGGCCAAGCGAAGCTGGGCTTTGGACTGGTTCGACTTGGACGAACATTTGGTCCGGTTATGGTCGCAGGAAATGGTTCACAAGGACTTTGTGCTGACTGTGTTGGAAAACCTATCCGAAGACATCTTTGTCCGTGATGACAGCATTGCTATCTTGCGTGGGAGAGACTTGAACTCGGCCTTGGTTGAGATCTTCACCTCAAAGTCCAACTACGCTGGAGGCATCAAGATCGGCGACTCCGTGCATCAAGTACGATACGGAGATGACGGATGGCTTACAAGAATCAGGCAGTTTCTGGACGAGTCGGGGAAAAGTCCAGATCAGAATGGTGCTCTCAAAGACACAACCCTCAAAGCACTGGCGACCCTCCGGTCGGTCTTCATGTGGGTCATGACGCCTTCTATAGTTCATTCTATGTCGTTGGCAATTACTTGCAATTTCCTGACCAAGACGGACCCGGACCTTGTCATGGCCGCAGTTGATGCTCTTCTCTCCTTGTATGGAAGAAGCCGTCTAGAAGAGCTAGAAGTTCAGGCTCTCGTCTATCCTCTCATTCAACCAGACAGCATCAACACCCTAAGGCAGCTATACACCTGGTCGATTGTCTCAATCGACGAGATTGACAGCAGCAAATATCTCATTTCGAAAAAGTTATCAGAGTTAATGTCCTGCCTCTCCGATCACATGTGTCAATATGCACCTCCGGACGCCAGCGCATTCGATCTGTCGCCATTCCTACACTTCTTAATAGCTATCGCCGAGCACGAAAGCCTCATTGTTTCCATCCCGGTTGTCCATTCTTGGGTCAAGTTGTTGGAGGTGTCGGCCTGGAGAAAAGCTCGTGTTGTCTCTCAGTGCGTTGGTCCGCTTTTGCAACTTGCATCTCAACGGCTCATTCAATACGATCAGCTCCCTGAAGGCGAACAGGAAGCTGCCGTGGCTTTCGTCAGCGACGAAATCGAACTGTTCCCGGAACGGCAGGGGTTCTACCTGAACTATCGCCGACTTTGCTCGGCGGTGATTGAATGGGTTTGCTATGCTCAGTTAGAGGAGGCCATGCAGGCGGTCATGAACAGAGTCGATGAGCTCCTAGACGGGGTGCAAGCCGCCGAACAGCAACTCGATCTCGCCAGATATGAAAGAGTATCCATGAATGTGCTTCGAGCTGATGCATACTTCGCCATGATTGATGCAGCTTTCAAAGGCCTCGATCGCTGGCAAGCAAGGCATCGAGAAGGTCGGACGCCGGAGCAGGATCAGCTTCTCCAGAAAGTGAGGGAGGCATCCAAAGCTTGGATGCTCAATATGCTGAAGACGCGGGATTTCAAAGACCCGCAGATCAGACAACGACAGATCAAGACTGCAGTTGAAGTCTCTAACCGGGCCCTTCAGAAGGACACCGGGTTCGCCTTCAATGTGCTTGAACACATTCTGTCGTCTTTCATCATTACCCAACAGCAGCACTCGGTCTATGCCGAGGCTGTCGGAGAACTTCACAGCTATGCCACAAGTGAGTTGAGGAGGTTGGCACTGCAGCATGCAGACTATTTTGTCACTTTCTATGATCAGCTTGAGAGCAAGTTCTCAGATCTCATCAATCAGCTCGGTGCTGACGAGCGTCTACAAATCGACCTCAAGTCGACCCTTTTCTCGGTCATCCAACGTGCCGGAGCCGTTGACTACGCACAGCGGCAGGCCAAATTGGAGGGTTTCCTTCAACCGCTCGCCGCTGCTTGGGCGGATGACAATCTCCAGGCTACACTCCGGAATCTGGAGGCATTTGCTCACTCTCAAGCGTTCGACCAGGTTGGACCCTACTTGGCGTCGACGCAGGCCGCGAATTTCGAGGATTGGTCACAAGTTCCATATGACAGTCGTGGAGTGCAGATCCAGCAGGACATGCTGACGTCTTATTCCAAACTACCTCTACGGGAAACCAGAATCCTGCTCAGCATATCGACCGAAGGACTTGAGCAGGGCTCCGAGCTGCACAAAATGATCTGTGACTTGTGGTCGCCGCTCATTCCAAACATGCTCCCGCACGTCCTACAACTGACGAGCTATAACCACCAACTGCACAATCCAGGATCGTGGCCCAACGTGACGCCAGAGCTGCAGGGACTCATCCGCCGAGTTCTGCGCGACCGCTACTGGCAGTCAGGCATATCCAGTGGCACGATGAACGACTTCCACAGCAAAGTCAAATCGACCAAGTCAACGCTTGAAGGGTTTGCGTCCTCGGTACGAGGAAGAATCCGCAACAATCTCGAACAATGCTACAGCATTCTCCACACGTTAGGCAGACTTGGTCCGGTGTTCTACAGCCTGCAACAACTCCCCGACATGATTGCCGAAGCCGCCATCAACACCACGGCTCCACTCAGTCCTCACCACTTCTCGGTCATGATTCAGATGCTACCGAAACTGATTGACGAGTGTCCACCCGAGAGTCGGGAACATTTCCTCACGCCAATCTTGTCGGCCCTGCTCGAACAGATGGACACCAAACTATCCAGCGAATGGGTCAAGATGGACCAACGCAAACAGACCAAGCAGGAAGAAGAGAATCTCAGCGAAGAAATGAGAGACGACTCGGTCCTCCGGCAGACGACATACAAAGCCGTTAATCTGGTGGCGCACTGGTTGAACCCCAAACGCGAACAACAGCTCAGCACGAAAAAGTCCATCGTCAACGGCAACTATCTGGCCCAAGGCGGCAACCAGCAGACGATGCGAGAATTCCTGCTGTCCAACGTCCGCATCTTGGAGAAATTGCTCGTTTTCGTCACCCACGCTCTGGCCTTCAAGGACACGAGGTCGTGCTACACCATGCTCGGGGCTGTGCAGCGCATGGTGCCGGAATTCGCCTTTGACCAATTCATCTCGGGCCAGGAGGCCGCTGCGGTGCGTGAATTTGTGTCTACCGACATGCTCAAGACGGCCATCACGTGTCTCAACGATGGCTACTTCGCTGACCATCAGCAACACTATGCCCAGCTGATCGCGACCATTTGGCTGGCGTATGGCTTGCCCGTTCATGTCCCTGCCACGGAGACGGCGCCGGCCCATGAACGGCCGCCGCTGACTTCGACGCCGCGAGACGTTATTCTCAGTTTACCCGGTATGACGGATGCTAAGGTCGACAAGGCCGCCGCCCAGCTCGTTCAGGAGGGACTGGGTGCCCGATCGAAGAAATTGAGAGCGATCATTCTCTCGTTGCTTGAGGGCGTGCGTGGTGTCAGGGTCAGCGAGCTCGGCAAGATCGATATGCGACAGCAGCAGTCTAAAATCCTGGAGAAATACAAGCAGCGCGAACTGCTTGGGATGCAGGGCGTCGAAGATCGCGGTGCTGGTAATGCTGATGATGGAGTCGACCTAGGCGGCGTGGCCGACATGTTTGCTGGTTAGGGACGAGCTGACGCTTTTGGCCTACAAATGGGAGACTGGGAAGCGGCTTGTGGGCGCCAGCTGGATGGAAAGCGCCGTCACTCCATTTGATGCATGACAGGATTGCCCGGGCCAATGCAGATTCAAGGGTTGAGACGCCTTCCAGTGCCTACGTCTGTTATTTTTCCACATCATGCTGTATACGGAGAGTATGGAGGGCGACAGCACGGAAACACGGGGATCAAGCGGGAGAAGCAAAAATGGGAATAACGGACGACAAGGGTCCAAAAGACTGGCGTCATATGTCAGCCACGACCATTGGGATGCAACAAGGCTGGCGGATGTCGTGCATTGCCTCGACTGTATTTGCATTGCTGGAAGACTTGCACATAGCATTGGCCTAGCCCTCAACATTGATTGTATTGATCAAAAGATTCAATGTGCAAGCCTGCCATGATCGCTGAGCCGTTCATTTCTATTCCTGATCCCTCAAGGCCAATGAACATCTCATCCAGCTCGGCCTCGTGCATATTTACACTTTGCCTTCCCTGGAATGCTGCGGGTAGTAGGCCTCATTTCCGCATAGACGTTTGTTTTCAAAACCATGCCCTTTCGTTTCCGGGTATGAGAGCACGACTTCGGAGGGAGGCCCAGACATGCGCAAGAGTCCCAGGCTAAGTGCTGAAGGATTGTTGTTGTTTGTTGTTTCTTAAATATCGACCCAAGCCCACACCACTTTATTCTGTCGTCCTGCTCGGCGTAGCCGCGAACGTCGGTCGAACAAACCTGCAGAGAAGGAGAACAGCAGTTAGCATTTTCGCCCTAGATATTCGCAACCCATGTAGGACTCGGCCTCCATCCCCCGAATAGATCCGTGAAGTCCATCTCTTCACAACACCAATGCTCCGACAGCTTCTTGGGGGACTGATTCCCATCGATATCGCCCAAAATAACATACCTGTTGCTATTATACGCCCCGCTCTGACTGCCCAGCAATTCCTTCTCCCGGGCCAAATCCGCATAGTACCGTCTGACCTGATCGCGATCTTCTTCGGCCTGCATCACCGGAACCAGGTGGATGCGCGCCCACATCTTCTCGCGGGCCATCTCGTGTTTCTCGCGCTGGGCGACGAAGACCTGCCGCCAGCCGTAGGCCATCACGGCGCCGCAGGCGACTAGGTAGTACAGTGGTCGGAGACCGCGGGTGGGGATGTTGCGCTGTAGAAAGAAACGGAATTAGTTGCAAATTACACGCTGATTCGGGCGGACAGGAAGAGGGTAGGTTTGGATAGGGTCGGGCCCAACTGGGGTGACAGAGCCTCGTGCATGGGTTTCGGACGTACTCTGTATTGAACGGCTTCGTAGCCGCCAGCGGGCGGGAGATCTTGAGGCATTTCTGTCGGGAGATATGGTTGTGGACGGAGCGGCGGACGGTCGTGGCCTACATAGACACCTCGACGTAACTGGAGGCGAGGTGGTAGGCTACTGTGGACGTAGGCGAGAAGCGGTGCAGTTGAAGTAAGTTGTAGTACCTTGACTTGTAGATGGTAGCTTGCGGAATTGAGATCAACTCGATTGGCCTGCTGTTCGCTTAGGTAATGTGTACCAGAATGGCAGAGTCTATGGCTGCTTTAAGGAACTCGTTTTGGACTGCCAGTGGAAACGAATGTCGGGCTTATGGAATATCAAGTGCTCAAAGAGATTTCCAGTTTAAGATTTGAAGCTGTATTATGTACAGTAGGTCAATTGGAAACTGCAAGTGCAATTACCATTGGAGCTCGGATATCATTGACGAGGCTGAAGAACCCTTCTTGAATGTAGCTTAAAGCAGCACTACAAGTCTTTCCTCACGTACATGACCTTCCTCGACTCAAGTCCGCCCATTTCTGATTTGCGGACATTTTCTGGTCGAGCGACTGTGCGGTTAACAAGGCTACATTGCGTACAAGCAACAAACAGCCACACAATAATGGAAGCAGACGAGCGGCCAACCAAGCTCCGAAAGCTAGATTCGCACGATGAGCCCAGCTCAGAAGCTGCGTCGGACAAGCCCTTGCTGCCATCCGTGGAAGTGAATGGCGCTGTCATCCCAACCGCAGGCGATGCAGACACCAGTAAGCCAGACGAACCCGCTGGTACTGCTAATGTCGCAGATCCTCCGCAGGAAGATCGTGATGACGATGCAGACGACTCGGAGGGAAGTGCTGGGGTTGGAGACCGACAACCACAACAACCAAGCGCTGAGCCAGCCCAGCAGCAGACTGGAGAGCCCAGGTCTGACCAAGACCCTTCAAAGCCCATGTCGAAGAACCAACTGAAGAAGCTGCGGAAAAAGCAAGAGTGGGAAGCAGGGCGCGAATACCGGAAATTGAAGCGGAAGCAGAAATTACACGAGAAACGGGAGAGGAAGAGAGCAGGCAGAGAAGAAGCCGGGGAAGCACAGCAGCACGAACAGGCAGGTGGAGGTGGTGCTGCCTCTCAACAAGCCAAGGAAGGACACGATGGCGAAGTCGAGACAGGGATCCAAAAGCCAGGACTGTCTGCAGCAACAGCAGTGACATCCAAACCCAACCGTCGGCGACCTGTGCAATTGCCTGTGACGATCATTATAGATTGCGGCTTCGACGACCTCATGATCGAGAAAGAGCGCATATCTCTCGGATCGCAGATCACTCGGGCGTACTCGGATAACTGGCGCGCTCCGTTCCAGGCACACCTGGTGATCAGTTCGTGGGGCGGGCAGTTGAAGCAAAGATTCGACACGGTGCTCGAAAAACACTATCTCAACTGGCGGGGCGTGATGTTTGTCGAAGACGATTTCGTCGAGGCGGCCCGGAGAGCTGAGGAGGTCATGAAAGGTCCCAGGGGCGGCAAACTGTTGGGAGCTCTGGAGAAGTTTGCAGATGGTGGGAAAGACGGAGACGGAGACGGAGACGGAGACGGGAACGCGGAGAAGGAGAAGGAGAAACCCAGAGATCAGCACGACGCAAATCATCTTCTTTTGCCGCCATCGGACGTTACTCAATCACCCCAGGAGAAAGACAAAGACCAAACCGGGTCCGAATCCAAGACCACGGAGGCACCACCGTCACCAAACCCCGTATCCGCTCAAAAGGAGGACCAACCACCAGTCGTTTCCGACTATCACTCTGTTCCAACCTCCGCTACCACAGGAACTTCTGCTGGGGAGGTAGTCTACCTGACCTCCGACTCTCCCGACACATTGACCGAGCTGTCGCCCTATTCGACCTATATCGTGGGCGGGCTCGTCGACAAAAACCGCCACAAGGGCATCTGCTACAAGATCGCTACTGAGAAGGGCATCAAGACCGCAAAGCTGCCGATCGGCGAGTACCTGGACATGCAGTCGCGCAAGGTGCTGGCGACGAACCATGTGGTGGAGATCATGATCCGGTGGCTGGAATGTGGGGATTGGGGAGAGGCGTTCTTGAAAGTCATTCCCAAGAGGAAAGGCGGGAGGCTGAAGGACCAGGAGCGCGCTGGGCAGCGGGAGCGAAACGGGAAGAGTGAGAGTGTTGCTGGCGAGGGCGACGATGACGATGGAAATGCCGAAGCAGAGCTTGACAACGACAATCAAAGGAATGGTGGGGAGGATCAGCAAGCAGGCTCATGATGTGAGTTGCTCCGTTCAGCTCAAGGCCAGCTCAGTGATCGGGGAAATACTTTGTGCGCAGTCAGTCAAACGTCGAAAGTGAGGGAACAAAAACCAATGCAAGCAGTAGCCTTGAAAACACTTTGCTGTTGTTCCAGAATCGCTTGCGCCCCTCAGCGCCAGCTCCGATATATAGAAAGAGTACCTGCGCAACCGTATCACATGATAGAGCAATCCTGTGCTGTAGACCTGACGGTCTCCATGTAACCGGCTTCAGTATCCTCTTCCTCATCCAGTGTGCCCGGTTTCCTCTTGACCCCTTTGATGGTCATGTTCTGCTCACCAGCACCATGCCACCATTTCATGAGCTGCATGCCTTCGCCATCCACGTCGACGAGGTCGATCCTCCATCTTCCACCACTGACTTCAACGTTCGTCTTGCCTGGCGGGAAATGAAATTCGGGTAAGAATATCTCCGTCGGGACATCCTCCTTGGTGGCATGGTCGGAGACAAGACTGAAGGTAAATGTCACGTGGGCTAGATCAAAGCCGTATTGGACAACATCACCAACTGTCGCAATTGGAGATGGACGGACATAGGCCTCTGCAGCGCGGAGACCGACGTTAGCCGTCTGCTCTGGACGGGCGGCGGAGGGGTTTTGCTTGATTTCTGGACTCTTCAACGCATCTCTCAGGTTCGACGGGTTGATAGTAGTCGTATAGGACAATGTCGTGCCGGAATACGATCCAGCCCCCTGTTCTAAAAAGGTTGTCGACGGATTTGCGGATGGGTACGTCGACATGGAGGAGCTGCCCGGAAGGAGTGGGTCGTCGACAGATACAATGGATAGATCTTCACCATTCCACAAATCACCCCATTGATGGTTGTTCTGAACTCATTAGCATGGACTGACCAGGTTGCTCGATTGTGTCCTTACCTGAGCCACGTATGTCCACAACGTATACCCTTGGGCTCCGGATCCTTCCAGAGCAAAGTGGTTGGCGTCCAAAGCCGAGGTTTGGCTCGTATAATCCCCCGTTCTGTATGCATACTTGTCGTCCATGTCAAAGGGGATGCCGATTTCGGTAAACAATGTGGGATGTTCACCCAATCGCTCCATACCTTCATCTCTTATAGCTTTGAGTTGGTCGCGCAGGCAATTCCTGATCGCGGTTTCGCCGAGTCTGACTGCAAAGACAGGATTCGAGTAGCGGTGACGCAGGATACCAAAAATATCGACGTTGTAATATTTGTTCCAATGCTTTTGGACCAGTGTGAGTCCGTCGTAATAATGTGTTGCAAATATCAGGCGCTTCTCGTCATCCGGAGTACCCTTAATACTTGGAGGTATTTCAAGGACGGCCGACTGCATCAATATTATGCAATCTTTGTGTATGGCGCGTAAAGCGTCTCTGTACTTTCGGTAGTGACTCATATAGTAGGTGTTGGTGAAAGTTGCGTAGTCCAGCTTGGTGTTCGAATTGGGGATTGTTGCGAAGTAGTCTTTCTTCAGCAGCAGATCCTGTTTCGGGTCCCATACACCATTCTGAGCCCATAGGCACTGCCCAAGCTTCCAGCCAGGATCTCGCTTCCACCCATATTTTGAATCGTCGGAATCCGGTGAGAGCCAGGCGGAGACACCCGCTGGGTCTACCAACTCTCGGCCGCTCTTGTACGCGCCAAATGTGCCGAAATCGTAGATGTCTATCTCGACAGCACGCCCAGCGCCCGTGAGGATTGCCTGCCAGGGCGTGGGACACGTCCCCTTTCTCATTTTCAGGTCGTCCGGTATGGCGTCCAAGTCCTCCCAACCGACCAAGCCTCGATGGGGTTCATTCAGCGTTTCCCAACCAATAACGCATTCATCCTCCAGATCCCCAGCGTCATGTATTCTCTGGGCCAGATGTGCACAAGCAGCCACGAAATGATCGGTGAGATAGTCCTGGATGTTCTTGCCATCGATGATCGCATTGGGAGCAAAATCCCGGCCAGCATAGAAGAGAGTGAAAGTGACTTGAGTCGCCAGACGGGTGTAGTTCGTGGGCCACAGCATCTTGGGAAAATCGGCCGGTTCTGGGAAGGTGTTATGGACGATGGCGGCTTGATTTGAAGTAAATGTTTCCGGATCCAACCCACATGCGTAGAGAGTCCATAAAGGGGCACCGGAGCCTCCGGTAAATCTTGACCAGACATCCTGATGAGGGTCCATAAAGACGTAGAGTCCATATGACTTGGCTATCCGGAGGATCTTGATGGTATGGTCGATAAAGTCTTCATCGTATTTGCCCGGTCCGGCGTGTTCCAAGGCCTCCCACGTGAAGACATATCGAACCACGTTATAGCCCCATCTCTTTAACCTTGCAAAATGTACATGTGCCTCTTCCTCCGTGAAGGGTCGTCCGACAAAGGAAACGTTATCGGAGTCGAAGAAGCCATCGGACTGGTGAGAAGGTTGGTCGGGATATCGAGGGAACTTGCATTCTCCTGCGACGTTAATCCCTCGAAAGGTCACTTCTCGCCCATGGATGTCCCTAAGCCTGGTTCCGTCGATTGTAATGCCACGAGCCGCCATTCGGGATTGACAAGCATAGATCGTTCTGCGGAAGCATGCGGCGGATGCGGTTGAATTCAAGTTAATGTTTCGGAGTCGACAGAGAAGATGAATGATGGAGACAAGGTTCGACCACGGCTCTGGCGTTGCAAAGAAAAGTGAGCACCTCCGTAGTCCAGCTAGGATGAGAAGTATTGAGGCTGACCACAAAAAGGTATCATGGTGAAGTTGTATAGACTGTAGTGATATAGAAGTAGGAGTACGTCTAGTAGTAGACGAACGACTGCCTGACGAGGGCTGTGGCTGATTCGCTGATTCGCTGATTGATGACGCATGATGCACTTCCCCGTCGAATGCTCCGCCCCACCATATTAAATCATATGATGCCAGTCTCGTGCCATTTCCCCAATTCGGATTTTATACAGAACACAAAGCCTCGAGATCTTATTCGTGAGCAGCGACACTCAAGTCGTGAGGACGTCGTGGCCAGCGGAGAGGTGCAGTGAGACCGCAGAAAGCGCCGGGCGAGCCGGGCGTGGAAGGTGAGGCTGTCCTACCTGCGCAATGCCACAACGACCAGACGAACCACTGCACAATTACACCTCGTTGGCGTTCAATTCAACCCTCTACAACCCAAGATTTGACTGGTCATCAGACTGTCAAGCAACGTCTCTGGAGAATAATAGGCGTTTCTTTCGGCAATGGCCTCCAAGGTGGCTCTAAAGGCGGTCAAGTCTTCATTGGACGCTGGCCAGTACGTGAAAGCGGCCGATCAAGTCGAGGAGTTTCTGAAACAAGATGCCAAAAACCACACAGCATGGCTCTTTCTTGGATTCGCAAGGGAGAAGCTGGGAGAGCTCGACGCCGCAGAGAAGGCAATCTGCAAAGCAGCAGAACTCAAACCACAGGATGCTCAAGCCTATAAAGGGCTGATCACATTGTACGAGAAACAGGGCAGTGCTAGATTGGACCAATATCATGATGTGGCCTTCAAGCTGGCAGAAATCTATGCACAGCAGGAAGACAGAGCGCAATGTCAGAGTGTCATTGATAAGTATGAACTGTTCGCAAAGAAGCATGGTACTCGAGCTCAGTATCGGCGAGCCCTGGAACTGATTCTACCTACTTCACCACTTTATCCAACACTCGAAGGCCGTGTCATGCAACCCAACCTCACGTATCAACGCATTCTTGAGTCAGCAGAAGCGGAGGAGAAAGCATGGATCAATACACAGATAGGCGAAAGAAGAACACGATTAGGGGCCAAGATCGATCAAGTTATCCGTCAAGTCAAGGCAGAAGCCATCACCAAATTCCAGATCGAGGAGAAATATGCCGCGCTAATAGACTGGACAAGAGACGACGATGCACGCCACGACCTTGAACAAAAGCTCTTCCAACGTATGTTCGACAACTTACTCTTCCTTCCCAAAGATGCCAAAGCCACTCAGCGCGACAAAGTCCTCAACATGGCAAATGGCATGGTTATCATCAAGCTTCGCTGTCTGCTGGCCTGGAAGATTGCTCTGGAATGGGTGGACGCCGAAGACTTGGTGGAGTGGGACGTGAACATCTTCCGCGAATTCATCGAGTACTTCCCTGATGATGGTTTAAGCAAGGTCCTGCGTGGATCTCTCGAGAGCAACGCGTCACCATTCCCGCAACCGCCTGTTGAGGAAGCCGACCAGGATGATGTCTCTCAGAAACTAACTGAGGCGGACCAGCTCATCCTCATGAATGAAGGTCTCGAGGACTGTCCGGAGTCTCCTCTGGGTCATCGAATCATGGCTTACACGTACCTACATTTCGAGGATTGGCAAAGCACGGTCGACTCGGCTCGCAAAGCACAGACTCTGTACAAGAACGCAGAACAACAATACGCTTTGGACCTGCAGAACAGTCTCGACGGTGTTAATCTAATACTAGCCAAGGCTCTGATCACTTTCCAATCCCCGCGCCACCACCCCGAAGCAAAAGGCTTGTTCCAAAATATCCTCGAGCGAAAGCCCAAACTCACCGCTGCCCTGTTAGGTATAGGCTTGATCTTTGAGGAGGACGAAGATTATGCGGAAGCTATCAAGTTCTTACAACAAGCTGCAGACCGCGATCCTGATAATGTCAGGATCAAGCTCGAGCTAGCCTGGTGCAGAGCTCAGAATGGAGAACTTGAGGAAGGTCTTGATGAATTGCAAGAGGTGCTGTCCGAACTCGAGTCGCAGAAGAGTCAGGATCTGCCCATGAAGTCGGTCGCGCTTTATCGCATCGCCTACTGTATGTGGCACATCAACACCTCCGCTGCGGCGCGAAAAGACAAGGCCGGCCCATACCAATATCTAATTGCCGCTGTCAAGGCAAACCCCAGCTATGCTCCAGCATATACTCTGCTAGGGATCTACTTCCAGGACTATGGCAAGAGCAAGCAGCGGGCCCGGGTGGCATTACAAAAGGCCTTTGAACTATCCACCTCCGAACTGGAAGCAGCACACAGACTGGCCCAAACGTTTGCGGACAGCGGAGAGTGGGATCTTGTCGAACTTGTCGCCCAGCGAGTGGTTGCATCAGGAAAAGCCAGGCCTGCTCCGGGTTCGAAGAAGAAAGCTTACAGCTGGCCGTATGCTGCACTGGGCGTGGTACAGATGAACAAACAGCACTATTCACAGAGCATAGTATCCTTCCAGGCCGCCCTACGGATCACACCAGATGATTACTATTCTTGGGTTGGTCTGGGTGAAAGTTACCACAATGCCGGGCGTCATGTTGCTGCCACCAAAGCATTTGCGAAAGCCGAGATCATTGGCCATGCCCTGCCACCTGAGGAAACCTGGTTCGCCAAATACATGCTTGCCAATGTCCAGCGGGAGATGGGCTTCTTCGACGAAGCAATCGTAGCATACAAAGACGTCCTCGTCCTCAAACCGGGCGAGTTTGGCGTTCTGATTTCATTGCTGCAAACTATTTCCGAAAGTGCTTGGGCAAAGGTCGGGCTAGGAATGTACGGCGAGGCTGTGAGGCTTGCGAAACAGGCCCTCGAGGTTGCAGCTGAGATCGCCCGGGACAGGAAGGACTTCTTTAACCTCTGGAAGGCCGTTGGTGATTCTTGTTCTGTCCTTGGTCATATGAAGCTCCACGCCGCTGCAAATGATCTCCAGACGGTTGTCGGGTTACTCGAAACCACAGACGATGCTGAATTGAGTGTTTTGGCAGACGTGGACAAGGCCAGCGTCGAACAACTGAAGGCTAATGAAGACGACACCCCCTCCAGTATTGCTGATAGATGGCTTCTTGCTGCCGTTCTCGCGCACAAACGAGCCATCCACGCCTCCTCGACCGATCCTCACGCCCAAGCCGTGTCATGGTACAATCTCGGTTGGGCAGAGTATGACGCATACATTTCTGGCGGCGAGGTGGTCAAGACCAAGGGAAAGAAGCCTCATAGACTCCTCAAAGCAGCAATGAAGTGCTTCAAGAAAGCCATAGAACTGGAGGCCGGCAATTCCGAGTTTTGGAACGCCCTCGGCGTCGTCACCATGACACTCAACCCCAAGGTATCACAGCACTCGTTCGTCCGAAGTCTGCATCTCAGCGAACACAATTCGAGGGCATGGACAAACCTCGGAGTGCTGTATTTGATCAACAATGACAGCCAACTTGCCAACGAGGCCTTCACTAGGGCGCAGTCCGAAGACCCGGAATACGCAGACGCGTGGATTGGGCAAGGCCTGCTGGCAATGCTGTTCGGAAACCTTCAAGAAGCAAGAGGCCTGTTCATGCACGCGTTCGATATCGCAGATGGTTCGGTCCTGCCGGCAAGACGGCATTACGCTCTGTCTGCTTTCGACCATCTGCTCAAAGATCCCGCGCGGTCCCAGGAAGTCAGCGCTCTTTTGCAACCACTGTTTGCCATGCGCCAATACCACACTCAACAACCTTCTGACATGATCGCCACTCATCTGCTGGCGCAGTTTGCCGAACGAGTTGGGGACCATGAGACCAGCGCCGAAACCTTGGTAGAGGTGTGCAATGCCGCCGAGCAGGAATACGAAACCTCCGAGTCGAACGAATACTTGGTTAGATACGCCCAGGCAAAAGCAGATCTCGCTCGTGCGCAACTGGCGTGTGGCGAATACGTTGAAGCCGTGACGAATGCCGAGACTGCTCTGGATCTATCAAGCGACGCAGACGAGCTTGGTCCTGCTTACGCAGAGCCTCGACAGAAATGGAGACTTTCCGCACAGATAAGCGCAGGTCTTGCACACAGCCATCTGAAGCAGACCGAGAAGTCGATCAAGATGTTCGAGGCGGCGCTTAAGGAGTCTAGAGGTGAGCCGGATGTTGTGTGTATGCTCGCACAGGTCCTGTGGGCAAAAGGCGGTCCGGCAGAAAAAGAGGCAGCACGATCACAGCTCTTCGATATTGTAGAGACACACCCAGGTCACGTCCAAGCCGTGGCGCTGTTAGCTGTGACCGGCTTACTGGACGATGACCAGGATGTCCTAGAAGCGGTGGAAGAGGACCTGAAAGCGCTGAGACGTGGTGATGAGGTCGGCGTGCTGGACAAGATACGGGTCAGTAAGATTCTGGCTGGGATTGTCGGATGTCGATCACCCCAAAATCAAGCGAGTGATCAGCCGGCAGTCATTGCGGATGCTCTTAATGGGATCATGCTTGCACCAGGACAGCCGCAAGGCTGGCTCGAACTTGCACAGACTGTTGGAAGCGATGGCGGGCGGGACTATGCTGCGGAGATGGCTGTCCTCAATGCTGAGAGACAGATCCCTCCTGGTGGGAAGCTGTCGGCGACCGATCTGGCCAGAGCGTATGAAGGGACTGGTACGCCCGAGGATCTTCTTAAGGCGAAGATGCTCGCGCCATGGCGGTTAACGATCGCTGCGGAAGCCGCATAAGATCACCGTTTGATATGTCCGAATACTCGAAGTCATGTAGCGATCTCATGGCGAGAACGAGTCTGACTAAATGGACACGAGTTGGCCAATCTGCTGGTCGTCAAGCTGTATGGCCATCGATATGACAGCACCGTTGTCCGTCATTGTGTGGGAAGACACTTTCCTTTCTCTTGCTTCGGCCATGGCGCTTTTTCTTTGCTAACCACGCACAGCGGCACCATTCTCTTCGCCCAACATGGCTATCAGTCTTTGCTTGCGCTCCTCCTTCCACTTCCTATCCCATGCCTCGAGCTTGCCGCCCAACAGCACGCAGTTCTCGGGCGTTAACATTGCCATTCCCCTGCGCACCACGGTTCCCGGTTTAAGGAGGATCTTGCACCCAATAAACATCCCCGGATCTTCCGTTGGTATAGTGTTGGCTCTGGCACCATTCGATGTAGCAGAAGGACGAGCAGCCGACGCAGAGATAGAAAGCCCAATACCTGGAACTCTGACCAGCTCAAACGCCAGGACCTTTGTACCCCTTGCATCCTGTAACAGCAGCTTATGAGGACCTAGACTCAACTTGTTCGGGTTGGCAGCATATCCCGAATTTGCTGTTGCTGTTGACGTTGTTGTTGTTGCTGTAGTTCCGTTCGTTCGACCGGACGGCCTCGCACCAACACCACCACCAGAAGTAGCCGCAGGGTCGATACCACCAGACCCATCGTCTCCCTCCTCCATAACATCGACTGTGCGGATGACTTCTCGACCACGGATCTCCTCGCCATTCTCGACGCGCTCGATCGCCTCGACTTGACTCCACTTACTACTCCCCACGTCGAGGACATCCAGGACCTGCACGATCACGGTTCCTGCGAGCCGGCGTTCTTTGACATTCACGTCGCTCACGTCCGGAGGAAGGACATCCCCTGCGCTTACAGGACGAAGAGAAGTCGTGATGTCGCTGGCGAGAATGCGGAAATGGGCTGTAGATAATAGCGCGGGGAACGGTGGAGGTGTTGGACCGCGGGATGAGAGGAAGTCGGTCAGCCATTGTGGATTGACGGGTAGATTGTGGCGTATTTGGAGGGAGGTGGAGAGTTGCGTGTGTAGGGGATGTGGTGTTGACATTGTTGTTGATTCTGGAGATCTCGCTCTGGAGGAGCTTGATTGTCTCCTATCCAATCCTTTTATTCTGTACTTTCCCGAGATCAGACCCTAAGTAGTCGACCGAGCGAGATCATTTCAAGCTGCCGCGGCATCAAGGGCCTGCCTGTCCAGTATTGAGGGGAGAAGAAAGCCTTTGGCTGAATGGCCTGAGACCGTTGAGTTGTTCGCTACCGTTGAACAGGCATGAATGAGTGTTGGTCTCTCTCTTTGGGATTACTGTGAGACAGCAACATCGGTCGACACACATTTGCATCTCTCATGAAGGGATGACATGGTCTTGGTCGAAATGTTGCTATGTTAAGGAGACGACGGGAAAACTTCGGCACGCGCAAGGCTGCGCCTGCAAGGCTGTCGGCGTCAACCATCGTCTCTACCGCGGACACAAAGTACACGGTCACCCAAGACTCGTCTTCTAGACCACCACGCTTATATACATTCTGTATCCACCTTTCAATCCTCCTCAGCCCTTTGGGAGTATGAAGCATGATATACCATTCCAGCTTGGGATGATGTAGACGTGTACCCCTTAACCTCGCATACATAACTATCTCCTCGCCCATCATGGCCACAATCACGTCCCCACGCAGCGAATCTCCCGCGGTCGGTCTATCTCGAATCACCTCCCCGACACTCCCCAGCGCGAGCGCAAGCGATACACCGACCTCCTCAGTCCGTCCGTCCTTCGAGATCCCGCGATCCAGCACCTCCTCGCCAGCTCCGCAGCAGAATGCAAATGCCGGGCCGACGGCGCATCGACGCAACCGCGCCGCCCTGCGCGACTACTACAACCTGAAAGGCAGGGTCCCCTCCGCCGCCGGCAGCCATACCCAAGGCCAGGACCACAACAACATAAGCCGCACGGTGAGCATAGCCTCCAACGCGTCCGACTCGACCGTGACCACCACGGACCCATCGTCGTCGTACTCATCCTTGACCGCGCGACTGGACGATCCCGACTTCGACGCCGAAGCCTATGTGTCGGAGCTGCTCAAGACCGCCGGGTTGCGGGATATCCTGAAGACGGAGGGCACGCTGGTCAGCGAGATCCGGAACCTCGATGGCGAGCGGAAAGCTTTGGTCTACGACAACTACAGCAAACTCATCAAGGCGGTGGGCACGATCGCCGAGATGCAGAAGGGCATGCATAAGCGGGAGCAAGGGGACAAGGACAAGCTAAGCGCCCTGGGAGTAGGGTTGGCCATTCAGACTGGGCAAGCCCCGACACCGGGTCTGGATGGGGTAGAGAAACTGGCGGCGAAATTGGACGGGCTGCTCGAAATGGTCAAGGAGTTGGCCCCAGCTACAGATGTAGATCGGACGAAACAGGTCATGCAGGCGAGGAGGACGATCAAGCAGAGACAGACCGTCAAGTGGGCGTTGGATGCGCCTTTGCGGCTGCAGACGATGCTGGACCATGGCCGCAAGGACGAGGCTGTCAACGAGTATAAATCCGTCGTGGAGTTGTTGGATCAGTGGAAGGGCGTTGGTGGGGTGGACGATCTACGAGTCAAATGTGACAAAGTCATGCACGCCACGGCGTCGTCAAGTGGTGAGGAGCAGGCACAGCGTGATGGGGTCGACAAGTCGGGTTGAACTGAGCTGCTTTCCCGCAACGCTACCTTTGTTGCCAGGTCTTCCTGTTGCGCCGCGACGTGTGGTGAAGGTCCTCTGCCACAAGCCAATGTCAGGCGTCTGGTCGAGGGCTTCCAACGCCCTCAGTGTACCGGTTGTGCCAACATCTGAATCCTATCAGGGGATCAGCTCGACATGTCTGGACCGCCAAATGCCGGATCCGAATGGGCTACTTTGGCAAGGCAGCGTCGTCCCTTTGATAGCGGACACGGTACCCCCACACGAAACTACAATGAATGCCCTCCCACTCCCAGTTGGGGATCCTGTGCGGCCAAATCAGAAAGGCTGTGCTGTCCAAGACCAATCCTCTGTCCAAAAGGGATATTTCGACATCCTAGGCCTAGAGGACCACCACACAATGCTAGTGCGTCGAGACTCCATGCTACTCGGCTTGCACGGCAGATCCGGAGTGTCCATGGAGGTCGGGGCAGTGGGGGAAGAGAGAGAGAGCGAGCATACCCCTTCTTACGGACATCGGGAAGAAATGATGATCGACCAGGTGTCCAAAAGACCCGTTTCCCTGATGGGGACGGACTACTTCCAACAACCAACCTCCTGTTTCCTTTGCCGAGCGGGCTGGACAGTCCTTGCTTGTTTCGATCAGTAACCACTCGGGCTGGCCAGAGTCATGGCTAAGCGAATTGCATATAGTTTCAATTTCAAACTTTCGCAAACAATCGCAACCCGAGTTTGATGGCTGACAGACATGTGGCCGATCGACTTGATGCCGCTGGGGCTCGAGCATACACCTGACGCAACTGATGGGCAGGTACTGCGCCATCGTACATTGCCGTTGATCACCTCGAGTGTGCTGAATAGAACCGCTCACTGTCCAAGGCAACCATTTAACCAATTATAATATCTCCGCTCAACTGATATGTCACGATGGGAAGCCTGTCTCTTTTGACCGGAGCCTGAGCCTACAGGGACAGACGATCAAGAATACAAAAGGACATGTCGTCACTTTTAGACTTTTCAAATTCTAGTCTCTGATGTCTTGATGAGTTGGTTGATACTACCTGGGTAGGTACCATTTAAGGTAACGAAGAGGAGAAATGATACGTACTTATTAGATTTAGTATCGATCCTGATTCAACCTCAAACCTCACTCCTCACTACCGGTACCGGACTGGATTGGCGGGCTCAAAGCAAGCTGAGAGAAGTCGACTGATCAGCATAAGCGGCATCATCAGTTCCAGCGACTTTATCAGCAAGTCCATATCTGTCTCTTTATCTCTGTCGACGTTGCTGTTGATGTTGATGTTGATGTCGGTGTCTGTATGGATGATGTATCCATGTCTTGTACCAAACATTTGCGCCTCTCGCAAGATCTTCTTGAACGAAGAGTATACCAGGGGTTTTGTTTTTCAAAAAAGACAAAGAACAAACCCTTACCAGTTTCTTCGCTGCGGAGGTGGATGATAAGCCTCTGGACCTCCCCTCCACTCGTGTTCCTGAACCGGTTATCATGTCAACACTCAACAACTGGCCAGATACCTTAAGTTTGGACCACAAAGACAGGTCCCCTCCCCTGCTGATGACTCAGACACGTCCATGCAGGGTCTTGCCTACCTAGTATCTCCCACCCTGACCATGTTCCAGGGACGGCCCTTGTAGTCTGTAGTTTTCAACAACATAGGGCTTTGTCCAGAAAGGCCCCAAAGCTTAGAAGAACTTTGTTGCGGTGGGCCAAAGGGCCTGAAAGTTGCAGGTGGGTCGAATTTGGGCATAAGTACCTACCGAGAAACCCAGAAGAAGGTTTCACAAACACAAATCCCTCGGGAGGGGTGGTCGCCTCAGCTGAAAGAAAAGCGTGCGTAGACAACGGACATGCCGTAGCGGTAGCGGTAGAGGTAGCGCATCGGGAATGGTTTCGGGTCCGTCTGGCCGACTAAAAATGACACTTCGTTCTTCGTCGGACACTTTTTAGAGTGGCAACCAAGAACGGCCATATGCCGGGCCGTAAGAACCTTGAAAGGAAAGTGGGAAACCATCGCTACCGGGCATTGAGCGGACGCGGAAGATAAACCGCTTCAACGAAACCAGGGTCCAGCTGTCCTTCCTGCCAGTAAGCCAGTCAGCCACTGGTAGCATTGAGCAACTTTGATGATGTGTAAACGATGAAACGTAGCTGCAATTCGGAGTTTCAACGGACCAAACAAACAGCAGTCGAGAGAGGAGAGAGAGAGAGAGAGAGAGAAAGAGAGAGAGAGAGAGAGAAAGAGAGAGAGAGAGAGAGTCGTGGTCCCACACTGCTCGTCGAGGCCGGGGTGAAAGGTAAGGGAGCACCATGACAAAACAAAGCCTTGGGTGAAGCAACTTTCTGACTCAGCCAGAGGGGAGAGACCTCTTGGGTATTTAGTGTAGACGGACTGACCATAGAGAGACCGGCCGACAAAGAGACACGAATAGTCAACAGCACCCTCGGGCGTGCAGTGGCCCTGAATCAGGGTCGGGTCAGGTCAAGGGTCAGCATCAGCATCAGAATCCAGGGTATATCAACTTAAGATCTGATTAGGCAGTACCTTAGTTGTAGTCAGAAGTACCTTACCAGATCAGCCACTGCATCAGTTTGACAAGTCATCACGAATGGACTGGTGGAGCTTGTCCTTGGGCGTTCTCAGGTCTCGTGTCAAGCGTCAACCGTATCTCACTGCACGCAGAACCAACCTTACCTTAGGTACAACCCCATGGAGTAAGAGTCCCAGGACTGGAAAAAGCAACTGGCGCAGGATTCGTCCTTTGGTGAGTGAGCATCTCACGTCCTCTCCTTGTAGAGGTAGAGGTAGACGCAACGAGCAACGAGCAAATGATGACAGATCAACCATGATTCAGCCTCAAGGCTGGCTGTTCTTTTATGCCTAGATTGCCTAAGATACCTAGGTAGAATAGATGGGATGACTGGACGCTGTCAGACTTCGGTTAGCAGAATAAGGAAGTGCTCAACGACGATGGACCGGGGTGGTAGAGCTCAACGTGGACACATGGTAAGAGCCTCAAGGGTTGAATGGTGTAGCGAAGGGGTCAAGATGAGATGAGATGAGATACGATAGCATGGATGAGTAAGAGGAGAGTCTGAAACCACAAGCATTATGCGATATTGAAATGACCAGACAAGATTCCATGTGACGAAGTTTTGAGATCCAAGCTGTAATACAACACTGATTCGCCGGTACAAGTCATTTGAATTGACCAATTAGATACCTTGTAGGTACACACCTCAAGTTGTGCGGGCGATTATGCGTAGATATTATTGCCCCGAGTTATGTCAACAACCTTCAACCGCGCACTCTCCTTCGGTTCGACATGTCGCCCGATAAGCTTGCAACACTGCATTGCAGGTGCACTAGCATAAAGGTTGTGAACCTACCTATACTCTGTATAGTAGTAGGGTACCTGGACCTTAGTACACATCCTGGTAGCCTGAAGTAATCTCGGTCGTCGGATTACGTAGGAATTGTAAATGCGCGGAGCCGAATCGAGGGCTCTGACGATGGTCGTACGATATTCGATATTAGCTGCTTATCAGTTATCACAATAGACACCCAGTACTAACGAGTAGTAGTGTCAGGCTGCAGTACCTGCCTGACTGCATCAGATCTCCTCACAGACTCACCATATTCATTCGTTATCATTAATTCATCAATTCATTATTATGCAATTTGAGTTTCTCAGTGGCTTGCTATAGAACCCGTGCAAGCGCCAGTCCATGGACTGACCGAAGATGATCGACAGCAATATTGACAGTGCACCCACCACCCCCATCTCCCAAGAAGTTACTACGTACTGAACAAAAACAATAACATCATCATCATCATCATCATCATCATCATCATCATCATCATTACCATCAATATCGAGTTATCAGTTTGTTGGCGTTGATCTGGAAAAGAGCGGCTGGGGCCTGGATTCTCATCCTGCCATGACAGGGATTATGAAGATACGATACCGACAGCAACAACAATGATACCGAAGAGCATAGTGCCTGTCGGGTAAGGAGTCTTGACTTCTTGTCTTCCTTCTTGGAATATTGGCATCCAACCAACTCACAGACCGTTCTCGTAGGTTACTAAACTAAGGTAGTAGTGAGGAGTATAGAACGCCTGACTTCTTGAACTCTTCCCAGCAAGACATGATTACGACGCCGACGAGGCTTTGCGCGGGGCAAATGCATTGGCGCCTAGGAGGGATTCGTATTCGAGTTGGCGCCTTGGATAAGTAGAAAGAGAGAAGCGTACTAGTAGTGTGGCCTAATAATAAATATCATACCTACGAACTCGAACCCAGGAAGTCGCCAATGCCGAATACGTGGATGCATAAAAATCGTACAGCTTGAACACGGGACGAACCTCGACACTTCTTTGCCGACAAGCAGAATTGTACCTACCTAGTATCGTTCGTACAAAGCATCAGAGGATACAGGCTACGTAAGACGGAGAGACTCCTAAGTCCGTCCGTCGGCTTTGACTGCAGTGGTGCCTTGAAACTGGGTTGTCTGATCCGTCAGCATAAAGATAATACTCGGGCATTTCGAGGCTGCGCATTCAAGGTTGCCATCATCGATACAGAGTATGTCGAGCAGTGGTGACTACAGCTAACACACGTCTAGAATTGCTGACCTGAGCTCAGGATCGTGCCTTCGAGGAAAAGATGAAAATGAAAAGAGAAGAGGCAACAGGGACAGAGGCGGGCATGGCGCCTATATGCAAGACCGTACCACTATGGTAGTGGTCGACGTCGCCTCCCCAGCTATGAGGATCCCAAGACTTGGCCGCACAGAGTAAGCATTTCCGACGGCAGATGCCAGTTTGATGGATATGGGTACATACTACACTACTAGTAGTAGGTAAGCAATATGATACCCACAACTTACCTTAGGTAAGTGGGTAGATAGCTTAGGTATCTCATGAGGTTGGTTTTCCTATACTGTTAACAGCTGGCCAGTGCCAGGGCAGCGTTCAAATCAGCGACTGGGTTGGATCCCCTGGGAAATCGGCACGGCGCGAGCGTGGTTTTTAATTCATTTGCGGCACTCTCGATGGAGAATTTAGAGGGCGGGGGTTTCGTAAATTTATATTTTCTTCGCGCCCGCTGTGGGCAAAAGGAAAAAAAGGGTCAAAAGGGTCGAATGGGGAATTGATATGGAGCCCTGCCCTGTCCTGTCTTGCCCTTGCTTTAACGCTGTGTCGGTAATAATGGGCCACTGTATCGGGTGGAGCATATCGAAATTTATGGGAATTGCGATTCGAGAGACCCAGATGTTGTTCTTTTTTGAACGGGAAAAGAAAAAAAACATACCGCAAGTCTGGTTGCCAGGAGTGGAAATAGATACTCCTACTATACTACCACACACTGCATGAGATTGTCGACTCGGCGCCATGTCCGTTTCCATATAGAAGGGCGCACGAGCGTTCTTAGGAAATGCAGTGTGGGTAGACTGGAGACGACAGGTGAAGTGCAGGGGTTACTACGTACGTATTAATTAGCTTGACCCAAGGTGTGAGTGGAAGTCAAGATGATAGAGTATTTCTTGTTGGTAGATAGGTGATGGGTATAAAGGTAGCTAGGTGATAGGTATGAAGGTAGCTAGGTAGGTAGCTATCTTAGGTAGGGATGTTTTTTTTGGCATATACCGAATGAAACCCAGCTCTTGTGGTCTCTGAAGTCTGATCTCGAGAGCTCGATAGACAAGCCCGGTTGATGCGTGTCGCTACAGAGTATCGACATGATCTGTCTTGTCCCGGGTCCCGTGTCATCGTGAGCATCGATCAAGTCATGGAAGCGGACTCTCAAGTCATGGTTTCCAAGCGGTCGCTATTCGATCTTGTCGATAAATACCGACCTTTCACAGCGACCCTTGGGTTTGGGCATCCTCTTCGAAGTGCTCACTACCACCCTGCCGAAGTCATCCTCCTCCCCATGGTTATTTTCCCTTTTAACCATTCGTCATGCTTTCCATGCCTTGTGGACCGTCCTTGACCCCCAGAGTTGGCCACGTTTCAACAACACCTGGTTCCGCCACTCAGGGACATTGACGGCGTTGACATAGCGGGCGGCTTCGACACAGAACCCAGCCCGCGGTCCCCGAGCCGGAGTCTCCGCGGTGGCCGGAGCATTGATATACCTGCCGGTATAGAACTGGAAGGACGGCTCGGTGCTGAAGATATCCAAATGCAACTTCGTGCCGGGATGGTTGGCACTGATCAGCGGCTTGAGCGGTCTCTGTCGCGTATCCAAGGGAATGTCGGCCGCATCCGTGTCCACAATGAAACAGTGGTCGATGTCCGGCTCGGTGGCGCCCAGCACGAAAGGCTTGCCTGCCTCGATGCCGGGGAAGTCCTCGATCAGACCCAGAGGAATGTCGGTGTCGTCGACAGGCAAGTGTTTGGATGTGTGGAGTGTGACTTGTGTTCCTTCAATGGTAGGACCGTCGGTGATGTTGAAGTAGCTGTGCAGATGGAGAGCAGAAGTGGTTAGTTTGTATGTACTGTATACTAAACCGAAGCGATCGTCTGCCAATCCCGTGAAGATTCAATGTTCCGGACAGCACCCCCTTAGGAATGCTTGTACTTTGTTTAGGATGGGATGGATATAAGGACAAACAAAAACGTACCCATGATTGGTGACGTTGACAACCGTTTCCTCGCATTCAGACCCAATCAGCTCGACTTCATACTCGGTCTCCAGGACCGTCTTGGACAAGCCGTCTTCATCTTCCGTCCACGCGGTATACCAGACCCGGAGCTCAACGGTTCCAGGATACCCCTCCTCTCCGTCCGGCGAGACATAGGTAAACAACACTCCTTCCTTGCCGTTTCGGTTCACCGGTTTGGGGCCGTTGAATTTCTTCTTGCCCCAGCCTGACGTGCCGCCATGTAAGTGGTTTGGCCCATTGTTGGCCGCGAGTTTATAGGGTTTGCCATTGGCCCTGAAATCGGCGTTCTTGATGCGATTGGCCACGCGACCAATCGTCTCTCCGAAGAAAGGTGAGGTCGCGTATGGTTCTGGGTTGGGATATCCGAGAACGATGTTGTGGCCGGCGACTTTGAATTTCTGGATGATGGCACCTTGGGGAAGGAAAGAGAAGCCGGAGTCTGAGTCTGACGCCATGATCGTTATCTCAAGATCGAGGGTGTTGATTGTCAATGTAAGTACATTCCAGACCGTGAAGAAGTGATGATGACAGAAGACAATCCTGGAATCAACCTGAAGTCATCACAAAAAGGAGCTGCCTGTTGGTTGTGGTTGTGGTTGTAGCTGTTGGACAGCAAGACACCGGGTGGTTCAAGGTCATTTTTGCATTTATCCGGGGCCATGACTTGGATTTTGCCGGAGCTGAGGCTGAATGAGCCGCCACAAACCTGTGATGCATGGGTAGGGAAACCTTTTCCACTGCGAGACGGATGAACTCCCATGGAGATACCTGGTATGATTCAACTGGCAGTATACTTCAGTATACCTACTTACAGTGTGAAAGAGCTGCGTCCTGTCAACAGAGATGATGACCGTCATGACCACAAGAGTCCGCAAGGCTCTGGTGGGGTAAAATCAATCATACCGCAATACCAGACTTACCTACTCATTCTCTCCGAAAATGACATGAAGTGATTCAGAAACAAACCAGTACAGAGATACAGATACCAGGTCTAGTATCTGGTAACTCTGCTCAACAGCTGAGGATCGCGATACCGGTTAGTCTTCCGCTTCAAGCAAGCTACCGACACGGTCCCGCGAGAGGAAGGTCAGGACGAAGACGAAGACAAAGCAGACTCCCTCTTCCTGTTTCTCCCCTTGACCTTGTCCACGCTCTATTGTCTACAGAGCCGAGATTTCACCTTTCGTGGCTCTACCATCAAGATGATCCTACCGCCGGAATTGCAATATCGCGCAAAGACTCGATGATCATCGCTCATCGCTCATCGATCATCGTCATTCCATCATGGTGAAGCAAGCTGGCATCCACTATCCCGACACCCCCAAGCTCCAAGACTTAAACTACCGCGCGCCGTATCCGAAACGGGATCCGGATCCCTTGTTTATGTCAGAATCTTCCCGCCCTGACTAACGAAGGACCCCGGCACCGATCTTCCTCTCGCTTGGATGTTTATCGCCGGACGTATCGCTATTCCTAGGCGTTGCTGTTTCCGATATCTGCCCTGACATCTGATATCTAATACCTAAGCTCCTGTTATTGATGAAACAAGACTTTCTAAGCGGCGACGAAGTTGCCAACGAACCAACCAAGCTTGTCTGCTTGTCTGCTTGGCTACTTGTCTGCTCGTGTGCTCATCTACTCGTCCCCGTAACGAGACAATCAGTGACTTCGTCGCTTAAATGCGATCAACAAATATCCAACCAGGCCTGGCCCTGGCCTGAAATTACCCTGTATGAGATGCAGTGTATCCTGCATTATTTACTCTGTCCCTGTCCCTGTCCCTGTCTTGACAGACCTATCAATCAGTCAATCAATCAATCACAAGGCTATCAACAAACTCCCCTCCTCCCTTCTCTCAAGTATCACAAATTTAAAGGGGGGCGCATTGACAGGTCTAGAAACACGGGTCGCTTTCAATCACCTCTTCATAGAGTACGTCGCTTTCATTCACCTCTTTACACAGTCCACACTGTCTGCTTTGATATCTGTTTCTCTCTTGGCTTCACATCCGGAATCAAATCCGAAATCGAGTCCAAGCTTCCCCCTCTCCCCAGCCCTAGCCCGAGCCCTATATGCTGTCATCTGTCATCCGTCAAGACGCGAGGCTCGTGCAGAGTGCGTGCCCTCCAATCTCGGCCGCATCAGGGCACTACTCGCCTGTCGGCACTGTCAAATCCCAAAGTCCAATAGTACGTAGTTCCAGAACGTCCTGTTCATCTGTTATCTACTTTGCTACGTATCTGTTATCTGGTTTTCTGTTTTCGCTTCCAACCAAGTCAATAAATGACAGAGCCTGGGCACCAGAGCTCTGCTGAAGAACAGGAAGGGCAATACCTGGCGAGAGGAGAACAAATCATGTTTGGGAGAACTTGATAAACAAACAATAGGTAGGTATCTAGTACCACCAATCTAGGTACCTAATGAATTGCCAGATACTAGTACCACAGGGCTAGAGACGAGAGATATTGGTGACGGTTGGTCTGTTTCCCCAGAAGGAGGATTCGGTCACAACGATCAAATCTCATCTGGTCATGGCCAGTCTGGAGAGTACCTACTATTTGCTACTAGGTACCTAGATAGGTATATCCAGATTCAGGAGACAGTTCGGCGCAGCAGCATACTCTGTAGTATACCTTAGCATGGCTACCAACCCCTGCAGTCCTGTTGGGCTACTTTCTTGTGCTCCAGGTGCCGGCGGTTGAGGTACCTGAAGTAATGTCTGTAGGTACTTGAAGTAATATGTGTAGGTACCTGAGGTAATATCCAGTCTATCTACCTTATCTGATGTACCCATGTACCTACCTAAGGTTCGTCGTCGTCGTCATATCATCATCACCCATATGTCAACAAGGACTTTCTTCGGCACCAAAGTACCCAGGTAGGTAACCTTGTAGTCTATAGGTAGTCTGAACTCTGTACTTTGTACTGCAGTAGTCCTGCCCTACCATCTTCAATAATGTAAGTCCGGACCGTATACCCTATCTAAAGTACCTTAGGTACCTACCTAAGGTATCTTGGCTACATCGCCCCCTTGTCTCCTCCTACAGAGCGGGTACCTTACCTATCTTAGGTACCTCCCGACCTAAGGTATTCACCACTACAGTAGAGGTGCGAGACACCTCATTACGTAGGTAGTATACGAACCAGGACAAGGATCACGGATGAAACGACCCGGTAAGCTTTCCGCTCTGCCTCGCCAGCTGACAGTCGCCGATCAAGAGACTAGGAAGAAAGAAAAAAAGTAGAGACCGAAGAAAAAATTCGCCGCCTCGTCTCGTTTCGCTGTCCGAAGTCTCTCCTTACAGGGGAGTTTCAGTTTCGGTGGGAAACGATTAAGCGATTTTCCGCTGACTAACTCCCACCAAAGTCTCCACTGGCAGAACATCCACTGTAAGTAATTCATTAGTAAGCTCTAAATTGCGGTACCTGTACGACAAGTACTACAAAGCACAGTAGCAGATTGGTAGCGGTGTTCGTATCCGACAAACAAACAAACAGCAACAGCAAGCGGCGTTACATCGGATGGGTACCTACATGGGTATAAGGTTATGGTACATGGTACAAGGTACAAGGTACAAGGTACGTCGTGCTAGTGGTCATGGTGAATCGGTGACGATGAGTCCACATGTCAGGTTGGATAAGGTACCTTTGAACGTAGCTTTCCGGGTTTGTTTAGCTGCATCAGATTTGGGTGACTGGATGACTGAACGAAAGAATGAATGGAAAAAGGTAGAATAATTCTTTGTACACTGGACAAGTTCAACCAAGTACGTACTGTGTACAATGCCTGTTTGGAAAGAGGTCTGATAGCCTCGCTCGTTTTGTTGTTTCCTTCTTCTAACCATGTCTTGTAATACAAGTACAAAAGAGTACCATCAAGGTACTAGTAGATAGGAATACACACTCGAGGACTAGCAAACAGGTATAGCGTTTGAGAGAAGGACACCTTCGCCATCAAAACGATTGTGGTTGTAGTAGTCGGAGGCCGTCCTCGCTTCTTCGAGAACCAAGGGGGAAGTAGCCCTTGCCTCATGAACTCGCCTCCCCGACGGGGTCGCAGTTACTTCGCACTCTCTTGAGTTTGAGATAGATGTAAGAAAAAGCCCTCGGCGGGAAAACTGCTGACCCTAACCCAACCCAAGTATTTGCGCCTTTGTTGTTCCATATTGCCCCAACGCCGGATCCGTCGTAATGAGCGCCCGCTTCTTTCCTCAAAAGAGAGACGGAATAAAATACATCAACATGTTGTTCGTTTCGTGAAAGCTGGGAACGGAAAGAGAAACCCATTCTGGGGAATTTAGATCATGGTCGGATTGAAATACCGTTGTAGATCTTCCTGGCCTGCCCAGTCTTTCATGGTCAGACAAGGGTTGATGGCGGCAGGGGCGACGCCGACTTCGCCCGAAAACATGTTGGACGGATAGGAATTCAAGTCCAGCGACGAGTCGACATCCATCAGCGGCGACTCGAACTGGCTCATGAAGTCCAAGCTGTCGGTCGTATCCAAATCCGAGGCCGGCGTGTTCCAGCTGAGATTGGAGTGATGCGTGGCCGCATGAGGATAGGTATATGAATTATGTGACTTGGCCGGGATGCCCACCACCTGGGCGCTCTGTGGGAAGGGACTCTGGTTCGGCGGTGTGGGAGGGAACCGGTTGCCGTGGAACGGAGTCGGGTTGGGGAAATTGGGTCTTTGTGCGACCGGCTCGTACAGGGGTGACGCCGCGCTGTCGGAATGCGAGTCGTGAGAAGACTGCCGTTGCATGAAGCCCGCACCGTCGGCGATCAGTCTCTGTTGGAGCACCGTCAGGTCCTCCTCGAATACTTCGTTGGCACCGTGGCCGTCTAGCTTCAACACGCCGAGTCTCTCCAAGATGTCGTGCGTCAACGGCATGCCGTGGCTGGTCTCTTTCAACGGCGAGCCGGGCCAGCCTTGGCCATTCTGGGTGCGTCGGTATAGTTCTTGTAAGCCGGCCACCAGTTGGGCTTGTTGGCTTTCCAGCATCTCCACGTATCTGATAGACGAATGCTCAGTTAGAATGATTCTTGTTGCAGATGGTGGACAGGTTGGGACGTACCCCTTGGGATAAACCTTGTCTTGCGACTTTTTGCGCTCCCCAAAAACACAGATGGCGTTGTCCGCTTTACATCGACTACAGGGAGTGGCCCCGTCACACTGCAGACAACAATATCAGATCTTGGACCAAAGAGGAGCGGAGTCACACAAATGTGTGAGAGGCAGGCCGACGGACCTTGGACTTCTTTAGTCGACACCGATCGCAAGCCTTGCATACTCGTTTGCGAATACCCCCGTCTAGAGGTGATGATGGTTCCAGCGGAGGAGTCATGATTGTTGCGCCCATGAAGGGCGAGAAAGAAAAAGTGGTAGTGTAGTGTAGCAAAATATAGTATATCACACGAAAGGACCGTCCAATCGAAGTAATGGATGGGCAACAGTGCTGTAGTAGTAAGATCCAGGCGTGCCACGGGTCGATGTGGTTGGTATGTAGAGGGACCCGGTCAAGTCTTGTATTCGATCACGGACAGACTTTCTTTCACACAGCCCGACTCGACGTCTTGGTCAGCTTATGGAACAACAGATGTACAAAAGAGGAAACCTTAAGGGGAGGAGAGGTGGGCATGTGGACTTTCTAGGAGGGGAGGGCGACGAGGCATCAAGGCCCTATATATCATTCAGTAGTAGCATGAGCAACAGGGTTAGTAAGATGGAAGCAGAAAGCGACAATGCAATGTGGATCCCGAGCAGAATATGGAATATGAGAGCACGAGGCACCGCTTGGTAAGGTCGCTCTGAATATGAGCAAATGGCCTCAGCGTTCGCGGTGCACGGCACAAGTTTTGATGCACTGGCACTGACTGGTACGTCTGGTCGGCCACAGATCTCCTCTCTTTCCCAGAACCCATCTGCAGATGACCAGGGGAGCGAAAGCGCGCAACGACCGACCGAGCGAAACCCAAAAAAGATGATGCATGACCGGGGTGGATGTACGGATGTTGTTGCGGCCGACGCGACCAGGGGGGGGAGGAGAGGGTTGTTTGAAGGGTGGGACGGATGGAGGACGCTAGAAGCGAACGTTAGCAAGCAAAAGTTGAGCAGGGGGGGTGGGATGTCAGTCCCGAGGAGGAGACCAGGAGGAGAAGATGGGTACGGAGTGGTCATGGTGTTGGTGTTGTTGGTGGTGGTGTTTGGTGAGAGTGGGATAGAAGAACAGACACGAGCGAAGAGGATGGACCTCGAAGATGGAGGATTCCGCACCTGAGGTACTACAGGTACCCACGAAGGTCAGGTCAGGTCAGGTACTGCCAGTGGTGACGACGAAAGACCGAGTGCTGATTGGTTGGTGGTGTTTCTGTAACACGGTGATGACAAGAATGACATGGCCAGTAGCTGAGTGGATACGGTATTCTTTCGGTATGGTTAGTATTGACGCACCCCAAGTCTCCGGAAAATACCTTACCGGCCGTACATCGCCATTCAAATTATTAGGTCAGCCCTACTGATACCACTAATCCCATTACAGATCACTAGGTCGGTTACTAATCGACAATATACTGACTCTCAGCGCTACTAGTGCCTACTAGACACCTAACAGTCTTTGTCTAGAACTGGCCACAGGCTGCAGGCTACAGCGTTATCAGCACAGCACTGCACTCAACATACACGCAGTAATAAACCCAAAACAGCTATCCCGTCAACAAATAGGAGACATCCACTGAGCAAGTCGCAAACAGTCATGGCCCTCACAAGCCACAGCCCCTCCCCCGTTGAAGCGTATCTGAAAATGCCTCGAAGGGCGGGAGAAAAGCAGAGAAAGACAACCCAAGAAAAAAAAGGGGAGGCGTTGAATCCACTGTTCGGTGTTTACCCAGTGCCCAGCGCCCAGTAGAAGTGGCAGTCTCGGCGACTCGGCAGCAACAACGGGCCTCCGAGTCCGTAGCCGCGATTTAAAGAGCGAAGGCGCGAGCCTTGCCCCCTCGCGCCCCTAGGATCGCTAACGATCTACGATCAACTGGGGCCCTTAGGCTTCTTAAAAAGCCTCGACCTGGTCATGAGGACGGCCTTTCTTTTTCCTCAGCGCCATGCCAGCTGCGATCGCACTTGCAGCGGGGACCCGACAGGGGCATCCACCCTTCATCCCCATCATCATCAACATATCGCTCGTTTACATATTATTATTCTTGACCGAATTTGACCGGATGGGAATAAAGCCCAAGCCCTCCCATCGCCCTCCCACCCGTTACTGCTGCTAGTGCTTAAGCCTGAGCAGTCACGGCGGTGATGCGACGCGTGTGCGCGAAAAGCAAGAAAAAGGCGCATCGGGGGAGAAAGGAGTGAGCATGTCTTCTTCGCGATTGAGGAGAAAGAATCTACGATTTCTTGCATACTCCTGTGCGGAGAGACGTCCTTGAGACACCGTCAAGCACTTACTGATTACTCTACTGCATTACCTACCACAGCATATAATCGTGCAGGGTGACGTCTGGATATGGTTGGTATCTATAGAGCCAGGCGTTGAATCCTCGGTCCTTCCTTCCTTCCTTCCATACTGCTGCCTGGTTAGGTACTTACCTCTTGCCTACTGCCTATTGACTACTACTACTACTACTACTACTACTACTACTACTACTACTACTACTACTACTACTACTACTACTACTACTACTACTACTACTACCAGTATGAACAATTATGCACCACAGTTTTATCTTCTGACCGTTGACGACTTTTGATTTCTTGTATCACATCCTTCCAACCTCGCACCGGTCTTGTCTCGTCCATCACTTACTCATCAATATTTGTCTACTATGAAGAACCCAGTTTTTGTGGAGGCTGGGTCTACTACTGTATCCCAGTGTATCGCCGGTGCCAGTGGGTGGCAACCAATTTGTCGCGCGCTGCAGACTGACTGCAGCGGCCCACGTGGTTTGCAGGTGGCTTATGCAGCGTTATGCATCAGTTGGGCCCGGATGATCAATTCCTGACTGAAAATGAAAAATAATCATCCTCATCGCCCGACAATCAAACAATACCTGGTATAATTTGATCACTTCTAGTGTTTGGTCATTCCTTGGTCAGGCCCAGGATCCCGCTCCGGGTCTCTATCTCCCGGTACGAACCACGAACCACGAACGACGCAAGTGATTGCCCACGTCTCGGGGTTGTACGAGAACTATTCTGTAGGTGTATGTCTGTATGCTGACGCCCGGGATGACCACTATTATATTGTACCTATTGGCCAGCCATTCCATCCGTAATTTGCGGGTTATCGAGAGTAACTCCAGCTCTGCACCCCCTGCTGGATGTTCTTGAACGCAAGGGTATCTTTGTTCGTGCGCTTTTCGCAGATGGCTGCTCGATACATCGAGATTTGTGATTGGATCAGAGTGCTGTCTAATACCGGGCATATCTTCTCCCACGATCCGCTCGCAGCAATCGCCACAGGGGTATACTACTGCCACACTGCTGTACCATGTCGTGCACCAGGCCATGGGGAGAGTTCCGCATGCAGAAGTTGTGTCCGGCTCCTTGATTGGGTTATAGGGGCCTTGCCAGCCCTTGAATATGCCTCTTTGTGTTCTACCACGATCACCACGATCTTTGTTATGATGAGCTTGATCGTGGCATACATATTTCCCTCAGCAGCTTTACCGTTCACGTTGCCGAACATTTAGAACCTTGATCCTTCGATCTTGCGATCTGGACATACACAGTACACACTGCACAGTACGTTGTTGCTGCTAGCGGACATCCCATGACATGGTCCGTTGCCATGCCTGCCGCAGCCAGTGATGGCCACGAAGACACCAGCCGTGATCGCTGTAAGATATGTCTCCTCTTTTCACCACGAGTCCAACCCGATTTGCCTTGAGTCGCCGTCGTTGTGATTGAACCAACTTGTACAAGTCCCCGCCATCCAAAGGACAAACATCCTCTTGTGCCAGTCAAACGGGTAACGCAGAAGCTTCGGACTTATCGGTGTTTATTTCAACACCTGGCGTACCTGATCAGCGGTATACCTACCACCCTTGTTTAGCGGCAGGTAGGTATGATCGCGTCAGGAGTCGAGCGGACAGATTCCGCTGGAGTCGATTGTGGACATTGTCCATGTCACCCCGACCATGATGTTGTACGAACACACCCCCAGGCGTCAGGGATATCATCAAATACGCGGAAGCCCCAACTTATCCCTTAGAATCATCGATTTTGTCAGCATGGCAAGTACGCGCACAGCGCGTATCCAGTCTTCATGGAGCTGCAACGTTGATCGGCACCAGGCACACGGGGTGCTCCTGGTCATTTGATCACGTATAGCAAGCTTTGGTGGCTCTGTTTCGCATCATGCTGTCTTGGATCCTTCCATGTAGATTCGAAGGGGGCTTCCGCTGGAAACAGAAACGTCTTGCCTCCTAGACCGCATTACTCTGTGACTTACATGGCATGCAGTAGCCATAGGACCTCGAAATGCTTTGCGTCGAAATCCTCTGCCAATCAAGCACCCACGTACCAGACCTCAACGCCGAGAACTTCGAACGAGCGGCCTTCATCACTCAACGGCTCGTTCCCAAACGTGGGACAAGTCTCACTGATGCCATTGTTGAGCTGATCATCCAGCCATAGTCCATAATGGCCATCGCCGCCCCCAATGGAAAGATAACTGCTTTCGCAGTAAATTAGAAAATCGTTGATCCCACTGTAAGGAAATGCCTTGAATCGTATGTGGTCAGGCGTCGAGGCCCCTGACCGACTTGACGGCCGCTGTGTCTGCGCTGAAGTTTCCACGTTCGACATGGAGACAGTGCTTGGGGCGTGTTTCGATACAGAAGACGTCCGGCGCTCACCACGAATTGTTGTTGCTCGCTGAAGATGGGTGGTGTCGGCACTGGGAGGGGGAGGCAGCCCAGCCAACTCTAGGATTTCTTCAGAGTGATGGCTTGCACCGCTGTCCAAGGTCACTGGCAAGTCCTTGAGCGCCGGCAGGATGGTGGCTCGCCACAGGAAACACTCTCCAGTCCCAAAGTAGTGCATGGAGGGTTTGGGTGCATCGGAGAGATATGCCCCAAACACAGAGCCATTCGCTGACGCCGCAGAGCCATCACGCACAACCAGGACATAACCAGATCGCTGCGTGTATGTCGACACTCTTGCACATTGTTCATATAATGTCGCCAGCGAGGATCCATTCTCTTCCAATGAATATGCCAGTTTCCAATGATCGATCAGCTGTAGCCTCGGTGGGAGTAACAGTCGAATCTCTTCAGCAAGAGATCTCGTTAGCAGGAGTGAATCGACTTCTCTGGGCGACAGGGAGTGTTGCAATTTGAGAGGTGTTAAAGGAGGGGGCTGAAAAGGAGAATGTGCCCTTTTCGGGAGCGTGTTTACACGCGACGGCATGGACGGGACGATGGGAGCCTCAAGGAGTCTGTCCACAGGGTGCTCGGGAGGTTCGGTCATACGGCGATAGAGGCTGGATACGACATGCTTGACGGGGTAAGCCAGGTATGCGGCTGAACTGGGATTGTAAGGATTGTCGGCGAGTGTTGGTCGAGTGTCGTTGGATTGGAGGGGATCGTTGCCCGAGTCATCCTTTGAGGCCATAGGAACACGTAGAAGGGAAGGTAGGCAGTCGCTTGACTTCTGCTGGAATGCAGGAGGGTTGCAGACAGTAGGAATCTCAATGTCGGTGGTCTTGAGACACGCGTAGTTCGTGGCGGATAGAGGAGCGGATGGTGCAGTTGTTCCCATGTTTCAGCCTTGGGGGCCTTTGGAGCCTTGAGGCTAGTGGTGATGGGCGGTGGTGGTGCTTGAGGATAACAGGGCGCTGAGCCAACCAGACAAGGCTGCCTTAACACAAGGTTTGTGCCTGTGACGGTTATTGGCGCAAGTGTGTCATGTGACTTGGACCCGTCGATCAGGCTTCACTCACCTCTAACCATTTTGAGCCTAGTGGGCTGCTAGCGGTGGGCGGGCTCCGGTTGCGTCACAGCCCAATTTGGGTCTTTTCCCACTGGCGCTGCCTGCGGTCTCCATCTTGGAACAACTGCAACAAACACAAGGATTCTTTCTTGTCAACATTGATGAACTGCGGTGCGTTCTTATTGTATTTGCCATCTACTACCGTTTTCGCATGTTTATTTCTGCTTGATAGCCCTCTTGATCTGGCGTCCTTATTGGATCCGATCGGACTGCCCCCAGACGGAGCGCGTGTGAACCTTAACCAAAAACAGACTGGCCGAGACAGCACCCCGCCACCATGTTTATGATCAAGAACGGTATGTTCCTTCCCCCACGACCATCCCACCAAACACCTGACTCACTTCAATCTCATTTGTAGTCAGCAAATATCTCTTTGGAGACGCCTCTAAAGAAGTCATCGCCGAAATCCCCCAAGGCCAGCTCTACATTGTCCGCCCGCTATCACCCAAAGGGTACTCCGAGCTCATCTACAAAGACGCCGTTGCGACGATCAGAAGAACTGGGCAGGAGTTCCAATACCAGCTAGTCATTCAACGTGCCTACGAAGAAGGAGAGGAAGAGCTAGCAGAAGACGACGAGGACGCCGCGACCGAGACTCTGGATAAGGACGAAAAGACTTTCCTTCTCGACGAGAGTTTGCATTTCAGATGCGAAAAGAGATCTGGCGGCGAATCTGTCCTTGCCTGGCGGGACTTGAGCGGGGATCCTGGTGATCTCTACGAATTCGTCTGTGACACTTCGGTCCAGGAAGAGAAGATACAGACATTCCTACTAGCGGCCGTCGACTGCCAGTACGAACGCAAGTACCGAAAATCCTCCCAAAATGCAACCGATGCCGAACTGAAAGAATTCTACTTCGAAACCGACGACGCCATTCCCGCTGCTAGCCCCCTCACAGACTCGATAGACGAAATGCCCACCTCCAAAGAATCGGCCGAGCGAATGGCCAAGGATGTCCAAACCCCCAAGAAAGCGAATATTAGTCAACCACGAGAGCCAACTACAGAGTCAACAGTAGCACCGGTGGCGAAGACTGCACCGAGCTCTGGACAAGTCCTCACAAAACAGAATGGGGAGTTGCATCTCTTCGATTTCAATTCTGGCACTTTCATTCTCCAAGATCCATCTGTCGTTGCCGTTGTTTCCGACCTTGGGAAATGGCGATATTGGCTGCAAATTACCAGCTCGGATGGTAGGGAATGGCTTGGACAAGAGGTTGTGGCAGACATCAATCCGGTCTTCAACTTCGAATATCTGTCGGTCATCTTCAATCACTACACCGATGATGGATCTGCATACTCCTGGCTTCTGCGCTTCCCTAATCAATCAGTGCTCGAACAATTCCAAGAAGGGATCATGCAAGCACTATGGGAACAGCTGAATGAGATGAAATGGTCAAAAGTCCAGGACCCTGATCGTGAATACGTGTTTGAAGCCTTCAATGATATAACGCTGGACGACGCGGGTGAAGCGGAGGAGGAAGAGGGCGAAGAAGAAGACGAAGACGAGGAAGAGTCTGAGGGTGGGCAGCAAAGTGAACACTACGACACAGACGAGTCAGAGGATGATGTCGAGCTGGATGACAAGGATGGAAACGTCAATTCGCAGTTGGCCGTGGGTACGAAGCACGATCGATCATTCGTTATCCGAGGCTCCAAGATTGGTGTTTTCAAGCATCTGCCAAATCGACATCTTGAGTTCACAACCAACATCTCCAAAGTTGAGACGCCGAAGGGACGCATATTCTCACCAAACAAAGTGATGCTGCATTCTGAGGACCAAAACATGATCCTCCAAGACGCCGACAATCCCAACTCCCTCTTCCGCATGGATCTCGAATATGGCAAAGTTGTCGACGAATGGAAGGTTCATGATGATATACCCGTGATCAACTTTGCCCCAGAAACGAAATTCGCCCAACGTACGTCGGCGCAGCCATTTATTGGTCACAGCAAGAATGCCATCTTCCGGATAGATCCTCGCGTCGCTGGCAACAAACTTGTGGAAAGTCAACTAAAGCAATACATGTCAAAGAACGACTTCTCTGCTGCAGCGACAACCGAGAAAGGTCATATCGCAGTGGCATCGAACAAGGGAGACGTTCGCCTCTTCGACCGATTGGGTGTCAACGCCAAAACTCACATTCCTGCTCTCGGTGAATCGATAATTGGTCTCGATGTCAGCGCCGATGGTCGATGGATTCTTGCAACCTGTCGCACGTATCTCCTCCTCATCGACTCTCTCCAGAAAGACGGCAAGAACGAGGGCAAACTCGGCTTTGAGAGGTCTTTTGCGAAGGACAGCAAGCCTCAGCCACGACGACTTGGCCTCAGCCCTAGTCACGTGGCCCAATTCCAACACGAGACGGGCGCTCCTCTGTCGTTCACGCCCGCGAAATTCAACACTGGTCTAGACAGCAGTGAAACGAGCATCATCACCTCGACGGGACCTTTTCTTGTCACCTGGAGCCTTAAGAAGGTCCTTGCTGGCAGTAAGGACCCGTACCAGATCAAGCGCTATACTGCGCAGGTCATGGCCGACAACTTCGAGTTCGGGTCCGACAAGAACGTCATCCTCGCTTTGCCCAACGAAGTCGACATGGTCAGCCGGCGGAGCTTCAAGAAGCCGACCAGGGAGAGCATTGCAGGACCGCCCGCCAGGATCAGTGGAGGCCTCGTCACACCTAGACGCAGTGGCAGACAAAGCCACTTGAGAAACGAGATCGTCAATAGTCCTTACTAAGTCAAAGAGCGTCCGTTGCGCCACGGTCTTCTTGGATGGTATGGGCAGTACACGGAGGGATAGGCGCGACTGCGAGTGATGTGGTCGGTGCTCGGGTTCCGTCGGGCACAATCGCCGAACCGGTCATCAGTACTGGATTGTTACGGTTTCGCTTTTCGCAGTTTCTTACCAACGATGGGCGTACGGGGAGACAGAGCGGGATGCCAGTTTAGCAATTCTTCGTCGTCCGCACTTGCGTTGACATGATATGGTCCATGCTCCTCTCTGCATAGGCATGAGAAACATGAATCGATACCCCCTTATGCTATGTCCACAGAGGACACGTGCAATTTTGGATTGAGCTTTGGACGCCTTATCGTCGGGTAGTGCTTTGTTACTCTTCTGAATCCGACTCGAGGTTCGTTTAGAGTAGATTATGTAGGTAGTAATACAACTTCGATAACCTTTGTTGGGTTTCCATCTCACGTTCTAGTACCGACGACTGAACTATTTATTGACGCCCGGCTCTCTCTCTTGATTGTCGAGTTTCGACTTTGGATCGACTTCCTCGGGAGAAGGTCCTTCGCCATATATTCACAAGTGGTCTTTTGTCCGGGGTCATACTCCATTCCCGGTGTCAAAACCAACATCAGCATCATCCTGATCCTGATCCTGTCCGCCAGTGGCCATGTTCCAGACCCTCCATCTCAGACGGTCGATGACTTCCTTCCTCAACCAGGTGCCTCCGGACCTGTTGAACCATTTCTCGTCATCGCCATGGACACCAGTGCTGTTCTCCTGGTGGGTTTGTTGCTGTTGCGGTTCAATTTCTTCATCTTCTTTCTCCCATCGATCGAACCACGCAAACAACAGGCGCAGTTGCCACAATTTATCTTTTTGCATCTGACCCTGACCCTGACCCCGACCTTGTCCTCGACCCACCTGAGACTGCACTTGTTGTGCGGCTGTCGAGATTGAAGAGGAAGTCCTCGAAAGGACACCATCTTCTGGCGGGAGAATGCCCTTCTCGAACTCGAGTCTCGAATCGACGACGGTGGTCTTCAACAGCTCATTGGCATTCCATTGGCCGATCGGCGTCGGGTTCAAGACCAGCGCCCGCTCCGCATGATCGAAGCCCTTCAGCGAATCCAGTTCGAACAGCCATTCGAAAGGATTTGCCGCCTTGGAAGTCCCCGAGCCGGTCGCATTCAAGCCAGCAGCGCCGCCATGAGCGTATGCGTGCGACGAGACGGAATTGGGATCCACACTCGGAATGCCCTCTGCCTCGCTGAGAGCCTGTAGTTCGGCCGTGAACAGATCTTCGGAAGGTCGATCATAAGCCGCGCGCCGACGGAGTGTGACATTGATGCAATTTTCGGCCTTGATCCTTTGTCGTAGCGCCTTGGTCCCGTCCGCGGTCGAGTCGAAGTCGATGCAGCCGTCCCAGAAGCCTTCGCCTTTGACTTCGATTGATTGGATCATGTCAAATTCCGGTACGAGGCCAGGGAGACGGATTGATTGGGTGGTTCCGTCTTTGAGGTGGATGAGGGCCGTCACTCCGCCGACTACCGAACCCCCTGCGTCGCCGTCGCGAGCGACGAGACATCGTCCCTCGACGGCAAGAACCCACAGATGACGCAGGGCTTGGAGATGCGCGCGGTTGTCCAGGACGTCGCTGGGGAAGACGGGGTAGAAGGCGATACATAGACTGGCGACGGCGAGTTTGGACGTGCCGAACGTCCTTGTCCCGCCGGCAAGAAACAGCGTGCCTAGAGCCATGTGCGCTGCCAGATGGCTTCCGTACGGTGTTTCCTTGTCTGTGCGGCCATGGAGAGCGCGTAACCGGCGCATGACGACCAGATCGCCGGATCCTGCCATGACAGAGGCGGCGGCCAAGGCTAGCGCGTCGAGACAGTTGCGGACACTGTTCAACGTCACCCTTGCGTCGTAGTTGTGTGCCGGCAACCGGCTCAGCCGGAGGAATTGGTCGAGATAGGAGACCAACAGGTCACGAACATCCTGGCGCTGCGATCCGGCAAACCTCAGTCCCAAGGCGAAACAGACCCCGGCCACGATATTGAAGAACGGGAGATCTTCCGTGCCGAGCGTCTTCGTGGATTTGAGGTCCGCACGTCGTCTGTAGGGCTCGGGCAGAGAGGATTGGATAAAGGTCTGGGTAGGGCTAATTGAATCCCACATGATCAGGTGGCGAGCTAGCGTGCGTAGAAGGAAAATGTCGGGTCGGACATAGTCGAACTGGTGAAGAGTGTCTGGGATGTCAACCTTTCTGGCAATGATTTCGTCGTTTGTCTTGAGGAAGATGAATGCGAGGGCCATGACCGCTCCCGCTGTGGCGCGGTCCAAGACATGAACCATGTTCACATTCTTCGTTCCTACAGCAATGGTGAGCAGTCGTTCAGTTATGCCCATATCGTGAAGACCGTGGAGGCGTCGGCCGTGACCCAGGTTGATGAGGCCCAAGGAGAATCCTGCAGCCAGGCGATACCCTTCGTCGCGGAGGACGGTATCGGAAGCAGCCCCTTCTTCAGGGTCGTTGTTTTCGATTTCCAAGAGCATCACTTCTGACATGCGACGATGTTGAGAGTTGTGATAGAGAAGCCCAATGCCCATGATGCCGGTCGTCTGGGTTAATGGCGACAGATTTAGTTCAGCAGCACCAGGAGGTAGCAGTCGAGTGACGTGGACGGAAAGAAGTCGCGTGATCAAGGTGTCCATGGTCCCCAGGAAAGAGGCGGACAAACCGAGGAGCAGACCGACGGATGTCATGGTATGCTTAGGGGTCAGATACTTGAAGGCCACCCACTTTGCAAGTGTCTTTAGATGGCCATTGAGACCTAGAGCGAGCAGGAAACCCGCATGTCTGTTGGTCAGTTCCGGCGGCTTGTTGTAAAGGATCCAAGAGGTATCAATGCCTGGCGCGTCGTTTGAGATCATCAAACCCATCGACGCTCCATTATGGAAGAACGCCCAACATACTTTCTCTTCGGTGAATGAGGCTTTGTCGGCGCTGAAGGTCATAGGTTGGGTACTCTCGTTTGTAGTGCGAGGCTTCAAGACACACTGTAAGCTGAATGCTGGAATCGGTACTCTCTCAGTCAGCAACGGAACTCGGGCATTGAAATGCATCATGCCTCTCCCGGTCGCCACAGATAATGTCCGTCGAGTGACATGTTGGGCCAACTCCTTTTGTGCTTCCAAAAGATCGACTTCTGTCCAGTCTGGTTCCGGTGTACATTCAACGACTGGCGCTCGTGTCTGGTTCACAAGTTTGGAAGCTTCCGGAAAGCGACGGTCCTCGCTAAAGATCAATTTTGTAATCGCATTCCGGTCGGCTTCAGAAGATGCATCCCAACGTTGAAGTGCTTCAGCTTCTAGAGCAGATGAGCAGATGCTGTGATAGTCTCTCAGCGCGTCATGAGTAGAGGCAGAATGTAGCTTGTGTGCATAGTGCGCTTGGTCGTGGTTGCTGTGCCCTTGACTCGTCCCCAATACGCTGCCACCGTCAGCATTCCCCATTTTATCCTTCCTGTGACACTTGGAAGCTATGGCTTGGTGAAAGGCGGCAGCTACGCCGTCAGGCAGGTCGCGCAGGACCTGCTCATCAATGCCGGCCCTCAACATAGCCTCAAGGGTCTGTTCAGTTCCGAGACGATCTTTCGCCTGCTGCATGAAGGAGAATAGTGCTGTTGTCCGAGGTGTCAATTCAATAGTCCGTTGCCATCGTGGATCGTCGCTTTCGATAGTCTCACCGGCACCAGCGATTCTGGCCAGCGTCAAGAATGGAGAGGAAGTAACTCCATTTATCCAACTTTCAAGGTATTGGTAGATCGAAGGAGGGACAAAAGGCTGGGCCGGCATCCGGAGCCCGTCGATTATTGATAGGTCAAAGAGACATTTGTTGACACTTGAGGATTCGAACTCGTAGTACGCGTTGGTGTCGGAGGACCAATCTTTCCATCCAAGCCAGCGGCCGAGTTGTGACATGACCATGACAAGGTTACTTTGTGACCGAGCCATTCTCAAGGGTGTCGTGATGTCAAGTTTGCTTTCTTCGTATAGGAGATGCAACCCTAAGAGAATCTTTGGGATCGCATTGCAACGATGGTCTCGTTCTTTATTGATTGAAGTTGGTAAATAGCCCTCAGGCCCCAGAGCACCTTCGCCCAGGGGCGAGAGTGTGTATTCTCTGGCCAGGGCAATGCATGTCATGACAAATGAATTCTTCTTCTCGTTGCCTGCGTCACCGGCAGCGGACGTGCTTGTAACACGTGTGTGCTTCGACTTTGGTGAGATCGTTGAGCTCGCTGGCCGTCGTTGCAAGAGCCAGCCCCAAGCTGGGCCATGCATACCAGCGTTTAAAGTCATATCATGCTCTTCCTCATGCATAGCGTCATAATTCGTGAGGTCAATAGAGCTTCCACTGCTGGAGCGAAGGAAGGGACCCTTCTTCCGTCGTTGACCCGGCGTGGAATGTGAGACTTGGTTACTGATAAATGGCACAGCAAGTGAGAAGAGGACCACGACAATAGCAGTCCATTCTGAATCGATCGGCGGGTCTCGACCTCTCAACCACCGCGAAACTTCCCAGAAACTGACCAGTAGCGTCTCGTTCTGGTGGACATCCAATACCAGTTCAGACATCTTGAGGATATCGAGGACCAAACGATCTCGTGGTGCCAGTCGAAGTAGGATTGAATGTCGACGGTGATCTTGATCAGTGGCGTAGATTTGGGCTTGACGTCCGGAGTCGAGGAGACCACGCAGATGTACTTCTGCCCCGGAAATCATTCTCCTACTTCCTGTGTCTTTGTCTTTTCTCGGACTGTAGGATTGTGGGCCGACTAAGGGATCGAAAATTGCATATCGCGAGGGCAATTCGACTCCATAAGAGGGGGACCAAGGTGCTTCCAGCTGCAAAGACATGAGTTGTGACCGAGAATGTGTCAAGACCACGAGTCGCTGGACATGGCCATCGACGACTTTGCACACATCATTGATGCCAGACAACCTTCGGATCTCGGTGGCTTTGAGTTCAAACGATGCTGGAGAAGAGATGCGTGTTGTTACGCTTCGGTGATTGTCAACCTTCACAAGGATTCTCACCAGTGTCAACTCTTGGTGTGGCTTATCCATTACACATATGTATATCTCTCTCACTCGTGATCCGTTCCGGTCGTGTGCTTGCGGAGTCAAGGTCAGAACCTTGAGCTCGGCATTGGGATGGGTTTCCTCAGACCCCTGGCGCCGGGGGAAGGATTTGACCCTAAAAAAGCCAATGTCTCTCGGCAGGTTACTTTCCGAGCCATGGATGTTTTCCTCTTCCAAGCGGGTCGATTGGCGCAAAGGGTCGAACTGTTCCAACAGCCCCTGGGCTGAGATGTCCAAGTAGGACGTTGCTGTACTGAACATGGATGCAGTGGTCTGGAAAGAGCTTCTCCGGCGAAACCCTAAGCTTCGACGGTCATTGAAACTCCCAATAGACTCCCCTCGCCTACCTGCGCGATGAAGACTCTGGCGGCCTCCATGGCCCTTTGCAAGGTCATTGAACATGTTCCGATCTGCTCCAGTGCCCAGGTCAGTCCGCGCCAACATAGAGCTGACTCGTCGAGCCGACCGTGTCTGAATTCCGACGTCTCCAAACTCAGGCCCAAGTCGGGAAACGAGATCGTCTGTTGGATCTGCCGGGAATGATTGTTGTTCTTCCGCAGAGGGAAATAGAGGTACTTCTGGATACTGTTGCCCTGAACCTCCAAGACTCTCTCTGAGATGACCGGGTCCTCGTGCGGATTGGGGTGCTTCTCCAGGCTCCCGCAGATAGACGTTTGAGCTCTTCCTTAACGACGCCCGTGATCGCACATGGTCAACTTTTTTGCTCCGCTTGTCGCCACGCTCGGCCACTATATCTGAACTAACATGCCAGAGACTGAAAGTCGAGTTGGTCTCATTGAGCGTCAAAGCCACACACACCGGTCTGGAAGGAGTTTGAAACAACTCCAGATCGTTGTACTGCGAGACGAAAATGACCTTCTCTGTTCTGGGTAGGGCATTGCACTCTTCGAGTGGTTCACCCTTTCGACTTGGGCTCCAGACCACCAGCCCTAACTCGGACATCAATTCAGTGAAGGAGAAAGTACGCGGCATGCCATTGGCATTCGCCCGGATAGGGGCCGGAGTTGAATGCTCTCTCTCCGGGAGGACAAGCGATGGTCTGGAGCTGGTGCCTCCGATTGAGGACAAGGTCTCGTTGATGGTGCTAAGATCATGGTGTACCGAGACAGCATGACCTGTAGCCTCACCTTCCCCCAACTTCCGTTGCAGTATGAATCCAGACGGAAAGGCGAACGCCGACTCAACTTCGAAGGAGAGGGGCAGAACATATCCATCTCCCGAAAGGAGAAATATGTGAGCTTGGGTTTTCAGCACAATCACCAGGCCACGTTCCGGGGGCTTTGAAACCCCGTCACGTCCTTGGTCGAGTTTCCCGGCTTCTTCCTGCTCTTCTGCAGATCCGAATTGTGTGACAAAGGCCTGTAGGATGGGCTCCTCCTCGACTTCAAGATTCAGTGCCCGTTTGATGGCTCCATTTCGGGACCACACCACACAATGTTCCGTATAGAGGATCTCCTCCTCTACAAAGCCTGACGAGGGTGTATCTCGAACCCGAGATACTGTCCATTTGTAGAGAGAAGGTGAGGGATCGGGCGGGAGGATCGATTCGGCAATGAGGTAGTGCAGCCCACTCGGTTCATGGAGGCCGAGCGACTGGACTGAACTCATGGTTCCGTCTTTGAGGGGACACGTCAATGGACATGGGAGACCGAGATGACCGTGTAGACCTTTCAGCCATATCTCCGAAGTGCCATAGATGCCAGACGACAATAAGTCGTGGTGAAGTGGAATGAATGAATGCCTTGAGCTGGTTGTGGTTGTGGTTGTGGTTGTTGACACGCGACGCGCTCAAAAATTCTGGGGAAATCTTTCCAACTCCGCAAGTTGAACGTCAATCGACGCTCACTGCATCTAGTACTGTGTACAACAGCAACTTGTTGTTGATTCCCTCAACGTCCACGACACTACATTTCCCTCTGAACGGCATCTCTTGCATCATGGAGCGGTCTGTTCTCCGCCAGAACGAGCGGTTCCAGCTCAGGTAAACCTTCCCATCTCATGACCCCTCTCATCCATAGACTGATAGACTTGTAGCTACGAACTCCCTCACGAAGCCTACACGTCGCACGTCTATCCCCGACAATCGTCGAACGGTTCTACGGTGATAATATATGGACACGAGCGAGGCTTGCGTCTCGTATGGTATGGAGGAAGGTCTTTCAAGCCGCCCAGACAACATGCGCCTCCTGCGAAAGTCAATGGAGCGGCCAAGTCTGATGCCATGGTCATCGACCTCGACGACGACGACGATGACGAAGAGCCAGCCGCGAAACACGAACAAGTCCCACCGGCAGAGTTTGAAGAGTACGAGGACGAAGTCGACCCTTCTGCACCTTATGGCGACGTTCTTCGATATATCGATATTCCACTAGGCACCGCAGTGCTGCGACTGGCGACACCACATGTTCCCAAGGACGTCGCGCAGGCGCCCACCGGATCATGGCCTTCCATCTTTCTCGACCGAATCGTGGTGGCCGTCGCTTCTCCAGACTCTGCTATTCACGTCATATCAGCTCCTCTCGACCCGCCTTCTCCTGAGGTCAAAGATGTCTCAAAACTTGACATTCAAACATACAGGATCTTCGGCCCCAATTCTCATCCGGACTTCATCTCTGACATTGCAATCACCCATACCAAGGCTGTGCCGGATGATACAGAGGACGAGGCGCAACTACGACCCAAGACCGAGCAGAGTTCCACCGACCCAGATGCTGCGGGATGGTTGCTCCTCGTCGCATCAGTATCGTGTACAGGATCAGGATTATTGCTCGTGCATCAGATTCCACTACAAAGCGACAATAGGCTCCCTGCGAAAACAAAGCGTGCGCACCCCATCCGAAGACAATACCTACCCTTTTCTGCCATGAGTGCGAAACTGGCCTTCAACACCTGCCCGTATCCCGCCGAACGACATTCCACCCTGCTGATCACCCTCCCTGCCGCCTCGTGCGTCAAGCTGTATCAAATTTTTCCCACCTACACCCGAGAACGCAGAGGGTCTACCGCCACAATAGATACCGTGTCAAGCAACCGCTCGGCACGGAGTGCTGTGGGCGGGCGTGGGAAGTTCCTCATCACATTTCTCCCGTCATTCAACCAGGATGATGACGAGATACTAGTCCCAAGAAGGAAGCGAGTGCTGGATGCCCAATGGATTGCCGGTGGCCGGGCCGTCATCGCACTGCTCGAGGATGGAGAATGGGGGATTTGGGATCTCGAAGCCGTCGGACCGACATCGAACAGCGCAGGGAGCAACCTGATCCGAGGCCAGGGAAACATCTCGGGAATACAAGGCGGATCACTGACCGCGTTTGCCACGCGCTCCAACATTTTCCAAACAGCAGAACGGAAACAGAAGCCCATCAACGCTGGAACCCAACCCGCGACAGGCTCCTTGGTCCCCATGACCCCTTCAACGCGGAAAACGCGATCGGAGAGCCTGTTCCACGGACAGCCGGGAACCGATAACTCGAAGGTCGCGAGACCATCCAGCCAACCCGGAAGAGGAAGCATCTGCGTCGAGGACAGATTGTCGAACCGAGGACGCGACGAGTCCGTCATGATCAACTATGCAGATGGAATCGTCTACATGCCTTCGATCCTCTCGTTTTGGAAATCGGAAGCCAAACCGACCCGACTTCCCGCCGTCAGATACGGAGGCCAGCAGCTCCGTTCCATTGGCCTCGTCCCGAAATCCGACAACACCGACAACAGCGACTCGCCCGGCTTGTTTGGCCTTGCGTCTTCGATCCCCAATTTCCTCGTTCAGACGGATCACCGCCTCATTCTATCCTTGAATCCCCTTCCGGAAGTATCCACCAGCGATGCGGCCACGCAGACGCCGGCCGATCCTGCTCCGCAGACGACATATCAGGCTCTGCTCGCTGTCGGGGATCTGGACGTTGACGGCATGGATCGGATTCTTGAAGACATGGGCGCCGCCGACGCCTCGAAACCAAGGCCGATGAATCTCTTCACTAGGAGTGTGGGATTCCGGATCGACGAAGATGTGGACATGGGATCGCCCACGCCTTCGAAGTACCCTCGGCGCATGCTTGGGAATGGCCTGACTGCTCAGGCATCGCAGAGACGGGTGTTCACATAAACATCAGATCCGCAACACGCACCCACCATCGAGATACCCTTGAAATGAGAGAGTTCTATTGGAAGATTCTTCTCTAGCCGAGAACGAGAACGAGAACTTTCAGCAAACCAAAACACATGCACCCCCAGCTTTACTTGCGTGTGGTTCTTGTGCAACACTTCTGTCTTGTTCTATCCTATCTTCTTGTCTGGTTTCAGACTTTGTGGATCAGACCACATGACATCTCCGAGCAAGGGCATCAAGCCCGGAATTCATGCCTGAATTTCAAAAACCAAGCGACGGAAACCCATCAGGATACCATGGCGCACACTGCAGAGAAAAGTCAAAGTCCCCAATCGTTACAAAATACCATGACTTTGGACACCCCTTTTTCAAAGGCGACCTCTATCTGGCCTTGCTCAAAGCATCATGCATCATGCAATCATTGCCTTCCTCTCAATTCCCACGAGCAGGATGCTATGCTATCTTCCACTTTTCCTATTACGACTTGTTCTCCTTCTCCTTTCCCCATTCCAACTTGTTTTCCTTTTTCCTTTTCCCATTCCAACTTGCTCTGCTTTTCTCTTTTCTCCCCCTTTTCCATTTCTCCATCCACCAACTCCCTCTACAGAAGGAAGCTAGTACAGCGTCTCTTTTCTCAGCACCCCCTTGTCAAATAGCCTCAATTCTTCAATCTCTTCCATCACATTTCCTCCGCGCCGCTCCGCTCAGATTCTACCCTTCCTATCCCTTTTGTTTTCTTTTCCTTTCGGGAAAATACACACAACAATCGCGATGCAAGGTGGAGCCCAAGGCGAGATCAATACCTTGGCTTAGTTTCCCAAAACTAAACGGCTCAGTATTCCTCGCGAGAGATCAAACCATTGCGAACGCCCCCTTCTTTTACGAGGGGCCATGTCTGGCTGACAGACTGACAGACAGTCTGACCTCTTTGTCTTCGTTGTACAGGAGGTCGGTCCTGCTCTGCTCTGCTCTGCTCTGCCCTGCACATCCCTGCACATCCCTTCATTTTCCAATCTCTTTCCCGCTCTTATTCTATTATCGCTTCTCTTCTCCTGCCTTTCTGGGGCGAGGACCATGAAGAATAGCGATAGGGGAATTGAAACGCCTAGCGAATGGGATTAGGGAACATGGGTGGGTTCGTACATTATCAGTTTCATCGACATCTTATTATATGTGTCTCTATGTTATACAAGTCACGGCTCTAGCTCTGTTCTGTTCTGTGTTGTTGTGTATGTGCTGTTTGGACATCATCCACTCACTCCCTTTGCCCATCCCTGTGATTGTGAAGATTGTGAAGATCTGATTAGAAGGACTGCCATTTGGCGGCTGTCAAGCTTCACCTCACTTCTACTTCACCCATTCCCTTATGGGCAATCAGCATCAGTAACAGTCACTGATTTTGCTTGAGCCGCTCTTCAGTTCCGGCCTCTTCCACCCACGCTATGCAGAACTGGTCTTTCCTTCCCTGGGAAAAAGGGGGCTGGGTTCTGAATGTAACAATCATCCATGCACTGCACCGAGCAACTGCAATGTTGCATAGATACCTGCCTACACTGAAGTGAGCAAGACTTCACCTTACGTGATGTGGACCACAACATTGGCGCCGCCTCTAATGCTGAGATCTGCGAGACACCTGACCACAAGTGATGAGACGAACATGTTCATCAAGAAGCCCAGCCTGTTCGTGGAGAAGACGAGGAAATTGTCCGCGATCTGCAATCCAGGGTGTTCAGTTGCCGAACACGAGCAAGCCACTCTCGAATGGGTAGATAATACCCACCCAGTCCTCGGGAACCACTGCAATCATGCCGAATTGTCGTTGCTCAAACTGCCGGAATGGTGGCAAGGCTTCACATAAGAGGGCCACAACCCCCAAACGAGGACCATGTTCCATCATGGCATCACAACACGATGCACCACATCACCATATCAACCATTGTACCCGAGAGCGGACAATTCCTTCCTCACAGAGTCCTCGGTTGATATCTTCCTCATCTGCGTATCCTCCAATTTCTCGCCGCCTGCGAATCGCATCTTGAGGTCATCAATCGCCCTGATCTTCTTCAGAAGACCTCGGACCTTCTTCTCCTGAGAGCTGCCGCCGGGAGTGACAGGACTAGTAATCTCCAACTCGGGCGGAGTCTGGCCTTCTGGAGCCGAAGGAGGTGCAACCTGCGTGGTCGTGTTGATATGTGTTGGCGCGTTGCGAACCTTTTGATTCGGTGTTCCTGGTGCATGGCCTGGCCCTTTAGCGCTGCCATTGGCGTGATTGTGTGTCGAACCGTTCGTGTCCCCACGTTGTCTTCTGCTGTTGCTTCGGCTACGTTCCTTCTTGGGTCCAGTCGGTGCCTCCAGGGCCGGAGCGGGCACGTAGCCTCTGCTGCGACTGCGTTGGTGACCGTGGCCATCCGGACTTCGACTTTGACTCTTTCCTCGTGCTGCAGGCTGCTCCGGTGCCAGGTTGGAACCTGCTCCACCATCACGTGCTGCTGCGGCGGCGGCGGCCTTCTTTGCCTCTCGCTTCTTTGCGTTCTTCCTGGCAGCCTTTGACAATGGCTCTCCGTCGGCACCCTCTCCGGTTCCAGTTAGGCTCACGCCACCACCAGGCGCCGCACCGGGCGGTAGAGGGGTCTTATCCTCTGCTGGTTCGGCACCAGGAACAACGCGCTGCCGGGACTTGCCAAATCCGTTGATGCTGCTTGAGAAGGATGAGATGCCCTCACGAACAAACGCTGCGCCACCCTCGTCTTCACGCTTGAAAGCCAGTGGAGTGACTTGACCACGTGCACCAGGCGGTCGGTAAGCACCAGCAGGTTTGCTAGGTGTTTTCCGTGCTGCCATATACTCCAGAGCACTAGAATGTGGCACCGGCATGGGTGAGAAAGGATTTGCACTCAGAGGATATAAGCTCGCCGATTGTGGTCGCCAGCAGACGTGATACAACTCGTTCAGATCTTGGTTGTACATCAGAGGTCCACCAGCATGCCAAATGCGAATTCCATTGTCGACTCTCAGCCGAGGTGATGTTGTTGCCGTCAAGATATGCACTCCATCTGGAGCCCATTCACACACGCTTGCGTTGCTCGCTTCGATCGTACAGATCTTTGCAAAGTCCTTTTCCAGATCGTAGATATCCATCTGACCCGCGAGATTGCCGAAGCCTGCCACAAGGACGAAGCGGCCGTGAGGAGAGAACAAGACGGTATTGCGAGGCGCAAGAGGGAATGTGTGCACCGGCTCTGCTTTGGCGTTGAAGATGACCGTTTTAGCAGGCATGTAGCCATACACAACCGCGAAGCTGTTGGATCTAGGCGACCAAGAGACATCGTGGATGGGGCCTTCCTTGTCTAGGAGTCGTTAGCTTGGCCAAAGTTGGGACAGATCTTGCAAAATACATACCCAAATCGATTCTCGAGTCGAAACCGCCGTTGGCACTAAGCAGGTACAGCGTGGTCTCACCGTAATAGCTCTTGCCGGTCTTGTCGACTTCGGTCTGGGCCAGCACAATCAAAGAAGTACCATCATCGTTCCAATTCAGCTGTACTTTGTCACCTTTGAAGAAATTCTTCTGCGATACGGGATTCTTGAAATTCGGCACAGCGTAGACTCGGACGGCAGCTGGTTGACCCTGTAATAATGTTAGACACTTTTCGGGTCGGATAAGGCGGGATGGCTAATGACCTTTCGCTCCGGCACGAACGCGGCAATTGCGTGGTTCTTCCCAGGCGAGACCGCAAAGTCCGCAATTCCTTCCACGCGGATCTTATTCCAGACGTTGGTCAGGTCGTGACTTTCGTAGATCTGCACCTCATTCGTGACCACTCGCGCACAGAAAGCTTCGTCGTAGGTATACTGCAGATTCCAACCGGTCTGCGATTTCTGGACAAACCTCCCCACGGGTTGTTTGTCCACGCCTTCTGACAGAGCCTTCTCATCAATCACCAACCACACTTTGAGATTCTTGACTGCATCGCCATTCTCATCCTTGGTAGATCGTTGCCAGGTGATGATGTAGGTTCCCAGCGGCGAGAACCCCAACTCAAACACATTCTCGGCTGGCAGGGTGGAGATGATTGTTCCGGTGTCGGGGTCGATGATGCTCACGCTGATTTGAGAGTCAGTAATGCTTCGTAGCCCTTTCATGTATCGGTTGCGTACTTCTCGGGAGAGGCCCACGCAAAGTAGCGGCCGCATGGCGAGTAAGCACAGCAACGGAGGTTTCCTTCCGGCCTGCAACACGGGACGCACGTCAGCAACCGAATTAGTACGTTGTGAGGGGAACAAGAGGCCATACTTCTCAAAGCCCGGAAGTGGTTCGTAGCTAGGTGCACCATTGACGACACCGAGGCCTTTCAGAGTCCGGACTGGTTTGTAGATCAGCAACTGAGCGTTGTGATTTGTGGCGGTGTCAGAGGGTCCACGTACAAGCAAACTGTGTAGTAACAGGCATTTTGATCGGCAGTAAACAAGTCGTGCCTCGGAAATCCAGTTGCAATTGAAATCTAGGCGAGGTCGGTCCGGTCGAAGGGGACAGGTAGAGTCGAAGCGGTTCGAGGGCCTGACAACAAGTTGTGTGGCAGAAGACACTGGGGAAATTGTCACAATTCGGGTCTTTCCGTACTTGACAAGTCAATGTCAGCTATTGCGGCAGACGAACAAATTGCTTGGGTGACGAGAGGGGTGACGAGAGCAAGTAGAGGAAGAGGGACAAAGAATAGGTCGGTGGAAGAAGAGTCAAGTAAGTGAATGAGACTGCAGGGAGCCCAAGCGCAGTTCCTGGTTCTTGAAAAAGTGTCAGTTTTTGGCGGTGTTTTGGCCCGGCGCAGGTTAGCAGCTTATCAGACTAACTTGAGATAGTTTGGCATTAGCGTCATGAATTAGTATGCCTCGAATCGAGTTATGATAGCGCTATTGCTCAATGATTTGCCGCTAACATCACGTGCCTCAGCCTTGCCCTCGAAGGTGTTAAAAGTACTAGGAGGTGTGCCAGAGACGATATCATGTTCCACTTCAGTTGCATAAGGTGAATCAGGATACAACAAGGCCACGATACCAAGCTCACAAACAGCCGAGGAGCCAGAATGAAACGCCCCAGGGGTGCCACAATCCCAGAAAGACCCCTGTTTGACCCGTACACAGCATCAATAAGTAATCGTACAGTACACAGCTTGAATGTTCTTCTCTTCAAGAAACATTCATTCCTCTGCGCGAAAACCGAGCTCACTTGATCCGCCTCATTCAATGGGTGATCTCCTTGAGCCTAGGGCATTTTCTATTCCTTCTCGAATGGAAACTTGCCCAGTGTTTGGTTATCGGCCGTGCCCAAAGGGTGCTGGGGGTGCTCAGCATCGTGCAACCTGTCGCGTAATATCCCCTCGGCCATCTCAGCGCCGACGCCAGAGAATCGGCTTCCCGAGTGTGGCTGATCAATCAGAGGTGCAGGTTGCATTGTCGTATCAATGAAATTCTGGTCGTAGCTCATCCCATCCATCATCTTTGGATCTGTGCTTCCAGCAGCGGCACTGGGTGTGATTCCACTCATGGGCGTGCTTTGACCGGATCCAAAGCCCGCCACCGTACCTGTTCGCGGTGTGGGCGGTGCATTGACGTTTGTGCTCTGTCGAGAGATAGAAGCTCGGGTGTTATAAGGTGTAGACACTGGACCGCTGACAGTGCTGCCAGCTCCTTCACCGAATCCGACAAGGCTGGCTTTGTCTTCATCGCTGAAGCCCCCTGTACTTGACACTTCGTCGTCTTGATCTTCGCTCATCTTATCTGCGTCATAGTCGATGCTCCCACTCGCCCACGTAGTTCTACCACCTACACTGCCTGTCGCACTTGCACTGCCTACCGTACTCCGCTCTCGGAACTGAGGTACGTTGTCAAATCCAGTGCCATATGCCGCACTTGATCCAGGTACAAGGTGTCCGAGAGGTGTCGAGCGAGATGTGGCCACTCGCTCCAGACCTGCAAGACGTGAGATGCGGTCGGCGCGCTCAGCTTCCAGAGTGTTTGTGGAGGCTGCAGCACCTCTTCCTCCATGCCCAGCTGTGCCATCTTTGATCGCTACCACCGACAGTGCGGACAACGAGGTGGTCCCAGAGTTGGGCGTGCCGGGGCCCCATTCGCTGGGAGTAGCAGGATCTGAGGGGGGAGGGGGGACTGTACGAGTAGTCATGTCAGCCTTGATCCATTGTGCTCATAATCGATCCGGGACGTACGATTGATCAGGGTGGGACCTCTATTAGGCATGGTTGTGAATTTGGAGTAGGGTAATGCTGGAGAGCATACAACAGGCGACGTGATCGTGATTGCCTGTTCAGGGCCAGTCTTTCATGAGAGAATGAGACTGAGAATGCCCAGCGCGGGTTGAACGTGCAAGAGACCGATCAAGAGCGCTGCTGTTGTTATAGGGTGTCTCGGTCTTCTCGGAGGGGCAACTGATAGGTTTCTTTCAGGTTGGGAAGTAAGCGCGCCTCTAAGGTGAAGTGATCGGCTCTGTCACGCTTTCGGAGAGGAATAAGTGAAGCTCCAGCTGGTGATAGGTGATAGAGAGAGGAAGGCTAAAACTGGGAGGCGGAGTGGACTTTGAGTAATAGTATCATAGAAAGGAGGCTTCAATGAACGGTTTGGGTACGAATCTCGGATGCGCGGGGTGCGATATGACCCCAGACAAGCACTGATAGACACTCGGGAGAATAATGCAGGGCACTGTAGCAGTGGTGGTCGTGGTGGTGATGTTTCTTGTCGTGGCTGTGTACCTGAGACGTTACTAGAGAGTGTTGATGGTCCAGGCTACAGGCTACCTCACCTAGCCTACTACCTAGGTGCCGGCACCTTTTGAGTAAGCGGTTAGGTACCCGAGGTTGTTGTACCAGTACCCGGGACGAGGCGACGTCATTGAGCGCTAAAACTGCCCGCCAAAGTATTCAGTACTTTACCCAGTCCTTATTAGCAGCGGCAAACACGTGCTCCGAGTCCGTCAGAAGCCCCGCGTGAAGATGCCTTGTGGAATCATCTATCAAAGCAAATGTGCAATGAGCAAGCAGGTATCAATATCATACACTCGTAATGGGGCCCATGGCTCCTCATCCTCCTTCTGCACTTGCCCTGGCAGCATCAACCTCCCTCTGAAGAGCCGCCAGATCTGCCAATATGTCGTTTGGGTCCGTTGAAATACGCCTGGTACTAGCGTTGCTGCCTCTTTGTTCTCTCAGTCCCAGGGCTGTCATTGACGGCCGTTGCGTTTCAACGCTACTTCTGCTCGATCCTCGGGCCCGACGAGGCGGAGGGACTGGAGGAGGATGCGCTTCGCTCAACCGATTGGTGTATGGTGGGATAGTGTCGGAGAGGCTAGGACTCGGTTGGGGGGAGGCCGTTACTCCATGATATGGGGCGTGGTGAATGCTGGCGCTTTCTGTAGTAGGAGTGCCATGAGCAACATCCAAGGAGGGCCTTCGCTCACCAGTATGGGTCGAGCGTCGCGCAGGAGGTAGAGGAGGAAGCTTATGTGTTGAACTGATAGACAACGGACTGGAAGGGGTGTCACCGTCAGTCAGTACAGAATGTCCTGCGGAGCTGCTTCTGGTCAGGTCCGGTTTGCCCGGGGCGTGATGGCTCTTCCGACGAGCCAACGGAGGTGGTGGCGGTACTCGCTTGTGTGCTTCAACTCCGCCGGCTGTAGTAACGTTCTCGTTTGTTGGACTCCCATCTGCGCCGGGTGGTATTGGCCGAGAATTTTCTGAGCTAATGTGTCGGCTTTCGCGTGAGGTAAGAGAGTCGATAAAGTGGTCAAAGGTTGCCGTCGGTCCTTGCTCTCCGCCGGATTCTATCAGAGGCTTTCCTCGTCGACTCTTCGGAGGAGCAGGCTTCTTCTTACTCTGTGGAGCTGCTCTGAAGCCGACCCTCTGCTCATTTGCTTCATGTACGTCCAAGTCGTCTGAGGTTCGCGGGCTCCCATCAGGCGGAAGCGCAACAGCCTCGAAGATTGAGTGCTGTGAGATTGAGGCGGTATCGGCGCTGGAACCACTGTCGCTTACAGGTTGGATGGGAACTGGGTGGCCGCCTTGCACCATAACATCCCGTGCCAGTGCTACGGAAGACGGAGCACCTCGTTCACCTGTGAGCAGCAGTCTCTTGAAAGCATCCACGTCCATTGTTGGCTTTGCCGACCCGCTCTGTTCTTTTACACTAGAGGGCTGACCGCCAGGTGCCCTGCGGGGACCACTAGCGAAGCGACTCAGGGTTTCCCTTACTGCATCCTCTTTAGAAACCTGTGAAGGTGTCGTTGTTGAGACAGTGATGGTTGTATTGACTCTTGCATTTTCCAATGCGACTCCTATTACTGCATCGTCCTCGCCATCGGAAGCTTCCTGTGCAAACGGATCTGTCCCCAGAGCCTGGACATAATCGGTCGGAGGCGGAAATGTAAATGTCGCCCCAGGACTAGGAAAGGGAGAGGAGAGGTCCTGCCGTGTGGATTCGGGAGACGGCGGGTACGACACAGGTGATATAGGAATGGCCGGGGGAGATGCGAAGTTCACATGCTTCTGGGAAGTACTAGGAACTATGCCATTGTGCAAGTCAGCTCCAGCACGAAAAAGGACATACACAACTCGGACGTACCTCTGGTATCCACGGTCAGAGGCGTAGAGTTGATGCCGCGAGGGTCCGGAGAGGGGACGTTGGGGGTACTGCTGCCGCCAGAGCCCTTCAACGAACTACGGTTAGTCTGGCGGAAAGGGTTCGTGGACATCAGGTTCCAAAAGCCATGTAAACCGCATACGCGCTCTTGTTAGGATGATCAAGAGACTTGGCCAACAGAAACAATAAATGTTTCAAGGAACGAAGAACGTGGGGGAGGTGTGGTTCAAAATTGTCTGCGGTGGTGCAGTGCAGTGGTGCAGTACAGTGGGTAAGCGGATGTTATCAGAAACCAAAATTCCAGGGTCGTCGGCCTCGCGTCCATTCGGACCCCGTTTTGTGGTCGACAGAGACAGGAGCGTGCGCCCTCTTAATATTAATATGCAAATAGACATACATGCCTAGCTCCTGGTACATACCAGCTTGCTTACCTGTACGTCCTTTCTCTCTGCTTTGGCAGTATGCAAGACGTTGTCATGCAGTTGCTACTGCTTGTCATCTAGACATCAGGCTGGATCACCCATCACGGTTCTCACATTATCCGGTTCATGTTCAACAACGAGCCAAATCAGAGAGACAGACAGCAGTTGCGAGCCATTTACATATTATCATTATCGACAGTCGTAATCTGACTGGTCATGTGTCTATCTGTATCGAATTCCAGTCGCAAGCATCATTTGGTGCTCTTGCAGAGCCTGGTAGCTCATATCCAGCTTTCTTGTTCCTGTTCCCGATGCTTCTCTCGCGTATGTCCAGTATCTCGTCTCCCTGTAGGGGAGGGCCCTGAACAGGTCATGCAAATAAACAATCATGCAATGTGTACAATGCGGCTTGTTTCCAGGTGTCATCTGGTCGGTAGCTGACTCGGACCCGATTCGCGGATCAACGACAAAGGTTGATACTTCGGTGCCAAATGGACGACAGATGAAGCCAAAAACTCCAGACTCCTGTGCTTGTGCCAAACTCATCCAGAGAAACGTCGTGGAGCTGCGTAAGTGCTGTGGCGGGAGATCGACACAGCTTCTATTTTCCACCCTTGGTCTGAAGCCAACCATCTTCTGTCCATTGCCATGACTTTCCACCCTTGACAGGGTGAAGCAACATGGGACGAACCACGGTCCGGCCATATGCATCTTCCCACTCCTGTCCACCACTCTCGCGGGCCGTAACTCCGAGCAGTCGCTGGTAGATTGGCATGGCCAGACTGGAGCTGTAATACCACGTCATGTTGGTCCAGGCATACTCGTTCCATTTGCTGAATGAACTGTTGAAATAGCCGCCGGCTTGTCCGAAAGGTCCACCATTGAACGTGGACTGCAGGGCATCGGCAGGCCAGTGACGATCGGCAAATATGGGGTGGGGAAAGGTTGTGGACTTGAGACCATGATGGAGACACATGGTTTGGGGGAACATTTCTGCATCGATATGGTGCCCGTTCTCGGCGTTTTCGTAGTTCATGATGTCCAAGACGCGGCGACTGACCCTTCCTTGGGCGATGAGGGTGGCTCGTCTAGGGGTGGATTTGCCTTGAGCGTAGCCCCAAAGATAGTCTCGGAACCACCAGTTCGTCCCCGTGACATTAAAACTTGGAAGGAAGCCGATCCAGTCGGCGTCTTCGCCAACACCCCATTCGTAGTTATCTTCCACATCCTTTCTGGGTGGCTTCGGTCCACGAGGCTTGACACCCTCCACCGAGACAGGGCCCCAGACATGGTGAGGATCCTCATTCTTGGTTCGCTCGCGAAATTCAGTGTCAAAGTCACCATGCACGTCAGGTATGTAGACTCTGCCCGCTCGCTCCCAAATACCCTTTCGAGGTTGTTTCCTGCCGAACTCGGAGATGGCCTCGAAGAAATCCAAGTAGTGGCCGGTGTAGCGCACATCGAATTCCCATTGATAGAAGAAGTCGAACTCGGGATGATTGCGGGCAAACCATTGGATGATCATCCACGGGGATCGGCCAACAAATGCATGCTCGGCCAGGTTAGAGTAGAGGCTGCGAATTTGGGCATGGTTCCAAACTTCTGTTATCGATCGGAACTCCGGAGGGATGTACTTTTCAATGGTTGCTTGTGGCTCGTCCTCGCCCACAAATAAGGGAACACTTTCGTCCTTGACGTGTAAGAGCAGAAACACTTGATACTTTCCACCGCTGGCCAAAGAAGCCTCGGCGATCATTGCACGGATGTTCATAACAGCGTCAGCCGTCCACTTGGCACCGGTCCACACGCGGATGAGGATAGCAGTCCGTTTTGCTTTATTGACCAAGCCCGGTTCCATGGTGGTGGAAAGAGCTTTGGGCGGAGGTTGATCATGCTTGTGCCGGATGTTGGAGTATTGAATCGAGCTCTGTGGGCGCTCTTTGACGGGTTTGAATCGTTGCTTGTTGAGTGCGACACAACTGTCCTGGAGTTCACCCCAGTTGACGGAATCCCAGTCAACATCGCTAGACTTTTTCATGTCGTCAAGGTCGGCTGTATCAAACTGATCTAGTCCATATGCCTGGAAGCGGCCAATGCGATCAAAAGAAACGTTGCCATCTAGGCCAGACGCCTCATAGGATCCCAACACAGGATCGACAGCACCTAAATCATGTGTGAGTTGTGGACCATTACTAGTACGTGCCATGGTTGGATTGTGTCCAGCTTACCATCTGCATAGCCGGGGTACGCCCAGATCGCGTCCTCCTGGCTCTCATTCAAAGGCAGGCCACGGGGACCGACGCAAGGTACAATCTGTTCAGCAGGTTCTTGCAAGTTATGGTAGCCATCGTAACGAATGAGGTGTGGAGCATTGTTTTTGCAATCAATTTCACCAGTTGCGCAAGACCGTAGGTGTGACGTTCCGCGTGTCAATCCATCGTGTCTAATGGCGGGAGTGATTATGTCAGTGTCCGCATTCCATGTGGGTTACACAAGATTTGGGGGCTGTATGGGACATACGTTGTGAAATCTTTCCAGATCCAATCCTCTTTCTTTGCCTTCTCCATCAACTCGTCCTCAGTTGGTGGTTTTGGAGGTGGAGAAGGCGCAGTCTTAGGTGACGAAGGAGGCTTCTGCGTCATGATCTTGACGAGTATGATGAAGCAGATGAAGAAAGCAAACACTTTGGCGACCAGGCGTAGACGAGGCATGCAAATCTGCCATTTTGACGGTTTCTTCCAAAAGTCTTGTTTGGCGGGAGTCCAACTTGGGGGAGGCGTCTCTGGCTCAGAAGCCGAGTCTTCAAGCAAGCCCATTTCCGAACGGCTGCCGCTGAGGGTGAGTCTGCGTGTCATGGCTGGCCCCTGAAGTGCGCGGCGGTAGCGGGTGTCTGTCAACTCGACCGAGATGTGCTTAAGCGAGTGACTGAGAGTGAGAAGACTGACCACCGCAGTGCAGTGTCAACTGCGCCGCTCGTGGGCGTCGTCGATATCGCAGATGAACAGGAGGGAACTGGTGAGTGTTCACGCCTGAGGTGGAGCGGGCAGGATATTGGACGGTGTCATGCAGATTGCGAATGCGGACAAACGGGGTAACGACCGGCGTACTTTTGTAGGATGGAACGGAGGACGGCAGCAGAGACGCAAGACGCGAGATACGCAGTCGCAGGCACAACCTACCCAACAAAGCGAATGAGTCGAGAGGCAGGCGCAGCGCAGCGGAAGGACGACAAAATTGAACGGACGAGGACAAGGCTTGAGATAGAGATGATAGCAACAACAAGAAGGACAAGAGCAAGGACAGGCCCAGATGCCGTTGGTTGACGGAAAGTAACTCTGTATTATTACTTTACCTTCCGGGTCGGTGTTCCAGTTAAGCCTCAGCAGTTGAAACTAGCACCACTGCACGGGGGGTGGCGCTGGCGACCGGGGGGGATCCCTAGGACTTCTCTTGCACGAGCAACAGCCGTCCAGGGCATGTCCACGATTGGCCGCCCACGGGGACAAGATCAACCAGACAAACGAACTACAGGTGACACCGTGATTCGTTTCCCGCTCGTCCATTTCCACTGCGGACAAGGCTAGACTACAACAAGGATATGGGGCTGCCGCACCTCCAGTGCGTTTTTTAGGACGGAGTAACTCCGAGAATATAGGTCTGGGGCAATCGGAATGGCAGTGTCAGTGGATCAAACAGGATGGAACCCGATGGAGTCGATAGGGCTAAGGAGGCCACTTCCTGGATTTGATATCCTCCCGTCTGTAGATGCACCATCTACGTAGCACGAAGGTCAAGCAGTCAAACAGCATGCAGCAGCCGCACGCGGGAGTGTGATGGAACTACTAGTAGCTTACCTAGATACTAGAGTGTTGGTAGTGGAAAGTATCGTTTCAGCAGCCCTTGCACCCGCAAACTCTGCTTATCATGGTTATCATATTTTGCAGTCTTGCAGTAGTGGTCGGGTTGTCGAGCCGCATGCGTCAGTTCCTCATCCCACCACTGCATATAAACCCAAACCCAGAGTACCGGGCTAACGAAGACAAGGACTAGGCAGTGTGATAACGAGGTTCGGTAGGATCAGGTGAGGCTAAGATCGGAGGCAGAGCCAGGTGGGTGTGTTGGTAGAGGATAGTAGAGGATGGTACGGGACTCGAATCGGGCGGATGGTGGATGAACATACGATGGTGAACGGCTGGTAGCCTCAAACTCTGAGCACCACTGCAGTCGAGCGGCTCAATATTTGGCGCCCGAATGGCAGTACAGAGTTATGTTTTTCCGGGTTCAGAACTGACAGACTTGAAGCCAGTAGGTGTGCCGGAGTCGGTGTTTGAGTCCACAGTCCGAAGATGTCAGATAGGCATGCGTGGGTACACATTAAGCATACCTAAAGGTTAAGGTGCCTGACCAACGATAAGGTGTTTGACTACAGGTTGAAGATGCTCTGTACAATATACTACGTACCTATCTAGTAATAATAGGCACATAGCTGTAGACAAGCCTGCGGGAGAAAAGCCAGATGCAAGCAATTGCAGACGCGGACTGCACTGCAAGCCACCGGCAGAGCTACACTGCAATTGGTGCAATCATCATCCACGGTTGCGGCGTGGCGGCGTTGCCCCGTTGCCCCGTTCTGTTGAGAAATCTGACGTCAATAATGCGGTTTCACACGGGATCTTTTTCCCCCACCACAAAACTCGACATTTGAGCACAGTTGTTGGTTGCTGTTGCTTTTAGGGGATCCCTAGGACGGACAATCCAGAGTTATCACACCCAGGAAACATCACTCTGGCAGGCCAGTTATAGACCTACCACCAGAATCCCTAACCTTTTAGCAGTACATTCAATCCTACCACCTTACCTAAGGTAGACTTGATGCTGCTAAGGCTGAAGTTCAGGCCTTGGAACAAGACACCACTTGCAGAGATACTGGGGCTGCGCCCCCGAGCCATCCTTATTGCTCATCTTCTCCCCTTTCGTTCTTTCCTCCGATCGAGATCTGCACCAATTGTGGGTTGCTGCCATAGCGTCGTTGTTTCAGAAATCTACTATGAGCCACTGCTGTGACTGCACTGTGGGAAGTTGACATCATTCCTACTCCGAGTCCACACTCGGAGTTGAGTGCCAGTGCTGCACGGATGCTGCTGGATGCTCCGCCGCCCCAGCAACCAAAATCTTGCCTACAGACCTCGAGGAACCATCCTACTGGGTAATCATCATGTGCTACCATATACTACCACAGCAGAGTGCTTCTCAAGCACCTGCGATAGTATGCCAAAGTCGGATAGCGGACAGCAAGCAAGCAGCTGCCAAATATACTAACTGTGTACAATCAGACACGAATCAACGGCCACCTGCACCTGTCAGTCTCGGTCCGTCAATCCCTGGAGTTACATGTCCGATCCCTGTGCAAAATGCTTGACTGCACCTCCTACCGCGGCACCAGCACCAGCACCAGCATCAGCATCAGCACCATCACCATCACCACTCGTACTCCGGTCCAACCAGTTTACACAGAGCGTCTGCCTCCACGGCATCGCTCTGCGCCTGGGGGATTGCGTAGTCGATATTTTTACCTTCGGCCTTTTCTACCTCCGCATGTCGCACCAGGACATCGCGGACCTTATCAAGATACCACTTGACAGCATGCTCTTAACAACCGAGAACAAGTTAGTCTGGGAGATACTCTTCAAAGCAGGCAAGAAAGAAAAAGAACCAGCTTCAAGGGAGAGCTCTGTGCATCATACCTTCAATCGAGTGCAGCTTTCCCACCCCTAAGACCCCGTTCTTGAATCCTTTCTGCGCATTCATTGCCAGCTCAACATCCTCAGTCTCGACGAACCGCCAGTATGCAATATCATGCTCCATCCAGTGATCATAATCTGCGCTTGGCTTCGGCATGCTCGCTCTCCGGTAGGTCTCGCTATCGTACGACGTCTCCAAGGCCCCTGTTGCATTGAATCGTACAATGAAGAGGAGGTTGTCGCTGAAGGTGACTGCGCTTAAAGGATAAAGCCATGTTATGTAAGCCTCTGACAACCCTTCTTGTTTGGGAGGGAGATAATGACGAGATGCACCGATCCCCTGGCGCAGATAGTACTGATCCAGCTTAAAGTCCTTGGGCAGTGTGGTTGGATGTCCAGTCTGGCAGTGGTAACATTCCTGGCTCACATACTAAGGTTACTAACATGGAGGAAGGCCTGTGGAGATGGACAAACCTGAAACCCGTCCACGAAGGTTTTCCAATTGTATTCCGTTCCAGCAACAGAACTGTTCCATGTGTGGTCATATTCCCAACCGTCTCTGGGGAATAAGGCGAACTCATCGCCGACTTCTTTCCCCGTCCGGGACATTGGCATGGGCTCGAAGTCGTCGCCGAACTGGTCTTCGAAACTCACCGCTGGAGTCTCTCGCGCGTCAAAGTTGACGAATATGAATCCCTGCGGCGTGACATGTGTGTGGATTTTGAACAATGAGTGTGCTTTGGGATCAAAGTCGGAGAGGTCAGTGTATTCCCTCGCCTTGTACAGTTCCCCGGTCGGCAAGTATGACCTGTCAACAGCATAGTCAGCCAGGACTTGGAACAAATGCAGACCCAGCAGGTTTGCCTCACCAGCCATGAAACCGGCAAGCCAGGACCGTACTCGACCCATTGGCCTTCTGTGTGACAGGATGACCTCGATGGCGACAGATGTTGTGAAAAGCATTGATGTTGCCTCCCTTGTCGCGAATGAGAATGAAACTCCATCCAAACATCTACGCAGAGATTGGGTCAGAATTAACAAATTCTAGGCATATAGAATGGTCCGGCTTATACCTCAAGAGTCAGATAATCCCCGGCCTTTTGGAATCGCGCGGTGAAGCTTGCCACATGCCACAACTACAGATCACGGGATGTCAGCCTTGTTTTCCTTGCCAGCCATCCTTCATTTTGGTACCTCGAGACACATATCGCCTCGAAACATGTAACAAGCAAGGCTGTATATACCGTAGAGAACAAAGCGCGGCGCTCAAGCTGGAAGATCTTCTCGTCGCGGTACCATCTGCAGCATCACCAATCAGGCCTGTTGAACCACACGGTGCTCCCATCACTGGAGTCCGAACCAATACCCGAATACCAGGACGACTACACTAACGTTGTCTGGTTCGGTGGACAACGACATACCTCGACGGCGCCAGGTCATGCGTCTTCCTCCCCAGATCGGCGGGTCGAACGTTCCTGTCTCGACCCTTTTGCAGATATCCGCCGTTGGAGAGGAACGTGGTACTATCGACAGTAGTCATGGTACGTATGATAAATGCGAATGTCAAACTTATCGTGGCCGGGGCTGAGAACGGGTGATGATCTGAGGGGGTGCAACGGAGGATGATGCAGGGATGACGAGCTCTTCCCAGTACAATATACGTATAACCAGAATATCACAAGAGTAGCCTCTGATATCTACAACCAAAAATTCCTCAAGATAAAAAAAGCTATCAAGAACTGACTGAAATAAAACCAAAAGCACAGGCATATATACCCCGGTTCTTATCTTCTCTCCCTTCCCTGCTTTTCGATCTATCAAATTGATAAATGTATCTATTTGATTTGCTCCGGATTGGTCAACCCCCCGACTTACTCGGACGACGGACGATATGAAGCGGAGAAGGCCGTACTTGGATGTATGCACCTATTTAGGTAGGTGGAGCTAACTGATTCATACCTCTGTACCTTAGAAGAGACTGTCTTGCCGAGGTCTCGACTGTTCCTTTGATGACGGGAATGGAAATGCATCTGGGATTTCGGGTATTATGTCCCCGTTCTCGACTCGTCTCACTGACGGGAGACGAACCGATGGTCCCTTCGGTGCACGAGGCGCGTGGCCACCATCGACCACTTGCAACCTAGAGCCGTCATGAGGCAAAGGGTGTCGTCCGCCTTGTTCGCAAAGCAACGGGTGTCTGTCTGGCTGCAGTGTTGTCCGTTGGTATCTTGTTGCTTCGTCGAGGTTGTCGCCTGCGGGTACAGGAGGTCAGAAGTAGGGACCAAGCGAGAACAGACCTGAAGTTATCAGGCGCCTGTCGGACTCCTGAAACTTCTTGAGCTTCGAAGGCGACGGGCTTCGAACCCAGCCATTGTTCACTTCCAGTTTTCGGGGGTTGGACTTGATGACATCTCAGCCTCGGCTTTCCGTAGAATCGTCCCCAAGGATGTCAAGATGGGTGCCTGGTATGGTGACCAGTGATGAACTGCCTGAACGTATCAATATGGAGGGAAAAGAGTAAGCGAGAAGTTCTCTGAAACAGGATAAAGCAAGGCGCTTTGAACAATTGCAGTTGTAACATGGGGAGAACGACGCAAAGTGAAGCGCAGCCAGGGCGACAGTGATACCCTGAGAGCGTGGTTAGGCAGTCATAGATTGGATTCAACGAGGGTCTTTCAGCGTTGGAATGTTGGATGTTGGGAAAAGGGGGAAGCAAATGGAAAATGACTTCTCCGACACCGGCTACAGAGTCGCGAGCTCTGCGTAGTCGTCCTCTACGGCCAGAACAATATCGTGCGTGCATAGAGGTCGTGCTGAAAGATTGCCATTGCCGCCTGGAAAAAAGTGGAATCTAACGGAACGATATCTCTCGTTGAGAGAGGGATGAACAGCGAAATAACCACAGCCACTTGGTGAGAACATGAGTTAGGGATCGCCATGAACAGAGATGAATTTTGAAATAATTCATTGAGCTCGTCTGCTTGAACCGTGCAACAGAACTCCCGTCAACTGTGCCGAACCATGTGCAAGCAGCTGATTTTGACGTATGACCTTGTCCATCTTGCGATGGGTGCGAGGACGCAAACTCCTTCGCAGCCAGGAGAAGCCCCCAATCCTTTTGAAGGCATCGATGGCAAAAAAAGCTGTCTCCTGCTTTCAACCTCAAATCAGACTTTGACTGTGACTCTACTCGTCATCCTCCTCGCCCTCGACCGCGTTCAGGGCAATGCGGTCCAGATCTCGGGCACCAGCCTGGGTGATTCTTCGGCCTCCCTTTAGGCTGGGAGCCTCCTCATCCTCATCAACCTTCTCCACAATTCCCAGGGTCTCGAGAGCCTGGACAACCTTTCGGTCCACTGAGCCGGAGGCGTTGACATGGTGCGAGGGTCTTGAGCCGCGGTTCTTTGTGCTGCCGTGGACTTTTCGCAGACGGCCTACACCGACGGACTTTCGGAGGTAAATGTGTCGGGCAACAGCGGCAGCTCGGACGTAGAACCAGTCGGCGGATTGAGGGGGAAGTTCGTTGGAGTGGGAGGTCTTGACGGTATCGACCCAACCTGTTTTTGACACCCAGTTAGTCTCGCCGTTTATCATTCGCCAGTCGCCATTCGCCATTCGCGCCTCTCCCATCCGTGCGTATACAGCTTCTTCTGCCGACAACACATACTGCGCGGGCGCAAGATTGCTTTCGTCGGACCAGAGAATGGTGCTGGAGATCGGGGGATGTCTAACCTGGTATCGGAAGCTTTCCCTGCTTCTTCAAGAACTCGGCGTACGCATTGATGAACTTTTGCGCCTGTAGACACCGGACGTCAGTATATATTTTCCCAAGTCGACCATTGTCGAGGAGCCCCAGGCTGCCTTCGGCGTGCTTCCTCCTCCTGCTTCCACAGATCCAGATCCGCCGTCTTCTTCGAGGGGGTTTCGGTCGCACTCACATCGACATCGCGAACGGTAACACCACCCATGATTGCGACGGAGGAGACGAATTGGTCTCTGCAATCAAGTCTGTGGTTTATGAAAAGGAGTGTAGGCGGCGTGAAAAGGGCGTTGGTCGATTGAAAGCGTCGTCCTCAAAATGCAGTTGTCGAGGATCCTGGCTGGTCAATTTTGTGTGCTGCTTGCCAAGAGTTCAGGTCTTGGCGACGTGGCTTTTCGCGCAAAGTGCAGCTTGAACCAGGACAGAAAATGGTGCGGTCAGACATAAGGTGATATCGGAGCAATAGCGGCATATTTGGTCTACCAGTACATTTCGGTCGCCACTTATTCTGTCTGACACTTGGTAATAAGGTCCAGACGCCCTCCACCGACTTCCATCCTTCCTCCATGTTTACAGATTTCTTTAGTACTTCACACATCTAATTTGTGTACTTAGATCAGAATATGCGGCCGTTCGTTACAAGATTGAGAGGAGAGCGAGTACGTGATGGCTGGCGAAGCAGTCAAGTCTTCATCGTTCAAAGGCTCAGTGCCGCGATACCACAGCCGAGGACTCCTACATGAAGAGACGCCCTCCTGTTTTCCAGTGTCAGCGACGCCTTTTTGCGGTAGCAATGACTTACAATGTATTCAGCGTTGCCCACCAATTCAGGAGATCATGCGTTTGATAGCTCTCGACCGTCCCCGCCCGGGCATCAAATTTGGCGTCGTCTTCCTCTCCCCTTGTGGCAGCAGTGGCTCGGCGAGTTAGCTCGCCGTTTGTGCATTTCATGGCCGTGAACGTGAACGGCACAATGGATAAGCATAGTCCGGTAGCGGCCAAGAAGAGTCGCCTCTGACGTGTTGCTGCAACTGGCAGGTTTCGGAAGGCAAAGAGAAAGGATGCACTGGCCAGCAAGGCGGCCACTGGACCAGCTTTCTTGCCAATGTTATAAACGTGCTGCCACTGGCGGGCCAGATGCGATGCCTTTGTTACTGGCTTCTCCGAGGCAGCGCTCGTCAGAGATGCCGCATTAGGGGCGTTTGCTGGAGGAGGCAATGGGGAAGGCGGCGAAGACAGCAACAGCGTCGGCACAGTGATGTAGGAGATTCCCAGATTGGCCCCAAGGAATATGGCTGAAAAGGTGAGCCCGAGGGTGCCAGCAACAGTGGTATAATTGAAGCTTGGAGCCATCTCGATGGGACTGGGATGACCAGACAATTTTCCTGGACTATATGCTGTTCCAGACCCTGGTGATGCTCAACGGTTTCTGACTCGTGGAGATGTCGATGGGTATGTGCAGGGTTTATTCAGGCGCAAATACCAAAAAAAGGAGAGCCTCACGTCGAAATGGGACGATCGCTGAAGCTCTAGGCTGCCATGAATTGTCAGTTGCAGATAGTAGACAAGAAAGGAGCTGTCACGTGGAAAAGACTTTCCCGTGTGGATTCGGATGGGGGGCCTTTGCCTCTGCCTCTGAGAGCACGTACCTGGTATCTAGGTAGCAAAGCATTATGACCTTGCCTTGTCGGGAGTTTGATGGGATACACACACGGTGTTTATACAGGTGCTCGTTCAGGTAGGGACTTGTTTACTCTAGCTTCTACCACGAAACTGCGTGGCGGTCAGATAGGCCCCTGGACGTCCATATAGAGAAGGCAAGGCTCATGCAGACTCTATATGCTCGATCAAATCGAATACCGAGCAGCTGCAGCCTTGCTCAACCGATGTTTCTCGACCGCTGATGAATAGGCTGTTCCCTGGACGCAGGCTGTATCTCATGCTGTCCTGTAAACCGATCTTTCATCATTCACTCAATCGTCGCAGCCTGATCTCCTGCCACCCTCAACAGAGCACTCTTCCAAGACCGAAGTCCTGTAAAATATTTTGTCTCATTGTCCTCCTGGCAGGTATATGGAAGCTTGTTAAGCAAAGAAAGCAGAGGATGGCGGGGAAACCCAGAAACAACGAGATTTTAGAAGTCTTAATTGTTCAGTAACTGGTAATCTCTTGCCATCCACCTACCTGTAGCAATGGCATGCTAGCAGCCGAAGATGACTTGCTGCCCACGTTAATCAGCGTAGTGAGAGTCTGTGGACATTCTCTGTGGTGAAGGTATTATTAGTAGGTAGGCATCTTTAGTTGTCTAGTTGTATAGTCAGGAGCTCAGTTGACGTCGGGCGAGCAGCTGCTGCTGATTGGCCCATATGGTTACTAGATGCACACTGTTGTATGAGAACCAGATCCCTCCACAACTGAGGACAACCTGTCTGTTATCGCACAACGGTCAATTCTAGACTCTCACCACCATCTCTTGTCTTGTCTCAAAGTCATCGACGCTGTGAGACACCTCTCGGACTCGACATGGATGTTGTGATGCTCCAATTACATTAATAACAACCTCGCACACAGTCGCCTCTTCCCTCCCCCTCTCGGAACCACTGACCGCCTCAAAATTCACGATCCCGCGCGTCCACTACCATCCTAGGTCGTGAAGACACTATCCTCTCCCGCGCCTTTTTCACCTCCAGACAATTGCAAGATGTCACAGTCATATCCTCAGCCCGGAGTACCGGGACAGGACGGGTACGGTCAACCACCAGTTGTAGGACAACCAGTCGAAGGCTACGAGACAGGACCTGCGCCCGCAACATCACCTGTGCCCACTACGACTGCAGCACAAGCTCATGGAGGGCGGAAGAAGCGAGCATATGCTGGACAGGCATATGAGTTCGGCGCTGGGGCCAATGCTGCTCTGGGAGGTCAGCAACAAGCTGGTGGTGCATACCCTGGGTACTCCGCGCAACAAGACGCAGCTGGCTTACCCCAAGGAGGATATCAGCAGAATCCTGTCGCGGTTCAGCCTGGCGTGACTCCTTTATACCCCAGTCAGGATCCTGCGACCGTGGGCGGTTATCAACCTCCGGCCCAGGGATACCCTGCAGGTGGTGTACCAGCTTTGACACAACAGTTTGGTCAAGTCGATATCAATCCAAAGCCACCTATCGCAGCAGCGCCTCAGCAACAGACACGAGCCCCAGTGTTGAATCAGCTGTATCCCACAGACTTGTCGAACCAGCCTCTCAATGTTGCGGAACTGGACTATCCACCGCCTCCAGCCATCCTTCCTCCTAATGTATGTATTGCTCGCGCTGTCCTCCAAAGGTGCTAACCGTTGCAACAGACGAGCGTTACGCCCTCACCCTATGCCAACTGTCCTCCCAAATACGTCCGATCAACCCTGAACGCTGTTCCGACAACGCATTCGCTTCTCAAAAAGTCTAAACTGCCGTTCGCGCTTGTCATACAACCATACACTTCTCTACACGATGTGGAGGACCCTGTGCCGATTGTGCCTGACCAGGTCATATCTCGTTGCAGACGTTGTCGATCATACATCAACCCGTTCGTGACATTTTTGGACCATGGCCATCGATGGAGATGTAACATGTGCAATCTCACCAACGATGTGCCTCAGGCCTTTGATTGGGATGCGGCAACGCAAAAAAGTCTTGACAGATGGCAGAGACCGGACTTAAACCACGCCGTGGTTGAGTTTATCGCCCCTCAGGAATACATGGTTCGACCTCCCCAACCGCTTGTCTATCTTTTCCTCTTGGATGTGAGTTACGCTGCGGTGACCAGCGGACTACTGGCGACGACAGCTCGATGCATTCGCGAGAGTCTGGACCGGATCCCGAACGCGGATCGGCGCACACGACTTGGCTTCATCGCTGTGGATTCAAGCCTTCACTTCTTCAACATTCCTCGTGACGGCACCGAGAATGCTCAGACAACCATGCTTGTTGTCAGTGATCTTGAGGAAGCGTTCTTACCTACACCTGCGGACCTGCTTGTCACTCTGTCAGAATGCCGTGAAAACATCGAGAACTTCCTCGACAAACTTCAGGAGATGTTCCAAAACACGCAGAATGGTGCGTCGGCGATGGGTTCAGCGCTACGAGCAGGTCACAAACTCATAGGACCCGTCGGCGGAAAGATGACGGTGGTGACGGCTTCGCTCCCCAACATCGGGCAGGGCAAGCTTGAAATGCGCGAGGACAAAAAACTTCTTGGGACATCGAAGGAAAGCACCTTGTTGCAAACCGCAAACAGCTTCTACAAAAGCTTTGCGGTCGAATGCTCGAAGCAACAGATCTCCGTCGACATGTTCTTGTTCTCATCCCAATATCAGGATGTCGCTTCTCTCAGCAATCTGCCGAGATACACTGGTGGACAGACTTACTTTTACCCGGGTTGGAATGCTGCTCGTGAGGAGGATGCCATCAAATTCGCGAAGGAATTTTCGGATTATCTGTCTGCGGAGATTGGGCTCGAAGCAGTTCTCCGGGTCAGAGCAACGACTGGCCTGAGAATGAGCACTTTCTATGGCAATTTCTTCAATCGCAGTTCCGATCTCTGCGCCTTTCCGGCGTTCCCACGAGACCAAAGCTACGTGGTGGAAGTGGCAATCGACGAGACGATCACCAAACCTGTGGTTTGCATGCAGACAGCGGTTTTGCACACGACCTGTAACGGTGAGCGACGTATTCGGGTTATGACACTGGCGCTACCGACCACGCAACAGTTGGCGGACGTTTACGCCTCCGCGGACCAGCAAGCCATCACAGCGTATTTCAGCCATAAAGCTGTTGAGCGCGTCTTGAGCAGTGGCCTGGACAGTGCGCGTGACATGATCCAGAGCAAACTGATTGAACTACTCGCCACCTACAAGAAAGAGCTTGCCGGCGGTAGCATGGGAGGCGGTGGTCTCCAATTCCCAGCAAATCTTCGTGCTCTCCCGGTCTTGTTCCTCGCCTTGACCAAGCATTTGGGCCTAAGGCGGTCGTCACAAATACCCAGCGACATGCGTTCGGCGGCACTATGTCTACTGTCCACCCTACCTCTGCCGCTGCTGATACAGTACATCTATCCGAAGATGTTTTCCTTGCACGACATGCCGGATGATGCAGGAACGGTTGATGAGAAGACGGGCGAGATCATCCTTCCACCACCCCTCAATCTTTCGTCTGAGCGAATTGTACCTTACGGACTGTACCTGATCGACGATGGTCAAACGCAGTTCCTTTGGGTAGGCCGCGATGCCGTTCCACAACTGGTCATGGATGTGTTCGGGCTGGCGGACAAGAGCCAGTTGAAGGTCGGAAAGCAACGACTGCCAGAATTGGACAATGATTTCAGCGAGAGACTCAGAGCGGTTGTCTTTAAAAGTCGGGATCACCGGTCAAAAGGCGTGGGCAGTATTGTTGTGCCGCACCTCTATGTGGTGAAAGAGGATGGCGAACCGGGATTGAGACTATGGGCACAGACGATGCTTGTGGAAGACAGAGCAGATCAAGGGGTCAGCCTTCAACAGTGGATGGGAACGCTGCGCGAAAAGGTACAGTAACGAGCGAAGCCTGAGACCGTCGAGCAATGGTTCGCTAACACGATATGGCAGGTCATGCAATAGGTCGTCCAGCAATAGAAGGATTGCCATAGAACGAATGCCAGATGACCCAAAATATGTGCAACCAGCAGCCTGATCCGAGCTCTCTTTCTGCAAACCCATGTAATCTTCGTAAAACTCCCTCTGGACTGTCCGATCCGATGGTGAGGCTATGGCATGCGTCTCGCTCGGTCTGCGTCAGCTATTTTGAGGACGCCCTAGTTCTGAAGCTCTTGCGGCGGAGCGAAGATGAAACACTGATCCGACTGATTCAAACGCAAGCGCACCGGCGGCAGGGACTCGGAGCTGTCAGAGAGAGCTAAGGACTGGCCCCAGCAGAAGCAAGAGAGAGGAATGGCCCAGAGAGCTTAGCAAAACCCTGGCCACGGACAGAGCCTAAAAGGAGCCCTGCAACTACCAGGTAGCACGACGCGTAGCGCAGGCAAGGCGGGCGGCTATCCATCCCAGCGGTCTCCAATTCGGTCGCAGTGTGAAATAGCATCCTCGATCCCTGGTGCAAGTCGAAGGTCACATCTCATCCTCAACTTCCAAGTGTCTCTCGTCCAACAGCTGCAGTGGATGGTTGTGTCCCACACTGATCACGTCGGGGACTAGACCTCGTGAAATCTGGTTCTTCGTTCGAACAACCTCAACTCCAAGCCTCTCACTGACGACTATTACTTCTTCTTCTTCTTCTTCTTCCTTCGCTATCCCTCATCCTTGTTGGCCTGTGCTACGTATCTCTCTCGTCCCCTTTACTACTCCGCAGCCTCCATCTCTAGCGTACCCCACCTGCGGCGACCAGATCACCGTCTCCTGAAGGTCTTACCGTCACGGACGTCGGACGTTGGACGTGCGCACCATCGCGGGTGAGAGAAGGGTCAAGCACAGTCAAGGTAAGCCTGGCCCTGTCGTCTGTCGCAGATGGCAAGGAATGTGGAATTTGCGGCCAGCATCAGTACTAATGCGACATCTGGTAGCAACATTGACCGAATTCCTCCCTACTCCTCCACCTTCCGATTGTACCGTCAACACAAATACAGACCATCTCCAATCGCTTTAAAGCGTCCGCCTATCCTGCTTGTCATTTCGCGCGGAGGCCGGCCTATTGCAAAAGACATATCATACAGCTGCAGACGAAGCAGTGAAAACTCGACACCAGGAACACCCAGCCCAAGAGTTTTGGCCACTTTCCACTACCGATCTAGAACATCCTTCCCTTCTTCCAGGCCAAGATTGGACTTCTGAGGTGATCATTGCTCGACAATAAGAGCACCCTCTTCCTGACCTTGGTGGACGTGCACCCTTGCATACTTGATCGACGCTTGACAAGGAATACGAACTGGCTCTCGTGATCGGTTACCGAAGCTAAGGCCCCTCAGAGAAACTCGAGAGAGGATAAGATGGGACAACCACAACAACAAGCCGCTTCGTCGGGAGGCTCAAGAAAGATTTCGTTCAATGTCTCAGACCAATATGACATTCAGGATGTCATTGGCGAAGGCGCATATGGCGTTGTCTGGTAAGCACCCGCACTCCTTGTCACGCGTTTGGTACCTTCACTGACAAGTCCTATAGTTCAGCCTTGCATAAGCCGTCCGGCCAGAAAGTAGCGATCAAGAAGATCACTCCATTCGACCATTCCATGTTCTGTTTACGCACGTTACGAGAAATGAAACTGCTACGATACTTCAATCACGAAAACATCATCTCCATTCTCGATATCCAAAAGCCACGAAATTATGAATCCTTCACAGAGGTCTATCTGATTCAGGTTGGTCAATTCTATGGGCCGGTCATCGTGGCTACTAAACCATTTCCCAGGAACTGATGGAGACCGATATGCACCGCGTCATCAGAACTCAAGACCTCTCGGATGACCATTGCCAGTATTTCATCTATCAGACTCTCCGTGCTCTCAAGGCCATGCATTCTGCAAATGTCTTGCACCGCGACTTGAAACCTTCGAATCTTCTGCTCAATGCGAATTGCGACCTCAAAGTCTGCGACTTTGGGCTGGCCAGATCCGCCGCGTCTGCAGACGACAACTCGGGCTTCATGACTGAATACGTGGCGACCAGATGGTATCGTGCCCCGGAAATCATGCTCACGTTCAAGGAATACACCAAAGCTATCGATGTGTGGAGCGTCGGTTGCATTCTTGCAGAGATGTTGAGCGGCAAACCACTATTCCCGGGCAAAGATTGTAAGTGTGAATGACTGGGGTATTGCTAGGGTTTTTCAGGGCTTCACTGACCTGTTGACTAGACCATCATCAACTTACGCTGATCCTGGATGTCCTCGGCACTCCCACCATGGAAGACTACTACGGCATCAAGTCTCGACGGGCCCGCGAGTATATCCGATCGCTTCCGTTCAAGAAGAAGATCCCCCTCAAGGCTTTGTTCCCCAAGACATCCGATCTCGCGTTAGACCTCCTCGAAAAATTGCTCGCCTTCAACCCGGTCAAGCGTATCACAGTCGAAGACGCCCTCAAGCACCCGTACCTGGAACCCTACCACGATCCCGATGACGAACCCACAGCCGAACCGATCCCGGAGGAGTTCTTTGACTTTGATCGTAACAAGGATCAATTGAGCAAGGAGGAACTGAAAGCCTTGATTTGGAATGAGATCATGAGATGATTCAGCGAGTTTGGCTGATTTGTTAGCAACGACAAGATGACGAGACGGCAGCCCCTGTTGCTCACGATATGGGAAAGGAAAGACTCTCTTGGACAACGGATTACATTGAGGCTTTCATTGTATCCATTTCATAACTCGCCCGCACTTGAGCAAGATGATCCGCCAGCATGGAGAACTCCAACCTGTGCTGCAGCACGAATGAATAGGGCTATGAATGAGATAGAAACATGCCACCGTATTCCGGAGCATCGACTACCCCTGATGATCCTTCCAAGGCTGATGTTGTTACTAATCCAGAACCTGTCCAAGAGATTCGAAAGGATATATTCAAAAAGCGTATAGTCCGTGAGAAATGTGTATTCGCTCCAGGGGGCATCATCCGAGTTACCGTCCCACCGAATCCCCTCGACCGGAAGAAACACTGCCTGCCGTGGACAGAGAAATGTTATGCCGAGCCTCAACATCCAGCAGGCTCTTTCCTGCCAGTTCTGTCCACTATTCGTCAATAAACTTCAGGTTCGCAGCCTCCCTGATATAAAGAACCCCCCAGAGTGGCCCGGGCACCGTTCCCACGACCTGACTTGCTCCAACAAATACTGTGGAGTGAGAAATGGGCCTCCCTAGCCCCTAGCCCGCCCGATTCCAGATTTGCAGGTGTGCACTCCAGAGCGTAGAAAAGCGCTATGTACTGTGTACAGAATATCATTATTATTGACGAGGAAAGGGAGCTTTCGGCCCTCCCTAATTCGCCCACTCCACAATCCATTTTATATAGTTTGGTGTGGTGCCAAACCAACAAAAAGTCAAAAACCGTTTGTCGTCACCAATAGGGTTCGAACCTATGCCCCCGAAGGGATGTGATACCTGGGCAATTCAAGTCACACGCCTTAACCACTCGGCCATAGTGACAAGTGACGCATTTTGCAACGCATTTCCAGTCAATTTTTCGGGCTGTCTAGCTTATGAACATTGTTAAACAATTTGATCTTCCTGACCCCTATCATTGAAATGATGAGATACGCTTAACTACCTTATTTGTTCTATGGCCTGGAGCTTCAGACTCGCCTTCCCACGAAGGCTAGTCAGGAGGCATAATGAACGGGAACCTTTCACAGTAAACGCACTTCTGTCTTCAATAATATGCATTTATGCTACGCAGATACAAGATCCCAAGTCTCAGGAGACATTCTCCTTGGAAATGAATGCCATCTACTGATCGTCGATAACATGCAAATACTGACTGGCCTCCTTCTTTTCTCGTTCGGTGGCGGGCGGCAAGTCGTAATAACTGCTGCTGCGATAGTCTTGCAGGTAATGGTAGGTGAGATCCTTGAGGTCGGTGGGCTCGATGTTGAGATCCTTGAAGGTCTTTGCCGACTTGTCGATGAACTGGTCGATGCATTCTTGCTCCAGTTGGTCGGCCGACATGACTTTCCACCAGACGAGTTTGTTGAGATAGTAGACGATAGGTTTGAGGAGGGCCTTGGGCATATTGATGTGTCTGCGCTTTTTGATGATCTCCTTGTCGACGATCTCGGCGATCTCGGCCAAGCTGTAGTTCGTGGGGCCGTATAGCTCGAAGGTTTCTCCTGCAGTTGTGTCATCATACCCGATCCTCTCCAGAGCCATTCCAACATCGATGACCTAAAACGCTGGGTTAGAGAGATCCATTTGGGACTTTTCCGGAGGACAGGGGAAGACCTACATGAACCGGCCAGAACCGTTCTTGCATGTTGTTGACAGTGAAGAGGTTGGTTACTCTTGCCAGACGGTGTAGTAGGTTGTCTTCAAAGCCGAAGCAGGGAGCGGGTCGGACGATTGTCGTTTCAGGAAACAGCTGTCTGGCGACTTGCTCTCCTTGAGCCTAATCATTTTTGGTCAGCCCTGACAAAGTCCCATTTTCTTTATATGCTATAGTATGTGGGAGTCCCTCCTCACCTTTGTCCTAAAGAACTCCGAGGTCGAATTGGGGTCGGCATTGTAGGAAGAAACGTGAATGAAGCGATCGACGTCGTATTTGGCGCATGCCTCCGCTATCCTCTCGACACTTTCGACGTTGCTGTCAAACAGGCTGAAGTTCTTGGTCGGATAGTTTCTACCGATCAGGTTGAACACTATGTCGGAATGCCGCACGCTCTCCTCAATGGACTGGGTGTTGCGCAGATCGAACTCCATGAACGACACTCTTCCCAGATCCCCGGAGACCTTGAGAAAGCGTTTGGCCATGTCATCTCGGTACGGGATCACCACTTGGTTTCCCCGTCGTGCGAGTCGGTTGACAATGTATCTGCCCAGGAAGCCATACGCTCCAAACACCGTCACTGTGTGTCCACCGAGCGATGATCTTCCTCCTTGTAGTCTGATGATCGGTTTGCCGGTCCGGGTGATCGCAATGTCTTGGAGATTCCGGCGTTGGACGACGACTGTCTTCGTTCGTGACGCTCGAGCTGCGCGGAGCGCGAGCGTGGTGGGTTGGCTGCACTGCATCTTCAATGGCGAGACAAGGACGGCCCGGCACGACACCTGGGAAAGTCACCCCTCCGCAGGCAGATAGGAGGAGAGAAATCGGGCGTTCGTCTCACAAAGACGGAGGCGGTAACCTTGCCCTTCGTGTGTGGAGGGAAGACTGGCGGGAAGTGAGTTCAACGTGATCGCTGCGGTGCAGCTCGACAATGGCGTCGATGTCGAGAGCTCCGGGTCCAGCACCTTTGGAGAAGGTCTTGGCAAGGTTGATAGAGCTCGCCGCTTCTTGGGAGCCACAGCCTTGTCAAAAAAAGCGGCGCTGATCTGTCTCTGTAGGGGAAAGTGGCTGCTCCACAATCTCGAATTGCACCAATTGTCACGCTCTATTTCAAATCCAGATTTGATCAGAGACGATGTGATGAACTACATACTGACCATGATTGAGGTCCCGTCAGCCTCAGAGCGTGAACTTCAAGTCTCTTCTTCATATGCAGCTTCGGTTCTCGCAATATCTGGCCGTCAGAGCGCTGAATGCATACAACTGCGAAAGAAAGACCCACGGGGATTTCGATGTTTTGATTGCTGAAACACAGTCGGCCTCGAAGAAAGGAAAACCATCATCACTACGGACTACACGATCATCTACCTCACATTTTACAGGCTATATGCTGTCAACTGGATCGGCTTGAGCATCCCTTCCTCTCATTCACGTCACATTGTTGCTCGAGCATGTCGGATGGTCGAAATCACCTACAGAATCTTTCATCATTTTCTTGCATCTCTCATTTCATGCAAAAGGCGGTGATTGTTGGAAAATAGCACAGACCGCAGTCAATCCAACATGGTAATCCAGCCTGAGTAAGTATAGCTTGTATGTCGACCGGCTCCTCATCTTTCTTTGTCCCTACTACAGACAAACAGGTGATTCTGGTCGCCCAAAGTGGAGTCGTTTTGGTCCAGTCTGTTCTGGGAAGGTGGTCGCCGATATCCGCAAGAACATCAGGCAGGTACCAGTCACTGGGAACACTGAGGGACTGTCCTCGGTATGCCTTCACTGACCACTTAGCCTTGCGGGTTGGTCATGTTGTATCATTTCATCGGCTTCTATTGTGTCTTTTCGTCCTGCTACATCGCAACTCTGTTTCCTTCCCAGACCTACACCTGGCCATGGGACGAGATGCCGCGTGTTTGACTTGTCGCTCGCGGAAGGTTAGATGCGACCGTCTTCTCCCCCGCTGCTCCACATGCACCAGACTCAATCGCGAATGCACCACCTCGACAAAGCCTTGCGAGGTCACCTGGCTCCATCCCCACCTTGGTGCAAGGTCTCTGCAGGACGATGATCTTGTCTCCGAGCGTACGCAGCAACAGCCTGGTGCTAAAGGCCGTCCCTTACTTACGGGTAAGCTTGCCATCTTCCGCCGCCTGTGACTGTGGCCTTCGGATGTGATCTGATATTTGAACTTTAGACCTTGAGCGAGCTCGACACATAGCTACACTCCTGTCTTCAACCCAAGATAGCACCGTCGAGGAGTTGTTGACCGATTTGGACACGCGGTTGCGAGATCTCGAAAGCAACGACGTGATCAGTCTTGGTCCTTTTGGGGTGTTTCGACCCAATGATGCAGTCACTGATGAACGCCTTGGCGACGATGCTTCGGAGAGCCAGCTCCAGATTACTCCTTCAACAAGTCCAATATGCGAAGCCGCCGCCATGATTGGCGACTTCGATCTTACGTACCCAGCGTCCGATCTGAGTGAGTCGCAACTGCTACCTCCTTTTGCCGACGATCAGTTGTCTATTTTCGGCCCCAGTGAGATTGATTGGAACGACTTCCACGTTGATCTGGGGACGGACCCGACCTGCTCAGAAACCATTTCTATGACGAAAGGAATTTCATCCAGTCTTCCCATCGCAATGTCATTAACGTACAGCTTCGACGTCCATGACCTTGACTTCCCTACCATTAGACTTCTCCTTGATCGCTATCAGCATACACTGGTCCCGTACCTTGTTCCTGCTCGAGTATACACGAAGTCTCCGTGGGAGGCACTGCATATACCTAAGGTTCATGAGACGTTGGGAGAAGTCATATTGAGAGGGGATGCTGGGAACGCAAAATTATGTCTTTTCTTTGCAGTTCTTGGGGCAAGTGCATTCCATCTTGATGTCCTCCGCACTTCGACATCCGAGGTCACTCCTCCTTGGAGAGTTATTGGCGATAGTTACCGGGCACGCGCAAAGGCTCGACTCAAGATATCACTTCAGAGCCTGTCCCGAGAGAGAAAAGAAGACGAAGAAGATTATAAGGATGTGCTTCTTGCGCTGTTGAGCATGGTGACAGTGTGTGTAAGTTGCCACTGAAGCTCAAATGTCTGACCCGCTCATAACTAATCAACCGTCTTTTCGGCTCAGGTCGTCAGTGGAGACATGGATGAGGCTTATGCATATCTACACGACGTTGAGCATCTGATTGCTCTCTATGGAGTGGACAAAATCCGCCAGTCGGCAGACGTGCAAATGCTGTACAGCACTTATCTGTACTTGCGCACATTACAGGCCAGCGTCAGCAGTTTCAGTGGTCAGGGTCAGGCGGGCGCAAGGTCGATCAAAGAACCCCCAGAAAGACCAGATGGAACCGGATCTGCCATCACTGTTACGCTTAAGAAACACAACAATAATCTTTGGTCAAGCCTGCTTCACGTCGATGGGCAAAGCAATGCATCTATGGCCACGGCGACCGAGCTTCCTTGCCACATTTGCGGGCGAAACACATCCATATTCGAGCAGATATACTCGCTGCCTGAGTCCCTGTTTCAGCTGATCTCTCGCGTCACAGAACTCGCGCAGAGGATGGAAGAGCTCAGACGCAACGAATACAAGACATCAATCACCGGTCGTGATCCGCTTTCCGATGAAGTCGCTCAGCTGGAAACCGACGTCTGCGGTTGGAAGAACGAGGTCCCAAACCCCGAACACGGGCACGTTCCACTACAGTGTCCCAACTGCATGTCGAACGTGACGTGTGATTCGGGACCAGATTGCATCGGAAATCCCTCCCGCACGTCCCTGTTATACCACTTTAGAGAAGCAATGCATTCGGCTCTACTGATTTATTTCTACCGGTGTGTCCGAAGGATAGATACACACATTCTGCAGCACTTTGTGATCAAGACGATTGAGCATCTATCACGGTACGGTGAACGAAAACGGGAATCGAATGATCCTTCATCGAACCTCTGCTGGCCAGGGTTCATTGCCGGTTGTGAGGCACTAGACACCAACACTCGGGAGCTGTTTTCTGCCTGGTTCAGCAGAGAGACGGCCCTAACTGGCATCCGCATGTTCGAGGTTGCAGGTCAAGCAGTCAAGCAGGTATGGGAGGCACGCGACTTGAAGAAGGACCGGAATCTGTCTTGGTCATACATACTCAAGGAGAACAAGACACTGGATAAACTGGTCCTCAGCTGAAAACAATCCAGAAATGCCTTGTCATGGGCTGCTCCTGCTTGGAAATCCCAGTCCCTAGCAATGCTCGGATTAAAGTCACAACTGCATATCTCGTGCACTGGAGCGACACTGGAAGGGTCCTGCAAGTGACATTGGTTGATTGACTCATCAATATCGACCAAGTGCGGTCACAGTCCCTTGTTATTGAAGGTACGGTTGGAATTCAGCATACAAGCTATCCTACACGCAGGCGTTAGCAAACATTGTGTGACCGTGTACTGGAAAGCAACGGAACCAGCCAGAATGGATATGATAGATACCAGGTCGCTAGTCATCTCAAAGGTGAAACTAGCAGCCTCGTCATTGGCAAACACCCTTTCCCGCCCAGAAGCCGGCAGAGTTAGGGTTATCAAGCGGTCGATTTTATTCGTCGATGACTGGACTTCGGCAGTACATTCTACTGCGGAGTTTTCTTTCCTATCAGCGGCACCGTCCTCGAGTCGGGATGTATGTGGAGAAAAGACAATCAGAACTTGAAAGACGATACTGGTTCCGCTAGCAACCGGACAAGAATGGCAATGCAACAGCTGGAATTACACCAGAAGGCAAGAATCCACCTCGACATTATTTCGGGCTGTTCACAGAACAATAATCGAAACGATACATGTACGTTTACGCTGTCTCCGAAAGGCAAGAGACCGGTCCCGTCTCTAAGAACCTTACCTCCTCTGGCCAGCCAAAAGCGCACCGACATGAGATACTCTGTGCGTGGGCGACCTTCGGAGAGGCCTCAAAAGCAAACTGTCGCCGAAGAAAGTAGGTCTCTATGGTTCTAAACCCAAGGGCGTACATTTTATCTCGTAGACTCACGCTGTACTTGACCACTCCAGGGCCGGGCGGCTGACGGCCACTTGGGAAAGAACGACTATTTTACTGGTGTATGCTTCTGAAAGAGTTGACGTTCATGCTGTTAGAATAATAAACATAACCACAGTCTGGCTACCTAGGTATGTTTCGAAGGGGGTTCTCCTTTCGGGATCTCAGCCTTGCGGGTCCAAGAATATTGTCGCGTGCAGAATGATAAGCTTGCCCCAGAAAAAGGGGTCTGCAGCCTCGCGAGGGTCCCTGTGTGCCCCATCCACACAACTAATTTCCAAAAATCAGACTCTTCCAATCGTGACTCTGTTCCCACGCTGCCGCGACCTTGAAGCACGTGAGATCCTCAAAGCGTTTGCCCACGATTTGCAGTCCAGTAGGCAACTTAAGATCGGGATTATCCACCGCAGGAACAAAGCCCACCGGCACCGACAGCGCCGGATGTCCGGTCGAATTGAACTGCGCCGTATTATCAACCATACCCAGGCCATACGACAGACGTTCGAGCGGCCTGTCCGCAGCAACGTCAGGAAACGCCGGCGCGGGAATAGGCACGGTGGGCAAGACCAAGACGTCCACCGAGGCGAGGGCCGCGTCGTAGGCTTGCGTCGCTTTCCTCAGCAAGTTCGTGCTCTTGGCGTGCAGCCTGGCGCCGTACTTCTCATTGACGTACAAATAGCGCATATAGAGATTCTGGGCGCCGCACCCGAGCGCATCGTAGAATTCTTGAGACAGATATGCCTCCCCAGCGGGGCCCATGGCTGGAGTGGCTTTGACGTCGCGGTCGGTCATCTCGAATTGTTTGCGGCCTGTGGTGTCGCCCAAGAGGCCTTCGCGACCGCCGCGCAGAGCCAACGCGCACGACCAGATCAAGCAGATCTTTTCGTGGTCTGGGACGGAGACTTCGACCACGTCGGCGCCCAGGGCTTTCAGATCGGCAATGGCGGAATGGCATGCCTTCGCGACGTTGGCGTTGATCTGTCTGCCTGTGAAGCCTTCCTCGAGAACGCCAATCTTGAAGCCTTTGAGGAGTTGATTGCTACCGGCGGTCGTGGCGAGGAATTTGTCGAGACCTTCAACGAAGCGTAGTGACTCGGCGGCCATGCTGGCTGGTTGACGATCATCTATGCCGTCGGGCCCGGCGATTGCTTCGAGAAGTAGTGCCGTGTCTCGTACGGTCCTTGCCATGGGCCCGGTATGGTCAATGACTGATTGGAGGCCCATGATTCCGGTATATGGAACGAGACCCCATGTCGGTTTGTGGCCGACGATCCCGCAGAGTGCTGCTGGGATTCGGATTGATCTGGATTTAGAACATGTTAGTTGTCAAATCCTGTCTGGTTGTTTTGTTTTATCCACACATTTATTGTCCAGAGTGTGAATCTCGAAAGTGAAAGTGAAATGTGAATGAAACTTACCCTCCCTGATCAGCTCCCAGAGCCATGTCCACGGCGCCTACGGCAACTAATCTGCCAGATCCGCTACTGGATCCTCCACAAGTATAGCCATCCGCATGTGGGTTGTGGACGGCGCCTGTGTATGCAGTGTTGGAAATAGGTTCCATGCACGCATTCTCGCAAGCTGAAGAGCACGCATTACCGTCAGTTAGTTGTCTTTTCTTCTTCTTGAGATGTTGTGGCTGTTGTTTGAGGTTCGAGGAGAGAATAACTTACCGGCCTTGCCAGTAACTATACCTCCTGCATCAAGGATTCTGGTCACAACAGTCGCATCATAAGGAGGAACCCACTCTCCATTGACTGGCGGGAGCCCGTTGGTGACTCGGACGCCACCAACGGCAATATTGTCCTTTATCGCGACCGTGCGTCCGGCCAGCAAGGCGCTCGTAGGAGTAGTGCTCTTGATGGTACACCGCGTGGCCCATCCACCTTTGTTGTTGTCCTCTGGCACGTGGACGTCTGTCCTGATGTATCTGGCCGGGTCAGGGGTCGGAAGCCCGTCGTCCTCTTTGAAAACGAGCTGTGCTGAATCTTCAAACAAGCCAAGCAGAGTACGCCAATCTTCAACCGCGCTTTCGGGCAGCGACAGGCCCGCCTTGCTGGTGAGAGAGCGAATCTCAGCAGCATCAAGCTTGGTTGAGCTATTTGGCACGGAAAGTGGTCTTGGTCAGCTCATACTTGCGACGTCGCTGGACGTAGCCCTTTCAAGTGGTGACTACTTACTTCTCGTCAATGGATACTATGACCATGTTTGCTGTTCCGTCTTTATGTGTAGGTGTCTCCAACGGTAGATAGAGCGTAATGGTCAGTATGTCTCTTCGGTCGAGTGCTCAGTCTCAGATATACAGAGTCAGAGAGGCTCAAGGTGTATCCCTGAATGAGTCCTTCTACCAGATGGATTTGGGCGCCGCTCAGGACCGATATAATGTCTTATCTCTCAATAAATGGAAAACATGCCATTGTTCTTGTGCCGAGTTCCGAGGTCACTGGCGCTTCGAATAGCCTGCGGGAATACTCTCTCGCCGTATCTCGATGGCGGTGGTCATGGCACTTGAGAGTGACTGTGATAGGAGGTGATGGCCTCGATGACAATAAATACTCGATTAGGAAGTATAGATTTCTGTTCACAGACATGAGAAGTCCGACTTCCGTCTCGAGATGGTTGGAATGTACAGCTAGTTCTGTCGCATGGACAAGGGGATGATAACGTACTCGCATATCTCATTGGTCAGTCAGTTTGACGACTGCTTCTTTCGGCCATAGTACTCTGCAGTGGTTAGCAGCGCACAGAGTAGACGTCTGATAGCCTCGTGGTACCCACTTCAGATAAAGCAGATCACAGGCAAGACGTATTCTCTTCCCGACGGCAGTGTTCATCCGCACTCTCCAGCATTCCTGCATGGTCGAACATGACCTATCTCAGGCTCGCCGCACAAACGCCTCGAAAGACCTCTTGCTTGTGCGCTTCCGCTTCTGATAAGAAGCTCTACAATAGCTCCACTGTCCGGGAACGACATCCTCCAGGATTGGCTTCTGAGATTCATTGAGGATGGTAGACCATGATAGAGACTCAGCGTAGTCTCAAATGGGAAGGCAGGTTGAGATAAGGCGACCGTGCGATGACATAGTATATATCAGGGCTGCTTCGAGGGGCTGGAGGTCTATATCCTCGCAAAGACCTTCTGAGACCCGAGTCATATTATAGACCCAGGCAATCTTACCCATACCGTACCTTTTCTTGTGATATCGAGCCTCTGCAAATCCAGAACGCATAACACAATGGATGAAAAGAAAACAGATATCGAGACCACGACAGTGGCAACCCCAACAGAAGGGGAAAGTAACCTTGGAAGCATCGATGAGGCGGAAGTGTTTGTCACGGGGGCGGATGGAGTCAACTTTCGCACAGTCGGCTGGATCAGAGCGTCCATGTTCTTCTTGAAGATGACCTTTGCCTCCGGGGTGCTCTCCATCCCCGCTGCACTTTATAACCTTGGTGCTGGTGCTGGAGCCTTCTTCATCGTCTTCTGGGGCCTCCTCAACACCTATTGCGCCGTCCTCCAAGGCCAACTCAAGCTCAAACATCCAACGGTGCACACTATTGCCGATAGTGCCCATATTGCGGCTCTTGAAATGGGCTTCACGAAGAAGAATGCTTGGGTTGCAAAAGAAATCACCGAGTTTGTTTACCTTTTTACCTGGGTCTTATGTGCCGGTGTCTCAACCCTCGGCCTCAGCATCGCGCTCAACGCTGTCTCAAAGCATGCAACTTGCAGTGTCACCTTCGGCTTCGTTGCGTATTTTATCGTATCTTCAGTTGCCAGCATCCGAAAGATTCACGACCTTGGCTGGATCACATGGGTTGGGTTCGTCTCTATAGTCACCGCGGTGCTCATCGTGGTTATTGCCGTCGGAATACGAGATCGCCCTGCTGCTGCTCCACAAACAGGAGACTTCGACCTCGGTTTCTCTGGCCTTGCTCCGGCAGGGACGACTTTTGCAACTGCCTGGTCAGCTTCTCTAGCAATCTTCTCCTCTTCGGCAAACACCTCTGGCTTTGTCCCAGTGATTTCGGAGATGCGACGGCCGCAAGACTATTTCAAGGCCGTATATGTCTGCATGGCCTGGATCACTTCGTCGTATCTGGCATTCGCATTGACCGTCTATGCCTACTGCGGCAAATGGGTAGCCTCGCCGGCCTTAGGGTCGGCAGGCCCAACAATTAAGATCATCGCGTACGCCATTTCAATCCCTGGACTCATCGCTGGTACCATGATCTGCGTCCACGTCGCGGGAAAGAGTCTCTTCGTTCGCATCTTGCGCAACACTCGACACCTGACCCAAAGTACCAAGACTCATTGGGCGGTCTGGCTGTCCTGCACGTATGGAACAGGCTTTCTTGGTTGGATCCTGTGTGAGGCGGTCCCATTCTATGGCAGCCTGATCTCTCTGGTTGGGGCTTTGGGCTTTGGGTACCTGGGCGTTTGCCTGCCAGCAATATTCTGGTTTGTCATGAACAAGGATGCCCGAAAAGGCTCCACTGCTCAGCAGATCATGTGGTATGTGCATCTGGGGATATTACTGACTGGTATGCTTGTTACGATCGGTGGCACATATGCCAATGTGGTGAGCATCATTGATCAGTACAAGCAAGGTCAGGTCGGCTCGCCCTTCAGTTGTATGGATAACAGCAACACTATTGCTGGAGGCTAGCTGCAGTCCGAAGCCCTTCACAGCATCACTGGATACGGCAGCTGATCACCTCAAGACATCTTGAAGGAAGGGGACAGTGACGCATCGGTGGAGGATATGTTGAGGATCTGAGAGTATCGAGTTGCTTGACGGTCGAGCAGATCGTGCTGGAGAGGAGGGTCGTATGGGTATTTGGATGAGATAGAATGGATATGCGCCCTAGCATAGAGATAGACTCCGCACAACATCACATGAACATGACGTAAACATCACACTTATCTGAAGTTGAACAACCATTGCCGAACTCTCAACGAGTCTTGTGCAGGAGGTGAAAAAGTCCGCAAGGCTGACTGCCCCTGAGGGCGGCAGAGACATCCAGGCGCAGTATGGATCATAATCTGGCGCCTAATCCACAAAGTCAGTCCTTGCGCCACAATGAGATATCTCACGACCCTTCGCTCCCATTACTTATGAGCAGTCTCGCTCTCGTCCACAGACAGACGGACTGGCGAGTGCGTATGAGAAGCATCATGGGTGCCTCGCGTGACCTATAGTCAATCAATGTTGTATCCGAAAAGTGTTCACTGTTTCATCACTTGATGCTCTCTCATACTCGGCCTGAAGACCATCTTTAAGAACTTGTGGCTTATACGTACGGCCATGGATATACACAGCTCGATCTCCAGCTGGCTTGACAATAGAGATCCAAGTGGTGTACATTGAGTTGGTTGCGAGGTTGATATCAAATTCTTCTCAGATCAAACAGACGCTCGACCGTAGTCAGATTTAGAGGGCATGATTAGCGATTAGCCTGAATACAGATAATACCAATGCCGCTTTAACAGAACTTGGCATTCTGAATACGTCGCCGGTGCAGGCGCTACTACGAGATGCGCGTCCAACTGCGCCGCTGCTCAAGTTCCGTATCCTCTGATCTCTCCTCAAACTACACTCCTTCACTGAACGATATCGTACGATCGCCTGGTCGGTCTCAGAACACTGATTGAACCCTTTGCCCCTCCTCGGACCCCATTTCGCCATGTCCAAGCAACAAGATCCTGAGGTGATATCGAACTTTCTCGCCGAACAGAGGGATGAAGCACCAGCCGAACTTCAACATATCTTTCTCACATTCGAGGATCTGTGGGAACGGAAATTATGGCATCAACTAACAAATACGCTGTTGGAATACTTCTCTGATCCCGCAAGCACTTCCCAAAGATTACCCATCTACAACACCTTCATCATCAGTTTCGCGGACAAGATCAACCAGTTGAAACTGGTGAAGTTGGGCCTGAGTGCATCTGAGCAGATCAAAGGTGAATATGTCTCTGGGTAAAGGCTTGTCTCTCCCCATACTGACCTGTCTGCTAGATGATACGGAACGCAGTCAATTCCTTAAGGTCCTTGCAGATAGAGTCGACAAGCCGGATTCGGAAGAGGCATATGTCTATACGATCACCGAACTCGCCAGCGTTTATCTAAAATTGGGAGAAGCATCAAAGGCGAGAGAACAGCTGGACAAAGCTCAAAAGACTTTGGATCAGTTCGACTTCGTGGAGAATGTCGTCCACGCCGCCTTCTACCGTGTCAATGCCGACTATTTCCAGGCTCAAGGCGATTACACATCCTACTACCGAAACTCACTCCTGTACCTCGCTTGCATAGAAGAGTCGGAGTTGACACCCGAGCAACAGCAACAAAGAGCGTATGACCTGGCCATTGCTGCACTTGTGTCAGATACCATCTACAATTTCGGCGAACTGCTGTTGCATCCAATCCTTGACGTTCTCAAACCTCCGCACCCGAACGCCTGGCTGCGGGACATTCTTTTCGCGTTCAACCGAGGAGATCTGACTGCTTTTGATCGCATGTCCGACAACCTCAGCAAGGACCAAAACCTGGAATCACATCGGCTGTTCTTGTGGCAGAAGATCAATCTAGCGGCATTGACGGAATTGGTGTTCAAGCGGCCGCCGCACGATCGAGCAATGACTTTCAAAACGATCAGTCAGGAGACGAATGTCAAGCCTGACGAGATTGAACACTTGATTATGAAAGCATTGAGCTTGGGATTGTTGAGGGGAAAGATTGATCAGGTTGCTGGCATTGCCAAGATCAACTGGGTGCAGCCCAAAGTTCTGGAGCGAAGTCAGATTGAGGGCATGAGGACTCGACTCAAGGAATGGGACAGCAATGTCAATGAGTTGGGTCATTGGATAGAAGGCGTCGGTAAAGATGTGTGGGCGGCATGAGGTCGAAGTCCTATACTGGGATGGCGGCATAGCAATGGCGTTAGGGGCAGCAAGAAGGTCATGGGCCGAGAGCACTTTGACGGTTAGCCCGAAAAGAAAGCGTACCTGTAGACCACACAATGCAAAATGCAATAATCTACATCAAAGGTATTGGCCCTGCACCTTGGACGAATAGTTGGATAACATGCAGAGAGTACTAGTAATAGAGTCCAGGAGTTGAGCGCAAGGCTCCCAGGCCAGTCAGTAGCAGCGCAGCGCCTCTCCGCCGAAACTCCAATAATGCAATGTACTAAAATTTTGACTGCTTCCAACACCTCCAACCCAGCAAGCACCTACCTATGCGCACTCGGTCCAGAAACGCCGGCTTCTCCTGTACTGAAATAGTTTCGATTTCGCGCGTTACATCTGGGTCTGTTTCTGGCTGCAGTGGCTCAGAACATATCAAGCGCTCCTCACGATGAATCCTTCCGCTACGACGTTCTTCCGCACATGTCGAGCACGACCAGCCCCGGCGCCATCACGCAGTCTAGTCCTACGAGCCCGGTCGAGGAGCACACCACTTCTAGTATCGACGGGTGAGACCAGAGGGAGAAATACATATCATGACTGTCAAGGTGTCGAGCAGCAACGCGCGGCATTCTCATCGAGATGTGGCTATGGACTTCAAGCTGGCCAGGCCCAACCGGTCAACGACAACGCTCCTTCCTCATCTTCATCTTCTTCCTCGCGTCTCCCTTCATCCGAATCATCACCATCATCAGACTCTACTCCATCCGCCATGACCGCCGCAGACGACGCAGCATTCCTAGCCACCTCACCCCAACTGACCGGCCACGTCACGCGCGTGGGCACGATGCGCAAAACCGTCCGCGTGTCCCGCCGCATCCAAGTCTGGGACAAAGTCCTGCACAAGAACTGGAAAAAGACGGCCCACGACCTGGTCCACGATCCACAGGACATTCTGAACGAGGGGGACGTCATCACCTACGGGCCCTTCCCGCCCAGCATGCATGCGGCGCGCGAGCAGAGGGGCCAGACCGAAACTGACAGTCGCGTCCGCTATGTGTTGAGGGAGGTGGTCACGCCGTTCGGGTCGCCCGTGGAGGAGAGGTCGAGTAGATTGGTCGGCAGTCCCGAGGGGAGGTGGCGTGGAACGCCGGGCCATGTGCCGGTGCAGAAGGTGGTGAGTAGGACTAGAGGCAAGGATAAAGGGAGGGTTGATGTGCCGTTGCGCTGAAGAACAATGCTGGGGTTGCTGGTGCGGCTGAAGTGGCGGCGGCAGAGAGAGAGGATGAGAGAATACTTTGCTTGTCCATGGGATGGAAAGAAATTGGCAAGGTCTTGTCATTATATATCTATCAGGCTTTTTTCATCTTTTGTCTTCTGGCCCGACGTTCCTCTCCTGTGTTATATATACAGCTACTTCACTGGTGTACTCTGGCGCTCTGGAGATTCAATGGACAAGCTATGTGGTTCCAACGAGCAGGACAAGTATACCTAGGAGGGAGAGATGTACAGCAATTGGCGAAGAGGCTTCCAGCCATGGCAGTCTGTTCTGGCTTTACAAGACAACTGGATTGATTCGGATTCGATTTTCCTTTGTCTCAACTCTGGAGGAAGGGCTCTTGATATTAGTACCTCGATTCCAAGGCTCAAGCAGACACGGCTTAGTGACCAGCTCGATCAATGATAACCTGTTCAACCCTGAGCCAGAAGTGAGCCTTGTCTACTCGTGCAATCCGCGACTGCCAGACAAAACCACCCCCGAATCGTGTTCTTGAAAGGGTTTCTTAGTATAATATTAGACCGTCTCGGCCTCAATCAATGAAGATTATTCGCCCATGACTAACTCTATACATCTATATTCGCGACTTCCCTGCAGGAAAAGGGCGGTTCAATAGTCAATAGTTCAGGCCCTTTCTATGCCAATGCTCCACCTCCCTTTCAGCTGGATAGGTAATGCAATCATTAGGTAGAACGTCTCGGTGTCGAGACATGCCCGGGAGGAGGTCTATCTTCATATAGCTTGAATCCTTAAATAAACCTGCTGAATCACAAGGTCTGTGATTTCGTAGGGGTAGCTTGCTGCCTCTCTCCCGGTTGATCAGTATTCGACTCTTTGCCATCGGCTCCTGTAGAGGCAGTGCCCGCATCCGTCTTCTGCTCGGATTGTTGGTCTTTCGGCAATGAGATTTGAGAAGGGTTCTTCACCAAGGAGGCTCGACGCAGCTTCAGCTTCTTCTCGCCTTGCTCCGATATCCTGGTCAACTCGGCGACAAAGGATTGTCCCCAGAAAGCACTGCCATGAGATCAGCACGGGTGTATTTGGTGGCACGGAGAGAGTAACTTGACATACCTAGTATACTTGAACACATATTTGTGCAGTTTGGCGTAGTTGATGGCACGCTGCTCCGGGCTCATCGTCACAGATTCCTGAATGGCACTGGCCAGTTCCTCCGTGTTCCAGGGGTTGACCAAAATACTGCCGTTCAAACTTTGGGCGGCACCGGTGAATTCGGACAGAATAAGAGAACCATGTCGCTTCTCTTGCGTTGCGATGTACTCGAATGACACCAGGTTCATACCATCGCGCGTAGAGGACACCAGGCAAACGTCGGATACCGCATAGAGGGCGATGAGTTCGTCAAAATTGACAGACTTGTGCATGAAATGGATGGGCATGTATTCCACAGTACCTAGAAAATGTCAGGATAGCTATACATTTCTCATGGATGCAACACGTACCAAATTTGCCATTGATCCGCCCAACCAATTCGTTGACAACCGCACGTAGATTTTGGTACTCTTCAACATCTTGTCTACTGGGTACAGCAACCTGCACCAGGACGACTTTGCCAATCCATTCGGGATGATCCGTGAGGAACACCTCCAGCGCGTGAAGCTTCTGCGGCACTCCTTTGATGTAGTCAAGACGGTCCACTCCGACAATCAGTTTCATGCCCTTGAACTTTTCTTCCAAGGTCGCGATCCTCTTCTGCACCTTCTCCTTTTTGAGTCCTTCCGTGAACTTCTCCGGGTCGATGCCAATGGGGAAAGCGCCGACAGTCACGACTTTGCCTTCGAATTCGACTCCGTTGGGTGTCGTCGTGAGGTTTAGAATCCGAGAGCAACTGCTGAGGAAGTGACGTGCATAGTCGTACGTATGGAAGCCGATGAGATCGCAGTGCAGGACACCGAGCAGGATTTCGTTTCGGACAGGAAGAATCCTATATATTTCACTCGAGGGGAAAGGCGTGTGTAGGAAGAAGCCAATCTTGACGTTTGATTTGTTCGTACCAATCTCTTCTCGAAGCATCTGCGGCAGAAGCATAAGATGATAGTCGTGCACCCAGACTAGGTCTCCATCCTCAACCTCAGCAGCGATAGTGCGGGCGAAGAGACGATTAGCTTCCTGGTAAGCGTTCCATGCCGACTCGTCAAAAGTGATCTCGCCAGGATGGTAGTGGAACAAGGGCCACATGATGGAATCTGAGGTTTGTTAGCCGTCCAGCCAGATGTTCGTAATTCACTCTACTCACTCGAAAAGCCATTGTAATGTCGGTCGGCCAATTCATCAGCCATGAAGACAGGAATGGCATTGAACTCCTCTTTGAGTTTTGTGGTGACTTCTTGGATCTCATCTCCTGGGATCTCCAGACCTGGCCAGCCATACCATTGGAATGTTGTGCTCTTTGCCAATCCACTCAGACCGGTAACGAGACCGCCCGACGACATGGAGTAATCATACTTCCCGTCCGCAGATCGCTTGATAGTTATGGGAAGACGGTTGGAGACAAGGAGTAGGCGGGACTCGGACTTGGGAGGGGTTTCCGTGGCGGAAGGCATGCTGAATAGCCACCGAAAGGGTGATACGGTACGGTTGGATGCAGACTGCGCTCGAACTCAGCCTTGAGTTAGAGGTAAGCGGGAGCCAAGTTCAGCCTCGCGCGGGATTGTGAAGCTGGCAAGTCGGATGTGCAGACAGACGTGCCCTCGCAAGGTTCAGGCGTAGTCAGATTTGTGAAACCACACACCGTACTCCAGATGTCGTATCCGCAGGATAGAGAGTATAGGTTTAGTAGGAACGTTAGATTGTTGGCGCGCAAGGATTATTGACGCAAGTCCTTTTGCTACTCAATCTGCTACGACACGGAGGTGGCCTGTAAGCGGTAGGGAGCAACAGCAGTGTGTCTGGTGAATGTGGTTTCGAGATGGGAGTTTGAACTCGCGTAGTGGGACACGGCAAGAGGGCGGAACGAGGATTCAGAGACTCTCGTAGGAAAGCTGCAACAAACAGACGAAGATGGGCAGCAAAGAGGAAGCAACAAGTCCGGTGAGGTCCTCCGTTGAGTGTCTATTGACAAACAAATAGTAGGTGGTTGTTCTTTGTTTCTGAGGATGGAAGCCGCAGGAGGGTCGAGAAAGTTGCGATAGACAACGTTCAGTGTTGTACCTTTTCCGACCAACATTTCACCCCGGCACGTTTTAGACTTAAGCCATACGTCACCCCTGTGCCCGCCCGGTCAAAAGGCCTAAGGAGCCTTCGAGATGTCGGATCATGCCTCCGACGACAGGCATATTTGTTCAGTTGCCAACTACGTAGGTACCAGCCTACCAGCCTAATACTACGGTATCTCACCTGCGCTTAACTTGATACTTCAGAATACGAAGTTGAGTATCTGCATGATGCATCGAGCACGCCTTGAAATGGAAACTACCTGCTGTGTTGCTCTCTTAAGAAATTACCGTCTGCCAGCCTGTGCACCTCCGTGGTCCTCCCGCCTTCCAATCGACGCCCGCGCAGGAAATGCCAGGCGGGGTATAGAGCGATTCAAGTTGTGGACGTCTGCAAAGACTTCGCTTCAATTCTCCGGTTTTCTCTGGGACTTACAACAACCTGTCGCAGGCATTGAGATGCCCAGTGACCCGATGAACACGAGAGGCTGTGGTGAAGACGGATCTCCCTTTTCTTCATTTAAAGACATTCTATACATGGATTCCACAAGGGACTTGAAGTATCCAACAATGTCCTCGTCCAAGTGATTGCATGCATACATAAGTCACTTATTTATTTGAAACTGCGCTGATAGGGAGCCGTCCTTGTTCGCAGACAATGCTTATGCCAGTCTCCATATCACCCCCTGGTCGCCAGTTCGATCAAATAACAACAGAGGAAAGCCTCGCCGGAAAATGGAGTCGGAAGATGCACGCTGGGGAAGGTTGCTCCCGTCATAACACCATAAAAGTTCGTCAGTCGTCCACTCGGTTAGTCGTTAAAGTCAGAAACATTGTAGTGCTATCGTTAGACATGACGGTCGCTCAAAATACATGCCGGTCGGCGTTCATCACAACATCAATGGCCATTGGGATCGTAAAGCTCTTAATTGGCTCGGATGACCAACTTGGCCAGAAACTTGTTCGACAGGGAATCGAAATCTTTCCTGTCGAATCGCGCATTGGGTCGACCACGAAGGTAATTTTCTAGTACATATCATCAGTAACCAATCCACAAAGTTCTCGCATATGAGTAGCTTACCATATCGCGTAACATGCTCTCGAACCTCGGTCATGGTGGTGCAGACATCAGGGTTGGATGCCAACAGTGCATGGTGTTTGGAGGTGTCCCATTCAAGGAAGGATGGCAGTTTTTGAGAAATGGCCTGGAAGAGGCCAACAACCACACCAACTGGGGTAGTTTCCATGTCGTTGCAGAATTTATCCACAGCAGTACTGTCAGGAACGCGGTAGTGGCAGTCGAACTGCATGCATTCCCATACTGCCAACAGCACCGATGCCAGAATAAAGATGGTCGGCCAGTTCTTGAGCTTGTCCCCACTGTAGACACTGGAGTACAAGCTTGATAGTTCCTCAAGCACATCCTTATGCAGCTCTCGCCACATATCGGCCATGGCGCACTTGATCTGGAAGTTGATCATCACAGGCGCCATGGTCTTGCCAAAGAACTTGGATGTCTGCTCTTCTATCTTTCCAACAAACGTTTCTTCCGACGGCACTCCCTCAACCATGGTGATGTGCAAGGTCAGATTGTAGGCAAGCATGAGCTTCAGAGCCTTCTTGATGATCTTGGAGCCGGTCTTGAAGTAGAATCGATACGCGGTCTTCAGCATTTGCGAAAGAAACGGAGTGCCTTCAAAATAGTCGTCGACAAACTTCTCAAATGTGCCGGTTCCGTCGATGTGTCGGTCAAGGTAGTCGCTCAGCATGGTCGTCGAGATACCTTCCATGCCAGCAGACAACTTGGCGGTAGAAACTTCATACCCTTCTGGCGACAATTGGTGGGCCTCGATCCAATCCAATTTTAGGCATGTCTCATCTCTGACATAAACCTCCCGGGCGGTTACGGGTAACATATGACCGTATCCATGCGTTATGAATAACGTCTTTTCCGTGTCAGAGAACCCTTTGATGTTGCCAACGGAGAATCCGAGGGAGATATGTCGTTCATAGTCGAACTTCCAGTCCTTCAAGAAGTACCCGATCTCTTTAATATCAATTCGAGTGCACGGCACCTGCCACAGGCGGGCATGCGAAGGTTGACATCCTGCACAGGGCTCCCCCTTGTCACATGTCTTCTTCAAGAACTTGCACCGCAAGCATGCTCTCAACTTCCGGATCTCACTGGCCTGTTTGCGTTGTTCAGGCCGGAGGGGGCCTCTCCTTCGCCCCACACGCTTCTCACCCTCTGCTTTGCCCGTTTGAGCAGTCTTTTTGACAACTTTATCCGTCGACCTGGCAGCAATATGACTTTTCCGTGAACCCTTCCGACCCGGCGAGCCAGCTGAGGCTTGAGAGCCAGGGGATCGCACGATAGATCCAGAAGACTGGGTGGGAGGGTTATGAATTGAGCGAACGAGAGCCGTAGGATTGATGCTAGTGGTAGAAGCAGGACCATGGTCCATCGAGAGGCGGTGAGAATGCGGAAATTCGAAATCACTGTCAGACAAGGTGGTTGGGGAGTACACGGCTTGAGAATGGCCCATATCCAGGGTCGACATGAACGTGCCATTCCCTTGAGGTTCGAGGTCCGAGTATGACGACTCCGACAACGTTCTGTTGTGCACAGTCTGATTCGGGTCGACGAAGAAATGGCGCTCATAGGATTCGAAGGAGGAGCGAGGCTCCACCAAGGTCCATCCATGCTCGTCACATGAACTGGGTTGTGACAAAACTTCGAGATGTGATCCAGTTGGCGAGCTGGTCAACTGTTGGTAAGGTGATACGGCAAGTCCCATATCTGTGGTTGTATAATTGACCAATTCGCTCTGGAACTCGGCCCAGTTTCGCGGCATCCCATCAATGCCGGAATCGAGGGGCAGATATGTGGATTCGAGAGACAAGCCCGTAGTGACGGAAGGTTGCGAGACAGGCATCATCGCCAAATGCGAAGGATGTATCGGGAGGCCATGGAATTGACTTTCGAAGTGCATATCATACGACGGTTGTTGAGCGGAGAAGTCTATGTGGTTGTGCTGGTGAAGTTGTTGCTGCGTTTGAAACCTCCAGCTATCCATCATTGGATGCTCTGCCATAGTGGTCTGTCGTAGACCATGGCTGGTGGTCTGAATAGGTGATATGTTCCTCCTCGGATCTGCTCGTGGAGCAGCAACTTGATCCATGTGTAGAGGCCATGCTTGATTGCGGAAATATGAGGCACTTCTCGCGTCGAGCTCGTAGGTGAGATCATCGCCCGTCAAGTCGACATTGCCTGCCATGGTGGCTATGTCAGACTGTCAGCCTCGTAGGAGAAGCGTCCGGTCAGAAGCCAGGCGTCTGGGACGTTGTACTGCTGGCCTCGTCAACCAGAAGGAAGGAAGCTGGTCGAGGGAGGATGCAGAGAGAGTCTCCAGGAAGAAGAGATACAGAGAGTGACCGCTTGAGGCGGGCACAACTGAGAGGGCGGGCCTCAAGAGGGATGTAGAGAGTCGTGAGAAGAGGCGGTGAGCAGTTGCATGCAGCGTTGGAGACGGTTCAAGTGGGCGGCGGGGACGAGAAGTGGGCGGGGGCGTGGGCGGAAACGGCCGCGGCCAGTGGCTACAGCCACCGACAAGCGTTGCCAGTGGCCAGCTGCAGATTCAGGCCCCAGGGACCCGCGGCGTGACCCCTCGGCGACTGGAGGTTGTGAGGGCCGATTGGATTCACTGCCCCATTCGCAAGATGGTTGGATGCAGCGCAGTTCACTGACGGCTGGAGGAGCGAGATGAGCGACACCTTCGATTCCGCTTCGCTTGGCCACACGCTGTTTCTTGTCTGTCCTGTCCTTGCTTGTATGCCACTGCCCTTCCTAGTCGTGCGTACAGTGCCAGTGGTGTGCTTCTTCATGCCGCTTCAGACAACTTGAATTGAAAGCTGCCCCACCGACTTCTGCCTGGCGCGTTGCTGGTTCGGCGGCCGTTGTCCTGCTAGAGTCAACCTGGAACTGCCCCTCGAGACGGCGCCCGGTCTAGACGATGGTGAGGCGCACTGCAGTTGTGAAGAGAGTCGGTGACAAGATCATGTTAATAGACGACAATGCAGCACACTGAACCAACAACTTGAAACACTGGGGAGTCAATACAATGACCGCCGTGCGAATACTGGCAATGGTGACTGCGCCATTCACCTGAGCACTTCGCATGGGGGGTGCCACATCGCTATCTTGCCTCGAATCCATCTCCATCTCTTCGATTATCAGGACTTTTGCTCAGCCATGGAGGAGGCGGAGAGGTGGTCACCCCTGTTACGGCTCGCCTGGGGAGGGATCCTTGTCCCATTCAACGGCTCAACTTTTTGCAAGTCGAGTTCCACAACCGACAAATCGCAGTCCCTTCCGCGGGCCTTTACACGAGCACGTAACGAGTCAAGTTGCAACAATACTTTTGCCGCCTTGCCCAATTGGCCAACTTGATATCACAACAAGCTCCCACTTATGCAGGTAATCTTGCTGGTGCTGACCACCAGTCCTCTCTCCGGCAGGTCTTTCCATCGTATCTGTCGAGCTCGCGCTGTTATGGCCGACGGCGATTTATGCTGCGCCTCCTCAGTACAGTTGTTATCTACTTCACCGTGCGTGCTCCCTCAGACAGCCTCGTCGGTGGCATCCAAGCTTAGTGCAGCAGACACATGATTTTAGGCTCAGGCGAATATCAGTCGTGGAGCAGATTGCTGGCCATCTGAATGAACATCGTGAATATCTCCCCGAGGGCCTCTTCCTGGGTGCGGCGTCTCGAAGAGCGGTGTAGAGTTTTGACACCGCCCTTTGGTGGCTCAGGGCAGCGGGTGTGCGCTCGATAACAGACGATTCGGCCAGGATGGACCATGCAACTCCACATAAAGGGGCAGAGGCACGGCAAAGACGATATTGTCTGGGACTCGGTGATGCAGAAGTTGCGAATTGGGAGAGCATTCCTTCAGACAGCGTCTTGGGCATCTACCATTTAGCGGTAGAAATGAGCTTTCAGCCTGGTACCGCGAAATGCCATTGAGAGATGATGGGAGGACTTGAGAGCTGAATTCAAGGCGTGCATAAAGAGTCCCGCGGTCTTCCTTTCTGTTGCAAGGTGTTGATCATGTTTGTGGCTTTGGAGAGGGCAGTTACTTCAATTTACAGGTAGGTAAGTAGGTATATTAGGTCTGAGGTACCTGACAGTAAGGTAGTCTTGGATTATTGGCTGAGGACTTTACCTTAGTAGGCAAGGTATGTGCTATAGAGTAATTTAGGTATGATTTCTACACACTAGTGTCTACTAATCGTTCAGACGAAGCTACCTAAGCATTCTAATCCTCAAATTGAACTTCAAAGGCTCCGAGCCACTGCACAAGACTAGATTCTCCAGCGTCGACCGAATACGCTCGCGGAACTTCGGGTTGGGATTCCGCTGACCTCAATACCTGATATCGATCACTCACAATGTGAAGCGGTAGAATTGGAATGGTTACACCGTATGAGATATTTCGGTGCACTTGGTTAACCAAGCTTCGACGACGCTCCTAAATTCCGCTCAAGCAGGGTGCTCAATTATATGCCTGGTGCTCCCGCATCCCATTCAAGATTGTGGAATTCGAGAACAATACTAAGGTATTATGGTTGAGTCGGATATCAGGGTCACCTTTGACGCATGCTGACCGGGCTCGACGTAATCATCTGTCACCACCTGGATCCAGGACCTGGACTTCCTGCGAGCCGCAAACACCATTACTATGGCGAGTTTTGACGACTTTGCGTCCCTGATACCGGGCTACTTTCGCGGGCCACCAGCCTTACTTGACAGTCTTGAGACAGAGACATCTGTCCTCCAGGCGCAAACTGTCAACGAATGCCTCCCACTGCTCAATGCCATCAACGATCCTTCGAGCAGTCCCTTCGACTACAACGAGTTTGGTGTGCCCGAACTAGAGCGGGAAAAGCACATCCAATTCCTCAAAGCAAACTTGGCGGAGTTCCCTGCAAGATTTGTCGGTCTCGATGCCAGCAGGCCTTGGATGGTTTACTGGGCGTTATTGTCGTTGTACATGCTTGGGGAGGACGTAACTCATTATCGTTCAAGGTATCATTACGCGCACTGGCCTGCCCCATGCGGCCATTGATCGACTATCGAAACCTGAACTGACACCGCCGATAGGGTCATCAAAACATTCTCCTCGATGCAAGACGCAAGCGGAGGGTTTGGAGGCGGCTTCGGACACTATTCCCATCTCGCTGGGACATACGCAGCACTATTGAGCCTCGCGTTAGTGGGGGGCAAAGAAGCCTATTCACTGATTCACCGCGACCAAATGTGGCATTGGCTAGGTCGGCTCAAACAACCAGACGGCGGGTTTCAGATATCTGAAGGTGGTGAAGAAGACGTGAGAGGGGCATACTGCGCATTAGTTGTTGTTTCACTGCTCAACCTTCCACTGTCCCTGCCGGCAGATTCTCCAGCCCGGAGTGCCGGCCATGAGACATTCATGGATGGCCTTGGAGAATACCTCTCCCGGTGCCAGACATATGAGGGCGGGATTGCTGCTTCTCCTGGTAACGAGGCTCATGGCGCGTACGCCTTCTGTGCCCTCGCCTGCCTTTGTCTGTACAGCAGTCCGCATGTGGCAATGCGCCGGTTCCTCGACATTGACGCCTTGGTCTGGTGGCTTTCGTCCCGACAATACGCGCCTGAGGGCGGATTGGCCGGACGGACTAACAAGCTCGTGGACGGGTGTTACAGCCACTGGCTTGGGAGCTGCTGGCCACTGGTCCAGGCTGCTATCAGCGGCCCCCGAGGGACGAACAGTGCCAGTGGGGACGGACACGTGGTCCAGGAGAACCTCTACAGCAGTGAAGGGCTTGCCCGGTACATCCTATGTTGCTGCCAGGCAGAAGATGGTGGACTAAGGGACAAGCCATCGAAGTCTGTCGCCCCAAGCCTTATTTGTTGCTTTCACTGACAAGAGCTCACAGGCCGCCCGACTCTTACCATACGTGTTACACGTTATCTGGCATCAGCACTGTAGAACATTCACACTCATACGGTCACGTCGACGATTCTGAAGCCTTTGCCTCGGCCTTTTCATGGAAAGCTTGCAGTGCCCTGATCCCTAGCGAGGCGGATCCGACGAAGAATTTTGACACAGGCGCGCATGTCAGGGCCATTCATCCCGTGTACTCAGTTCCTCACGAAGCTGCTCGAGCCATCCGGAGCTGGGCGCTGTCTCATCCACTCGATACAGAAGTGAGGGACTGATCTTCGATGTTATCCATGGTCTTGAGGTTAGGGGTCCAGGCAGGAGGATCGCTTCCTAACATTCGTAGATTTGTATGTAAGCTAGTTCGATACTACCACTGTGCTACTAGTTTATACTAGTAGCCAAACAAACACGACTGCCGTAGAAATGTTGAGCCCTTATCATTTGTGCTCACTGTCTCAGAAGCCGGCGGGATGTCGTATAGTCGTCAGTCGTGCCTCAGTAGGAAAGAGCAACCTACTCAACGACGACGCTACTGCCCACGAAATTCGGATCATGTCTCCTGCGCTACAAAACCCGGTGACTTTTTCTTCAGGCTGCGTTGACTCCCTTCTGGTTTCCAGCGACCAGCCTGCGCAATTTCAACCATGCATGTCCCCGGGATCCGTGGATGTCTGACTCCCGGCGTCTCTCAAGGATATCTCAGACGCAGGCCCGCAGTCACTACAGAACTAAGTGGGGGAAATTCTCTTGCTTCTGCAATAGGCCGCCGCCGTTGCTGAACTTGCTGTGTTGCATATGACCGAAACTGCCCCGGCCCTGTTGGGTCGTCCAGGTCTCGCGTGCATCAACTTACCACTAACTGTCTAGAGGTCTTTTCCGGTGCTCGCCCACTCGGATCTCGAAGGATATCGGCCTCAGCGGACCCATATTTGTACCGAAGGAGTGCTTCGATTCGCGCACACAAGGGTTGGTCAACCACTCTCCTCTTCCTCGATTGTTGGAAGAATCAAAAGCCTAGGCTCCTTCATTACCTAGAAAGGGAAAAGAGCTGGATCAAATGAGATAACACTGCTGGTCGTCTCAGCTATAGACGATGCTTGCAAGATTTGACCTCCAGCAGAACATGTGGTGGACAACAAGATGACGAACATTGATCCCCTGGCGGTCCAACGAGAAGTCACCTCCGTACCCTACACTGCAGGGTAGTTGGACACCTGGAGACCACCGGTTCCTGACAACGCATTCATGCGCCGCAAGCTTACGAGCAGACATGCGGTCCACCTGCTATACACCCTTGGTGGCTGTAGAGACCCCGGTCACCCGTGCGTTTGCAGCACACATGCAAGCTGTCTGCCGAAACAGCCCACGCCCGAATATGTGTGGTGTTGATTGCTCCTGGCGCACTTCATCGAAATCCTAGTGGATCTAGATTGCGCACGTCAATTCTGTTCGGCTCCTTCGCAGTTGGCAAATATGTGCAAGCCTTTAAGAGTGCTCTGGACTTGGTTTGGCCTCTCGCGTCTAGGCTGCCTATCAAGGGGCGCACTTCATTCCTGATCGTTGAAGTTCATCGAGGCTCGAGACGCCCAGTAAGAGCACCGAAGCATTTCAGGCCGCATTATGATAATACCACTCCCCCACATGCCAGGTGTTTCTGCATGAAACTTCTTGCGTCAACGGGGAGATCTCTCTGGAGGAAAGATACTGTGCTCCAATCCAGTCCAGCTAGGTGCTCAGCAAGAGTGATCTTCTGCAGGCGTCACCGGTCAAAGTCATGTCAGCGCAGATGCAAGTCAAAGTCGGAGCATGGCGAGCCACGAGACATGTTAGCCACCTGGTTGAACTCTCCAGTCGACACTGTTTCTGCGCGGGGAAATCAGGATATCGTCACCAATCATGCAGTCAGTCCATCTGTCTCTGCGCGAATTGCCCGACAGAGGAAAGATGCTAAGGCCGGTCCCGACTTCAGCGTGCCGGGTACTGGCCAAAAAATATGCCAACACATCAAAACATTACGATGGTAGATGAGCAGTATGTTCAGTCTTCCGCGATCGACTTCCACCACCCGCTCACCAGAGGAATTTTTGGCCACTGTGGAATCTTTTGGCCTGCCCCACGCAATGCCCGTCGTCTTGCATCTGCTTCGCTGTCAGTGCAGGGTCTGTACCGTCGAAGCCATGAAATATGTGGACATTCCGCCATAATTCACCCGTAGAAATGTCCAACTATATCCATGATATTGATATTTTGCTGCCTGGGGACCATTGCCTGGCAATCAAAAATTATCCCGCCTCACTTTCTGGCTCCCGCAACATAGTTGGCGTCGTTGACGTTGGTCGATAAGACCAGTCCTTGCCTGCACCGTGAGCTTTGCTTGTCCTCTTCCAGTCACAGTTAGATGCACAACTTGTTGGGCCTCAAAGTCACCACCCGGCATCACAGCAGACATGCTGCATACCGTTTATCTGGCCAGTACGTACCTTACAGCGCCGAGTGCTTCTGTTTGGCGTTGATGTGTGGCTTTTGCGCCTGTTTACGGCTTCATGGAGCAGTGGTTTCGACGTCTCTTTATGAATGAAGCACCAGTTGTCTCGGACACGGTCTGCCAGCCTTGCAATAGTGTCGGAAATGGAATCCCCTCGGCGTCTAATCCAGCCATTGAAACACTCTTTGCCTGGACCTTGCCGTCTGTTTTCTACCCCAGACACTGACCCGTGGTCCCCACTCAGGTCTTTGTCAACGCCGTCGATGGCCCGAACCTGCTTATCAGACATCTTGCAGCCCTGCCGGGTATCGATGCGTCGTCCGAGTCAACAACCGTGAATATCAGACTTCGAACTACCATCCGTCGGAGTCGTCGGCGAAAGAAGGAGCTGCTTTGATTGCTTTCAATATCTGTCGGAATTTTTCTGCCAACGACGGCTTTTTCCCGGCCGGCTTTGCACATGGGGGCGTGATCCAGGGCAACCCTGTCCCTGTAGGCTCGGGGCGCCACAATCGCAGGAGTGGAACGACTACTCGAGCAGACTATCGTGGCGGCGACACAGATAGCTCCGGCAGCAGGAGTGGAGGTAGCAGCCCTGACTGGAATGACTTGCGTCATCCTGGTCGGCCTCAAATCTCGACCAGTCGTCGAGATATCTATCCTTCCGATGCCAATCACCATGGGAGACGGGGCTTGTCACAGTACTGAGACCGAGGATTGTTGCCTAACCACGGAAATCGTGTTGCTGCTATTGACTGCATTGTGGACGGGTATTCTCCAGCGCTTTGGAACCATTCACGACTTACGACATTATGACCTTGAAAAGGAGGGCATTATTTTCATTGATTGTTGATGATGATGACCTTTGCATTCCTCTTCACCGCAGGCCTTGATAGAGAAGGGTGAAGCAGGCACCTGTGTGGTTAAGTCAGTCAACCATTCTTGTGTTTCGAGCTTAGCAATCTGGTCGGGCGAGGGAACCATTCGAGCGCGTCTGATCATGCTTGGAAGGATGTATGAACGAGTTCCATTCGAGAGCCTAGAACAACAGATTCTATTTCGCTTCATTTCATTGCGACATGCTTGTCCTCTGGGGAGGCCTGGAGCAGATTGAATTGCTGCCACCCCTGAACTAGTAGCCTCGTGATGAGCTGTGAACCTTCGGCAGCGGGCCATTGCTCGCCATACAACACTGACAATTGGAAGTGAGGCCCGCGTTGAGGAGGTCGTAATCTTGAAGGGTCGCAGACTTATATCATGTTACCGTAGAGCCTGCGCAGGATATAGTTCAGGGCACCGCCGTCAAACCCGAGAACTCTATACCGTAGTAGTGTTGTATACTGGTCGGTGCCTGGGAGGGAGAGGCCGTCCCCTTGCACATTATCCGGTTAGGGTTGAGGTTGCCGTCCATGGCAACCTCCATGGACGGCAACCTCATGATTTAGGTGACCCGCACTCTTGGAACTGGCTTGTACGCCCTCTGCATGGAATAGTGATCTATATCTGCTCATCAAGTCGCACTCTGCTGTCACCGAAAAGTAAAATGGCTCCACGCGAGCTTTCAAGTTGTGGCGCAGCGCAAAAATGTGTGAAATGACTGGCAGTGTGAATGACGTCGCAGGTTCAGTATTTACGTGTGACCAAAACAGGCTCATCACTTACCCGACCTCCCATCCCACAACTCCTACACTCCTACACCTGGGTCTGTGGCTTTCAGTATGTCTCTGCTATTCCGACCTCTTCAATGACACCGAGAGAACGAGATGGCTCTGCGCGTGAGCTCTGCGGCGCGTCAGATTGACACGCTCGGCCATCTGTGTCGCCTGCGCCAACCGTTGTCTGGCGCCTCCTCGACCAGCTTTGGAAAGCAGCGATACCTGCATAGCATAGGTCCTGGACTAGAATATTCAAAGCGCCCAACCTTGCGAGCTTCTACGCGGCTCCCTCACAGCTTCAGAAACATTTCAGGCGAACAAAAGGCCAGAGATCTCAATCAGCAGGGGATTGACGATGCCCTCTCCGACTTTGACACTGCTGTGGCTCAAGAGCACGAGAAGCAAGACCGCACACCATGGCACCGACAAGGCGCCGAGGAACCTCCAGTTCGAAAACAACGCTCAGCAGGAGCCATGACCAAAGGTACTTCTCTACTCTCAACCAAGGCCTGAGACGGACACATCGTGACTAACCCCGGCGTCCCAGGCAAACTACTGACCACACCTTCGAGACTGCTCAAGCTTGTACTCCCTCTTACTACGGTAGACCAAAACTCCGATCGCAAAGATGTCGCCCCTCTTGCTCTATTAATCCATCCTCAACAACCGCTCTCCTACCTCGAACGCCTGATCCAATCCGAACTACCCAGCATCACCAATGAAAAGGGGGAAGGCAGACTACCGAAGGTGGGCTTTCGAGCCATGGAGTCCAAGGACGACGAGATCAAAGGGTCCAAGAAGACACCCGAAGAGCAGGACGAAGGACTCGACACCTCCGAAGAGCCTCCTGCCGGTGGCGGCGTTGAGACATACAGCGGCGCCGGCCGCGAAGGCACAGGCAAGGACGAGGGCGAATTCGTTCGATGGAGCCTGTCCACTGAGATTGGCGACTTCATCCGTGACGCGGCGAGAGCCAAGGAATTCGAGGTCGAGATCGAAGGGAGCCCCAGGCCAATCAAGGTCGCCGTCCCTTCATTCAATGACAGAACCTTCTACTTGCGGCAAAGGCTACGCAGGGTCTCAAGGCAGATTTCCGACCTGGCCGCGATCAAGAAAGAATGCGACGAAGCCGCCCACAAAAGCGGTCAGAGGATCGCCATGTCCGGATGTGGTCTATTGATCGGTTACTGGTATCTCGTGTATCGATTAACGTTTAAAACAGACCTCGGATGGGACGTTATGGAGCCGATAACCTATCTTATCGGCTTATCGGGCCTTATCGGTGGTTATATGTGGTTTTTATACCATAATAGAGAGGTTTCGTATCGGTCGGCATTGAATATTACGGTAAGCCGCCGTCAGAACCGCTTGTACGAGGCCAAGGGCTTCAATGTGAAGCAATGGGAGGCCCTGATCGAGGAGGCCAACGCTATCAGGAGAGAGATTAAGGCCGTGGCCGCAGAATACGACGTGGATTGGGATGAGACGGCTGACGAGCACGATGAAGAGGTCACGAAAGCATTGAGGGAGGATCGGAAGAACTCCAATGGCAAATCGAAGTCAAAGAGCAAGGACGAGGCTGAAGATGATGACGATTAAGCACCATTAACATCTACCCAAGAGCCTTGAAGGCATACAGCCATGCAACAAGACATTGCCACCATTCGCTTGGTCAGCGACGCACGTATTTGTCTCTGGCGGGATCGAAAATCGCAGAATCGTGGGACCCAGAACTCTGTCCTGCAAGTCAGACGACACATTAGCCTTGGGATATCGAGCAGAAATAGAGCAATACATTCTTACCTCCGCCACCACCCCCTTCTCCAGCCCGCCGATTGCGATTATTGCGGATATCCCGAGATCGAAAGACGCTGTATAGCAGCCACAGAGTCACCCAATTTGGAGCATGCTCGCCGGTTGTTGCGCCTCGATCGAACAGTGTGCGTTGAATGGTGCCTGGTTTTGCTTGTTGCCATGTGTCGATGATTGCTTGCCGACGACGATCTTGACGGATGTGATGCCAAAAGTAAGGAGGCTGTGTTGAATGATCATTACGCTTTTCGTCTATCAGGCTGCTTTGGTCGGAGTTGAGTCTGCTGTATATGGCGATTGCTTCCTCCTAATCCTTCGGTGAGCGTGGGTCCATTGCCTCTTTTCGTTCCTGAACGTACTCGCATGGCCCGATAGTAGCCTTCGTGGCGAGGATCGGTGGTACTCAATCCCAGAGCCTTCATGAAATCATCCTTTGGTGCCCTCGGTCCTACAGGTTGTGTTTGAGGCATGGAGGCGGTGAAGGTCAGAAAGTCAATGAAACAGCCCGAAATGTATGTGCAAGATGGTACGAGGGCGCGAGCACAGCGAGTGAGTGTCACAGACTTGACAGTGTGCTTTTGCCTTGAGCGCCTGATATATATCGCAAGGGAGCCTCGACTCTGGCCGTGAGAGATGAGAAGCAAACATGACTTTCGATCCACATGCGTTGGGTGTTAGCAAAGAAGACGATTACCTGCACAAGGCTTGCACCTCGATTGGGCATCATTGATCAAGACAATTTTCAAATCCGGGCCTTTTGCACGTCAAGGAGAAGTAGACGGGATTCGCCCGCGAAACGGCTTCGTCGAGCCTGAAGTCAAATATGTGCGGTGCATTGCACGCAACCACAGGCTTAGCGAGTTTGACTCATGCACGCAACCGACGAGCAAGGGCACCTCGTGGCCGACCAATGTGTGGGACGGCATCGATGCCAAACCGGACGACGATTATGATCCCGCATATTCCCCTAGGCGTCGCCTTGTTGCATAGCGGAGCAAGCGTGCCGGCCAGATTGGAAATCCCGAATCGTCCTAGATACCTGGAGTTAACACTTTATGTCGGCGGAAAAAGCCGTGGAAAGGCAAGATTTTCCGGAGTCTGCTTGCTACAACCAGTACGGGACCAGCTGGAACGCAGGCCTGTAGCGGGATGTGTTCTCAATAAAGAGACAGTTGCATGCTTTGGCCTAGGAACGGATCACCCACGTTGTTTCGGTTTCCAAGACACATTTTGATTGTCGTCGACTGTTCTTGCGTTTAGCAACCAACTTGCCAGGGTATCAGTGCGGGTCGCCATGGGATGGTTGGATGGTTGGATGGGTCCTTCCAAGGCTAACATGACAGGCTGTTGTGCGACGAAGGGGTTCAAAGCCTCAAGTGAGCTGCTCTGGCCGCTCTGTAATCTCGAAACCTGCAAGTCGAATGATCTGGTCAATATTGTCATTGCGCAAACCGAGGAGGTCGCCGGGCTGGATGTTTGCTACTTGGAAAGGCCGACTCCTATACGCGGAGAAAGAGACAAACAACACGAGATATCGATCTGGTTGGCCCTTGCAGCGGGCCATGAACAAGCAATCATCCAGGTTCAACCATTCCAACCAGTCACCCTTGCATTGGTTCAAACATACGCATTGAAGACCACACAAACCAGGATTTTTCTTCTTCTTTTCATCGCCGATGATTGTCTGCACCTCATGCCTAGGGTGTCAGCTGACCCGTCACGCAGCTGGGGATGTTTTTCAAGGATGGACTGTGTCTCTGGAAGTTTCCTTTCCTCTGCCTAGAGTTGGACTGGCCACCTGGGTGTGCCACTTCAACCTGCGGATGGAAAAGAAAACCTGGAGGTCGAAGCTAAACCAATTTCAAAGAAAAGAATTGTCCGGTGTTCCATTTTGTCTTGTTGCACAGTGGAAGGCTGCTTCTTTCCTTCCTGCTGTGTGACCTGTCAAATGTTGTCCGGCTGTGCAAGTCGAGATGAGCTGAGTGGACGTCAGAGCGGCAGCGTCAAGAGACGGACAGTGCGCTACCGCCACCCGTGAGCTCGTCCTACTACGAAGTATATTTTGCTCGGAAGAGACCGTCAACAGAAAACGTCACCGGTCTGGCCAGGGAATGGCTTGCATTGGGGTATACAATTGAGACATAGGGGAAATGCTCCTTGAAGATTATATGGAACCATATGTGTTCCCGTCTGCCCAGGGCGGCTGGATATAGCACCTGGTATGCTGAGGGAGAGGGAGGATGCATAGGACTGAGACGGGTGGGATGCAGCTTGGACAAGAGTCCTTCGATCAGCCACATTGGGGAAACAGTGGCAGAGGTTTTATAGTATAGAGAGGTCAGTCAATAGAAGACCTACTTTTGTAACCTTCATCAGCAGAGCGTTGAGGAGGCTCGCTCAACAAGTCCGAGCCAACATGGGGTGTGTCTCTCGAAGCAATGCAAAGGAAGCAAAGCAAGGCTACCTGCAGTACTGTATGTATCCTGCCTGTTGCAGCGTTGCTTATGGTTGTGAGAGGGCAAAAATACCCTGTCGCAATTGACTGTCGCGTGTCTAGTATCTTTTGTTTCGACTCAAAAAAGACACCGACATCGCAGTCGATACTAGGATAGCAACTTGAGATGATACACAAAGTGTTGGTATGTACATTATTGAAGCGAGTCGCGTCGTGTAGAGGTTTGGTTGCTCATCAGGGCTGCCTTCAAGTATCAGAGAGGTAGGTGAGTATGGGGAAGCAAATGACATCAATCCTTTATGGGACCTAGATATACATTACTACTTCATTACTTATAGAGTTATACGGCGAGTCCTCTGACTGTCAGCCTCTCAACCAACACTCCAGTTCATCTTCCGCAAAAGCGCCGGAGCCATGTCTGATGGCAATAACAACAGACTGTTCGTTCACCGACGATAACCCGCTCCCGACAGAATCACCTTGTTCCATTGTTACCACTCACCACCAGTGACAAACAATGCCACCACCGCCTCCTCCATCCACGATCCCCGTCCTCCTCCTCAAAACCCGGTCACAACCGCACGACGCTTATGAAGAGTATTTCTCCACAACACCCCTCAATGCCGCTGCGACGCTGACAACCGCGGAGGAAGGCGTTGGGGTTGGGGAGGAAGAGTGGGATCGAAACGGCACGGCTGGACGTCCAGTCTCTTTCTCATTCGAGCCGCAGTTCGTGCCAGTCCTAGAACACCGACCGAACAGAGAGAGTTTGGATGTCTTGAAGCAGGCTCTGGAAGAGGGCTCGCTGGGCCAGAAGTACGGTGGGATGATCTTTACGAGTCAGAGGGCCGTCGAGGCGTGGGCGGAGGTGGTCAAGAGTACGGAGCGGCAGGAACGGTCGTCGCAACAGAATATATTGGGTGAGGATAGTTCTGGAGAGAAACAGAGACAAACACAAACACAAGAGGATAGGTTGCAAGACACAAACAGAAGCAGAATTACAGAGACGAGGACAGGTGTTGAACTTGGAACTGGGATCGGTATGGTCTGTCCCCCTGCTAGCAGCCCGTTGGTGTTGCGAAAGAAACCCTCGCATCTTTCATTGATGTGCGATATGTGTGTGAGAGAGAGAGAAAGAAAGGGGAGAGAGAGAGTATCATGGCTAACCGAGGAATTCGTTTTACAGGTATGACCTTGAATGGAATTGAAGTCGACAACACAACGGCATCACACACACATGGCTACGAAAGGGCGGCCCAACGCGCACGGAAAGCAGAGTATATCGACGACGACGACGACAACGATGATCACAACAACTCCTCCTTCCCACTATATTCAGTCGGCCCAGCGACATCACGGGCATTGAACACGTTGATCAACGAATCTACCCGCCTCACCACGGAGTCATCACCATTTGCGCGTCTCCGACCTTCAGTGGTGGGCGAACATACCGGCAACGGCGCCAATCTTGCAGACTACATCCTGTCGCATTACAACGAATTAGACCAGCGGAGCATCCCCACGACCCCGACCATGACCACAGATCCCGGACGAGAGTCACCATCACCTTTGCCGAAAAAAGGACTCTTGTTCCTCGTAGGCGAGCAGCGAAGAGACATCATTCCCAAAACATTGATGGATGTCGACGGCAAACTCGACCCCCAGCAACGGATTGCCGTGGACGAGGTCGAAGTGTACCGTACGGGCGTGATGACTTCGTTTCAGGACGATTTCAGTACGCGCATCACTTCGTCGCGGCGCGAAGGACGCCATCTCGTCGTCGTCGTCGTGTTTAGTCCGCAGGGCTGCGAGGCCATGCTTCACGCCCTGGGGTTCATTGATGGTGCAAACCGGTTGACAGAGTCGGCTGTGAGTCGGTGGGACAAGAACGTGTCGGCAGTCACTTCGACTTCGACTTCAATTTCGACTTCGGCTGCTACTGATTATGTTCTTGACCAGCACCACAGTCAGACATTTGTGGTTGTCACAATTGGACCGACGACCAGAGATCACTTGAGGGACAAATTCGGCTTTGAGGCCGACGTGTGTGCCGCGAAACCAAGTCCACAGGGCGTGGGCGAGGGAGTCGAGGCATTCTTACGCGGTAAAGGGTTGATTTGAAAGGTTTGAACAAGCCAACTACCTAGGTATTCAAGAATGTCTAGGGATATTATCAATGAATCCGAATCCGATTCAGCGACAGTCATACCTAAGACTGCAAAGAGACTTCCGAGTTGCTTTACTTAGTGCCAGACATGTAGTCTGACCATGATATAATCGACGTCCAATATGAAGTCCCTTGTCCATACAGAACAGGAATCAATCTTGAATATTCTCTGTCTCCGTGCCTCTCGAGACTCAGACTCAGATCTTTCTCCAAGCAACCTCAATGCAATGGCAGGGATCAAGACGTATCGTATCGTATCTGCTTGTTGCTTGTTGATAGTAGTAGTATCAGTAGTCATTCCTCAAAGAATAGCCTTCTCACTGGCCCTCCATGTCCCTTCCGGCGTCTTGACCACTTTCCCATCCCGCCTCAGCTTCTCCAGCACCATCAACAACCCATGTTCGGCCGGCTGGTACAGATTCTCCGGGTAATGTCTGTAGATGACCTTGACCATGTCGATACTTGTCCATTCCTTTCCGGCTGGAGTACTCTGATCTCTTTTACGTTCACCATCACCCTCACTTTCGTTTTCGCTGTTGCTGTCCCCATCACCATATCGAGTAATAGAGTCATGGGCCGAAGCCTTCCCTGTCCCTGTCCCTTTCCCCTTTTCCGGCTTACCAGTCGTCCCGAATCGCAAAACATTCAGCGCTTCTTCCTCCCGCATGCGTCGATGGGCGATATACTCGTCGATCTTGGCCACTGCGTCTTCCACCACCGCGCCGTGGCCCGGGTATGCGCGTTTTTTGGTTTTGGTTGTTTTATCCGTGTTTTCGGATGCATCATTCCCACCGTTCGGGCCGCTCACGGCTTCTTGTGCAGCAATACTCTCCACAACACGTCGTTTCATCAACGCCAAACTATCCAGATAGACACCCAGGTCTTCAAACACCGCAGTGCCGTGACCTAGGACGTTATCTGCCGTGAAGATGGCCCCGATTTCCTGCGGGTCCGAGGACCGAGTGACGAGGAATGACATGTGGTCTTTAGCATGGCCCGGGGTTTGGATTGCTTGGATTTCGATATCGATTTCATTATCAACATCAATATCAATATCAGTGTTAGTATCAAGTTTCTGGTCCGTGTCGCTGCTCAACGCGCGGAACCGATGACCGTCTGTGATGTCAAGCACGCGGTCAGGATCGATCAGGCCGTCGGGGTTCAGGGTTGGCTGGTTCTTGTATACTTTGAGATTGGGTTCCTGTTTGGATGAATTGGTGGTGGTTGTCTCTTGAGACTGCATTAGAGTTTCGAGGTCTTTGACTCCGCCGAGATGGTCATGGTGCCAGTGTGTCAGGAGACATGTGGAGACGGTTGCAGGGGGTGATTGTGTGCGTAGGACGTCGTGTAGGGTGTCGATCCAGGCGGTTTCGCCTTGGGCTGTGTCAATGAGGAGACGGCGGGGGCCACGGCCGAGAAGGTAGGTGTTTGTGCCTTGGAGGGTGAACTGGAAGATTAGAGAAGGATCAGTATTCAAGTCTCCTGTCTCTGTGAAGGGAACACAATAGTCTCATATGCTGTAGACTGCGGTGGGCGACTCAGTATGTCAATGAAGGGAAGAAAAGGAGGGATTTGGTGTGGGATAGAATGGTTTGGAAATTGTCCCTCGTTCAACCTTCATCCTTCAGCCTTGAGGATTGTAGGACCCTTTCGCACGGATGGCTCTCCATTCTTGCGTTGCTTGACTGTCCCAGGTGCGAGCGGTACGGAGTAAACAACGATCAGTCTCAGGAGAATACTCGACCCGTTCTCTTCTCTCTTTTTTGTTTCCGGAAATATGATAGTAACGAGACCGCAACCGCAACGAGACCAAGCAAGCGACAAATCCAAGTAGAGGTCTAACATAACGTACCTTGCTAGGATTCCCGCCCAAGATCCGTATGATATTGGTGCTCACCTGTTCCCAAGGGGGAAGTTGCGGCAAACTTTGAGCCATCCTCTTTTGTTTCCGTATCTCGTTCTTCAAGCCCGAGCTGAGGCTGTTCAGCAGGCAGAGGGTAAGGCGCATATACCGAATTCCCCAATGCCAGTCACTCACTGGTCGGGCGATGGTGACAGACACCCCGACTTGAGTTGATAGACGCTCCACGAATAGCCAGCTTGCGTATTCGACAAGTGATGAGAGAATCGAATCGAATCGACTCGATGAGAGTATGTATTGAACAACAGACAGAGAAGAGAGAAGAGAGAAGAGAGCACACCAGGCTGTGCGATGACAGGATGAGCTGCTAGCTGGCCTGGATCCCCTCCCAGGAGTGAATATATCGTCCGTCCTTGAACACCGATCCTCTCGTAGGATCACCTCGACAGCGTTGACTGTCTTCGAAAGCTGTAATCTCTCACTCTCTCTCAGGGAAAGAAGGTAGGTGGTCACTCGAGTCCTCCCCCACACCCGAATATAGTCCCCCAAGAATGTTATCGGCCCTAAGACTGCGCTCACTCTCGAAGATTTACTCCTGCGTCCGTTAGCTGTGATGAAAAGATACAGCGCATTTCACAATTCGGTAGATCGGTGTCGCAATCGTGTGTCTCCAAGGGACAAGCATGATATCAAGATGCCCGCGTCACAGTATGTCCTGATTAAAGTGATATACCGAGGTCCAGAAGGCTCCGGGTAACCTTCTCCTTCTCCAACCTCCATCCTCGATTCCTCTATTCACCGTCCGAGGTTGGGATCGGTTGCCAGCTCCAGTCATCGAGCATTCGAAGGAAGAAACAATATCGTTGATAACACAGGCTCGTAGGTGGAACAGAACCGCGCATATACGTACGTAAATAGGTATTAAGAAACAAACAGAGCGCATGTGGTATTCTCACGAAAAAAGTACCTATGTAACATCATGTCCTCAATCCACCACCATCCCCCAACCCGTGACGAGCTTGATTTCTGGTCTCGAATCGTGCCATCCCCATACCTCTCTTCGGAAGGTCTTGAGCTTCCGGCATGGTAGGATCGATCCCGGTGTGGTATCACACTGTATACACAAATTACACGCTCCCCCGCTAGAACGTGCCAAATCCCATCCTTTGACTTAGTGTGCGTGCGCCTTGGCCATCGTGTTCAGCGCACTGCCATTCTTGAACCATTCGAGTTGTCCCTCGTTGAACGTGTGCGTCAATTGGCATTCCCAAGGCTTCCCTTCCTTAGGATGCACAACCATGGTGATCGGCTTGCCAGGCTCCAGTTGAGTGCAGAGAAGGTCGACTCGGTCATCCGGGTTAATCTTGTCATAATCCTCAGGGTTGGCAAAAGTCAGTGGCAACATTCCTTGCTTCTTCAAGTTGGTCTCGTGGATACGGGCAAAGCTTCGGGTAATGATGGCAAGACCACCAAGATGTCGGGGTTCGAGAGCAGCGTGTTCTCGGGATGAACCTTCACCGTAGTTCCAGTCACCGACGACAACCCATTTGATGCCGTTCTTCTTGTATTCACGGGCAGTGTTGGGGACAGAGTCATATTTGCCAGTCACTTGGTTCTTGACCTTGTTTGCCTCGCCGTTCTCAGCATTGATGGCGCCGATCAGCATGTTGTTGGAGATGTTGTCAAGATGACCACGGTATTTGAGCCAGGGACCAGCCATGGAGATATGATCAGTGGTCGTCTTGCCCTTGGTCTTAATCAGAATAGGAAGGTTCATCTGGTCCTTTCCATCCCAAGGGTCAAAAGGCTTCAGCACTTGAAGACGATCGGACGTGGGAGACACCTTGACCTCCACCTCTGAACGGACTTCCGGTGGTGCTTGGTAGGTGTCACGGCCGGGGTCGTAACCAGACTTGGGCAGACCATCGCCAGTTGGTGGCTTGAGCTTGAAGTCGTTGCCGTCCTTGTCCTTCAAGGTATCAGTGAGCGGGTTGAATTTGAGATCTCCGGCAATGGTCAAGGCCACCACCAAGTCGGGGGACGTGACGAAGGAGTGGGTGGCGGGGTTTGCGTCGTTTCGGCCGGTGAAGTTACGGTTGTAGGAGGAAAGGATCGAGTTGGGCTCGCCCTTCTTGACGTCTTTTCGATCCCATTGACCGATACATGGACCGCATGCGTTGGCCAGGATAATGCCTCCGAATTCCTCAAGCGTCTTCAGTTGACCATCGCGTTCAATCGTAGCACGGATTTGTTCAGAGCCAGGAGTGACGGTGAAGAGGGACTTGGCCTTCACGCCATGCTCCATAGCATCCTGAGCAATCGAAGCGGCGCGGGACATGTCCTCATAGGATGAATTTGTGCAAGAACCGATGAGCCCAACTTTCAACTCCTCGGGCCACTTGTTCTCCTTTACCGCATCTTTGAACTTCGAGATTGGTGTAGCCAAATCCGGGGTGAATGGTCCGTTGATGTGAGGTTCCAGTTCGCTCAAATTGAGTTCAATCAGTTGGTCGTACTCGGCTCCCTCGTCCTCACGGAGTTCATGAGCGTAGGAACGCGCAAAGTCACCAATATGCTTGCGCTTGGTAGCCGCCAGGTAGTCATACATGCGATCGTTGAATGGGAATAGGGAGGTCGTCGCACCAATCTCAGCACCTACGACAATTAGCTTGGTAACAGACAAACGGGGAGATCACTCAGACCCATGTTGCATATGGTGCCCATGCCAGTGCAGGAAATCGAGTTGACTCCAGGACCATGATACTCGACGATAGCCCCAGTGCCGCCCTTCACTGTAAGTATACCAGCGACCTTGAGAATGATATCTAGTGGACGCCATTAGCATTGAGGACGAAGATAGGAAGATTTCTCTTACCCTTGGGAGCAGTCCAGCCGGACATTTCACCAGTCAACTTGACACCAATGTACTTGGGTGCCTTCAATTCCCATGGCAGATTCGCCATGACATCAACGGCATCAGCACCGCCGACACCAATAGCTGCCATACCGAGACCACCGGCATTCGGGGTGTGGGAGTCGGTTCCAATCATCAAACCACCAGGGAAGGCATAGTTCTCCAGAATAATTTGATGGATGATACCGGAGCCGGGCCTCCAGAAGCCAATGTTGTACTTTGCGCAAGCGCTAGACAGGAAGTCATACACTTCTTTGTTGATGTCCTTTGCTCGTTCCAAATCCTTGTCTCCGCCAATCTGTGCCTCAATCAAGTGATCACAGTGAACGGTGGTCGGGGTAGCAACGGACGGCATGCCAGCCGACATGAACTGAAGAATAGCCATCTGGGCAGTAGCATCTTGACATGCCACTCTGTCAGGTCGAAGCTTGAGATAGGAGACTCCTCGTTCGATATCTTGGTTGTGCGGGTCATCCAGATGTGAATACAGGATCTTTTCACCATATGTGAGAGGCCGATTCAGTCGGCTTCGAACGATTGCCAGGTTCTCGGACATCTTCCTGTTAAAGGGTCAGAATGTCGGTCGGTTGCAGGACTCGGCGATGAAACATACTTGTAGTTGATGTAGTGGCCGGTTTCCCAGTTCGTCATCTCGACCTGTATCCGGATGTTAGGAAATTATGTCAGAGAGATATTCAGATGTATCACTTATTTTTGCTCAAAGGGTCATCTGAGACAGTAGCATATCCCATTCTCGACATCCGCAGGTTCTGTATAAACCGTTAGCTTGTTGTTGGCGGTCGGCTGAAGAGCGGACGGAAGACGGAAGAGGGACTGACGGTTCCTACGTTTGAGCCCTGGTGAAAGACAACAAGTTAGTCAAAGATCTTGGTTTCAGCAGCAAAGCAGTGCCGGTTGTTGAGGCCGTGCAGCCTCTTACTGCACGGTAGTCCCGAGCACGCTGAAGGTAGACTGCAAGGAAACTTACCAGGCGCGAGGCCAGGCGGCCCAGAGGCCGTGTGGACATCATTGTTGCGACGATGCTTGAGCTCTAGCAGACAATGCAGCAAGAACAATCAAGCTCGGCGAAAGTGCAAAAATGCCAGCAGTAGAGTGGAGAGTGGGAGGAAATGGCGACAGAAAGGTGTGATGTCGGTCTGCGTGGAGGAATGGATGGTCGGAGGGAGGGAGGAAGCTCTTTCTGGAGAGGGTGCGGCTTCGATGAGGAGCACGATAAGCCTTGGAAGACGTCAACCTGTGAATGGCCACGAATAACTAAGGTGCGTACTGGTACAATAACTGTGCCGGGTAAGGTACCTCGTAGGTACGGTAGTAGTAACCTCTGGCTGGCTACTCTTCCACGTCGCTCTATTCCCTATCGTCGCCTGCGCACACACAGATTTACAGTCGGTATACAATAACGACAGTCGTACCGTGCAAATGCAGTGCAGGTTTCGGATCTGGGGGTCGCAAAAGATTTATACAAGTACCTACAAACACACACAGCTCGGATCTCCACCACGCCCCGAGCTGCTGTCGGCATGTCGCCCCCAAGCATGCCAGGTGCCAGGCTGCTAGCTGTGTTTCTACCACGCTACCTAGGCAATGCGAGCCCAAGTTCCCACTCCCAGGCCCCAAAGCCGAGCAAATGCCTCATTTTTTCTTTCTGGCCTGCAGACCTCCTCGTCCAGCCAATCAGCGCAGACACAATTACTCCCTCCATTCAACTCCTCATCGATTGATGGAATAACCTACGATCTTCCATCTACAATGTAGCGTAGCTGATGCGCGCAACAGATGTGAGTTGATGCAATAATCCCCTTGCCTCATGCACCCTGTCAGGGATGTTCTCCAAGCAGTGACGCAAACAACATGGCAGCAATCAGTGCAATCCTACCCCTTAAGGTAGGTATCTGCTCGCATACCAAGTACGTACAGAGTATACACATGGTAAATGCCTTCGTGAGGGCACCTCCCCTCGCGTGCTTTGTATCTCCCGCCGTCCGAGTGGCAGCTCTGAATTAAATGCGTGTCTGACCTGGCCACATTGTGGCTGCAGCCTGCAAAATCCACCCGCAAACCACGGTCAGACTCAAAGATTGCCTCCACAACCCGGCAAATTCGCCCTCGGTGATTTGAGCTCGTATTATTATTCTGAGCCATGATTCTCATTGGACGTGTACGGCACTCCGGAGCGTGCGAATGGGGTGCGAATGCCGGTTGCAGCCGTGCCATGGCAAGCAGACCTGAAGTCACCCCCGAGATTTCGGCCCACCGCGCTGCACCGCAAAACATCAGGTCCCACTAAACCCAAAGCCTTGCAGACACAATCCGCATTTTCCCTGACCTTTTTCGCCAGATAAGATTCCAGTCCCGAGATACTCATCTGCGCTCAAGGACATTCCTCGGATTTCCATCATGGGCAGCATCAGACGTAGCAAGACGAAACGTCGCACCCGGTTGGTTCATTTGTCTACAAAAACAAGCACACGATATACTGACACCGCTCGCAGTGACCTTGATCAAGTCAAGGCTGATCTAAAATCCCCCCGGCATCTCTCCCAACACAAAAGTTCCAAAGCCGCTGAAGATTTGCCCGGACTGGGCGCATTCTATTGCATCGAATGTGCAAAGTATTTCTCAGACAGTCATAATCTCAACGAGCATCGGAGAGGCAAGATACACAAGAGACGGTAGATCAATTCATTTCGTTCGTTGGGAATGAATTTCTGACATGTGCACTAGTGTCCGGATGCTTAAGGAAGAGGCACATTCTCAAAAACTCGCAGAGGCAGCTGTGGGCTTGGGCACAGATAACGGCCTTCGAGAGCGAAACACCGAAGCCATGGAAGACGTATGAACCATCTCTTGTTCAATATAACACCAGAAGGCCTCGTGCCGGAGTGCAACAGACCAACCACACTGTCTGTATATGCTCGATTACAGACGCGACAGACGGATCGCCGCAAAAGAAGCACAAGAGTCTGTACTCTATGGGAGTGATCATGGAAGTCCGTGGTTGAGATCGGTCGCGCACTTTGCCAACCCTCCATTGAACATCATTGCGGATTACGCAGCAAGGCCATGATGGTTTCATACACATACCACTGTCTCATGTCAGCCACCAGTCGCCGTCGAGGAGTTATATCACCCACCTGGACAGCGTTCACGATGAATGCTCGGACACTACACACGCCTAACCCGCGGTAGAAGCCACGGAGGCCAGCGCTTTGCCAGATCTCACGCGCCACACCCACGGATGTCTGATCATAACGAGCAGCTATTGCTGCGCCTGGAAGTAACCTCTGGCTTTCGAGGTACACCGAAGGTTGCGTCTGGAGTCGGGTCTTGACGACGTCCAAGGGATAGATGGACACCCAAGTGACGACTCCCGCAATCCCTCCGCTGATCAACACATCGGCGGCAGAAGGCGAAGAGAAAGGGTCTGGCTGTCTCGATAGAAAGAGTCTCTTGCTTAGCTCGTATGACCAGAAATACCAGCCATAGCCAAATGCATCGCGAAGACTCGTTATGGTGCCTCCATAATAAAGCCCTCGGATTCCGCCCCTTCTCCAGATGTCCTTGAACACAGCATATGAGGAACCCTGCCCATCAACGACAAGCTGAGTCCTGCACTTGATAAGTTCAGAGGGTGCCGACACAACAAACGTAGCAAATCCTCCAACTGCTCCAGCTATCCATATTTTTCCAAGGTCCACTCCGGCCAGTTTTGTATAGTCGAAGATACTGGGATCCAAAAGCTTCAAGGACCTGTTGAAAGACATGAAAAGAATGGAATTCAATGCACCATAGCCGAGGATGGGAGCGGCTGCACCTCTAAACAATGCTGTGAATTTGTGACCTCGAGTGCTTGGTTCTGGAGCACCAGATGACGGAACACCAGCATTGCTTGTCTGAGCTCGAACTTTCACAACATCTAGGCGGTTCCCAATCAGAATCCCTATGGCGCCAGAGAGATAGCTGGCCCAGAAGTCCGCAGACATCCTGGAGTCGAAAGAGTCTCCCCTGCCCGCAACACAACAGAAGTCCGTCAATCTTGTTATCTCATTTTGCAGGCCGCCCGTCTGCCAGCACCAAGTCGAAAGGATGCTGGTGATGCCCTTTCCGAAGTAAGGGTCTGCGCCGCTGAAACACCAATCAACTATGAATGATTTGGATTGAGGGTCTGGAGAAGGGTCATTCAATTACACTCGCGTCGTTGATGTGGGCGCGAGAAAACGCCGCTCGGGGAAACATCACTAACACGTGACCTCGCGTATTGCCGACGCGTCCTTCAAGCGCGTCCGTGTCGCTCTTCAGGGCTTGCCTCAACAAGGCTTGTTGATTGAAAGTCGCTCTGTTCCACAACTCTTCAGGCCCATACAAGGCTTAGACAGCCTTTGCTTTCTTCTTCCCTCTGCACAACCATCATCATGTATGTTGACGTAGAATAGGGAATGATCCGTACTAACGTCTCATTCAGGATACGTAGCAAGATCCTTGCGCTGGAGCAAGACAAGGAAAACATACCTCCTACGAAAGCTGCACGCTTGACTGCCAATTCTCCAGCAGCACTCGACCGTCTCACCAAACCGTTCAAATGTCCTGGATCAGCTAATGCTCGCAAGTCCAATGGCGAGCCAACCCGAAAGCGAAGAAAGGTGAACTATGCCGAGGCCGCTGGAGGCCAGGATGATAAGAGTGGGGGATACAGTCTCGATGGCGATGGCGAGGGCGTATCGCTTAAGGATCGATTCCCGAAGTTCAAAGTCAAGGATACGGAGACCACTTTTCGAGCAAGATTCTCCATACCTCTGATCAACAAGAATGCATGCGACCCTTCACGGCCAGCCCCTACCTTGGGTATGCGACGAGGCGCAACATTTGTCAACAAACCGTTACACGACCCCAGTGGAGAGTTCTCAATTGTTCTCTACGATCCTACAATCGATGAGAAGCCTGAAGGCCAGCCCGCAGATGCAAACAAAGAAGAAAAACCAAAAATTGATACACCACTCATGCACAAAAGTCTGGCCGAGATACTGGGAATCAAGAAGCAAGTTGAAGGCGAGAGACCGAAAGTGCCGGTTGTGATTGATCCACGACTGGCCAAAGTGCTACGACCTCATCAAGTCGAAGGAGTGAAATTCTTGTACAGATGTACAACCGGCCTAGTCGATGAGAAGGCCAAAGGATGCATTATGGCTGACGAGATGGGATTGGGAAAGACTCTGCAATGCATTACCCTCATGTGGACCTTACTCAAACAGTCTCCTGAAGCGGGCAAGTCCACCATCCAAAAATGTGTCATTGCGTGTCCGGCGAGTTTGGTGAAGAACTGGGCGAATGAGCTTGTCAAATGGCTGGGTGAGGGTGCCATTACCCCTTTTGCCATCGACGGGAAAGCCACGAAAGAAGAGCTCACCATGCAGCTCAAGCAATGGGCGATGGCCAGTGGGAGGTCGGTAGCTCGTCCGGTCTTGATTGTGTCGTATGAGTCCTTGAGGTTGAACATTGATGAACTCAAGGATGTCAAGATCGGTCTTATGTTATGCGACGAGGGCCATCGATTGAAGAATGCCGAAAGTGGGACGTACATGGCATTGACTGGCCTGAACGTTGATCGCAGAGTCATTCTCTCTGGCACCCCCATACAGAATGACCTGAGCGAGTACTACGCTTTACTCGACTTTGCAAACCCGGGTTACTTGGGTACAAAAGCCGATTTTCGCAAGCACTTTGAGCTGCCCATCCTTCGAGGTCGTGACGCTGCCGGTTCCGACCTTGACAAGGAAAAGGGCGAAAAGGCCAATGCTGAATTGGGATTTCTTGTCAAAAAGTTCATCATTCGAAGAACCAACGACATCTTGTCCAAGTACCTGCCGGTCAAATACGAGCACGTTGTGTTTTGCAACCTGGCTCCGTTCCAGAAGGATCTATACAACCATTTCCTTCAGAGCCCTGACATCAAAAGCCTCCTGAGAGGCAAAGGTAGCCAACCGCTGAAAGCGATTGGTATCTTGAAGAAACTGTGTAACCATCCCGATCTCGTCGATCTTGACAAAGATCTTCCCGGGAGCGAGAAGTTTTGGCCTGATGATTATGTCCCGAGAGAAGCCAGGGGTCGAGATCGGGATGTGAGGTCCTGGTATTCTGGGAAGTTTGCCGTGCTTGAACGCATGCTTGCACGCATACGACAAGACACAAATGATAAGATTGTGCTCATTAGCAATTACACTCAAACTCTGGACGTCTTTGAACGACTATGTCGGTCACGCAGTTACGGCTGTCTCCGGCTGGACGGTACCATGAATGTCAACAAGCGTCAGAAATTGGTGGATAAATTCAATGACCCCAATGGCGAGGAGTTTGTGTTCTTACTGAGCAGCAAAGCGGGCGGCTGTGGTATCAACCTGATTGGTGCCAATCGCCTTGTTCTCTTCGACCCAGATTGGAATCCAGCTGCTGACCAACAGGCCCTTGCTCGTGTATGGCGGGATGGCCAAAAGAAAGATTGTTTCGTTTACCGCTTCATGGGTACTGGAACGATTGAAGAGAAGATATTCCAGCGCCAGTCACATAAACAGGCGCTCTCTTCAACTGTGGTCGACTCGGCCGAGGATGTGGAGCGACACTTCACTCTCGACTCCCTGCGTGAATTGTTTCAGTTCAAGCCAGACACAACAAGTGACACTCATGACACATTCAAATGCAAACGATGTAAACCGGATGGGACACAACAAATCAAAGCCCCAGCGATGCTGTATGGTGACACGAGTTCATGGAACCACTTTGTCAACAATGGAGAGAAGGGACCATTGGGGAAGATCCAAGATCTTCTTCTACGACAAGAAGCATCGGAAGATGCTGTCAGCGCGGTCTTTCAATATATCAGCCACTAAATGATGGCAAGACGAGCAAGGGCATGCGTTAGAATGAACGTGTGGGGTCCACATCAACGGACGCATCAGCTTGATAAGGGTGCGAGAGAAGGGGAGGGGGGTTTGTGAGAGAAAGCACCGTGATTGATTTTCTCTGAGACGGTACCAAGTTGGGTTGGAACGAACATCGGGATAGAAATGGCCACACTACCCGGTCGCTGGTCCGAGACGACGGTACACGTCAGGCTGGCATCTCAATGAGAAGAGCTGCAGTTCGTGTCTATAATAAATTCTCACAGATTGCTGTAATATATGATTGCGTGATGAATGGACAGCAGATAACCACGTGGATATGTTCGTTGTCGTCGAGCTCTGGCCAATGGCGTCACCCGCCGATGTTAAAGCGGCGTATAACACTTCCCAAAGTGGTCGTTGACGTGGTTAGAAACGACTTCATCCTTGGACGAGAGTTTGGCTCGACACGCGATTGTTGTCCTTCTATAGGAAGCTACTCAAAAGGTCATCTTCCTTCTGCATTCATTGCTCTCCCGACTCCATCTGTAGAGTTCGTCCCGACTTTCATGAGCGTTTGGAAGCATGCAAACGTCTGACCAGCGCAAGCGAGACTGACAGCTGCGTCTGTGCCCTTTCACCAATGATGGTCCTGCGAACTCGTTGGAATCAATCAAGACCTCGCCGTCATGGACCCTTCAGTACAGCGATTGCTTACGGACAAGCTCTACGACAAGCGGAAGCAAGGTGCCCTTGAGTACGCTCAAATGTCCGTCAGATAGTTGGCAGGCCCTACTGACCAAACTGCTTTAGGCTCGAGCGTATGATCAGGGAAGCCCTCGCCGCCAAAGATCACGAGAAGATTCGCAAAAGTATCGACCAGTTATGCCATGATTACGCTTATGCTGTCCATCTGCCACATGCCCGTAATGGAGGGTTGATCGGACTGGCCGCGGCGGCTATTGCGCTGGGTTCGGTAAGCCATGTTTGTATGTCCAATACAGCGAGGCTGAAGGTCTGACAAAGCCTTTCCTATAGGACGAAGTCGCCCGCTACTTGCAAGAAATTGTTCCACCAGTTCTGGCATGCTTTACAGATCAGGACGCTCGAGTGCGATACTATGCCTGCGAAGCCATGTACAACATTGCCAAAGTGGCAAAGGGCGAGATTCTAGTCTTCTTCAACGACATCTTTGACGCATTATGCAAGGTACGACATTGATGTGTAAAGGAGAGTTAGGTGCTGACGGGAGATATCTCCAGCTTGCTGCCGACTCCGAACTGTCTGTCAAAAATGGCGCCGAGCTCCTGGACCGTCTCATCAAAGACATTGTTGCCGAATCAGCATCTTCTTATGTCTCGGTGTTGAACTACACCGATGAGAATGGTGAGCCTACTGGCTCTGACAGGGACAGTGCCGACTATCCCACCACCTTCTCCCTTGAAAAGTTCATTCCTCTACTGGAAGAACGTATTCATGTTCTTAACCCGTTCACCCGGACTTTCCTGGTTTCATGGCTTACTCTTCTTGACACCATTCCGGACCTGGAACTCGTACACTATCTTCCATCGTTCCTGGAGGGACTGTTCAAATTTCTTGGGGATCCAAACCGTGATGTCTATGTGGCAACGCAAGGTCTGCTAGAACGCTTCCTCAGCGAGATCAAGCAGATTGCCAAGATCAAGAGGGGGATCGCCGAGAGCCGCAGGAGCCGAGCCAGTCGCCCCAAACCTGCTTCTGATAGCCAAGCGGGCAGTGGTACAGCCCGCGGAAGTGATGGTAACAGTGTTTTGGCCGACAATGCCATCGAGGATTCGGAGTCGAGCACTGCCCAAGAAGACTCGGCGGAACTGGAAGAGAATGGCGGTGATTGGATACCGGGTCAGGACGTCCAAGTCGACTACGCCAAGATCCTCGACATCCTGCTCAAATTTGTGGATGTCTCGTCCAGTAAAGAGTCCGCGCCTAACCTGCGATTGGAAGGATTGTCGAAGCAAAAGGAGGAGGAGATTGGAATCGTGGCGCTTCGGTGGATCGACAGCTTCTTCGAAATCAGCCCCGAGGATATCCTCCAGTTCGTTCCAAGGCTCCTGTCTTGCGTGTTGCCAGCGCTTTCGGCGCAGTCCGAGCAAGTCCGCACGACTGCCAGTAAGGTCAATCGATCGCTGATGGATTACATTGTCTCGTTTCAGGACGAAGTTGCTACAGAGGAGGCCAGTGCACGGGCACCCAGCAGCCTTTCAGTCTCGTCCGCACGGGATGCTGAAGGTGCAGATAGAAGGCAGTCGGAAGTGACTTCGAAAGGCGTACCGGGTCAATCGTCAGGTCAGGATGAAGCCGCTGCTGGTTCTTCCGCTGAACAGGAGTCATCCTTCGCAGACACGACCGCCCATTCTCCTGCGGAATCATCCGAGAAGCCAGTGGCTGATCTGGACTATGCGGCTGCAGTCAATGCGTTGACTTTGCAGTTTCTGAACGAACACGAGGAGACGAGGGTGGCGGCGTTGAGCTGGTTGATCATGCTTCACAGGAAAGCGCCCAAAAAGGTGCTCGCTTTCCACGACGGGACGTTCCCTGCTCTGCTGAAGACTCTGTCCGACCCGGCCGAAGCGGTCGTGACACGAGACTTGCAGCTTCTGTCGCAGATCTCCAAGAACAGCGAAGACGGATATTTCACCTCGTTCATGGTGGCTCTACTGCAGCTGTTTTCGACAGACAGGAAACTCCTCGAAATCAGAGGCAACCTGATTATTCGTCAATTGTGTCTGAATCTGCAGCCGGAGCGGATCTACCGGACACTGGCCGACTGTATCGAGAAAGACGAGGATATCGAGTTTGCCAGTATCATGGTGCAAAACTTGAACAACAACCTGATCACGGCACCAGAGCTGGCCGAGTTGAGAAAGAGACTGCGAAGTCCCGACAGCAAGGACGGCCAGATGTTCTTCGTGGCCCTGTTTCGTGCTTGGTGTCACAACGCCGTCGCCACGTTCTCGTTGTGTCTACTAGCGCAAGCCTACGAACAAGCCTACAACCTGTTGCAGATATTTGCGGATCTGGAAATGACGGTCGACATGCTCATCCAGATCGACAAGCTGGTGCAACTTCTCGAAAGTCCAGTCTTTACATGTGAGTGCCTGCTACCATTATATATCTTCCAATGCGGCGTGAGGGAAACACGAAATATCAACAGACTAACAATGCAAACAGACCTTCGACTCCAACTGCTCGAACCCGACCGCTACCCATACCTGTATAAATGCTTGTATGGGCTGTTGATGCTTCTGCCCCAGTCGTCAGCGTTTGGCGCGTTGAAGAACCGGCTCAACAGCGTCTCGGCAATAGGATTGCTCCACACCCCAGCGTCGATGCCCACAACGACACGATCGTCGTAAGTGAAGTGAACCCCTGCACTCCATATCTATCTATTGATCTCCAAACAACATACTTACCATTTCTTTGCTTTGCTACTAGGGTCGTATCGGGCATGACATCGTCGAACATACCATCAGCATCCACGTCTTCCGTGACAGGTCGACTCAACCGCAGCCGCGACGCCGGCAACGAGATCAAATGGCCCGAACTGCTCGAGAAGTTCAAACAGACTCAGGAAAAGGCACGGCGGCGCAACCAACGTCTCCTCCGCGGCGCGGATCTGGACGGCGGGTTCCCTGGAGGGAGCGGCAGCGCGGGAGCCAGACATCTGCTCGACGACGGTGGCGTCGACGGTCGATCCAGCCGCGCCAGTCTTCGTGACGACGTCGAAGGGAAAGGAATGGTCACGTCCAGAGGTGGCACAAGCGGCTTAAGGCCGTTGAGCATGGTCGCTTCGTCTTCCGGCGTCGGGTCGGGGTTCGGCAAGGCTGGAGGTTCAGGTGGTGGTGGTGGGTTGACGGTCCCGACGGGAGACAGGGCTGGGTCGCATAAGCGCGGACACAGTCTGGCTGGGGGATTTGGCAAGTTTGCTAGTGGCATTGCTCGAGCCGGCAGCAATCGAGATCGAGACCGGCCGAAGAAATGAATGGGAAGGGAAGGGAGCTTTCTGACACAAAAGGACAAGGGGTATGACTATTCTTTGGCAGTGCCGTTGAGGACGAGAGGACGGGGTGGTGGCTCTCGGATCGGGGGGGCGAGGGTGTTCTTACTAGAACTCGGTCAAGAGGTTTGTTTTCAGGGTGTCGGTCCAGAGTTGGTCGTCGACTTGTGTTGATAGCACTCGTGGCTCCAGATGCATAGGTCCGGTATCTTCAGGTAGAGTTCAGCGGCAGCGTGTATTGGTACTGCTGTTGATACTATGACCCAGAAAAAAACAAGGAACATGGCAGCATGAGCATACGATCTCATAGGCACTACTAAGTATGGGTTTGATGTGAGAGTGCTACATCTATGCTCTATGCTCTATGCTCTATGCTCTATGCTCTATGCTCTATGCTCTATGCTCTATGCTCTATGCTCTATGCTCTATGCTCTATGCTCTA